TTCTTCATCGTCGTCGTTGTCGTCCTCTTCCTCCTCGTCCTCTTCCTCCTCGTCCTCGTCCTCATCCATCTCCTCATCGGCAGAGGGTATGGCACGTACTTTCGCATCGAGGCCTTCGCCAAGACCAAATCGTGAGCGCATAGAACGCGGCTCGTTGTCTTTCACAATACGCGTGAATGCAGGCTCATCTTCATCCTCATCCAATGCATAATCAAGAAGAGCCTCGCCTTCTTCGCCCGTTTCTCCACGCATACGACGAAGACGTTCAGCCTCAGCCTCACGAAGGCGTTTGGCCTGCTCTTCTGCCAGTTCTTCTGCCGACTTCAAGCGATCTTGCGGCTTGGCACGACGTTCAAAAGCCATTTCACGGACAAACGCATCATACTCGTCACTCTTGGCGACCTGCTCGGCACTAGGCTCAGGCGCCTTGGGCGCGTCCGCAGGCGTCTGGAAGAGAAGCGATCGGATATCACCAAGTTCTTCGTCCAGCTCCATACGCATTTCCGCATCCGCATCTTTCAGTTTCTGGCGTTCGTACTTTGCCAACTTCGACTTGGCAATGATTTCTTTCATGACCTCATGCTTGCTGCGAGGCGCGTCATCCTCGCGTGGTTCATCAAAGCCAGCAAAGTGGCCCTCGCGCGTATCGTATGCATCAATTTGGCCTGCATGTTAGTCCTGCTCTAACTTGAATGTAGACAGCGGGCTCAGCAATCTCCAGTAGAACATTTTGCTGGCATGGCCTCCTGATTGTGTGTAGGGCCCATACAGCATATACACTTATAAAGCGTTTATCATCATGGCCCGCCGCCGTGCATTCATACGTACCTCGTGGATTCTCGTCATCATAATCGTCGTCTTGTTCCACATCGGGTAATTCATCCATGCCACTTAGACTCTGGCCATAGTGCGTAAGCGTCAATTCACTGTCGTCGTCATCACCGAGATCAAACATGGACGCCTTGGATGTCCGGTTCATACGCTCATGTGTAAAACGCTTGAGCATCTTGTCTTCCACGGACATGGTTGGGTCGTACTCGCCAAAACGACGATCTACAAACGACGATGAGTGGTGGCGCGATTGGTACTCGGGCAAAAGTTTCTCCCGACGCTGCTGCATGGAGGCCGACTTGGCAGCTGCAGGGCGTCCAGTGGATCCCTTTACCTTGTTTCCCAATACATCTGTCTTGTCCTTGGCCACACGCTCGTCAAACGCATTGAGCGTCGACATAAGCGCATTCAAGCGCTTGCGACGCTGTTGCGACCGGTATTGGCCAATGCGACTATCATCATTATTATTGCGCTTCCCTTTCTTCGGCTTGCTCCCCGTGATACCAGCATCACGGAGACCCGAGCGGAGCTGAGCAAGCTGAGAGCCGCCCTTCTTGCTGCCGGCCATCCGTCGTCTCACGCAGCAAGACGCCTGTCTGCAAGTTGTAGCTCACGGACGCACGAAAAAAAAAGTATGGTCACGTGCCGTTCGAGCGCGGGCCTTGCTGGCCGCCAGGCAGCGGCGCTCCGTCGTCTCCATCACCGTTCGTGAGCATGAGCGAGGGCAGTACGTATAGCGCGAAAGAATGATGAGAATAGAGTGCTAACATGATCTTTTCACTCCGTGTGAATTTGTCCCATTCTAACAGTTACATACAAGCAGTACGTATCGCGCGCGAGGATGAAAAAGTAGAATCTAACACATACCAGAGATCTTCCCCCTCGTGGTGGTTATGCGCCCATTCGTTACAAGCGTAACATGCCGGCCCGTGGTCCAAGTGGTGTCATGATGATCTTTGCGACGATCGGCATTACGGCTTTTGGTTTCTACCGTATGGGTCTTGGTAACGTAGAGAAGCGGTATGTTCTGCGACCCATGATGGAGCATATTCTAACAAGCACACAGTGAACTGGCGCGTGAGCGTGCTTGGAGCCGCATTTACCTGACACCGCTCCTGCTCGCTGAGTCGGACCGTGACGCATTCCGCCGCAACCGGGCATCGCAGTTGCGTGAAAAGCTCTTGATGAAAGACGTGCCGGACTGGGAGGTATGTACCTTTTACAAGATGAGAACATCGTACTTACACGCGCTTTCTACTCACTATACCATGGGCATGATATCTGTGTCGTTGCGTGGATGGTATTTTGTGATTTTTTGGATCCTTACAGGTCGGCAAGAGTGTGTACAACACCAAGCGTTACACGCCGAACAACTACGTAGTAATGTAGATACTACCGTGGTGATACGATTCGAATGAAAAGAGGGATGGGTACGAAAGTGCCATGCTTCACCGACGTCGCGTGGGCCGCGCCCTCGAAGGCCCGGCGCTTCTGGCCGAGCCTAGTCAAGGTGGAGGGGGTGCCGTGCGTCATCGGTCCCCATTTTGCTCGTCGACAGTGATGCATGCTTGAGCATGGGTCCTCGTAAACGTACCAGAAAGCCTAGAAAAAAGGGTGAGGCGCCAACTTCTGTACCACACAAAGAAGCATATACGACAAAGGCAGCTGCAGAAACGCCGGCTACAGAGGAACTGCCAAACACGGAAGAACCTGTGTCAGCCCCCCATGATGTCGAGGACGAGGCCACGACGACTGCGACACCGAAGGATCTTGATGATGAGGCGGTAGCAAGTGAACATTCAGAAACAGATTCGCTGCATAGCACGTCGGAGGCCTCGACGACGGCCGATACCGAGCCTGCCTTCCATATGGATGTGCTTGGCGCAAGTATTCAAGATATCTTGCAGAAAGACACACTGAGTGCCATGGCTGTCTCTTCCAAATCTATTGCGATGGGTATGCACTCCGGAATGATATACATCGTTTCGCGAAGTGGCCATTTGGAGAAAGGATTCCGGTTTCATTCAGCCACCGTGTTGGACTTGGTGTTTGACACGACAGGCGACTTTATTGGGAGTGCAGGAATGGACGGAATTGTGGCCATTGCCTCGTTAACATCGTCAGAACAATACCAATTTGATTTCCAGCGGCCGATGCGAACAATTGCATTGGAACCGCAATTCGGGCATCGATCTTCGCGTGCTTTTGTGTGTGGCGGCATGTCGGGCATCCTTGTGCACCGCGAGAAGCGCTGGTTTGGGCACCGCGAAGTCGTTCTGCATAGCGAAGAAGGGCCCATATGGGCCATCACATGGCGTGGCTCATGGATTGCATGGGCAAACGACCGTGGTGTGCGTATTGCTGATGCGATATCACACGATGTTATTACGTTCATCCCTGCACCCGACGTTGCGCCACGCGCGGAACTGGTGCGCTGCACGCTTACATGGCGCGATGATCATACTTTGCTTATTGCGCAGGGCGACCGTATTACGATCGCTAGCGTTAAGACACGCGATGCGCCAGAAGATCAGGTCCGAGCTGCCATCCCATCGGTACCGACCTTGTCAGGCCTCGTATCCGGTTTATCATCCAGCGCTGATGTCCCATTGAAGCACTTTGTGGAGATCACAGACATCTTCCAGTTGGACTGTATTGTGGCAGGGGTTGCTTGGATGTCAGACAACATTGTGACGCTATCCTACGTGGTCGACAGTGATGTCTTGGCATCGTTGGGCCAAGACGATGTGCGACTCTTATCAGGGCAGCCTCCCGAACTTCGTGTGATTAGCCGCTCGGGTGATGAGCAGAGCAGCGACGTGTTGGACTTGGCAAACGTGGATCGATGTCGATGCAATGACTACCATCTCTGTGTCTCCTATGAATGGGTGTACGACAACGTACTGAAGGAAAAAGTACAGAAGCCTGTATATTTCCTAGCGAGTCCACGCCAGGTATGCCGGCTGCGTCCACGCACAGAACAAGATCACATTCAATGGCTCTTGGAGCGTGCTGAGTACCGAGAAGCCCTAGAGGCCCTGGAGGCACTGGGGAGTGGCCCAGCGAAAGCGATGGGCTTTGATGTAGCGGCCATCGGCCGTGAATACCTCTTGTATATGATGGATGAGCATCATGACTACGAAGGTGCGGCTGAGCTCTTCCCTTTGATCCTGCGCAAGGATGCTTCGGCATGGGAATCGTTTGTCCTCCTATACTTGGAGCGCGGGAAAGTGTCGGTGGTGCTACCATTTATTCCCACCAGGGACCCGGAGCTTGGCGAAATGGTGTACGACATGGTCCTTGTGGCCCTCTTACGAACGGATGAGGCAGCATTGTTGGCGACACTGCGTACATGGCCCGGCCACCTTTATTCGGCGCAGGCAGTAGCTGCCGCAATTGAAGATCGTGCAGAGAACAGTCGTGTATTGCTAGAATGCCTGGCACAGCTGTACTTGACTGATCACCAGCCAAGCAAAGCGCTGTTATACCTGCTCCGACTTCGTCATCCGTCTGTGTTTGGCCTGATACGTGATAACAATTTGCTGATCGATGTGCAACAGAAGATTGGGCTGTTGGTTGAGTTGGACCAGGATTTGGCCGAGACTAAGCAGCCCGAAGAAAGCGTACTTATATCACTGCTGGTCGATCATACACATGCAATTCCTATTCATCGCGCCATGCAGCAATTGGAGCCGTATCCCTGGTACCAGTATCTGTACTTGGATGCCTTGTTTGAACGAGATGCCTCTATGATTACAGACTATGCCAACCGACTGGTATACTTGTATGCTGAGTACCAATACCCAAAGCTAATGCCGTTTTTGCGTGCCATGAGCTCAGTGTACTCGTTCCAGCGGGCGTACGTGGCATGTGAGGCGCACAACTATGTACCAGAGATGGTATTCCTCCGCGGTCGCACAGGCGACTTGCGTGGCGCTCTCGACTTGATTCTCGATCGGCTGGACGACGTAGAAATGGCTATCGACTTTGTTCGCCAGCAGGACGATATCGAGTTGTGGGGCGCCCTCTTAGCCCATGCGCAAAACAAGCCGAACTACATCCGTGGTCTCCTCGAGCATGCTGGCGGTGAAATTAATCCGGTTCGCATTATTCGCCCCATCGAAAAAGGGCTGGTGATTCCAGGACTGCGACCGGCTTTGATCAAAACGATGCAAAACTTCCAACTACAGAATTCCCTACTGCACGGCGGCTTGGTCGTATTGGAACGGGATGCTCAAGAATTGGGCCATCAATATACCCAGGCTCTTACGGCTGCGATGGCCTGTGATGCTGCGACGGAATGCACCGTATGCGGACGTGCCCTACTGCAAAAACCGTTCCAGCGAATTGTGCTCTTTTTCTGCTGGCATGCCGCACATGCGTCCTGTCTCCCAGCAGCGTCATTGTCACAGTCAGCGTCGCCACGTTCAGTGGCCCGCCAAGGTGCGCTGGTACGTATTTCAGAGACCACAACACAATTGGATGCACGGGCACGTGAGCCTTGGATTGGTGGAGATCCACACATGCCACCTCAGCCAAGGCAGGATGGGGACGAGGGTGTGACACGGACATGGAAACAGCTGCGAAGTGAGCAAGCGGATCGTCAATCGCTGACACGTGCACGACAACGTCGAGCTGCAGGCGGCGGACACAATACAGGCTGCCCTACCTGTGCCGCTGACATGTCATATCGGTTGCAAGATTAGAGGAAGATAGCTGACTAGCATTGGGTATAGGCCACTATGTATTATGTACACAAGGCGACGGGAGGCTCGGCTACAGGAATCTCGCCCCATGTAAACCGATCGGCTTGGAAGGCAGCCAGCACATCCGAAGGCAAGTCTTTTTCATGCAAACGATCGGCATCAAATACATCGACGGAGGTTGATGGTGCAGACGTGGCGCCAAAGGGGTATACTGGCTTGGCCGTTGAGCCAAAAGCGGATGTTGTTGTAGAAAGTTGTCCAAATGCTGATGGTGCAGTAGCCGATCCCGAAGGTGCAGTGGCGGTGCCAAAGGTGGAAGGCGTAGTTGTAGACGCAGTGGAGCCCGGTTGGGTGGACGCAGGGGCAGCGTTGACTGTGGCTGAAGGCTGGCTGAAGGCAGAGGGTTGCGCCGTTTGGCCAAAAGTCGATGGTTGGGATGTCTGGCCAAACGCAGATGGTTGAGATGTCTGGCCAAACGCAGATGGTTGAGATGTCTGGCCAAACGCAGATGGCTGTGACGTTTGGCCAAAGGCTGAAGGTTGTGCGGTCTGTCCAAACGCCGAGGGTTTTGAGACTTGGCCAAACGCCGATGACTGTGACGATTGTCCAAATGCTGATGGTTGTGCCGTTTGACCGAAGGCGGAAGGTTGGGAAGCCTGCCCAAACGCCGACGGTTGCGCCGCTTGTCCAAAAGCTGATGGTTTGGCTGTTTGTCCAAACGCAGCAGGTTGGGAAGCCTGCCCAAACGCCGACGGTTGCGCCGCTTGTCCAAAAGCTGATGGTTTGGCTGTTTGTCCAAACGCAGCAGGTTGGGATGTTTGCCCGAAAGCGGACGTCTTAGCTGCTTGTCCAAACGCAGCAGGTTGCGCCGTTTGGCCAAAAGCAGATGGCTGGGACGTCTGGCCAAACGCAGAAGGTTGTGACATTTGCCCGAAAGCGGAGGACTGGGATGCTTGGCCAAACGCGGAAGGATTAGCTGTCTGCCCAAATGCCGAGGGTTGCGATGTTTGTCCAAATGCCGAGGGTTGTGCAGGTTGTCCGAAGACTGAGGGCTGGCTGGCCTGTCCAAATGCTGACGGCTTGGCCGCCTGGCCGAACGCAGAAGGCGCTGCTGTTTGCCCAAAAGCAGAGGGAACCGATGTCTGCCCAAAGGCAGATGTTGGTTGGTTTGGAGCACCAAAAGCCGGAGCACTTGTGACCGCTGGAGCCCCAAAAGCGGTCGAAGTAGTGCCAGGCATGACCGATGAAGGCTGTGTGCGCTGTGCATTTTTGTACTGCGTACGATTCTCCAATGCTTTCTGAAGCGCCACTTGGGTATTTCTAGACATGGACTGATAGTTTGTATCTGCCTGTGCTGTCATTTGTTGAATCTGTTGCATCTGAATGTTAGGACGTTTCGGTAGGTATACATACATAGGCAGCTTCTTGACCGGTTTGGCGTGCTTGGTAGGCCATCGCCCGATCTTCTTCTGGGCTGACATCGATGCCTTGAATAAGGTTAGGTTCTCCCCGTGCAGGTGCATAGCTGGTAAGACGCCATATAGGTCGTCCATGTGGTCCAAAGTCTTGTCCAATGCCATCTTTAGTGAGTGCAATTTCTGGCTCGGCTGGCGCCGCTTTCCCGCCAGGACCGGAAAAGGCGGACCATTGGGACGATGATCCAAAGGCAGTAGACCCTGTCTTTGCGTTTGCAGGATGCTCATTCCGGCAATTTGCGCCGAATCGACATCGGCCTTGCAAGTAGAACTGACACACGGCCATCACCAAACACGCCTTGTGCAACGGAGACGGTAGTGCAATGTGGAGGAGCAAAAGCTCCAACCCTCTTGACGTCACAGAAGGACGGCAAGAGGAAGAGATTACACAGGTACCAAGGCAAGGTAGTGTATCAAACTACAAAATTGACTACAGAGCAACCGTGCCACGACGCACGAAAGGCAAGCCAAGACCACTCAGTAAAGTACGTGCCCGTTCTGTGGCACGACGACCACGCTGGTTTGTGACGCAGTCGACCTGGAAGCCGTAGCGGCGGCCGGGGTATTGATCCAAGTTAATTTCCACCTGAGGGAAAAGAGGCATTGCTTCAGGGCCTAAACCGAAGCTCACAACGCCACTCACTGCGGCAGGGCTGAGAAGGGGTTGACTGGATGGCGGAAGCTGCAGACCAGCAAAACCTCGCAAACGTGGAAGCACAAACGTAGTAAGAACTTCGATAAACTCATAGGCTGCATCACCGTACATAACAGCCTGAACACCAACAGGCATTCCAGCACGCAACTTAAAAGACGCAGCACCATTCTTGGCGCGAAGAACTTGCACATAGCCATTCGCAGCATGCGGTCCCGCAGTCTTAGGAGAATTTCCCACCGTAGGATCAGCTAAAGAACCCAAAATTGGCAGGCCGGTAATAGCACGCATTTGACCTAGGAGTGGCAGCAGCGCCTGCTTGTTGGTAATGGCATCTTTGCAGAAAGCTGTGACAACGACACGGTCAAGACGGGGAATAGCATGCTCAATCTGCTTTGCTAAGTGCATCGGCTTGTGAAGCGGCACAATGGGACGGTTACCGCGCTGAGGTCGAGCAGATCGGCCCGCATGATAGTCCGACTGACCGGACCAACGACGAATACGATCATTGTCGCCAGATTCAGATTCTGGTGCATCCTTTGACGAGGAAGATTTGCTTTCAGGCTCATACATCATATACATCATGTCTGCAGCCAGCGTACGTTCATAATGCTCACGCAAGCGGCTCCTTTGCATAGCGCCAACAACGACGGGTGTTTCGGGCAGTTGGTTGCGCGACGGGACATGGTCAAGCAGCACAGAACTTGTCGTATGCATGGGTCGCAGCATACGCACGCTAGACGGGGTCCAGGCCCCAGCGGCGCGTTGAAACGATACGCGCAGCATGCTTAGGAAGAAGAGCTGAGAGCGAGACAGGGAGCAAGGAGGAAAGGCCTGCCTCATGCTTATGTAAGAATTAGGCTGCGACAGTCGACACTGACAGCAACGCGGCCAGGAGCCATTGGGAAGCTTAGCTTTGCGGATAGACAGACGCGATGCCAGAACAAGGGCTCGGGATCAGCGAGCCATTTGACTTGATCCGCCTCTCTCTTAGTGAGCGTGTTTTGGTAAAACTCCGTGGTGAACGTGAGCTCCGTGGTATTCTTCATGCGTACGATGGCCACATGAACTTGATTCTCGGTGATGTGGAAGAGACAATCTACGATGTCCAAGTGGCTGAGGATACGGGAGCGGAAACCATCCAGGTATGTGACGCACGGAAGAACATTATCTGACAAATACAGATTGTGAAGCGGAACTCTGAGATGATGTTTGTTCGCGGTGACGGTGTCATCCTGGTACGTTAACTTAGATCTCCTAATAGACAGGTGTCCCCACCGCGCATGTAAATCAAGCGCACTGAAATGGTTTTTTCACACAAGAGTGAATGATGCGTGAATACGATGGGTGGAAACGTATGTGCACAATGCTATACCAATCCAATCTTCGTCATGACATTCTGAATACGCCCTGACCGTATAGCATCATGATCGCATAATTGTAGTTAAGGAACTATACTGCTATTTTTAGGCTTGTAATCCATTCCCTCTGAAGGACTCTGTGGATACCCACGGATGACAGTAGTATGTGAAAGCGGGAATCTGGTCTGTGCCATGTTGGCAGGCATAGGCGTCCACCAAACTAGCTTGCGGTGTCACGAGAACAGTCTGCTTGTACCAGTCCAAGTCAATAAAAGTCTCATTTTCGTTTATGTCGTGACTTCTATATCTTTTATGCAAAATTATAAACACGACATCTTAATAGCGTTACAAAAGAGAAACGAAGTGCCATCATCATATCATGGCATTGTGAAAAAAGAAAAAAAGGACCTTGAGCCACGTATGCGAATAAGTGGGGCACGCATCGACGCGCAGATTCAAGATCAAAATGATCATCAGAAAGCCTGCAGCATACATATATAAATGATTTTTCGATTGAGTTAATGAGGACCATCGTCCCTAAATGAAAGTAATGTGGGGCATAGGAGTCAGAAAGCCTCACGTCATTGTTGCGTAGGCACCTTACAGGGAGACTCCAGAGGTGCAGCAGTATAGCCACAGCCCTTGCAGACACGCAGCGATTCCGTATGTTCCCATGTCTTTAGGCAGATTGGAAGTTCTTCAAAGATGTTCTTGCTTTGGAACTGCATTTCATGAAGCAAAAATGGTTTATTATCATGTGCTGACAGGTTCGGACAGTACCAAAACATTTTGTCTTGTAAAGATTAGCATACGAAAGATGCATACGTACCAGGAAGCTCTCGCGTCCTCTCCAGAACGACGCCAATAGTACCGGGTAAGCGGTAGGGTGAGTGCATGGTATAGGCTGGAGTAAGCATTAAAAGAGGAATCCACGTACAAGGTAGCATGAAAATCTCCCCTTCTTTGATCTCGATGCACTTGAACTCTCCATCTTCCAAAATGCGAAGATACATGGTGCCTTTTACTTGGTAGAATAACTCCTCAGTAGGCTGGAAGAGGTCGTGTGAGAAATAGTTTACATACCTGATAGTGAAAGTCGGCACGCTCATTAGGCCCGCCTACCACCATAATAAAGTATCCATCCGTGCGGAGAAGACACTTATTTCCTACAGGCGGCTTAAGAAGCTCTTTGTTGTCTTCTACCCACTTCTGAAAATTGAACGGCGGGGGCACCATGGTGAGGATTAAGGCAAGAGTCATTCAACCGATCCATGCGGGTGATGGAGATATGCATGCATATCCTCCACCCATCAATGTGGCCCCGGTACCTGTCTACCTCCACTTCCATAAGACACTCTTCCGCACTTACCCGGCCAAGGTGGAGAAGGAGCAAGGGCCATGTATGATCACGTGTGGTGATATAGTTAGGCACGTGATAGAGAAGGGCCGCCGTGCTCTCAACCAAGGCGAAGAAGGCCACGGACTCTCGTTTGCCTACTTTCGTCGTCACCCAATATGGTGTGTATTGAACGATGATACAATAGGATGGTGAACATCGCTATGCTATTGTGTCATCGCAACCATTTCGTGTAACGGAGTGCTAACATTTGTGCAGGACCTGAACTCGCCGATCACCCTGCGGACCCGCAAGTTCATCACCAACCGTCTGCTCCAGCGCAAGCAGATGGTTCTGGATGTGATCCACCCTGCTCGCCCTAACGTCTCGAGGGCTGAGCTCCAGGAGAAGCTCGGTGAGCTCTACAAGTCTCCCAAGGAGCAGGTGTTCGTGTTCGGCATGCGCACCCACTACGGTGGTGGCCGCTCGACTGGCTTTGCTCTGATCTACGACAGCAAGGAGGCTCTTGAGCGTTTCGAGCCGAAGCACCGTCTTGTTCGCGTACGTATCTTGATGTGTGTTCGTCAACTAACATTTCAGAACGGCCTGGCTCCCAAGATCGAGAAGCCCTCGCGCAAGCTCCGGAAAGAGCGCAAGAAGTACGTATACTTATGGTCCAGGATTGTACTAACCATTCAGCCGTGCCAAGAAGGTGCGTGGTACCAAGAAGAGCAAGACTGGCGATGCCAAGAAGAAGTAAGGGATTTTATATCTCTCTTGGGTCCTCTTCCTATTCTACGGCAGTGGCTCTGTACCGGCCAACGAGTCTCTGCCTTTGTATCGTCACTCTATACTTTATCCTTTTAGGGTCGAAAAAGGCTGGTTTCTAGCAATACAGGAGATTATGTACCTGTATTACCATATTACCACAATGACACGTTTTGTGTAGGAATTTCTTTTTGCGTGCGTACGTGTGAGCTATCATTATGAGGGCACCAAACACTGTCTTCATATCATTTCATGTGCTATATAGTAACAAGTGCGCTTGGAATGGTGCCAGTCTCGTTACAAGTACATGTCAGAGGGATCCGCCAATGCCATGTACTTCCATACAAGCTCTACTCCCATATCTTCCGTTTCGTCCTCCATCTTCACAGATGGACGCGATACTTTACCAGGAAGCGACAAGTCCGATGCCGGCGCCTTCTGCACAACATTGGAGTTGAGACCCACTGTGAGTTTCAAGAGAGCAGGACCTGGCTCGAAGTGTTTTAGAGGAATAGGTTCATTGTCAGGCACTTTGCGGTCGGGCGTATCCGAAGATTTTACCCTGAGGATATCACGCAAAATATTCTCGGCAGCCACCTCTGCCATGAACCAGGCCTGGTAGCCTGCATTCAAGGCGCCAAAGGCATCAGCTACATCGCCAATAGCATACACGTTTGGTATGTGATGAGGCAAGACATGTAGTTTTTCCTCAAAGTCCATGTCTGCGCCCGCCGACTTCTTATCGAGGAAACAGTCGCAGTCTTTGCAAGGCGGCACAGCATCGAAAGGTTGCTGAGAGGCTCCTGCCTCATGCTGCATCACTTGCAGGCTAGGCAACACGTGAATCAACCGAGATTGTGGGCTCACACTAGAAGGCGAGAACTCGGCCATGAGCTCGGAATTAGGCTGTTGGCCAGTGCACATAAGAAGCAAGTCGCATTCCTGCTCCAAACCTAGCGTCGTGCGAATGCGGTGGCGCGTCGATCCTGGCACCGAGGCAATGCCGTCCTGGCGCAGTTCTGAGGGCTGTGCGTTATCAATGTGCAACTGCTTCACGGAGCTGCCCAAAGGGCAGCCATCCGCGATCGCCAAACGGTGACCCAGGTGGATCTGTACGCCAAGCTTTTGCAGTTGCTCTAGCGCCAAGGTGTGAACTTGCGGGTCGAAGTTGGGCAGAAGACGGTCGCGTGAGTGAATCAAGGTAATATTCTTCTTCTGGCCGATCTTGTTGTAATAGCTGGCGATATCGCCTGCCAGCTGTACGCCCAACGCACCACCACCGACAAGTATAATGTCTTGGCTTTCGCGAATGCGGTTCTGATTTCGCTCCATCCAGTGCATACTATCCTTCTTCGTGTAGGATTCATGCTTCAGTGGATCGGGCATGTGAGAGCCAAGAGCATAGATCAAGTGCGTGTAGGGTATATTGATAGTATCAATCGACCAGAGATGCTTCGAGGGGGGACTTGTTGATGTTTCTTCTTTCTTTCCTGGCGGGGTAAAGGACTGCTGTTGCACAGTGACGTAGTTGTCCGCGATCGCCGTGACTTTGCCACACAATACAATGTGAGGATCCGCGTTTTCGTACGGGTCCACTTCGGTAGCCTCCCCTTTCTCGTCCCGCACGATCAATTTCTGGTTCGACGAGTTGGATTGGATACGAAGCTGCGACTCAATCATATCACGTACTTCCATGATAACACTATCCGCGTGATCTTCGCTGGACGTGGCTGCTTGCTCGCTAATAATAGCGTGGCCCACACCCGTCGAGTCGATCGGGACGCGTTTGGAGCGCAGCTTCAGGGGCACAGCAGCACTTGCGTCATTGCCTGGCGCCGTATTCTTCACCTCGCTGGACGCATTCGACGCCTTTTCATTCCTACGAGCCTTGCCATGTCGCGCAGGGGAGTCGGAAAAAATGGACGTATAAGGAACAAAGGCCTTCTGCGTGTGACCTGGGACTACAGTGAATCGGGGGAATGCATAGAGATCTGGGCATAAGTACAGAGAGCGGGGACATACGGTTAAAATGAGTATTTCGCTCGACCAGGATCACCCGGTGACTTGGTGGCAGCTTGCGTGCCAATACCATGGCCGCATGCATACCTACATAGGGTCAGCGTACCGCGCAAGACGTAGAGGGACGTACCACCATAGCTTCCGCCCAGGACCACCACGTTCTTCACGTTTTGGTCGTCAAACTCCGCAACGGTAGTTGACATGTTGACAAGGATCTCGCACACAAGGAGGCTGTAAGCTCAATCTGATAAGCTAGTTAGCCTTCTGTCGCCCTCGGCGACAGTCGGTCAGTTTAGTCAGCGGCACAGGGCGCGTGCGTTGAGGCGAGGGACAGGAGCGCTCGCTGCCCTCGCGAACGCGTGACATGGCTAGCGCAGGATGGTCGCGACTGCATGAACCTGAGCAGCAGGAGGTAGGTACCGGCGGGATCTGACACTGTATCAAGACAGTACCTGTCAAAGTGACGTTGTGGGATGCAATGCGGCAGTACTCCATTCTGGATGGAGTAAAGCAACTGCCGCACGTCCCCTGCGCACGAAGCAGTCTGTTGATGGGCATGGCCACAGCAGCGAGTGTCGGCACGATCCAGATTGTGTTTGGTCGTGGGATTCATCGTTCTCTTAACTGGGCTGTGGGATCATTCATGTTTATTTCGGTTTTTGCTTGGTAGGTTCGCGCCATGAAGGCACTGACGCGTGCAGGGAGACATGCCGTCGTTCGCGCGCTGCAGAGCAGGCACGCATGAAAAGCATGATGGAGAGATACGAAAAGCGCCGGGATCAACATCATAATAAGCACGCTACGTCGTAGGTCTGGTATGGTAGATATGCTACAAAATTTCCTGTGTATTCTTACACAAGCGAAGGCGACCACTCCAGTGCCTGTCCGAAAGTCAGGGTGTGGTCTCATACATACCTGAGGTGCCTTGTACCAAGCAAGCCAGTCGCTTGCCTCCGTAGGGAGCAGGCCCATGCTCCAGCATTTGTATACGCCAAGGGCAATCGAGGCCATATGGCAGAGGACAAAGACAGCCATCTGCGGTAGGAGCGAGTGCTTGGGCGAGCGGTAAGGCGCAAATACAGTATGCATTGACGTGATACCTTTCAGTGGGTTGGTAATCATCATCATGACCACCATCATACTAAAGATCTGAACACCATTTCCACTCATCCACATCATCATCATGTTCATAGGCAAGGATTTGGATGGCGCAGTAGCGGCTTCCCAAGCCTTGGAGGCTTGAATGTACGAAGTGTCAACAGTGCGTCCCTTCACGGACTTGTTCTTGTCTTGCTTGGTCAAGCTCTTGAATGTCAGAGCACGGCGGCGACGGATACGTACGTGCAAGTCGGTAAACCCGATCATAATATCAGGCACATCGCCAAGCTTAGCAGCCCTGCGAGTAAGCTTCATTGCCGAGTCAACATACGTAGACGTGATTTTCTGGTACGGAAGGGCCCAGGCAGAGAGGGGCGAGCCCTTGGCTTTGGGCGGCATGGTGGGGACGAAGCGCGACGGACGCAGGCACGGTGTGGGTGGATGTCGGTTGGGGAGAGGCTACTAGGTTTATGTTTTTTGGTCCAAATTGGACCTACTTAGGTATGCATATGTCAGCTGCAAGAAAAAAAAAACGGCGCACCTTGCAGCGGAGAGGAGTGCGAGTGTCCACGACGATGCCACCTGTACAGAAGCAAAGCGCGGCGCCGACACGCTCCTCGTTGAAGAGCGGTATGAGTAAGGACAATACAAAGACCAAGGCGAAAGCGAAGACGGCGAGTGCGGCTGCCGCGCCGACAACCAAGCCCAAAACGGTAACGATGATCAGCGGCAAGGTAGACGCTGCACAAGTGCTGAAGGCGTGCAAGGCCCTGGCTGCGTATACCGAGAAACGCCTTACGGCTAAGACGTATGAGCTACCGCTCGGTGGTGCCAACTCGCTGGGTGCCTCGAAAGATGCGGACAACACGGTATGGATGCAAATTACTGTGAAGAAGTTGGATACGCAGCGCAAAGTGAAACCGGCCCGGATTCCGCTGGCCCACCCACTCCTGGACGAGGATGCCTCCGTGTGTCTGTTGACCAAAGATCCGCAGCGCGAGTACAAGGACCTGCTGATGGAGAAGAACATTACCAGTGTGAACCGTGTTGTCGGTGTTGAAAAGCTGAAGGGCAAGTTCCGTCCGTTTGACGCACGGCGTGAATTGGTGCGTGAGCACGATCTCTTCCTCGCAGACGAGCGTATCGTGCCGATGCTGCCCAAGCTCTGTGGCAGTGTTTTCTACAAAGATCGCAAGTTCCCCATTCCTGTTGACCTGGTGAACAAGAAGCGACTGCCGGAAGCGATTGAACGTGCGATTGCCTCGACGTACTATATGCAGAACAAGGGCTCATGCAGCTCGATTAAGATTGGGTTTTTGCACCGCCATACGCCCCAAGAGCTGGTGGAGAACTTTGCGCAGGCTTTGCCGGCGGTGGTGGCCAAGATCCCAGGCAAGTGGTCGAATGTGCAGAACATTGAGCTGAAAACGGGCAAGAGCGCTGCCTTGCCCGTGTGGAACTGCCGCTTGGGCGAGGGCGACGATGATGATCTGCGGTGGGCCCCGGTGGAAGCCACAGCAGACGACGAGGAAGACGACGGCGACGACCACGAGGAGGAAGAGGAAGTGGTGCCTGTGCCGAAACGCAAGGCTGAGACGGCTACCAAGAAGACCAAGCGTGTACGTGCGGCAAAGTAGATGTAGAGAAAAGGAATGCAATCATTAGGAAACAGCTACATGCAGTAAAGGGGAAAGGTTACATGGAATAGGGAGGCAGCCAAATATGGCTGCTTTGCTTTTCAGGGGCATCAGAGGGCAAAGCATCGTACTCCGGCGAATCTTCGCGATCGGTACCCGCTTCCCAACGACGCCATGCTTCTTCGTAGCCGGCTTCCAAGCATCGAGTCCATCCACGTGTGTTGAACAAGGGCGAATGGTCCCGAGAAAGGAACAGCGACCGACGAATGTCCAGCAGTTCGCCGGTCCCCGTGCGGAAAAAGATAGGCGATTCGTCGGGAATCACTAAGGAGTTTATAATGGCGTCAGAGGTGCAGTATACAGGCTGCTGGCTCGGCGGCATCCCCGACGCATCGTGAGCCGTCGGCGGGGCGGCGTCTGTGTAAGCATATGCCTCCTCCTCTGCCTTCTGGGCCGCTGGCGTGCGCGTCATGTAGCGGTACGCCAGGGACGTGGCGAGGGCCACAGCGCGATCGACGTACGCCTCGATGGTGTGGACCACGAGCTGCTTCTCCAAGTGCACAGCATGCAAGAGACTCGCAGCGACGCGCGAACACAGTTTGTGCATGTGCTTTGGCCACGTGAGGACGGGCGAACCAGACCAAAGCACATCGACGGCTGTCGTGTGCGCATTGCATTCGACTGTATCGAGAAACAAGTCCACGACGCGGCCGCGATAGATATGCAGGTGTTTGTCGGCGACGTCCGAAAAGACGATGCGTGACGCAACGTCAGGCCCGCCAAACTCTTCGGCATCGCGACGCAAATGCTCTTCCGCGCTGCATGGGAAGCGAAGAAGCCACAAAATGCTGCGAGGCACACGACGAAGGATCTCCAGCCATGCACGGAAGAGCGCTGGATCGACTTTGTACAGCTGATTGAAGTTCGCAAAGATCACCATATCGTCGGCCAAGGCAGGGAAAATGGCTTTGCGCATACGCCAGCGCCGAATTTCCTCGTGTCGCCATCGCGTAGCAGCGTCGTCAGAGGAGGCGTCCTCGTCGGTTGGCTCCAGCGGCGCAATGTCCGGCTCGCGGAACCCTTGCGCATGATCGTTCACAAAGAACGAATGGGGCATGTAAAACATGCGCTCACTGTACACCCAGTCGTCATGCTCGCCTTCGGGATCGAGATCGGCCCCCAGATCCGTGGGGCTGGGTTCGTACGAGGCCTTGCGCCATTGCTCAGACGCCGTCAGCGCAGGAGGACACACAATGGGATCGACGACGAGCCAGTCGGTCCACCCAGACACGAGGCCGCCAGCAAAGCCCATGAACTGCATTTGGACAGGACACGGGCGTGGTGCAAAGATGTCGTTGCGCGCGCCTTTGGTGTACCCGTTGAGGTTGACTAGGATATGGATTTGGTCCTGGTGCACACGTCGGATAATGCGCTCGGACGTCCATGCCGATACATCGAGGAAATGATGCGCATCGCGCTCAATTTTCTGGCGGTAGCTCGTCGCATCGGACGGCGAGGTCGCATAGCAGAAAATCGTGAAGCGATGCCGATCGTGCAAGCTAAACACCGACTGCATGAGATGCGCAAGGGGGTGGTTGTTGAAGTCGCTCGACACGTAGCCGATGTGCAGCTTTTCGACGGGCGGCGGCGGCGGCGGAAGGACATGGCGTGGGAGCCATGGCTGGGAAAGGGCCGAGTACGTCGTACGCAGCGCTGTGCGATGCGAGATGAGACGCACTTGGCGCGGCGAGAGCGGGTATGTAAACGTGTGGAACGGCAACACGGACGTAGCGGCCGGCTGCATCAGACTGGACGGCAGCACCAGGCGGTCGTACCGATGCGACTCAGCCGCCTCGCCGCGCTTGTACTTGTCGTGGTACCAGCGCCACTGCGAGATACGCATCAACCGCTCGACCAGCCGCAAAAGGAACCCACCTTCGTTGACCCATTCGGCGAGTGTGTGCGGCGCAAAGAACGGCTCGAGTTTCTTGCGCCAGAGCTCGCGGACATGCGATCGGTCATCGCCCAGCATCCGCACGATCATGTCGAGCCATGTATCGAGATTGGCTTGGAGACGTAGCAGACCGCGGCCGTACTTGGAGCCCACTTGCAGTTGCCGAGCAACTGTGGCAACAGCGCGGTTCATCCAGCCGGAGCCGGACGGTGGGTAGACCATGCGCCAGTCACACACACAGAGCATCGCGTGGACCAGCCCACAAAGCCCTTCTGGGAAATGCGGATGGAGATGGACAAGGCGCTGGTAGTACGGAATCGCATCTTGCGGTCGACCCTGGTCCTTGATCGCGCTGGCGAGGTTGGCCAGCGCCACGTCGAGCGTTGGATGCAGCGAGACAGCTCGTTCGTACATCGCAATGGCTTCGGGGAGTCGGCCCATGTCCTTCAGCAGGCTGCCGAGGTTCGTGTACAGGTGAGAGTGACGTGGATCCAGCTGTAGGCCCAGCGCATAGTACCGCAACGCCAGCGGTGGGCCGTACAGGGTTACACGCTCTCCTTCGCGGGCCACGACACTGGTCGTCACAGGCAAACTGGACAACAAGATGCCGAGGTTGTTGCATGTAGGCGCTCGCATATGCCACGCCAGGGAGAGATAGTGCAAGACCAGCAACAACGACGTGCTCAGCGGGAGGCCACGAAGCGAGAGGTCTTGGTGGACAGGCGCCGTGGATGCCGTTAGTGTGTCCTGGAACACCTTGGCGAGCACCAAAAGGATGGTCGCACTCATGTGGGCCACCTGCGTACGCAGCGCCGTGGACTTGGCCAGTGGGTCCTGGAGCGTCGTGAACACAGGGAAGGTGCCATCCGTCTTGGCCCATAGCACCTCGGCCATACTACTGATCTGCTCCGGGAGGAAGAGCACGGTGGGGAGAGTACCGCCCCCCGCCTCCAAGAGCACACGAACGAGGCGATCCCCTGCGGCATGGACCAAGCCCAAGAGACCTTGGGAGTGAAGGAGGAGGTACCGACCCTCTGTGACTGCCTGGGCTTCTGCCGGATGACGTAGGTCGATGCCGAGGGCGTCTGCCATTGCGTGGTGGACCGGGCCCGGTGCCTGCCCCGAAACTACCGAGCCATGTGTCAGCATCCCAAACACCACCACGGCTACGACCAGGTCACGCAGCGTGAAGCTGGGCTGCCCGCGAGAACTCAGCACAACTTCGAGCGCACGCAGGTAGGCATCCACAGCCGCCGCGGGAGCATGGCCTGGTAGGGCATAGGTAAGGTTGCCTTTGGCAAAGAACAGATGCTGCACGCGCGGCACCACAGCCAGCGACCACGAAGGTGGGAGCGCTTGGGGCTCGTACGTGCCAGCATTTAACCCGATTTGAATTCGGCCCGATGCATCCGAAGCAGCAGCGCTTGCACGCATCGGCCGGCGGACGAGCATAATATGCGCATCCACAAAGTCGCACAGCCGCAGAGCCATGTCCCATTGAGGATCGCGGCCTGGCATGTCGGATGTCGATGCCACAGGATGACACAGCGCATCCAGTAAGTTTTCAAAGACGTCCCAGTACCCTGGCGACAAATGGAGGGCGCGCCACCACCATTGCTCAGCCTCCTGCCAGTGCCCAAGACCCCGCAAGGCACAGCCTATGTTCGACATGGCCTCAATATAATGCGGATCGAGGCGCAGAATCGCATTGCTGTACCACAGCGACGCTCGCAAGTTGCCGGCCAGAAAATATGTACAGGACAGGATAAGCATCGTAGGTATGTGTGTCGGGTCCATTTGGTACAGCTGGTACAGCAAGGCCAGCATGAGCGAGGGCGGCGGCGCCCGCACCTTCGGAGTGGTGGTGGGCGGCCGCGTAGTGGGAACCTCAGGCTTTTGAGACGACGCCCAGCGCGCATACAAGGTATGGGCATACCGAAGGACATGGTCACGGACCGCTGTCGACATGCGATCCGTGCCATGGATCGCGGCTGCATGCTCAAACACCGTAGAGGGAGCTTGCACGCCCTCTGGGAACGTCATGCATGGCGCGTCCGGCACCTGCCCCGGTGCCCATCCAGGGATCTCTGCCTGCCATGGCTGGTCGCCCACGGTCTGTTTCGCGGTGGCGTCCACCTGCGGCATAGATGACGTCAGTGGCGCATCCGTGGAGGTGGACAAAGGCACAGAGCGCGGCTCGTGTGCACCCAGCAGGCCGTGGTCGAGCCCACGAAAAAGGTGCGTCAAATGCCCCTCTGTGAGTGCCAGATGCTCGTGGTGGCCCTGAAGATTCGGCTCGTCAGTTTCTGTGACGAACGGTGGGTCGTCTGCCTCCAGGGAAGGTGGTGGTATGGCTCGCGTTCGAGGGACACTCGTATGGGAGGATGTAGCTGAACGCCAATAGTCATGCATTCGCTCAGTTCGTCGTGGATCCACTAGGGATGTCAAGTGTATACGGTCTTGGGGAAGGGCATTGAGGAGCTCAGTAATGTGGGACGGCACAGGCTCACTGGGCATCCCTGCGGCGGAAGAGCGTCGATTTAGGTCGCCTTGGGTGTAGAAGTGCACGCTGCTCGGCAATGTAGACGCAATCAGCTCAGCTGATGTACATGATTGAGACAAACGATGGCCTAGCCCCTCCGATGGAGGCATGGATGTGGGAGACGATGTGGCTCCCGAGACATCCCCTTCAGAGTCTTCATCGGAAGGAGGCCAGCATCGCTTCATTATGACAGTGCCAACAATGTAGCCTGCGATCGAGAGCAGGAAAGAATTCTGGTACGTCGGCACCCCCTTAGAAGCAAACCCTGAGCGGGTAAGGTAACAGTGTGCGCTCTCTTACCAGCCGTGGAATTCTCCGAGCCGTGGTGCAGCAGCGGCTGCGAGGTCAGCGCCGGCGGCTAATTGACCTCCACATGCGCGCATAATGTCACAAAAGGACGTACCTGGGGGCGGTAGCAAGCTGCCGATCGATGCGACGAAAGTACAAAGATGCATGTATGTCCAATCACATGTCAATGGGCCGTGCCCAGACCTGATGCAGCATATCGTGAAAAGCCTGACCTTCTCCGCACACGGACGGCGTCCGCTGACGCACAGTCGTAGTATGGGACGCCCTCCCTCTGTTCTTAGGTTTCATTCTACGCATCACTACAGTTTTGATACAGGCTTGCCATGGTGTGTCTTGGCAATGGATGGCATCGTAGTCTCATCATAGTCCTTCTCATCGTCGCCCGACCAGGTCGTCTGTGACTCGGGCCGCTCCATCTCCGCTGGTAGCTTGACGGTACGAAGTGGCGAGAGGCGCCACTGCAGCTCTTTCAGCTGCTTCCCGATAGGACGCCATGCAGCAAAGTCTTGCAGTACAAGGCGGATATCTTTGGAGAAGAAGTGCTGGATCACATTGTCTTCTAACAGACCACGCATACTCCATGGCAGCTCGTACGAGTTCCATCGCTGCGGCGCATAGGGCATCGTCACCAGAGGAATCTCTGACGCACCGGATGTGCGTGGTGAGTATGTCTCAAATAGGTAGCGCGCTGCGAGATCGTACACGGCCGGCTCATCATACAGCACGGTGTGGCCAAGGCCGGAATACAGAGAGCCGGCCACAGACGAGCTCAAAAGTGTAAGGAGATTGTGGTCATGGAAGCCGGCATTGCGGATAGCCACACACAGCACAATGAGCATGATCAAAAAGTCTTTTTTCGGGAACGCAACGCCATCGACAAACACAGCGCGAAGGATCGAGGGGTGAGCTGCAGACGAGTACAGTGCGCTGAAGAGCGGTACGACATTGTCGTCCATCGAGCCCACATGAACGACCTTGGCGCCCGCCGAAAGAATGTAACGGTACGCTGACTGCAACTTCTGCGAAACCTCTGAGTCCGAGTTCTGGAAATCAAAGAGCTCGCGCGCAGCCGACGTCTCGAAGTAGTTGATATACTGCGTAGCGATGGTTCCCTTCAAGTGGGCAAACGGACCCTGGAAGATACCGCACATGGTGAGAAGACACATGCGTGTACGCTTTACATGCAAAATACCCTCCTGTAGCCTGGATACGTTAGTCGCGCATACACATACAGCTTCGACAGCAAAAGAGTCGCAACAGGGGCGCCTTGGCTATGGGCCGCGACAAACACAGCATCGGCGTGGTGCAGCGCATCGACCCACTCGGCATTCGCTTGAATGGCATGGAAGGCATGATCAGCACGGTCCTGCACACGCCCGTCGTGCTGGATAGCAATGGTCGTAATCGCCTCGTCGTCCAGCTCGACATCTACATCAGCAAATTGACGGCGGATGGAGTCGGCCATCATCGACGCAAAGCGTATGGACGTGCCGATGGGAGCACCGATCACATTCTTGAGCAGGCTCTGTGCGTACCAACCATGCACACCGAGAACGACAATCCGCTTCGATTGGCGGTACCCGCGCATATGGCCAAAGCGCGTATCGCCCAGCAGATGGTACGAGCGAGGCATAGCCTGCTCATGCAGAGCATGCAGGTGCGGTACGGAGGCACCACTTTCCGACTGCGGAGGCAGCTCGCGTGTGATTTCATACGGGCTTTGGAACATGCTGCTAATGGCATTCACAGCACGACCCATGAGGCCCTGACGTGCTGGCCATACACGCGGAGGCCGCTCAAACGTGTCCTCAAACGTAGGAAGCACTAGGCTCTGCGCACGTGGTGTAGTGTGTGGCAGCGCCGGCTCCATAGGCGGGGCGGAGACAGCAGAATCAGGCTGGGCTGTAGAAGGACCTGCCATGGTGTCAAGCATGGGTGGCCGGTGTGGAGTGATGGAGGATCGCCGCTTCACTCCACCCCTCACCGGAGGGCGCCGCCGGGCTTGTCTGCACGCACCCCCTGCTGGCTCCCAATGACGTCACGTGGAATGCTACGCACAGATCCACATGGTACGGGCGACGAAGCTATGGAGACTATGGCTACACCCAAACGTTGTCCTGCAGCTCTGGCCCCACACCGATGGCATGCGCCTTGAAGCCAATCGCACGAAGCTGTGCGAGATCAACGACGCGACGACCATCAAATACCACGGCCGGCTTACGCATGACATTGTACACGAGAGACCAGTCGATCTCTTTGAATTCATCCCAGTCCGTTGCGATCACCACAGCCTCGGCGCCATAGCACGCATCAAGAGCAGAGGGGCACACGGTGATGTGCTCCTCCAGCGCCCGGCGGTCATCCACAACGCCAGGCTCTGACATGTCCAAGTAGATCTGCTCGCGCTTCACTTTCGGGTCATAGATGGCGATGTGTGCACCCTCTTCGCGGAAGTGCTTGCACAAGGTAATGGCAGGCGACTCACGCGTATCGCCCGTATCTTTTTTTGAACGCAAAGCCAAGAATGGCCAGGCGCTTGGTCGTCACAGTGTTGAACAGCGTTTGCACGACCTTTTTCGCGAAGCGGGACTTGGAGTACTCGTTCATCGTAATGACTTGGCGCCAGTACTCGGCCACTTGCGGAAGACCGAGACTCTCACTGAGGTACGACAAGTTGAGGATATCCTTTTGGAAGCAGCTACCGCCGAAACCAACGCTGGCACGTAGGAAGTGCGGGCCAATGCGTCGGTCCAAGCCGCACGCATGCGCAACCTCGTCAACATTGGCCCCTGTAGCCTCACAGATGGCCGAGATGGCATTGATCGAAGAAATGCGCTGTGCAAGCAAGGCATTGGCTGCGAGCTTGCTCAGCTCGCTGCTCCACAGACCAGTGTGCAGAATGCGCTCCTTAGGCACCCAGTGCTGGTATAAATCACTCAGAAGGTCAGCAGCATGACGGCCGTGCGGCGTGTCGAGGCTGCCGATCAGCACACGGTCAGGGTACAACAGGTCCTGGATCGCAGTGCCTTCAGAGAGGAACTCAGGGTTCGACAAAATTTGGAATTCCACGTCAGACTTGCTGTTGGACTCCAAAATGGCGCGCATAGAGGCAGCTGTGCGGCATGGCACAGTCGATTTCTCGACAATGATTTTCGACGATTTGGCGACGCTGGCAATGCGACGAGTAGACGCTTCGACATAGCTGCTGAGTTAGGTAAGGTGCATACATACCGTAGATCCGCTGCATATCCGCTGCCTACACCCGACGTTTTCGTGGGCGTGTTGACGCTGACAAACACGATCTGTGCCTCTTCAATCGCACCATCAATGTCGGTCGTGAAAAACAGATTGCGACCGCGGCACTCGCCGACGACATCAGCCAGGCCGGGTTCGAACACTGGAAGCTGCGTGAGATCTTCCGAGTTCCATGCAGCAATGCGCTGTGGGTTGACGTCAACAATTGTGACCTTGATCTCGGGGCATTGCTGGGCGATGATGGAGCAAGTAGGTCCACCGACGTACCCAGCGCCGATGCAGCAAATAGAGGTAATCTTTTCAGGGACCATGGAAAGTAAGGGGGGCTGTGCTTGAGAAGCACAGCTTCGCAGTTGTGCAAAAGATGGACGAAAGTGGTTTCGTTCCAAAGGAAACCAGTCCGTGTACACTTACAGCACACTAGAGCACGGGTGCGTGCCTCTGTACATGCCCCATACGTCTCGCGGGGGAGGGCGCACGTGGCATGCTCCGTGCGCACCTCGCACGTGCACGCCCTCTACCGAAAACCAAGGGGCCGCGCGCGCGTCGCCCCGGGGGTTGCCGAGGCATGGAGGACGCGTCATGGCACCGCGTCGAGACGCTGGTCGCACCAGAGGGTGAGGGCTGGACTCTGGAGGAAGACACAAGTGAATTGATTGTGCTGGATCTGTCACAAACAGCGAATACGTCCCATGTCGATTTGACGCTAGCGCCTGGGACAGATGTGACGTTGTCGGTATGTATAGCAGTAGGAGGGGCCTATTAATGCGCTCTAGGGTATGGATACACGCGCACCGATCCTCAAAGTGGGCGATACGGTCATGCTGGGCCAATGGGATGACATGATTGGCAGCGAAATTGTGCTAGCGTCGCCGGCGCCTACGCCAACCAGCGACGGTAGCAGCGCCTCTGCGCCAAGTCGGCTTGGCCCTATTGCGCCAGGCACAGGTGAAGAGCCAACCGGGGCGAGTAGCACAAGCACACGTCGCGTAGCGTTTGCTCCGGCGCGACCTCGTGCAGAGACAGAAAGCGGTGAGCATGTCACTACGCTGTTGGCTGCAGATTTGGCCGCAAGTATTGATGAAGAGGATATGCCACTGTCTACCAAGCCCGTCTGGGCGTCCTAGCTTGTATAGTAGAGTTTCTTGAAATGTATATTATAAGGCACTGACCAGTGCTTGCGGTCTGTACGAAAACGGCCGCTTTTACGGCAGTGGTCTATGTGGAGGAAGTAAAAAGATCCCTGTCTCGCGACGACAACGATGACTACGCCGCCCACTGGGCCAGGCGCTGACCAGGATGACCTGCACATTCGCGGGTGTGCCAAACGAAAAGCAGCCGCAGCCGCACCACCGCAGGAGGAGGTAGAGACTCCTCGCTGGCCTCCCACCACCATACCTGCCCACCTTCGACCGCCACCACGTGCGTATGATCAAGAGGCGGAATGGGGCTTGGGCACGGAAGTGCACACAGGTGTGGACGCCGAGCTAGCGTGCAAACTCGCCCATTTTCACGAGCTAAAACAGAAGGGCAAGCACTTCAATGCCACGCTCGCTCGGAACCGCGCCTTTCACAATCCTCACATCTATACCAAACTGGTGGAATGGGCGGAGCTGGACGAACATGCGAGCAACTATGTGCCTATTGCCAGGGCACAAGGCGAGGTACCCTCCTGGGGTGTGACTGATCCTGATGTCCTCCAACATGGCAAAGCATCCAAACTAGGTATGTGGGCCTACCGTACTGACCCAGCAGCCGAGCAGCAAAAGGTGTTCACGGAGCAGAAGTTGTCGTCCCGATCGCATGTCGAATTTCGGCGTGGTCGCTAAGTGAAACTATGTAGCAGGATCCCTATACTGGAACTGCAACAGCTTCATACTTCCGCTGCTGGGCGTAGTAGCATCCGTACGAAGAGGGGTATCTGACATGGCCCTTCGCTTGGCGTACGTGCCTGGCGTACCAGGTGTCTCTGGCACAGCACGTTTCCCGAGAGGCAAGCGAGGCGGCGTAGGGCGTGGGTCCGTGGACGGAGATGGGGATGGCGATGTGCCTGGCAACACAACGTGCCGTGCTCGTGCGCCAGAGAATCGGAAACGCTGGAACCATGCAGCACGGCGGGCCATATCGTCGTTGTCACTGGCCTCTTCGCCGCTGGCAGAGTACGCGGCAGCGGACGTTGTCCACGTCAAGCCGGGAGTCACAGGCGCCGATGGTGTTCGACGTACACAGGGCGTGCTGGTCAGCGGCGGCTTACGTGGTGGCGAGGCGACCGGCGACGATGTAGGGCTGGAAATGCCTGCATCGACATCGCTATGACGAGCACACAGGGGCGACGAGAGCGGCGAGGGTGGCGACGATGGTTTGGTATGGGCTGCCTCGTCTTCGTCAATGCCTGACACAGGCGATGTGCACGGCGTGCTTTCTCTCTTTTCGACGGTGGTATCAAAGAGCGACTCGGCTGTACTGCAAGACGACTCTGTTTCTTGAAGTCCACGAGGCACAGGGGTGACTACAGCGGTCGTAATTGTTGTCGAACGTGGCACCGAGGGCGTGCGTCGGAAAAAGGCATTGAGCGTAGGCTGGGCTGCGCGTGGCTGCGATGGCGTGGCCAACGTGGGGGCTTGCCATGACGCTGCAGAGGCAGCAAAAGGACGTTGTGTGATGGGACACCATTCGCCATGCGCAATGGCGCGGGCCTGGTCCCAAGTCAGCGGCGCGCCAATGTATGCGATGTGTTCCTTTGCCGCCTCGCTGGGCAAGGGCGTGAGAGTCGTCATACTCCCCTCCCCTCGCGGATCCCACACACGCTGATGTGCGAAGGTAAACTCAGCCCGCTCAAAGTCTTCGGCATAGCTGGGCGGCACAGTCATTTTACCTTCGAGACGCAGGGCTCGTAGCACCTGATGAATAGAGTCGTACTTGCGCAGCAATCGGTGTGCATTTTTGAGGCCCATTCCGACGATCGAGGGAAGGTAGTCACAGCCCGACAAGATGGCCATTTGCCGGAACGCCTTGTCTGTCCACCCAGCCAAGTTGATTTGCTTCGCCGCAGCAAACCGATCGCGATGAATCTCGACACAATGGCCATAGGTGTCCAACTTAAACAGCACCGTTTTGCATCCAAAGACCAACAGATCAGAGTCCTCTGTGATAATGCCGTCAATGAGGCCTTCCTGTTCCAAGTACGCCAACTGCGCGTCTGCTTCATATGGCGCGACAATGTACGAAATGCCATGGGCCTTGAGCTGTTTGATCAGCTCATACGCCATCTGAGGCGTCACATCCACGCTTCGTACAAACGCCTCACGCGCCGCTGCATTTTGGTGCTTCGCATGCAGCTCCATACCCCGAGCGCGATGATCCTTCCGACGTCTATGCGTTAGTAAGAAAATTACGTACGCTGCGCGTTCCGCCTCCGTGCCCGCCTTGCTGGGCAAGTGGCCGCCGTCAAAAACCACATAGGGACGCACTCCGTAGTGTTGCAGCATTTTTATGCGATGCATCGCATAAGTGATATAACTAGTCATCAGCGTGCGTACTTCATACGTACCGTGTTGTAGGTTTTCCTAGTGCCAACTCCGTAGCGCACGCATACGCGCCACGATGCAGCCACACATATGCATCAATGCCGAGCGTTTTGCCGCGATACGCTTCGACATGCGAATCGCGCTGGATATCTTTCAGCAAGGGCAGGAGTCCGGCAATTCCCATAGCCCTAGGCAGCTCGTTCTAGCCAAGTACGCTGTCGGTAGTATGACTGGCTTGGTCCTCTAATGCACTTCGAGGTAAGAGTGTACGGTACGTGCGTGAGGCACGCGAACGCGCGGCGAAGCGCGCCGCCGTACGCGCGCGCGGCTTCACGCCCATCACGTGACATCGTCGAAGAGCGAGGGGAGTCGCTAGCGCCGTCGACGGCGGCGAACGACAAGGGGCTACGACGTGACGACGTGGATTTGTCACTATGAAGCTTGTTCGGTATGTAAAGTCGGCGTGTGTGCCGATATAGAGAGAAGAAGGTGCTAACACAAGCCAGGTTTTTGATGAAGCTCAACAATGAGAGCGTGACCATTGAACTGAAGAATGGCACGATCGTCCACGGCACTGTGACAGGTGTGGACGTACAGATGAACACACACTTAAAAGCCGTCAAAATGACGGTCCGCGGTGGTGAGCCGATTTCTTTGGATACCTTGTCGATCCGTGGCAACAACACGCGATACTGGATCCTGCCTGATGCGCTGCCTCTGGATACTCTGCTTGTCGACGATGCGCCGCGGCCGAAGGGCAAGCGGAAGGACGAAGCATCGACGCGCGGACGTGCAGACCGTGGGCGCGGTGCGCGTGGTGGGCGTGGCGGCCGTGGGCGTGGACGTGGCCGGCCGTAAGCCTGGTCGACTTGTATCTGCCCCCATGCGCAGAGGTCCACGTGCTGTCTTGTCTACATGCTATGGCAGATATACTATCATGCGCCATGTCGAGCCGACGGCATGCTGCTGCTTGGCCCTCTTTCCTTTTTTTTTTTCTGCGCTGCCAGGCTCTCTTGTCGATGTTTTTACGCTCGTAGCCGCACCTACCTCCTATGCAGGATCCAAGGTGTACGGCTGTATACCGCCCACGTCTGGCACCTACCCTGTCTTGTAGCCTTCTATACTGGACTGTAGCCTTCTGTGTACCATGCGTTGTAGCCTTCGTGCCGCTCGCGTCTGTTCGTTCGCTTGGACGCTCGGCAGCGCTCGGCGTGCAGGTATGGGAAGTAAGCCTTTCTTACCGGCCGACTGCCTGCTTTTTTTTTGCAGCGCTCTCGCACAGGCGCTGAACCGACTCCCACCCCACAGACGGACGAAATGAGCAACACGCTGGCCGACATCAAGGTGTTTTGCGGTAGGTACATTGTGTGTGCTTATATCTAGGAACGAGTCACCCTGAGCTCGCGCAGCTTGTGTGCAAGCGGTATGTATAGCGTCCCTGCCATCTAACCACGATGCAGACTGGGTCTCCCGCTGGGCAAAGCGAGTATCTCGAAGAACGATGCGGGCGAGTTGGTGGTCCGTATGCACGAGTCTGTGCGTGAGCACGATGTGTACATTCTGAACACGTCGTGTGTGACGTACGACAATGACGGCAACCCTGTGAGCCCCAACACGTCGCTCATGGAGCTGCTGATTATGATCAATGCGTGCAAGTCGGCGAGTGCTCGTCGTGTCACGGCTGTGATCCCGCACTTTTTCTATGCGCGCCAGGACAAGAAGGACAAGAGCCGTGCGCCCATTACGGCGCGGCTGATTGCCAACATGCTGGAGACGGCGGGCTGCGACCATGTGATTACTATGGACCTGCATGCATCGCAAATCCAGGGCTTCTTCAATGTGCCTGTCGACAATCTGTACTCGGAGCCTGCGGCACTGCAGTACATGCGTGAGATGCTTGACATGGATCGCATTGTGATTGTCTCGCCGGATGCCGGTGGTGCGAAGCGAGCGACGGCTATTGCGGATCAGCTGGGTGTGGACTTTGCGCTGTTCCACAAGGAACGCAAGAAGGCGAACGAAGTCTCGCGTATGGTGCTTGTGGGTGATGCAAAGGACAAGGTGGCGGTGCTTGTGGACGATATGGCCGACACCTGTGGCACTCTTGATCTCGCTGCGCAGCGGCTCAAGGAGAGCGGGGCGGCTCGCGTCTTTGCGATTGTCACGCACGGTATTCTCTCGAAGCCTGCACTGGAGCGCATTGGCAAGAGCAGCCTGGAGAAGCTGATTGTGACGAACACGCTGCCGCAGCTGGCGAACCGCTCCAAGTGCGAGAAGATCGAAGAGATCGATATCAGCCACATTCTGGCCGAGACGATTCGTCGTTCGCACTACGGCGAGAGTGTCTCTGTGCTCTTCTCTCAGATCCCTTACGACACGATCCAGCCGTATCGTCATGGCTCCGATACGCCGATGCAGAGCCCTCCGCGCTCTGCGACGACGACGCCTGTGCAGCAGACACCCGGCACGTTCCCTGCCTTTTCGACATCGACCGAGCATGGCGTCGTAGCGCCGAGCCCGCTGCGTCAAGTATCGACGAGCGAGGATGCATAGTTTGTATAAACAGAGATTTTTCTTCCGAAGTAGAGGGCGTTCTATAGGTGGCATGCGTTACGACGTCAACGGCGCTTCGTCTTGGGCGTCTGTGCGTCCGAAGCGCACATGCAAAGGAGGGAGCGGCGGCACACGCCGGAACGAGTCAGCCCGGCGTCGTGGGCGCGTGGGCGGCACATCGTTGCCCGAGTACGCACGCCGTGGGTTCTGTGTGACGGCATGGATCAGTCGCTTCCATCGTAGTCGTGCAGTCTTGTTGGGCTTCGGGAGATTCACGTCTCCTTCGTTGCGTTGGTCCACTGAGGGGCCAAGCAATCCATTGAACAGCTCGTCGATCAACGCTTCCGAGTTCATACGGCAGTACGCATGGCGTGGCTGCGATGCATCGTTGGACAAAGCATGCGCTAGCGAGCCACCACCGCGCATCGCGCCAGGCTCGTGCGACTGCCTGGGCTTGAGGTGAGCCGATGGGACGACCGTCGAGTGAAACAGCAGGGGAAGGGGCAGCTTGAAATGCCATTCCAAGCCCATACCCAATTGGTGGTCTTTGTTGATGGGCAACGGCGTAGGGGACGACGCCTGCCCCTCCTCGTCCTGGCTACGCCGTTGCATGAGCGCCGACGAGTGTGCATTCTTCTCCGACTGGCTAAGCGACGCGGGGGCGACAATGCCTTTGTGAATCGGTGGCACGCGGTACATATGTGTCGTGTCGATCAACTTCATTTCAATGGTCATACGCAGCAAGGCATTGCACGAGCAGTGGTCCAGCATGTACTGCCGCGACTCGGAGCGTGTCATGGGCGTGGAAGCGGATACAATAGGCGCATACTCTGCCAAGTCCAATGTCAACGTCCCGAATCGCGCATGCTCAGTGGTGCCGTTGGGCAAGGTATACTGCCGCGTGATCTGTAGTCGCATGGTCGAGGAGCGGAGACGTCCTGCTCCTGCATCTTGGCGCATACTGCGCACACTCTCGGTATCTTTTCCACCGGCGTCCGCTAAGGACTCGGATGGCTGCCGCCCAATACGAATCCGTACGATCGAATGCACAGCTTCGTCCCACTTGACAGCATAATTTTCCACAGGGACGTTCGGCGACTTGCCGTGGACCGGCCGATGCGGCACTAGCGATGCGGTAGACGTCGGAGTGGACGAACCTGACGATGATGGCAAGGCCCGTGCATGGGGCCGCCGTTTCGCAGACACACTCGGTGCTGGTGCGGGCGTCTCCTCGTGGACATTCGTATCGATGCGCAGCTTATCGAGGGACAACGTGGACTGATTCGGGCTGACGACCAATTCGTCGCCAAAAAACAGCCGTGTTCCCGACTCAGGCGACGTTGGGATGGAGGTAGACGATTTCGTAGACGGGCCCGTGTGCGAGCGATGCCGTGTGCTAGGCTCTGCCGTGTGCACAGGCTCCGTGCCGTTTTCCCCTTCTATACATTGTAGGTGCAGTGGATCGACGGTCGGCATGGGATCCGGCGCGTCAACGTGCAAGAGATGGTCTACCACCGGCTCAGGCGGTGCTGGGTTTGGCTGCTCTGTCTTTTTCGAACCGGCCATCACTTTGTCTATCAAGACATCCCAATTGGATATGTGGTTCTCGGAGCCAGGTACAGGTTCAGAGTCCGCCGTTCGTGTGGGCATTGTCGGAGAGGCTAGCGTGATGCTGGGCGCGTGGTCATTCTCGCCATGCAGCTCGACAGGCGCACTCAGAATTTGGTCCGTGGATGCAGATGAGAGAGTGTTGGTCCTTGTCCTTGTCTTCTCTCCCTCGCCATCGCTATGTTGTTCCTGCACAGACTCAAGCGCTCCATTCGCTCGTCGCTGGCCAGGGACCGAATGCTTTATGAGCCATGACACGCCAAATTCGCCATCGAGATACGGCACATTGAGCAGCTCATGGAACGTGATGGTAGTCTCAAAGTGGGCATACCGATGCGATAAATGTAACTGCCCCAAGATCGCACGGCGCGCCATCTCCCCCACAGTGACGTCGTCGTAGCCGGGATGAGGGTCGGACATCCGCCCCCACCTCTGCCATGGACACAGATCGGGCCTGGCCGATCGAGGGGCGGCGCCCCCACCACCTCCACACGTTTCGCCTTGGAGCTCTTTCTACCAAATCATACAACTGAGATTGACAACTACTCTTTTTCTTCGAGCACCACCGATTTTCGGGCAGCTTTGGGTTTCTTGGTACCACTCTGACGGTGAGTAATAATGTACGAACCTTGGTATGCTTTCGTCGGCGTTCTTCCTTGACGCGCCGAGCCTCGAGCATCGTATGCTGCAGCTTCTGTGCAGATCGGATCGGTTTGGGCACATGACGTTGACGCTCAATCTTCGCCACATCACCCACACTGTTCCAGCGCCGACGCAGGGCCTGTGCATACTCACGACTTGCCCGCTCACGCGCTGATACAATCCCAAGCTTATCGCTCGCGCTATGCTTCCACAGGCGCACATTGCCATCGTCCGAGCCACTCAGCACAAATCGCGCATCCAGCGTATAGGCCACAGAGAACACCTTTTGCATGCGCTTCGTATGGTACACATCGCGAGATCGTGCGCCCTTGCCGACGTCCCACAAACGCACGGTTCGGTCGTACGAGCCCGTCACAAGGCCCTGCCCCGTCGGAGCCCAATCCACCGACATCACCGCACCGACGTGGCCCTTGTAAATCTGCGTTGCAGATGACAGATTCCGCATGCTATTCGTTAGTAGAGCTCATACATACTCAAATGTATACATGTTGTGGTCTTCACTGGCCACCGCAAACGTCGTGGGCTCCATGGGCGACCACGCAATGTCGTTCGCGCGCATGGTCAGAACGACTTTGTGCAGTGGTTTGCCACTGCGGACATCGTACAGCGTAATGCCACGGTCTGTACCCGCACTGGCGAGCACATCCGTCTCACTCTGATTGTACCGCACCACATGCACAGCATCAATTCCCATCTGCATCGTAACAAGGGCATCAGAGCCACCGCCACGGTTCATGTCCCAAATTTGCACAGTGCTTGACGCCGATGCAAAACGCGGCAAATGCGCATGGTGCGATAAGGAATTGAACGCCGTTTTGCCTTGGTACACGGTCAACGGCTCACTTGGCGCCTGCTCGTGCGGCTGCAAGCTAAAGAGCGCCGCATCATGGGCACCTGACACTTCATCGTCCTCGTCCTCATCGTCACTTTCTTTGTACTCGGCAAACTCGCCATGCCCTGCAGGCACAGGGTCTGCATTCCACATCTTGATCGTGCGGTCCGTCGAGCAGGAAAGCATGCGCTTCGATGCCGTGCCGTTCGAGAATGAAAGAGGCGAAATGCAGAGAGACTGAATGATGCCTGCATGCGCGCGTGGGTATGTGTACAGGCAGCGCTGGTGATTCAAGTCCCACAGCTTGATCTCGCCATCGCCACTACCACTGGCCATAATGTCCAGACGCTTTGGATGGCGTGCTAGTGCGTACACCCCATCGATATGCCCTTCTAGAGCTGCCACAAATGGCTTCGCAAACAAGCGATCCAACTTGGCGGCGTTCAGTGCTCGTGTATACTCTCGTGGCTTTTCAAACGGATGCATATGCGGATCCAGATTTCGCTGGACGGGCGCTGCATCGCCAAGACGAGCAGGCGCATGATTATCCAACGATCGTGTCAACGCCTTGATTTTCTGGTGTGAGTAGGGCAGAGACTACGTACCATCGTAGGCGCCTGCGGTCTGTGGGATCTTGGACACACGCTGCTGTGGTCCACTTTTTTTTGGAGGATGGCCGACGTCGCGTGGCGTTTAGTCAGACGCCGCGCACGCACGCACGCCCGGCCAGGGGAGGGCGACACAAGCAACACAACACAATCCCATCCGCCGCACGCGTGATTGCTCGGTGCTTGGGAGAGCAAGGTATGGCATCGGTCATTGAGATGCCAGGTGACGCTGTGGCAGCGACAGCCTCAGGACACAAGTATAGGTATGTATCACACGCCGTCTGACCGGGTACAGTGTGATTCTGCCCACGTACAATGAGCGACACAACCTCCCGATCATTGTGTTCTTGTTGTGCCGCATGTTCCAGGAGCAGGGCCTAAACTATGAGATTATTATTGTGGATGACAACTCGCCGGATGGCACGCAAACGATCGCGCGTCAGCTTGCTGCGCTGTACGGTCCTGACCATATTGTTCTGCGTCCCCGCGCTGGCAAACTGGGTCTTGGGTACGTATATACAGAGACTTTACGGTACGAGCGTATCACAGTACGGCCTATATCCACGGCCTGGAGTCGTGCACGGGCGATTTCGTGATCATTATGGATGCTGACTTCTCGCATCACCCCAAGTTTATCCCTCAGATGATCGCAAAGCAGATCAAGAGCAATGCGGATATTGTGCAGGGCACACGCTACTCGGGCCCGGCTACGGGGGCGGGCGTCTACGGCTGGGACTTGAAGCGCAAGCTGGTAAGCCGTGGTGCCAATGTTCTCGCTACGTTTGTTCTCGACCCACGTACCACCGATGTCACGGGTAGTTTCCGCCTGTACAAACGCTCGGTCATTCAGCAGCTCATTAGCCAGGTGACGTCCAAGGGCTACGTGTTCCAGATGGAAATCCTTGTGCGTGCCAAGGCCATGGGCTACTCCGTGGAAGAAGTACCGATCACCTTCTGCGACCGTCTCTACGGTGAAAGCAAACTGGGCGGCGACGAAATTGTCGGCTACGCCAAGGGCGTGTGGCAGCTGTTTGTGGGCATTTAAATAATCACACCTTTCTAGCATGGATAGAACTACCAAGGCTATTACTTGTTGTACTGGTAGAAGCCACCCTTCTCCGGGGTCTTGCGACCGAGCTTGCCCTCCTGGATCAGCTTGGCGAGCATCGGCGACTCGGTCACCAGGTCCGCTGGCATGTGCTCCGAACCAGCGCACGTCTCGCGCCAGCCCTTGGCAATGTGCTCCAGCGTGTCGAGACCCACAAGATCGCCGAGCTCGAATGGACCCATGGGGTAGCCAGCGCCCAGCTTCATGGCCGTGTCCACATCCTCCGGCGACGCGACGCCACGCTCCACCAGACGGATGGCCTCCAGCTGGTAGGGCACCAGGAGACGGTTCACAATGAAGCCTGGCGAGTCAATGCACGACACAGGCACCTTGCCCATGCGCTTGGCCACCTCGACAAGCGACTTGTGCGTGTCGTCGTTGGTGTCCTTCGTGCGCACAATCTCAATGAGCTTCATCTGAGGCACAGGGTTGAACGCGTGGAAACCACCGAAGAGCTGCGGGCGCTTGGTCGAGCTAGCGACCTCCGTGATGCTCAGCGACGAGGTGTTGCTCGCAAAGATAGCATCCTCCGGCGCCTTGGTGTCCAGGAAACTGAAGAGCTCCTGCTTGATCTTCATGTTCTCAATGATCGCCTCGATCACAAGGTCCGAGGACTCGACAGCCTTCGAGGCATCCGTGGTCACGTTGATGGAGTCCACCACACCCTTCACAAACTGCTGCTGCTCCTCCGGCGACTTGTCCGCCATCTTCTTCTTGGCAATGCGAGAGAGTGACTTGGAGATGATCGACTGACCATTCGCTAGGGCCTTGTCGGTGACATCAGCCAGCGTCACATTGTACTGGCCAACGTGGGCAAGCACCTGGGCAATACCAGCACCCATAAGACCGGCACCGAAGCTGTACACTTGTTAGATCTTGACTCTCTCGCTCATACATACACCGTGACGTTCTTCACATCCTTCTGCGCCGCCATCTGCATTGTCAGCTTACCGACCAAGTACAGCCATACATACCGAAGTGGAAAACGAACGCGAGCCGACAGCGCGGCCGGCCATAAGAGTACGGGCACCAGCAGTAGCAAACATCGACATATTGACAGGGAGAGTAGAAACACCGCTTCCTCTCGCCCCGCATTGTACATCGTACCGGTCCGACCTTCCCCGTTGTCGGCCGAGGCGTATCGACATGGCTCGTGCGCACTTGTCGTAACTGAACTACATTGCCATCTACACAGGGACATTCCAGCGCCACCGGTCTTCCTGGTAGCCAGCAACCGTGTCTGTCAACAAAATCTGGTTGTGTTAGTACAAAGCATGAGAGATATATACATACCTCTCGGCGCTTTTGCACATAGGCTGTCACTGCGCTGAGTTAGTCCTGTCTGCCTCTCACTGCCACGTACAATCTGTCACCTTTTGCCGCATCGCCGGAATAGTCTCTCGTTCAATAGGTGACTCGAGCTGTCCAGAGAGCTCTTCTACTGCTCGTTCCAGATCCCTGGGAAAACGTCAGATTTATGCCGAGCCAAATACGTACCGCTGGTTATCCTCGAAGAGCTCGGTCATATTGTTTCGTTCCAAATAGTATACCATACAATAGGTCCACTTCAACGTCATACGGCACTCCGTCAACGTATCAGCAGCCTTTTTGAGGAACTGCACCTCAATCCACGTGAGATCAGACGTATGCTGGAGCTCCTCCATTTTCTTCTCAATCCGTCGGTACAGCTGCTGATCCAGACGCGCAGACTGTTCATGGTTTGCATACCGGTTAAAGTAGTGCAAGTACCGTTCCAAGGAGGCGCGACTCTTGGCCTGCGCATCCCGTGCGTCGGCACCCGATTTCTCATCATATCTGTTGCATTGGTACCAGTTGTTACCGTGCTCCGTCCATGGGCCTGAACAGATCCAGCAGAATTCATATTTACACTTTCGGCACGTCATATGATTGCAGCCACCATTCTTCTCAATAGTGGATACACATTTGGGGCATTCTTTGGTATTGGCACTGATCCAGTTGGCTGTTTCACTGTCGTCTTCACATTTTTTGAGCCATAACCGCACAATAGAGCAGATGACAGGTTGATGAGCCGCCAGCCCACACCCAAAACAGAACCAGTGGCCACAGTCACATTGGACAGACGGAACCACTGTATTGAGCTGCTTCTTTGTCACAGCGCACTCCACCGCTAGCTCACATCCAGGGGCAGGACACCACCGCAAACCGTTGTTGTCGTCCACATAGGTACGATCCAACAGTAGTCGGTACCGCTCGAAATCGTCAGGAGATAGAAGTTTAGACATGGTATCTTCATCAATAATCAGTTTGCATCCCTCATTCATGCACTGAATGCGGCGACTCTCACCTTCCTCCTTCACTTTCTGCCGGGCATACTGGGTATAACATGCTGTGCAATAGCGATGTCCACAGGGTAATGAAGTTGTAGAAATCTGTCCACCATAGTCTTCTGCCGACATTAAACAGATATCACACACAAAGTCTGCCATATCGGCCATACGTGGACAAGATGGGTTGTCTGACACACCCGCTTCCATCATGGCATGTTCAGGGTCATCCACGTATCTTTCAATAAGTTTTTCTTTATTCCATTGGAAATGGCGCAGCAGAACGGCTGCATCGCCAGGAGGGATCATAAACATGCCCGAGATATGCTCGATCTCTTTGTTTTGTGCCGCCGCAATATCCTTGAGCGAGAGACACTTGAATTCCACTTCGTACGGCTTCTTGCGGATATCTGTCACCGATTGCTCCAGATAAAGCCCATCATCCGAAATGATATCTAGATCATCGGCATCCATATCCTCCTCAGCAAAACTGGCATCAGTCATGTCATAGTCGACGTCGCCCGAGTTCGAGTAGTCGTCCGCCGAGTCATAACCATCATACATCTTACCAGCGCATTAGTCCTCCTTTACCATTTATACGTACAAAGTCGTCCTGTTCTGACATCGCTCTTGCCACGCCGAATAATAGTGCCGCCACCAAAGGCGCAAAGTTTCTCTTCAGATGGGAACGGGCGCCGTGGCAAAATACGCGCCACACTTGCGAGTGCTGCACGCGTCCAGACGACGCGCTGACGTTGTGGAGCAACGCCGATGTTTTAATTCGTAAGCATGACAAGCCCATGCTCGAGGGTCCAACTTGCCATTCTGTACTGCACGTGATCATTATAGTTTTGGCGAGAGAGTCAGTTTCAGTGACGCTTCGTCCTTCGGCGAGCCTCCTAGCGACCACGAAGTTCGGGTACTCACTTTAAGGTATGTGATGAGCGATCGCAGCAGCTTCGTCATCGATGCGTACGTGCACCATATTACACGTACACATGATGCTGATTTGAGTCTTGCTGTGATTTATCCTTGAGTCTCGGTGCTAACATCCTTAGATGCCTACTCACCTCACTAAGACCAGGAAGCACCGTGGCCACGTTTCGGCTGGTCACGGTCGTATCGGCAAGCACCGCAAGCACCCCGGTGGTCGTGGTCTTGCTGGTGGTTTCCACCACCACCGCACCAACTTCGACAGGTACCACCCTGGTTACTTCGGTAAGGTTGGTATGCGTCACTACCACCTGCTGCGCAACCCGCTGCACAAGCCGATCATCAACCTCGACAAGCTCTGGACTCTTGTCCCGACTGACGTGCGCAAGAGCGTGAACGCTCAGTCGACGGAGGTCCCGGTTATTGACACTCTCGCTGCTGGCTACGGCAAGGTTCTCGGCAAGGGTCGTCTCCCTGAGATCCCGGTCATTGTCAAGGCCCGCTGGGTCTCGGCTCTGGCTGAGAAGAAGATCAAGGAGGTTGGTGGCGTTGTCAAGCTGGTTGCGTAAATGCATTTGCGTATCCATGTTTGACTTTCGCGACTAATCGCATACGTACAGTACACTCGTACCCTCTTATGAGGTGTTTGTGTATTTCATATGACCAAAAAGGAACGTAAGATGCCAGGATGTAGACCGGCAAATACAACCCTGTTCTTCTCGATATATTTATGCGTGGTCTATGTAAATAGTGTGTGGTTGCCCGTGAGTTTGGTGCATGACCTCTTTAAGAGTGATGCTACTACGTACGCTTTTGTTGCGTTGTACTCCTGCGGGTCCCATCCCTGCGAGTTCAGAACATAGAGCGCATGTGCGCTAACGGCGCTGGAAGTCTGCTTTGCTTACCTAGGACGACTTTGTTCTTTATTCCAACACGCAGGAGCTCAATTCGGAGAATGAAGTATGACCACATATTTCAAATCTACTACAAACTTGGAGTATATGCCCAGAATCTATAAGAGATTTGGATATAGGGTCAATTTTGGTGCCTAGAGCTGCATTTAGTTCGAGAGAATGGTGATCTCGACATCCACACCCGGCTCAAGAGCAGTCGAAGTGATCTGCTTCACAACCTCGCTAGGGCTGTGCAGGTCGATCAGGCGCTTGTGGATGCGCAGCTCGTAGTGGTCCCAGGTCTTCGAACCCTCACCGCAAGGCGACTTACGGGTGGTGTGCGAGAGAACCTTGGTCGGGAGGCGGACCGGGCCCTTCACGTGGAGCTTCTTGTCCTTCGAGCGGTTGATGAGGTCGCTGCTCATCTTCTCGAGGGCCTTCACGTTACGCGAGGTGAGCGTAATGCGGATCTTGTGCAGCTTCACGGGGGCAGCGGCGGCATCGACTTCCTTGTCCTTGGCGACGTAGCTCATTTTGAATTAGATTGGAACCAGCGGTGACCAAGTGAGGAAAAGAAATGGTACACAGGCGATTGCTCTCTCTTCCCCATCAAAATCACGTGAATTATAATTCACGTGCAGGTGTCGTCCTCAACCCTCGCGTCAATCACCATGCATTGGTAAAAGTGATGTCGCTGTGTCTGTGAGTGGATGACGATCATACGGCCTGGACCATCTGCAAGCACATGTAGTCAAAGCTGTCGTGTGGTTGAGCTGTATGAAGACTATGTAGAAGCTATAACATTGTCTTTCTTGGTACTCTTTTAGTTGCACCTTTCGCTTTGATGTATGCTTGAAGCTGTATATACACTTTGTAGAGCCTCTAATTGTGACAATGAAGGCTAGGTGTTGGCGCAAGCGTATACGATGGTGGGCCCCCATTTTGGCATCGATGGACGAATATCCGGATTTGGATAGACGGGTCTGGTCCCTACGACCAAATGTATGTGGAGGGAATGGACGGCATCGGAGCCTTGCTAGTTTAGACAATCACGGCGTGATACCCGGTTGGCATTGCGAGTAGGTTCCGTGCTACAGCTGTATTGTTTGGTCTCTGTGAAGGATGAAAGAGGGTATGCTAGACCCCGAGGAAACAGAGCCCAGCTCTTCGCTGACGAGGGACGAATCCGACGACAAGCCCACGCAAGTTATGCCGTTCGAATCGGACGAGACGCAGCAAAAGCTAGCGCATATGGATCTGCACGACCCCGAATCCTTTCGAGAGGAAATGGAGAGACTACAAGAAGAGAGAGATGCCTTTGAAGAGCAGTACAATACACTCCTTTCGAAGGTATCGCATATGCGCACCACATTAGGTGAGCGTCTCCAACAGGATGCCGAAGAGTTGGACCGACGTGAACAACAGATTGAAAGATTAACGCTGCAAGTGGGAGAATTGGAAGCACAGTCTGCTACCCTGCAAAGTGAGCTTGTATTAGCGCATGAAGAGTCCAAAAGTTTAACCATGGACATTGAGAAATTGCGATCAGCGCAAGCCAATGCCAAAGATGAGTCCTTGGAAATCCATCGTCTCGAGTCAAAATGTAGAGATCTTCAACAGACTCTGGATACCCAACGTGTTGACATCGAGCGTTGGGAAAATGCTTGTATGGAGGAGCGTTCGTTGAAAAATGAACTCCAGCAACGCTTACAGCGTGCAGAAGATACATTGCATGATGCTGAGGAGCGCAATGCAGAGCTAAACCGAATTTTCATGCAGGAGAAACAGGCTGCTCGGCAGATGCAGCAGGCTCTAGAGGAACTGCAAGAGAGTCAGGATCGTGACCTGCAGCGATCTGTGGGTGACCTGCAGCACCAACTTGATTCTGCCGAATCTGAGTTGGAGAAGTATAAATTACATGTTCATGATATGGATGCAAAGATGGAAGAAGCTACTGAAGCGAAGGGGAAATGTGATAAGCTTGAGCATGAAGTGAAGGAGAAGAACTTGCTGATCGGAAAGCTGCGGCATGAAGCTGTCATCTTGAACGAGCACCTTACCAGCGCGTTGACAAGGCTCCGAAAAACATCGTCGGAGGATCAGGTGGATCGTCGCCTAATGACCAATCTGATGCTGCAATTTTTGACGGCGCCTCGCGCGGATACCAAACGGTTTGAGATTCTGCGTCTTATTGCCTCTGTTCTGCAGTGGGACGATGCGGAGCGTGAAAAGGCCGGTCTGCAGCGTCAGAGTGATCGGTCTCTAGGCTATGGCTTTCTAGGTCTTGGTGGGCTTGTCTCATCGCCCCGAAAATCGATGCAGGCTAGCACATCGAATGCGAATGATGAGTCTGTGTCAAATTTGTTTGTCGAGTTTTTGCTATCGGAAGTGGAGCGAGGCAAAGAAAAGCCAGGTGACGAAGCACGGAGTTCCTCTACGCCCGCTGCGGACGGGGGCAAGGCGTTTGACTTGCACAGTCTTGAGCAGCTGGACCGGGCGGAGCGTGACGCTCCTTCGGACCTTTCGTAGTATTGCGGTGATATAAGCACGTGTTCTATGTACATTCTCTTATTTGCCCAATTTTTTTCTTGTGGATGCACGGCCCCTCTTTCCACAATTCATATACATCGATCCTATTACGACCAGCTGCGACTTTCTCCCCCCATGCGTGGTTTGTTGGTAGTCGTAGCCTTGGCGGCCCTATGTGCAGGGTTCGTGCAGAGTCTGGCCGTGTTTCAGTTCCGAGGCCACAAGTCCATCGACGCAACGATCTATGTATGTGTATCGTGCGACAAGGACTAACACCATGCAGCTCATTCGTCATGGTGAGAAGGTGGACGATGATACGGTCGGGTTGTCCTTGACAGGCAAGCGTCGCGCGCAGTGCATTGCGAGTTTGTTTAGCCAAGGCGACCACAAGGTCGAGTACGTATGGTGTGCATGCTTACCGACAGTGCGATCTTTGCGCAGGATTTCAAGAAGAGCGGCAAGCGTATTCGCCCCTTCGCGACTGTCGAGCCCCTCGGGGAACGGCTTGGTATCGAAGTGCATCACAAGTGTGATCGTGACGATGTAGACTGTGCGGTGGATTCCATCAGCAAAGCTGTGGATGATGGCGCGAAGCGTGTGCTCGTGTGCTGGGAACACGACACGTTGAGCGATATTGCGGACAAGCTGGGTATCAAGGATTTGGAGTACCCTGACGATCGTTTTGATATCGTGTTCCAGCTCCACGATGGCGCTATGCAGCAGATCTACTCGGAGGGCTGCCCAAGTATCGACGTGCAGTACGAAAACTGGGTCGGCACGAAAGACACACGTCCGCCTCTCATTTCGCCCGATAGCTGGGACGATGGGTATGGCAATTAAGGGGGGCTAGCGCGATGATTTTTCTTTTCGCGGAAAAATTTGGCGACCGCTCCAATGCTGGCGCCAAATTTCTCCTGCACATGTACTTGTCCACGAATCCATCCCGGGAGCCGGGCATGGATGTCGTTCCGGGCGTACCGACCATCTAGAAGTAAAAAGACAGCATAATCATTCCGGTGTCGAATCGCCCGGCCCATCGATTGGTTCACAGCGCGCATACACAGGTTTAGGTAGAACTCCCGCCCAGCATCCGCCTCGTGGGACGTAGACTGGGCGCGCATGAAAGCCATGCGCTCCATGAGCTCCGGGCTTTGGGCGTTGGGGAAGGGCAGGCCGACCATTACGACACATCGTGCCAAGTCGTCTTGGAAATTGATGCCCTCCGAGAGCTTGGCGCCTACGACGGCCAGCAAAAGGGCGCCTTTGGGCGACGTGGGGGGCGGATGAGCCACGGCCGCGGCGTAGTCCTGCAGCACTTGATCCACCTCTTTCGCATGCTTTGGCTCCAAAAAGAGTTGCTTTCGTGTAGCCAAGCGATCCAGGGCGCCGGTGGTGCGCCATCGCGCCAGGGTCGTCTCCAAGCTACTGTATGAGGGGAAAAATACGACCATGCCATGGGGTACGATGTTGCAGTAGTTGCTAAGGGCCCCTCCCAGCTCATCTAGCATGTCAGGTCGCCGCCAGCCTTCGTGCGTAAACTCAAATCGTCCTTGCTTCGGCCCTGTCGCGACGATCGCCCCGAGAATATGGTCGGCTGGCACAATGTGGCCGCATGAAAACAGAGTCTGGCGCGCAGGAGGGATATCACGGAAGAGCAACTGCTGAAACTCGGACATCTGCGTGTGAGCCTCGCGATACATACCGGCGCCATCGTGCCGCCCAGCAGGAGGACGGCGCGTGCCTTGTCCAGCAGCGGTTCGAACGCATCGCTAGGATTCAGCAAGAGGTACTGCAGTCGTACAGGTCCATGCGCCGCAGCGCGCACAAGGATACGGCCATGCATCGATTTGGCGCACAGGGCCAGGAGGAACGCTTCCAATGCATGCATCGCCTGCATCTTGCTGCCTGGTGGCCTGGTATCATGCGGATGCGCTTTCTTCCATTGGGACTCCGCAAAGCCACTCATCTAGGGTGAGTCGCATCCTACGTACTCGTTTGGCGATCCGTGTGTCTTTGAGCCAGCGCTCCAGTCGGACAAACTAAGTGTGAGTCAGCGTGTACATACATTCAACTGGTCGACCGTGCTTCCCAGCTGCGTGAGAAACCCGGCTGGCGTCATGGACGCTTGACACGGGCGCGTCTGCTTCTGACAAAAGGCCTGCAAGGCACGTACAAACACTTGCAGGGTGCGCACATGCTCTTCATTCACGCCTTTGAGGCGCATGGAGAAGCGTTGCAGATACATTTCGACATGCGACTTGGCCTGCTCGATCGCGTCCTCATCTAGGTGTGTAGAATAGGTGGACAGGATGGTATCGATCACGTTGTGTGCCTCGTCCAGCACCACAATATTGTCGTCCAACGTAAGAGGTAGCGACTCTCTTGCGTCGCGTTGGAGGACAAGGTGGTACGGCATCGTTACGATATCTGCCTGCCTCGCACTTGTCCGTGCGCCAAAATACGGACAGATGTGCTGCTGTTTCCCCAGCTGCACCAGCTCTTCCATGTCTTGGACGTAGGCCAAGGCATGATCACTGTACGTCGTCCACCGCGCGCGTCCTGCTGCATCGTTCGTAGGCAGGAATCCACATCGTCCGCCTTGCTTCGACTCCATCAATTCCATGCACCGCTCATTCATCGCGTCGATCCCAAACATGTCGCCCACGCGACGCACGCCCGCATGAATGCACATATGCTGCCGACTCCCAACACTAATGCAGCGAACAGGCTCCTTCCTACGCCCAAACTCTGTGCGTCGAAGCTCATGTACAAATTGGGCAATTTGGCTGTGCGTACGACTTGCATACAGCACCTTGGGCTTGGTTTCCGGCACGTCCTCCTCCTTCGAAGAGGCCATGCTAGATTCATACGCTTCCATCATCGCACGTACTTCGGGCGTGAGGAAGGCCTCCGTGGCGTTTCGTGGCTCGCTAGTCGGCGTCGGTGCCTGCTCGTCGTACACGGGTACCAGGAACGCATCGTCGTCCTCCACGCCATCGTCCATACGCGCTCGTTTGGGGGCCGTCGGCCCTGTTGTGCTGCGTTGCCGCTGCGCGTTGTGCGCACGGACGGCGGCCAATCGTTCACGCAGTGCCGCTTCTTGTGCCTCGAGTGCCTGCCGCTGTTTCGCCTCTTCATGCGCCAAGACCCAGTCTGGCTCGTCTGACGTGTCTGTGTTAGCACGCAAGCCCAGCGTGGCTCGTTGTCGGTGCCTATCAAGCCAGGTGAGAGTACTACATAGCAGACTCAGCGTTTTGCCCTAGTATTAGTGAGGTGCATACGTACCGTGCCTGTAGGACTTTCAAATACCCCTACATGGCGCTCCTCTATCGCGCGAAACAAGGCTTGCATCAGATCCAGCTGAATGCTGTACGCTGTGTCATACGGAAATCGAAAGGCTTGGGATTGCGCGTGAGGATCATGGGTGTCGGTGCCTGGCGTGGGCAAGTGAAGTTCCTTGGCTGACTCCATGGGTACGCCCAGCGCGCTGCCTTGCTCGCGGGGGAAGCCGTGCGCGTCGGCACGAGGGGGTGGGGCAACCTGCCAAGGCTTGCCCTGCATCACGGTCCCCCCTCCTTGCTCCTCCCTCCACTTGGCGCGTCCTATGAACTAACGAGGCCGGGGCCTTGGGCCCACATGGGTTGTTAATACCATCTAAATTCCAAAATCATGTATGCATATCAAGGGGTTTTCAATATGGAAGTCTGCTCAGTATCGAAAGTGCACATAGACCGCCTGTACTAAGCCACTCGTGCGCTTTTTGGGTATGGCGTACTGGTCAGGCAGAAGTTAAGAGCGGTGTTGATTTCACTTATTCGACAGTGACACTCTTAGCAAGGTTACGCGGGAAATCAACATCCACACCCGCAGCAGTGGCAAGGTGGTACGACAGCAACTGCAGCGGGACAATCGTCAGCAAACCCTGCAGGCAGTCCACGGTCAGCGGCACACGCAGCGAGCGAGCATCGTCGGGCACGTTCGTGTCGTCATCGTTGCAAATGATGATCGGGTGGCCGTTACGCGCAGACACCTGGCTCAGCGCCGTCTGGACCTTGGGGTACAGCGAGTCCTTTGTCATAACCAGGATCACCGCCATCGACTCGTCAATGAGCGCCAACGGGCCGTGCTTCAGCTCACCGGCCAGGATACCCTCCGAGTGCATGTAGCACACCTCCTTGATCTTCAGAGCACCCTCCAAGCACGTCGCGTGCTGGTAACCTCGGCCCATAATGAGCAGCGACTTCTCCTTCGCAAGTGCATTGTACGCAAGGTCCTGGAACATCTTGTCGTTGCCCAGCACCTTGCGGATCTGCTCGGGAAGCGCATGCAGACCATCAATGATCTCGTGGCGGCGCGCCATCTTCGAGATACGGTCCTCCGACAGCTGCACGGCCATCATGATCAACGCAATGTACTGCGACGTGTATGCCTTGGTCGAGGCCACACCAATCTCCGGACCGGCGTTGATGTGTACACCACAGTGCGTCTCACGCGAGATGGTGCTACCGACCGTGTTCACAATACCCACACACAGCGCACCACGGCCCAAGCAGTAGCGCATGGCCATGATGGTGTCCGCCGTCTCACCGGACTGCGATACGAACACGCACACATCGTCACGGAAGATGGGCGACTTGCGGTCCAAAAAGTCGGACGCCAACTCAATCGACACAGGGATCTCCGTCAGCTCCTCAAAGATCGCACGTGTAGCCAAGCACGAGTGGTAACTAGTACCGCAGGCAATGAACACGATGCGGCGGCAGCGGCGGATCACGTTCAGGTAGGCCATCAGACCACCCAGCTTCACCTGCCTCGTGTCAAAGTTGACGCGACCACGCATAGTGTTGACGACGGACTCGGGCTGCTCGTAGATCTCCTTCTGCATAAAGTGGTCGAACTGGCCCTTCATGATCTCAGCCAGCTCCATCTCAAGCGTCTCAATCGAGCGCGTCGACGAGAGACCATCGTTGCGGCGCAGACGGTGGATGAACAGCTCACCGTTAGCAATGTGCGCAATGTCATCGTCTTCCAGGTAAAGCACACGCTTCGTGTGTTCAATCACAGCCGACGCATCCGAGGCAATGAAGTATTCAATAGGCTGGGGCATACCGTCTTCCGACAAGAACGCACGCGACTGGGTGCGGATCAGCTTGTCGATGCTGCTTGGCGTGTTCGCAGGCGGCGCACCCGGCTGGTCAAAGTTCGGCATATTGTTCAGGTTCGGTTCGTTCGTTAGCGCATCGGCCTCCAGCTGGTTGCCGAGCTGCACGTCGACCGAGTCCACCTTGAGCTTCTTCTCTGTCTTGACACCAATAAGCAGGGGCGAGCCACGGCGAGCCACCACAATCTCACCCGGGAAATGCACTGACTTGAACACAAAGGAGAAGGCGCCCTCCAGCTCCTTCACCGCGCAACGAACGACTGTGTGGAAGTTCGGCTTGCGGTTCTCCGGGTAGCTGTCCCAGAAGTATTTCACCAGCACAGCCACAACCTCCGTGTCGGTATCCGTCTCGAACTTGTAACCACGCTTCTCGAGCACCAACTTCAGCTCACGATAGTTGGTAATGATACCGTTGTGCACCAACGTAAACTCGCCCTTCGGGTCACTCTTGTGCGGGTGGCAGTTCAGTGGCGAAGGGGGGCCGTGGGTAGCCCAACGAGTGTGGGCCATACCGGCATGGGACACAAAGGTCTTTGTCATATCCACCGACGACTCGGCAATGTGCTTGCGCAAAGCCTGCACCTTGCCGACTTGCTTGAACAAAAGCACCTCCTTGTCCAGGTCACCGTCCACCGTGAGACCAGCACTGTCATAGCCACGGTATTCCAGGCGGGAGAGTGCATTCACAAGCACATTGAGAATATACTCACGGTCCTATATGGGTTAGATAGACTGCGCCATGGAGGGGGACGTACCTTTTCGACCAAGTAGTTTACGTATGCAAAGATACCACACTGCCACGGCGTTAGTTATCGCTCTTTCGCCATGCAAGCGCCACGGTACATACCATAAGTTTAGCTCAATACACAAACGCTAATGAGCAGAGATCTGAAAGCTATGCACTCGGGCAACCAAGACCGAACCAACGTCCAGATAGGGATGCAAAAGCTTGTGGTCAAGTTGGTGAAGCACGCGATTCCAGTTGACGCGTCGCACGGGTGAACGATTATTCAAATGCCCAGCGACTGGTTCAAAGAGTACGACTGATAGGCCTACTAGGCTGCTGCAGGAGCGAACTCTATAAGCAAATCCGTAGACTCGAGCAATTTCCCGAAAAGTGGGTTCGTGTGATTGGAGCACGATGTGAACAATTCACCAGACAAAAGCCCGCAAGTTTATTTTTTCTAAAGAAAGAGCATCTACGACGCAGGTCATGCATTGTTTTTTATTTGCACGGCCAACAAACCAGATTTCAGATTTAGGGCGTAGCCGAATTAGGCTGAGAGCGTGCGTAGATGTGGCATCCAACGACGAGTGCAAGGCCAGTCTCTCTCGCCCGCATCTGCAGGATCGCATGCACAAGGTCAATCTTTCATTTCCGATTGTACGTCTCGTACCTTTCGCTCGGCGTGGGGTGAAGCGAGAGACGCGTTCATTTGTGCGTTTGTTTCCGCTATGGTGGTATAGATATAGTCGTACATACAGAGAAGCATCTCTACAACGTTGAGCTAGCGTTCACGTCGGCTTCGTTCAGCCCCGTCATGCCGAGGCCGCCGATGCGGCGAAACCTCGCGTTCATGCCGCCGCTCATAATCACGCTCACGTCGTCGATCCGTGTCCCTCTCATATCGTTTATCGCGATCATGCCTGTGCCTACGATGCCTGTCCTCCTCGTGTCGCGAGCGATGGCGCTCATCGTGCCTTCGGGGGGATCGAGGCTCGGTGGGAGAGCGTGGGGCTGGGTATCGTCGTTTTGTAGGGTCAATCGGCGCGGCATTGGCCCCTGTCCGCTGCGCCGTCTCTTGACTGCCTTGCGTTAATGCATTGCCTACGTGGGGTGCGCGCTTCGTACGTGCTTGGCCGCTTTGTCCGCTGCGTTGTGAGTCGCTTTGTACGTACAGCAACTGGTTCATGGCTTCCTGCTCAGCCATCTTGATGGCAAGCAATTCTTCTTTCCTCTTTGCTTGGTCTTTGTCCGTATCGTCTTTGTGACCTTTGCTATACCAGAGAATATCGCGGCCTTGTGCCCATCGGCCGCGTGGTGCGGCGACGGAGTTGCCCAGGTAATTCTCGCGATGCTTGTCTTCTTTTACCACATCCCACGAGAAATCGGCCGCGCCACCTCGTGTCCCACCACGACTACATGTTAGCTGCGCATGTATGTACATACTTGGACCGCTCAAACATCGTTGCCGTGAGAGACTCTTCGAAGCATTGTGTGTGGAGCATGACGTATCGGCCGAGGACGCGTCAGGACCAACACTTGCGTGCCATGGCAGCGCCGGCACGACGCGTCTTCCGCACGTCATGGCCGATGGGTACCCTGTTTCGTGAGACAGAGGGACCGACCATGTGGGGTATCCCATGTCCGGAGAGGCTATCCAGTGCGTGTATAGCGCCCTTATCGCCTACTCGCTGCACTCGGGACGACTTGGCTCTTGTGTTGCGTAAGCCATCGGCGCGTAGCGCTCGATCGTGGGCGCGACATACAAGTTGCATCGCCCCCTTGGGCAGCTCTGCAACGACCATGCCGCCTAGTCCTGTTCACGCTACGACGTCTTCCCCAAGTGAAGACGACGATTTGGAACTGAACTTGGACGAAGACTTTTTCGCCTCGCTGGATGAGACCGCCTGGCAAAAACTAGAGCAGCACGCCGAGCCCGTAGAAACGGGACCGCCTGCTCACTGTATACCTGGCCCCTCCTCGAGTCCTATTGGCTTCCAGAAAGCGAATGGAAAGCGTTTAGCACGGCCAAGTGCGCTGGCCATGGAGCAAGCAGCGAAGCGGCTGCGCTTGCACGAAGACGACGTGGCCAGCGCCGACATGATGGACTCGACGTTTCAGCCTGCTTCGAGTGGATCGTCATCGTCTTTATGCTCTCCCAAAACACCTTCTATGATACCCCAGCACGGCAGCTTTGTCGCGAAGGCAACAACGACGGCTACCCCTGCCATGGCAACGCCACCACGCACGCCAGGGCCGATGGGGCGCAAAACCCCACGCCCTCTCTCGCTGCATCGCCGTACGACGTTGACACCCTCGCCTTTCCGAAAACCCGTATTACTTGGTATGACCCCGCGCTCGTTACGTACAGGACTTGGATCACGAGCGAATCCAGCGCCGTTCACGCCGCCCTTCAAAAAGGAAGCCCCACCGCCAAGCTCGCAACTTGCGTTAACCCAACCCCCAGCGACGCCCAAGCCCCCTCCTTGTGTATATGACATGTCAGCGCGCGACACATCACGCCTGACGTACCAGCAAGCTGGACTTTGCCCACGCCGGCAGACCGTGAGCACGGCGCAGCAGAGCGGTGTACCTGCTGAAGTGCGCATTCTGTTATGTGAGCCTACCAAGGCGTCGCAGTATGTATTTGCCGGCGTTGCGCCTGGTACGACCTGCGGGCCTGCCGAAGCGCTATCGGCGCTCCACGAAGCGGGCGGTGTGCGTGCCAACCTCCCATGGGTTACGAATCACTGGTCGCTGCTTCTTTGGAAGTTGGCCGCGTACGTGGCCGCGAATCCCGCTAGTGTGTCTACGTACTGGACCTTTGATACTGTCGTGGAGCAGTTGCGGTACAGGTACGAACGGGAGTACCACCAAAAGCAGTACAGTGCGGTGAAGCAGCTTCAGGAACAGCTCACGCCACCGACGCGGCCCATGGTCCTCTGTGTGCACCAGATTCTGCGGTATGACGACGCGGACGACGAGAGCGCATCGGTAGTCTTGCAGCTGACTGATGGCTGGTACAAAATCCGTGCCGAAGTAGATGCGCCTATGCGGCGTGCCTTGGAGCGCGGCCGGCTGCGTGTCGGCCAGAAACTCGGGATTATGTATGCAAAGGTACGTGGCCGCCGTATGACTTACTTGACCAGCTTCGCTCGTTTGCGGAAGGCACACCTGTATTGGAGGCCCTGCATACGTCTGACTTGGTTCTCACTTCGAATGCTACGTCGCTGGTGCGGTGGGATACCAAGCTAGGTTTTTCTCGGACGCCCTATTTCTCGAGTCTGGGCCGGCTTGTGCCCGATGGCGGTATGGTGGGCCTATTAGAGGTCGTGATTGAGCGATTGTACCCGCTTGGCTATCTGCAAGCTACGTTGGATGCGCGTGGCGTGCCTGTGTACCACAACGATCCTCATAGTGAGGACGAGGAAAAGGAACGGGCATCGGCTTGGGACCTACAATGCCAGCACGCGAAAGAGGCGATGGTCGTGGCTGCTCAGCGTTTGGACCGTGCCGCTGCGTGGCTTGAAGCGCGGTGTGCTCCTGTGGACTATGAAGGGGTGGCGCGGCCTGACACGACGTCGCTTCTTACGACGCTGGAATCCTGTGAGGGCGACCCATGTGAGGTCCTAGCTTCGCTGGAGCGTGATCGGCACATTCCCCTGGCGAGTCTGGGCGGCGCGCTGTGTGCCATTCGCGAGCGGATCGCCGCGCTTAGCGCACCTGGCACGGACGCGTATCAAGCTGCGCTAGATGCACGGTGCCCCCCGCGGCATGTTCGTGCGTTCCGTATTGCGCGCGTGCGAGACGCTTACGCCCTTCGACGCGTCTGCCGTCGAAGTGTGCAGCTGACTGTGTGGAGTCCTCCACCCTTGACGGTTGGCGCGCGCTACCGTGTGTCGAGGGTGGTGCCGACCCAACTTCGTTCATGGCGAGCGCGGGACACGCCATCGGACGCGTTCCTTGCCACGACGAGCGAGTCGTGCTGGCGTCGCATTGAGGCGCCGTAACCGCGCCGCGCTCTGGCAGGCCCTGCCGCATGCACGGCGTGAAGGCCGAGTGTTATGATCACGTGATATTTGGGCCCACGCGACGTGCAGCAGAGAGTTTAGTGTTGGTTTACGTAGTAGGACAGAGGTTGTGTACACACACATCTTTTGGACACGCACATCGTGGGGCTCTTGTCTGTCGCTGGAACATTGTGATGTCGGCAGACGCACCAGCGTATTACCATGAGCCGGTCTCCATGCCGGCTGCGCCACGCCGTGCTGTTCTCCAGACCTTGTCTACGCAGGAGACAGTACCTGTACAGCGCCATACCTCCGGCTCCCACCCAGCGTACAAGCTGAGTGAAAGTGCGATGCAGAACGAAGCGCAGCAAGTCGTGCAAGAGCGTATGCGCTCGCATGGCCGTCCTCGTGATCACTTGGCACCGCTGGAGGGTGCTCAAAACATTGCGCCGACAGAGAAGCGGGCGGCGCCGCCGGTGACCAAGGAGAATGTTGCGCACTCGAGCAAGAAGCCACAACTGCCTACGCCGCCGCGCATCATTGTGGATCCGGAAGGCAACCAGTACGAGCGCCATGCGATGCTGGGCCAGGGTGGCTTTGCGCGTGTTTTCCATGTCACCGATCGTTTCGGCCATGACAAAGCGTTCAAGGTGATTGCGAAGAGCGCTATTATGCAATCGAAGAAGAACCGTCAGAAGATTCTCGCTGAGATTATGATCCACAAATCGCTGAAGCATGTCCATATTGTCCGCTTTGAGGACGTGTTTGAAGATGCGGAGAATGTGTACTTTGCACTGGAGCTGTGCCACAATGGCGTACGTATATGGAGTCCACTCACACACCCAGAACATGAATGATATTGTGAAGCGCCGAGGCCCCTACCTGGAGTCGGAGGCCCGCTACTTCATGGTGCAGATTCTCGCGGGCATCCAGCACATGCACAACAACTCGATCATCCACCGTGACCTGAAGTTGGGCAACTTGATGCTTGACAAGGACATGCGTGTGAAGATCGGCGACTTTGGACTGGCTGCGCTCCTCAAGTACCCTGAGGAGCGCAAAAAGACGGTGTGTGGTACACCGAACTACATTGCGCCTGAAATTCTGTACGACCAGGGCGAGGGCCACAGTTTCGAGGTGGATATCTGGTCGGTGGGTGTGATTCTGTATACACTCCTTGTGGGTCGCCCGCCGTTCCAGACGAACAATGTACAGAAGATTTACGACCGCATTCGCCGCAATGAATATGAGATTCCTGCGGAGGCCAACGTGTCGCCTGAAGCGCAATCGCTGATCCGCCAGATTCTCTCGCAGCGTCCATCGGAGCGTCCGTCGCTGCATGAAATTATGGACCATCCATGGTTCCAGGCCGGCACTGTGCCTTTGTCGGTGCCCTCGTCGGCTGTGTACCACCAACCGTATATTCCTTCGTTGACAGAGGCCGAGAGTCTGCGCAACTTTGCGCAGCTCAAGGCGGAAGCCCAATGGCTTACTGAAGAGGAAGAAGCAGCGCAGGCGATTGCGCAGCCGCCACGCAGCGCACGTCAAGAGCTGACGGAGCTCGAGGCGGCGGAAGAAGACCGCGATCGTCTGGACCGCGAGTCGCAGCAGGCGATCAACCCAGGCAGTCCGATCTCGACGCTGCTCAAGGTCGGTCGTCAGCCGCTTGTGAAGACGCCCGCGCTGGCGCCTGCCTCGATGAATGTGGCGCCCTCGGCGCCGATGGCCCTGGCGCACAAGATGAGTCACCTGGGACTGCAGGACAAGGAGAACACACACGGTGCCAGTGTGCCGCGCGCCACTCGTCATGCGCCGACGCCCTCTACATCATCGTCGCGGCCTCTTACGAGCATGGAGCTCATGGTCCACTACCTTAGTCAGGCGCTTGCGCACCATGATGCCAACATTGTGGAGCCTATGGTGCCTGTGGATGCGACGGGCGAGGCGGTGACCGTGCCGCTGCCGAATGTCATTGACGGCGAGGCGGGCCAACTGCGTCTGAAGCCGGATGCGCCGCGTCTGTTTATCATTTCGTGGCTGGATCACTCGGAGAAGTACGGCCTGGGCTATGCGCTGTGCAACGGCGCTGTGGGTGTGCATTTCCGCGACTCGACCAGCATGGTGTTGGCACCGCGTCGGCAGGCGTTTGACTATGTGTACAATGTGCGGCAGCGTGGTGCGACAGAGCAGGCCGCGCGGCATGACCAGCTGCGTCGCGAGAACTACGTCATGCCCGCGTCGAATGCGTCGGCGAACGACTATGCGTGGCTCCCACGCGAGTTGGTGTCCAAGTACAAACTGCTCCACTTTTTCGAGAGCGAAATTATGGAGCGGTTGTATGGCGCCGACAGCCCGCTGACGTACGTCGATGAGCATGCGACGACGAACTTGGGCTTTGTGCACAAGTGGTACCGCTGCAAGCAGGCTATCGTGTTCCGTCTGAGCAACGGCACGGTGCAGTTCAACTTTTACGATCATACCAAGCTCTTCTTGTCGGTCGACAGTCTGGTGATTTCTGCGATTGAGCCTGTCGACCGTACCGATGGCGTGCCTGTGCTGCGCACATGGACACTCTCGGAATTGATTGCGATTGCGCATCCCCAGCGTTCTGCCACCGAAGCAGCGGCCGCCCAGAGCGACACGTCGCAATTCCCCACATACTTCTACACCAAGCCCAGCGAGCGCCGCTTCGTGCGTCAGGTCCTGAAGAAGTTGCGCTACGTGCGTGACGTTCTACTCACAACGACCACGGCGTCTTCCACTATGTAGTTTCGTTCCTTTGTTGCGTCGTAGCTGCCGTAGCAGCTGCGGCGGCGGCGGCCGCCGCCGCTGCCGCCCTGACCAATGTTTCGTATGCCTCATACTCCGTACTGGGATGCACCACCAACCGCAAGTACTCTTCGCCGTGGATCGGCGCAAAGTCCACGGCAAACGTGCGCTCTCGCACAAACGCCGCGTGGAGCGCGCGTGTACCTGCATTCCCCGCCTGCCGCGGCCGGAAACAGATCTGCAAGAATAGCGGCTCCGCTTGGGGTCCCAGCTCCAGCGTGGGCTGCGTCTGAATATAGGCACGCACACGCTGCGCGAGCGCTAGGCCTGCCGAAATATGCTGCCCAAACCCGTGCGTCCCGTACCGCAGCCAAGACAAGTACAGCTTCAGCGCTTCGCCACGACGACCGCAGCCCAGGGTCTTGGCGGCCAAGTCCATATGCTTGCCATCGGCATGGAAGAGGTAGCCAGCGTCAGCCGGCGGGGCATACAGCACACGTTGGTCCTTGACTAGCAAGAACGAGCACTGGTGCGTCACATTCAGCAGCTTGTGTGGGTTGAACGAGACGCTATCGGCGTTCTCGACGCCGCACATGTACCGTGGGGCCTCCGGCGCAAACATCACGGCGCCGCCCCACGAGGCATCCACATGCAGCCAGCACGCATGCGCTTCGCAGACGGCCGCGATCGCAGGGAGGTCGTCAAACGCGCCCATGACGGTCGTTCCGCTCGTCGCACACACCGCCATTGGCCAGCCTTGCGGGTGATAGGCATCGGTCCGCATCGCGGAGATCGTCTGCTGCAGAGCTTCGACGTTCATTCGCCCATGGGCATCACAGGGTATACGTACGACTGCATCCGTCCCGAGACCTGCCGCCAAGGCCGCTTGTTTGATACTGGTTGTGTGAGTAAGAGCCAACGTACCTAAAATGGCTGTGCGCGCTTGTGAGGATCGCGGGCCGGGCGCCAGGACCACGCCGTCCATGCTCTTGCTCGAGCTTTTGCATGAGGGCCCATACACCGCCTTGTCGGTATACGCCGTGGCATGCTTGGGAAAGCATGGTTTGCACAGCGAGGGTATTCGAGGCGGCGCCGCCTGGCAGACTCACTCCGTCCGCCTCTGGGCCCAGTCGCATGAGCTCACATAGGCCCGCGACACACTTTTCTTCAATGCGGCTCAGCATGGGCGACGCGGAAAACACATGCACGGACGCGTTCATCGCGCCGAGGACCAAGTCGCCAAGGACCGACGTCACTGTCGGCGTTGTGTACAGCTTCGCGAGGAAACGGCGTGTCCATGGATTGACACTATTCGCGAGAATCGCTTGGATCTCCGCCACCAACCGATCCTCGTCGTACGGCTCTGTAGGCAACGTCAACTCCATACACCCCTGGTACTCATCCACCGTCTCCCATGGCGTGACGGGCGTGCCTGTCTCTTCCCCGCGCTCTATCCACGCTTGAATCGCGTGCACCACACGAGGAGCAAGGCGCTTAAATTCGGCAGATGCTGGCTCCCTGTGTTGCGGAGAATCCATCGTATGCACCGCGACTCTCTTTGCCTTGTCCCTCTCGCCGCCAGGCACGCTCTTGTCGCGTCCAAGGACCAGATCGGCGCTCTTCGCTAAAAAAAAAAAAACGTCGCCGAGTCACTCTCCTTCCCCTCTGCCACCGCGTGGATGGCACCTCCACCTTTTCGCATGCTTGCATATCCTCAACGCTGCAGGCTGTGTACCCTCTTGCATCCGTTTCTTTTCCCCTCTCGTCGTCTATGGAGCCGACTACGACCTGGTACTACATGGCGTGTCACGATCCCTGCAGTAGCGCTGGATGATCTACTGCTTTGGGCGTATACGGGCCACATCGCCCCTACGTTGGTGAGCGCTCTGCAGTCTACGACAGGCCTTTCACACTCTGCTCTCTGCCACGCATTCGAGCCTTTCATGCAGGAAGATGCACATCGTTGGCTCAATGCTCAACGTGGTGTTGCTACGTAGTGGCCTGACGCGTTACACTCGTTGCGTGTTCCTACGTGTCTCGCCGCAATGAAACGTACAAACATGGTTCGCACTACGTTCTCTTCTTCACGCTTCGGCATGGACGGAGCACTGCCGTCTCGGGGTGCATGAGCCTCTTTGACGCTGCCGTTGGAGTCATGCCTGCCTTTTGATCGACATGGGCTACAGATCCCAAAATATTGGACGCGCTTCTTCACCGTCTTGCGTCGTCCCCCGATGGTGCGCTAGGACTACCGTACATCTCACCCGACGCACGCGCTGCCCTTCTCCAGCGCGTCTTGGCAAGGAAGGAGGGCGACGTATGGCTGGGCTATTTGGCCTCGTCACCCCTCCCGACGCCTGCGCTAGATCGCGCTTGCAGAGAGCACAGTCACATCTGGGCCACGAGCCCACGCTGGCAACAAGCCGTGGCGCAGTCGGATGCATTGTATTCCCGTATGCTCACTCTTCTCTCTACCGACTTGACCCTGCGCAGGCGGCACATCGGTATGCCATCCTGGTCGGGGAGATTTTGTTGGCTGACAAGGAGCCCTGGCCTACAGGCCGCGGCCTTGCAATGCTCCACGAAGCACAGCAGACGATCCTGCACTACGTGCGGCAGCACTGGATCGCTGTGCGTGCCCATCACGGCTTCGATCATCTCCCACGGTGGTGCCTCAAGGCAATCAATCAGTGTAGAGTTGGACGTGGATGTCACATCTCTTTCGACCCTAGTAACTCCTACCCTACGTATGGCCCATCCGCCTCGGATACATCCAGCTTGTTTGCCATGACCAGTGCCGGCCTGGTCACGACGCGGCCTCCGGAGAAGCGAGGGCCCGTTAGTTTCTATGCTGCTGTCCTCAGCAAGCACGCCGCCAAGTCGTTTCGTTAAAAGTCTAGCGAGTGTTTTTGCGTGGCTGATGGTTAGTTGACTCCGAGCAACGTACCTCGCTTCGCATCACGAGCGTCACGCAGCACACGTGTGCAAAACTGATCAAATTGCTCGACAAAGGGCCGCATACTCGTCTTCTCCCACTCGCCACGCTGGCTCTCTTTGTCATTGGTATCCATGTGCGTATTGTTGAGCTCTTGCAGTACCTGCGCCACCGTTGGGGCACCTGTCTGTGGATCAAACGACTGAATCTGCGCTAGTTCTAGCGGCACACAGATCCGGCCGGTCGACGGATGCACGACAAACGGCGACTTGAGCAAATGGTTCTGCCGTTTCGACACTTCGGCATCGATGCGTGGGTATGTATACTGAATCACAATATCTTCCAGTGCGGCTACCCAGGTAGGGCGCACACGATCGCTGCTTTTCGAGGCAGTTTCCAGAATATCGTCCCATTTTTGTACACTGGAGCGAGACCCTTGCGACCATTTCGTTTGGAGGCGGCTCACCGCGTCCTTCTCCATGCTGGGAAGCAAGTCCAGGAGGACTTCCCACCGCGCCGGCTCGCGGAAGCAGTCCTGGTCCTTCAGAATGACATCCACAAAGGCGCGCTGCAAAGGCCCTCGATGGTCCGCCGTCGACGTACTGGCCGTGTTGGCTAGCACGTCCTGCCCCAACGCGCGACGTAGACTGGGATGCAGCACACGCGGGTAGCCTGGCGTCGCGGAACCAAGCGATACTTTCTTTGCTTGGTTCGCACCGCCTTTAATCACCTCCGTCCAACCGACCAACGCTTTGCGCGCCTCATCTGCGAGGCCACACGCCTCTATATCCGAGACCCAGCAATGAATACCACGACGACCTGAATATACCCACAACAAATGCCGATACCCAAAATCTTCCCGTAATGTCAAATCAAGTACTTCTGTCGCGACAGCAATGAGCTTCCAGCAACGCTTGCAAATGCTCTTGTCTAAACAACAGGTACGAATCTCATCGTAGTCTGTCATATCAATATCAAACACAAGCTCACGCGACACGGGCCGAAAAGTGGCTTTCTGCAGCGTCTTTCGGTCTTTCGGCTTGGCACTGTACACAGGTCCAATTTCAAAACGCGAGGGGTTGAGACGGCACACTTCCTTCTTCCACTCGTCCCACGTCGAAAAGCTTTGGTAGCGAAGATAAGCATCGTTCTGCAATGTAAAAGCGAATTCTCGATGCGTAAAGTTTCTCGTGGGCGTAATGTCTTGATTCAGCCACGTATACAACGATCGAAAGGGCAGCAGGCGACGATAGTAGGCCAACATGGCCATGGGGTCAACAGACTCGTCGTGCGAGAGCCTCACGGTCAGTTTCGTTCAAACGTACATTCTCTCATCGACCATAGCGAGAGCCTGATCAAGCTCTGCATCTTCCTCCATGGGCATGAGCGATCCCATCTTCGAAGCGTAGTCGTCGGCGCGTCCAAGGTCTTGGTCGTGGCACACGCGCTCTCCATCGCGTCCGACGCGTTTGTCGCGCTTTTAGTCAGAAGGCTACCACTACCCTGGACCTACTCCACATTGCTGCCCACGATGGCACGATGGAATGGGCCCCGCACACGCATCCAGCTGAAGCTGGCTATCCAGCGCTCCCGCATGCTGCAAGAGAAGAAGGTATGTATATGTATGATAACATGTAGGAAGCATTGGCAAAGAGAAGCCGTATGGAGATCGCGGAGCTGGTCGAACGAGGCAAAATCGAGTCGGCTCGTGTCAAGACCGAGTCGTTGATCATGGACGATGTGCATGTGGAATTGCTTGAATTGCTTGAACTATACTGCGAGACACTTTATGCTCGATTTGCACTGATGGAGCTTAAATCGTACGTATACCATTCTGTCTGATCCCAGGTCGGGGCCTGACGAGGCCATTCGCGAGCCATTAGTGGCCCTCATTCATGCAGCGCATCGCACCGAGTTGCAGGAGCTCCACGTACTCCAGGATATGCTGTGCGCTCGTTACGGCGCAGATTTCTCGCAAGAGGCACTAGAGAATCAAGACAATTGTGTATCAGAGCGCGTCACGCGAAAACTGGCTTTCCATATGCCTTCGTCCGAGCTGGTCGATGCCTACTTATCTGAGAGTATGTACATGATGCCTAACCATGCAGTTTGTAAGACATACAAGGTGCCCTTCCCCAGCAGTATCGATGCTACGGCTACAGACACTAGCGAGCCTGAGTTGCCCCCGGAGTCTGACCCCATACCAGCGGCCGCCGCTGAGGCTCGACCACAGTCGGAATGGGACCATCTGATGGCACGCTTTCAAGCGTTGAAGCGGCCGTGACATGTCAATGTACGACTAATAATAAATTACATATTTACATAGCATATAATTACACCATTAGCGGAGGCGGAGGTGGATTGTATTGTGAAGTTAGTGAACTTCTGGCCTGCGATTGAGACGACCTTCCGTTGGTTGAGCCCCGAATGGTCACGGTCTCCTGCCCGCCACGACGACGACGACGACGAGGTAGTGTGATAAACTTCGGCATCATTCGCGAATCCAGATCGGTTGAAACATTGTTGGCCGCTTGCAACACTTCGATCCAGTCTACTAGATCGTAATTGTTGCGAGTTTGAAGGAGGAATTGCTCGCCTCCTACTTTCACACGGATCACGTAGTCACGTTTGGTATAATCGGCGGCTAGACCGCACTGCGCTTCTTCTAGCGAGTACGAGTGTGCATGGTGCTCCTTCAATGCTTGCTTGATCTTTTCCCAGGTTTCAGTAGGATCGGCAGGTTCCCCTTGATCTAAAGCATCTCCGTTGTTCATTTGCAAGGACTGTTGAAGAATCGATTCTAGCGAAATGAGGTTCGTTGGGCTGGTATGAGAGGAGGACTGGACACGCCCATTCATAAGATCATGGATGTGTACATCTTGATTTTTCGGGAGCTTATGCACCAGAGGTCCATCATCCAAGTTCCATACGGATGAGGGCGTGACAGACTTGGTATACAAAGCTGACACATCAATATCGTACACATGCAAAACTGTCCCATGCACCACGAAGTACTGTGTTGTCCATGCCCGTGTTGTCGCGGGCATTTCGGGAGCCAGCAACTCCATCTTGCGCGGAAGGAACCCTTCAATATGGACCGTGCACGAATATGGAGGCAGTCGCTCTTCGCCATCGCGCGGCGTAGGTGCTCCCATGAGCATCAGACTTGGACGATCATCGGTGAGCAGCGACATGGCCCGTCGTTTCTCTTCCAGCAATTCATACTGCACTTGCGTTTGCAGCAGGGAAGCATTGGCCTGTACCAGAAGGTCATGCGCTTCTTCGTCTTCGCGAGCGATCTCAGCCTCTTTGGGAGTCAAAGCTTGCGTTGGAGTTAGTCCCCGTAACGTCCGGATACTGTTTCGCTGACGCCGCTGCCACAATGGTACACTGTTTTGCGAGGCTGGTGTAGGTCCACCTAACGGGTTAATGTTGGTCGCAGCATCAAATCTGGGCATGCGCTCGGGCACAATTCCCTCAGGTAGCATGGACAATGGGGATTGTGGCACCGCAGTGTCTTCACTGAATGTTGCTGTTACGGGCGAGACCAATGCTGGTGAGAGCGGGCCTGACAAGAATACAGAAGAGCGAAGAGATCCGCCTGACAGAGGCGTTGCTGTCGTTGGCGTAGTGGAGCCACTAGGTGGATTCGACGGTGTTGTCATCCACATCATGGGCGCGCCTGCCATGGAAGACCGACGTGAAATAATGGCCGATGGCGTAGGAGGCACGTTTTCATGGTCCATCGGCATCGATGACACACGAGGAGACATATTCGATCCTTGCGCCTCGGGAGACTTGAACCCAGGTCGAGGTATCCTCAATGGTGTGATACTGAAGTAGTCCATCCCTCGAGCAGACTCGAGCGGCGTGCGACTCACATTTTCACGCAACGTCAGTGGCGGCGGAATGGAAGATGTCACCGATGGATGCCGTTTAGGTGTAAAGCGTTGCGGTGCAGTCGAAAGAACGGGCGTTTTCGGCAGCGCTAAGGATGGTCGTGACGTTCGAGGCTTGGGTGCTGGTATCGTGGGCACAATTTGTGCTTGAGAAAATTCTGCAACGCGTGGGGTTAAAGTGGAAAAGGAAGTTGCCCGTGGCGTGTTGTAGCCGCTCGATGCTGCCGACACCTGAGCCGTGACTTCATGGGGTACGGGGTACAAAAATGGTCGTTCGACATTCACATCGGTCTGAGCCCACGCAGGTTGCTCTCTGTCAGCATCTGATTCAGACATATCTGTGTCTGTATCTTCTTCAATAGATGTATGGCTAGCCGCGGTGGCTGTTGATGAGAGTGAGGCTACGCTTGTTGACATAGCATCCGAGTCCGAGTCAGACACAGACGATTCTTCTGCAGACACGGGCTGAGCATTGCTTTTCTCTTGTCGTGCCCGATGGCTTGTCCAGCGCAGGAGACTCCGTCCGTTGGATGAAGAGCTGGACGTCGAACGGATCGATGTCGTGCGCTGCATAAACGGAGCTTGGGGGGATGCTGTTCCAGGACTTATAGGATCTGCCATATCCGACCCCGCATTCTGATTATGTTGCTTAGGAGCTGGGATTTTTAATCCCTTCTAATGTGAGCATGTCTGTTTAAGGGACACATACCCAATTCCAACGGCCACCTCGCATGATGCTTCAGGAAAGAACAATCCCTGGGAGGGGCCAACCTTAGAGAAACAAAAAAAAGCAAAACCGGCTATGTCTTTTCTGCGTGACTACGCAGCTCCTTAATGCCTTTCGCCGTAATTATTAAGAACAGTGCGTCAAAATCATCATTATCTTACAGGTAGCTGACAAATGAAAGTTACCCCGGTCTGCGCATCGTGCACGTCAATTCAGGGGAGGCTTGGCTATGCTCTTGACTAAAGTGCCACGTGCCACTGCGTCGCGGGACGCGTGCGCGTCTGTTCCACGCTTTGCGCGCGCGTGTCGCAAGTAACACGTTTGCCACTTGTCGCGCCCATGTCGGTTGAGCTTACAGAGGGCGTCATTGCAAGCATGCTTGACTCGACGGACGGGACCACGTCCGTGGTACCCGTCTGTCAGATCCTCAGCTTGAAAAAACTGCAGACATCGGCCGGTAGTGCGGCGGTGAGCGACCGCTACCGTGTTGTGTTGAGTGATGGCGTGTACTACACGCAAGGTAAGTCGCTTGATCACTTACGCATTAGCCATGCTAGCTACGCAGCTTAAACCTTTGGTCGATGCTGGGTCCCTGGAGCGCAATGTGGTTGTGCGCGTGAATCAGTTTACGGCCAACTCTGTGCAGAACCGTAAGATTCTCATTCTTCTCAGTCTGGAAGTCCTCTCCTCTCCCCTGCCTCATCGTGTCGGCAATCCCCAGAATATTGAGGCAGCGAAGCCGGAGAGTGCTATGACGAGTGTGCCAGCGCCTGTTGATACAAAGCCCGCGGCCTCTGTACCGAGTGTGGGCGCGCAAGCTCTTTCTGGCTCGCATGGGATGGCAAGCGCATCGCGTGGAGTGACCAAGTCTAGTTCTGGGATGCCCGTGTACCCCATTGAAGCCTTGTCACCGTACCAGAACAAGTGGACCATCAAGGCACGTGTGACGCTGAAGACGGATATCAAGCACTGGTCCAATGCGCGTGGCGATGGCAAGTTGTTTAGTGTCAATTTGCTTGACGAGAGTGGGGAGATTCGTGCCACGGCATTCAACGATGCGGTAGACCGCTTCTACCCTATGCTGCAAGAGAACAAAGTGTACTTTATTAGCAAGGCCAAGGTGACCATTGCAAAGAAGCAGTTTAGCACGCTGCCCAATGAATATGAAATTTCGTTGGAGAGCAGCAGTGAGATTGAAGAGTGCGCAGAAGCGAGTGATGTGCCGGAGGTCAAGTACAACTTTGTACCGATTGATCAATTGATGTCCGTTGAGCCGAACCAGACGACCGATGTGATCACGATTCTTGACAGCTACTCGGATGTGTCGGAATTGGTATCCAAAGCCACGCAACGTCCTGTGAAAAAGCGCGACTTGACGCTGATTGATAGCAGCGGTATGAGTGTGCGTATGACGCTGTGGGGGCAGCAAGCGGAGAACTTTGAAAAATCTATTGCTGGGGAAGAGAAGCCTGTGCTGGCGTTCAAGGGCGTCAAAGTCAGTGACTTTGGTGGCCGAAGTCTCAGCATGTTTTCGAGCTCGACCATGTCGGTCAACCCTGATATTCCCGAATCACATGGTCTGCGTGGCTGGTACGACAATGAAGGCAGCACGGCCTCCATTCGTGGGTACACATCGACGACGGAGCCTGGTGGGTTTGCGGCTGGACAAACGAGTGGCGCTATGCGCTCGAACGAGCGGCGTACGTTGGCGCAAGTGAAGGACGAGTCGCTGGGTATGTCAACGGACCGCGCGGACTACTTTAATACGCGCGCTACGATCTTGTACATCCGTCCCAACAACCTTTACTACACTGCATGCCCAGGCCCAGACTGCAACAAGAAAGTTCTGGAGGATGGCGATGGGTGGCGCTGTGAAAAGTGTGATCGGACCTACCCTGCGCCTGTGCGTCGCTACATTTTCTCGGCGAACATTGCCGACTACTCGGGCCAGATCTGGATCAGCGGCTTCAACGAGGTCGGCGAGGCGCTACTGGGCATGACGGCCGATGCCCTCGATGCGATCCGGAATGAAAATGAAGGCGAATTCAAGGCTGTGCTCTCTCGCGCAGTAGGCCGCATGATGCACTTCAGCTGCCGTGCCAAGCAAGAGACGTTTAACGATACCAATCGGGTGCGCTACACGGTGACGCAGGCGGTCCCTGTGGACTTTGCCAAGGCAGGGCATGAGCTCGTCGAACAGATTCAGGCGCTACAGGTGTAGACATGGTATACTATGTAGAGGGAATGGCTGGCTCCAATGCCACATCGTGTCTGCAAATGGGGCACAGACGGGAGTGACGTAGTGCCTGCAGTGTGCATTCGTCATGGAAGCTGCGAGGTAAGAGCGACTGTTCATACATACATATGCAGGCATGGGAAGATACATGCACGTTGCCCTGGGCGAAATTGATGCAGACAAATGCCACATCGATCGACCCGCAGGCCAGCGACACTCATGCGGATGCGGACTTGGCCTGCGGAGGTCACACGGCGTCGGTCCAATTCGACGCGACCCAGCGAGATGTTTTGCAGCTCTTCGCTGGACAGATGCGCATGCGCCCGGGCCGGACCCAAAAATTCGCTGATCAGTGACGCCCATTCGTACTGCATGGTCGGATGATCCAAGTGTGCAATAGCAAAGTCGAGATCAGTAAACGTCCCATTGACGGTAGGCACCATCGGCATCTCTGTGGCAGCAGCTTCGTCGACTGTCGTCGTCGGAACCACTTCCTGTTCGCTGGGCGTCTCCTCGGTAGGCGTCCCGTCGCTGGGGACTTCCGGCAAAGGCATGGCGCTTGGCATAGTCTGTGACGTACGTGCAGGAGGCTGAGGTGGTGGTGGAGGCTGATCTGTGTGTGGCACTCTTGCTCCTCCTTCGCGAGGCGGCGGCGGCGGCAGCGGCCGACGTGGGTTCCGCGAGGGCGGTGGTGGTGGTGGGGGACGACGACGCTGTGATGCGGGCTCAGGCGCTGCGTCCTCTGTGCTCCCCCGAACGGGTGTGCGTGGGAAATGGCGCGTTTCTGCCGTGATCGGTGGTAAGCGTGTCTGGCTGGGCCACGGTGCGACTGATGAACGAGGGTTGGTGAACGCGCCGCCAAAGTGACTCATGGACGATGTCATTTGGTTCGATCCATCCGTCGGCGGCTCATAGCGTGCCACGTACTCGACCAACGACGCAATATCCTCCACTTGGGCAGGCGTCTCTTCATTGTGCGCCTGCCATGCATGCAGCTGATCATAAGCAGTGCGAATTAACGACACACGCGAGGGCGGCGGGGGCGGCAGAGGTCGCGATGTCGTCCGGTTATCCTCGTGAGGAGGCTCATCAGGCTCTGGCGAAGAGGCCAATGAGCTACACGAACTCGAGTCGGTCGCACTGCTCTCTGTTGTGGTCGTCGACGGCGGGAGTGGCGGGACGCGGCGAGGTAGATGCGGCGCAGGTAAGGGAGGGGCCGTTGTTGCCGATGTCGTTGTTGTTGTCGTTGTGGGCAGCATGCGCCGCATTTCTGCCTCGTAGCGGTACAAAGCTTGTATGGCATCATGCTCTGTCCGCCATTCCTCCTCGGAATCTTCTTCATCTTCGTACACTTCCTCTTCGCCACTTGAGCTGGATTCATTGTGACTGGGGTGCGTCGGTATAGGGCTCGTGCCAGAGAGAGGCGCAGGTGCTTTGACTTCGTGCAGAATGACAGACGGGGAACGAGGCGACCAGTCCGTCCGACCCCATTGCGGCTGCAATGAGGTCGACCGTGAGGGTGTCGTTTTTGGCAGTGCGTCTTCGCGATCGGCGGAGGTCGAGGAGACTTGTTCGCTCGCAGGAGGATGAGAGATTGGCCGGTCGACTTCCTCCGCCTGGCTCGGAGGTGGCGTGGTGTCCTGGGCTGACGTCATGACAGGCGCCGTGTCCTCCACTGGCAGCGGTGCCAATAGCGCAACCTGTATGTCTTCGGCCTGTGGGCCAGGATCCACAAGGATGGGAGGCGCTGGCGTGAGTTGAAGTGGACCGGTCGGCCCTTTCGCACGAGGCAAGGATACGATGCTAGGCCGTACCTCCTGGGATATTTGCGCTTGACGACGCTGCATACGCTCTACGCGCTCTTCCAACGAGTATCCAAACAATCGATCCCGTTCCCATGCATCCTGTTCACGCAAGCGGGCAGGGTCGATCACAGCAACACTCTCTTGCTCACTGTCAGACGACGACTCGGGATCACTAACAAAGGCTGGAGGTGGACTCGACGGAACAGGTGGAGCCGCAGAGGCCACAACACTAGAAAAGGAAGGTGGTGGCGACTCCATATCGTCCAAGTTGTGGATCGCTTCCACTTCATCCCACACGTTCACGATGCGTGGGCCCGAATGCATGGCTGTACGTCTAGGCTCAGGCGTGCTTGCTGTGGACTCCGAGTGGGCAGGGCGTGCGCGTGCGCGTGCGGCTCGTACATGCCGCGTAAATGCGTCCGAGTCAGGGGAGTGTGTTTGGCGCGGTCGTGATGGCCTTGCCGCCGTCCCTGCCCCTTGGGGCGCCGGTAAAACGGTATGTCGTGCGGCTCGGGCTGCACGTCGCTCTTGTCGACGGCGTCGCATATTATCGGGTGCTGTTAACGTGATGCGACCCATGTTGCTCTCTAGATTGGTGAGAAAGGGAGCGGTAGTCACTTGGGACGCTGAGCCCACACCTGCAAACATGCCTGGCATGTCCACTTCGGGCGGGCTCTGGGAGCGTTCTGGGGTGTGAGACATAGGCGCACCTTGACTAGACAAGGGCCCATGTCGCATACTATGCCGAGGCTCGTCCATCGACCCACTACAAAGACATGTCGCTCGAGCGCTGTCGATTCTCCACCCAGACGCCTGCACGTACGTACTTGGCCCCTTTCCACACGAGGTCCGAGCGCATGTGGAGACCATAGACACGTGGCGAGTCCGTCAGGTGGAGCGCGGCCTAGGTCCGCGGATGCTCACGTGATGAACTGTACATTCGTGCGAAAGCCTCGGTCAGCGGAAGGAAGCTGGCGTGGCCGCCACCGCCGCCACTTCTCTCTCACCTCAAGACAGGACCGGTCAACGTACGTGTCCCTTTGCTTTTGATTCAGACATACTAACACCTACAGAATGGGACGTCGCCCCGCTCGCTGCTACCGTTACTGCAAGAACAAGCCTTACGTATGTGTCTTTCATCGATGATATAGGTATACTAACCCTCTCAGCCCAAGTCGCGCTACAACCGTGGTGTGCCGGACCCCAAGATCCGTATCTACGATCTTGGTCGTAAGAAGGCCTCTGTGGACGACTTCCCCTTCTGTGTCCACCTTGTGTGTGACGAGCACCAGCAGATCACTGCTGAGGCTCTCGAGGCTTCGCGTATCTGTGCCAACAAGTACATGACCAAGACCACCGGTAAGGACTCGTTCCACATGCGTGTGCGTGTCCACCCGTACCACGTCATCCGTATCAACAAGATGCTTTCGTGCGCTGGTGCCGACCGTCTGCAGACGGGTATGCGTGGTGCCTTCGGTAAGCCGTATGGTCTTGTGGCCCGTGTGAACATCGGCCAAGTTCTGCTGTCGATCCGTACTCGTGACGCTAACCGCGCTGTGGCCATTGAGGCCCTCCGCCGCTCGCGTTACAAGTTCGCTGGTCGCCAGAAGATCATTGTGTCGAAGAAGTGGGGCTTTACTGACATGAGCCGTGAGGAGTACCTCGAGGCCCGTGACAGCAGCCGTATCATGAAGGACGGTTGCCACCTTAAGTACATTACCAACCACGGTCGTGTTGAGGACAACCTCCGTCTCCAGGCCGAAGTCGCTGCCTCGAAGTAAATGGTTTAATCGCCGTTTGCTTTATCAGCTTTCAACGACTTTGACAATGTCACATTTTCTCTATAGCGTTGTCTAGTGTTGGTGGTGTACGAAAAAAAAATCCAAGGTGGATTGCCTCGCTATTGTTTTTGTTGGTCGACAGCCTTGGGCTGCGAATACAGACGAAAGGTGTAGGTCGATAGCTGAATGGTCCCTTGTATGCGGGTGCCACGTGAGCTAAACGGCCGCCCGGCCTACGAGTCTCCGCGATTGTCAACCCCACTTACTGCCTTTTAGCCTGTTCCTATACGGATATGCCGGCGCCTCCCAAGCCTTGGGAACGGTCAGGTGGCACAGAAACTTCTTCAACAGTCCCTGCTTCCTCTTCCATAGTGGCAGATTCCACGGCGCCCGCTGTTCCGGACCGGCCAGCGGCTCTCGCCGCCGCCGGTCCTGATGCCGCAGGTATGTTTTTGATATGTACGCCACCATGCTAACCATGCAGGTATGAATGCTATGAACCCTTATCGCTCTACTATGGGCGGATATAGTAGCTATGGGTCTACGTATGGGTCACCTTATTCGCGTATGGGTGGCTACGGAGGCTACGGTGGCTATGGTGGTATGGGCTACGGTGGCTACGGTGGTATGGGCTATGGTGGCATGGGTTATGGCGGCATGGGCTACGGTGGCTATGGCGGCATGGGCTATGGCGGCTTTGGTGGTATGGGCTATGGCCAGCCGGGTGAGTTTTCCCTTACGCAACGAATGGAAAGTGGGACCCAGGCCACCTTTGAGTTGATTTCCTCCATTGTGGCGGCGTTTGGTGGCTTTGCGCAAATGCTTGAATCCACGTTCATGGCGACACACTCTAGTTTCTTTGCCATGGTCGGAGTTGCGGATCAATTTGCGCACTTGCGCAACTACTTGGGTGAAGTCCTGAGTATTTTTGCACTGGCTCGCCAACTCAAGAATTTGTACCTTCGCATGACTGGTCGTAACCCTGTGACAGGCATTGATGCGAAGGAGTTTGGTGAATTCCGTCGTATCGGTGCGCCTGGCTCTAAGCCCCGTCCGAAGAAGCGTCCTATTCTGATTTTCTTCCTTGCGGTTATTGGCCTGCCATACCTCATGGGCAAGCTGGTACGTTTGATCACAGCTCGGCAAGACGAAGAACGTGCGCGCCTTGCTAAACAAGCCGCAGAGGCGGGTACGGATCTTCAGATGTTACAAGATGCGCAAGGTTCGGCCATTATTGATCCTAGCAAACTAACGTTTGTACGTGCTCGGTTTGCCTACAATGCTGCCGACAGCCTTGAGCTCAGCCTGAAGCAAAACGAAATTGTGGCCGTGCTTAGCAAGACCAACCCTCAAACAGGAGAAGAAAGTCAATGGTGGCGTGGCCGTACACGAGATGGTCGGATTGGTTGGTTCCCTAGCACATATGTGGAAACGTTGGAACAAGCGCGCGATCGCGCTACGAAAGCCACAAACCAACCACAGGCTATCGAAGCCGCGCCCACTGGTCATGCTGCCTCAACAACGAATACAGCGGCCAAGCCCATTGCATCGAAAAGCACGATACCGTCATAGGACTCCTTTTGTAGAATACCCCCCTTTTGATGCGGACTTGGACTCTCTTCCTATGCCAAGCGCCCCCAAATCATGGCCTCCACTTGGTACAGACGACTCTTGCCAGGCCACGATGATAGGCCAAGCCTTAGCTCGACGAGGGTTCCAGCCTTGGGCGCTATCCACGCGCCGTGTGCCAGTTCGTGCTCTTCATGGAAGTAGTCCGTCGCTCCATCGTGTTGTCGTATCAGGTATTCAGCCAACGGGTGTACCTCATGTATGTATCCATGTCATTGTGCCTGACTGGTGTTAGCTGGGCAACTATTTGGGCGCCCTTCGCAGTTGGGTTGACCTGCAGAATCAGGCTGAAAAGGATGACCAGTTTTTCTTCTTTATTGCGAGTCTCCATGCCGTTACTGTCCCACAGAAACCTGCACAGCTCTATACGGATCGACGTAATCTGTTGGCTGCACTAATTGCTATCGGACTTGATCCTCACCGCTGCACTGTATTCCTTCAGGACCAGGTCCCCGAGCATACAGAGCTTGGATGGTACTTTATGTGTATTGCTCCCTTTGGACGGTTGGAACGCATGACAACATGGAAGGTACGTGCACTGATCTGCTTACATGCAGTCGAAAATCGCTACGCTGCACCATGCTGGCTCGATGGAAGCCGTGAATGAATCACAGCTTCAATTGGGTCTTTTCTCGTACCCTGTACTTCAGGCAGCGGATATCCTGATGTACAAGTACGTATGGTATCACTAACCACCAGCGCCACGCATGTGCCTGTAGGCGAAGACCAAACACAGCACTTGGAGTTGACGCGTGATCTCGCGCATCAATTCAATCGTCTAGTAAAGAAAAAGTGCTTCCGGCTGCCCGAGCAGATGTTCAGTACGTACTCGTCCTATTGACATGATCAGCCGAGTTCAAACGTATTCTCTCATTGCGTCAACCGGATCAAAAAATGTCCAAGTCAGCACCCGATGCAAATTCACGTATTCTGCTGACGGACACACCGGAACAGATCCGTGCCAAAATTAAAAAAGCTGTGACGGACAGTGACCCTTCTCTAGGTTTTGATCCTATGCATCGACCTGCTGTAAGCAATTTGCTTCAAATTCTCGCTGGTTTGCGGGGTAACACGCTGAAGAAGGATCTCTTAGAGGGTGAAGATGAAGCGCAGCTGCAAAACCCGGCATTTGTGGCCGAGGTGCTCAATCGTCTGAAAGGTGGATCTGGTGCTGCGTTAAAAGCAGCCCTGATCGATAGTATCATTGAAGAACTCCGGCCTATCCAGATGGAGTACAGCCGACTGGTTACAGAGGATGGCTATCTGGATAGCATCGAAGCATTGGGCCGTGATAAAGCTCGTGAACATGCGCAAAAGACACTTCAGCGTGTGAGATCGTTGCTAGGCTATGAACCCCAACGAAAGTAGGAAGCTATGATACATTTCGTCAACGAGACGCAAGAGTCCATCAACTCATAAGAAGTTGCTCAACGAGCCGCGTAGCCTCCTTGTGCAGCGACGAGTACTCCTCTTGGTAGTCCTCCTTCACCTTCGTCTCACCCTTTTCGATGGCCTTCTTACCACCGCCAGGCACAATCATGACACAACTCGTGGGGCGCTTGGTGCTCGACGCATTGCCGAGCTGGTCCTTCGAGGCAACAAAGACATATGGGTTACCTGTGTCTTCGCAAAGAACAGGAATGTGGGAGATAATGTCCATAGGAGAGATATCACCAGCAAGAATGACAAGACTGGAAGGAGTTAGTTCGATGACACAGTATTGGCACGTACCCTTTCTCGCCCTTACGGAGGCCCTTGACGACTTCCTTCACACCGCGCTTCACATGGCCACGGGACTTGGACGCCTTCTTAATTGTCTTGAACACCTTCTTAGTAAAAGGAGGCGTAGCAAGAGGGCCTGAAGAGTCAGTAGTGAATTGGTATACGCACAGGCGATAACGTTCAGCGTCGACGGGTCGACTTCAGCATCGTCATCGACAGGCTCAGCCATCGAGACATCGCCAACCAGGTCTTCCGTCATCACATCATCTTTCTTCTTTTCTTTCTTCTCCTTCTTCTCCTTCTTCTCTTTCTTCTCCTTCTTCTCCTTCTTTTCCTTCTTCAGCCTCACTTCCTCAGACGCCATGGTGACAGACGATCAACGAAATTTTCGATGGCGACGCCGACCGAAGCCAGCGAGGAGGAATTTTAGGCCTATTGTCGGCCGAAGAGGCAAAGGGAATCTAAAGCGCCGCGCAAAAATCCTTCTCTTCACTTGGTCCGCAATGATGCTACATGGCCTCTAGTGGACCTAGTTTGACTACTTGTATGTATTGAATGGCGATGGGGATAGGATGTTTCAACATTTAAACTAGAGTCTCGCGGTGACTCTATGTCGATTCGCGATAAAAATTTTTGTTGCCTGATCCTATTTTCGCCCTTTTCGAACAAAACTAACATGGCAGTGTATGTATCACACATTCCATTGGCCTGCCGTGATTATGTTCAATCGTTATCGATTGCTGGAAATTACCGTCCGAGGATGCGTATAGGGCCGCAACTCCCTGCATCCGTCGTGAGGACATTTCAAAGGCTGTTTGAATGAGCCTTTTGGCCTGCTTTGCATTGAACAATGCTAACTCTAGCAGCAGTACAACCGAATATGAAAAAGCAGCGAGACAAAATGTATGTACCCCTTCAGGAACAGGGATTGAATGATGAGACTTTATCACGACGGTCTGCGTACGGCTTTGCCGCTGGCGAAATGGCCCGATAAACCCAATTCTGTATCCGGGCACTACTCTGAACATTCCCTGTTCCTCTTCTGATAAGAATGAGATGGCTAACATCACAGTGTATATGTAGAATTGTATTGTATACTATGTAACTAAGGCTTCTGAGATACGGGCATGTCACATGGCTCAGGAATAGAAGAGGACGGATCAATGGGAGGCAAATGCAATGTACCAACCTTGTAGTACTTGTGGTGTGTGTCATAAAACTTGTGCCATTGATCCAGCGATTGTTTCTGCTTCGGTGTAAAGCCACGCGTATCATGCGTCAAGTGCGTCTGGAAGCAGCCCGTGACGTAGGCGCGTGAAGCGTCGCGTCCTGCAAACATATGGTATGGACCTCCCGGGCCATAGTGAATACGGCCGGCAGACACGTCAAAAACGTCGCCTTTGATGGCAAGCTGCACAATGTAAGAGATAGGAATGTTACATACGTAAATAGGCTTATCCGGGTTTGTGCCATCAAACTGTGTCAAATAGTCGGCGGTGAAGGTTTGCGGAGGAGACTGCCTGTCAGTGAAGCATATGACGTACAGGAATATACGTGTGCCAATTCGTCCATTTGCCGCGATAGCCCCACAGTGGGTCGCCCTGGATAAACTGGCCCGCCAGGAGTGCGATAATTACGGCCATGAAAGCCGTAAAAGAGACAGAAAGTATGAGGTTTGCAACGAAGGAGAACTCCGGTTCTTCATCCTCGTCTTCACCCCCCGGTACAGGCCGTCCTTCCGCACGAGCTTGCTTCCTCGCACGAATACGCTCCTGGCGTTCTCGCCATTCCTTGTGGACAAAATATGCGTTGTTTACCATCTTATGAGGCACATTCCGCTTGGTAGATGGATCAAAATCCATCTTCTCTTTCTTCTTTTCAAGAAGAGGCTCCGTCTGCGACTTCTCGCTTTCCGTCATCACGTTGTGTGGTTGGTACGCAACTATTTATCCCTACGGGGTGCTCTAATGAGGTGCTATGAATTGTGTGGAGTATTAGTCAGCTCAGCCATAGAATGAGGATAAGATAGCGAGGCGGCCAGGCAGCAGAAGAATGGCAGTTTAATGGGCCTCTGCACCGGGGATGGTGTCCACCTTGTCGAGCTCATTGAGCGCCTCCTCAATAATATTGATACCACGCTTCATCTCGTCTTCAGAGATGACCAGCGGCGGAGCGAGACGAATGATGTTCTGGTGTGTCGGCTTGGCCAGCAGACCCTTCTCCTTCAGGAGCAAGCAGAGGTCCCAAGCAGTACGGCCCTTGGTGCTCTTCGTCTCGTCAATGACGATAGCGTTGAGCAGACCCTTACCACGCACCGTAGTGAGGAGTGGGCTCTTGATGTTCTTGAGCTGAGTGCGGAAGCTCTCGCCCAGCTTTTCAGCACGCTCACAAAGCTTCTCGTTGATAAGTACATCCAGAGCAGTAATAGCCACAGCAGAACCAAGCGGGTTACCACCGTAGGTGCTACCATGCTCACCAGCCTTGATGCAGAGCATGACATCCTTGTCGGCCAGCACGGCGCTGACAGGGTAGACACCAGCACTCAGGGCCTTGCCGAGAGTCACAATGTCAGGACGAATACCGTAGTGCTCGCAGCAGAGCATACGACCAGTACGGCCGAGACCTGTCTGGATCTCATCACAGATCAAAAGCACATTGTGCTTCTTGCAAAGCTCGGCGACCTGAGGGAAGTAGTTGTCATCCGGCACAATGATACCAGCCTCACCCTGGATCGGCTCGAGCAGTACAGCAGCCGTCTCATTGCCGTACTTCTCGAGAGCAGCCTTGATGTCCTCGATATGGTTGTAGCGGATAGTCACATCGCCGACCCGGGGGCCGACACGGTCGAGCATGGGGCCGAAACCGTTGCGGCTGTCAGGGTCGGTGCTCATACTAATCACACCGATCGTACGGCCGTGGAAGTTGCCCGTAGCGCTAAGGATACGAGCCTTGTCTTCAGGCACACCCTTCTTCTCGTACGCCCACTTGCGTGCCAGCTTCATAGCCGTCTCCACAGCCTCCGCACCAGTGTTCATCGGCAGGACCATGTCGTACTTGAAGATCTCGTTCACACGCTTAGCGAACTGAGCGAACACCGAGTTGTAGAAAGCACGCGAAGAGAGCGTAAGCTTTTGCGCCTGAGCCACAAGAGTGCCAACAACTACAGGGTGGCAGTGGCCCTGGTTCACAGCCGAGTAAGCAGACAGGAAATCAAGGTACTCCTTGCCTTCAGGGTCCCACACACGGGCACCAAGGGCGCGGTCCAGGACCACAGGCAGAGGGTGGTAGTTGTGCGCACTGTAGTCGCTCTCCATCTGCATGAGCTCCTGGCTCGAGTAGTGCTTGCGCGTCGAGGCAGCATGGGCAGCATGACCCATCGAAGTAGCCGTAGCCATCAAAGACTGGCCGAGATGGCCAAGCTTCTGCTGAACGTTCTCAAAGTGCGAGTGAACCGACATGGTAGCTGGAATGAGAGGGAAACCTTCTCCGCTCTCCTTTTTTTCTGACACCAGATGGGCCCCCGCTGGCGGTTGGGGCCGCGTTGGATTGGTCACATTGTTGACGGTCATGGGGTGACACGTGCCTAAAGGACTCAGTCAAGAAATGGCAACGCGCCGCAGTGCATTGCATGTTGCAGTCCATGTCGTTGGCCGCTCAAGTAGGTCTGTTCGCTGGGGGCGTGCTCCTAGGCGCTGGGAGCGCGACATGGATCACTAGACGCAAAGGTACAGGGTCGTCTGATGTACAGAAGGTGACAGTGCCAGGCACATCTACACCTATATCGTCACCCGCATCCGTGACGCCTGCTACGACCGCTACGCCATCAGCGGATGCGCTAGCGTTGTCAGGGCATCCAGGTCCCATTGCCGATTTCTTGCGTAGCCAGGCGTATGTGAGCGTATATGACCGTCGTCTACGTCATCCTAGCTGGACAGCTGAGCACTTGACAGCGGAATCCATTCGTCGGCCTCCTGGTGCGAATGTAAATCGCGCTCAATCGATCTTTACAGAAGACGCACGTATTCCGCCCATGTTCCGTGCGACGAACACGGACTATTTCCGCTCTGGATACGACCGTGGGCATATGGTGCCAGCTGCGGACGTGAAGCAGAGTCAGGCTGCTATGGATGAGACATTTTTGTTGACGAACATTGCGCCGCAGGTGGGCCCGGGCATGAACCGTGACTATTGGGCACACACAGAAGATTTCGTGCGTCGTCTTACGAACCAATTCAAAGATTTGTACGTCTTTACCGTGCCGCTCTACCTTCCGCGGCAATCGTCCGATGGAAAATGGCGAGTTTCGTATGAGGTAATTGGATCACCGCCTAATGTCTCTGTGCCGACCCACTTTGCGAAGGTCGTGCTGGGAGCCGGTGCTACACAAGGCGTAGGTTCGCTTTTGGGCGGTCAGGGCTCACTGGCCCTCGGTGCCTTTATCATACCCAACAGCATGATTCCCGACTCGGCGCCATTGCGCAGCTTTGAAGTCGATGTGGAAGCGGTGGAGCGCGCAGCGGGCTTGACATTGTTCCCCCCGGCCATCAAGTCCTCCGCAAAAAAGCTCTGTGATACAGTCAAGTGCGAAATTATCATTCGTGACTTTTCAGACGCCAACAGGAGGGCGCAGCAAGCACTGCCTGCACGTCCTGTAGTCAAGTAAATAGTGTCTTAGCCGAACGACACACGCTTCTTGGTCGGTGCTTTTGCTGTATCCTTCTTGAGGATCGATCCTTGTGCCTTAGAAGAGCGAGGCGCTGTGGGTGCATGCGGAACAGCATCCTCCTCAGCATCGTCGGGAAGTTGCTTGCGTTTTTTCTTACGCTCTCGCGAACGCTCGCGACGACGCTCGCGCAGTAATGCCATCATACTTTGGCGTGTAGGAAGATCACTGTCATTTTTCGCCGCTTCCTTCTTTAGCGTCCGCTCTTTTCTAGCTGCAGCGGCAGAGGCGCGTGAAGCATGCTCCTTGTCCAAAAGCTTTTGGAAATGAGCATTTTTTTTCTGAACAGCTTGCTCAGAGAGCGCGAGAATATGGCCTAAACCCTGCGTCTCTGCAAACTTCTTTTTCTTCTTAGGCTCTTCTGCCTTTTTATGAGGGGAAGGGCGCTCACGTGGTTTGGGTTCGCGCGGCATGGGATGGTGTCGCTATGATGCACCGAACGTCAAAAAAAATTATTCAGTGCCACTCCAGGGGCCCTCGACGCGTCCCGCAGGTGGAGGTCAGGGGCGAGCCAAAAAAGACCTGGCCTAAACGTGCCAAGTCCCGATCGAAGCAGGATCTGGCTCTTCTCTCGTGACCATGGTTCGATCGTGCCAGCTTCCGCCGCACGATGCGACAACGTTCGCCGTGTCGGCAATTGTATGTGTTGGTGTAGTGATCTCGTACTTGCCACAGTTGATCCGCATTATTCGTGCGAAGTCCTCTGTAGGCTTATCGCCTTTTTTCCTCTTTCTAGGCACAACGTCGAGTTGGAGCGCGATGCTCAACGTTATTGTGCTGCAATGGCGTTTGATTTCGTGCAGTTTGGAAGAGGTTGGATGGATTTCCGTTGAGCATATTATGGGTGCGCTGCAAGCTACACTGCAGCAAGTGATGTTCACGCTCGTTTTTGTGTTTTTCCTGAGTTACTACCCTGTGGATCCTGCCGAATATCGCCGCGTGAAGCGACGCAACCAGCGTCGTCAGCAGCGCCAGGCTGGTGAGAACAATGGACATTTGCAGGTCCCTGGAAGTGGGAACGAGTCCTCAGGATCCGACAGCGACTTGGAATCGATTCAGTCTCATGTCCACCAAAGTTATGGTGCGACGCCACATGCCTCTAGCAGTCGTGAATCCGAATCTCTTATGGCGCATGCCCGAAGGCAGAAAGGGTACAGTAATATTCCGAAAGCAATGCGAGGGATTTTGGAGCGTCACCACTTGCCTCTTGCCGAGGAAATTCACGGCAAAGTAGGCTCCGTGCAGGAGTACGACCTAGCGACGACTTTGGCGAAGATTGCGTTTGTCTATATACTTGTGATTGTCACTGTGAGTGTGACACTGGTTTCTACGCACTCGCGTCGTCACAACCTGGAACACTGGGCGAGTGTGCTTGGCTTTGCCGGTGGTTTGCTTGCCATGCTGCAATACCTGCCGCAGATTGTGCATACTGCACGTGCGCGACTGGTGCGCAGCGTGAGTATTCTCACGATGTTGGTGCAGGTGCCTGGCTCCGTGATTTTTATTTATGCACTGTCGGGCCGCGATGGCATCAACTGGACGTCGCTGCTTCCCTATGTGGTCGCAGCGGTGCTGCAAGGCACACTGCTTATTCTTTGTCTGGTATGGAAGTGGCGTCAGCACCGTGAGGGCATTGACGACTATGGCCGACCTATCAACTCCGCGGCATTGTAAGCTACGAAGACTGAACAAAGGTGGCAAGGTCTGAGCAAATCGTTTGAATACGGGCTTCTGGCAGTGCCTCCCTCCATGTAAGGGCGACAGACAGGATGGCTTCTCGCTGCTGGGAAGTGAGGTGGGCACTGGCTGGAGCACATAGCTAGATATGTAAGAAAAAGTGCATACACGGGAGAACGTACCAGGTTGCCAGCCGCGATAAGGGCGCGGTATATACATTCGCTGTCGGATGATTGCGAAAGGATCTGGAAGGGTCAGACTAGCGTCAACGTACGTCTGTAAGTAAATCACACAGGAGTCCTGCCTGCTCAAAAGAGGGCGCTTGCACGGCGAGGATCGAGTAGTTCAATGCCACGGTGGACAAGGCGGTACGGCCAGGGCGCTGCAAAACAGACCAAGGCGGCTGTTGCAGCGTCGCCAGCGCTTCCAGGGCCAAAGCTTGCATCGTAGCAGGACCATTCGGCGCCACAAAGCCGTTGGCCAGTGTACGTAGGGCAAGCATGGCATTCATACTCGCGACTTTGGCATCCGTCGAGGCCTCGAGAGCATCCCATTCGGCACCCACCAAAGCATCGGTAATGAGCGTCTCAAAAGGCAGTGAGCACGCACGCGATGCGGCTACACGCAGCAGATCCAACAGAGGAAAGCGTGCGGCGATTGGCCACGTAGAGAGCAAGTGATGCAATACGTCCACATGTACGATGCCTTGGCCTTGCTCCAAGTCTGTGATAAGAGATGCAAGGGCGGCTTTGTCCTCGTCGGACAACGTAGCGCCTGGGACGCTCGTACTCAGCTCCAGGGCCTTGGTATGGGCCAATGAAAGCTGCGCATTTGTAAAAGCTTGGTAGGCCGTTTGTGGCAGCACACTAAGAGAGGCAGAGACCGGCGTCGGCGTCGGCGTCGCCGCTGCTGATGCTGGCGTGTAGCGAGTAGCACCCGTGTATGGATCCACAGGAGCTGCCTGCGCCGTATCGACTTGGACGCCCTGCGTATTCTTTTCCAGGAAGCGTACCACCTGATCAAGGAACGATGCTGGCAATTCGTTTTTTTCCAGGAACTGACTAGCGGCCACAAAAGGATTGTCGTGAACGTTGTATGGCAATTTTAACGGTGGCACACCGTCCGCAATGTCCACATCAAAGACGTAGTCGTATTCTTTGCCCTCATATACGGTTTTTTGAGAAGGCTTGGCACTCTCAGAGACCATGCCCGTTTGGACCCACTGACGCAGTCCTGTGCTCCACTGGAACCGCAAAGTCTGAGAGCCATGGTGGACTAAGCAAGCTTCACCTTCCGTCGTGCCGTCGGTCGTGGGTGTTGTCTCAGGACCCGCATCAATCGCACGTACGCCATCAACGTCAGCAGAGGTGAGGGCCTGCGTCGCAACATCCTTGGTGTACGTCGCGCAATCGTCGCCCGACGATGCACGCGCGGGGTCGCGAGTAAACACATAGATATAGCCATCACTGGCGCCGCATGCCACATCGCCATTCGACAGGGCACATACGCACCACACTGACACGGCAGGGATGGGCAAGAGCTGCTCCAACGCATGACCGGACCAAATACGTACACAGCGATCCTCGCCACTGCTTGCGAAGCTCGTGGCGGACAGCGGAGCAAGTGCATACACAAAGGCTGGGAGTGTCGCGATAGTCTCCACAGCTAACGAGGCCATATCCCAATGCCGAATGTGCCCATCGTTGCCTGCCGCCACAATGTGCGACGAAGACAAAACCATCACGTCACGGACGGCCTGTGTGGCCTGTGACCATGCCTTGAGTGGCTCAGTAGGCTCGCCGATCGACCATAGACATACACTTTTGTCTGCAGAGGCTGATAAAAGACGATCCTCATCCACAGGCCACACAGACCATACGGACTGTGTGTGTCCCGTCAATGTGGCCACGCATGTCCAATGCTTCCATACTTTAATGGTGCTATCCCAACTTCCACTCACAAAGTACTCGGAGCCGTACGAGCGCAGAGTGCATACATTCGCCGTGTGGCCCACGAGCGAGTAGTGTGGCGTGGAGGGTACGTGAACACGACCAGCGTCGTAGTGAACAGGGAACGCATAAATCAGCGTATCTTGACCTGCCAAGAGTGCATACACTTGTGTGAGAACGGTTTGTACGTACGTGATGATCCATCGTGAAAGAAGGCAACAGCATTGACAAATCCACTGCCATGGTCGAGGCTATGGCGTTCGTAAGTTGAAGTGGGGGAACGGACCCACAACGAGGCTGTCTGATCGCGCGAGCCAGCGAGTAGCAGAGTCGTGCCGTCGTTGTATGTGTACGATGCCAAAGCACGTACATCGCCCGTGTGGGCGGCCAAGCGCGAAGCTAGGACAAAAGGCGCTGGCATGGTGGTGCAAGAAGCCAAGGCCGCGCGGCCACACGCACGGACGTGTCGTCTCGCGCCGCCTCGCTTTGATCACGTGGCATAAAAGAAAGACTACGGACTATGGACTATCTCTTGCTAGATAGATACATGTAGGGCCCAATTCTTGCGACGCACCCACCATGGACGAGTCGTAATGTGTATGAAGTAGCCTGCTAAATCTGTCCTGTCTTTCCCTCAACCATGCGCTCACGGGTCGAGCGATGTGATGAATAAACAGGAGGGTACGCGGCTTCCTGACAGCCTGCTGACACACACACACCATCACACGTAAGTAGATCGGCGACGTTCCAGGAGTATGTAGGTATGGGCCTACCTCGACCGGGGCCCAGCCTAGGGGCCTGTCGTAGTACGAAGCAAAGAAAATCGGTGCGAACGAGCCCGGCCGACGTACGTGGAGGGACCATGTTACAACCCGACCTAGTAGGCCCTATCACACTCGCTCGAGCCACGCACGGGTGGGGGAGGGCGGCGCGGCGGCGGCTGCGATCTCTCCCAGTTCGACGGACGTGCACTCGTGGTAAGACGTGTGTGCACCGCTGCGACTGCAAGCGGAGCCGGCACGATGATACCTACCATGTCCGTGACAAATACAGCCTCGGTGGTATCGCAGTCCATGCAGCCATCCGAGACGCTGGCACGCATGTTTGACGATCTCAAGAACAAGTATGTGAACGATCGCAGCGCTAACCTAGGCAGAGATAAAGGGGTCCGAAGCCAGGCCGGTAAAGAGCTGGGAAGCTTTGTACGTATCCATATGACTGATATCAGGTGTCCTATATGCTTTCAGAGCTCAAAGGCGAGCGGCGGCAGGCGTTCCGTGCCGAGGTGAACCGACGCATCATGGAGCTTACGCACAGTGCGCAACCGGCCAGCAAGCTTGGTGGCATCACAGCCATTGACAACTTCCTCACGCTCGAGAGTGAGGACAATAGCGCACGACTTTACCGTTTCTACCAATACCTCAAGCCCAATTTGCCGTGCACGGATGCCCAGGTCATGGTCGCTGCGGCTCGTGTGCTAGGCCGCGTATCCAAGTTTGGTGGCCATTCCCTTGGCGACCAATTCGTGGAGTTCGAGGTTCAGCGTGCGCTCGATATGCTACAGGGCGAACGCAACGAGAATGCACGGTATGCGGCGGTGCTTATCATTAAGGAGATTGCGCGCAATGTGCCATACCTCTTCCATGTCTATGTGAGCCGCGTGATTGATCATATCTGGATTGCGCTACGTGATCCGAAAGTGGCTGTCCGCGAGGCAGCTGCCGAGGCGCTAGGCCCTTGCTTCCAGATCATATCGGACCGTGAGAAGCAGATGGGGACACAGGCGTACGAGTCGGTGTACGATGATGCAGAGCAGGGACTTAAAGACAAGTCCGTGGAAGTGATTCATGGAAGCCTACTCACGATTTTAAAACTGTTACGACACTCCAAGACGTTCATGCGTACACGGCTGCATCGCACATGTGAGTTGATTTTGCGGCTGCACAAGCATCGTGATCCATTGATCAAGCGCACAGTTACCAACCTGATTCCTGTGCTGGCCGCGTACGATCCACAGTTTTACGCGGAAGAGTACCTCGGTCCCGTGATGGCGACGCTGCTGGAGCAGCTCCGTCGCGAGCGGGAGAGGCCGAACAAGGAAGCGTGTACGGATACACTGGAAGCCATTGGTCTTGTCGCTATGGCGATGGGGGATCGAATGCAGCCGTACGTGGAAGAGATTATGGTATGTGTGCGTGAGTGTCTGCAGATGCGCGGCCGCAAGAATGCGCCGCCGGAAGGCCCTGTGTTTTTCTGTATCGGCCACCTTGCCATGGCGGTGGGAGCGCGCGTCGAGCGCGAAGTCCATGATTTGCTTGATATGATGTTTTCGTGTGGTCTTAGTGCGCCGCTGGTCTCGGCCTTAGAGCAGATTGTCGTGGCGATTCCTACGTTGCTACCGATTGTCCAAGATCGGCTTCTGAATATGCTTTCGTACTTGCTCATTGGTGTGCCGTATCGGCCGCTGGGCGCGCCGCCAGCGCGCCGAGGAGGCACCTTGCCGCCGGTGCTGCATGTATCGCCGGACGCCAAAACGATCGAGACGCTGACGATTGCGCTGCAGACACTGGGCAGCTTTGATTTTTCAGGGCACATTCTCAACGAGTTTGTGCGAAACTGTACGCTGCCGTACCTGGAATTGGATGCCAAGGATGTGCGCAAAGCGGCGGCATTGACGTGTGCGCGGATCTTTGTGAACGATCCCATCTGCTATCAGACGTCGATGCATGCGCTGGAAGTGTTCAACGATGTGTTGGACAAGCTCATTACTGTGGGTGTGGCGGATCCCGACGCGGAACTGCGCTTGACTGTGCTCAGTGCGCTGGACGAGCACTTTGATCGGCATCTCGCCCAGACCGAGTACATCCGCTCGATCTTTATTGCGCTCAACGACGAAGAATTCGCCGTGCGTGAAGTGGCTATTGGGATCCTGGGCCGATTAGCGAAGCACAACCCAGCGTATGTCATGCCGTCGTTGCGCAAAGTGCTGATTCAGCTGCTCACGGGTCTTGAGTATGCCACGGTGGCGCGGCACAAAGAAGAAGCGGCGCGGCTGCTTACGGGTGTCGTGAAGGCATTGCAAGGGCTGGTCAAGAGCTATGCCCTGACTATGCTGCAGGTGCTGCTCTCCAAAGCGAACGATGCCAATGCCAATGTGGCTGCGCGTGTCATGGAATGCCTCGGTGAGCTTGCGCGTGTTGGTGGCGAAGAGCTTGCGCCGCTGGTCGACGAGCTGGTCTCGCTGACTGTCACGCAGCTGGCCTCGGGGCCTGTGCATACCAGCATGGCGAAGCGCGATGCGGCGCTCAAGACGCTGGGCCGCATTGCCTCGAATATTAGTCACGTGGGCAATCCGTACCTGCAGTACCCCACGCTGCTGGGCGCCTTGGTGAAGATCCTCAAGACGGAGCAGGCGCCGAATGTGCGCCGCGAGACGATTCGTGTGCTGGGCATTCTCGGCGCGTTGGATCCGTACCGCCACAAACTTTTGGAGAACCGGTTGGAGCCTGTGTCCACGGGGCAGGCGCCGCAGACAGACTTGTTTGAGCTGGCGACCATGATCGGCACGTCGACCGACGAGTACTACCAGAATGTCGCGATCGAGTCGCTGATTACGATCCTGCGCGATGCCTCGCTCTCAGTGCACCACCACGCGGTGATCGAGGCGATTATGTACATGTTCAAGACACAGGGCCTCAAGTGTGTCGCATTCCTCCCGCAAATTGTCCCGGCGTTCTTGCATGTGATTCGCACGTGTGCGGGCGGTGGCTTGAGCGAGTTTTACTACCAGCAGCTGGCGATTCTGATCTCGATCATCAAGCAGCACGTTCGCAACTACTTGCATGACATTTTCGCGCTCGTGCAGAGCGACTGGAATCCCAACTCGTCGATCCAGCTGACAATTGTCTCACTGATGGAATCCGTTGCTCGTGCGCTCGAAGGTGAATTCAAGGCGTACCTTCCGCTGCTTCTCCCGAACCTCTTGCAGACGCTCGAGGGGGAGATTACGCCGAAACGGCTGCCTACGCTGCTGCGTATGCTGCAAGCGTTCTACGTGTTTGGCGCGAACTTGGACGAGCATATGCACCTGGTCCTTCCTGTGTTGGTCGGTCTCTTTGAGCGTGCTGATGCGCCGATCCCCCTGCGCCGCGCGGCGATTGTCGCTGTCGGCCAGCTCTCGCGCAAAGTCGACTTGGCTGATCATGCGTCTCGCATTATCCATCCGCTTATCCGCGTGTTGCAGAGTGGGCATGTGGAGCTTCGTACGCCGGCGCTGGACACACTCACGGCGTTGGTCTTTGTGTTGGGGCCGGTGTACATGGCGTTTGTCGCGATTGTGAACAAGACGCTGGTGCAGCAGCGTATTCAGCATGCGCGGTACCAGCAGGTGGTGCAAAAGCTGCTGGAAGGCGAGGCGCTCCCACTGGAGCTATTGCCGCCAGACACACTGGCGCTGGACAAGGGCGACGAAGGCCCACTGGCAGAGGCGTCGAAGATGGCCGTGCACCAAGCGCACTTGAAGGCGGCGTGGGATACGTCGCGCATTTCGACGGCGCAAGATTGGCACGAGTGGCTCCGTCGCATTGCCATTGAGATGCTGCGTGAGTCGCCATCGCATGCGTTGCGGGCGTGCCGTAGCCTCGCGGAAGTGTACCAACCGCTGGCCCTCGAGCTGTTTAACGCGGCGTTTGTCTCGTGCTGGGTCGAGCTGTACGAGTCGTACCAGGAGAGCCTTGTACGTGCGATTGAGACGGCGCTGGATGCGAGTGAGATACCTGACCAGGTCGTCCATGTGCTGCTCAACCTGGCCGAGTTTATGGAGCATGACGACAAGACGCTGATGATCAGTGTGCGTCTGCTGGGTGATCGCGCGTACAAGTTCCACATGTATGCGAAGGCATTGCACTACAAGGAGGCGGAGTTTATGGCCGAGCCTTCGCCGCAGATTGTCGAGCTGCTGATCGATATCAATACGAAACTCCAGCAGGGCGACGCGGCGTTCGGTGCGCTGACGTACGCACGTGAGCACATGGCGATCACGCACCATGAAGAATGGTACGAAAAGCTGCATCGATGGGAAGAGGCGCTGGGGGCGTATGAGCGCCGCGCCGAGGAGCAGCCGGATGCGCAGGACATTGTGTTTGGCAAGATGCGGTGCTTGCATGCGCTGGGCGAGTGGGAGCATCTCACAGAGCTCGTCCAGGCCAAGTGGCCTACGGCCTCGGCGGATGGGCGACGGCAGATGGCGCCTCTCGCTGCGGCGGCGGCCTGGTCGTTTGGGCAGTGGGATATGATGGACGAGTTTATTGCAGCCATGCGTCCTGACTCGTCGGAACGTTCGTTCTACCGCTCGGTGCTCGCCGTGCATCGCTCTCAGCGGCACCAGACCAAGCGCTTGATTGCCCGAGCGCGTGACTCGCTCGATACCGAGCTCACGGCGCTGATCAGCGAGAGCTACGGACGTGCGTACGATCTGATGGTGCGTACGCAAATGCTCTCCGAGCTGGAAGAAGCGCTTGCGTACAAACTCGACTATGCTGATCAGCCCGACCGCCAAGCGACGATGCGCTCCATCTGGATGAAACGACTCCAAGGCTGTGAGTTGGATGTGGAGGTGTGGCAGCGCATTTTGAGTGTGCGCAGCATTGTCCTGACGCCGGTGGACGATATGGACACATGGATCAAGTTTGCGAACTTGTGCCGCAAATCCGGCCGCATGGTGCTTGCGGAGAAGACGCTCAACTCGCTGCTGGGCCCAGATGCTCATGCGATGGAGACGCCGCTGAGTGGGCCGAAAGCGCCGCCTGCGGTGATTTACTCGCACCTGAAGTTCATGTGGGCCTGTGGTGCACGCGCCGAGAGTCTGAGCTACCTACGTGAATTCACCGCGAACCTCGCGGAGGATCTAGGCATGGCCACCGCCGATGCACAGGACAATCTCGTGCTGCCGGACATGCGTGCGTCGCCTCGTTTGAGCGAGTTTGCCAAGCTGCTGGCCCGCTGCTACTTCAAGCTGGGTGAGTGGCAGGTCGCAATGAACGAAGAGTGGGTGGCTGACGACACGTACGATGTCATTCGCTCGTACAAACGCGCGACGGAGCTCGACCACGATTGGTACAAGGCATGGCACGCATGGGCATTGGCCAACTTTGACGTCATTACTCACCATGAACGCCACGGCGTCGCGATTCCGTTCCACGAAGTGGCGGCCAGTATCGTGCCGAGTGTCCATGGCTTCTTCCGCTCGATTTCTTTGGCCAGTGGCAACTCGTTGCAGGACACGCTGCGTCTGCTTACGCTATGGTTCAAGTTCGGGCATCTCGAGCATGTGAGCGACGCGGTACGTCAAGGGTTCAGTACCGTGTCTGTGGATACGTGGCTCGAAGTGATTCCGCAGATGATTGCGCGCATTAGTGCGCCATCGCCGCGTGTACGTCGCCTGATCCATCATCTGCTGTCGGATGTCGGTGCGACGCATCCGCAAGCGTTGGTGTTCTCGCTTACGGTGGCGACCAAGTCGCCGTCGTCCGTACGTCGGCAGGCGGCGATGGGTATCATGGACACGATGCGGGAGCACAGCCCGGTGCTGGTCGAGCAGGCGCTGCTCATCAGCAACGAGCTGATCCGTATTGCGATTCTCTGGCACGAAATGTGGCATGAAGGTCTAGAGGAAGCATCGCGCCTCTACTTTACCGAGCACAACATCGAAGGGATGTTTGCGACGCTGGGACCGCTGCATGAGCTGTTGGAAAAGGGCCCCGAGACGTTGCGGGAGATCTCGTTTGCGCAGACGCACGGCCGAGACTTGAACGAGGCGCGGGAGTACGTCCGCCGCTACCGCCAGTACGGCGAGATCAGCGACTTGAATCAGGCATGGGACTTGTACTACCATGTCTTCAAGCGCATCACGAAGCAGCTGCCCGCCTCGAACTCGGTCCAGCTGGCCTTGCAGTACGTCTCTCCGAAACTGCTAGCGCTGCGTGACTTGGAGCTGGCGGTGCCGGGCACGTACATGAGCGGCCAGCCGATTGTGCGCATCATGCAATTTGAGCCGGTGGTGCTGGTCATTTCGTCCAAGCAGCGTCCACGCCGTCTGAAGATCAAGGGCAGCGATGGACGTACGTACCAGTACCTGCTGAAAGGGCACGAGGATATGCGGCAGGACGAGCGTGTGATGCAGTTGTTTGGGCTCGTAAACACGCTGCTCTCAATCGATACCGAGTCGTACAAACGCCGCCTAAGTCTGCGTCGATTCCCTGTGATCCCCCTGTCGCCCAACACCGGTATGCTTGGATGGGTCGCGAATAGCGATACCCTGCATATCCTGATCAAGGAGTACCGTGAGCAGCACAAGATCTTGCTCAACATCGAGCACCGTCTCATGCTGCAGATGGCGCCGGACTATGACAACCTCACAGTGATGCAGAAAGTGGAGGTGTTCCAGTACGCGCTGGACAATACGCCGGGCCAGGACCTGTATCGCGTGCTGTGGCTCAAGTCGCGATCCTCGGAAGCGTGGCTCGAGCGACGCACGGCGTATATGCGCTCGCTAGCGACGTCGTCTGTCGCAGGGTACATTCTTGGTTTGGGCGATCGACACCCATCGAACCTGCTGCTGGACCGCAAGACGGGCGAAATCATCCACATTGACTTTGGCGACTGCTTCGAAATCGCATGCCACCGGCCCAAGTACCCTGAAAAGGTGCCTTTCCGACTGACCCGTATGTTGATCAAGGCCATGGAGATTGGCGGGATCCAGGGCACGTTCAAAGTCACAGCGGAGAACACGATGCGTGTCCTGCGCGACAACCGCGAGAGTGTGCTAGCCTTGCTTGAAGCGTTTGTCCACGATCCCCTGATTTCCTGGCGTCTTGTGACGGATGCGGATGCCGAGCAGCGTGCACCTGATACCCTTGAATACGAGCACGAAGGCGCTGTGGAGATCCGTGGTGTCGAAGGCGAAGCACGCAACCAACGTGCGCTGGAAGTCGTTCGCCGCATCCAAAACAAGCTGACAGGCCGCGATTTCAACCCGAATCAGACACTCTCTGTGCCAGAACAGGTCGATCGCTTGGTCCAAGATGCTACGGCGATTGAGAATCTGTGTGTCGCCTTCATTGGCTGGTGCGCCTTTTGGTAGCAATGTAGGTACAAATCCACGTGGCGTCCACCTGTCATAGCCAGTCACCCGGCGGCGGCGGCGGCGGCGGCGGCGCATGGGCCTGCAGGGCGCGACGCGTCTCGTTTCGACGCGTCGCCCTCGCCTTCCGCGCACCGACTGGGTTCTCGCACTGTATCATGGCCCCAGGTCCGGCGAAGCAAACGACCTTGCTGGGCTTTTTCAGCAAGGCGCCCAAGCCAGCGACAGCGCCGTCGGCCGCCGCAGAAGGACCGCCACCGCCCGCAGTCGCTACGCCCCCGCCTACCACGTCGAAACGACGACACGACACGCCAGCGGCAGCACAGCCATCGTCCTCGCCAACACCGGCGCCGCGGACAGATCGGCCGGCCAAAGTCGCTCGCACAAATACCAAGCCGTCTCCGTCGTCATCGTCCATGACCCCGCCTCCGTCGAGCAACCCCGATGTGAGCCGCCAAGACTCACCAAATGCGGCTGCCACGTCGTCGCCCGCCGCATCGCATATGTCATCGCCCGTAGCCGGTCGTCGACGTGCAGCGCGACGCGTAAACTATGCTGAACCCAAAGCGCAGTCTGACGACGAGGACGACGAGGACGACGAGGACGAGTCAGGAAGCGACCAAGACCGCGACGAGTTTGTGCTGTCCGATGCCTCTGAATCCGAGAGTAGCGAAGATGAAGGCAGTGTCGTCGAGAGTGAGGAGCCTTCAGAGGCCTCCGAGCCTGACGACGATGTGATCGAGGATGTAAAGCCTGTACGACGGCGTGCATCGCCGCGGCCGCCGTCGCCCGCAAGAGTAGCCACGCCTTCTCCTGCGACACAGAGCATTAGCATCCCACGCAGTCGTACGCATCTAACGAAGGCAGAGCGACGTGTAGAAGATGAAAAACGGAAGCGCATGGAAAACGAGCAGGCATACAGTTTCCTGCTGGACGTGCGTGATAAGGATATGAATCGGCCAGGCGACTTGAACTACGACAAACGCACACTGTATATCCCCCCTACCGCCTGGAAAACGTTCACGCCCTTTGAGAAGCAGTTTTGGGAGATCAAGCAGAACCACTGGGACACGGTCCTGTTCTTCCAAAAAGGCAAGTTTTACGAACTGTACGAAGAAGATGCCTTGATTGGACACCGCGAATGCGACTTAAAACTGACGGACCGTGTGAAGATGAAGATGGTCGGTGTGCCGGAAGCCTCGTTCGATATGTTTGCGACCAAGCTGCTGGCGCTCGGGTACAAAGTCGGGCGTGTGGACCAATGCGAAACGGCTGTGGCCAAAGGCATGCGTGTAGGCGAAAAGTCGCGTGGCGGTGGCTCGGAAATTGTGCGTCGTGAGCTGCGGCATGTCGTGACCAGTGGCACAATTGTCGATGGCCACGTCTTAGCCGACGATCTCAACAGCTACTGTGTCAGTGTGAAGGAGGAAACAACGTCCCACGGCACTTCGCGCTTTGGTGTGTGTACGCTGGACGCAGCCACAGCCGAGTTCCGGTATATGACGTTTGAAGACGATGCGATTCTCACGCAGCTGGAGACGCTTCTTCGCTCGCTGCGTATCAAGGAGATTCTCCTGGAGAAGGGCTGCTTGGCCACCACGACGCTGCGCCTGATCAAGAACACCATCTCGTCCACCTGCCAACTGACGCTGCTCAAGCCTGGCACAGAGTTTCTCGACGAGGACGACACCAGAGCGCGTCTGCACACGCTGCTAGGCACGATCCCTGACAACCTTGCCCAGCTCGTCGACGCGGGTGGTCCTGCACTTTGTGCGCTGGGCGGCTTGTTGTGGTACTTGGAGCAGCTGCATCTCGACAAAGACCTGTGTGCGAGCCAGAACTTTGCCGAGAGGGCAGCGCCGGCGCAGAGCTCCAGCACGTTGATTCTGGATGCCAAGTCGCTAATGCACTTGCATGTGTTGCAAAACGATGAAGGCACCGACGAAGGCACCTTGCTGCGCCTGCTCAATCGATGTACTACGCCCTTTGGACGGCGCCTGTTCAAGCTATGGCTCTCTGCGCCGCTCTGCGATGTCGACGCCATTCAGCAACGTTTGGATGCGGTCGACTATGCGATGGAGCACCCGGAGCTACCAGAGATTTTTGAACGGTTCGCCAAGACGTTGCCGGATCTGGAGCGTATGCAATCGCGCATCGCTGCCGGAAAGTGTCGGCCCCGTGACTTTTTGCTGGTGCTGCGAGCCTTTGAGCGATTCCAAGGAGCCAAAGACGAGCTGCAAGCCTTGCTCGCTTCGACGTCCTGCGTGTCGACATTGCTGGAACAGCTCATGGATACATGGCCGCCCGTCGCTGAGCTCGCCTCGTCGCTGCGTGGCCACTTTGTGACGAGCGACGATGGATCATTCATACCTGTGCAGGGCGAGTCGGAGACGTTCGATACTGCTGTGGAAGGCGTGCATGCGGCCGAAGCGCGCTTGGAGAAGGAACTGGAAGCATGTACCAAAGAGCTGGGCTTGAGCCGCCGCGAGGTGAACTGGAAGCATATCGGTACGAACGAAATCTACCAGTTGGAAGTGCCCGCACGTACGAAGGTGCCTGCCAATTGGATAGTCATGAGCCAGACCAAGGCAGCCAAGCGGTACTATACGCCTCGCACCAAAGACCTGATCCGTGAGCTGAAAGAGGCGCGGGAGCGGCGCCTCGCCGCGCTCAAGCGGTTCCAGGACTATGTGTATGCGCGCTTCCGTGACGACGTGCCGCTGTATACGCGTGCGATTCGTACGGTAGCGCATATCGATGCATTGCTGAGCCTTGCGAAGAGCTCCATGGCTCTCGGCGCGCCTGCGTGCCGCCCCGAGATGATCGAGCATACCACGGCGTTCTTCGAGTTTACGCAGCTTCGGCATCCCTGCATGGGTCCCAGTGTGCTCACCGGCGCCACGGAATTCATCCCGAACGATGTGGCGCTGGGACGCGATGCGGAAGACGTGATGGTGCTGACAGGCGGCAACATGGCTGGTAAGAGTACCACCGCCCGCACCGCTGCTACCGCGCTGATTCTGGCACAGGTCGGCTGCTATGTCCCTGCCGCGGCCGCACGTATATCGCCCATTGACCGCATTGCCTCGCGCATGGGCGCGAACGACCAGCTGTTCCGGAACCAGTCGACGTTCATGGTCGAGATGCTGGAGGCCTCCAAGATCCTTCGTGAAGCTACGCCACGCTCGCTCATGATCATGGACGAGCTGGGCCGAGGCACCTCGACGTTTGACGGCCAAGCGATTGCGTATGCTGTGCTGCATGAGCTGGCTGCCAAGACGCCGGGCCTGTGCTTCTTTATGACGCACTACACGACCATGGCCGAGAGTTTGGAGGGCTACCCGCGCCTAGCGAATCGGCACATGGAGGTGCGGGTGGACGACGAGCAGCGCCATGTCGTGTTCACCTATCGTTTGGTGCCCGGGATTGCCGCGTCCTCATACGGTACGCAAGTCGCGCACATTGCGGGTGTGCCGGAGGCGATCTGTACCAAGGCGGCGGAGGTGTCCCAAGCCTTTTGGAACGAGGCACAGCATATGCACGCGCAGCGGTCTCATGGGCCCTTGCCCCTCGCGACACTGGCCGATTTTGCTCGCCTCATAGCCATCGGGCGTGGGCAGGCCACCGTCAGTGCCGCGGGGCTCGCAGTGTTGGCGCACGCGTTACAGCGCCCCTAATGAATTTCGCTTACACTGCGTAGAGAAAATAGTCATGCATATCTCTGTGGGGAATCACACTGTGTTGATGTAGTCAATGACAGGGTGTGGAGCAGCAGAAAAAAATTGCATGCAGAGGCCTGCATACAATCAGGCCACGGCGCGTCTCCGATTCGGCCGGAACGTGGGACTGCGCAGGCACCACCCGGAGGAAGGGCGGCGGTGTATCAGTACGTCTGCCTCTCGCCTTTCGCGGATCACGTCGCCGCCGTCTTCACCTGGCCAGCGTTCTTTGCCGAATGGAGTCAGGCCAAGAGCGACGTCCAGTGTCTGGCTACCGTGTTGTGGGACGTATCGACGCCTGTGGCGTGGACGTGCCAGAGCCGCCCACCAGTGCCCCACCGGTGGTCGACGTGACAAGCCCTGCGGAGGAGGGCCCTAAGAGCGTGGACGACATGCGCTTCGTCGATGCATCCATGCCCTTTCAGAACGATCCTACTTCTCTCTTGCCCAGTGCCGGTCTTCTGCCGACCGATCGAACCACGCCCAGCGAGGAGCCGTGGGTGTATCCCTTGTACAATACCACCTCGTTGCAACCGTCCAACTCCGTACGCAGTCAACGTAACTGGAATGAGTTCCATGGACATACAGTGACGCCCCTGCCTAGCCCGCTGCTGCATACCGCCTCCGAGGACTGCTGGATCTTGCCGACCATGGAAGACTCCAAAACTGAGGCGTTCTTTAGCACCACCGCTGTTCGACCCCCACCAAAACCCCCGCAAAACTTGGGCCGCAGCGCAAGCAGCAAAGTATCGCATTCCAACCCGTCCTTGTCATACAGAGAGCAGCGTCGACAACGTGCTCTGAGCTCGCCCAACGATCCGAGAGAACGCATGGGACCGGATGGCCATCTCTCTGTGACGACGTCCTTGGCCACGCTGTCCATGGACAACCGTACGGCAGAGCCCACCGAGCTCCGTCCTCCGCCGCATCGTCTCACTACGACCAATACCCCACGCGCGTCGCGTCACAATCACGGACCTTCCATGTCCGTGACAGGAGACAGCTTGTTCCCACCCCCATCAACGCATACGGCGTCCGACGAGGCAGATATGCACATTGCCGATTCCTCGCTCAACTCGATCAGCTACGAAGTGCTAGAGGCCTTCGACCAGATCACCGAGCACGAAGACGAGACGGCTGGCACCATCGGGCCGTACAAAATTGTATCGCAACTAGGGACAGGCGCCTTTAGCCAGGTGCTCTTAGCGGACCCTCTTGCCAAGCGTGGCAGCCGTGTCGCCGTGAAGCTGATTGCTAGTACGCCGTGGAAAACAGACAAGCGCGTACGTGTGAGCTGGGTTCGCGAAGCAGAGATCCTACGGCATATATCGCACCCTGGCATTGTGCAGTTTGTGTCGGCCTTCCGGACACCGCAGCACTATGCGCTCGCGTTGGAGGCATTGACGGGTGGCGAATTGTTTGATTTCCTACTGCAAAACCAGCTGGCCATCGCACGTCGAGAATGGCTGGTACGTCGTATCTTTGGCGAGCTGGCCTGTGTGGTCCACTGGATGCATAGTCACAACTTGGTCCATCGTGATATCAAGTTGGAGAATATCATGCTCACGCGTCACCTATTCACGTCAGAGAATAAACTGGCACCAAGCGACGTAGGGGCTATGCCGCTGATCAAACTCACTGACTTTGGCCTGGCCCGATTCGTCAAGCCAAACCATATGCTGGAAACGCGATGTGGCTCAGAAGAATATGCTGCGCCAGAACTGATTCTAGGCAAAATCTACGATGGAAAAAAGACAGATACGTGGGCTATGGGTGTGGTGCTGTATGCCCTGGTCACAGGCGCAATCCCATTCTTGGAACCAACGGTGGACGAAGCACGCACAGATGCCAATCGACTACAACAGGTCCGTGAGCGTGACCAGCCAGAAGGAGAGCGAGACACGCAAGAGCGCCGAGCACACCTAGTACGCATTGCTAAGGCAGAAGTTCACTGGCCCGAGCGCTCGAACGAAAACTTTGAGGATGCGCCGTCGGACGACTACCTCCCCGGTTTGCGACTCGTGACGCCGCAGGCACGTCATATTATCATGCGCTTCCTACGACGTGACCCTACACGTCGAGCCGAATGCCTCGAACTTTGGAAGGATCCATGGTTCCTCTATGGCAGCTTCGCATACGGATCAGGAGATGTGCAAGCTCAGTTGCCACAGCCGTACGACGAAGCGACAATGCTCTGTGTAGCTAACGAAGCATCGGCCCAGAATATGCGCATTGCCCTTCCATACTGCCCCATCGATCCAAGGGGGCGGCGCTGGGAAGAAATACACACGAAAGCAGGGAGCATCACGGACACCCCAGTAATAAGTCATGATTATTCGTAAAAAGATTTGGTAGAACGCTCCCCCAATGTACTATAATGAAGTCAATGCAAGAGCCTCGCGCCTTGGACGCCTCCACAACGGGCGACCGACCAGAGGGAACGCCAAGTAGACTCCTTGTTTTTTTTCCTTCCACATGACAGAGAATGGCCTGCCGCCTATGCGGTCGCTCTTCGGCGCAGACCCACTCGATGAGTTTGCTACGTTCGTAGCAGACTGGCTCTGGCAGAACATGCAAGGCCGGGCCAATATCGAAATCGAGGCAAAGCTAGGTCTGCTCATTGATCGGCAGACGAACATGCGACTCCAGCTCCCTGTGTATAATGAGACCATCATCGACGCCAGGGCCTTGGGTGTGCGCTTTGAAAGCAACATGAGCATGAAGCAGCATGCTAGCTTCAATAAGCTCTTAAATGAGCTCGTTGCTTATAGTACGACGCTGCCTGAGCACGAGCGTATTACATACAAGCACCAGAAAGAGACAGACTTTTTCTACGATGTACAGATGCAGGACACAGGTGAAACAGTGCACCTTCGAGTAACTCGCGACTCAAAAACACAGTCTGTGAAGCCAAATGGCGTGGTGACCAAGCAGCGTATCGCAGATTTGAATGTGTTTTGTCCAGCGCGTGCGTACGATTACCGTATTAGCATCAACACAGAAACCCCCATGCCACCGCCGCCGGACACATGCGAGCCGACCTATTCCCGAGAAAAGGATCGGTTGTCCTATGCTCACCAAAACTACCAAGTGGATCTAACGCAAGTCCTTCTCCCCAACAAACCCCATGAGCCGAACCACGAACTCGAGCTAGAGATCCGTGACGCAACATACTTTATGCAATTGGCCCAAGATACCCGGTTGCGCAATCCAGAAATGACTCAAGAATGGTCGCCGTATGAAGACCAGGTGGTTGTCTTTTTGAACAACATTCGGCTTCTCATTCGTAATGCGGACACGTTCATGGCGTAGGTTGTACATATGACCTTTGTAGGTATATACAGACTTTTGATGGAGAGAGTCGTATCGATGGCAAGATGGCCGAGTGGTTAAGGCGGTGGCCTGCTATTAGCACAACCGGCGAGGTTGGTAAGCCATTGGGTTCTGCCCGCGTGAGTTCGAATCTCATTCTTGTCGCATTTTTTTGGACGGCTTACATAGACCTCTCCATTCAAGGCGCCAACAAATAGGATGGCCAACGAAGCTTGAAAAGTTATGTCGTACCTACTTAATGAGGGAACCAGGGGAGCAGGTAACGCAGACGTTCTTTAACGTGGTCGTCAATGTGTTCAGGCTTGGTCATCACGCTGAAACGCATGCTACCATCCATCGACTTGAAAATGTGCGAGTCATCGTCATCGACAAGCGCGCTCACGCGGTCCACCAGTGCCTTGGTTACGACCTGCGAGGCTTCCACATTATGCTTGAGACTCTCAATGACCTCTGCCACACTCACCGTTTCCGAGCTCTCGCGCCATGCGTCGTAATCCGTAGCTATGGGTTAGACACGCATACGTAATACACACCCGTTGCAATAAGCACGTAGCTCAGCTCAGCCTCACGCGCCAACTTCGCCTCCGGAAGCGCCGACATATTGATAATATCGCCTCCCAGCTGACGGTACATGATCGACTCCGCTCGCGTAGAGAAAGCAGGGCCCTCCATGCACACCACAGTCTTGCCTGGATGGACCTTGACACTCGGCGCGTGCTGGGCCAATGTTTCACGGACACTAAAAAAGGTAAGGACATTGTATACGTACATGTTCTCCACAATAGGACGCAAGTGAATGTCGTATGGGTCACCGAACGAAGCATGCGCAACAACGTTGCACTCCTCACCCTCACCAAAGTACGAAGCACGACGGACACCTTTGGTACGATCAATAATCTGGGATGGGATGACAAAGTCCTTCGGTGCGATCTCCTCGCGAAGAGAGCCGACAGCAGAAAAGGCAAGGATGGCCCGAACACCTAGTGACTTAAGAGCCGCGATATTCGCAGTCGACGGCACACGCGAGGGCGGGATCGAGTGCGTGAGACCGTGACGAGCGAGGAAAGCAACATGGGTGCCGTTTTCTGTCCGCACAATAGAGATCGGAGACGAGGGGTAGCCCCAGGGCTAAAGGACTGTGAGCGTTGAACATCATCACGAACATACCGTCAATGGGCGGACAACATCGACTACTTCAATGCCCTCCAACTTGTAGAGGCCTGAGCCACCGATCACACCGACACGGATAGCAGGGCCTTTCCATTCCGACTTCGGAGCATCCATAGACATGTTGAAAGAGGGGATTAAGAAACAACCAGCCAGGACGTCAAGATCGCTGGCTTGCATGCCCCGTAAGAATGTGGAGGCCTCGTGCACAAATGCATGGCACTAACGCGATCTGCCACGACGTTAGGATAATAGGCAACACGCAATGGCCCCTGCGTCCCAGCAGGTGCAATTGACAGATACCCGAGCTGCGAACAACTCGGCGGCATATGAAGAAGAGAATGTGCATGCGTATGTTTAGGCATAGAAAGTTGACATCACCTAGGGTCTATGATGTGATTGCGGACCACTTTTCTAGCACACGATACAAAGTAAGTTGCAAGAAGGAAGCTTATGTCTAGCCATGGCCTCTTGTGGCTACATTTCTTAGCACGATACCACCTGGAAGTATTGGTGCCGATCTGGGATGTGGGAATGGAAAGTACCTTTACCTACGATCGGCTTTGGGCGAGCCATCGAACAATAGTAGCCTCATAACCTTAGGCGCTGATCGATGTGAGCCATTAGTCCGTGCCGCACAGTACAATTTTCCGCCCTCAGAGAATACAGTGAAGCATATTCATGATGTGGCGGTATCAGATGCATTGTGTAGCAACTATCGTGATGCTGTATTTGACTACGCGCTCAGTATTGCTACTATTCATCACTTTTCTACCCCGGAACGACGAAGACAATCTATCGAAGAATTGATTCGGATCGTCAAGCCAGTACAGAAATCGTCGTCCCTGTCTCAGGAGCCGACAGATACGCCGACCTGCCATGCCGCTGGTCGTTTCATGGTGTATGTGTGGGCCTTTGAGCAGCGAGGAGGTGGTCGGCGTCTTTTTGATACCCATTTGGCCGATTGCCAAGATGCAGCTGCGGCACAGGATGTGCTTGTTCCATGGGTTCGCACGGCGCAGCATACAGAAGGGAAAGAAGATGTACACCATCGATGTATGTATGATGAATCACTGACTCGCAGATTATCACCTCTTCCGTGAAAATGAATTAGATGAACTAGTGCAGTGGGCTACCGACAATATCAACCAGGGCAGGGATGCATCGCTGGATGTGGTCAAAGAAGCAGGAGGATGGGAAAAGGGAAATTGGTGGGGCGTATGGCAAGTCACTATGACGACACCTCCTCAGCAGGCGTAAGCTTTTCTTCCGCAGGCTCCTCTTCCCGGACCAACCGAGGCACACGCTCTTCCTCTGAACGGGGGCGAAGCACACGGAGGCTACCGCGCCAATTTTCGTCCCATATTACGCCAGATGAGGGCTTAAGAATGTGGTAGCCCTGCTCAGAGTTGCGCCATTGCTTCTCCTTTTCAAAGCGCTGGTGGCGAAGCTCTGTCTCTGTTTTCGGCATGAGCCGCTTCTCCGCTTTGGTAGGCTCACGCTCGCCGCGAGCAATCTCTCGCGAGGCTTTGAGCTCCTTTTTAAGGTCCTCGTAGTAAGTCTTCCGAGATTTTTCAATGTCTTCTATCGTCCGATCGAACGACTTGGGGTAGTAGGCCTCCTCTCCAATGCCCCAGTCAAGGTCTTCGCCTTGCGGTGGCTCCGTACGCACCGCTCCCACTGACCCAGGCTCAAACTCACGTGCATCGTCTTTGGACCCCAGCACAATGCTAAGGCCAGCTTCTGCACCTCGTCGGACGTCTGCACGGCGGTTGAAGAAACGCACGATTCGGTTAGGGATATTACGCCAGCCCACCATGTTAGTGAAATCGATGAAGCACAACGGTGGCTGGGCCGGAATGGGGAGCATGGGTGGCAATTCCGGCTCAGAAGCTGCTGACTCAGTCGACGCATTGGCGTGTGTGCTGATATGAGCGCCTTGGATACCTGCCGGAGAGAAACCAGCACCCTTTTGCATCGACATCAAACCGACTTGCGTCGGCAACATAAAGCTTTGGGAGGAGGAAGAGGGCAGGGGCGCACCATCCTCGTCATTGGCCTCATCCAAAGGCACGTCGGGTGTGACAGATGATGCCGCAGGAGCCACATCCTCTTCGTCGAAAGCAGAGTCGGTGCTTAAAGTGTTAGAGAGCTGCTCGTCATAATCCACGGGCTTGACAGGAATAGATGTACCCCAGCCCTCTTTCAGCGCCCATGCCCATTCTTTCAGCGCTGGCCGACCCACAAGCACTACGGCACCATCAAGTTCGCGTTGGAGATGCTCGGCTGGCGACAAGGTAGTAGGAAGAGCTGTACCAGGCGCCGTGTTGGTTGTCCATGGCTGTAGGCCAGCCAAGTTACGCCTCCTTTCATGGATACGGTCACGTAGCTCACGTGCAAGATTTCCATAGCGAGTGCCGCTGAGGATTTCGTAGTCAACGGCCGCCGCCACGAGAATAGGCTTTACATATCGCTTGAAGTACACAGCACTCACATCGTAATTGTCGTCGCCAGGGTACTTGGCTGTATATACAAGCACTTTACGAGGATGCTCATGAGGATGCATCACGCCATCAGAGAGACCACGGACGCGCTCTTTGTACTCTTCTAGGATCTTTTTGCATTGCTTACGATCGTCATAGTACAAATAACTCACGGTTGCAACAGATGCCCAGAATATGCACCAGTTGCGAGAGGGAAGCCTTGGCTTCCAAGCTAACACACTCTCAGGTATACCAACCCATAGCAGCGGGCGCAGTGCGCTTGGCACAACACGCTTGGGTGGTGTTGGCTTTGACTCTGTGGTCATGGAAGCGAGCTGCAGAAAGGAACTAGGCCCTTTTTTGCGAATCTGCCCGTTTTTGAAATTCCTAGCGCCACTCCACTTTTCGTCTTTCCCACAAAGATGACAGCGAGAGCACCACAGATGGCGCGGCCTCTCCATATGGAGTCCGGCTGGCTTACACGTGCAGATGGTAGCTCCAAGTTTGCGTTTGGATCGCAATGCAGTGCTGCATCTGTGTCCGGTCCGATTGAAGTCCGCATTCGCGATGAGCTCACAGATTCTGCTACATTCCAAGTCGGGGTGACTCCGTTGGACGGTAACACTGGCATAGCCACAACTGCTTTAGCGGCAGAGATTGAATCGTTGTATAAGGCTGTGGTACTTCTTCATCACTACCCTCGCTCGTTGATCCAGCTGTCTGTCCAAACCACAAGCTCTCCATCCCAAGCATCATCCACCGTTCAGCTTTCCTGGGATGGTCGCCTTCATGATAACAAGGAGACAGAGGCACGCATGCCTCTTCTGCTTGGGCCCGACATCCCCTTTCTTGCCTCAGAAACTGCTGCATCCATAAATGCGTCTACATTGGCTCTTTTAGATGCGAATATACCCATGCGAGCCACCGTGGTTGCAACTGCATGTGCTGTCCTGCGTCGCGAAGATGTCGATCCTGAGCGCGATCTTGAACCTTCCCAAAGTGATATTCACTGTATTGTTGTCGACCCTACAACTCTTGAAGAACATAAAGCCCTAAGCACTCACACTTATGCTTTCGCTATCTCTGGATTTGAACCTTTGATTGCCAACACCTCCAATGTCACAACAGAGCTCGTCTACTGTTCTAGCCAGGGACCCTCCGACGCTCGATTGAGGTCGAAGTTATATTCATACGCAGAGAAATCCGTCCTTTTGATACTGCAGTCTATCCGTTCTCATATAGAGTCACGGTTCGAATAAAAGTTTGATTCCTCACGGTTAATCTATCCTTTCAGAGACGCTAGGCTGAATGAGCCTGCATGTTACTTCATTCCTTTTTATATATCTCTTTGAACACATATAATAGAACAAGCGCCAATGGTTTAGTGGTAAAATACGGCTTTGCCATCTCTCGATGTAGCTGTGCCGGGGGTTCGATTCCCCCTTGGCGCATACCTTTTTCATACTATTTTACTTTGTCATTTTTTTTTGGCAAATATGCGCAAGTAACTTCTACAAACATGACGACATTTTCTGACATCTTTTTGACAATGATCACCGCCACAGGATTTTCAATGAAACCATTTCAAACAACCTAACTACCCTATTTGGAATCTATAAAAGAATGAGCTATAATACGTAGGGGATGAAATTCAACATGTAGGAATTAATTTTAAACATGTAAATCCTGGAAGTAAAGCACTAGCCTGATCCTGGATGGGTCATGTATTCTTTCTTTTCATTATCTTGTCCAAACAAACAGGACAAACCCGTAACTTTACAATAAATATATTACACCTTGTGATGCTTGAAAGCGCCAGCATGAGGGCCATTTCGGGAGTGGAGTTTCAACTCCTCAAACGTCTTCTTTCCCCGGGGGCTTAAAAACCCATCGAAACGAATGTGACGAGGTTCTAATAAAGCACTCTGTCTCATTCGCTCAGAGTCTTCAAAGTTTTTCTCTTCCTCTAGATGCAGTCCTAGCTTGCGCTTAGCACGCAACAACTTAGGGCCGTCATCACTGGGCATAGAAGAAGAGCGCGAAAGAGAAGTAGTCCGGTGGGCTCGTGGCGACATTGATATAGTCTCGTTGACCCTGGAACTCTGTGTTGGAACTGCATAGTCAGGACTAGCAGTCCCACTTGTTCCGTAACATTCATCTTTAGCAGACCGAAGTAGAGCATCAAACACATCAGAATTGAAATGTTCAGCTGGCTCACTAGCACGTCGACGGAAATCCCAGCGCTTACCTGCAGCAGCTGTTGACCGAGTGAAGCGCTCGAACCAAAATTCTGACCCATTCCCGAGCTCTTCCGTGGGTTCAGTAGGCAGTGTCCGCATTAGGATTTCTTTGGCCATCTCCTCTGCATGCGATGAAGGGGTAGCTGTGCCTGGTGAAATGCTACCAAGCGATTTCGCCAAAACCGCCACCACAGCGCGTTGCCTAGCCCGGTCGTGAGTGTCTGCAAATGGAGCCCAATTTGGCTCCGTGATCATGATAGAACGTTTCATAGTTTCCGATGGAGAGGTGCACTCGCTACCCGCGCGCAACATTGCAACTTCATCCATACCAACCTTCTCACCATCCTCCTGTGCCATTGTTTGAAGCGCGAGAGGTGTTGGTGAGAGACACTCCCAGGGGCTATTGACCGCATGGCGTGCCATTCGTCGCCGGTGGCGAGGCAGCTCCTCCAGGGAGCGGGGATCACATAGGAGTCTGGATGGAAATACTTGGCTATCCCGCTTGAGGATCGAAGGACGCCGCGTTGGTGAGCTTTCACTTGAGCCCACCCATGTTGTTTCACCCTTACTCAAATCCAGTTTGATGGGAGTTCGACATAATTCACTTGACGGGTCAGAACTTACCAACAAAACGTTCATCTTCCCTCTCTTCACGGCACCATCGAAACCGTCCATGAGTTCGGGGTCAACGTGTTCATCATCATCATCTTCGTCATCGTGATCATCTGAACTTAACACATGTTCATCGGCATCATCCATGAAACCTGACATGAATGGAGACGACAAGCTGAAGTCTTGTGCATGAAGAGCAGAAAGCAAGTAGTTCATGTTAATTTCATATCCATTCGAAAGGGCGTAATAGTAGATGGCCATAGCACTTGTCACAACTGTTGCGGTGGCCAAGAATGCCACAGTCCACTGTGAGGAATTCCGCAGGGAAGCGCGCCGCAGGAAAGCATCCCTAAGCTCAGCCGGGATTGTGGCGTAGTACGAGCCCATATTTGTACCCATGTGCCATCTTGGGAAGTACCCTGGCCATTTCTCAGCGCTAATCGCATTCAAAGGTGCGTTAAGCCATTTATATGGTGCCGGCAAAGCTGGCGCGACAACATACATGGCGAAAGCGTTAAGGTAGAGAGAGGTTGAGTGATAGACCTTTCTTCAGGATACCTCGCCTTCAAAGCAATAACAACACTATTACAATGCTTCAAGCAACTCGTGGGCAGAGTGTGGATACGTGGTGGACACGTTAAACTTAAGACTCTGACCCAGAGCAAGCATATCTTACAGCAGGACTCGGTTTTATCTGCAGCCTTGTGCAGGGGTTTCAATCGAATTGGCTCCTTTATGCGCGGGCTTCATTTCTCGCTTCAACAGACATGAGAAATTCAGCCCCCTGTATGCAGGGAGCGCATTTTACATTAAATAATTCACCAATTCACTTATATAACACTATGTAAGAGACATTGGGTCTAATTCCCCGATAGCGGGCTCCACTCCAAGCATGCCAAGCACTATTTTGGAGGTATCGTGTCCCCTTTGTTCAAGGGTAGCGTCTGCATAACCTTTTTCAAATGCTTGGTCATCAATTGTACGAGACTCATGCAAAACTGTCAGCAGATCTTTTGTCACGAGGGCGTTATATTCAGGGTGGCCTTGCAGTGTTAAGATATGTGCATTGCGAATAGCCAATGGCCCTGCAGAACCTGTCGTGGAGTCGTCCACATCGAACGCCACATACGATGAAGTTTTGACTGTAGACGGTAGTGGCGGTGCTTCGGACGGGTAATGCAGCACCATTCCTTGAATTTCACATGCCTCGTTGCCGCCAATGCAAATCCATGGGTCTCCTTCCACGGGCGGAGGCATTTGTGCCACGCGGTCAATGTGAACTTGTTCAAGTCCCTGGTATGTCAGTTTCTATTCTTAGCCGCTTTGCTTCGTCGTAGCCAACTGCTTTAGTGATACGTACCCATTCCGTATCTCTGTCAAAGGGCGACAAGAGATTGGTCCCTTCCTCTGTGAGATGGAATTGTGTAACGCCGAGCTAGTTTGTCAGTTTACGTTCGTACCTACCTCAGCATGCGCCTGGTCATGCACCACCTGGCCGCCGAAGGCTCGGGCAATTAGTTGATGACCAAAGCCTACGCCTATAATTCGGACCAACGGGTGCTCATGGACGAGGTGCACCAAGTACTTGCTGAGCACTTCGATCCACACAACGTTTTCATCAAGGGCTGAGTTGGCTGTTCATGTCAGTTTGCATATATAGTTAGCAACGTACCACTCCCAGTTACTATAATAGCATCCCACAAGCCGTCATCCAGCTGTGCAAGATCCGGGAACTCAGCTTCCTGGACATTGAATGCCTGGATATGCAGGGACACCTTTGGGTGCCACTCATGCCGGGGAATCTTTGACAGTGCTTCGGCCAGCGTGTTTCGGAACATGATGTCGAAACCACCGCCAATTTTCTCCGCTGTCTTCTTTGGTGGCTCTCCTGCTACCAGGAGTGCAATAGAAATTGTTTTCTGCAAATCACCAGTTTTGCGCACTGTATGTTAGTAGCCCACCAGGAGCTCGTACCTACCGTCGTCAGTCATGGTTTGGTCCGTTCAGGTACCGCTGTACGCTGAATTTATCCCCTTCTCGCACATCACATTATATATCGGGCATATCGGGCGTGAAAATCTCGAGGTCTTACTTGATTGCTATGGATTATTTACGCCGAGACGTTTTTTTGCGTGCTACCATCTTGGGCTGGACTTGACTGTTAGCAGTCGGGGTATCAGAGGCAGGCTTAGGCGTTAGATCAGACAGATCTAGTTTCACAATAGGCACATCTGTCAGATCATCTTGGTCTTGCGGCGAAGTCACCGGCGCTGAATTCTTCTTGCGAGTGCTTTTCTTTGTACGCGAGCTCGAAGACGAATCCAAGTAGAAGGGATTGTCCATATATTCGCGCCTTTGTGGCGAAGGCTTGGTGCGACTCTCTGTATCTTGTTTTTCCGGTACTGGCTCTGGCGATTTCATATGCTCTCGACGCACTTTTGGTTTGGAACGCACGGGTGTTGGTTCAATGGCGTCCCATACTTTCTTCCACGACGACTCTGGGGCAATCCACGCGCGTAGATTCATTGAAGCTGGCAAAGGTGCAGGTGGGGTCGCCTCTTCAGAACGCACGTAGTACAAAGGTAAGAGCAGATGCAAGGCGCGAGGGCCTGCCGCGTCCTCCGATGGTTTCTCGCCCCAATCCTCATCTGCGTGCTTAGGGGCAGCGGGCTGGTCCTTGACCGCCTCTAGGCCTTTTTGGATCAGAACAAATAACTGAAGTCCTTCCTGGACGCGCTCATGTACCTCTGTATCCTCCAGTCGTGCGAAGGATGTCAGCTGTGCTGACATGTGTTCCGTCAGTGCTAGAAGTGAAGTTTTCGTTTCTTCCGTCCAAGTAGAGGCCAGGCTCGCTGCCCAATATGCGTATAGCTTCAATGCACTGTGAATCGATACGGCCATTGTCTGTGGCGACAACTCTTTGACCTGGTCTTGAACCAACGCGCGCACAAGGGCTGGGACGTCCTCGACTTCATTGACGAATTCGCTGCAAATAGCTGCTCCGGCACGAATTACTTCCGACGTAGGGTTGTCGCGCGAGTACATCTCTGCATCTAAAAGCATAGGCAGCAACATTTCGCATGCCTGGGATTGAATAGATGGGTGCAAAAACACGAATTCTGTCAGTTGCGTGACAATGCGAGGTACAATGGCCGCATGTGCCAAGTCCACAAGTCGGACAAGCGTATCCAAGTACCAAGACGGGTCGGAGATATGTGCATACTGCTCCGCAGAACCAAGATCCAAAATGCTTTCGATCACCTGGATACGGAAATTTGTCATGGCCGCTGTCGAGGAGGGCGGGAGAGATGATGGGTCGACAGATGTGGCATTCTCTGTTTCCAGGATGGTCGATAAGCTCTGTGTAGCAGAATCGGACACTGCCGCCGTAGGTTGTTTTTCTAAAAAGTTCATCAAGGCCTCCACGACAGACTGCAGGGAAGAAGGCGATTCAGCCAAATGGCAAGCAAGGTCCAATGCCCGAAGACGAATGGTAAGATCGGGATGCGAAATGGAGTTCAAGATCGTTTCTTGGTGCTGTGCCACAAGGTGAGGATGCGTAGGTATTAATTTGCCGAGCGCAAGCAGGGCAATGTACCGTAGGTTTTGGTCTTCATCGTTGAGGAAATGGCCCAAGTTATCCACACAGCGCCATGCCAACTCTTCGCTACCAGGCCCTTGAAGCATGCCGCCGATGATGGTGGTGTGAATACATTCGTACAAGAGACTCATGGCTGGCGTCGTGGAGATGATCTCCGTGAGAGGCTTTTGCAGCTTGCGCACCAACCGTGGCTCCACTGGCGCCAGTGCACCAAACAGCTTTACTACTTTGATTAGCAGCCAGTTGTTGGAGGTAGTAGTCAGGATCTGGAAAAGCTGAGGCGAGAGTGTCACAAACGGCGCCGGGTTCCTGCGGGCAAGTTCACAGATCACGTTCACTGTGGCTGTGGCTACGCTTTGGTGCTCATCACAGAGCAAGTCGCGCAGGCGTTCCCACGTCCGATCCAAGATATCTGGGCATTTGGTGATGGCCGAGTACAGGACCAATACAGCCCTCTTGCGTACCAATGCCCGAGAATGCGTCAGCATCACAGAGATATCATCCACCAGATGCTGCGCAAGCTCTTGCGTGATTACATGCGAGAGACCATGCAAGGCGGCCAAGACGTCCAGGTGGGCCGCCGAATGCAAATCTTTCTTGATGAGGTTGGTCGCCAAGATCAGCACTTCTGTGTCTTCAGCCCAGCACAATGTCGCAGCTAGGTATCCGATGTGTTTGATATGATATTTGGACGAGGCCATCGTCTCCAAGATATGGAACGAGGCGCTGCTTACTCGATAGCCTAGCATTTGCAAGTAGGCCAGCTTCAGTACGGCTTCTGCCTTGATATCCATATCCGCGCTTTTGATCTCAGCCCGAATTTCTTCCAGCATGCTGGCGACGTATTTGGCCTCATCTTTGCCGCGGTGCGACCTAAGACCCTTGATCAGGGCGCTTAGCGACTTTTCAAACATGCGACTGGCCAGGGAGGAACGAGCACGTCGTGGCTGCCATTGACCGATCGACGTCCACGCCCTGTCACGTGCACGCACGGTCCTTCGCACTATAGGTACAACCATTCATGCTACGAACATGCAAACGCAAAAAAGTGGGCAGATATACATCATCTGTAGTTGTAGGTGCAGATAAGGAACGTGAAAAACATTACAGACGCACGGCCTTGTAGAAGGACGCATACATGTTCACATTGTCGATCGGCTTGCCCGTCTCACGAATGTGCACAGGTGCGACCTTGAAGCCAGCCTTTTCGAAGCGCTGCTGGTACCACGGGTATTTCGCCGCACTACGCCAGAACACGGCACCACCCTTGGCAATCACACGGGCCAACTCGACCACTTCGCGATCCAAGTCCGACACGGTCTTGTCCTCCTCATTGCGTGCCTGCTCCAGGCTCGGCAGCGGGACGGACTCGTCCACGGGATCGAACCAGTCCATGTGGTCCATGAGGATCGCGCGAGTAAGACTGCCATCCTGCATACCAGAGAGAACAGACACGATGGCGTCCGTGTGAAGGCGGAACGAATCGAGCGCTTTGCCGTCGTTGGCCTTGAGGGCGTTGAACGCGTCCTCCTTCAGGTACAACGGGCAGCTTTCGTGGCTGTAGTTGCCCATGAGACACAGGCGGTAGTGGTAGTTGTCTGTCGAAATCAACGAACGTGCAGGGATCGAGTCCAGAGTGTCGATGGCAAACTGCTCCACCGAGCCTTCGTTCTTGAAGATGTTCAGCTGGTTCATCGGCACACCGAGAGCGTTCCACAGGAAGGCAGGGTTCGACAGGAACAAACGAATGAGCGTCTCATTAATGATGGTCTTGCGGACTTTTGTGTCCCAAATCTGCTTTTGCTCCTCCAAAGACTTAGTCGTACACATCTTCTCGACGTTCTTTTGCGCGCCCATCATCCTGAACGCGGTCTTGGCCAGACGCAAGGCATGGCCAGAGTAGCCGCGGAAGTAAAAGGCACGGTCAAATGACTTGTTGTTGGTCTTCCAGAACTGGTACGCATGCGACGAGAGCATCGGCGAGATCTTCTCGTCGAGCAGTTCTGGGAAGTTTTCGATTTTTCCATCGCCAAACATGCGCCAGAAGGTCGGGTAGTCCAGCGTCGAAATGGCAGCGAGCTTCAGCTCGAGCAAGTGACCCTGGCATGGGTTCATGTCCACCGCGTGGATGCGGCGTGGCTTGGCCGTCGCCGCGTAGTGCAGCGCATTGTCACCAGCACTGGTAATGCACAGAATCGAGTCCTCAGGACCCAAGTCAAGGTGCTCCATGTCCACGTACGGGTCTTCCCACGTGAAGCCGTAGATCCACGTACGGAACAGGTCGCTGAATCGGTCATCCACAAACGGCAGACGCCACTGCTTCTTTTGGTAGTGGAACGAGCTTTGCGGCCATTGGATGGCCATCTCCTGTTTCAGCTGCTCCACAACGCCGTCAATTTGCTTGGTGGTCAGTGCTCGCTGCATACGCTCACGCGCAATGTCCGGGAACGAAGGCGGCACTGCAACGTGGTTGCCCGCTTCCATTTCAAACGCCTTCACAGCCGAGGTCGTGTCGCGCTGGCGCGAGACACCAATCCAGACATAGTAGGGAATGCGGATCAGGTACGGAACGATAAAGTGGTTGCGGCCATTGTAGCATTTCAGCGTACCGAACTTGTGCTCCAAGTACTCACGACGCGCCGGATGCAGCTCAATATGGTCCAACGAGAACCATTGACGCCAGAACCACGAGTTAAGCCAGTGACATTGACGCATGATCGAGCCACCCACCAAGGTCGTCTGATCCGACGTGGACTCGGCGCTCGACACGTAAAAGTCGGCGACACCAAACACACCAAACTCAGGGTCGAGGAACTCGTCGATACGGTCGAGCACGGCATAGAATGGCGGAATCATTGAGATCGAGTACGAGCAAGTAAACAGATCGACTTTGCGGTCGTCCGACAGACCAGGGAGCGTGAACTCCTTCGCGTTTTGGCACAGAGCCTGCACGTTCTTGTAGCCCAGGCGTTCAAAGCGCTGGCGCGCGACCTTCAGAAGCGGCTCACACAGATCAATCAGGTACACTTGGTCGAATTCGGCGATCGGGAAATACTTGTCCATTTGCTCAATGTTCCAGCCGGTACCGCCGCCGATGTCGACCCACACGAGCTTGCGCTGGGGATACCTCTCACGGAGGCGGCGCATTTCAGCCGCGCACAGCTTCAGCATGGTACGGCGACCTCGCAAGAGACCTGTCCGAGTTGCATCGTACACTGTGGCCTGGTTTTCGTAGAAGCGATCGAGACGTTCTGCCTGGTTGGCCGTCTTGCCGAGCGGTTGCAGGAAGCAGTTGTAGGAGAAGACGAGTATCTCGCGGAATGGCTTGTATACAGCCGCCAGGACCGTGATGGCAGCAAGCACACCTGCTGTGGTCATGGCCACGCGACCCATGGCAAGGCTTTCGAGGCGCTGCATGATGGAGGGGCCAAAGCTGGACACTTTATCAAGCATGGTTCGTAGGGGTGTGTTGAAAGAAAAAGCGGTGCAGGGGATGATTCAACGTATTATGGAAAGCACCAAAGGAAGGGAGGTGGTTCCTCGCGAAGACGTAGGTATGGGATGAGGTTCCGTGCCCGGCTCCCGGTGTCCCAGATATTTAAACCAGCCTCGCTGCATCGTGCACAATGACTGGCAGCCGGGCCTAGGCCCATGCAGCTGGGGTTGGCTTGTGCGCGCCTACACGTGCGCACCACGCTGGCAAACCCCCACGTGCACGTGTCGACCCAATGTGCGGTCGTATTGGCCCTCGATCCAAGTCCGACGCTGGGTTGCCACGGCGTGTGGACGACGCATGGGATCTGACAACGCGTCGGAGGGAGAAGCACGGACCCACACAAGCGCATCGCCGAAGCTGACACAGATGGACGATCCTGCAGCCAAGCGGGCGTTCCTTGCGTCGCTGCCGTGCGCGCCTGATGAAGCCCTCACGGCGTTGCAATCCGTACAGGATGTTTGGTGGGTTGCGGCTGCCTCTGTGGCGGCGATCCGTATGGGCACAGACTGGCACGCGTCTGACGCTGTACGTGTCGTGACGTACGCGCTAGAGCAGGCCACCTCGCTGGATGAGGACGTGTATGCACAGCTGAAAGAAGCCAAGCAAGCCTCGTCGGCAGCGCCTGACGCGTTTCTTGCGTGGCTCGATGCTGAGCCGGAGCGCGTGCATCGTGTGCTCTTACGTCGTAAATTGTGGCACATGCTGTGGCTACTAAGCATTCCTCTAGCTTCCTCCAAAACCGCGACGGTGCACGTGGACATGGCATCGCTCGCCGATACACCCTTGCTTGATCATGCGCGGCACTTGTGCTTAGCCGGCAATGCCCGTGGTCTTCTCGCGCTGGTGGGCGCTCACGCCACCGTCGCTCGATCTCTCTTCCCACACAGGTTCGCGCTCCTACATACCCTGTTAACAGCCGGCGGCGTAGCCCCTGCTTCGTTGGCGCAATGGCGGCTCCTGCCTGGCACGCGTATGCCGGTGGAAGATCGTGAGAGTGGGATCTGGGTGGATGCTTTGGCCGCGCCTACGCCTTCCAGTCCGATGGCCGCGGCGTTGTGGGTCGAGCACCCGATAGTTGTCACAGCGCTGGCCCAGCGCTCGGCAGCGACGCACCCTGTGGTGCCGCCTCCCCCCCCGCCCGCGCTCCTGGATTGGTACACGGATGTGGTGCAAGAACTGGAGGAGCATTGGGGCCTTGTCGATGCCGCCTCGGCGCTGGCGCAGGCAGGTGTGCGTCTCGGGCTGGTCTCGCTGCAAAGGCTTGCACAAGAGCTGGACTTTTTGCATATGTTGGTCTACCAATTGGGCCTACGAACATGGCGTCTCTCGACGCTGCGGCACGCGTCGCTAGCGAGTTTGGTCTCGGGGATGACCGCGCAGTCACACCATCCACGGCCGCCTGCTGCGCTGGCGTCTCTCCTTCACGAGTCTCTCTTACCGTACATCCAAGCCTCCAGCCCGCACCGTACCGATACCATGCCGAGCGAGAGTGCGATGGGCGTCGAGATGGCACTGGATGTATGGGAGGCACGGGGGGCGGCTCCTGCGCTGCCGATCGTGCATGCCATGCTCCAACGTACGTGGATCGCGCGCGAGGATCAAGTACGTCTGACATTGGCGCTTCTTGGCGCGAGTGACGAGGCGAGTGCGTCGGCGTACACGCACTACGCTGCGCTCCTGGCGACTGTGCCGAGTGACGACGCGATGCCTGTATCATTCTCGCCGCTCGTTCGTGTCCTCGCGCCGCAGCTCCCGCTCTCTGCACGTGCATTGTGGGACGCCTTGGCCATGGCATCGCCGCCGATGCTGGACGATGCGTGGCGTATCCTGCGTATCTACGTCGAGGTCGGCCGTGTGTGTACGCAGCATGGCGCGCCGTTATCGCCACAGGCGTGTTGGCGTGGCGCATTCACGACGCCGGCGCAGACAGCTTCGCTGGCCAAGGCCTTGGTCCAGCATACGCTGCAGCATCATCGAGGCCGCGAGCGCCCGGCGATGGAGTCGCTGTGTGCGGCGCTAGCGCCATGGCTGGGCGAGCCGCCGCGCATGCCCCCTTCGTTGGTACGTGCGTTGTTCCGTCAGCTGTTACTGGCGCGTGAGCCGATCCTGTTCAACGAAGTGGTCTCGCGCCTGCCTCATACGTGCCCGACGGTCGCTACGTACCTTACGGCGGACGAGGCGGAAGCCCTGGTGCTTGAAACGACACACGCGTGGATCGCCCAGGCAACGACGTGCGATCCCTTGCATGGCCCTCTGCTGCGGGCGCGCGAGACGCTCGATGCCGCGCCGCATACCGAGGCGATTCGTCGTGAGTTAGCCTTCCTTGCGTTGGTCGGTCAGCTGCATACGTACGCGCTCCCCTCGCTGTCTCCCTCGGAGCCAGGGTCGCTCACGCCTCAGCAAGTTCGGGCGATGCCTCATAAGCTCGAGTTGCTGGCTCGTGTGTTATCGCTGCACACCGATGCCTACCGTGCGCCGCACATTCTCGATGTCGGCCGCGCATGCTCCGAGGCGCCTGACGACGATGTACGTGTCGCCGCGATGTTAGCTGATGCCGCAGCGGCCAGTGGCGATCTTCGTGCGGCGCGGGCGCAGTGCGATCAGCTGGTCGTGCACACACGCGCTCTCTCGCGCACCGAGCATGCGGCTGCGTGGGACGTCGCGTGGCGCACATGCTTCCAACTGGCCAAGCACCCACAATGGACCGATGCGCGTGCACGCGCCTCGGTGCTGGGCCAAGCACTAACGCTCGCGCCTCCCGAGCACATTCCTACCGTCTTGCAGGCGTGGCAGGAGTGGGCCCCTTTCACAGGCGCTCCGTCGCTCTCGACCTCGGCCATGTCGCGCCGGGCGGACCGCTCCACGTCGTTGGCACGGCTGCTGACGCGCCCTGCGATTGCGTCTGTGTCGACTTCGCACGCGCCGCCGCGCGGTCGTACCGCGCAACTTTTCGATAGCGTCGCTGAGCAGCATGCGCCGCAAGCTGCGCAGCTCGCGCGCCAGCTGCTGGGCAACTTTAGTGCGGGCTGGTGGGGCGACGACAAAGCCTCTCGCTCCTGATACCTTTGTACGTATGTACGGCTATATCCCTTCTACACGAACATAGATGCGCGCGTGTTCGTCGTGCGGCGTAGCACTCTGCACGTCCGGCCAAGTCCATACCACGTCCAGTCGATGCAGCCCTGGCTGGACGTGCCATGTCGTAGCGTACACATGTTCGTCCCACACCCCTTCGAGGCTCTGTGCATTGCATCGAACACGGAACGCCGGCAAATCCGTGGCGTTCGGCGCACGCGGTGGGACGTGCCATCGCCATTCTGTCGTGTGCGTGCCGCGTGGGACGACGAGGACGTGCGTGGTCGCAGGCGAGGCGAGGACCAGGCGTACGTTGGCTGTGCGTTGCTGATTTGTATACGAGCGCATCTGCAGATGAAGTCGCGACGACGATGCGGCGCAGGCGGAAGCTGGCAAAGGCTCGTAGCATACGTCCGGCGTTGCAAACGTCGCGGGGTGCGCCGGCCACTGCTTCCGTTCCATATCCAGGACGACGCGTTCCAACGATACAGGCGGGGCACTCTTTGGCGGCGGCGGCGGAGGTGGGGGCGGCTGCGAGGGCGAGGGCGAGGGCGAGGGCGACTCTCTTGGTTGTGGCTGCGGTACCGACGGCGCGCGAGCCGGGGCCGCGGTCGGCGTCCCTGGCTGTGGTGATGCGCTTGACGACGGGTGGGGCGGCTTGGCAGGCGCCGACGCACCTGACGGCTTAGCGGCGGCGGCGGCAGGCGAAGACGGCGCGGGCGAACGGGTATGCGTAGGCGTCGGTGGCGCCTGGCTGGGCATGTTGGACGGCTGTGCGGCCTGTCGATGATCATTCGGGTCCAACGTAAATCCCTCTGCGAGGAGCGTCGGAATGATGGTCTTGTCCAAGTACCGTTCCAGCGCCTGAGCATCGTTCCATACTTGCGAGCCTTCTTCATTGTAAAACTTGGCATTGCTAAGCATCAGGCGCATATCCTTGTCCCATGCATACGGATTGATGTACTCTTTGCGTTCCAACTTGCGCTCCATATCGCCAAAGCAGATAGGCTCGCGAATGAATTGGTAGTAGTCTGGGTATTCTTCACGCGACGGCAGCTCCATAAACAGCTCCGAGTACGGCCGCTTGTCGCTATCCTGCAACGCCATCAAACTCTGTACGGCCCACCGCAGCATCACTTTCAGGCGCTTGCCACGCGGCGCGCCACGCCGACGTGGCTCGGACGGCGTCGAGGGACTCTCGTGCGACGACGTGGTATCGGTGGTGCGCAGCACAGGGGGCGTCGCTGGTTTCAGGCCCACGGCCGCGCTGTGCACTGAAGGTACGTAGGAGGTTGTCGTTGTCGTTGTCGTCGTTGGCGGCGTAGCTGTATGGCTCGGCGCTGGGGACGAATGCTTGGTCTCTGGCGATGTACTGATCTTCACCTTGACGCGCTTCGCCGGGGTAGACGACGACGGCGTTGGATCCGAGGGCCGTGGCGCGCGGAGTGTGATTTTGTGCGGGCGCGTAGCCGGCTCGGTCTCGATCGCCGACGTAGGCGGCGCAGCCGTGGACGACGAAGCGCTTTCGAGCCATTCCTCGTAGATCCGCGAAGCGCCCTCTTTGATCAGCGCGTGCAGATCGCGTGCTTTGAGCCAGATCTCGCTATCGCGCATGTTGAACCGCTTCGCATTGGTACATATCAACTCCAGATCCTGCCTCAGATCTTGGAAGGTGGTATAGTGTTTCTGTTTTAACTTGTTGCGGATTTCTGTGAGTGTCATAGGGCGCCGAATGACGACATAATACTCAGGATACTGCTTCTTACTGGGCAAGCGCATGAACGGATCACAAAGCAGCTCGCCATCGCGCTCATCCTGCGCCGCCATAAGCTGCTCGACCCATTTGCGGCCCATCACGCTGATGTCGTCGGGGGTGGGCGTGGGCGCCGGGGGTGGGGGCGACGCTGCCTCAGGCGCTGGGCGCGATACAATGCGCAGACTCTTCCGTGACTCTCTTCCCATGGCACAAGCTATGCACAGCCAAGTGTACCTTGATGCAGGCGGTCCACAATGCGCTGGCTCTCTCCACGTACAGCGTTGGTGTGTAGCGCGCACCGCGTGGCGCGCGGCGGTGGGCGGTAGGGACCACGTGGCCTAGGGTGTTGGCCTGCAGGCCAGCCAGCCATGCTCTTGACTTTGCTCAGGACCAGGGGATATGGCTGGCTACAAATCCTCCCGTCGTGACTCGGATCCCTTTGATGATCCATCGATCCAAAGCGCTGTGAAAGGCGGCGACTATGACGATCTCGAATCCAATCCGTTCGAGACCACATCGCTGCGTCATGGCGAGCCAGGCTATGCGGGCGCCTTGGAGTTCGAGGACGACCAGGATGAGATCTACCCCACCAGCACGCATGGCACAGCCCCTGCCCATGCGATGCGGATGGAGGACTTGCAGCGTCGGGAGCGTGAGCTGGAAGAACGTGAGCGTGAACTCGATGCTCGAACGGAGCACATGCGCAAGTTTGGCCGTAACAACTGGCCACCGTTTTACCCTATTGTGTACCATGATATCTCCAGCGAGATCCCACCAGACTCGCAGCATGTTATGATGAACGTGTACAGACTCTGGCTCCTCCTCGTCGCTACCCTGATCTGGAACTTTGTGACATGTCTACTCATTCTGTTTGCCGTACAGCATCTCAGTGACTTGATCAACAGTGTCGTGTACCTTGTCGTCGTCACGGCCGCGAGTTTCTTCTTGTGGTACCGTCCCCTCTACTTCGGTCTCATGAAGGAGCACTCTCTTTTCTACTACGTCTACTTTTTGTTCTGCGGTTGCCACCTGCTTTTCTCGGCCTACGCGTTCATCGGGCCCGTCTATGCTGGCTGTGCAGGTGTGTTGACAACGATGAGCTTGTTCAACTCCAGTCACTGGATTGCTGGCGCGTTTGGCGTAGTATCGACAGTCGGCTTTGCCCTCCAGGGTCTTGGCCAACTCTGGTACTACCGCATCATTTGGCGTCACAACCATGAACAAGGCCATTCGTTTGCCCAGGCGCAGGCCGAACTTGCGTCGCACGGAATGCGCGCTTACTTTTTGAATAGTGCACGGATGTAATATGAAAACGCCCCTTCCCTCCTTCAGCGTGTCACACATACGGCCCAGGGCTGACGTTCACATCTATCACTTCGACTATATAGCAAAAAAATGCGGTACACAAAGGGTTATCGCACAGCGACCCCACCATGCATTACATATGATGCTGTTGCTGCGCCTGCTGCTGGTGCTGCTTTACACTGCTTTCCTTCAGCGCCAGAAGCTGCTTCGAACGGAAAGACTCGTAATACGTGTATGTGGTCGTGTCAATCAAGTCATGCATGTTGGTGCGAAGAAGGAAGTTGCGGAAAGGCACAAACTCACAATGCGAGGGGTCCTCAATGTTGACCAGGCCGCAACGCGTCTGGCGTCCACGGACAGGCACACCGTTCACATCGTAGACCTTCGTCGAGCCTACCACCGCGAATGGCAGCATCGCCTGAACCTGACTGTTGAGAGCACGCTCTTCGTCGTCATAGTCCTCATGATCAAACGGATACACACGGATTCCGTTGTTCTGCATCTCTGCACGAACACGCTCCTTAAACACCTCACGCTCCTCCAGCGTCAGAGTGTCTGCCTTCGCAATGACAGGGATGACATTCGCAATGTCGCCCAGCTTCTTAAGCACCTGGATATCAATCGGACGCAGCGAGTGGCCAGAAGGGTTGATGAAAAAGAGCACAGCGTGCACACGGGTGTCCGGAATGTGACGGTCACGGACAGCCGTCAGCTCCTTGCGGAGGTACACGCTATACTGGTCCTTGATGTATTTCACAACGGGCTCCCAGCTTTGTTCGTTGTTGATCAAATCACCGTAGCCCGGTGTGTCGATCAAGTTCAGCTTGAGCTTCACGCCGTTCTCAATAACGACTGGATCATGTTAGTCACAGGTCTCCTACTCTAGTACGTACCATGCGAGACCACCTCAATCGATGTAGTCTGACGCATCTCCTCTGCAGGGTCAAGACGACCCTTGCTTTCCATCAGACGAGAAGCAAACAAGGTGTTGATCATGGTGCTTTTACCGAGACCAGTCTGTCCAACCAGCATAATGTTGAACTGGAAGCCTCGGCGCATCATCTTCAGCTCGACTTGCTTTGTCAAGGTGTCGAACCCGACATACCCGTGAAGGGGCGTTGGCATGGGCTCCTGAGCAGACATGGTCAAACGGCTGTCCAGAGAGTAGATAGATGATGTGACTTTCCAGTTCCAATATCCAACGCGCCTTGCATCTGCGCGTGCCCCTTGTTTGATCACGTGATGTAAGACGGCCGTGCGAGCGCTCTGGTTCTATCGGATAACGCGGTCCGTCTTTTTTGATTCCTGCGCCTTGATCATGTTCGCGGTTCGCCAAGCCCTCCGGTCCTCCCGTACCATTGCTTCTCGTACGATCCCCACTGCTTTTCGTCTCTCGATTCCTAGTGGTGTTCGCGCTTCGCGCGCCTTCTCTACCAGCAGCCACCGCGAGTCCAACGAGGCGCCTTGGGCGATTGTTTCAGCGGCTGTATTCGGCAGTTTGATGGCCTATGTTGTTACAATGGATGTGGGTCACCACGAAGAACATGCTATTCACTCCAAATCTGTACGTTATTGAACCATCAACAAACTAACCACGTTCAGTCGGACGACGACGTCCCTGCCGACAAGAAGGAGTCTTCTAACGAGAGCACTTCTGATAGCAAGGAAGAGAATGATGCCGACTCGGATAACTCTGAATCGAAGGAGCAGGAGTCTGGCAAGAAGGAGGAAAAGAAGGATGTGAAGAAGGGCGAGGAGAAGAATGAGGAAAAGGGCGAAAAGAAGGAAGAGGAGAAGGACGAGAAGGACGAGAAGGACGAGAAGGAAGAGAAGGAGGAGAAGTAAGCATAATGAAGTACGAAAGAGCTAGCCTTTTAAATCATCTATATATATCTCAGTTATGTGACTGGTACATCCTCTCCAGTGCATTCTATCTTGATAGCTGGTCTAGCAGAATGTGATGTGAATGGATGCCATACCACGATGGCCTTATGTCCAGCAGGCATAGAGTAATCCACATACATGATTCTTACAGCCTTGTGTGCATCTGGTCTTGGCTTCAGCGCCCGTGCGCCCTGACTTACCTTGCCGCTCACATAGTTCGGCCGACTATGCCTTTGCGGCCACAGGACACGGGATTGGGGATCTATGGTCTACATTGCCCGCATGTTCGGCCGAAATTTGCGTTTTGCTGGCACCAAACCTGCATGGCCCATACCGGGTGGTTTCGGTGGGTCTGTGGGATGCAATTGGCTGAGGAGGCCTGCCTCAGTTGCCGGGCAGCCAACCCGGGCCAGCGGCCCTCGGGCGCGAGCCTCCGCTTCCTTCTTGTCCCCTCACCTCATTACTTGAGCGAAACCAAAGCGCCATGCCCATCATTCAGCGCTCTGCCGTTCGCGCTGTGTCGCGCGCTTCCCGCATGGCTAGTCGTGTGGCTCGCCAGAACGCTGCCGGCCTGTCGACCGCTGCCCGTGTGGCCGCTCCGTCGCTGCGCTCGGCTGGTGTTCCCAGCATTGCCAAGGCCATGAACATTGGTGGTATGTATTCTTCACTTTTTTCATGGACTAACTCTGTAGCTCGTGGTCTTGCCACTGAGGCCAAGACTGGTGCCGGTCAGGTCGGTGCTATCCGTGCCGTTATCGGTGCCGTCGTTGACGTTCACTTCGAGACTGACAGCCTTCCCGCCATCTTCAACGCCCTGGAGGTCCAGGACATGAAGAACGGTGGCCGCCTCGTTCTGGAGGTTGCCCAGCACCTTGGTGAGAACACTGTTCGTTGCATTGCTATGGACGGTACCGAGGGTCTTGTCCGTGGTCAGAAGGTCCTTGACACTGGTGCCCCGATCACTATCCCCGTCGGTAACGGTACCTTGGGCCGTATCCTGAACGTCACTGGTGAGCCTGTGGATGAGCGTGGTCCGGTTAAGACTGACGTCTACCGCCCGATCCACCGTGAGCCCCCGGCGTTCGTTGAGCAGTCGACTGATGCTGAGATTCTTGAGACTGGTATCAAGGTGGTCGACCTGCTCGCCCCATACGCTCGTGGTGGTAAGATTGGTCTGTTCGGTGGTGCCGGTGTCGGTAAGACCGTGCTGATTCAGGAGCTTATCAACAACATTGCCAAGGCCCACGGTGGTTTCTCGGTGTTCACTGGTGTCGGTGAGCGTACTCGTGAGGGTAACGATCTGTACCACGAAATGATTGAGACTGGTGTCATCAACGTTGACGGTGACTCGAAGGTCGCTCTCGTGTTCGGTCAGATGAACGAGCCCCCGGGTGCCCGTGCCCGTGTCGCCCTGACCGGTCTGACCATCGCCGAGTACTTCCGTGACGACGAGGGTCAGGATGTGCTGCTCTTCATTGACAACATTTTCCGTTTCACTCAGGCTGGTTCGGAGACTTCGGCTCTGCTGGGTCGTATCCCGTCGGCTGTCGGTTACCAGCCGACCCTTGCCACGGATATGGGTGCCATGCAGGAGCGTATTACCACCACCAAGAAGGGTTCGATTACCTCGGTGCAGGCCGTTTACGTTCCGGCCGACGATGTGACTGACCCTGCCCCGGCCACGACCTTCGCCCACTTGGACGCCACCACTGTGTTGGACCGTTCGATTGCCGAGCTGGGTATCTACCCGGCCGTCGACCCGCTGAACTCGAAGTCGCGTATGCTTGACCCGTCGATTGTTGGTGTGGAGCACTACAACGTTGCTTCGGGTGTGCAGAAGCTTCTTCAGGACTACAAGTCGCTCCAAGATATCATTGCCATTCTGGGTATGGATGAGTTGTCGGAGGAGGACAAGCTCACTGTCGAGCGTGCCCGTAAGATGCAGCGTTTCCTGTCGCAGCCTTTCGCTGTGGCCCAGGTCTTCACTGGTATCGAGGGTCGTCTTGTGTCGCTCAAGGACACCATCAACGCCTGCAAGGAGATTCTGTCGGGTAAGCATGACAACCTCCCTGAGGCTGCCTTCTACATGGTGGGTGGTATCGATGATGCTGTCGCCAAGGCTGATGAGATCAGCAAGCAGTCCAACTAAACGGTCGACTGCCGTTCCATACAGCCGTAGTCTAGTTTGTTGTGAAGCATCATAGCGCACTTGCTTGATTCGTAGCTGATATGGAATTAAGGATCGTGACAACAGAACTATTGAAGTGATATACTCTATGGCATGCAAACGTTTGTTCAAACTAAGCGGGCTCGTAGTGGTAGTGATTAAAAGTAAGCACGAGTCTTCATTCCATTTCTTGAATTCTCCGTGTAGATGCAATTGGGAAAACGTTTCTAGACATTAAGGCATTTACAATTATTATTTACAACATATCATACGGAATGTAAAGGCATAGAATTCCTAAATTAAGGCTAATATAAAAACGAGCATCGAAATATCAGGCATTGTAATGGTGCGAAATATATTGCATCTCATCTTCGTGGTATTCCCGGGAGTTATAGTTTTGTTTCCCATATGGGGTATGTAGCGCTGGACGTAAACGAACGCGTGCCATGAATAACGAGCATAAAAAGCAAATACCTGAGAAAGGTATCAAGACATAATAGAAAATTCTTAACGCTTTACCAAAGGTGTCACGAAGAGCCCAGGAAACTTGATTGGGCATGTTAGTGTGAATTGCATTAACGAGTCCTGTGGCAGAAGACTTGCTAGTCATAACTTGAATCATATGTGCTTGATGAGGATCTAAGTGATACTCGGATGCAATACTTGGCCATTGCGATGAAATCTGTGATTGAATAATAGCACCACCAATTGCAACACCAAATATCTGTCCTAGACTTCTTAAGAACATCGCAATAGATGTAGAAGCAGCGACCATAGTTTCGGTAAGTTTGATTGAATAGCTGGAACTAACAGTGAGAAGAAAAACCCAAGACCAATGACTGTAGGAACTTGGAAACCCATCCAGTCTTGCATGGTTGAAGTAGCACTCCACAAAGTTTGCAAACCAATACCAATGGTTTGAATAATACCAGCATAGCATAACAGGTACTTATAATCCTGAGCATAGACCATAATGAAACCAGCTGCCGCAGCAGAAGGCGCGATGACAAATGACGAAGGAAATGTATCAATTGCTGCCCGGATAGGTGAGTGACCCGTCGTAAACTGAAAGAAAATTGGATTGTAGTAAAAAAGGGGCCATGGAAAAGGTTCCGTGAAAGAAGCATACGACGTAACATAGATATGCTGTCTTACTCACGAATATAGCCTTTGGAAAACAGGGATATTTGAAAACCCGTAGTTCAAGCGGTACAAGAAATAAAAGCGAGATACCACCAATAATGATGGGCGCAATCACACGGGTATCTGACCATTCGTATATGATGCCACCCCAAGTAAGGCCAACAATCAAACTGGCGACGGAACCACACAAAGAAGAATTCCTGGCCAGTCAAATTTTTTAATAATTTCTCCAAAAGGAACACGAGAAGCTTCAAGGTTTAGGCAGAAAAATACTAACATGTAGCAGATTCCCTAGAGAGGTAACATAATGTAAAAAATCCATCTCCATGCCACTAAACACTGAACAGCTTTTAGGGTTTTCGTGAATTTTAAAAATCGCGGACAGTGAGTTAGTCTTGGCTGCCTCCACATACTGATAAACCCTGCAAACTTTCCAAGACTATACAGAATTTATGAATGCCTTTGGACCAACTGCCCCGTTGGATGCACGACGACACCTGATCAGCACGAGATCTTGTGTACGTGCAATACTACCTATCTTCAATGGCCAAACATATGTGCAAACTTACTTATCTAGGTATCAGTCTTGTGTGATTTATCAAGCCTTGTTGTTGGTCTGGACGAAGTGTGCGTTAGGAAGCAAAATCATAGTAAGCCGACTAAGAGTACAAGATTTTTGGGTAGCTCAAATACACGCCAAATGCATTAAGATCCGTCAATTTTCGATTTAAAATTTCAATGGGACCCAATATTAATAGAAGCGCTAATCCTCACTGAATCAGAGCTCCCCGCAAATAAACTTTGTGGAGCATCCGTCAAGTAGGGCCTTTTACTATCAAGAGATACGAAAGAGTCAGTTGAAGCGATAGAACATCGGTTAGGGACTACCAAAATGAGAAGCGCATTCTATATATTTTATCAGACGGTTTAAACACACAAACCCCACACCTGTAACTGGAATGAACTACTGATTCGGAGGTGCTATATTGCGTTCGGTGAAATTCTGCCTGTCATAAAAGTAAAAGCCAGTAACTGAATGTAGTTTATTAAAAGATATATTGTATACTATATATACATGTCGAAAACTGTTCTTTTGAGAACATTCAATTCGGTCGTAGACGATACTTCCCGCCGCCTAATGGATTTGTAGATCGTGACAGCCGAAACCTTTTACATCACATCAGAAGAAGAGCTGTTCCAGTCACCGCTCGCAGTTACATTATCGTCATTTTCATCATCGTAATTTGGTAGATCTGATGCGTGTAATACTTTACATGTGTGCTTTTCAACACCACTTGGCTGAGAAAGTAAAGCTGTGCGAGCTTCTTCCAATAGCGTATCGATCATTTCACGGCATCGCTCATGACTTTCGCTGAGCTCTTGATCTTGCCGCTTAAGAACTTGTAGTACTTCTCCGCCCAAAGACCATTTGTCGGAAGTACGGCGGTTTTCCCACATATCTGCCAAGGAGGCGTGCAATCCATCAAGGCCTAATGGGTCTTCAGACTGAGTTGCATCCACCTTTTCCATAACTAGTTGCTGCCGAAGAATTCGTAATTCCTTGGTCATCTTTACCTTGCTTGCCTCCAAAGCCGCATTGACAGCTAATAGACTTTTGTTCGAAATTTCCAAATCCAATATCTTGCGTGCGTGCTTTGCGTCCATAATATCTGATATATCTCTTGACGTCTCATCCGAGAGGCCTGCTGTAGCAGGAAACGCTATGTTGTTTGATACAGGTGTTGAGGCCGCAACGATGGAGCGTGTATTCAAATCTGACACGGAGTGGCTCAGGTCCTCGATCGGATCTGGCGCAAGAATCACATTAGGACTGGGAACAACGGTAGGTTGAGATTTCCCTCGTGCCATGGAGGGATTTGACGGAGCTACAGTCGCTCGTAGTGGTCTAGAACGGTCCATACTTGTAGTTGGGCGCCGCTCTGGGGAAGAAGTAGGTACATTTAAACGCCGAGTTTCCACGCTAGGTGAATGAGGTGATGTAAAAGGCTGAGGAGAATCTTGATCAGGATAGGACCGGATAGGAGTTGCTCGTATAACACCCATGGCAGAGAGAGGACGTCGATGAGCGGATTGTGGCGAGGAAGGGTATCCACGGGGAGACGAATTGATAGGCGCACGGACTGGACGGTCATGGAACGACGATGAGGTGTCCCAACCTGGGCTAGGTTGGGCTGAAGGAACAATGCGTGGGGCAGGTAAGAGGGACGTCGGAGCTGATTCTCCCATAGACCATGAGTCCAAGTCAAGTGAAACTGATGAATGCCGATCTTTCACACCATGCCTTTTCCCTGTTCCATCCAGAGTAGTAGTCCGGGGTGACGAATGCGCTGAATATCTGTGTTGTGAACTCGTGGATGTGGGGGGTGTTGGCGCTCCTTGGACGACAGAGCGGCGCAGAGACAATTGCGAAGATATTTTCCGCATGCGTGGTATCGAGGATAAGGGTGAGGTTGGTGTCTTCGCATTCGGCTCGGTACTAGTTCTTGACATGGAGGGTCTACCAACATCAACACGAGCGCGAAGAGGCGTGGCCTTGATTCGACTCTTGCCTAAAGCGCTTGAAGGCCGTGATGGAAGCTTCACCACATTTGTATCTATAGCCGATGGTGCCACCGCTACCTTGGCTCGAGGCTGGCTCATCCTCACTTCTCTCCCCCTCACTCGGCAGTTGAATGCTAGGCTCGTGTCACAATTGGTGTGCCTTTCTTGCTCGGCGCGTGTTGCGCGTAGTGTGTCACGTGCCAATTGAGGGGTTCGACCCTTCCACGCCACGTAGGATGGGATAAAGAAGTCGGAGTCTATACTGGTTTAAGAACAGAGGTAGATAAAATTCTAGATTCATAGTTACTCATTACCATCTTGAGAAGAGGGAGCAGAAGTGTGCTTGTTAGCACTCGACTGTGCCTGGCTCGATGGCCTGCTAGGAGGAGCTTCCATGCCATACTTCATTCGCACAGCCTCAAAGGTTTTGAGCATTTTCCTGCGAGCGCCTAGAGCAGCGACACCCTTCTCTTCCAGGGCTTGGTCATCCATCATCACCATTTCACGCCAGTTGCATCCCTCAAAGTTCGGGGTGTATTTGTGAAGACGAAGATGGCGCAGCCATGAAGGCACGTCGTTGAGAATCGAGATATCTGCCACCTCTTCTTCAGGTTGCTGGCCAGGCAGTGTCGAAGGTACCATAGAAGGAGAGCCCATCGCAGCGCGAGTAGATAACGTTGGGCTACGAGGCGCGCCGCTTCCTACAGCACCGGCGTTGCGCTGGTTACCACGCGAAGGAATACGACTTTGCTGCTGGTGGTTGAAGTTCACCATATTAAGCTGCTGTTGCTGCTGGAGGATCTGCTGCTGCAGTGCCATCAACTGTGCCGAATTCATATTATTAAGGCCGCCCATGGCAGCCATTGCGTTCATCATTTGGAGGTTGGCAGGGTTAGACATACCACCGGACGGGCTCTGCAGTCCGGCTAGAGTATTTGGGCTCATGGTAGGGATATTGAAGTTGTTAAACTGAGGACTCGTCGCCATATTCGGGGGGCTATGCGGCATAGAACTGCCGTTGTTGCCCTTCCAGTTGGCTCCATGATCGTACATCGAGCCAAACATATTTTGCATATTGCCAGATGCATTTCCGCTTCGCATGCTGCGCGAGGTATCAGCATTCTCAGCTTGCGCTGCCGCCACCTGCTGGCTCAACTGAGCCAGTTGGGCCGCTGTGGCTTCCAGCTTCGCGTTGGTATCACCACTCAATTGATCTGAGCGGTTGTTATCTAACATAGACATAATCGGAGTATTCACCATACTAGCCCAGCTGCCGCCGACACTCACAGGCGACAATGTATCGTCCAAGGGACCACCAGCCCGAGGCGAACGTGAGATATCGCTGGAACGAGGACGATCACGCGGCGTTGCAGGGATGTCTGGCTTTTCTTGCAAGTTTTCCAGCTTGGAGTTGCCACTGTACGACATCGACTCCATGGGAATAGTACCAGGGGCCGAAGTTCGATTGGCTTTGAGTTTGCTGCGCTGCGCAGCAAGTGCTGCAGAGACATCAGGGCTGCCAGAGCCATACAGCGACGCAGCATTCGGGGATAAGAAGCCAGTGCTTTGACGCTGGAATCCGCGCGAGCCAGGCGAGGTAGTCTTCATAGCTGTAGGCGACTTGATACCTAGCTGCGCCATCTTTGCCTCAAGCTGATCGCCCAGGGCGTTATTAGCCGAGTTGGGCGAGATAAAGGCGCCCACAGGATCGCTACGGGCCATCTGCTGGAGGACCGTAATGAAGAATCGAATCTGAACTTGCGTCGACTCTTGCAGCAGACTGTACAGCGCAGCTGTACGTTCGGCCTCGCTGAGCACGCGGAACCCTATGCAAGGTTAGGTGGCTGTGTGTACGTACATTGTTCAATCGCGCTCAATTCCTCCTTGAAGTTTTGGTCCAGTGAAGCCGCGGCCATCTCCTCTAGAGTGGCCTCGTAGTTTTGAAGGTCTTCAAACCACTTGTCAATGACCTCCGTCTCAGGCGTGCCTTGCTGGCCCACCGGGAGCATCTCTGAGCTTGGACGCATGTTGCCGCGGCCCATGCCAGGTACCTGACCTGCATTGCCGATGCTCAGGGCGCGGTGTCCTTCCTGCTGGGACATGCGCACGACGCCCTCATTACCGAGGCCCATCTTCCCGTTGTGGGAGTAGCGCAAAGAGCTGCCACCGACCGGATTCGAAGAACGCTGATGGTCGACCTGCCCAGGCGATGGCGAGCGCCCAATACCGGAATGGAACGAAGAACGCATGGAATGCATACCCTCAAATATACACACTAAAGCACCCCACTGTTCTTCCTCGTCACTCTAGGCCACTTTGGCGCGGTGACTGGGAGCAATGCAGAGGATGGTGGCAAACGCTCTCTCTTTCGGTTGGCTACGCCTACATTTTTCGGGAGACACGGCCCCCAAGGGCCTAAGGCTTCGCTACGACAAAAGCTTAGTCAATGGCCGCGTGTCAGAGCCTCCACCAGTCACATTTCAGGTCGTTGGAATTCGCGATGCCTATTTAAAACAGACCGATCACTTGGCCGTTGTCGACCAGGTCAATGTCATAGTAGCCTGGGCGCGTGCTCAAGCCCGGCATCGTTTGCATAGCACCACATAGCGGGTACAGGAAACGGGCGCCTGCCGAGAGACGCACGCTGCGGATCGGTACCGTAAAGCCTGTAGGCACGCCCTTCAGCGCCGGATCGTGAGACAGAGAGAGATGTGTCTTGGCCATGCAAATCGGCAAGTGCGCAAAGCCTTGGCGGGCGTACCTGTCAATCTGCTCCCGCGCTTCCGGAAGGATTTCAATGCCGTCGGCGCCATACATGCGGCGTGCAATCGTCTCAATCTTCGCCTCAATCGGCTGGTCCAGCTCGTAGAGGAACTGGAATTGCGACTCGGTGTGCTGCAGCTGCTCGATCACCGCCTTCGCTAGTGGGATCGCACCCTCACCACCGTTTGCCCAGTGGTCCGATGGCACCGCTGCATCAGCACCTGCTTCCAACGCACGACGAACGACCAAGTCGAGCTCCGTCTGCGTGTCCGACGCAAACTTGTTCACAGCGACGACTACCTTGAGGCCAAACTGCTTCGCGTTCTGGATATGCTTGCCAAGGTTCCCGCAGCCCGCGTCAAGGATCTCGAGGTTCTCCTGCGTATACACATCGCTCAGCGGCTTGCCGGGCGACACGTCAGGGCCGCCGCCGTGCGACTTGAGCGCACGCACTGTTGCGACAAGAACTACGGCGTCAGGGACCAATCCACTCTCGCGGCACTTGATGTTGCAGAATTTCTCCATGCCAATATCAGCGCCAAAGCCGGCCTCCGTGATCACGTAGCCAACACGCTCAGCCGGCTCGCCTTCCTTTCGGCCAGCCAGCTTGAGCGCAATGGCATCCGCTAAGATCGAGGAGTTGCCGTGCGCAATGTTCGCAAATGGACCAGCATGCACAAACACTGGCGTGCCCTCCAGGGTCTGCATCAGGTTCGGCTTGATGGCATCGCGCATGAGCACTGCCAACGCACCGCCAGCACCGATATCGTCTGCCGTGATCGGCTCACCGCTCTTGCTCGAACCAATAACCATGTTGCCCAGACGCTCACGCATGTCCTTCAAGTCACGGCTCAAGGCCAAAACGGCCATACATTCCGACGCCACGGCGATATCAAAGCCCGTCTCGCGCGTCAGTCCCTTTTCCGTCGGCGCCTCACCCGCGGTGATCTGACGCAGGTAACGGTCATTCGTATCCACCACACGGCGCCACGTCACCGAGTCAGGGTCGATATCGAGACGCGCAAAGCGACGTGCCTCCTCCTCGGTAAGGGTATCCGGATCTGTCTTGTCAATGCCAAGCTTGCGAAGTCGCTTCAGCATGACATTGGAGAACGTGCGAACGCCCTTCTTGCGCGGTGTCAGGCGCTCGTACAATGCCTTGTCTGACTGTGTCGCTTCGTGGAACATGCGCGTGTCCACAGCCGCAGCTAAAAGGTTGTTCGCCGCCATCACAGCATGGTTGTCACCCGTAAGGTGCAAGTTAAACTCCTCCATAGGAATCACCTGCGAGTAGCCACCACCAGCGGCACCACCCTTAATACCGAACGTAGGTCCTTGCGATGGCTGACGCACACACGCAAAAGCCGGACGGTTCAGGTGCGCACCAAGCGCTTGGGCCAGACCAATGGTCGTCGTCGACTTGCCCTCACCTAGCGGTGTTGGCGTAATACCTGCCACGACAATGTATTTGCCATTGGTTCGATCCTTCAGACGATCCAAGACACTCAACGACACCTTTGCCTTCACATCACCATAGGGCTCCAATTCGCTGGACAGCAGACCAATTTCATGCGCGATCTGCGCAATCTTCTTTGGCGTCTGTGCACGTGCAATCTCAATATCACTCGGCACAGGGCGCTTCAATGTCAAGGGGTTCCGCGACGTTACGCCACGAGGACGGCTCGTTTCACGGTCCGCACGGCGTTCGGCAGCAATGAACACATTGTCCATCAGCATCGCCACTGTCATGGGGCCGACACCGCCTGGAACAGGCGTAATAGCAGCCACTACAGGTTCCGCTGAGGCATTGTCGACATCGCCAACCAGACGCTGCCCAGACTTTTTCGTAGCATCCGGGATGTAGTTGGTACCTACATCAATCACCACAGCGCCTTCCTTGAGCCACGAGCCTTGCACGAAGTGGGCCTTTCCGATCGCTGCCACCACAATATCCGCTGTCTTCAAGAGCTCCGGTACGTGGGCCGACTTGCTGTGCACCTGCGTCACCGTGCAATTGCGCGAACGCAAAAGGGCAGCTACTGGGTTGCCGACAATATCGCTGCGTCCCATGACAACGGCATGCATACCAGACAAGTCCTTTAAGCCCACGCTTTCGAGAAGACGCAAAATACCAGCTGGCGTGCATGGCATAAACGACGGGTTGCATGCCTTCGACGATAGCTGTCCAATGTTCAGGGTATGGAAGCCATCCACGTCCTTTGATGGCGCGATCTCCTCTGTCACACGTCGCTCAGCCTCGGAATCAATATGATCACCTAGCGGCAGCTGCACTAGGATCCCATCCACACTCTGGTCATCGTTCAGGCGATGGACTTCCGAGCGAATCCTCTCTTCGGTCGCATCGGACGGAAGCTGAATATGCTGGGCAAGGATCCCACACTGCTCCGCTGCCTGACGCTTCATGCGGATGTATGTTGAGGAAGCGCTCTGCTCACCCACCTGGATAATACACAGATGCGGCTGGAAGCCCGGGTGCGACTGCTTCAGCTTCTGGACTCGCTCGGCCACCGAAGCACGAATGGACCTAGATGTCAGTACTCTCAGCCGGATACGTACGCAGCAAGGGCCGTACCATCGATACGCTTGTTGGGAGGGGCGTTCAAAGTCATGAGGGAGCGAAGAGGGGAAAAAGAGCAGGCCTGCACAATGCTACGTAGTGGTCCCCACAAAGTTGGTCGGAAGGCCACGGTCTGCATTGTCACGAAACACGCGGGGTGCAGCGGGGCCAATATCAGGCAATTGGGGAAATAATTATGAAATAGACGTCGTTGCATCAAACAGCGGACCTCCCTACTCTACAAATATATGCTAATTGGCCGCATCAAAGCGAGCTTTGCTGGCGGCAAACAGCTCTTCCTGTTGCCGCTGCAGCTCCTCTTCTGTGAGGCCACTCATTTCAAATCGTGATGCCTTGCGTTCACGCTCCTATAGGGCTGTTAGCACGCATATATATACAAACCTTTTGGTGCTGGCGATGGTCCTGAAGCACATCTTGGACTTCGCGCGTGTACTTTTCGAAACCCAAATCCACGAGGGCCTTAACGACGTGATCCGGCGCGATGGTCTTCTTCGAATCTTTCTCGCAGGCCTCATTGGACTCACTGGAGACTAGATGAATAAACTCGACACAGCATTCAATGAGCAAATCCCGCGTATCTTTCGCACAGCTCATATCTTTCGGCAGATACTCTTGAATGAGCTTTTGGACAGTAGCCTTAGGCAGGGAGAGCTCCTCATCATCTACGGGAGCGCTACCCCCAAAATCATGCTCATCATCCGACATACTCATCGCGCACAGAGCCGGACGCGTCACGGGGGGGTTGGGTCGGCCTGCGCGTTGGGCGTATTTAAGATGTCCCACGTGCAGCCACGATTTGTCGAGTCTACGCTCTGCTCGGAAAATATGGCTACCTATTTCCCAGGCCACAGATACAGAGGATAATACGTTCTCGTTCATTGGCAGCCACGTGATGTGCATATGTTCGCATGTCATGCATGTGACACTCACTCACTGACTCGACTTGAGCACCATGTCCTTGTCGAACTCGCAGATTTTGACTGCCCATGATGCTCTAAACGAGCTGGATGACCGTCATATCCTCAGCATCAAGCCCCTTATTCCCCCCCAGATCCTCATGGAGGACTACCCTCTCCCTGTGGATGCTGCTCAGACTGTTTTGAAAGGTCGTCACGACACTGAGGCGATCCTCAAGAAGGAGCAGGATCGTCTTATTGTAGTGGTCGGTCCATGCTCCGTGCATGATGTGCGTGCTGGTATTGAGTACGCTAAGCGTCTTCGTGAATATGCCGACAAGGTTCAGGACGATCTGCATATTATCATGCGTGTCTACTTTGAAAAGCCTCGCACCACAGTTGGTTGGAAGGGTTTGATCAATGATCCGGATCTGGACGGCTCCTACAATATCAACAAGGGTCTGCGACTCGCCCGTGGTTTCCTTCTGGAGGTGACAAAGATTGGTTTGCCTACGGCCACAGAGTTCCTTGATGCGATCAGTCCACAGTACACAGCTGACCTGATTTCGTGGGGTGCCATTGGTGCTCGCACTACCGAATCGCAGGTGCACCGTGAGTTGACCAGTGGTCTGAGCATGCCTGTAGGCTTCAAAAATGGTACAGATGGCTCTGTGCGCATTGCTGTCGATGCCATCAAGTCGTCCTCTAGCTCGCACCACTTCCTTTCGGTTACAAAGCAGGGCATCTCGGCAATTGTGCAGACCAAGGGCAACCAGATGTGCCATGTCATTTTGCGTGGTGCCAACTCTGGGCCCAACTACAGCAGCGAACATGTGGAAAATGCCAAGGCCGCTCTGGAGAAGGCCGGCCTCCCATCGCGAATCATGATTGACTGCAGCCATGGCAACAGTGAAAAGAAGCATCAGAACCAAATTAAGGTAGTCGACAGCATTGTGGAGCAGCTTTCGGCTGGCAATGAGGCTTCTTGGAGCATTATGGGTGTTATGCTGGAGAGCAACCTTGTGGAAGGTCGCCAGGATGTGCCTGCAGAGGGCCCGCAAAATCTGACGTATGGTCAGTCGATCACAGATGCATGCATTAGCTGGGAGACCACGGTTGAGGCCCTTGAAAAGCTTCGTGCTGGTGTCCGTGCGCGTCGTGAAAAGTCGCCCTCGCACCTGCAGCCTGGCCAAAAAGTCAACGATGGTGTCTTGGAGCCGGCTACGTCCAAGGTGGGCTTTAACGATGCTGCGCTTGCAACGCTGGGTAAGTAACTATATACGCATTTTCCCCACGTATACACGCAGCCAGGTTTATCCTTTAATATGACGTAGTGGGTAGCTCGTATGCTAGCTTATGTTGTGCGGGTATGAATTGTCAACGGATGTGTAGTTGACTGCCTCTGTGACCATCAAAACTGCATGCCAAGCGGGAAAAAACGAAAAGACAGCATTATCCAAGACATTTAGTTGTATACTTTTGCTTGAAGCGCAGCCATGTCTCTCCGCATCACTTCCAATTTTTCATCGGCCTGATGAGCACGTTCCTTCGCAGCCTCCAATTCCATCGCTTGGTCACGAAGCAGTTGCTCAGAGTACGCCACAGAGGCTTTGAGCATGTTGATCTGGCCTTCCAATGCATCGACTGTCTTTTCGTACTCCACAATTACTGGCTCTGCTGCTTCCAAAAAGTCATTCGAGCCACCATTCCGCCCTTGCTCTAGCTGGACCAATTCTGCGCTTAACTGCACGTTCTTACGGCTTAGGGCCGTGCATTTTTCTTGCCAAGCTAAAAGTTCACGTTGCCATTCGGACTCCATAGGCGCACTCATCTTCTCCGGCGAGGCCAGCACCAGTTCGTTGGAACTTCGGACGAGATCCAGCTCTTTACGCAAGCGTGTCACAAGACCCTGTAAATACTCCAAGTTGTCCCAACCCGCTTCCACTTGATTCCGCTCGACCGTGTTCCGAATACGACGCGCTCGTTGTGCATACTGCAGCGTGTTGAGTGTTTCACTGACGTTGCCTTCCGTAGACGAAACGCAGGCAATCATTAGCGTGTGTGCATTTCCACCAAGACTATCCTGCAACAGCCGAGTCAATTTGCTGTCGCGGTAGGGAACATGCACGGCCCGCTTTGACCTGGCAGGATCACTTAAAATGCTGATGACATTTCCAAGTGCATGCAGACCTGAATTAATCGCGATGCCCTCCCTCGCACGATCACCTGTAGCAGCTGTGCGCTTCAGCCTCTCCGAGCCAGCCAGGTCCACAAAGTGCAGCTTACTGGTGGTAGTGACAATGGTCTCTTCTGCAGGTCGCCGACCAGGTGTACCTGTGCGAATAGGAATCCGCGCCGTCGGCGTTTGTGGACGTGTAGGCGAGCCCTGGCGCGACATGGGAGCGCGGCCACCGAGTGTCGGTAGACCCGATCGTGGCGTACGCGGCGTGGCAAATCCTTTTTCAGGGCTCAGACGACCTAACGACGAGGGGGCTCGTTCCTGGACAGTTCGTCGTTGTCGTGTCAAGGTGATAGAAAAGATAGCATGAGAACGTGAGGACTGCGCATTCATTTCTGTTTCATGTGTCTGACGCATGGCCATGCCATCCTGCAATAAGCGAACAACCTCATGCTCACTCGCCACGGCATGCTGCCGCAAACCCATCCATACAATCTCGCCTGCCCGCGTCTCGCGAATTTGAACTTGGCAAGGCTCATCGATAGGGTCTGAAAGTAGATCAATAAGATCTTCATTGTACAGTTCCAAGAAGCTCACGGTAAGCTTGTATTCAGAGTCTGGGTCACTCATGTCGCGCAGCGTATGGAAGATTTGTCGCGCTGCCCGGGGGATAATACCAATGCGATCGCCCAGTTCATCCATGTCCTCCTCTTCAAGAAGAAGCGTTTCACTTTCCTCCGAGGTTCCCATAGAATACGACTTGCCACTGGATGTTTGACCATACGCGAAAATGGTGGTGTTATACCCATCCAGGAACCGCTGCACTAAGGGTGCTACACTAGTTTGGTATACCGTTGTCTGCGCTGCATCCACATCGAACACGCGATCAAAGGAAAACGAATGGCGTGACTCGCGTGACGAAGTCACTTGGATGCTTGGCTCGACCAAGACACTGGTAAGGGAAGTGGCCGTGACAGCTGGTCGCATGAAGCGCGAGGCGGCTTGCATGGGGTCTTCCACAGCATCAGGCCGAAGTCGCACCGCTATGATGTAAGTTCTTCTTGTTTTGGGACAACATACCAACTTGCACTGCGGAAGCACCAGTTTCAGATGCGCTCTCTGGCGCGCGAAATGGCGTCGAAGGTATGCCTACCATGGTATCTCCACGCCAAAGTGATGCTCAGGGCTGAACAACACCAAGCAACACTGTGGTCCTCTCCACGTGGTTACCACGTGTGAAACATGCCGCCCCTCGAGATCCTAAGCTTGATTGTGGACGACGTGTGGCATGAGCAGCGCTCTGAACGAGCGCCAGCGGGATGAGCTGTAAGTACTGTACCATCTTACATGATAGCCACAAAGCATTGCTGGAGTATTTTTATGTGTCTGGCTTCCAAACTACATATGATGCGTTGAAATCTGATGCGAAACAAGAGAATTATGAACCTGATAACAAGAGCAAGTATGCCGGTCTACTAGAGAAGAAATGGCTAAGTACGATTCGCTTGCAGAAAAAGGTATGTAGCTCACCTACTGACCTCAGAATATGGAATTGGCATCCAAAGTCGCTGAGCTGGAGAAAGAGCTGCAGTCGGCGCCCAGTGCACGTCGCGGCGCTTCCGCAGCCGATTGGTACCCGCGCATACCACCGCGGCATACGCTACTGGGCCACCGACAGCCTATCACGGATGTGGCGTTTCATCCGATGTTCACGCTGGTCGCTACGGCTAGTGAGGATTGTACCATTAAAATATGGGATTGGGAAACGGGCGAGTTGGAACAAACGTTAAAAGGGCATACCAAGCCTGTTCAAGGCATCGATTTTGATCATGCTGGACAATATTTGGTATCATGTTCATCTGATTTATCGGTAAAAGTGTGGGATGGTAACGATGCATGGAAGAACGTTCGCACCATCCATGGGCATGAACACAGCGTTTCCAGCGTGCGTTTCATGCCGAACGACCAATACATTGTGACGGCAAGCCGTGATAAAACGCTTAAAATATGGGAACTTCACTCAGGCTTTTGTGCGCGCACGTTGCTGGGGCACACAGACTGGGCACGTACGCTAGACATTTCATCAGATGGGCGCTGGCTGGTCAGTGGTGCAAGCGATTGGAGTGTACGCTTGTGGGATGCAGCGTCTGGGGAAGCACGTCGTGAGCTACGAGGCCACGAACATGTGGTGGAGTGCGTCGCCTTTGCGCCTACTACGTCGTATCAGGCTATTCACACACTCACAGCTAGCCGTCCCTCTAAGGACGATGCAAGTGCGTCGTTGCCAGGACAGTTCCTGGCATCGGGTTCGCGTGATAAAACGATTCGTATATGGAGCCAGCAAGGGCAATGTCTACGTGTATTGGTATGTACCTGATTTCGGACTAACCAAAGTCTGGGCATGACAACTGGGTCCGTGGGATAGCATTCTCGCCCAATGGCAAGTTTCTACTCTCGGTGTCCGACGACAAAACGATACGTGTATGGGATTTAGCCTCGGCACGGTGCCTTAAAGTGGTGGAGAGTCATACCCATTTTGTCACGTCGATGGCGTGGGGCCGAAGTCGCGTGGAGACCGCTGCGTCTGGCAAGGAATCCACTGGTAGCACGCAGTCTGTCAATGTGGTTGCCACCGGCTCTGTGGACCTCAGTGTGAAAATCTGGACGCCCTGACAAGTTTCGTAGATACCTGCTGGGTCCTACATGCACTTTGCTGAATGGTCCTGGCCCTTCTGTCTGTATGTACTATTAAATTCCTCTTCGATATTTAGTCAGCCTGCCACGCGCGTCACGCTACGCGTCGTGCGCCTTGTCGTGAGCTGCGTCGACCATGGACGTGCCAGAGCAAGGCGCTGAAAAGCAGGCGGCGTCTCCCGTGCCCAACACAGTGGAAGCGATGAGTGACTCAGAAAAGGAAGATATTCCACTCTCTGCCAAGTCTATGTCTGCGACCAATGCGGCAGGCGGTACGTTTGGATTGGGCCTCGATCAGTTTGAATTGCCGAAGGCGTCGATCGCCAAGGTGGCACGTAGCGAGGTGCGTTATCCGTGTCCTGCTCTAATATCAGATCCCAGAGTCTGTGCAGTTGCGTAAGGATACCATCACTGCGCTTGTCAAGTCTGCCTCTGTATTTGTGAGCTATTTGAGTACGTATTGCATGGATCTGACGTGAAGCTGCGGCATCGCATGATGTGGCCATCGCGCGCGGCAACAAGACGATCTCTGCAGCCCATGTCCTGGATGCTATGCGGGAATTGGATTTCCCTCCTGCGATGCGCAAAGAGCTTCGCGAACAATTGGAAGGTATGTCGCTTCGGTTCTCACGCAAACAGCCTACCGTGACCTCCAGAAGAAGAGCGCAGCTGCTCGCGCTGAAGCAGCTGCCCAAAGCCGGGAGCGTGCGAAGGCAGCCCGAGCTGCTGCGGCTGCGGCTGCTGCGGCAGCAGATGCAGAAGCGGAGGCAGGTGGTACGGAGGGCGCAGAGCCTATGCAAACAGATGAGACGGGCAACACCTACGAGCCTACCTCAGCAACAGACGACCATGTCGTTGTCAAGGAGCTTCCAGAAGCGAACGCGGATGCTGCGCCTTGAACGTTCATGTCGTGCCTATACGCATCTATCGACACAAATTTGTACTATTTTTTTTTTCCATAGCAAACATGGCCAAACCATTACAGCGCTTCGTCATCTGGCTTCGTAGCTATAGGCGGGGGCGGCGCAAACAAGAAAGGCGTCCAGCGCAACTTGTCGCGATCGACGCGAACGTACTTCTTCGCATCATGGTTTGCAAGATGAGCACGGATGCCGTCCAAGTCAGGTACAAGGCGGTAATCATTCGGTATCGGCGTCTCTTGCAAAGGGATAGCAGGACTTTCACGGCGTTGGTCTTTGCCACTTTTCTCGGTGAAATATTGCGGCGGAAGCCGTCCCATGTCTGTGCCGTTATGGAAGACTTCGATCATATGATTATCTTGTAGGGTATATAGCACATCGTCCATTTTCATGCCGGTGCGTATGCACAAATCGTCCAAAGTGCATGTGGGGTCGGACTGAAGGGCCCGGAACACGGCTAATTTCCAGTAGCTTCGATAGGTGAGGAAACCCAAGTCAGACAAGGGCTTTTCGGGCGAGCCAAGGCGTCCTTCTTTCTGGGAGAGTAGGTAGCTCATCTCAATAAGGAAGTAGCCCCATCCACGTCGCTGGTGAATCGGCAGTGTCATGATACAGCTTACATTGTAATCCATAGGTGAGCGTTTCTCCTTGCTGTAGTACCCCACAAAATGCGAACCTGATGCATCACTCTCCACAAAGACATAAAACAAAAACGGTTCCACGTCGTAATAGAGGGTTTTATGGTCAAGGAACAACTTTGCTAGCAAACACAGGTTTTGGCAGTAGATTTTGTTTTTGCTCCCGTCCACTTCGAACACAGAAATGCTGTTTGCGCGATAAATTTCCTGGCCAGGCGGATAATGCATCATGCATTTCATGCGGTGCCGTGTAGCCATAAAACGGCTTTTCATGTACTTCAAACAAAACTCACACATCCACAAGCGCCCATCAGGTACAACGCTGTACTCTTCTGGGAAGGGGGCCTGAAACCATGTCTGGATATCATAGGAGCCAAAGCGAATCATGGAAATCGGGCGTGCCTTCCCTGTACTGGCACCGGCTGCCGACACACTTTCTGCCTTGATGTTGTGGGAGGGGGCGTGCAGTGTACGTGACGGTAAACTCACTGCACCACCCAGCTGGTACTCAGCAGCTCGTTTGCTAGCTTGGTATCGCTCCATATCGTCTTCTGACGGTTCATTCGTCGTGGTATTGGCATCGTCGCCAGTGAGCAATCCACTGAAAGGTTCGTCGTCCAATGGCTCTGTGGCTTTGGCTTTCTTTACTGGCGCTTCTTCTCCTTTCGGCTTTCGTTTAATGCGTACAATGGTGCGCGATGGTGCAGGGTTTGGCGGCGCTGGTGGCTGGCACGTTGGGCAGTACCACAGGCCCCGAGGTGGTTTGTCTAGCGCAGGTCGTAAGCAGTACAAATGCCAACCGCGATCACAACGATCACAAAACATAATCTGCTCATCATCGCCTTTATCCAAACATACTTCGCATGTCTTGCACTCCATGCAATGCCAATCGTATGTACGCACAACAGCCAACTTTTTTCCTGCATGGTCCCAATGCATACACGATGGATGTCCTGATGATAAGCATACAAATACGTACCACAACTTCCACATTCACTGCAGCACACAAGCGGCTCAGGCTTCTTCGTCTTGCGATTCATCTCGTCTGTGCCCAGACAAAATGCACACAGGCGAACATGGCTGGGCGCCTTGCCCTTGGCCGACGCCTTGGCACGGCCTACCCCCTGGCGCTGCCAGTGCGTGGCCATCTTGGAAGATGTAGCCACATCGGGCGTAGAAGATTCGCGTTTGATCGCGCCGGGGTCTGTGCCCCGCGCGCGTATGCCCATGCTATGCGTGCTGTGTCGTGTCGTGTCGCTTGAGCGGGGCAGGGAGTCTCAGCGCTAACGCGACGCGACGCGACGCGTCTTGGGATTGATGACTAAACATAGGTACGTACGTACGAACAGACGCTTACTACGACGACGTAGGGGGGCGCATGGCACTGGCACGCGCCAGGTCCTTGGCCAGGAGCTCGGTCTCCAGTTGAATCTCGGCGAGGACTTGTCGCGCAGCCGCTGTGTGCGACTTGCGCCCATTGCCAAGGAGCGGTGTGGGCTTTTCGGGGTGCATCGACGATTTCTCTTTCTCCGCACGACGCAGTTCGTCCTCAAGTTGACGGATACGCACTTCGTACTCAGCCCGCGTCTTGCGCAACTTGTCAGCCGAGTTCTTCTCTGCATTTTGCAAGGCTTCACGTGCTTCATCACGCTGCCGAATCGCATCATCCGCATTCAAGCCGCTGGACGTGCGTGTCAGCGCCTCATGCTCTTGTTGGAGTCGGGCGCGTGTGCGCTCCAGCGAGCGTGTGTACGTCGAGAGCTCCTGTAGCTCCGCCTGGACATCCGAGAGCTGGCGATCCGTGTATTTCTTCGCTTCCTCGAGTACATGCACATGCTCAATCGTGGTCTTGTTCTGCAGCGTCTCCAAGCGTTTGTTCTCCAACTCCAGCGAATGGATTTGGCTTGTGAGTTTGTGCACTTCGGCACTGCGAGCATCCAACTTCTGCTGTAAATCCAGCATGGAACGCGCATGAGCATCTGCAGCAATCTCCGCCTTTTCACGCTCAGTGTCCAGCATTTGCTCCAATTGGGCAATGGTCTCTTGTGCTTCTTCGTGTGCCACACGCAGCGAGTCTGACGTCTCGATATGCGACGCATGCTTCTCAGCGATCTGCTCATGCTGCGTCTGCAGATCCTCATGCTCGGCTGTGAGCGCGTCAAGCGCTTGCGTCGCCTCCAAGGCGCGGGCTTGCCATGATGCGCTTTCCTTTGCGACCGCCTCGTGCGCCTCTAGCAACGAAGCATGCTTGGCCTCAGCATCGCTTAGGCGCTGGGTCAGTTCTTCGTGAGCCGACGTATCCTTAACCGCCCGCTCCAGTTTCTGTTGCCAGTGCTGAAGCTCCACCTCATGCTCGGCCGCCAAGCTTTCAATGTGCTGCTCAGTCCGCTCCATATGCTCTTGCAGCGACTGCTTCGCTGTGGCCAGCTCCTCTTCCAGCTGCCCTGCCTTGGCAATCGCCTCACCATGCTCGTGCTCTAGGTTGGCACGCGACGTAAGTTCTTGCGTAAGTTGCTCGGACACCGTAGACAGCTCGACTTGCAGATCCTTTTCACGCTGCAGGCCATCGTCCAGCTGATCTTGCAGCGACTGCATATCACGAGCCCATTCGTCACGCTCCGCTTGCAGCTCTGCCAGAGCAGCTTCGGCTGTGTCCAGTCGGTTCATTGTGCCTGTGAGCGTGTCATGCGTCGACGCATGCTTGGTGCGTTCATCGTCCAGCTGCTCTTCCAGCAAAGCGTACTCTTGACGCAGTTTGCGTTCCAACTCGGCCAGGCGCTCCCGCTCTTGCTGATCACGCTGGGCACGTTCACGTACCATAGCCATTTCCACTTCATGCCGACGCGCCTCTTCGTCGTTCTCTGTCGCTGCGAGCAGCGGCAACAGGCGCAAGTACAAACGCCACCACGCAGAAGACTGCAGCTTGGCATACGCCTGAGCACTGTCCTGTAAGAGCTGTTTTGCCGCCTTACGACGCAGGCGCTTCTGTGCGAGCCGGCGGGCCATAAACCCACGAGATACTGCCTGGATACCAGTGAAGATCTCATGCAAGCGCACATTTCGCCGTTCCTCCAATTCGGCAAGGACACCAGCCTTGAAAAAGATTTTGGTCGTACCGATACGGTACACAGCAGGGTCCAGATCGAGCGACTCGGCAATATGCCGCGATACGAGACGCGAGTCCATGACATGCGACGTAGGCGTATCCGGGGCCAGAAGAGCGTACCGCTGGACAAATTCGGCGAATAAGGTACGGTTCGGATAACCTAGACGCGCAATACGAATGCCTTCTAGCACACCATTGCATCGCAACTGATCCAGTACGAGCGGCAGATCCATGCGGCCAGGGCGTTTGTCCGAATTCGGCACGATGCAGCGAACAAAGTGCGGCTGTGTAGAGTCAAGCTGTGCCATGAGAGACGCCAGCTGCTCCTTGTGGCGCTGGCCCACCGTGCGGAAAGCCCCGCGACGACTACGTGGCGCGCCAGCGTCGTCAGACGATACCATGGTGACAAATAACGAGGCCAAGAACTCGTGCGACGCGCCAGCGAGTACGCGTGTGATATTATCGTTCAGAGGATCGCGGTTCTTATCCAGCCAGCCATCGGTGCTGTATTCCACATTGGCAGCATAGTGACGCACCATGAAACGCTTCACTTGGCGCGACGGCACAAACTTCGACGAGGCGGCCGTCATGGCTTGGCCCTTCGCAGGACCCCACGTAGCGATCAATTTCTCGGTGAAGGTAGCGTCACTAGCTTTCGGCATAATACACTCTTCATCCAGGGTAGCAAGAATACCGATGGGCGACGACGACTCAATCAGGTCAATGGTCGGCTGTAAATCCAGGCCAAAGTTGACATAGTCCCAGTCAATATCTTCACGAGCATACTCTTGCTGCTCAAGCATGAACATGTGATGGTTGAAAAATTGCTGCAATTTCTCATTGGTATAGTTAATGCAAAGCTGCTCGAACGAGTTGGTCTCAAAGATCTCGAAACCGGCAATATCCAATACACCGATAAACTGTGACTTGCTGGTCGGTCGATCGAGAACCGTGTTGATACGGTCCACAAGCCACCCAAACGTCTTCTCGTACATGGTTTTACATAGGGCCGCAATTTCATCCTGCACCTGCTTCTTCGTACGTGCCTGCGTCACCATCTCGCGGCCTGCGCGGACAGTAGGACGCACAAGGGCATTGTGCAGCTGCGTTGGCTCTACGCCCATCAGTTCACTAATCAGCGTAAGCTGCTGCATGTTGTCCACACGCGCTTGTCCAGAGCGGTCTTCAGAGAGCGAAATGTTACCGAGATGAAGGATCAACGCCACGACCAGGAAAAGCCAGTGCTCTTCCTGCGAGGAAAAGCCCATGGTACGCAACGCTTCGAGGAGCTGCCGGAACTCCACAGTATCGTCGATGCCTTCCACATGCTTGCGTGTGGACGCAAGGTACGCGTAGTCTTCTGGGTAGTTCGACAAAGCCAAACTATCCAGCAAGGCCTGATCATGGCTACGCAGCAGCTGGTAAAACACATGGAAACTGCGCTCGTTCGCGCTGCGGCTATGCACACGGCTCTTTTCCAGCAGATACCATTCGACGTGACCGCCGGCAATCGTGCCTGTGGCCGAGAATTCAATGCGGATAAACTTGCCGAAACGACTCGAGTTGTTGTTTCGTACCGTCTGAGCGTTACCGAACGATTCCAGAATGGGGTTGGCTTCCAGGATCTGACGTTCTAGCAGGCCCAAAGGCTCGCCTGAGCGCCAAGGTCCGGTAGCATCCGCATCAGCAGCTGTTGCGGCAAGGTATTGAATCACACGCTTGGTGTTTTCCGTTTTACCAGCACCGGATTCACCCGTAATCAAGAGGGATTGGTTCTCTTGGTGCTCGAGCATACTTCGCATCGCACCATCTGCGACGGCAAAGATGTGCGGTGGGTTCTCCTCGCGGCGCTTCTCCTTATACATATCTACCACGGCCTCCGTGTAGATGGGAAGGGCATGGTACGGGTTCACAGCGACCAAGAACAAACCGGAATACGTCTGGATGTGTGAGTCGGGCGTGCCTGGCGTATACGTACATAGATCATATCGCTGAAATAGCGCTGACGAAGGTTGTGAACGACACTCGCTTCGTTCAAGTATGTCAGGTCAGCAATATCCGCTGCCTTGTCGAACTTGGGTGGGTTCATCTCGCTCAGTGACGAGGTGGGGACAGTCACTACGGTGCCGTTGGCCAAACAACACTCGCTGTCCCCAGCATGCTCACGCACCACATAGGCAGCCACGTAGCCCTGAGTAGGATCGGGGACCCAGACATCTTTCCTGTCGGGATCCGACGGAAACGAGCCTGTACCGCTATTGCTCATGAGGCACAGCGGACACGTTCGGCAGTAAGCAAGCGAGCGTAAGGGTGTGTGTGTATCTCAAGCGCGTGCGCGCGTGGGTTTTGTTGTCGTGCCTCGAAGGGGGGCCAATCAAACGTCACATGACGCACGCCGCTGAGACCAACACGATCGTGCATTGACACAGCGAACGAGCGACCTTTGACACGTCTTCTTGGCTATGCCGCTGCATTTAGCGCACCATAAAAGCTATCGTATGTGAACGTGACGACTTATCCAAAGATCCGTATAATCGGAAGAATATAGAAAGGGTACGCGAGGATGAAGAGCGGGCGCGGCGTGAAGAGGCGAGCGAGGATCGGCGGCTGGCAGCGCGTGATCGATCCGAGCGCATTGCTCAACTTCGACGACAGCGAGACGCGGCGAAAGGCGTAGACGCACCATCTACAGAGCCATTACCAACTACGTCTATCAATTTCTGGGCAGAGATGGAGCGTGAGGCCAAGCCTGCTCAGACATCCAACACATTCAAGCAAGCGGTGGATTTGGACCCATGGTACGCGCGATCTAAGTCCCCAGCACGGACCGATGAGAAGTACAAGTACGTATGCCTATTGCTTACACAGACGCCGCGATGACGCTCGGAAAGACAGGGCCGATCCTATGCTCGCTGTCCCAGGCTTCAAGCCACGCAGCGCCGAGACCCCGTCACGTTTTTTTCGAGAGCGGACTCGCGGCGAGCGCGAGCCACGAGTCCGATCCACGTCACGACCATGCCATCGACGGGACCGATGAGAGTACATGGGCGACAAAGAAGCGCAGATACTATGGTGAATCGATGTATGTGGAGCTGTTCCAGGAAATGGTGTGTACGGTACTCGAGAAGGAAAGTCATCTCTTCACGGCAAGTGAGCAGACATGCCTGAGCAGTTTTTTCTCACTAGAGTACGATGCACGGTATCTGTTTGTCCGTCTTCTTCAGCGCAAGCGTGATCAGTGGTACCGTCTGGGTAAGCTGGGCTACGAGGCCGATGTCGGCGATATGGCACAGGCCGCCCACGATTTATGCCGACCCTTTGCCGCCCCCAGCACGTCGCAAGAATCGGCGCCCCCCGAGTTTGCGTACGCATCTACATGCGAGCTGTACCGCTTTGCCATGATGGACACGGAAATGGACGGTGGCCTTCCAGCGCGACTTTCTCTATTGACCGTTGACGAGCTGCGGCTTGTCGCGAAGCGTCTTGGCCGAAAACCGCAAGGCACACGAGCAGAGTTGACCGCACGTCTACTGGCCAAGCCGTCTAATGCGACGCTCTTTGCCCAAGGTCGTGAGTTGCGCATGACAATGTCGGCTACGCAGGAGCGATTGGAGGCGGCCATCACGATGATCATGCAGGGCGGATGTATTCAGCTCATTCCCTCTGTGGTGCTACTGATGGAGCGACTCGCGTTGGTATACTACCGCGGCAAGCCGGCGCTGGGCACAATGCTGACCGCTGCGGTGCTGCATCGTACACATAAGCGGCACTTCCCTGTATATACGTACCAGCGCACGCCTGATTTGTTTGCGTCACGCGAGGCGTTGTTGCGCTATGAATGTGCGCTCCAAGCGGCTGAGCAGATGGACGATCTTGTGGACGAGTTACGTGCGCGCCCGGCAGCCGCGCGCGAAGGTGTCCAGCTCTGGGAGGCGTGGCACGCGCAGTGGGTCAACGCCCTGTCGGATGTGGCACAGCAGTACCCACACGGCGTGCCACGCGCCACGTACCCACGCCTCCGGTTTCATGCTGGGTGGCCACTTACACGGGTCATGTTCAAGGCGTGTGAATGCTTCGCACGCCTTGGCGAACGCGAGCGAGAACGCCATGTGCTTACGCAACTTCTGGCACAACGCAGTTTCTGGCGTGGACGCCGCGGTGCGTGGCATGAGCGACTGGCCCTTGTTACGGCTCAGTGCCAAAATGCCGCGGCAGCTCTGACATGCTGTCATGCAGCGCTAGCGGACCCCGATACCCATATGGTGTACCAATCCAGCCTGGAGCGACGCATAGCCCGCTTGGAGTCGCGTTTGCGTGTACCCAAAGACGAAAGGCACCAGCCACGGAGCAAGCTACATGCACCTACGGTAGATCTACTCACAGCGACGCGCCTGGACACGCCCGCGCGCCGTGGTGCACTACGTACCATGTGGCGCGGGGCTCAAAACGAGGATTGCACCGTGGAAGAACTGTGCCTAGCGCAGTATGCACAGCAGGGGTATGTGGGGTATCATTGTGAAGGCCAGTTGGTCCACTTTGTGTGTGTGTTGCTTTTGTGGGACGTGCTGTTTACGCCGATCGCCGGCGCTTTTGAAATGCCGTACCAGCGCGGGCCGCTGGACTGGGCCACGGATTTATTTTACACTGCGCGACGGGATGCCATTGAAGCGCAATTGACAGACATTGCCACGACAGGTGGCTTGGGTATCTTGGACGCTGTGGATGCACGCGAACGACCGCGTCAGACGTACGCTGTCGGGTGCCGGTGGGACGAGTACCCACGCGAGACGCTTCGTCACTTCGCCGAGTGTCTAGGCGGCCCTGCGTTGGCGACCTTGTGTCGTGTATTGTGCCAAGGCGATGGGCTGACCATGGCCGGCTTCCCAGACTTGAGCTTGTGGCGGTACCCCGACAAGCAAGTGTGCTTTGTCGAGGTAAAGAGCCCAAATGATAGGCTTAGCGAAGTGCAGCGTGTATGGATCGATATCCTGCATCGTGCTGGGCTGCGTGTACATGTAGCACGAGTGCAGGCAGAGACTATGCCTGCTTGATGCCTTCGCTCTCGCGATGGAGAGCATGGCGTTCATGCCAAGCTAGGAGACCTGTCAATAGCACGACAAGGAAATAGTTGCCGTACAGGCCGATAATGGAGATCACTTCCGTGGGATGGACCCATCCTACGTGGCCTTGGACCGTGCAAGCGACAAACACGGCCATGATCGCTGAGCCGTGCAGGACAAACGCAGGCAGCAGGATGCGGAACCAGGACGAGGAGAGGGTACGTCGGTCAGCACGCGCGGCTCGGTACGACGTGAGAAGGGACACCACGACATGGCCCATAGTACCAGCGACCTGGCGCTGGGCTAACGTCACAAGGGGCGCTACCCACCCGGGCAAGCCGCTGTGACACGTATCGACAATGTATCCAATGCATTCCACGGTCACAAGGCCAAGTCCGCCTGCAATCGAAAAGTCAATGTACATCGGTTCGCGACGGCATGCCTTGTGCTTGTTGCACTGCCGCCGTGCATACAGGATTGGCATGTACTTTAATATTTCTTCCATACCGCCCGCCATGACGTACGAAAAGAGCAGCATGAGCACCCAGTTTTGCCATGTCGCGGCCATATCAGCGCGACGCATACGTTCCTCGTGCGTGAGTCCTTCGGCTGTGCCACGAAGGAACTCGATCCAGTACGCCGGCGCAGCGTCGCCCAGCAAGAAGGAGACGGTGAGGAAATGGGCGCTTAGCTGCGCAATGCTGAGCACAATGGTACCCAGGGAGCCCATAAGGACATAGATCCATATCAGGCCGTTAAGATAGGCACGCCGCGCTGGCATGTGTTGACATTGGCGTACCCATACATAGTAAAAGAGCGCGGTAGGCAAGAAGGCCAAAGGCGTTAGAAGGGCCGCCTTGCTAGAGTCGAAAGAGACAATAAAACAGACAGCCAGAGGCACCAGAACCACAGTAGCTCGCGCTCCTACGGACATCGAAGGAGCGCCAGGTTCGACCATAGCACGAGATCAGGAAGAAGCTGGCAGGGGGTCCGTAGGGGGAAGAATGTCATACCCATCAACCCGCCCTAGATCGACGCGCCGCGCTGTCTTGCGTTGCAGGCTATCGGCCGACATATGGTAGCGTGACGTGGTCCATGCGCTATTGCATGCAATACGCTCGCCATCGCATTTGTCGTCCCCCATGCAGTGCTTGGTCGCCGGTCCAGCGCCGGTGGATACGTGCACGCGAGCGCAGCTACGCACCGATCAACCGATCCCTACGCCAGGCCCAGGCGAGGTCGTAGTGCAAGTGGCCTACGCATCCCACAATCCACCGGATGCCTACCCATTTATCCCGCAATCGTTGGCATTGCAGTACTGCAAGCCGGACTCGCACTTGGGCTGCGACTTTAGCGGCATAGTGACCGCTGTAGGCACGCCAGGCCGATGTGCTATGCCGCCTGTTGGCGCCAAGGTATATGGCTGGGTGCCTGGCAACATGGGCCAATGGGGCGCCTTTGCTGAGTACATTGTCGCAGACGCAGCGCTTGTCTTCAAAGTGCCGGAAGACGTCGCCATGAACGAAGCGGCAGCGCTCTCTTTTAGCTTTTCCACAGCTGTACATGCGCTTGGCAGCTGCATGCACTTGGACATTGAGCCGTCCTCTCACACGGCGCAGGAGCCCGTGCTGGTATGGGGCGGTGGCACAGCCTGTGGATTCTACGCGACGCAGATCCTCAAAATCGCCGGCTACACAGTGATCTCTGTGGGAGGCCAGGCAAAGGCAGGCGCCGATACCATCCTCTCTCGGCATGATGTTCCAGCAGCCATTCGCACCATTTGTCAGCAATGGCCACAGCTGCGCTTCGCTATCGACTGCTTCGGATCGCAGGAGACCGGCGAAGCATGTCAACGTGCGCTGGGTGAAGCAGGGGGTCTTGTGCACACGCTCCTTCCTGTGAAAGTACTACCTGAGCTGGAAGGCAAAGTAACAACGCAATTTGAGCTGGTCCATGCGATGTTCGGCCGGCCGCTGGATGTATTTAAGCTGCTTGACACATACCCATCCGACGAGATCCTCGTGCGTGATTACAACCTTGCTCTACGATGGGGCGCCTACGACCAAGGCTGGCTCTACCGACTGCTTTCCGAGCACAAACTGCAGTTGCTTCCCGTCACGATGTGGCCGCCAAGCGACGCGCCACAAGACCGCGGGCTGGTTGGCGTACAGAACGCATTGGAAAGCTTCACTGCGCACACGATTGGCGTCAAGGCAGGCGTGGTACCGTTCCCGACAGGTAAAGTCGTGCATCAAATTCAGACACTATCGTAAATAGACGACTGGATGTAGAGCGCGTTTGCAGTATCAGCATCGTTATGCAGCCCTAGCTTGGCGGCACGGTACGTATCCACATCAATATCGCCGATATAATGTTCATCACCAAAGCCGCCCACATAGTAAATGCGTGTCGGCTCGAAACGTACCCATACGGCACTGTGGGGATTGCCATGCGCATGCGGTGTCCATGCGTCCGCATCAGGGTGGTGTGCAGTAAAGCATTGGGCAAGATCGTCCAGGCCCTTTGTGTCGGGAGCGAGCGCATGCATCGTGCCATACATTGTCGCACGCCCTTTGGACGCCATACCGCGGCGCCACATAGGCCGTTCGGCTTGCCATACCTGACGTCCTGCGGCAGACTGACGTGCGTGACGTACATCCACCACGGACATATCAGGGCTGTTATGTACAGATACGGTGGTCGTACGATTCGGCGATAGAGCAAGACGCCACTGCTCCGAGCTGAGGCACAGTAAGTAAGGCAGGATACGTACACAGTCAACGCAAGAAACAACAAGTCACCATTATGCGCGTCTTGAAAACAGGGCGCAAAATACTCCGTGGCCATAATAGCAGAGATATTGTTAGCGGCTATGCCGCCCATAGCTGCAACATAATGCGTCGTATCGTCCACCAGCATGGCGCGAAGATGTTGAGCGGCTACACGTAAGCCTACTGAGACATACCATCCTGTGCCGTTTCCACCGCAACGGCCAGGCTCACTGCCACAGTCGCAAGGATCGTAACGAGCGCTCGTAGGTACATGGCCGAGGAAAAGATGCAGGGCGCCCCTTTTGTATCATCTGATCATCTGATCGAGCTGTACATCGATGAGACTACAGGCCGTGCGCGCGAACTCCACATGGCGCACGCAGACGCAGACGAGTGATAATCACGCAGGGCGGCCAACTTGTGGTACCTGCCCAACCCTGTCGCGCGTGCATCAATCACCCTATCAGCTTGACGCATTCGTGTGACAGGATGAGCGAGGCCGGGCCCTCGTCCTCGTCGCCGCCAGTTTTACCTGATCCAAATAAGGAGGCGCCTCTCTTAGATGCGGAGCGTGGGTTTACAGCGCAAGATTTGATTGAACAGCAAGAGCGGCTGGAAGCTCAAGCAAACGAGGCCATTCCCTTCCGCTTTGACGAGTGTACATTTGCGCGTGGCTACATCCGCCAGCCTGTATTTGCGTGCAAAACATGTGGTCATGGGGGCATATGTGCAGGCTGTAGTGTGGCATGCCATGGCGATCACGAGCTCGTTGAACTATTCCATCGGCGTCACTTTCGATGCGATTGTGGCACACCAAACTTGTACCGCCTCTGTCCAGATACCCCTCATAAGCGCGACACAGGCTACCCCGCCGATGCTAGGCCATGCCAGCTGCGTTCAAAAGATGTAAACAAAGGATGGGATGTACCGAACGACGAAAATGTGTACACCCACAATTTTGAAGGCGCGTTTTGTCGATGCGAGCGCGGTAAGACGTACGATCCAGACACCGAAGACGAGGTAATGTACCAGTGCCTTGTATGCGAAGACTGGTTCCATGAATCGTGCTTATCGCTGCGCCCGTCGACGCAGTCCAAGCCCCTTCTCACAACGTCCCAGTTCGATGTACTCTTGTGTGATGCATGCATGCGCCAACCCTCGGCGTGGTTGCTTCGTAGGTACGCTGGACAGCCAGGGTGGCTCGTGCCTGTGCCTCCCAAGGACGACGACCCTTCGTGGCGCACTTTAGGAAGTACGTCGTCGGATGATAATGCGACGGAGCCCATGACCAAACGCAGGCGCACTGAGTGCAGCAAACCAGCTTCTAGTGTGTTGGGCAGCGTGCCAGGACGATGGGATGTGTATTTAACCCACCAATTCCGTGACGCGCTGTGTCGATGTGAGGCATGTGCGAAGGCATGGGAGTCGTATCCATACGTCTGGGACGAGGAAGAGACGTACGACCCACCGATGGACCGGGACGATAGTGCATCAGCGACATCGACGTCTTCAACGTACGAGCGCGGGATGGCGATGCTTTCTCAACTGCCACGGCCTCAAATGCTCGAGTCGCTTCGTGCGTACCAGGAACTACGTGATGCGCTCTTTGAACACTTGCGTCCGTATGCAGAGAGCCATGAGCCGGTCAGTGAAGAGGCTGTACGGGCATTCTTTCGAGATCATGTAGCTACAAGGTCCTCGCGGGATCTACCTTAATCAATAAGATACTTGCGCTTGAAGAAGCTGTGCAAGTGGTATACCTGCCATACGCCTAAGGCGATGACGACAAAGATAATGAGCCATGAGAAACCATGCACACGACGCAAGGTAGACGAGTTGGTGGTAAACATGCGTGTCTCGCGGAGTTTCAAGTACTCCAATTCGTCGAGAATTTCATCGGCGATGGCCGAGAGTTTCCGAAGTTCTGTCTCCATACCAGATAGAGACTCTTGGTTCGCAATCGCGTTGTAGTCAATAGCTTCGCCACCCAGCTGAACATCTAACTCGACGTCCGATACGAGGTGCTTTCGTCGGCTATTGTTCACAATGCATACGCCCAAGTCGGCGTCGTAGTGTGTGTTGATGGCAAGGCGCGTCTCGCCCTCCATGCCTTTTTTGCTGAGGTATACATTGTGGTGTGTACGGTCCACGACCTTGACATCAACGCTTTGTTCTGCGGCTGTGAATTCTTCACGCGGCACGACATTGATGGAGATAATAGCGAGGGTGTCGGCCATCGCATAGTTCCAAATGCAAAACGGTTTGGCGTTTCGGGCCGACTCTAACTCAAACTTGATGGCATGGGCATCGTCTGCCAAGAGGACCAAGAGGCCCAACACGAAGGTTGTCAAGAAGGCAAGACCACCGCGCCACATTGGTACCTACGAGATCAACACAGAGCAGCAGCAGACTGGGCGCGAACGGACGGACGACAGCCCCTGGGCCCAGCCTGACCATGCTGACTAATCATCCACCTGTTTTTGTGGTCGTCGTCGTCGTCGTCTTTCTTTTTTCTCCTACAACTGATTGATCGTTGGCGGCGCCATGCATTTGATGTACACAGTGGGGCCGGTACGTATGACAAGCATGCTTATGTGTACAGGATGGCAAGCGTGCCTATACGCTGAAGAAGGTGACGGCCAGCGGGAAAATGACACGCTCGGCGCACCCAGCTCGTTTCTCACCGGATGACAAGTTCTCGCGTCATCGCATCACTATCAAGAAGCGCTTTGGCTTGCTGCCTACGCAGACCCGTGCTGCGTAAGTGGCTACTGTGCGCAGCGCGTGTCACTCGCGCATGTGTATGAAAATATCCATGTCTATGTTTTTTTGTAGCTAGTAGAAATGCATGAGGATACCTCATCAGCTGTATCTGCATGGATTATCCATGCCACCACGAGCGCCGTGGCGTAGCTGGCATGGTACCATGGCTTGGGAGCGAGGCAGGGTGTCCATGCGACATGGTCGGTAGCGCATGCAAAGCGGCATCGGCCATGGCGGCCTCGGACATGGGCTGCGTGGAGGTCGAGGTCGACGGGGGCAGCGCCTGTTCCCTGGGATTGGTCCGTCGCGTGGATCGCAACGTACTCCGACGCGCGTCACGCGCAGCCGCGGTCAGGGGTGTGAAGGGGGAGTGAGACGACAACTTGCGAACCAAGCTGCCAGGCGCGGGCGCCGTGGCCGGGGCCATCATTGTCTCCGTGGCCACATGGGCACTGCTCAGTTCGTTGCTTGGGATACGAGGGCGTGGCGTTTGTGTGCCTGAGGCGGTATCGCGCATCGTATGGGAGCGACGAAGGCGCGAAAGGGAGTGTGATGGTGATAGATGGCCAGGCGCGGGGGAGCGTCCGCCCATTTCCAGCGGGATGGAGACGCGCGCATGGCCCATGCCGGCAGACATCACAGGGGCATCGCTGGTCTGGAGCAGGTACGCCAGCGCCGTGCACCAAATGCGGTGGCGCGCCTTGGAGGGTGCTGTCACTTTCACGTCCTTGTGGCCGGAGCGAATGACAATGGTCTGGTAGTACAGCCCGGCCGGATGCGCATTGTGGTCGTCCATCAGGGCGACTTCTTCAATGAGCGCATTCTTTGACTTGGCAACATGACCTGCCGAGGCTTTCGGTTCCTCGACCGTCCAGTGGACTGTGCGTGTGAACGGATTCAGGAAGAAGTAGCGTTTATGACGGCGCTCATGTCCGACCAAGAAGTGTGGCGCGTATTTGTACAGCCACTCGCCCTTCATACACTGCACAATGGCATCGGCCACGTCGGGATCCATGTTCGACATGTGACTCGGGAGGAGCACAGGCGCCGCAGGTGCTGGGCCGACCCATGCGGGAATGTCCACGTCGGACGGCGAGGTAAGCGAGCCGTCGCGGCGATGGCGTGGGGCCTCAGACGGCACAGGAGAGCCAAGCGCACTCATGACCGTCGCAGGGGGCGACGGCGACGCTGGCGCAGCAATCGGCTCCGTGGTGACCCAGGAGAGCGCAGGCGCCAAGTCGCCGTCCTGAATCGCGAGCGTGGCCGTATCACGGTCCTCAGCCGCCGTAGCGGCAGCAGCGGCTTCGCTACGCACACGCTCCACTTCCTCGGCCAGCTGCGCAATACGCGCTTCCAACGCTGCTTCGTGCTCGCGCCATTGAGCCTGCGCCGTGCGCATCTGAGCCAACTCGGCGAGGGGCGCCTGCGAGTCGTGCTCATGCGCGGCCACCGTCGCTGCCATCTCCGCATCCTTGAGTGACAACTGCTTACGCAGCTCGGCCGTAATGGCCAGGTAGTGCTCTGTACGCTCATGCGCTGCTTGCAGCTGCACAGAGTGCTCGCGCGACGCCTGTGTCTCGAAGTGCTCTGCCTGGCGCTGCAGCTGCTCGTTGGCATCGGCCAGCGCACGCTGAGCGTCGGTGGTTTTGGCTGTGAGGGCCTCCAAACGCGCCTGCGCATCATGCAAGGCACGGTGCAGTTCGTCTTCTTTGGCTTGAGCTTCGTCCAACGCACGTGCGTGCTCGGCCTGCAGTGTCGACAGGGCGTCGGTGTGCGTCGTGGTCTGCGCAGCCGCCTCACGCTGCCATGCCGACTGCGCCTCGGCGTGTTTGGTTTCCCAGTTGCGCTCTTTGGCCTGCAGAGCTTCGGCATGCTCCTGGATGCGCTGCTGCAATGCCTCATGATGGGCCTGCCGCAGGGCTTGCAAGGCCTTGTCGTGCTCGGCCGGCGAAATGTGAGAAGATGTGGCAGCCTTGGCATCGTCACGCTCTTTCTGCAGGGCGGTCAAGGCCGCAGCATGCTCCTTCTGCATCGAGTGCAGTGCGTCTGCATGCGTCGCAGCCCAAGCTTTCTGTTGCGCCTCATGGTCCTTGGCCAGCGCAGCCAACGCGTCGGCATGCTGAGTCTCCCAAGCCCGTTCACGCATCGCCAAAAGCTCGGCGTGCTCGGTCTCTTTCGCAGAAAGCGCCTGGGCATGCTGTGCAGCCAACTCTTTCTCCTTCGTGGCGATGACTTCGGCGTGCTGTGCAGCCAGCTCCTTCTCCTTAGCAGCGATAGCTTCTGAATGCTGCGTAGCGAGCTCCTTCTTCAGCAACGCCATAGCTTCCGCATGTTGTGAAGCCAGCTCCTTCTCCCTCAAAGCGATAGCCTCTGTATGCTGCGCAGCCAGCGCCTCTTTCGCTGTAGTTGCGTTAGCCAGCTGAGAAGAGAGCTCCTTCTCTTTTGCGGAGAGCGCGTCGGCGTGCTGCGCCGCCAACTCTTTCTCCTTCGTGGCAATGGCTTCGGCATGCTGCGCCGCCAACTCTTTCTCCTTCATGGCGATGGCTTCAGCGTGCTGCGCCGCCAACTCCTCCTTCGCAGCCATAGCCTCGGCATGCTGCGCCGCCAACTCTTTCTCCTTCGTGGCAATGGCTTCAGCGTGCTGCGCCGCCAACTCCTTCTCCTTCATGGCAATGGCTTCAGCGTGCTGCGCCGCCAACTCCTTCTCCTTCGCAGCCATAGCCTCGGCATGCTGTGCAGCTAACGCCTTCTCCTTCGCAGCCATGGCTTCCGCATGCTTGGCAGCCGCTTCTTGGGCGTCAGTAGAAAGGGCGAAGCGCTGCGATTCAAGCTCGTCCTCTTTCGAGGCCAGGGCAGCCGCATGCTGCTGCTGCAACTCGGCTTCTTTGGAGGCCACCGCTTCGGCTTGCTGCGCCGTAAGTGCCTTGGCCTGCACTGCCAATGCCTCTGAATGCTGTGCCGCGAGCTCTTTCTCCTTCGTAGCGAGGATAGCAGCATGCTGCGCCGCCAGCTCGCTCAGCTTCGCATGCAGCGTCTCTGCATGCTGAGTAGAGAGCGCTTGGACTTGCGCCTCGAGTGCCTCAGCATGCTGCGCCGCCAGTGCCTTTTCTTGCGCGGCAAGATCGTCGGCATGTTGAGCGTGGAGCTTGTCGATCTTCGCTTCCAGTGCCGCCAACGTCGAGTCTTTCGACGCCGCATGCTCCGCCTTGAGCGCCTCCATCTTCTCTTGCAGGGTCTTGGCATGCTGTGCTTCCAGCTCTCGCGTCGTCGATGCTAGCTCGTCCGCATGGCGGGACTCCAACGCTTGGACTTTGGTATCGAGGAGCGCCGCATGCTGTGCAATCAGCGCCTCCTCCTTCGCGGCTAGGGCTGCCGTATGCTGCGCAACAAGCTCTGTCTCTTTCGCCGCTAGCGCCTCGGCATGCTGCTGCGCAAGCGCCTGCTCGTGCGCTTCCCATACGCTCGCATGGTGAGACTGCAAGTCCCGCTTTTGCGTCTTGAGCGACTCGGCATGCTTGGCTTGGAGCTCCGCTTCCTGCTTTTGCAGAGCCTCGGCATGCGCCTGGGCCTGGGAGGTCAACTGCGCAGTGTACTCCTTCTCCTTCGCATCGAGCGTCGCTGCATGTTGTGTCGCCAGGGCCTCGAGCGCCTCGACATGCGCGGCTTCCAGCGCCTGCTCCTTCGCCTGCAGAGCTGTGGCGTGCTCGTCGGCCAGCTTTGTCATCGCGGCCGTATGCGCTGCGTCGAGATCCTTCTTCTGTTGGGCCAGCGCATCGCGGTGCTTGTTAGAAACGTCGCGATCCTGCGATGACAGCGCTTCGGTATGCGCGCGTGTCAGCGCCTCTATGGCCTCGGCATGCTTGGCGGCCAGCTCGTCTTCCTGCGCACGCAGCGCAGCCGTTTGGGCGTCTGTCATCGTGCGCACGTCCTCGGCATGCTTCGTTTCCAGGTCATGAAGCTGGCCCGTCATCCGCTCCATTTCTCGCGCGAGTGCAGCCGCATGCTCGTCCTGCAACGCCTGCATGGCTTTCGCATGCTCGTCCCGCAGTGCCTGCTGGGCGGCGGCCTCGCGGTCTTGGATGTCTTTTGCCTCCGCCTGCGCCTCCGAAAGCCGCGAGAACGCCGCGTTCTTCTCCGAGGTCAAGGCATCCAACTCGGCCGTGTGCTTCAACATCAAGTCGTCGACGGCTTTCTGCTGCGCATTCGCGGTGCTGGCCAGTTCGTCCGCATGCTTCGCACGCAGCGTATCGAGCAGCGACGTATGCTCCGCCTCGCGCGCTTGCCAGGCGTCCTGGTGCGTCTGCTTGAGCGACTCCAGCGCCTGCGCATGCTCTTTGGCGGCCGCTTCCTGCCGCAGCTGCATCTGCCCGATCGTCGTAGAGGCGGAGTGGAGCTGCTCTTCGCGTGCCGCGGCGATCTTCGACTCGTGCTTGATGATGAGGTTCGTCACTGTGCTCTTGTGCTCCTTCTTAAGCGCCTCAATCGTCTTGACCTTCTCCGCCGCATGCTGCTCGCGCAGCGTGTCCAAGGCCGCGGCACGCTCCGCGAGCTCAGTCGCATGCGATGCCTGCAAGGACGCGAGCGCTGCGTCATGCGCTTCGCGCTGCGTCGTAAGCGCCTTGGTATGCTCGGCCGTCAAGGTCTCGTGCTTCGTACGCCACGCCGCGTCTGCCTCGCGTACCGAGGCAGCCCGCTCCTCGTCCTTCGACGCTTCCAGTGTACGTAGCGCAGCTGCATGCTCTGCTGCCAACGACGCACGTAGCTCGTCCAATGCATCAGCTTGTGCTTGCGCCGCCTTGCGTTCCAAAGCAGCGAGCACTTCAGTATGCGCCGCCTCCCGCTGAGAGACAGCTTCGGTGTGCTGCTGCTTCAGTGCCTCGATCTCCGCGGCATGCGAAGCACGCAAGGCTGTGGCGTCTTCCTGCCCTTGCTGCGTCGCAGCGGCCAAGGCGCCGGCATGCTCCGCTTGCAGCGAGGCCAGCGCCTTGGCCTGCTGGGCTTCCAACGTCGCTACCTCGTTGGCGTGCGCCTCTTTGTGCGCAGCCAACTCGGCCGCATGCGACGCCTGCACCTCGTCCAGCGCTTGCGCATGCTCCTCCGTCGCCGCTTGCAAGGCAGCGCGCTCCTTCGCTAGCGCCTCGTCCTTGGCGGCGAGGGCCGCTGTATGCTGCGCGATCAGCTGTTCGACAGCTTGCGCATGCTCGTCTGTGAGCGTCTGCAGCGTCTCAATGGCCTTCGCATGCGCTTGCACTTTCTCGGCCAGCTCAGCACGCAACGACGTGAGCATGTTTTCGTGCTTGGTCGCTTGCGATTGCAGTGCCTCGGTATGCGCCTGCTCGCGCGATGCCAGTTCTTCTTGGTGCTGTTGGACGCGGGCAGCTAGGGCGTCAGCATGCTGCTGCTTCAGCGTAGCCATGGCCTCTTCGTGCGCCGACGCTAGCGCGGCACGTTGCTTGTCTTGAGTGTCTTGCTCGGTGGCCAACACATACTCGTGTTTCTTGGTCAATGCGGCCACAGCCTTGGTATGGCGGTCCTGGAACGACGCTTGGTCGTTGGCATGCGCTTCTTTCAACGCGGCCATGGCTTGGTCGTGCGCCTGCTGCAACGCCTCGCGTTCTCGTGCGTGCTGAGCGCGCGCTTCGTCCGACGTGGCTTGCATAGTGGCAAGTGCCTCAGCATGCTTGGCAGCCTGGGCCTCCATCGCAGCAGCGTGCGTCGCACGGAGCGCGTCTACAGCCTCTGCTTCCTTGGCGTGCGCAGTCGCCAGCGCGTCAGCATGCTCGTCGCGCAGCGCTTGCAGTGCTTTCTCGTGCTCGTCTTTCAGGATGTCGATGGACGACGACTGAGCCTCCCGTGCCTCCTTGTGCTCGGCACGCAGCGTCGCCAGTTCCTCAGCATGCTGGGCTTGCAGCGACTCGATAGCGCGCATATGCACAGCAGTGAGCTCGCGCTTGTCCTTCTCCCACGCCGCCGCCGCTTCCTGCTGTGCGGCGGCTACAGGGTCGACATCGGTCATGACCATGGCATCGACCATGGCCGGCTTCACAGTGTAGCCACCCGCCGCCAATTCTGCGCCTAGGCCGCCGTCGGTCGGTGGGAACGACGGGAGACTTGGCGACGTCGCACTGCCCAGCAAACTGGCCATCGATGGATCCAACGTCGGCTCCTTGACGATGACACTTGCATCGCCTGAGACGTCGACCCAGTCGGACGGCGGCGCTGTGAGGGTCGGACCGGCCGTGCTCGTCTCCGAGGAGACGTGACGACGTGGCGCAGCACGACGCAGGCGACGGCGTGGCACCGTCTCTGCAGGGGTATCCGCCGCATCGTCTCTCAGCCACGCGGCATCGTCATCGTCGTCGTCGATCTCACCGCGACTTTCGTCCGAGAGGTCCGTCGGCGGTACCGCCAAGCCCTGGTCGGCCAGCACCTTGCGCAGCTCGGTAATCTGGTCGCGCAGCTTGCGCTGCTGTGCCGTATCGCGGCCAAGTCGCTTGATGGCGACAGACAATTTCGCACGCAACGCCTCCACTTCCGCCGAGGCCGTGACAGGGGGCGCAGGCCATGCATCCTCGTCGTGCTCCGGCGGGAGAATCAAGCCGGGTGCGAGAGGCGTCGAGGCAAGAGGCGCTGCCGCGCTCGCTTCCTCGTCATGGGGTGCTAGCTTCGTGTGAGTCGAGGGCGTCGTAGGCCCCCCATGGCCCTTCGCCTCGTCGTGGCCTTGCATGCGCTTCAACTGGCCATGCAAGTCTGAGATATTGCGGCGAAAACCGGCCCGCTCCCGCCGAGTCTGTGCCTCCTCCGTCTCACGTTGCTTTTGGAGGCGGCGGAGGACACTTTCGTTCTCTTCAAACTGCGCACGCTGCGCCTCGAGTGCCTCCCGCGCCTTGTCCAACTCGTGGCCCAAACGCTGGCGGTCCTGATCGGCCTTGCTCTGCGCAAGGGAGCGTGAGGCCAGCTTCTCCTCGAGCTGCTGCTGCATCACGTACAAGTCCCAGTTCTCCTGCTTGAACACTTCATGCTTCCGCTCCAACTCCAGCACGCGTGTCTTCATCGCCTCAAAACGACGCTCTGCCTCCGCCTTGCCATGGCGCAGCTGCTCCAAGTCCTCGCGCGCCTTGAACGACGGGCTGGGCGAGAAGTGAAAAGGCATGCGCTTCGAGGAAGCGCGTGGCGTCGTGACCGAGAGTTTGTGGCTGATTTCATGGAAGAGTTTATCACGTTGTTCCTGCAGATCATGGAGCTCAGCACGCACACGTTCGGCAAGCTCAGCAGACTGATCGGCCCGCTCAGGGTCATTCAGTTCATCTAAGAGTCCTTCCAGCATGCGCTGATGCTCCAGCAGGCCTTGGCCGAGGAGGCCTGCTGCATACGTCTGCTCTTTGACCGCATTGATGCCAGCCTCAATCTCCTGGATGGGCACCGACATGCGGAAGTAGCCACTGACACTCTGGTCGCGATGGAAATAGGTATCTGTGGCCCACGATCGACGCACTGTAACGGACAGGTAAGGAGCAATCGACCAACGCCGATGAGGTCGCCGTCACCCACGTCGTGTCCCTGACCAAACAAACACACTGCAGGTGTGCGCGTAACGGTGGCCCCACTTTGGCCCTCGCGTGCTGTGTTGGTGTCTCGGCCGAAGTACTGTCGGCCTCCATGCGACGCAGACGGACGCTCAAGCCGCATGACGCTATGATCTACCTACGTTACGCGTCCACGTCCTGCGTACCCGTGTACGCAGGGAGGATCTGGCACGCACCCTTCCAGTCGAGGCGGCCCTCGCACAGCTGACGCAGCACATCCACGACCTCGTCCACCTTGCCGATGCGCTGCGTCGTCGTGTCACGCTCACGCAACGTCACAGTGCCCTTCGACACCGAAGCAAAGTCGATCGTGCACGCAAAGGGCGTGCCCAGCTCGTCATTACGGGCGTAGCGGCGGCCAATCGTCGCGCTGCTGTCGTCAATACGCGACGCAATACCGAGCGCACGCAGCTTGTTGCTCAGCTGACGCGCCAGCGGCGAGAGCTGCTCGTTCGAGCTGATCGGCACAATGAGCACCTTGAAGGGCGCCACCAGCGCCGGCAGCGAAAGCACACCGCGCTCCTTGTCCTCCTCACGCGCCCAGAACGAGTGCTCTAGCAGCGCGTAGAAGATACGTCCAAGACCAAACGACGGCTCAATCACGTTTGGCACAAAGTTGCGCACACTCTCCTTGATGGTCTTGTACTCGATCTCCACGTGCTCCTTCGTCACCTCAAACGACTCGCCTCCCGCCTTCAGCGTAGCCTTGCCACCCTCCAGCTCGGCCTGCATACTCTTCAGCTGGTCCTGGTCCATGGCGTTGATCGTGTCCTCAATGAGCTTCGCATTCTTCTTGAACAGAGGGCCAAGCACCTTCTTGTTGATGGTGGGGACGTACTTCTGGTACACCTTGGGCTCCTTCAGCGGCTCCTGCACCATCAAGTCACGCTTCGTGCGCTGGCTGTGCATCGTCAAGTCGTACGCACTGCGATCCGCACAGCCGACACACTCGATCCAGCCGTACGACGTGTGGATCTCTGCATCCCAGCAGTCGCTGGCATAGTGCGCCATCTCATTGTCCATGTGCTGGCGGAAACGCAGGCGCGAAGTGTTGATACCGATCGACTCCAAGAACAGGTAGATACGGCCAATAAAGTAGCCCAGCGTCTCGTTGTCGACCATGCCCGACTGGACAGCCTCGCCAATGGTCAGCTTCTGCACCTCGGTCGAGCCACTCTTCTGCACCTTGGCCGGGAGGAACGGCACCGTCAACGTGGCCACATCGCTGAAACGCTCATGCGACTTGTTCTCCGGGTCGACATAGTGCTCGATCTCCGCCATGGTAAACTCACGCACACGCAGCAGACCCGCACGCGGGCTAATCTCGTTCCGGAAACTCTTGCCGATCTGCGCCGAGGCAAACGGCACACGGCCATTGTTAAAGTCAAGCAGGCGCTCAAAGTTCACAAAGTGGCCCTGCGCCGTCTCGGGACGCAGGTAGCCCTTCACCTGGCCGGTCGGCCCGATGTTGCTTTCGAACATCAGGTTGAACTCGGTAGGCGCTGTGACTTCGTTGCCCGTCGCAGGCGCACGAATGTCGTACTTCTTGATGAGCTCGGCGAGCTGCTCGCCATTGTAGTCGTCGATCTGCGCGAGGATCGTCTTGTACTCGCGCACCACCTCATCGTCAAGCTTGACGGCCACCGCCTTGGCCTTCTTCTTCGACTTCTTGTCGTCCGCGGCCGCTGCGCCAGCGGCCGCGGCCGGCGCAGCGCCCGCCTCCTTCTGACGCGCCTCCTCGTCACCCTTCAGACGCGCCTCCAGCACACTCTCGACCATGTGGTCAGCACGGTAGATATCACCGTTCTTCGTGTCCTTCACCATCCAGTCCGTGAACTTGTCCACATGCCCCGACGTCTTGAGCACGTCAGAGAGGGTCATGATGGTCGTATCCAACTCGAGCATGTCTTCCTCGATAATGAAATGGTTACGCCAGTGCGAAATGATGTTGGCCTGCAGCGCCGCACCACTTGGTCCGTAGTCGTAAAGACCAGCTACACCGCCGTAGATCTCAAACGCCTGGGTGTAGAAGAAACGCTTCGTCATCAGGCCTTCCAGCTGCGCACGCTCAAAGGGGTGCGCATCCTTCTTGACCAGGTTTTGGTCGGGCTGTACTGCTGCTGTTGTAGCCATAGTTCTGTGTATGATTCGCAAAGAAGTTTGTAAGGTAGGTCGATGCTGGGCCTGGGCTAAAACTCGAAACGATCGCCAAGCCACGGAAAGCATGCAACTGCCAGCAAGCCAACAATGAGGGACGACGACGACCGCCAGGCAGGACGCGAATCGAGTCATGTGACATACGCCTTCACGCCCAGGGACGTGCACACCGTCGCACGCGGAATAGGGGCCCTTTTTCCTCATCACGTGCAGTCACCACGTACGTGGGGCCTACCATGTTCGCTCGCACGGCCTGGACGGCTGTCAAGACCGCGAGCACGCAGCCACGCTATGTACGTTCCTCTCTTCTAGCGGCGGGCGGCGCCGCGACATTGCTTGGCGTGTACACGCTCACAGCCTCGCCCTTCCAAGCTGACGCCCCTGCGACACCGTTTGTGCCGCCGCCGCCTACGGAGCATCGATTCCCCCTGTTGTCCACGTATGCATGGGGCAACAACAAGGCCCGCACGGCTGCCCCCTCCAGCAGTGCAGCGCGCCTCCCTGTGCCGACGCACGAACCGCTCTTTGACGGTGTTGGGTTCCGCGACGTGCAAATCACCGATACGCTGGGCGTTGCGATCGATGCAGACGGTCATCTCGTGCAGTGGGGGCCGGCGTTTGACGCGGACCATCCCTGCACGCCGACAAAGACGCAGGCAGGCTACGATCTTCAGCGTGTGCAGATCTCCGGCCAGAAAATTTACGCACTGACACGCGGCGGCCACATTTACGTATTTCCTACCAAGAAGGCCATGGACGCCGCGCCCTCCTCAGGGACCACCTGGCTGGGCACGGCGTCCAAGGAGGGCCGCTTGCAGGCAGATGCCAAGTTTACCGAGATCGCCGCTGGGGCGCATCACGTCCTTGCCCTCAGCCGCGACGGCCGCGTGTACTCTGTGCCGTCCGATGCACATGCCAACGACTACGGCCAACTTGGCTACTCCAATGTGAAGCTCACGTCGATGGACCCAAATTCCTCCACATTGGTCGATGCCCGTCTTGAGCCCAAGGTCGTACGCAAGGCGCGTCTCGGTACCGCGGAGCCGGCGCCAGCCACCTCGACGGCCGTGCCATGTGCCGACACGGAGCTGCAGTACGCGCCGGTGCTGCGCCCCATTCCTTCGCTGCAGGATGTGCGTATTGCACAGATTGCCGCTGGCTCACTTCATTCCGTTGCACGGACACCGGATGGCCGTGTGCTGACATGGGGCTGCAACATGCAAGGCCAATTGGGGCTCGGCGCACGTCTCACCTTTGATACAATTGCTGTACCGAGCGAAGTCTCGTGGCCCACGTCGCTCGTCGGTAAGCAGGCGACGTGCACGCAGATTGCAGCGGGGGGAATGAATACGTTCTTTGTGGTGCAAAGTCGCGGGGCACCGATGGACAACGAAACACGGAAGCAGCAGCCAGCTCTTTCTTCGCGCATTGACGTGCTGGCGGTCGGTGGTGGACAGCGTGGCACGCTGGGCCATGGCCAGCGCAATCAAGCATACGGTGTGCCTGTCCGTGTGAAGGGTGTGTCTGGGTTGCAGGAATACTCGGAGCAGACGCACTCGATGCAGCCGATTGGCGTGCATGCCATATCCGTGGGTGCGAGTGGCCACTGCGCTGTGGTCATGGACGCGCCTTCGCTGGGCGACGAGACGCGCCGCGACGTGTACGTATGGGGCAACAACGACCAAGCGCAACTTGGCCATGGCAAGAAGGGGGGCCATACCGCGGTGCCCTCGCTCTTGACCCTGGTCCCCCGCACGGCGTCGCCGACGTCCCACGCGGACGGGGCGCCTGACGCAGCGGACAACGAGGAGGAGAGTAGCATGCCTCTGCACCGTATCCTGCTCGTATCGCGCGCCAAGGAACGTGTGCAGACGTTTGATCACACGGAGCGTCGTGGACGCGCCGTAGAGCAGCGTATTGTGGCTGGTGAATCTTGTATGGCCATTTATCCGGCCGTACTATAGCCGTGTTCTACGTTTTATGTAGTCTGTGTGTATTTACTCCACGTTGGCAGGCCTCTCCCAGCCGAGCTCCTCGTACGTCCAGCCCAGCACCGTCTTGGTCTCGGGGTCGTACACGGCGCAGAAACGGCAGCGACGGTTCGGGTCCTGCGCGATGCGGTTGACACGGTCCATCTGTGCATCAGTCAGCTGCACCGTGTTGATGTTCTGCGCAAGGCGCTCCCTGTGCGTGCTCTTCGGCAGGACGACGACACCACGCTGCACGTTCCAGCTAAGGATGACCTGGCCCGCGGTGGCGTTGGCCTCCTTTGCCACAGCCAGGATGTCCTCGTCCTTGAGGATCGGCGAGCCGGCCTGGCCCAGCGGGCAGTACGCCGACATGACAATGCCGTTCTTCTTGCAAAGCTCCAGCAGTTCCGTCTCCTGGTTGTACGGGTGCGTCTCCACCTGGTTCATCGCCGGGACAATCTTGGCGTGCTTCAGCAGCTCCGTGAGCGTCTTCACGCTAAAGTTGCTCACACCGATCGCCTTGACCTTGTCAGGGTGCGTCTCAATGAGCTTCTCGAACTGCTTCCAAGCCTCCACAAAGTTGGTCGTCTCGTCCTTCTCAAAGTCCTTGCCCGGCTTCGAAGAGATCGGCCAGTGCATCAGCAGCAGGTCGATGTACTCGATGTTGAGGCGGTCCAACGACTCGAAGAACGCCTTCTCGACATCGTGGTGGCGGTCGTTCCACACCTTGGTAGTCACAAACAGCTCCTCACGCGGCACCTTGCTCTCGCGCAGAATCTGGCCGACCAGCGCCTCGTTCTTGTAGAGGGCGGCCGTGTCAAAGTGGCGGTAGCCCACATCCAGGGCCATCTTGGTAGCATCACCCGCTTCATCAGGGTCACCCGGGTTGGCTCCCTTGCCCATAAAGCAGCCCATGGCCACCATGGGGACCTTGGCACCAGTGTTCAGCGTAGCGTACTTCATTGCAGATTCGAGTGGCGTTGGAAGGAAACTTCCCGGATCTGGCCCGGGCGGACTTATCTAGCGCACGGAGCGGATCATTCCACGTGCTACTCCATCACGTGGAGGATCGCAGCGCCGGCGTACGTAACACACACTCTTAGTCAACCAAAGAGGCTAGCAGCGCCTGTGCGAGCCACTCCTTGTCTTGCATCATGGCCGAGGAACCGACCTATGAAGACTACGTGAATCGGTATGTCATACGATGGTCCTGCATCTCATACATATAGAATTCACTACTCTGAAAAGTACTCTGACGATCAGTGGGAGTACCGGTACGTTCGCCACTCTCTCTCACCTTCAGGCACGTCATCTTGCCCAAACCGTTTTTGAAGCGGATCCCGAAAAGCTACTTTGATCCCGAAGAGCCGGGCGTCCTTCGCATTCTTTCTGATGCTGAGTGGCGAGGCATCGGCATCACGCAAAGTCTTGGATGGGAGCATTACGAAGTGCATGGTACGTTCATCCCTGGTCTCACATGCCAGCTCCGGAGCCACATATTCTTCTCTTCCGTCGCGAGAAGGACTACCAAGAAAAGGTAGGTACAAATCTGTTAACCTTGGCAGTATGGTCCGCATGGCAAGCCTTCAGATGCTGCCAAGATCAAGGCTGCGCAAGCCGGTCACCCTGCTCATGGCAACCAGCCGTGATTCGATTTGTGCGTGCTTGCCTATTTAGATTCCCATGCTGGCGCTGCCATTCCCTTTTCCATGCTCTGTATGTTTCATAGATGTGTCATTCCAACACATACCGCCCCTGCTCCATGCCCGCGGCCTGGTTCCTCTCCGTGTTGCTTTAGGCTTGTTTTTTTTTTTTATTCAGGCTTCGCGCGGCCAAAAGCCTTGGAGCCCCTATCGTCTCCGCGCTACTACGTCAGCCCCTCCACTAGTTCGTCGTACATCGTGCTATACGTGCAAGGAAGTGTAGCTACAATCTCACCTATCCATCCTCCGTGTGTGCGAACTAGAGTATGGTGCCGACAGACACAGAATTTGAGCAAGCGCTCACGCGACCACGGCAGGTCGTGCAGGCCTTGCATGGTACGTGCCCTAATCTCTGATGCCAGCGTCCCATTCATCGTCGTCCACTTTCCTTCCAGCCTTGGAGGTTCATTTCCGAGACATCGTACAGGATCGTGCACACTTGGAGCGGGTACGTAGGTCTTCTTCCTAACCCTAGATTCCTTTTCTCGACTCATCGACCTTGCCCCAGCTCCTAGCTTTAGCGCAGACCCCGAACGGTCGCGAGGCTGGTGTGCTTGTACGTTGGCAATGTATGGTCCAAGATACCGGTTTAGGCAATGAATTGTGCCTCTCCTCCCTGCATGTAGACGGGAAGGAAGTGTCTGGTTTCTATGGCTGTGATGCCTGCTACGATGCTGCGGCTCAAGAACGGGCTGCCATGGACCCACGTCGCTTGGGCGAACGTGCCGTGCTATGTGGTGTATCTGTCCCTGGTGAAACGACATGGGCACGTTCTTTGACAGCAGGCGATGCCCACGTCCTGTCATCTGCATTGGATGAGATGTCGCTCTCGCTGCAAAAACTCAAACGTGCACCGCTGGCGGAACAACCAAGCATCACCGCCCTGATCAAAATGTATGGGCTTGACCAAGCCGAGCAAATTAAGACGACAGATGTCATTGATGTGGTCGGTCTTCTCGATACAGGGACGCTCCCCAATGCAGACTGGCAGTGGACCGAGAACGATCAGGTTGAGGTACCGATTCTGCCCTGCATTCATGCCCTGTATGTCGATCGGCAGCCGGCCTGGGGCCTGGTTGAAAAGCTTCATGCAAAAAGTGCTTTGCACACTTCGCCCTTCAGCGATCATGCTGAGATGCGGCAGGCCCTTTTGTCCTATCTGGCCAGCGCACTAGGTGGCGATCGATTGGCGGCTGAGTATGTCCTGTTAGCTCTCCTGGCCAAAGTGCATATTCGCCGTGCAGGCGTTACGGCTGGATCGCTGAGTGTGAACTTGATCGGCATGGACGAGCATGCGCTGGACGCTGTCTTGCATGAAATTGTACCGGCTGTTGTTACACAGTCGCTGCAGCTGGAGCACCTGAACGATCCGCAGCAAGCGCTGTTTGTGCGTAGCACGGACCACGGCATCCAGGCAGGCCGTCTGCAATTGCCGCCAGGCACTTGTGTGTTGGTCGACGAGACATCAATGGGCGAAGGCGAGCTAAAAGATCATGGTGTGCGCAATATCAAGGCACTTGTCTCTGTGCTGCAACAACGTACACTTCCCTATGTTTTCCCCTACTCGGAGCTGGACATGGATACGGACCTGAACATGCTTGTGCTTAGTGCGGGCAAATCGTTTTTGCCAGTGGATGTGCATGTGCCTGTCCAGAGGACGGACGCGATCCAGCAGCCCAACGTAGCCCAAGATCGTCTGCATGCCTGGCGCACATTCCTTGCTCGTACACGTCATGTTCAGCTGGACATTCCTGATGCCGTCTCAGAGCATATCCAGAACGACTTTGTGGAGCGCCGTAAAGTCTCTCGATCGTTTTCGCAGGACGACTTGCAGCGATGCCTCTCCACAGCGCGGCTCCTAGCCCTGTCTCATGGCCATTCGGCACTCACGCCGGACGTCTGGGCCGATGCCATTGCGCTAGATGAAGCGCGTGCGACTCGCGTCCCTCCTCGCGCTACGCCGTAGTTCTCTCCTGTAGAGCGTTGTACGATTACGATACCTCCACATCTACTTTCTACTCCCATCCCTCTCCCGTATGGTGCGTGAAGTGTCGCGTCGAGAGCCGCATGCGCCTCGTCCGTCGTATCATACCATGTCGCCGTATGTGCAAAGAGCGATCCATGGCACGCCACCACCACCATCGACACCACGCAGGCGGTGGCCATCGACACCCGCCCAAGCATCGCCTCTCCATCTCAAGGTGGCCTATGCCAGTCCACGTGCGATGGCCTCGCAGACGTCGAACGCTGCTGATGCGGAGGAATCAGACACTATTCCGCCAAGATCCAATACTTGGCAAGATCGGTATGTATTACACGTGTCGCCTAACCGTAGCATGGAGCAGCTGCCAAGCATGGCCATGGCGTATCTTCAAGACTGGTGGATGGACCTAGCCTCGTTCTTGCACCAGACATCCATGGGTCTCCCTATGGGCCTCCTATTGCATGCACTATCGCTTCTTTCTCAGGTCATGCTACCAGACTCATCGTTCTCGCTACGTGCCGCCTCACGGCCCTCGCATCGTGCGTCTTCGCTGTTTGCCAGCAAGCGCCGCGAAGCCGACATGCATGGCCAGCACGCCTACTCTGCACGTCTAGGCCATATGATCCTTGCACAGCGTGTGGCAGCATTGCAATTTACCGTACGTCTCTTCTTCCCTAACTGTAGTCTCGCATGCTGTCCTTGGTCCTTCTCGTGTTGGCCATCGGCAATGCGTACCTTCTCTTCAGCAAGCGCAGGACGTACCGACTTTGGTACCGCGATGAGCGTAGTACCTTACGCAACCCGCACGCTTCCTTGGAAGCACCACCTACGGACCCAGCGCCTGGGCTCACATGGGGCGAATGGGCGCAGTACGTATGCACATGCCTAACCTCAGTCGTATAATGATCCACGCGGCGCGGCAAGTGCCCATCGTGGAATGGTTTGTGCCGCCGCCACCGCCGCCGCCTGCCCAGCCGCCCACATCGGAACGCGTGTACACGCTTCGTGTATGGGACGTGTATGAAGCGCCTCTTCGCCTATTTACGTACGTATGGGCCTGCTCACACTAGTGTGTATTCCCCAGCACATGCGCTATGGTGGGCCGTCGCTGGCTCCATGGGTATGAGTGCATTTATGAGCTGGATCGTGACGGCTGTCTTGATGGCCCTCTTTTCTGTACAGGTAGGTCGTTCTCTCACTTACAACACAGAGCTGGTTCCTTGCGCAAGAATACCATGCGTTGGTGCAAGATCGACAAGTGCTTTCGGCAGAGATGCTGCGAGAGTACGATGAAAAGGTATGTAAAGCCGAAGGTGCTCATATCAGTTTGTGATCCCACGTGCTATGCCTGTCGTTCGCGACGCGGCCACACAAACTGCCTAGGTATTGTCATTGTAGTTCCAATGGGGGGAAGTGCTGCCACGTCGCTCCATCGACGGGCTCCGGCGCCTGTCCGAGTCTGCCTCACGCTGCGGCCATCCATGGTCCACGGCATCGCGTCCGTTTCGACGTGAGGAGGACTTGCGCTCTTTCCACGGCGCAGGACTGTGCAGCGGCGCTTCTTCGAGATCTGGGCGTGGGTCAATGCTCACTGTGACGTGAGCGCCATCGATCTGTCCCTGATCCATATGGGATAGTGCCAATTCTACACTGTCCTCCTGCTCGAACTCAATCATCGCACTGGGCCGTTCATGGGCTGAGGTAAGTCGGGCGCGAACGTACGAAACAAACGCAGTCGTTTGATGGGGCCGTAAAACCCGAAAATTTCGTCCAAGTGCCGCTCCAAGACGCGAGGCGTCAAGCCGTACACGTATACCACGGGGCGTCCTTTGTGGGATTCCGTGGGAGGAGATGAAGCAGCATATGTCATCGTCGCATCGTCGCTCATTGTCCGCGATGATGGGGACGTGGGCGAACCTATTTGATTGGCCGACGTCTTTGTCGACCAGGGACAGCGACGCCTTTGTGGAGCAGGCACAAAGAACCCCACGCTCCTGTCTGTGCGCGAAAGAAGCGTATGCACATAAAACCGTGCGGAGGGAGCAAGAGCGCATGGGTCGATGCCTTCGGACCTGGTCCCTACCTCGATAGGTGTGCTTGTGCTTGGTGGATACACGCTGTACCACGCTCTCACGCGTCTCGCGCAATGGTACACATACTGGCTGGCCCTTGTGCATCACTGGCAGAAGGACGTCGCGCCTGTGTGTGCTTTGGCTGAACGTACGGTCTCGCTCTACACGCAAGCGCCATACCTATGGACAAAGTCATGGCAGCAATCGACGGCTACGGCTTCGCGTGTGCTGGTAGAGACGGTGACGCGCTTGCTTTTGGGCATGTACGTTGGCTGTGGATGCTTACCATGTGGACAGTCTTGATGTGTTGCATGTCGTTGGCACGATCCTATGTGACTCGTACAAGTCTCTCCTCCTATGTACTATTCAGCTTGTGATCCAAGGTGTGCTTTCCATCTTGGATGCTGCGTCGCATATCGTTGCAGCGGCTGTTCATGACGCTGCACAAGCGCTGCATGCGTTTCTCGCCAGTGTGCTCCAACTCACGCAGGGGGCATCCGATATCGCTACTGATACGCTCAATCAAGTCTTGGGCTTGTTTGGGCACCATGTAGCCCCGCCTACCATCCAAGAACCCGATGCTATGCGGTACGTCTACGTCCTCGCTCACACACAGCGTGCTCAACAACATCACCATCCCGTCCTCCCTGGTGGACCCTTTCCAGCGCTTGCAGTCGCAAATCCCTACTGTCGATACATTGCGAACAGATGCAGAGGACGCATGGGCCCTGATGCTGAACCAGACCAAGCTACGTGTGAATCAAAGTACGTACCGGTTGGCTGACCACAGCGCTTCAGACTATGGTCTTCCACGGGCCCACCGTGCCTGCCGCCCCTTTGTCGACGTCGCCCTGCGATACCCTCAATGCGACATGGGTTACAGCGGTGCCCGCCGATCTCTACGATGTCGTCCGCCATGCGTATTTCCGCGTCGCACTGACGATGGCCCTCCTCTTGTTCTTTGCATGGGGCCTCGTGCTGTGCGTCCAAGTCCTACGCCGACCGCCTGTAGACTGTGCCTGCGATGAGCCTGAGAAGCATCCATATCGGCTACCATGGTACACCGTATGGTGGCAATGGTGTCAGACGCCGTTGTCGTTATGCCTCGTAGCGTTTCTGTGCCTGGAACTGATCGGATTGGCCCTCACCGCGTGGATCTTGCGTGCGCTCACGCAAACGCTGCGCCATGGCCTTCCGGCTGACATCTCGCTGGTGCCCACGCCGCCCTGGGCTGACTACCTTGAGCGCACACTGCCTGACACTGTGCACGCTACACAGACGCAGCTCGATGCAGCTTCCGCAACGCTCAACGACGCGCTCTTTGGCTGGCTGCATCAAGCTGTGCCCCTTGCCCAGCAAGTGCTCGAAGGCGTGGAAGGGCTCGTGTCCGATACGATCCGTGATCTGTTGGGGCCAACACCGCTCCGCACCCCTGTCACACAGTTTGCCAACTGCGTCTTGGGCCACAAAATTGAGGCGGCCGAGCATGCACTCACATGGCTCTCGACGCACGCCTATCTCCAGCTGCCCTCCCTGCCGTTCGAGATGTGGGCCGAGCGTACGTGGCCATCGCCATGGGCGTCTATTGCTACAGTATTGCATCCTACGACGCTACGTGAACACGTGGATGCATGGAGTGCGCAGGAGCAACATACCCTATGGTTTCATGCGCTGGCGTTGCTGGTAAGCCTCGCGGCGTGGCTGCTGCTGCTTGGCCTCGCGGCCATTGTCTCTACCCGGCGCTGTCCTGGCTCACGTAGCGTGCTGCGGGGATCGCCGCGACGGCCGTACGTTTGCTAGGGGACGCCGCCGCGACCGCGGTCCCTTCATGTAGATCGGTATTCGCAACAGTAATGGACTTTGTACAGTTGTGTGTCTTGTACACGCCGACCAAGCGCGAGCTTAGTTCAAACATGTTGTTGCGCAGGGAGATGACCACAAACTGCGCGCCTCGCGTCCGCTCCTTGATGATGTTCGCAATGATCGATACATTGCGGAAGTCCAGCGCAGCGTCAATTTCGTCCATGACGTACAGCGGCGTAGGCTTGTACGCATGCAGCGCAAAGACCAGCGCAAGACTGCTTAAAGTCTTTTCGCCGCCACTCAAATTGCTAATGTTCTTCCAGCTTTTCTTGGGCGGCATCACACTGAAGATGATGCCTTCGCTGAATGGGTCCAAACTGTCGACCAACTCGAGCTCCGCATTGCCGCCCAGCGTGATGGTCTGGTACATTTCTTTCAGCTTGAGCGAGATCTGCGAGAACCCTTGCATAAACCGCTCCAGCCGCTCCTTGCGAAGCGCGTCAAACTGCTGCTGCGCCTGATCCCGCGCCTGCGTCGTAGCATCCACATCCTGCGCACGCGCCTGGTACGTCTCTTCCACTTGGCGGAACGCTTCGAGCACGTCCAAATTGGCTTGGCTCTTTTGCAAGACCATCTCGAGACGCGCGATTTCCGCCTCGGCATACGCGGTATCCACGGCGAGCGCCTCGTCGTGGGATAGGGTCGGCAGTGGATCGGCCCTCGCCGCCTCGTCTTCCGCCTTGACCGACACAAGCTCCTCGTGCATCGCCTCGAGGGCCTCGGCTGGCGCTGGGGCTGCCGCCGCGGTCGTAGTCGCGCCGACGGCGCGCGTGGGAATCGTGTGGAGGTGCAGCGCATCCACTTGGGCTTGCCATTGCGCGCGCGACGCCTCCGCGTCTTGCACCTGTTTCTTGTGCACGTCGCATTGCTGCTGCCAATCCGTCTCCATCGCACGGAACGCCTGCAAGGCCGACGCCTTTTCGTCCAACTGCACTTGCAGCTTTTCACGCGCCTCGTCCTGCTCTTCCAGGGCATCGCGCGCCTTCTCCACCGCCTGCCGCGCTGCCTCTACGCCTTGCTGCGCCTCCGTGAGCGACGACGCGAGCGTCGCTATGTCCGACGCCAGGGAAGCCAGCTGTGTCTCACTGGTCTCGGTCGTCTTTTCATACCGCTTGCACTCATTGCTGGCACGCGCATGCTGTTCTTCTGCTTTCGCAAGGCGTTCCTGGCACAGCGCCATCATCTCTTTGATACCTGCGACCTTGCTTTCCTGCGTCCGTAGCTCTACACCACCGACTTCCAGGATCTGCTCTTGCAACGCATGGATCGCCGCCTGGATCTCACTGGACTCGCTCTCCAACGAGGCAATCTCCTTCGCATGCCTCGCCAACTCGGCATCGACCTCGGCCGTGCGCTTCACATCGTCGGGGTCCGGCTCACACTGGCCCTGCAGTTCATGCAGCTGCTGCTCGGCATCGGCAATGCGCTGTGTCGAGGTACGGAGATCCATATCGAGCATGGTAAGCTTGTGCTCAATCTCCGGCCCGCGTTCTTCCTGCTTCTCCCACATCGTCTGCATCTGCTGAAGCGATTGCTGGTGGGAGCGCCACTCGCCTTCCAAGGCAGCGTACTCCTTCGCGAGCTTCGCTGCGTGCTCTGGCGTGACGTCTACCTGCCACGTCGAGCTCATCGCGCCACGGAAGACGCGCGTTCCACCACCTGACATGGTACCGCTCTTATCAATCAACTGCCCATCTTCTGTGACCACACGCCATCGCTTTGCGCCGTACGCAATGCGGTTGGCCTGCTGCAGGTCCTTGGCGACCAATGTATCGCCCAGCTGATGGTAAAACGCCGGAGCAAATCGCGCTTCTTTGGGCTGTACCAAGTCAAAGAGACGCGGGACATTTTCGGGCGTCGTGATCGGTCCCATCGCTTTCGGCGAGACTTGCAAACTCTGCAGCAGCACAAAGTTCGCACGCCCCAGTTTGTGCTTCCGCAGATGCTCAATGCACTGCTGCCCTGTCGTCACAGAGTCTACTACCAGGTTGTTGAGGCCTGGGCACGCCGTGCTGATGGCCACGTCGTAGCGCTGATCAATCGTGCCTAGGTTCCCAAGACGCCCATGGAACCCCGTCAGCATACCCAGCTCGGACTGCCGCAGCAGACTTCGCAGCACTTCGCTGCGCGACTGACTAGTCTCCAGCGCCTGCCGCGCCTCTTCCGCAGCCCGACGCGCTGCGGCTACTTTGTCGCGCAACGTCTGCTCTTGCGCCTTCATCGACGTCAGTTGCGCCTGATCGCTGTCCATTTGATCAGCGAGCGTCTGTTGCTCGTACTGCAGCGACTCCACTTCTTCTGTCTTCGACTGCAGCGCTTGCCGCATATCCGCCAAGGCTATACGTGCATCTTCGACACGCTGATGCGCCTCGTCCGTGCGTGACGCAAGCCATTGTCTCTCTTCTTGCAGTACATGCCGCGCTGTCGTATGCTCGCTGATCTTCGCCATCCATGGCGCGAGTTCCTGTTGTTTCTGCTCAATGGCCTGGCGAATCGAATGTGTTTTGTCGTTGAGTTTCTCACATATCACCGCAAGCGAGGCCTCTTCCGTGGCCAACGACGTCTCATGCGCCGCCAAATCACGCTGGGCCGACGTCATATCGTCCGCTGCCGTATCCCTCGCAGCGCGCGCCTCGTTTCCTGCGGCTTTCGCCTCCGACAAACTGGACTGCAGTTTCTTTTGCTTGGTGTGCAGCATTTTTTGGCGCGTCGTCAGCTCCACATGGTGCTTCTCGGCTTGCGTGAGCTCTTTGCTGCGCGCCTGCACTTGCGTTTGTGCGTCTTTGCACGCTGCTGCCGCCGCTGTATGTGCGTCTTGCAGTGTGTCCCACGCTTGCTGCACATCTCGATGCGCTTCACGCTCAGTGGCGAGGCGCTGCTCCATAGCGGCGAGCGCCTCTGAGGCCTCGGTCCTCTGCACGGTACATCGCGCCCCATGCGCTTGCCACAGGCGCGACTGATGCCGTGTAAGTTCATTCTGGTCCCGCACAAACTGCTCTGCCTCACGCCGTTTGGGTTCTAGGTTGTCGAGTTCGCGCTGGACAATCTTCAGGCGATGCATTTTCTCACCTCGTGCCTCGTTGGCTTCATCAAGAGCCTTGGCATGCTGCTCGATAGGCTCCTTGTAGCTGCTAGTGCCGATAATGTCTTCCAGGTACTCCAGCAAGCCTTCATCGTGCTCCGTCTTGGCCTTGGGCGGCATCTGCGCAATGCTCTCTACTTCACCTTGCAGAATCAGGAAGCGCTTGTGATCGAGGTCAATTCCGCGCTCCTTCAGAAGGGACGTAATTTCGGTATAGGTAGACTTTTTGCCATTCAAATGGTACAAAGACGAGTTGTTCCGCAGCGCTGATCGCGTGAGGATCAGGCGGCTGCCTGGCACAACGTCAAACGACTCTGAGTCTGGATAGTCGATAATTTCACGGAACCATACTTCGACCTTACACTGTGAAGGAGGCTCCATGCCTTCTCGGTTGTGAATCAGCTCACTCAATCGCCCCTGACGCATCTTGTTCGCTCGCCAGCCAAACACAAATAAGAGCGCATCGATCACATTGCTCTTACCACTTCCATTTGGTCCCACGATACTCGAGAACGACTTGTGGAAAGGCCCGATTTCCTGCCGGCCGGCATACGACTTGAAATCTTGCAGAACCAGCTTGTGAATGACCAAGCGGCGCACGGGCGGCACAGGCGCAGGGCGATTTACTGTCCCTGTAGGTGCAGCTGGTGTGGTAAAGGGGTGAGGCATCGTACGCGCTGGCGTGACGGGTGGCAAACCCCCGCCTGCTTTGCGGGCGGGCGTCATCATGAACGACCGCGGTCGTCCTGGCGTTTGAAGTGACAGCAGCTTGCGTGGCGACCGCATCGGCGTCGGTGGCACACGCGCTGCGCCAGGTGCAGCAGAGGCCGTACCGAGTGCATTCGCACTGGTAGTCGCACTCACGTCGTCGGTCATGCACGAACCGTTAGCCAAGTCCTGGCTGGCCAAGCAAGGAGCGTAGCACTGACTCTGCACGTACGCAACACACACAGTACGCACACGCCTTCGCGCTCTACGCGTGGCTGTATTAATCACGTGATAATCCCGACTATTCACCCGGCCGAAGTTTGGGCGGGGGCCTGTGCACGACACCTTTTTCTTTTTTTTCAACGCCGGGGCCAGCTCCTCTCTTTTTTGTACCGTTCGGGGACGTGCGATGCGCTCGAGCCTGTGTCACGGTTGGTGATTCAAGTTCGATTTCCAGGCTCGCAACTTTACATTCTGCACACATCTGCTCCCAACATACTTAGCGAGAAAGTCTTGTGCCTTTCCTGCTATATATACACGCATTTCTAACCAATGAGCCGCTTGCCCTCGATCGCGCCGCCTTCGGCAGCGCATGTAACACTAGGCAATGTACCTTCTTCTGTGCCGAAGATGGCGTCAAATGATGCGAACTACGGTACAAATTCACCTGTAGGATCACCACGGCTCTCTATGTCGCATCATTTGCCAGGCATGCTATCTCCTTACCGCGACTCTTCTACGCGCTTCCAATCTCTTGGAAGCCCACGAACGAGCAGTCCACGTATCAGTGCACTTACTCGTGAGGCATCGTTTGGGTCGTCGTACTACCCGACCTCAGCCTCACGGCCTGCTTCGCCCTCTACGGCCCAGCCGCCTGAGCGCTCGTTCTCTCCCTCACCCAGTAGTGGCGCTCAATCCGCTGCGGCTCGTATGTCAACACGGCCGTTGCCTGTACGCCGTTCCTCTGATGTCACGTCTCGTTTGCCCTTGACGACAGCGACGGGCGAACCGGGATCAGAGGAGACGTCGTCGCCGCAGTCTGCTGCGCCACCAGAGCCTCAACGCTCGCTATCTATTGCTTCGCTGCCGACAGTGGCGCGTGTATACGATGGTATCGGTTTCAATTCGCCTTCACGCTATCCAGAAGGGTATGTATCAAGTCCTAAACTTGATTCATTCCGCTTTAACACATCCACTTGGCGTCCGACGCTGCGTGATGGTTCGCCGTGGTATGACAATCGCAATTCGCCTTTTGCCTCTAGCGCCGTACGTGGTAATGCCGCTAGCGATGGAGGTATAGGCAGTGGTGAGGAAGGCGCAAAGGGACCAGGCGATGCACCACCACCGGAGGACGAGGCAAAGCCATCCTCCCGGCCTGAGAGTACATCTGCTGCGCCGTACGCGTCCACATCCATGGGCGCCTACCCACGTGGGATGCGATCTGACACGGGGTACCCTGGCTCACCTCTCGTTCGTGGCTCGCCCTTGCCGGGTGGAGGCGGTCCACCCGGGTACGCTCATCCGACTGCGTATATACGTCCCACGATGCCATACCGTGGTGAATGGCAGAGCGATAGCTATATTGCTCAAGCGCCTTCGTCGTCTCAAGACAGCGCCGATGCTTATATGCGCATGCCGAAATATGAAGGCGATGTGTACACCGATGGGCCGCCTGCTCCCTATGCTGATCCTTATTATGCCGCCTCGAATCCCTATGCTGCGTATGGACGAAATGGCATGGTGCCTGGCATGCAGTACAAGTATGCGCCTGCGCCCCCCGGCACACGACCTGACATGGATGCATCGTCGGGCGACGACGCTTCTGATACGGACAAGCCAGTCTCAGCGGCCAATGGCTTGGCGATGGGTGCGCATGCTCCACCGGCCTCGCGGTATACGTCCACGAAGCCAGCTGGTGTGCCTGAAAGCGACTCAGGTGGCCCCAAGCTGCATGTATGCGATGCCTGCAGCAAAACATTTAGTCGTCGCTCTGACTTGGCCCGTCATCGCCGTATTCATACGGGTGAGCGGCCATATCCTTGCGACTTTCCTGGGTGCGGTAAGAGCTTTATTCAGCGCTCTGCCCTCACTGTGCATTCCCGAGTGCACAGCGGTGAGCGTCCTCATCAATGTGAATTCGAGGGCTGTGGCAAGAGTTTTTCGGACAGCAGCTCCTTAGCGCGCCACCGTCGAACCCATACAGGCCGGCGTCCGTACGTATGCACGGTGCCGTCGTGCGGGAAAATGTTCACAAGACGCACAACCTTGAATCGTCATGTGCGTAGTCATCAGCTGCCTCTCAAGAAGGGGCCTATGGATGGATCGTTCATGGAAGAAGGGGGCGAAAGCGAAGAGGACGACGAAGAAAGCGATGGCGCTTAGTGCTCCCGCTCCTTTTCGTGGCCTATTCTGTCCATGTCGTGTCAGCTCTCCTAGTATCCTCGTGGTGCTTGAGATGCCTCTTGCTCCACCGAGGCTGTACCATACACTGTGTACTACCTGTATCGTATTTCTCTCTTCACATCTATCTCCACCGCTACGCTGTCCATAGCTTCGTGGAGACATCCGCCTGGTGCGGTGTATCTTTGTCCCATCTATATGCCATAGAGCAATGTGTTATGTTTCGCAAAGACATGGGCAGACTACATGTGTGCGAACGTCTACCTACACTACACGATGCGGGTCAGGGTCGGCCTCGGCTCGCAGTACGGCTTTCGCTTTCTTGATATCCGCCGGCATGCTCGTAGGCGCCGTCAGTCCACTGGCCGTCGTCACATTTCGTGTATGGCTCTCCGACGATGGAAGGTTCCTAGGCACCACAGGCTCCGCCGTAGCTTCTTGCACAGCCTCCTGAAAGAGCTCGCCCTGTGTCACGCCCTGCTCCTTGGCCTGTGTCAAAAGGTACTCAGGCACGGCCGGCGCACGCTGCGGCAGCACGCCCACGTGCGGGTTCTCACTCTCTTGGTACACTGGCTTGTCGTCCACTATAGCCTGCGCTTCTTCGAGAAGAGAGGCGTACTTCTCTTCGCCCTTCTCTACCGTGAAGGGAATCGCATGGCGTTCCGTGGCAGGCGCACCACCTAGGCCGAAGGACTCACGCAGCTGCTCGATTTCGTGGCGCACGCTGGCGACGCTGCGGTCAAACGCATCCTGCGCACCAGGGTACAGACCCACGTCATTCACCGCACTAGGTTCGTACACAGGTGTCTTCTTCAGACCCGTACCCACCATCTGGGACCACGTCGTGTTCTCCGCCCGCAATCGCGCCGCCAAGTCATCTTTGATGCGACGAGGCAATCCAGGGCCATGGTACGCCAACGCTGTGTAGAGCTGGACCGCACTGGCACCGGCTTTGGCAAATTCTAGGGCATCGTCTGCACTGGTAATACCACCACAACCAATCAGAGGAATCTTGCCCTGGCTGCGTTCGTAAATCACCGAGAGGGCATGCAGGGCGAACGGCTTCACAGGCGGGCCCGAGAGGCCACCTGTTTCGTTCACATGCTCATGCGACAGCAATCCAGGCGGACGGCGAACTGTTGTGTTGCTCACAATGATGCCATCCACCTTGGTATTCTCCACGGCATCCGAAACATCTTCCAGCTCCGAGTCACTGAGATCCGGCGCCACCTTCACCAGCAGCGGGAGCGGGGTCTTTCGTGTCTCCAGCAACTTGTCACGCGCCACCACGACATCGCGTAGCAGACCTTCCAGCACACTGCGGCGCTGCAAACGACGCAGGCCCGGGGTGTTCGGGCTGCTTACATTGACCACAAGCATATCCGCGTAAGGGCCCAGCGTCTGCACACCTTTCACATAGTCTGTGACAGAGTCCTCACGCGAGGTCTTGTTCTTACCTAGGTTGACACTCAGCAGGCGGTCCTGCTTCAGACTCTGCGGAACGCCAGCCTGGTTGACCAAGTCGGCCGTAATGTCAGGGTAGCCTGCAAACACTTGCGCTTCGCCTAGCGTCGTAGGATGCGCTACGGCAGCATCTGTACCCACAGACGACACAAGTCCTTGTTGGACCGACAGCACACGCTTCACCCAGTTCTCCACGCGTGCCTGCAAACGCTCACGCACAGGTTCGTGGCCTTCCGAGTTGAAGCCCAAACGGTTAATCACGGCACCGTCTAGCGGAAGACGGAACATGCGCGGCTGAGGGTTTCCGGGCTGTGGCTCGGGTGTAACACTACCGATTTCCACAATGCCGAAGCCCAGGTCAAAGAGACCATCAATGGCTTCGGCCTGCTTGTCAAAGCCCGCAGCCAGACCAATCGGGTTTGTGAGCGTCTTGCCAAACAGTTCTGTGCGCAAAACTGGGTCGTCTTCCACACAGTCGCGCGGCGCTAAGCCCATCTTGAGCAGTTTGATGGACAACTTCGCACCTGTCTCGGGGTCAGTGCACCATTCCATCACCCGGGGAAAAATCCAGCGATGAACACCAGCGCGCGAGTCCATACAATAGACACCAAACGCAGCACCGGCGAGGATTGCTGCCAATGTCACAATGCGCGATGCCGTCTTGCGCGATGCCTTGGCTGTCTTCTCTGCGGTGTGCATGACACCCACTTCAGCGGCGGTGCGTTTTGTCATGCTACGCATCAGCACATGGGGGCTGCGTGGAACAGACGTGTGCGGCACACGAAGATTCATAGCGCGCATCCGCATGGCTGCCGAACTTGCGAAACCTTGCATCTTTGTGCCCAAAGCAAGCAAGGCAGTCGTGGCCGTCAGTCCGGTCGTTGCCGCGTCGCGGCGCCGCTCGCTCCGAGGGAGGGGAGGCTGCCGATCTAGGGCACGTGACGGGCCACGGCCCGCCAACTAGCCTGGGCGGGTGGATGGAGGTGGATGCGAGCGCCGGCGCACCGAGCGTGTGTGGACGGTCGTGCCACGCCTCGCTCGCAGAAAAAGTGTTTTTTCTCTGTAACGCCGCGACGCGCCCCAGCTGCAATTCCTCTTGGCAGGTAGCGTGGTATGTCGGGCGTGCAAAGCTTTGTGGACCGTATGTATCTTTGTTTGTGCCGTACTTATATTCAGAACAAGTCCTTTTGGTGACGCAAGATGGCCGTGTATTGGTAGGTGTGTTGTGTGGCTATGACTCCAATGGCACACTTATCCTTTCGTCCTGTGTTGAGCGGATTTTCAGTCCTGATGAACCAGTTGAAGAGGTACCGCTGGGTGTGTACATCATCCGTGGTGATAGCATGTACGTGTACTTATTAACTGACATGACTAGTGCCCTTGTGGGTCCGCTGGATCCAGCCTTGGATCGCGCTATGCCACTCTCCTCTCTCCATGCAGAGCCTATGCCAGCTGTGCGACACTACTAAAACCGTTCTTTGAACTGAAGCATTCGTACCCACCTGTACGAATCTGTGGCATATCTCAGCACGATTCCCATCGCATGTGTCCAGCACTTGCGCTTATGCTGTCCTTGTATACCAACTGACGTATATCGACATACGCAGTGGTTTGCGCATCCATGTATATCTATGAGTCTTTGGATTGTTTCTTCCACTCGTCAACTGTGCACTTGGCGCCCGCCGGCTCGGGAGTAGGAAGGCATAGTCACACCTATATACGAGTAAGTCTATCATGAAGATAGAAAAAGGCAGTCACTTTAGATACAATGCACTAGAAACCACAAATTAGGCCGAAGACTTACGCGCAACAAAGAGCATCATCGGCGTGAACAGCTTGGTCTTGCCACCAGCCACAAGCGCATCGGCCGCCACCTTCAGCGACTCACCCACATCGTACGTGCCTTTCGGCGCGAGACCGACGTACTCAAGACTACGCACCGTCGTCTGCGTAACGAGCTTGCCGAACCATGTCATACGCCAGCACATGAACAAATCCCAAAGGGTCTGCACCTTGCGAATGTCGCCCTCCAGCGGGTAGTACCACGGGATCTTGTCACCCTGGTCAGCCAAGTCCACATCCCTTTCGATCTGGAAGCCGACCTTCTTCAACGCATCACGCGCCTGCTTAATCGTGCGCATCTCCGGGATACCGTCACCCAGCTCGATACCGTGCGCAATCTTGCGGTGCTCCGGGTTCGACGGGTCCCATGCATCGGTCATGCACCATTCGTACAGACCAAACACGCCACCCGGCTTGAGAACACTCATAATCTCACCGTAGACACCCTCCCACGAAGGAGCATGGCACGTAGCCTCAATGGCATACACAGCATCGAAGCTGTTCTCGCCAAACTGTTCCTTGAGCCTCATAAAGTCGCCCTTGACAAACGACACCTGGTCTTGCAGACCAGCCGACTCGGTGTACTTGCGAGCACGCTCCACTTGGAAAGCATTGTTGTTCACGCCGACAATGTTCACGCCCGCAAGGCGGGCGATCTCACGCGCAGGACCACCGACACCACAGCCAACGTCGAGCACACGCATACCCGGACGCAGGTGCATGTTAAGCGCCAGGTAGTGCTCGTGGCGAGCAATAGCCTGGTAGAACGCCTCACCAGGGTAGTAGCGAGCAAAGTGGAAGTTGCGACCCCAGCCGTACTCGTACAGCTCCGTGGCACCGTCGTAGTAGGCGTTGACCACATCCGTGTACTGGTCCTTACGCTTCGACTGCTCCGTCTCCACGTCCTTAGCAGCGTTCTTGTCCCAGAACTTGGTGTAGTTCTCAATACCTTGCTTGTTACGAAGTTCTTCGCTCGACATTGTTACAACCTGTGTGATGTAAGTTTAGCTCTTCCACATGGGTGGGTGAAAGGATATGGTCTCTGTCTATACAGTTCTCAGGGACTTGAATGGGTGACCGTAAAGGTCGAAACTTCCACATGAAAGTCAAGATCTTAATCTCTTTCATCTTCGATATATACAGCAGCGACCTATCCCTCGCCATTCAACATACCTGTGGGGCGTAATACGGCCTGGTAACGAAAGCAAAGAGCAGAATGACCTGATCTGGTCATCCCTGCATCCGTGTGTGCGTGTATGCGCCTGTGCACGTGATGCCAAATGCGTCCACTCCACCGTAGCTGACTCTCGATTCGCTCGTGTGCGGAGAACGTGGCCGTGGAGACAGGCGCTACGAAGACTGCTTGTAGCGGGAGGTGTCCAAGATCTGTTTTCCACATATAGCACATAGTCCTTTTTTGTAGGCACAGGCTGGTGGTCAGACCCTTGGCGCTACAACGTACCTTGGCAGTACTGTGCTTTCTCTTGCGTGACACGTTGCTTGCACAGTTTGCACTGCACGCCTAGCGGAGAAAACCGATTGGATTTTGATAGAAGCTTGTTTTCGCCGACTTTGCGGCTGGCACCTACGACGGAGGGACTTCGGCCGGTCTTGCTGAGAGCCGAAGGACCAGAACCTTTCAGCATTCCAGCGGCATTACGATTGCGCTTGTCGTTAGTTTCGACATACATACATAGGGATCCGGTGTTGCCGCTTTAGACAAGAGTTTCTCGCACTTGGCGCACACCATCACTGTAATACACGTTGCGCACGACCACAAAGCGTTCCCAGGCGCACGTCGTGTGTCACTCTTGTCACGTGCGCCGAGCGCGCTCATGTACGCGGGCAACGCGACGGGCGCTTTCGACGCGTCAAAGACCATGTCGATTGTGCACCTGCAAAACGTGGAGATCATTAACAGTCAGGCGCGCTTCTCTGGTATGTATATACCAAGCTCACACGTATAGACCCCTACATTTTCAAGGTCACATTTGAATGCATTTCTCCGCTAGAGGATGGTGCGTGTATCTTTGGCTGACCGCAGACATCGAATGGAAGCTGATTTACGTCGGCTCAGCGGAGTCCGAGGAGTACGACCAGGAGCTCGACAGCTGCATGGTCGGCCCAGTCCCAGTTGGTACGTACTTCCCCTACTTACGCAGGCGTCAATTCGTTTGAGTTTGAAGCAGAGGCACCGTCGCCCGAAAAGATTCCAGCTTCCGACTTGCTGGGCGTGACTGTGATTTTACTTACCGCCTCGTACAAGGATGCTGAATTTATCCGTGTCGGATACTATGTGAACAATATGTATGAGTCGGAAGAGATGCGCGAGAATCCACCAGAGACTGTACAGCTTGACAAGGTCGTGCGCGAAGTCCTTGCTAGCAAACCTCGTGTTACTCGGTTCAATATTAATTGGTATGTACGAGCATGCGCTTAGACCCCAGGGACAACCCAGGTGAAATGATCAAGCCGCCGGAGGAAAGTCACACCTCTGTGAATGAAGGGGCGATTGCCGATGAAGTGGATACGAAACCCAACCCTGTATTCCGCCCGGCACCTGGTTCTAGTACGGCTGGCAGTAGCGCATTTGTGCCGCTCGAGTCATGAGGCTTACGTTGGAGTAGATGCCGACCAATACCCCGCCTCTTCTAGCCAATCTAGCACGCTTGCAGGACTAGCGAGGCTGTTGAAGTAGATAGACTCTGCACGGCTAGGAATGCTGTCTTCCAACATATATGCGAGATGCCGACTGTGGTTAGGACCCAAAGTACGTACTGAATCAAGGGCGATGGCAAGCCCCACGAGAGGGATTTTGCGACAAAATCCGCGACGGCTGCATGAGGGGTCCGTTCTTCGCCTGCAAACAACGCTGGGTTGGCCAGGAGACCGCGCGCACTCATCGCACCGCGAGCGCCCGTATATGCGCGGGAGTGAATTGCATCTGCTTTGGTCCAGATATCACCGTTGACCACACATGGTGGGCGCCCGCCTGCGCCACCGTCCTCGCCGACGACCCACGCATCACCAGGTGACGTTCCAAGAGCCGTCTGTAAGCCGCATGCGTTGGCACTTTGAATGGCAAACTTGACGCCATCCAAGTTGACAGGGTCAGAGGCAGAGGACTGGTGCCGTGTGCGGCCATGCACCGTGATGATAGATGCACCTGCATGCAAAGCATTGCGCACTAGGGTATCTGTGAGGCGCAGGTCCGTATCGATGCGAATCTTCACACTGACGCAATATCCATGGCCCAGTCGATCTTTCACCGTACGCACCATATCGCGCACTGTCTCTGGTTGACGAAGAAGGTACGACCCAATGTGTTCGGCGTATGCCCAAGGTTGTGGGCTAGAGGTAAGTCATACAGGTACGTACCAACCGCAGTTCAAGTCGATGCCATCGACAAAGGGACTCACAAGCTCGGCTGCATCTGCCAAGGGGCTGGGTTCACTGGCTGCTAGCTGGCAGACCAAGGCGCCTCGGACGCGCACCCTGTCTTTGTGGTGCGTGTCATATGACCGCACCATCTCAAACGTGCCACGCTCCTCGACGTTGGTCGAAAAGTCGGCATCACGAGCTTGTGCATTACGACTGAACTCTGTGGCCAAGATCATCGGTGTAGTTGTGATATGCGTTTCATATTGGGACACAAGCGCACGGAATGGCAGCTTGGAATACCGTACCATAGGTGCACAAACATTCACACCCTCAAAAGCGCTCAGCAGATGATGCGGCGGCAGCACCAGGGGGTCTGCCGCCATAATGGACGAGCGACAACGTCGTACTTTTTCACCTCCACCCATGTCCAATTTGCTGCCCCTGGCGGCGAAGGTGAAAGCTTCGGCTGGGTCCTCCAAAGAGGCGCGGCGGATCTTTGATGGCAGCAATGAGACGTGCTGGTCGTTTGATTTGGTACGTGCGAGCAATATCTTATGAATAGGGCGATCCCAGCACGTCGTCTACCATGCAGCTCACATGCACCTTGGCTGAGCCACGTACGATGCTCGAGGTAGCCGAACTTCGATGCACCTTTGCGGGTGGATTTGCGGCGATCCGCGTAGCTGTTCTGTTTGGCTATGCAACCCAAGACAAAATTTTGGATTGGGCCCGGGTCCAAGAGGTCTTTCCCAAGGATGGCAATATGATGCAAAAGTTTGGGTACGTACGCCATGCCATAACACCAGATGGAATACAGAGGTAGCACAACAAGCCGTCCAAGCGATAGGGCGGGATATGGATACGCCTGTGACGCATATAGCTCTCTCGTTGGAAGGAAGTACGGATGGATTCGGTCGTGTTACTGTCTATGAGCTAGGGATATGGACACAGACCTAAATCATGCATGCTATAGTACAAAATTGATAACGCACCACACCGCCGGAGGCAAAACCTGGAAGCCTCTAGTCATCTAGCACAGGCGCAGAGGGCGTCACGGCCGTATGGGATGCCGAGAGAGGCACCTCACTGGGGAACTGCAGCCCCCTCTCTAGATCCATGTCATAAGAGGCTTCGTACAAAGGGAGCGGTGCATGTTCAAAGGGACCCGTACGCCAGAGATCTGGCATCTGCATCCCTGGCATAGAAATCCAAGCTTCGTCTTGCTGCACATCGGATCTCTGCGTAGAGTTGTACGACGATGCTGTGGGTATAAGGGAAGGAGCAGCAGCCAGCTGTACGGACGACATGAAAGTCTGCGGAGGGTCAGGCAAATTGTACGATCTGCTGCGGACTCGAACTTTTCCTTTGCGTACCGGCACGACAGAAGACACATCTTCGGCCGCTGTCAATACCGGCGCGGACGGCAGGGGCTGCGGCGCTAGTGGTAGCGCAGGCGAGCTACCTGCCTCGAATAGTGCTTTCAAAGCGGCCTTCTCATCGGTGGCGACGTGCGCCGTCAACGTGGCAGAATCGTCGGTAGGAAGCATCAGCGGGGCGCTGGGCTCCAAAATCAGTGTACCTGGTGGCGCAGAAGGACCCAGTTGCAGCGCATCTGCACGGTCCAACCCTACTTTCTCATCCAAAGAGACTCGCGAGGATTGTGGCGATGTAGTGAAGTAGCTGGGAGGCATGGTCTGTTCGCCCGCATGCCCAGCCACGGCATTCTCACTGGGCGGCATGTATGATGTGGTTGGGCACAGGCGTACGTCGCTGGGTTCTGATACCACCTGGGAAGAGACGGATGACCTTGCCGACAAGGTAATTACAGGTTGTTCCGTAGTGATCGGCGATACACCCGCAGGGGATACCACGTCAGACTCTCTGGTCGTGGCCGAGGATGAAGCAGAGGACACAGGCTGGATGGCATCGGTATGAGTAGGTTCATTTTCATCGCTCAGATCCTCCCAATCGCTCTCCGCTGGCAGCGTCCTCTGCGCCGATGTCATACTGGCTCTGGGACGACGGCGGAAGAGGTGTCGCGAACGGCGCGCAGACGCCCAACCTGTGTCGTCCTGCGACGTTGTCGATTGAGAGGATATCGTGGATGCCTTGGATGTATCCTTCCCGTGGAAATCGTGCAAGAAAACCGTGATGCCAATGATCAAAATAATAAAGATGGCCAAGAAAATTGCAATGATAAGAATCGCTTTGCGTTGAAACCACACGCTGCGTTCTTTATACTGCCACATCGCGTCGGGTACAACCACCACAGGAGCATCGGTATTGGAGCACATGTAGATTTTGGTAAATGGGACGCCTGACGGCAAATGATTCAGTACCTGTCCTGGCGCTAGGCTCGTCGGCGTCGGTGTGGGCGAAGCGGCCTGGACACTGGGCGCCGTCGTTGCGAGAAGACAGGCTATCCACCATACAGGGCAGCTACAACTCCACCGCATTATGCGGTGGGGTATCTGCCACATGCCACAAAGTACGTGTCTCGAAAGCGGATGTGCAAGGTATGGGTGGGAAGTCACGGAACGGTGTCCGTTTTGCCCACATGCGCAACGTGTGGGTGTGGAGTCATCCGGCCTCCGCGGGGGTGGGTGGAGTGCGTCAGGGACATGCCTCGCCCAACGTACGTAGAATCGATGAGTGTTGCATTGTATATACTATGTCATGCTTCCAAGTCGCTATCATAGTCCCGCAGAATCTCTGCATCTTCGTCCGTAGACAACATATGATAGCTCGAGAATGGACGATCCGAGCGACGTAGATAGTCACGCAGAATGGGGAGGTCGCTAGCGAAGGCGACCACATGGGACCAGACCAAACTCGCTAGGCCACCGACAAACTGCACGCCCAAACGTACCTGCTCCCGGATATCACGGTACAGAGGCGAGTTTTCAGCAGCGCCGCCCAGGAAAAGAGCGCCGTTATTATGACGTGCCAGCCATGTCGCAGCAAAGTACCCCAGCGCGCCGGCGGCGGCCAAGACAAAGAGCCACCAAAGCAGACCATGCGACTGAGGCGTATGGCTGCATCGGTGACGACGTCCACGATCAGGACGGTGACCACCACTACACTGCGATAGCGGAATTTTTCGTACATTCGTACGCTCATACCAGTACCCATCGTACTCAGGTGCATCCGGCGAGCACTGGGCGGCCTCGTCCTCGAGGAGCTTTTGTGCCCCTGGGTACAGCACGCACTGCCCCGTCTGTGCGTCACGATAGTGATTGAATTCGCACTCAAAGTCGGCGTCTGTGCATTCACAGGACACTTTTTCTACCACATTGTCCGGTAGTGTCGATCCAATGTAGCACACACGATCGCGCTTGCGACGCCAGAACCACGTTTGGCTACCGAACAAGCAAGCCTCTTCCCGTTGCTGGCTAGGGCTCCATTTTTCAAAGTCGTTCTTGGCCTCATTCTTTGGGTCATAGACACACTGTGTCGGCAACACGGACGAGAAGTCCAGGAACACGGCCGTGGCTTTGCCCATGGCATCGCCCAGCAACACAAACTTGCGCTTCGTATCTTCCGGGACGGTATCGATGGTCCACACACGCATCTTTACGCCAAACCTGTACGTTTCCCATGTAAGACCTTGGTCCAGTGTGTACAAAAGGGAGTCTGTCGCATGTTGGTCGTCGACCATCACAATGATGGAGCCGTGATCGCCATACTCCCACTTGTGCGTACTCTTGTGCACCTCTTCCCATGTGAAGCCACCGTCCCGCGTAAGGAATGTGTCACACTCGTTGTACGGCAGCAACTCACGGCCGACATTGCCCGTGGCCAGCATAAAGCCCAAGGCGGAAGGGCTAGTGAGTGTCATACGCAAATCGGGCCGCTCAAGAATGTTGTGCAAATGCAAATTGCAACCCACCGAGTCGCATGCATACCGAACACCATGCGAGTCCTGTTCGGGGGGCACGACCGTAGTCCAGTGGCCGCCATCGTTGTGCGTGATCTTGGTCTGTAGACGCTTGGTACCTGATACACTAGCATCATCGATATTCGCCACGATATTCGCCAGCGCAATGCCGTCCAAGCCTTGCATCTTCTCAAAGTCAACGTACCCTGCCCCGTTGCGGTTCACATGCTCCAGCGAGAGGGCATAGTACGTGCCGTTGGAGTTGCTCTTCACGATATCACCCCACTGCGCATTGGGGTTCGACGTGGTCGTCACATGCATAAACACAGCTCTGGTCACAGAGTCCAAGACGGTATAAGCTCGATGATCCAGCTGCAGCGATGGCGGAAGTGTCACGGGTGAGAAACGATGTCCGTCCAACGAAACATGCATTTGGAGGGAAGACGCTTCACCCTCAATCTCAGCCACCAGCATGTACTGCTCAAACACAGAGTAGCCAAGAATATTGCGCATCACCGTAGTCTTCTTCGTGTAGAATTGGTCACCGACGACCAAGTCCACAGGCAGTGACGCCATAGTCCGCTGTGAGCCCGACTTCGTCGGGTAGCTTTCACACACAATCGTATCTTCAGGCCCAGGGAAATGCTCCGTGGCTAGGAAGGTACACTTTCTCACATACGTATCCACACGTTTCCAGCGCCCCTGCTTCGGTTCAGTGATAGACCAGACTTCCACACGACACTCTCCATTCTCCTGGCAGTCACGGCTGCCTGTCCACAAAAGCCACGTGGGCTGCTTGGGGTGGAAGCTAAGAGGGTCCAGACCAAAGACGTTGACCTCCAGCGGCGCCACAAACCAGTCCCATGACGCACCCCCATCGGTGGTAAAGTGCACCGTCCTCCCTGCTGTAACGATATAGGCGCTCAAGCGGGCGTACGGGTTCGCGATAAGGGCCAGGGCCGTGTCTGTGTCGCCGGTGCCAGCGACCAGGGACAAGGCATGCCATGTGCTGCCATCGTCCGCTGACTGGTATACTTGGCCATCTTTCAAACGTACAAGAATACGTGGCGATGAACGGAAATGCAGCACCTCTTGCACAGGCGCAGGGAACTCAAAACGGGCATGTGCTACAGCGCCTAGCGATGGCTTCGCCTCACTGCAGGGCCGAGGCACAGGTGCATCCAACGCCACGTCTTGGCCTGCTTCGCATGTGTTCCCAGGAATACGACGGTAGCCCGAGGATCCCATAAACGTCTTTTCCCCCTTCGCGCAGGCGCCAGGTGGTGCGTCCATAGGACGTCCAGGGATACATTTGCCCTGCTTCCGCACAAACCCAATGTCGCATTCGTAATCAGCCGGCGTGCACGGGCATGGCTCTTCTTTTCCTTGCGGTTCGTGGAACTTGTTGCGCACAAAGCAGTCAGCCGCCGCTTTCCGACGTTTGTACCACTGCTTGTGACCAAAGAGACATTGATGGCCGGCCATGGTCGATGGGTAGAACTTTTCAAAGTCACTTTCCTTGCAGGTGCGCTTTGAGAGCTTGGCAAAGTCCACAAATACGGTCATATGGCGCTTCGATGGATCTGTAGTACCCCGCTTCTGAGAGCCTACTAGAAGCACTTTGAGAGCCGTGCCGTCAGGCGCCGTCGTCAGAGCCACAGGCTCTACAGGCGCAGGCAAAGACTGTGTAGCCCAGGTCGCACCGTAATCAAACGAGTATTTTAGTACATCCACAAGTGGTGCATCTTCGACCATGACAATAAGGCCACCTTGGTCACCGAAGACGTGCTTGTGTGGATGTCGGGCAACCATACGCCAGGTGACACCTGCATCTGTACTGAGGTAGGTATCACACTCATCGTAAGGCTTCAGCTTATCACCCACGGACCCCACACCCATCACCAACCCTGGCGCCGTGGAAGAAAATACGCGGCCCAGGTTGCGTAAGTGCAAAAGAGCATGCAGATGCAACGCGCATGACTCCGGCTGGTTCACATTGCATGGTATTTTGTGCCCGTCTACATCCTTGGATGGCGCAGCAAGACGCGACCAAGACGCACCCTCATCGTGCGTAATGCGAGTCTGTACACGTCCTGACGGCCCATCCGGTTGAACGTTGACAATGGCAACACCCTCAATGTTGGCCAAGTGCTCATAATCGACCAAGTAGTCTTTGTTCCGCTGTGTCCCCGTCAAGCTCAGTGAGAAGTTGGCGCCCGTACTGTCGCTCATAAACAATGCGCCAGTGTGCGCATCACTGTCCAAGACATCGACAACCAAGTGGTACTTGGGTCCATCCAAAACTGTATAGGCATTTTCATGCGTGAGTTGGCCATGTGGAAAACGTGCGTGCGTCCAATGTTCCGCATCACGCGAAATATACAGACGAAGCTCACCACCGTACCCAGGTGTAGAATCCCTCACGGCCGTGATTAAGAAGTGGCGGGACTGACCAATGCTCGCAAACCCACGAGGCTGAGGCATATCGCTGAACGACACTGCACGTTGTGTCTTGAATAGGTCATCGCTCACAAACATGCGCGTCTTATCAAGCCCTGAGCCTTGGGTCATTGCTCGGGGTAACGCCGTCGCCTTACTAATGCTCTCGTCCCAGGCGATACAAAAGATTCGCTGCATAGCTGCATCACTCACTTGAAGCTCTTTTGTCATTTTCGCCCATTGGCACTGAAGCACTCGATCCATGATCATCTGCACATCGCTCGCAAAGGCATCCTTGGTATAATAGGCCGAATCGTGACACGTCGTAGTAAGAAGGCCCTTATCGCACGACTTTCCAGTAAACAAAATCCAATCGTGATGCTTTTTGTCGGCGTGGAAATGCAATGGTAAGCTAGCTCGCGTAGATGGAGGCAATGGTGTACGAAAACTTTGCCAGGTTTTGCCGCGGTTCATCGTACGCCAATGCTCTAGGTCATCTGACATGATAAAAGCCTGGCGAGGATCATAGGGATGAGGGATAACCAGGTTCGCCATACCTTCCCGGGGACCGCGCACCTTACTCCATGTCTTTCCCTCGTCCGAACTCCGATACACATTGCCCTCCGCTGCATCGTGCCATAACACCTCAGAAGAATCTTCAAAGTAGTGCAATTTGGCAGGTACATTGGGAAAATAGTGTTGATCTATCTTCGGAGACTCTGCCTGCACTGCATAGGCAAGCAGTGCCACGGCGAAAGCACATAATATGCGCCATATGCCGAACATTCGTCGTGGCAATAGATGTAGGTACTTCTCACACGTGCTCGGGCCTGGTGGAGGCAGGTCTCGACTGCACTAGGCCTGGAGCTTATATTACGTCACTCAACTCTGCCGCAGAAATGAAAAAACCATGCTGCAGGTACGGGTCTACAGAATAATGTATGGAAATGAAGAAGGAAAGCGTATAATTATTACATGAAAATACATGCACTAGTGCTTAGGATGTTGTGCGAGCATGAATTCACTTTGTGCGCCTTGCACACTTTGAGGAAATATAGAGGAACCAGCCGCAGCGGCTGCTGCTGCATTTCTCTGTGCTCGTGGAATTTTGTACTCAAATTGCTTGACTGGATCCATATGCGTAATATCACGGCTCTCATTGATATTAAGAGGCGTATGTACCTCAGGAGGTGCTGAATGAAGTGGAGACGGGTAAGGAGACGTTGTATGACTGGTAGGAGACTCTGTGTGTAGGTTTAAAGGAGAGGGCCTTGATCGATTAATAGGTTCAGGGATGGCTTGTGTCAAAGTAAAAGGCTGCGGACACGCAAATCCTTGGGGCGGGAAATTGGGACTTGGTATCGTTGCTTCTGCTTCAGGATCCATGATCTTCTCATTCGGCACAGGACCCTCATTTGGCCCAGCAGGAATTGTCGTCATCATAAAACGGCGTGCGTCAAACGTTGCAGGTGTGGATATTGGGGATATAGGCACTTGGTATTCCATTTCATTCCCACTGCTCCATCGTCGAGGAAGGACAGATGGATCTCCATTCAGATCCAAGGCATTAGGGACTCGATTGTTCAACATGGGTCGATGAATGGGCAGTGCAGCCTTGGGTAAGGGTGGTCCAAATGGTGGCCATTCTTGCGGAAGCACATTTTTCATGGTAGAATCAGGGGGTGCTACCAAAGTTGGCGCACTCAGAGCATGTCGCCCAGTGGCTGGCAAGGGCGGCCCATTGGCATCGGTAAAACTCTCCGATTTGGCTGATTCGTTCAACATTGACTGAGATAAAGGCGCATCATATGTAGTTTCATGTTTTGAGTGCATTCGGCGACTATCGATCCTTGCCCTGGTTGTTGCCAATACCTCAGAAGAACGTGTGGTAGTCCATGTTGGAGAAGGCATACTGCGCTCAGCTTCAGAAGCCGAGTCATTGACTCCAAGATAATGCTCAGGTCCTCGTTTTTCAACAGTGCCGGAATACTCAGTATACCTAAGCAAGAATTCATCCATGTCCCCTGAACAAAACTCTGCAAGCTTGCCGTTCCTATTAAACACAATGACAGCAATATCAGAATCGGTCAAAATAGCGAGTTCATGCGCTTTTTTGAAAAGACCTGTTTTGCGCTTGGCAAAAGTAGCTGTACGATTTCGCTCGCCCTGAATAGGAGCAATCTTGATCTTCTTTCGTCCCATGGCAGTAGGTTGTGTCGTCGTTGATTCCCAGGGGAAGTGGTTAATGGCCTGGGGAAATATGGCATGTTATTTGTCATTCATTGGACCAATCAAAAGACATATTCATAATGAGTATCATACATAGTGCATATTACGTTATATTAGTGGCATGGCGATCGAAGTTTTACCTGCTATCGACCACAGGGAATGCAGAATCGGGCACACTGTAAAATTTCAGGCCAATTGCTTCCCATGTTTGCGCTGCAGTTTCTTTTCCATCTTAGCCTGTGTCATATTCTTGGGAGCACTGCTTGACACTTGTTTCACGTGGGGCAAATGCAAGCGTGCATTGGTGTCGAGCCAGGGTAGACGATAGCCTTGAGAAAGACCATTCCCCACTGCTTGGACAGATTGCTCGAGGCGATTCAAATATGAGGTAGACAATGAGGAATGCACAAGGAGTGCCGATAGGCGCCTAACACCAAGCGCAGTAGATAGCATGAACTCAGCTCCTTTAGGTAAAGGGATAAGGACAAGGGATGTGGATGAGACTGTCGATATTTCCAGCATAGGTTCGGTTGTAGATTCATCCGGTGTGGTATCATCTTTCTTGATCTGATTTGCAACAAATGCGTTGTAGATGGCGGTGAGCATCGGCATATGAGCCACCATGGTGGGGGGATCCATATCTGCTGTACATACAAATAGAAAACGTGGTACCGCTTGTATAGGCACAACAGAGTTGTGTTGAGCTGCTTGAACAAGTGACTCTAGAGATCGCGTAATAGCGTTAATCCCAACTGTGAAGTCTGGCGAAAGGCGAGTCGACGTGGTAGCATGTGTTTCAGTCAAGATTTCCAACAAAGTATGCAGTATAGCATTCGCGTCAACTTTGGGTAGTTGGGGCCAAGAGGCTGCGTAAGGTGAAGTCAGGATAGGACGAAACACGCGTTTGCGCGAAAGACTGGCTCCATTCTTGGAGACGGCATCAATCACTGCAGCATCTTTCTTTCGTATGCCATCCCTACGAGCTTTATGTCTTTGTGTATGCTCTTTCGTATGTGTTTGCACAACCGACGTGGACTTGCGCTTAGGCTTGTCCATCGTTCTCGAGACCGCTCATGTACGATTGGCACGAAAATGGAGTACGCCAAGGAGTGCAGGGGGCATTTACAAATGGAGGTGTGTAATAAATAGACCCTAGAACGGGCTCCGGGTCATTTGCCTTGCAGCACACTACATCGAGAGGCAGGCGGCGGTAGCATGAGCAAGCTTTTACGCAAGTCGCTATCAAGCGATATGCTTGCCAAGATTCGTTCTTCGGACGGGTCGAAAGGTTCGGAGAGCAAGACCAAGAACCAGCCAAAAGTTCAGAAGAAACGATCATTTCGACTTTTCAAATCGCCCAAGTTAAGCTCGCCGCCTGAGCCAAGCCCGAAGCTACCGTCCGTGACATCTCCCTTGCCTGATAAAGGACAGCATAACATACCTACATCTCCTATGTATGGACTTGGTATTCAGCATTGGGAGCAGTCGCCGTCGTCTGCGTCAAGCGGCCCTGCACGTCGACAGATGAGTCCGCGCCCGGTACCACATGCGCGGATGTACCATGAGCAGGAGGGTGCACCGACGGATATATTTATGTCGTCGCGTCCTCCTGGGAATAGCGTGGCCCTTCCGCCTCATCATTATGAGGCAGCTACGCTATCGGCGAACCCACAAGAGGCGGTCACACCGCATGCGGCGCAAGATGCGAATGACTTTTCCCCCATGATGGCCGGCAGTACATACCCTGATACTCAGGATTCGCTACCTACCAATAATATGCATGAATCACAAACCAGCTCTTTCTCTGTACCTGAGCCGATGCCGGCAACAGCTTCTATGCCTCCGGTGGCTGTACAGACGACGCCCACCGTGTCGCTTCCCAGTCGTGCAAGTGATGGGTATGTGCCGACAGTGGTTCAAGTTGGTCCTCCTTCCGCGGGAATTAGCCCCATGCCTTCCTCAGCCGAGCAAACGATGCCGATCGCGGCGCCGGCTACAAATGTGGATGATACATTAGGCCCTAGTGCTGACTATTCATTTAAGACAGCGCCTGTCGCTCATACGGAAGCTATGCATATGCCTGCTTCATCACATGTTGATACAAACATGGAATCGTTCACGGATAGTGCAGATGTCTCGGCTGACCGTGCCTTTGGTGTGGATGCACTTATTCGTCCTTATGACATGTCAGGCGATTCCTTGTCTCATGATCTCATGCCGACGCCGTCACATCAATCGTCGCCCAACCCACACAATCCGTTCCGCATGCGAATGTATCCGCAAGAGCCTTTCGCGGAAGAGAGCCCCTCGTTTAACCAAGAAGTTCATACGCACGAAGTGGTACCTATCGGGGTTCGTGCGCATACAAACACACATGAACATGTGCTAGCTAGCACTACTTCGCCTACATTGACCTCCACTATGACCGTGCCAACGCTGCCTCCATCGAATCAGGCTGTGCAGGCGGACCGACCTATGCCTGCCATCAACTTGGAGCAGTTGTCCAATCTCGGCCCCGTTGTCCCGTCAACAAAGGCGGCATGGCAAGTGCCCTCAGACACGCAAGACTCTACGTATACAGTCCGGCCAGACCATTATGATCAATGGAAGGCACCTTCCTCCATGACGCCGTCGATCACCACGCCCGCAGTAGCGGAAATGGATATACCAACGGCCCATTCGAAAGAGACAGATGAGCCGGTGATGTATTCTCAGAGGATGCCAGTAAATGTGGCGGCTACTACAGAGACGTCTACATCGAGGGAAGCAGCCGCATTCGCCTCTGCACCTACAGAGACATCTTCCTCAACAGGTCCGCGTCAACAAGACACGGCTATGGCTTCTACAGTTGGCATGAGCGCAGCGGATCTTGATGGGTCAGCACGTGCCAAGGAAGAACCGAAAGACGCAAGCCCGGTCCCTAATGAATCAACCAGCCTTACACCTATATTGACGCAATCAGAGCTTTCGGAGCCGTCCAAAGATACGTACCGCGTAGAATGGATGCTGGGTATGCATACACAGCTCTTTGACGATGCATGCACCAGTACCCAAGGTCCTGTGCCGGTGGCTTATACCTACGATGAGTGGTACATTGAGCCAGTGCACGATGTGATGGGGGCTAGGGCAGCAGGTCCTTCGGCCATTGTAGCCAACAGCCCACCACCTGGTCAAGCAGCTGCCTCGCCGCTCTACTTGGGCGTATTTGGATCTGAGCTTCGTACAGCTCGTGATGGACGCTACGTTCTGGACCTCGCGCACCGTGTTGCTTTTGATGTGCAGCCAAATCGGCCGTTGCCTGATAACACACGTGCCATGTCTCTGTCGACTTGTGTGCGCCATGCCCGGATCTTTTCGTATAGCCCACGTGTGGTGTTAGCGGCCACACCACACCGCCTTGTGGCGGAAATGACCTCGGGATCGTCGCCGGGCCTGATGCAGGATGTGTTTTTGGGCTATCGCCAGTACTTTGGTGCGTCGCGTTTGTTGGATTTGCTCCTTTCGCGCATGGAATGGGCCATCACCAAGGTAGGTGAGACTATCACAGCCAAGACAGCGATGGGGGTGTTGGTACACACGCAATCGGCCCTGTGGTACTGGCTGCAGTATTACTATGACCGCGATTTCGCACGCAACGAGACACTTCTACGCCGTCTTATTGACTGGACAGCCGATCAAGATTTCCGGACGCAGTTCTGGAAGTTTGCTGAGGAGGCAAAGCACAGTGTCAATGTTCCGCACCTTCTGCCACTTCACGAAATGGCCATCCCGGAACTAGATGATGAGATGACGACCAATGATCCGTGTGACCGGATGCATGTGCTGTGGGCTTTGGTCCAGGGACTGGTCCCTGCCTCTATGCTCCCTACGACCACCCCAGGCTCTTCAGGCACGAACGTGGTACCAAGCCGAGAGCCCATGCCGGAGCTTCATAAAGTTCGTTCGCTTACGCGTATGTTGTCGTTGTCGAATTCGCCACGGAAGAACAAGCGGGGTGGACATGGACGTAAGCCCAGCAACACAATCTCATCTGCAGTCATGGGGGCTGTGAACAGCATGGGCACGATTCCTGCTGTGCCTGGTACTCGACAATCGCAGTCCCAGGATTTTACCACAGGCACGGCATCCCCTGTGTCGGGTGTATCGCTTGACACACCAGATGTATCGCAATCGTCACTGCATCGCAATCGCTCTGTGCGCAGTTTGCGCCGTCTCTGGCGTCGTGGTGATGGCAGCAATGACGAGCCATCAACAGACGATGCTCGTCAGCACCACCATCATACACCTGCTTTGCCATTTGGTTCGCGGAGGACTGAGACACAACAAGCAGCCGAAGAGGCCTTGGATACGGACGATGGCGAACAAGATGCAACCCTGCAGCGCTTGGAGACGGCCCTGAGCGACTTGCCCAGTGCCAGCGATGTCATTTCACCGCAGCAGCGCTCAGGCCCAATCCAATGGATTCCGTCGCATACAGGTGCATCCTGGAAAGAGGCGCAGCGCATGTCCATTCTTTCACTACAGTCACCACGTTTCGGTGACGAGGCGACACGTACGACTGCGCCTACGCAGCCAGACACGTTCCTTTTATACCAACGCTCGAGCACCATTGCTCGCCAACTCGGTTCCATCGAACGTGAAATCATGGCATGTGTGCGCTGGACCGACATGGCTGAGCCTGCATGGGATCAGCACACAATTCAACAAGAACAGTGGCAGCGTGAGTACCAAGAGTACACCACGATGCGCATTCGCGCGGCTACAGAAGGATCAAGTGTGCCGCAGGATGGCTCACGTACACCACAACTGAATCCGACGCGTACGCAGCAAGGCGTGCATATGCTGATTGCACGCTTCAACCGTGCATGCGCATGGGTCGCTACCCATATCGTCACGACCAAGGACTTGGAGCAACGTGCAGCAATTGTGAACAAATTTATCCGTATTGCGTGGCACTGCTACCGCCAGGGCAATATTGAGACGTTGTGTCAAATCATGTTTGGCCTGCAGTCGCCATGGGTTGCGCGTTTGCAAAAGACATGGGCGCGTGTGGCCCTGTGGGAATTGCGGGCGTTTGATGCGTTGCGTCGCTTCACATCGCCACGCAACCAGTTTGTGTTCCTTCGTCAATCGATGCGCGAAGCATTGGATTCGTCTGTGTCGCCACGCCGTTTCTCGGAGATGAGCACGACAGCGGCGCCCTACGTGCCCTTCTTTGGTCTCTTTGTCACGGATTTGTCGGCAGTCGATGGTCTGAACAGCTTTGTGGACTCATCTCTCATGCCAAACATGACGCCTTTCTATGATGACCAAGAACTGTCGCAAAGTTGGGACACGCTTGTAAATGTTTACCGTTTGCGTCTCAAGGCGTTGATTGTACGTGAATTCATCACGTTCCAGCGGCATGAGCGCGAGGCACCAGAGCATCCAATGGAGCTTCCGATTCTTATCGAAGCATTGCACTTGGATACCCTGAGTGCTGTAGCCATCCAGCGTGCATCGTTTGCCCTGGAACCGTAAGCGTAGAGTAATGATACATAGCTCGTCTGTCTTTTTGTCTGGGAAATGTGGAGGCCGGCCGTGCGCCGAGGCCCTGGCGGCCTTGCGGAGGCCCCAGCGGAGAGATCCTACGTTGTTTGCTTCTCTCTTCACGCTTGACTGCGCCGTGATGGAAACACATGCACAGTATGTAGCACGCGTGCGCTTACCCCAGGGAGCTGCAGTCCATCTTGGGATGCTCGTATGAGCAGGCTCTACAAGCCCTTCAGGTATGTTCCATTTTGTGATCTGACCAGCAGAATGCGGATGGCAACATGGAAGTAGCCATGAATCGATTGCTTGATGGCTCTGTCACAGCACCGTCCGCAAGGACAGAATCAGATGCTACCCCTGTATATGCTCCGCCGAATGCACCATCCTCAAAGGCGCCTGTCGCAGCATTACCGCCGCCTGCGTCCAGTACGTATGATGTATGACCTAACGCAGCCACCGACGGCGATGATCAAGACGCTGACCTGCAACGTGCCATGGCTGAGTCCATGGCACCATCCACAATATCCAAGCCAGATTATATGGATCAAAGCGCCGATGATGAACAGCTTATGCGTGTGTTGGCAGAAAGTGTACAATCAATTTCTGGCCAAACAGAGATGGTCATTCGTCCTGAACTGCAACGTCTACGTTCAGACGAGGAGCCCGTAAGTTTAGTACCCAGTATCCCTACGTATCGTACTGCAGCACTTGTGCTCCAGGCTCTCTTCGCAGCCGAACCTGCGCGACAGGCCCTTCTTGGCTTCCCTCTTCCCGATGACCGAACGCATGACCTCTCTAATTACTGGGCAGGCGCAAGCCCATCACAGCAGCGACAACGTGCATCAGCTGCGTCTTGGGTCTCAGTGCCAGCCGAACAGCACAAGGACTTCGATCTCGTGCAGCGAATCCAAACGCTGTTCTTGTTTATGTATGCTACACAGCGAGCTGCGCTCGTGACTGGTGATACAGATGCAGTTATCCCAAGCGATGTGGCATTGCAGGCCTCACGCCATGTAGATATGCATGTCTTGGTCGAAGGTGCGTAACAGAGTCGACTCACATGTCAGCGTATATGGAAGCACTGTGTCGTGCATGGAATACAGCCATGCAAGCTGTCCAACCAGCCGCTACACCAAAAACCCAGTCGCTCTTTGAGTCTTATGCTGCTGTGGCATTGAATGAGCCATGTGAGGGGCAGGATATACCAACAGCCGTGGACGCACAACCCACCTCCTCCATTACATTGGTACATACGACCACGGAAGCAGACGTCTCATCCTGCCTTTGGCGAAAGCTAACAGGCTGGGGTGGGATGGAATCGCTATTGATCACACGGCCTGCACAAGTGTTGGTCTTTTGTCTGCAGCATGAAGACACGACAACGCCTTTCCAAATCGACCCTGTCCTTTACATGGATCCTTTCTTATGGGACCATCGTCGCGGGTACAGACTGGATGCCCAATCAGACTTGTCTACGTTACAGACCTGGGAGGCAGAGTTGCAGCAGCGACAGGCCCAACGTGCATCCCTCTTACAGCCAGCAGGCAAGCCCCTCTCAAACATGTGGAAACACTGTCTCTCGCATATGCAGACCAAGTCGCCCGACGAAGGAACATGGCTTTCCGACCTTCAGCAGGCTTGGCAAGCACAACTTCAGCGTATGTTGCATTTCCACTTACAGTAGGCATGGAGGAGGAAATATCACATTTGCAAACGCAAATTGCCACGGCTCGTGACAAGCTTGCGAAGGCATGGCAGCAACACATTCAGGATTCGTCATTGCAAACAGTATGTCCTTTTCAACTAATCAAAAAGGTACCCTACGATGTGTGTGCTGTCGCCTATCAAACACACGACAGTGAATGGATCTATGTATACCATCATGAAGCTTGGTGGCGTATCGAGCGTGGCCATGCCACCAAAGTAGGTAGGAGTGTGGCACTAACGCAGACTACATGGGATGCTGTTCAAGCAGATGCATCGCCACAAGGCGCTGCATTGGTCGAGCTGGTATACCAACAGCGCGGCCCTGTGTCACCACCGCAATGGACTCATCTGCAAGGTGCATTGGAGCAAATAGCCGTGGACAACCAGCGCGCGCAGGAAGAGACACATTCGTGATGGAATAATAGTATGTATGTACATGTCTATGCAGACTTTTTCTTTGGCTGAGGGGATGGGCGCTTCATGCCGCCGTAGGCGTACCCAACGGTGCCAGCCATCACCGCAAAGGCGCCTGACCAAAGTCCAAGAGAGCCAGATTGCCGATTAAGGAGCACAACACTGATAAGAAGACTTACAGCTTTGCGCACCACAAGAATGAGCGACACACTTAGACTTGATACACGGGATGTCAAGCGGTTCACGCCGTTAATGCAGATAAGCTGCGTGAGCACATTTAATGCCAAGTTGATGTAGTACGATGGGACATACGTGCCCAGAAACTTGCACGAGGTACACATTCCCACCCACTTGGAGGGCGTAGCATTGGCATCGCGAATTTGCTGGGAAAGACTGCGCGATTGGAATAAGAAAAGAGGAAGCGAGAACAGATGCGAATAAAACAGCGCTTCATGCCAATGATGACGTCCATATTTGGCGTACGTGTGTTCCTGGAAAATACCCATGACGCCTGACGTAATAAGCGCAAAGCTAAGCAGCATAACGCCGAACAGATAATCATGCATCGAGGAAGGGCCGTCTGAGGCAGCATCAGGCAACGCCGCCGACAATGTCGCGCCAATGACACCAATTGTGACTAGAAGTACGCTTGCCAATTGCAGTGCATTGTACCGCTTTCCATCGACAGTGTATCCAAGTACCATATTGACAAGCATACCGCCACTTCGGAAGACAATGTGCACCGACATGGGAATACTGTAGGCAAAAGCAGAGTTGTTTAATATGCTGGTGATATAGTACAATATCACTTGCACCATCCATCGACGTAGGGGGACACCTGGTGTCTTGAGCCATAGGACAGGCCATCCATACCAGGTGCGCCATTCCACCTCGCCCACAAGCGCAGTGAGCGTGGTGATGACAAACTGAGCCAGTGTAATCAGGGCACCTGATGACGGCAACTGCTTGGTCGTGAGCTCCAGAGCCAGCGCATTGCTACAGCAGCCGCCGAAGATCAAGGCTATGATGAGGCCCAGATCAGCAATAGCATGTCGTGACACAGATGCCACGGACGGCTTGGATGGCTGGGCAGTGGCCATAAAAATAGGATGACGTCAAAGCGAAGTAATCCATTTCAAAATAAATGCCATGGGCTTGCGATCGAGCGTTCTCTTCGCACGTGGTTAAATAATTGTGCGTTAGAGCGCGGGGATAAGATTTACATTCGGGGCATGGATGGACCGACAGACATTTCCTTGTCAACTACCATCTGTTCGGTATGAGCGTGCCAGCTACCTACGTGACGGGGGTAGATGCCAATATCACGAACGTCCATGGCCGTCATGCGGTGCCAGACAAGAATCTGCTGGCCCCACAGCCCGTGCGACCTACGCACGGACCTGAATCGCCCAAGGATAAGGCCGACAAAGCTACTAAGCACGCTATGGCCAACCTAAGTGAAGAGGAAAAGCGGATGTTGGAAGAACGTATGAATGTCAAATACAGGGCGCGTACATCGATTCTAGACTTTTCTTTGGCTCATGAGAACCAATTCCGTGGCTTCTTTATGTTGTTCTGGATTTGCTTGGGTGCGAAAGTGTTGGACAATTTTATGGTCTCTTTCACGCGCGACGGCAAGATCCTAAGTCTTTCCCTAGCCTCTCTTATGACGCGTGACCTGCTTACTCTGGGTCTGAGTGACTTGGTGTTGGTAGGACAAACGTTATTTTGCGTCCCGCTCGTGTACCTCTTGTATCGTTCAGGCATGAAGATGAACCCCATTGTAATTATGATTCAGTTCGTATGGTATGTGACCATCCTTGTCTGTGTGTGTGTGTGGGTTCGCATCCGGTACGTATACAGGAAACTTACCTGAAGGGAATGGCCCTGGACGCAATCAGGCTTTTTTCTGCTACATGCTATGGTCCAGATTATGAAAATCCACAGTTATATGGATGTGAATGTTCCTATGCAGAACGTTTATGTGGATCTTAAGAAGCAGGAAAAGAGCTTAGCTCAAAAAGTTTTGGATGTGGAAGGCCCTCTGGCTCACACAGAAGATCTAGAAGTGGCTTGGAACATGGCATTGGAACACACGGCGAAGAAGCTAAACATAAGCACAAGTACGGACGTGAATGGCCAAAAGGATCCCTTCTTCAAGTGGGGGAGCCTTTCTATGCAGACAGGCCCTTCAAAAACACGCTCGCAGATCTGGCGTCGCCGTATTCATGCAGAGATCCCGCGTAGTAGGTCTCCGATCCCACTGCATCGTCATCAAGTCCGTGCGTTGGAAGAGTCGGACAACTACACGTCAAAAAGCCCACAAGATTTCTCCTTTGCGAAGGAAGAACTACGTGACACTCACCCACTAATGTGGCATCCTCATCCCGATGTCGCAAACTCAGCTCACCAAATCGCACGTCTGCGTGAAGAACTCTACGGAGAGCCCATTCCTGAAGACCAAGTGGGTCCCATGTGGCCCAACAACATTTCGTTCTCGGACTTTGTCTTTTTCCAACTGGTTCCTTCATTGGTCTACAAGCTGCAGTACCCCCGTACAATGAGCATTCGTTGGTGGTTTGTAGCCGAGCGTTGCATTGCATTTGCTGGTATTTTTTTGGTGGTGTACACCACCATCGTGACCAACATTATGCCGATCGTGGCAGATGATTCGCTCTCGCTCGTTTCTGTCTTCCTGAAACTGATGGCACCCATGATTGCATGTGTACGTATATGCTGGAAGTCTGACACAAAGTACCTGCTCATCTTTTACCTCATGTTTGAATGTGTATGTCAAGCCTTTGCCGAGGTTACACGGTAGGTGTATGTCATGTGCTCACTGTTCCAGCTTTGCCGATCGAGAATTCTACCGCGACTGGTGGAACTCGACGAACATGGCCGAGTTTGCGCGCGATTGGAATAGAGTATGTGTGGACAGGTGTACTCACTCTGAAGCCAGTGCATCACTTCTTGCTGCAGCACGTCTATGTGTCGCTTATTTTCAAGGCAGGCATGTCAAAAAACATGGCCTCCATTTTGACGTTTTTGCTCAGCTCTATTCTCCATGAGCTCGTTATGATTATTGTCAGTGGGAAGATACGTGGCTATCTCTTTATGATGCAAATGAGCCAGTATCCACTGATTATGATTGGACGTGTATGTATAAGAGCAATAAGCTAACTTGTTAGACACAGTTCATTCGCAGCCGCCCAGCCTTTGGCAACTTCCTATTTTGGTTTGGCATGATCATTGGTTTCCCCATGCTCAATATTTTGTACCTCAAGTTTTAATGTAGATCCACAAAGTCGTATCTTGGCAGTGACAGCTCCATGGCCTCCACACATTATCACGTGGGCCACAAAAAAAAAGTCGTCGATATGGACGTGCGTGGTCGTGGCCTTCTCCCTGAACAGTGTGCGATGGCCAGTCTAGCGCACGAACAAGCTTCCACGTTCACGGAGCTGGCCAGATCACTTCGCTCCAGCGCTGCAGAGTCGAATGCATTGGTACACAAATTGAAAGAGGCGGCAGAGCAGGGTGACTTGGATCATCCAGACGGCCTTTCTTTGCTCACCGTCAAGGTAGATGCCTTGCTCTCATATATTCACCATGTGGCACTGCTAGGTGCCCATAGGCTAAGTGGGCGTTCTTTGGAAGATAGTACAGGAGAGAACTATGTCAAGGCACTTGTAAAGCTTCGCTTGTGCTTAGAAAAGATGCGGCCTATGGAAGCTCGATTGAAGTATCAGATGGAAAAACTGCTGCAATCGGTAGTGGCAGAGCAACAAGCTCTTGCGAAAGGCGAGGCAAACGCGGAAGGTGGTCGTGACGACGAAGAGGACGAGGAAGAGCTGGATTCTCTGGCTTTCCGTCCCAACCCTGATAGCCTTGTGCCTTCGTCGGGGCGCCGCCCAGCCGTCTCGAGCGGTGCTGGCACAGCGGCAGCGGATGGCGATGAAGAAGAGTCGGGTGTGTACCGCCCACCCAAGTTGGCGCCTGTGATGTACGATCCCGATGCGCGAGTGTCACGGAATGCGAGGAACAAGGATCGACAGCCGTCCCGAAATGCCGCGTTACTGGCCGACTTGTCAGCCGGCATGTCGTCCAACCCCTACGAGACGTCGGTGGGCGGCGTTGGCGGCGGTGCTGCGCTGGGGTCGTCTGGTTCGTCGCGTGCGCGTGCCTTGCGTCGCATGCAAGAGTTCGAAGAAGACAACTACAAGCGTCTATCGCTTAGCAAGAAAGATGCCAAGCGTCGACGTCGTGACGAGCAGGATGTGGCGCTCGGTGGTTTGGGTCTATCATCCAGTGGTAACCGCTTGGGTGGCGGTGTGGAAGAAGAATTTGGCGATTTGCTTCGTGGTGCTGAACGCGATGCACGTCGCCGGGCTCGTGGTGATGATCGTGATGCGTACCAAGCGCTGCAAAAACGTGCCAAGTTGCCTTCGACAATGGCACGCGCTAAGCAACATACAGAGGCCAGTGGCCAGGAGCTGGCGACAGGCCGCGCCTCGACACACAAGTTCAAGAAGGCAATGCGCAATCATAAACGTAAGAATCGTGCATAGATTGAAATGTAGTGTGTATTCTACGACAGGGTGCCATGTCTGTCTATGCGCTCGATGGCTTAAAGGTAATCTCAGAAAGCACATTGAAGCCTTCCTTGTATGCATGCAACAAAGCCTGAACACGCTCGCGCTCCTTGGTCAGCGCCTCGTCTTCGTGCAAAAGATCGGCAAAGAGTGATTCCTTGTACAAGTTGATCACGAGTCGGTTCTGCACCGAGTCGCGCGAGAAGTTCACGAGCAGGTGCATAACGGCTTTCGGAACCAAATCTTGGATCGACTGCCGCACAATGTTGAAGTAGGATGTGATGAGCTGTCGGATCAGGTTGGTCTCCATAGCCTCGCGTTCCGTGAGCTCATAGGCCTCATCGGGCACAGGTTCCGCACTCAGATGCTGATCAAGACTCTTCATATTGAACGCGGCACTGTTGCCCTCCAGCCCCAGGCGTCCAGTGAGGATATTGGGCTTCGGCTCCGCCATGCGCGAGCCCATGGAAAGACCTGCACTACCAGCGTTTTCGTTGGCCATCGAGGCACCACCAAAGAAGTAGTTCAGGAACGATTCACGCTGGTGGTTTGCCGACGTGGGGCCAGCCGAGCGAGGTGTCGAGCCCAGTGGCGCATCGTCCACCGCGGACGAGGGCGCGGACTTGGTCTCCCGCGACGAGCGAGCTTGTTGCAGATTCTGCTTGATGCCCGAGCCCTTCACTGCGACGGGGCCGGCGGTCGAGTCCTTTTCGTCCTCGTCGTCCGATGGTGGGCCGCTAATGTCGGAGTCCAGTGAGTACTCACGCTGCACGACAGCAGGCGGGATCGGCTTGCGGTGCTTCTCATCACGCATGCGCATCGCAATGTTGGCCGAGTCTTGCACAAAGGCCGGATGGTTGGTGTTGATGTATGCGGACTGAATCTCAATCAGGCTCTGCACATACTCTGACGTGGGGCCCAATCGCTCACGCAGCAAATCCGAGACCACTTCAATGAGCTGAGCATGCAGGCGGGGGAAGCGCTGCAGTTCAGGGCTGGTGCAGTTGTGACAGATCTTCATCAGCTCTTCGTATACAAGCTCAACACAGCGCAGACTCGGTGGCAGAAGCAGCTTGATCTGGGGCTTGATAAGAAGCTCAAACGCCGCTTCTGGCACAAAGAGGCTAGGCCGCGGGCCGGTGGAGTTGCGAATGGCCGTGCGGATATCCTGCACAGTAAGGTTTTGCGTAGGGTTGATCGAGTTCAGGGCCTGGCCAAACACATCCTGGAAAATGTAGTACACACGAGCACCACCACACAGTTCCTTTGTGGAGATATCAAACGACGTGCCATCAATCGATGCAACAAAGTCTTTAGCAAATTGCGTCATCATTTTAAGGATCAGCGTGCCACGGTGCTGGTCACCCATGAATGCAGTGTCGCCAAAGGAGAGCAGCTCCTGCTGAGCTTGGCCCATCAATGTGTTGAGACGCGCTTTCATGTCTGGCAGGCGGTCGCGAATGTGCGACATGAGCACCTGGTTGAGCGTCTTAGCGAGGTACTGCGTGCCACACTTGTGCGCAATATTGCGGTAGGCCAGATGCGTGCGGAAGAACTCTTCTTCAGCGCGACGTGCATCGAGCATCGGCACATTGTTGTTGATATCCTGCTGCGATCGGTTCACCACACCAATGAAGCCCAAACGCAAGGGGTAGATGCGTCCCGACAAGATTTCCATGGCATTCGTGCCCTGATCCATCAGGTCAAGTTTGGTCAGCACACCGATCGTGCGGCGGCCCTGCGGATCTACCGTGCGAGCCAACTTGAGACTGTCCGAGTTAGCCAAATCTACATTGGCGGGGCTCACTGCCATAATAATACAGTTGGGCTTGGAGATATAGTCAGTGACAAGCGACCGGATCTGACGTTCAATGTCAGATGGTTGATCGCCCACAGGAATCTTGGTCAGACCAGGAAGATCCACCAGCGTCAGGTTGATGACATGGGGGCTGTAGATTTTCAAATGGATCGGCTGCTTCGAAATGCCCTTGTTTTGACCCGCCACACGGAACGTCTCATTCTCAATCTCTTGACGGATTTGGTTAAAGTCCGTGAAACGGCGATCCAAGTGCAAAAACTCGCCATACTCTTCGGGACCTCCAATGGGGGCCTCTGATTCAGGCAGGTGAATGAGCTGCAAAACAAGCGGACGCCGCGTAACAATACCGCTACCACGCGGGAGAAAATCACGACCTACGATCCTGAAATGCGTTAGTGCTTTCATACGATACAATTACATACGTCTCAAGAACACTGGACTTGCCTGAGGACTGCGAGCCCACCACAACAACCTGTGGCAAGTCGACGCTATGACCACCAATGGTCGTAAACGTCTCCTGCAGACGGTTGACGACTTTAATCAGATCCACATCCATGGTTGCGTGATCACAAGCAGACGTTCCTGACGTGCACGTCTCCCAGGCGGTCCGAGGCTACAGTGGAAATCCTCGCACAAACACTGTCGGAGGTGTCAAGAACGTCCCTACACGCGAACGCTGCACGCGTGTGCCTCCAGCGGGCCCCCGTTGCCAACACTCACTTCTTCGGCCGAACCATCGGACGCGGCCAATCGCCCCGGAAGGACAGAGGGGCGGTCCAAACAAGCCCCCGTTGGAAGCCAGCCCGTGCGCCGAAGGCCCATCTGCAAAAGTTCGTCGCAGTGCTCGCTATATAGCCACTCATACTCACGTCTATGTAGAAGAGCCACACCTAGTCGCAAGAATACGGTAGACAAACTATGACACTGTGACATACTCTGTACAAGTGCTATCTAGTGCGTGCAACTTGCACAAGCCACAAAGGCTCGGGAAAGTCACATCATATTGTCATCCAAGCTTATCCGTTTAGTTGCCCAGGAACGACGAGACGCTGGCCTTGACCGACGAAGCAATCTTCTCTTCAATCTCAGGGGTCATCGAGCCCTTGGCAATCTCCGAAAGAAGGTCAGTCTGCGACGAGAGCTCCTCACGGTAGGCAGCCTCCCACTCAACGATCCTGTCGACGGGGACCTCGTCAAGGAGACCCTTGATACCAGCGTAAATGATCGGCACCTGGACCTCAGTGGCCAGAGGCGAGTACTGACGCTGCTTGAGGAGCTCAGTCAGACGAGCACCACGGTTGAGGGTGTAGCGGGTCGAAGCGTCCAAGTCCGAACCGAACTGGGCGAAGGCAGCCAGCTCACGGTACTGGGCAAGGTAGAGCTTGAGCGAACCGGCCACAGCCTTGTAGATCTTGGTCTGGGCAGCCGAACCGACACGCGACACCGAGAGACCGACGTTAACCGAGGGACGGATACCCTTGAAGAAGAGCTCCGACTCCAGGAAAATCTGACCGTCGGTAATCGAAATGACGTTGGTCGGAATGAAAGCCGACACGTCACCACCCTGGGTCTCAATGATCGGCAGGGCAGTGAGCGAACCAGCACCCTCCTTCTCGTTCATCTTGGCGGCACGCTCAAGGAGACGCGAGTGCAGGTAGAAAACGTCACCGGGGTAGGCCTCACGACCCGGAGGACGACGCAGAAGAAGCGACATCTGACGGTAGGCAACGGCCTGCTTCGACAGGTCATCGTACACCACAAGGGCGTGCTTGCCGTTGTCACGGAACCACTCACCAATGGAGCAGCCAGTGAAAGGAGCCAGGTACTGCAGAGGAGCAGCGTCCGAAGCAGTGGCGGCAACAATGACCGAGTACTTCAGGGCGTCGTTCTGCTCGAGGGTCTGCACAAGCTGGGCGACGGTCGAACGCTTCTGACCAACAGCAACGTAGATACAGTAGAGCTTCTTCGACTCATCGTTGCCATCGTTCCAGCGGCGCTGGTTGAGCATGGCGTCCAGAGCAACGGCAGTCTTACCGGTCTGACGGTCACCAATGATCAGCTCACGCTGACCACGACCGATGGGCACCATGGCGTCGACCGACTTCAGACCAGTCTGCATGGGCTCGTGGACCGAGCGACGCGGCAGAATACCCGGGGCCTTGACCTGGGCACGGCGGCGCTCCTTGGACTCAATCGGGCCCTTACCGTCAATGGGGTTACCGAGAGCGTCAACGACGCGGCCAAGCAGCTCAGGGCCAACCGGAACGTCGACAATCTGGCCGGTACGCTTGACAATGTCACCCTCCTTGATGAGAGCGTCCGAACCGAAAACGGTAACACCGACGTTGTCAGGCTCCAAGTTAAGAGCCATACCACGGACACCCGAGGAGAACTCAACCATCTCCTCGGCCATAATGTTACGCAGACCGTACACACGGGCGATACCGTCACCGATGGCGAGCACACGGCCGGTCTCCTCAACGTCGAAGTTCGACGAGGCACCCGAGATGCGCTGCTCAAGGATCGAGCTCACCTCCGAGGCGGCAGCCTTGGCCGTAGCATAGTTACGGACAGCGGTAGCAACAGCCGGAACAGCGCGGCGAGCCTGTACAAGTGCCAAAAAGCGGCAGAGTTAGCATCCATGCTCGGGATCATAATACCATCCTCCCCGACGATAACCACGCCCGAACCGGCAGGTTGCGCGCCAAAGAAGATAGCTAGCTTGTACGTACCGAAGGCACCGCAGCGGTGCGGGCAAGGTTAGCAACTGCAATGCCTGTGGACCTAGCGAGCATTGCGATTATTACTCGACTTCGAGGTGGGGCAAAGGTAGAAGGACAAGAACTGCGGTCCGCTTTCCTAAGGGAAGACAGCCGGGCCGCGCCGCGGAACTGCCAGCAGGACCGGGCACGGCCGCTGCCGCATGACGCGGGTCCATGAGCGAACCAGATTTGGCAAATAATGGGGCTGAATGCTGATGTGGAATTATTCTAACTTTCCTCTCTCGGCCGGTCCTCACACACCGGAACGACCCGGGGGTGGGGGGGAGCGCCAGCGTTGCTGACTTGGCGACCTTCCTGGTCTGGCCCTTCGTTATATGGTCACGTGATGATGACACAGGAAGAAGGCACTTGGAAGGACACGCACGGCGATTGAGCATCGTCAATCTGACTAGCGGTCGCAGCATGACCATGCAAGTTCCTATGTTGGCGCGCTCCTTGGCGCATGTGAGCAGGAGCATTCAAGGCACAAGCACTGTAGCGTTTCGTCCTACTTTGTCTCCAGCATGTACGTACGTCCAGCAACGCGGTATGGCTAGGGCTTCAACGACCTCCCAGACAGGTCATGTGCAGCCAGTCGAAAATGTCCAGGAGGCTTTGCGCCTTCTTAATATGCAGCCGAACCGCTATGTGGTGGCCTCCATTACGGGACGCACATTCGTACTAAGCGCCTCAGATGTCTTTACTTTACCTCGCCTGGCCGGCGTGAAGGTGGGCGATGTACTTGAACTCGACTTGGTTCATGAGGTGGGCAGTCGCGACTATACCCTGCGTGCGCAAGACCCTGCTCAGGGTCGCCGCAAGCCGGAAGGTGGAAGGTACCCTCTTGTGTTGGTCCACAACACCGAAAAAGACGCTTACTCGGTGCGTGTAGGCACAGATCAGCTGCTGAAGAGCACTCCCAAAGAAGACATTATGCCTTTCTCGTCGTCATGGGCTGCGCAGCTGATTCCGGCAGGACTTGCACATGTGGGCGCTGCACTCTCCAGTGACATTGTCAAGGTCCGATGCGTGGTGGTAGAGCACACCAAGGGACCATTGGAACGCATCGAAAAGTTCAAACGCCGAAAAGGCTATGACAAGGTGATCACCCATAAGCAGCCATATACCCGCGTTCGTGTGGACGCTATTACTCTGGGTGTTTCTCACTCTACATAGATATTGTCTCGTTGTAATGTACCTGTTGCAGCGTCCTTGAGCAAAGGTCTAGATACTAATTGTGCGAAGGAGTGTACATAATTATGTGTAGGGTCAGGGAGGGTGGAGGAGGTCTTTGACCGAGACGACAATACCTGCGACGGGAAGAGAATATAAAGCATAGAATTATGCCAGCAAGCCTCCCATACCTCCAGCATAGGCCATCGGACGAATGTTCGGGTGCGGCTGCGCCTCAAAGGTCGTCCAGGAGAGTGTGCCCTGGTCGTCAATAAGAGCAAAAGCACCTAGGTTGCCTGCCGAGTCGCAGTAGTTAGGAGCCGAGAAGACAGTGCAGCACAGACCTTCGTGCTCCTCGGCAAAACCGTTTTGACGCACTTCGTGACTGCGCAGTACACTTGTAATGCCGTTCAGCTCGCACCATGCCCGAGTGATATCAGGGCCAAAGCCAAGACCCACACCACGCTTGCTGGGGCCGCGGCCGGGGGCAGTCTGTGGATCACTCCATAGAAGCTCCATCATCAAACCTTCCTGGCCTGGCTGCTTCTTGGCAAATCGGTCAATAGCACGAATATCGTCCAAAGTGACATTGTCCTTGCTGAACAGACCACCATGGACCACAAAGTACCGTTTAAAGCCTGTGTCTTTGTTCAAAATAGGGACCGTGTGAGCCAGTGACTTGCTGGCACTTGCAGGCAGTCGGTCTGCAGGTAGCGGCGCCTTGGTCGGTGACACCAGCGTGGCCAAAGGAATCGCGATAAAGGCCTCAGTGAAAAGCTTAAATGTAATGTCTCCGCCAAACTTGGCCTTGCATTCGCCTTCAAAGCCATATACTTTGTTCATATCACTCGTTTCATGATTGCCACGGTTCACGAGGGTTGTCTTCGGGTATAGCCACTTGAACGCGAAAATAGTGAGAGCAATTTCGACCGACCATGATCCTCGATCCACAAAGTCGCCATTGAACAAGACCGCATGATCCTTGGACGGACGACCTGTTTTGGTGAGCAGGTGCAAAAAGTCATAGAACTGGCCATGAGTGTCACCTACCACCGCAATGGTAGTGTCGGCTGGGATATCATATTCGACCAAAGCAGGTTCCTGCTGGAATGCACGTATACCACCGAGGATAATGGACCATGCAATACCATTGGGCAGCTTCTTTCCGTCCTTGAAATGCGCTAGCATGCTGTCAATGAACGCATCATCAATGCGGCCGAGGAAAGGCTTGTCCTCCACGGCGGGAGAAATGATGGTGCCCTCGGCCGCCTCGGTAGGAAGACGCGGGCCGCTGTAATCCGCAGGGATCATGGATCCACCAGCACCCTGTTCAATGTACTCCTCAATAGTGCGACTTGGCGGTACACCTTCTTCCACGCGAATGGCTTTTTCAAATTCCAGACGCCTGACGAGCTTGACTGTGGCGTCAAGTTGCACTTTGACAGTGGCATTCTTAGGCTCCAGCTTCAGGACCATGCGAAGATCAGGAAGAGCCGCCTTAGGGTCCAAAATAGACAGGTGAGCACTCGCACGGCGGTAATAGGCCTTGGCGAATTTGGGGTCCAACGCAATGGCCTTGTCTGCATCGGCAATAGCCAGTCCATGCTGCTCCATTTTCAGCTCACACATCGCACGGTTACTGAATACAGCCGCTACTTTTGGATAGAGCGCAATGGATTCTGTATAGAGGGCCTTGGCTTGGACATAGTCACCTTTCAAGAAGAACTCATTGCCCTTTGCCTTTTTTTCAGCAGCAAGCGTCTCACGCTCCTCGGTCGAAAGATTTGCGACGGCATCCATGATTTCCTCAGATGTCACTGAAGAATCACCTTCACACGACACGTTCGATGACGCACTAGGAGAGGAAGACAGGTCAGACATACGTAGGTCAGCGGAAGAAACGTATGTATCTTTTCTTCATTTGTGTGCGAAGGCCTCAACCACGTGGCAAGATAGCACTACTTAGAGGCATCCTGTCCGCACGAGTCTATCACGGCCTGTGCGAAGCCAAGATGGGGGAGGGAGTGAGAACTCTACAAACTATAAGATAAAATGTCTAGTGGCTCATACCACAGATAGAGAGGCCACGCATTTCTTGCAAGGCACCTTCGACCTGAGCATCAAGTTGACCCTCAGCATAGTCGTTACGAACTTGCTCTGGGAAGTATCGTTGCACACCGCCCAGCTGCTCATATCCCTCCTGTGCAAACTTAATCTGCACACGAATCATCATCTCCAGGGAGGGGTCAAGGTATGGAATCCGCATATCCACGAGCTGCGGAAGTTCAGTCATCAGTTGTTCATCAATGGCATCGAATACAAGCTTTGCGTCGTTGTGTTCTCTTTCCATGCTGATGGTTAGTTGCCTCTAAAAATGCATACCGAGGAAGTTTCGATGGATCATCTCCAGGACGCTCCGACTGTTTCTTATACTTTGTACGCGTAGCATCATAGTCAAGAAGCTAGAGGGTTAGATTTATTCACATTGGGATGCATACCTTGCGACCACGCTTGTCAATGAGCTTGTTGATTTCTGGGAAGTAGCTGCACATCTTGCTAATAGGATCCAAAACTGTAGCACGGTACGGCGCATCCAGTTCCTTGGCGGTGCGCGCGTCAAGCTCTTCCAAGGCACGCTTGTAGGAGCTCGCGATAGTAGCTGTTTCGCTATTGTCATGGTAGAAGCCTTCAATCGTGTCACCAATTCGTGCTTCCGAGGCAGACATCACTGTATTTGTCAGACCATGTTCAGATACATACGTCGAATGGAATCCAAATAATCGCGCGAACATTTCAGGAGAGACGTAGCATGCTTCTCAAATTCGCGGTATTTATTCTCTTCTTCTTTGAAACGACTGTCATCAGAGCGTTCCAGCTGACCAGTCTTCTGCATAAACTGCGTTCCCGCACGGTTGATCGATTTCTTGAAACCCCCCCAAGACATAGTGGCGATGTAGAGGTGTTGGCTAGGGCGCGGAGGGAAGTTGGCTGGACGGGGCCGTGCCTCTGATCGAGGCGTTAAGCTTCAATCCCAGGGCCCTCCACTTGCGGGTGTCCAGCGGACAGTGCAAGGGCCTCCTCCATCGTACTCGCTTGCAGGTAAACCGACCATGCAACGCCTGTTTGGATTGTCGCAAAACAAGCCCAAACCTGATCTGCAGAAGGCGATATCGTCCACAGATGAACGTGCTGATGCAACGCAGGTGAAAATTAGTCGGCTTGATGCGGAACTGGGACGTTATCGTGACCAAATGAAAAAAATGCGCGACGGTCCAGGCAAAAATGCAGTGCAACAACGCGCGCTCCGTGTTTTGCGCCAAAAGCGCATGTATGAAGCTCAGATGGAGCAATTGACACAGCAAAGTTTCAATATGGAGCAAAGTATGATGGCAACAGAAAATCTACGAAACACCATGGCCACCGTGGATGCTATGAAGCAGGCCAACAAGGATCTGCGACGCACTTATGGCAACTTGAACATTGACAAGATCGAGCGGATCCAGGACGAAATGGAAGATCTTTTGGAACAGTCAAGTGCGCTACAGGAAACATTGTCTCGCAGTTATGCGCTGCCAGATGATATTGATGAAGAAGACTTGGAGGCGGAATTGGAGGCATTGTACGTGAATGTATGCATTTTAACATATGCAGAGAGGAAGAGCCCTTGGAGCAGGACATGGAAATCCCATCCTATCTGCAAAATGCGCCCCAGGCAGCTCCTGCTCAACCCGACTTTGTGGACGAGTTACCTGATAAAGAAGAAGTATGTGTATCGTCATATTAACAATTGCAGGCTCTGACTACCAATCTTGAGATGCGAGCTGCCTGATTATGCATCAAATGGCGGCAGCCCCCAAAGTTCAGGCTGGAAGTCTTTTAGCGATGAGATCGTTTGATGCGCCTGGACGGTAGGACCCTGCTCTGCCACGGCACTCAGCTAGCTAGTTAGTCTCATATACCCGTGTCCGAACATACATTGGGGTCAGGCACCCAAACCACTTTCATGCCAGCGGCCAATCCCGCCTCGACGCCAGGCTTGCGTTTATGAGCATATGGGGATACGTACCAAGCCATCTTCAAAGACTAAGACTTCACCTTCAGTCCCTTTCAATACACCATCAAACTCGGCACCTGGATCACGAATACCTTGCACGAATGTTTCGCCGTCCTTGGTATGTTGCAAACCAAGCCCATACTTTGCAGCAATGAGGAAAATATCAGGGTTGGGTTTGCCTCGGCCTACCACCTTATCGTCACCGCATACTACACGGTCGCCAAAACACTTGAAAAGGTCAGGGTTTGCAGACGACTTGATCTGGACTCCGCCGGTCAGTACCAAGAGCCACGTACAGTTTCGACGCTTGCTGCCTGTTGCGACCTATTGTGAGGACCATGAAATACATACACAGATAGGAATATTATGCTTGGAAAGATGCTGGACGAGGCGCTGTGCGCCAGGCATAGGTGACACAGTTTCAAATGCGGGGAGAAGACGCGCATTCCTCTCTACCAAGAAGTTGTCGATGGTGAAAGGGCAGTCTTCACTGAACCCCCGCTTCACGTCGTCTTCTTTCTCGGGATTCGGCGGCCATAGGCTCGAAAGGAGTACCACTAAACATGAGTGTCATAACAACGTACTTGTCGCATCACGTTCCGGCTTGCCCATAAGACGTGCTTTGATGCTCCAGGTCTGCTCCTTGCCGTATGGCTTCAAAATCTCATTAACTACATCAGTGTATATGCGCTCACTATCAATAAGGAGACCATCCATATCAAATAGCACTGCACGCACACACCCTAGAGATCCGTTTGACATGATTCTTCCGGCTAAATGTCAAGCCGAGCGCTTCTTTCAGGGCCCACTCCACTGCTAGCCCTGTCGATTATGTCAGCTAGAATGAGATCCTATCCTACAAAGCGGGGTAGTAAATTAACCACCTCGAAGAAAAAAGTTTACAACGCGTCCATATCACTAAAAGCATCTTGGAAAGCATCGCTGTCCAGCGACAACCGGCTTCCCATAGATGCACGCTGCGTCGACCTGCGACGTTCAGCAGAAGTATCCATTGATTCGTTCGTGCCTTGCATGGTAGCAAGATAAGAAAGAACCTTTTCTTCGCGAGAATGAGAGCCAACCATTGTGGATGAGACACGGCGCTGCCCAGATCCATCCATAAACGTAAATGGCTCTCTTTCCGGTTGAAGAGGTTGCGGACCCGTAGGTACCATAGCGACGGCAGGTAAGCCATCTTTGGCTGTTACAGCAGGAGCCAGAACAGGGGACTTTGTTCGTGTAGGGGGGCGCTCTGACGCTGGCAGTTCATAGGCGCCAGCCCCAAAATCGCTGTGGTCATCAGTATGTTGCCCCATTTCCAGGACAGAGAAGCGTGGTTGGCTGCGGAAAGCCGTCGAACGGCGCTGTTCTTCAGCCTCTTCACGGGTAGCGGGAAGAACATTGTCCATAAGGCGGGGCGACATGGCACGGGGAGAGAGTGGGCGGTCATAATCATAAACATACGAGTGGCCCAGAGAGCTTGTGCCACGCTGCCTGGAGTCTCGGCGGCTCGATGACCTACGCTTGCGCTGGCGTTTCTGGGTCTTCGTTTCATCTTTCGGCACAGGCGTAGGTGCGACGTCGCGAGCTACACCCGCGTCCGACGACATAGTAGTGTCAGTGATACCCAAAGAGTCTGTGTCCTTGTTGTCCGAGGAGATGGTAGCCGTGGAGGAATTTTGTGGGTATTGACCGTAAGAGACAACTGTGCCTGGGCCCGATGCATACATGTCGGACCCATACATCATCGATGGTGCCCCTGTCGTCGACGCAGCCTGCGAGGATTGTATGATACGCTCTGTCTCACGGCGGATATGACGTTTATGCCACCAGTAGAAGCTAGCTGCCAGAGTTGCTAGTACAACGACAATAGGGACGACAATCGCTGCCGCAAGACTGCCGGTGGAAAGGCCAGAGTGGTGGTCATATTCGGTAACCTTGCTGTTCGTGTACGCAGCGGACGAGTCGTAGCTAGAGCCACCTCCGCTACCAGAGGCCATGGTCCATGACGGACTGAGGGGGTATGGAGATTCCCAGGGCTGCGAGCCGCTGGGGACAAACTGCAAGTTAACAAGGAAATCCTGGGTACTATTCCACCAAGAAGACTGCAGGTTCAGCGACTTGGCGCCAGGGCCAGAAGGGATACCGAGCCATGCATGTAAAGGGAGGGAGCTGGATTGGTGCTGGGAGTAGATATACACATCAAACTTGCTTGATTTGATGCAATCGGGCTTCCATGTCAAATTTAAAGACCCCTGCGACACCTTGGCACCTGCAGCTGGTGCAAGATAAATATCCTTAGAGCGGCAGGACACCTCCTGACGGCGCACTCGCAACGACATCGTTACGAGCAGGTGAGAGAGTGAGAGAACGGTGGCGAGGTGGGCGAGGACCCCAGTGTGTCAGGCCCTCTTCTGGATCTGTGCGCACGAACATCTGGGACAACGCATAATGCACATGCAATAAAAAAGGGGTTGGCATTCACGCGTAGATGAGCGTATTCTCTGGAACGTACATAAAAGCCACGTGGGTAGCCAAATCAGGTAGAGAGCCTTCGGCCGATCTCTGCTGTGTGTGTCAGCGCGTGGGTGTGGTGTTGCTAATTGGGGCTTTAAGCCAGCCTACATGGGGTGGTTGGTGCCAGGCAGGCCAAGCCTACGTGGGGTCGGTCGGCCGCAGGGCGGCGGGCGCCGTATTTGTGGAAAGCGGGGCAGCGCTTAAGTGTCAGTGGGAAACCATGTCGGCCATTCATGCAGCCCTCACGCGATTTCTGTTGAATCCAGCAAACCATGACCTACTTGCTATTGTCAAGGGTGCTAGGAATGGCCTGGTCTATGGCGCCAAGATCCGGTTTCCACATGCCCTCGTCATGGTGACGCTATTTGGTTCCGGCTCGCTCCGTGATCGATGGAAGAAGATCATCCAGGCTACACGCCAGCACTCTGTTCGTCTTTGTACATATGTGGCGATCTACAAGACGTGTTTGTTAATTCTTCGTGATCTGTTCCATGAGGGCAAGCAGTCGTCGGCAGACCCCTTTATTGCCGGTATGCTAGGCGGTTGGTACATGTTTGGTGATCGAACGCCCGTGAACGAACAGGTATGTGATGGTGAGGAAGTGACCTAATGTTCCTAGATTGTGCTATACTGTGTCTCTCGATGCATTGCATCCCTCTTACCGCGCGCCCAGGTGCCTAAAGACTACCCCAAGAACAAGGTACTCCCTATCGACAACACAGCGCACCAGATCTTTGCAGCGCTGACGTGGGGCACCGTGATGTGGCTGTTTGTGAACGAGCGCCGTCGTTTGAACGGTGGTTTGGTCAACAGCATGGACTGTATGTATTATGGAAACCTGACACGCAGACTTGTATGTTCTTTCAGACAAGTGGAATAGCCTTCGGAACTTCCTGTGGCATAATGTGTAATGAACATAGCATAGACCATCTCTCGACTGATGCCTATGTAGTGAAACCAAGTTCATGATGTATGGCATAGCTCTGAGGGGCATTCCACTCAGACCAGAACCACTATAACAAAAGCAAATGAGCGCGAAGCTGTCTCATCATCCAGTATACACAAAGGAAAGAGATGGGTCATGTTAGGCGGCTGATACACTGGCAAAGTACGGATGCTGCAGTGCACGTTTAGCTGTAGAAAGTTAGTGAGAGAGTAGGTACGTACCGCTTATCCGGATGGCTGGATCGTAGATCAACATGTGGTGCAGGAGGTCGAGGCCGGTGTCGTCCAAACCGGAAACGGCCGACTTAAGAGGGACGCCGTTCCACTTGGGGAAAGTCGTTTTGTAGTCGGGCAGGGACTGTACACCGGGCCATACCTCATCATTGGGCGTGCCAAGGGTGCTAAGGAATGTAAGTGGGCATATACCACGTACCGGAAGATGCGGAAGATCTCGTCGATTTCCGAGTCGCCTGGGAACAAGGGTGTACGCATAGCCATTTCAGCGAAGATACAGCCCACGGACCACATATCGATGGCTGTATTGTAATGACGCGAGCCCAGCAACACTTCTGGCGCGCGGTACCACAATGTCACGACTTCGTGGGTGTATGTGCGCAGCGGAATACCAAAGGCACGCGCGAGACCGAAGTCAGCCAGCTTCAAGTTTCCCTCCTTGTCAATCAACAAGTTCTGCGGCTTCAGGTCACGATGGAGGATGCGGTGTGCATGGCAGAAGTAAATGCCGCGTACCAGTTGGTAGGTGAACTTCATGACAATTTCGGGGCCTAAACCCTCAGGCTTGTCCGCAACATTGTCCATGTACTTTTTCAGGTCCAAGTCCAAGAACTCAAAAACCAGGTAGAGACGAGACTCTTGATGAATGATTTCGTACAAGCTTGGGGGTCAGTGGCGACAAAGTACGTACCGGACAATGTTTTCGTCCCGCAGTTCCTTCAACAGACTGATTTCGCGGATGGCAGTCGACGGTACACCCTCATCCTCTGCCTCAAGGCGGATCTTTTTCAGAGCAACCAAGCGGCCATTAGCGCCTGGCGTGAGATCACGGGCCTTGTAAACAACACCGTATGTGCCTATCCGGTTAGCAAGACACGACGAGCCTATGCGCTATACATACCCTCGCCAACTTTTTCGATCTTTTGATAGTTCTCCATCACGGAGCCACAGACGAAGTGTAGCAGACAACAAGGAGCAGGTTGCTACAGCTGTCTCTCGATGCAGAGACTCGACACGCGCCTGGTGTGTGTTGGTCTGCGTGCGCTTTCTGCACGTGAGTGGACCCGCCGGGGTGGGCTGCATATTGTTTGTCGTTTCGTCATTCGCCCACGCGCTTAGGTTTCGCAACGACATGTTTTCGGCACCACAGGCTCCAGTTCAATCACCCTGGGGCCAGAAAACAGCCCCAGGCACCTTCGGCACGCAGCGTGGAACGCCCGGTGGTATGCCATCTACGCCGATGGCATCTTCGCAAAACAACTGGTTGCAGACCCAAGGCCCGCCTGGCCAAGGTGGCATGAACAACACGCTCGGCACGCCTGGCCAGTTTGGCTCCCTGCAGCAGCCAGGCCAGGGTTTCAGCACACCACAGCAGCCAGGAGCTACCGGCCTATTTGGTACACCGCAGAATGCCTCGCCTGCTCCCTTTGGCGCCGCAGGCGCTACAGCCTCGCCCTCGCAAGCCGCGACGTCAGGCTGGGGTCATGGTGCGCAAGCATCGCCAATGAACCAGGCACCGGTAGCGTATCTACCTGGCTACTTGAACAAAATGCGCGCTGGAGAACGCGCAAACTCAGCATCGCTTGCGCGGCCTGGCACAGAATCGACTTCGCCTGCTGCCAAAGTCGACCCTGACACGTCGCTGCTAGCGAGTAACGATGGTACGCAATCGCGCCAAGCTCCTACGCTATCGCCTACAAATGGCTTCCATTCCTCCTTCTTCTCGCGGGGAAGCGTCGATTTTGGCGATTCGACATCGACACGCTCACTTCTGCCTGGCGGCCAAGGTGTGCGCGAAGGCAGCATCTTTGGGCATGGCGGACTGCGTGGCTCAATGAGGGGGAATGAGGAGGCAGACCGGTCCATGTCACGGCCTCCTCGCTCGCCGTCGGTGCCGAACACGAGCACCATGTTCAGCCAGGCAGATACAACAGCCTTTGCGCCCGGCTCCATGGACGACGATGATGCGCCGCCGCAAGAAGCGCTGTGTGATGTGCCGCAAATGCAAGCGCAGCGCGTATGGGACGCGTCGTCGTCGGTAGGTATGGGACCGTCGCCACAGCCGCCTCACACCGCCACAACGCCCATGCCTACCCAGGAAATGCCGGCCAACCAACGTACTGTCATTGTGTATGGTTTCCCGCCATCGCTGCGTCCCATGGTCTTGGAACAATTTAGTTCCATCGGTGGCCTAGTCTCGGCGGACGATGTAGACATGCCAGCAGCGCTCACGCCCGCAGCAGCGGCCCAGATGCCAGACTTGCCCAAACCACTGCGCCTTACGTACTCCGATGCCGTCCAAGCCATGCATGCCATGCGACAGACAGGACGACCTGTTGCAGGCATGTGCATGATTGGCGTGCGTTGGGAGAACGATGCCATGCATCAGCAAAGCTTGGTACGCGGCTTGGATGCACCTCTCTTGTCGCACAGCTCTATGGATACCCGTACTCCGTCCGCTGCCGCAAAGCCAGCCGCGGTACCTACGACGCCAGCGTCTTTTACAAAGGGAGCATGTACAAATGCGCCAGCATTTGGCCGGCCGATTAGCAAGGTGGACACACCTGTAGCGGCATTGGCGCAGTCCTCCGCCCAGACAACCTCGGTTCATTCGCCTTTCCGTGCCGTGGTGCATGCCGGCGAGTCGCTTCTGCGTGGCTCACAGTCCCAAACCGGATCACAGGCCAAGGCCTCGGCGAAGAATGCATCTGGAGCCGACACGGCGAACACCTCGGGCGTGCTAGGGCGCTTAGCGGATGGTCTCTTTGGTTGGTAAGCAGGGCCGCGAGGAAATGCGCCCTATTTTGTAGTGGAGGTAGATAAGCGCATGAAGGCTTAGTACCCCAGTCCTGCATGGTTCGCCTCTTTCCAACATGGCCTCATCCACGCGGCTCATGCCGGTGTTGTACCCACTGCGTGCGTCCAAAGAAGCGCTGGGGTCCTACACACATTTACTCTGCGTGCATGTCCGACGTGATGACTTGCCTGCGCCTCTCTTTGAGGCTCTTCAAGAGAGTACCAATGAGTACGTTTTGTGTTTTCATGCTGACCTTGCTCAGAATGATCGAAGAAGGTGCGACATACCCGTACGAGGAGGCCATGGATGCCCAAGCGTTCCAGCAAGCGTTTGTAGCCTACGGTATGTGTCGTTCGCTGACTAAGACTAGATTTGATGGTGGGGATCCTTGTCCGACCTACGCACGCGTACGAGCCCGGTGCGAAGGTGGTGCTGCATGAGATCCTGCCGAGCGAGGTCGACACGCCCTTGCATGAGGTGCTCACACAATGCACATGGCCCGCACAACTCGGCGGGTTCTACTACGTCAAGCCGAACTACCCTGGCCGCTCGAGTCACAATTGCAATGCTGGGTTCATTGTGCCAACACGCCTACGTGGATGTGGGGTTGGGTCCATTCTGGCCCAAAGCTACCTGTACGTGGGCCCTGCCCTGGGCTACCGTGCGAGTGTATTCAATCTGGTGTACAGTACGAACAAAGCGAGCTTGCGGCTCTGGGAGACGCTGGGCTTTGAGTGTGTCGGCCGGATCCCTCAAGCGGGCCGCATGCGCGTCGAAGATCACGAAGAGTACGTGGACGCGATCATTATCTACAAATCGTTTGTCGAGGCGACGTAGTCGACGCGCCGCCGCGCGTCTACCAGGGACGTCGGCGGCCTCCATAGCACGTGATGCAGCGCCCACGTTTTTTCTGGTGGGGCCGTGGAGGGGACGTTGGAGAGAGGATGGCCCTTCGTGGTCTTGGTAGGCAGGTCATGTCGAGTGCACGTCCGATTGTCTTGTGTGGTCCCTCTGGAGTGGGCAAGAGCACGCTGATCAAGCGCCTATTTGATGAGTACCCGGACTCGTTTGGGTTCAGTGTGAGCCGTACGTAGGAAGGATGCTGACCAGGAAGACACGACGCGTGCTATGCGTCCTGGTGAGGAGAACGGCAAGTCGTACCATTTTGTGTCGCGCGACCAATTTGAGGACTTGATCAAGAAGGGCGAGTTTCTTGAGCATGCCGAGTTCGGTGGCAATTTGTACGGCACCTCGGCGCAGGCCGTACGTGATGTGAGTGAGAAGGGCGAGGGCCGTCGTGCGATTCTCGATATTGATGCGCAAGGTGTGCGTCTCATCAAGGCCAACCATGCGCATCTGAACCCTGTCTACGTATTTATTTCGCCGCCGACGTACGACACGCTGCGCTCGCGTCTGGAAGGCCGAGCTACCGATGCGCCTGAGGCGATTCAGCGTCGTCTGCGCATGGCGCTGCATGAGCTGGAATATGCACGCCAAGGCAAGGACGCGTTTGATGTGGTGATTGTCAACGACGACCTGAACCGTGCGTACGGACTTCTGCGCAACGTCGTCCATGACAAGCTGGACGGCCCCTTTGACCAGGTACCGCCGCCGGATAACGCTGAAGAAGCGTATCGTCAATCGGCTTCGTCGTAGTCGTAGTAGATTGCTTGTATGTACGGCTCCCTATCTACGTTAGGCACCCAGCTGCGCCTGCGCCGCGACGTCGGTGCTGTCATCCACAAAGGCCTGCGCGGTGACCTGGCCGCCGCTGAGCACAATGACCTTCACGGTAATGGTCTTTGCCGACGACGCATGTGGCACGACCAACTCCAGCAGCCGCTCAGCGTCGGGGCGGACGTACGCGCTACGCACTTCTTCTGGCTCCAGAGGCTCCTCGTCCTCGTCCTCGTCCTCGTCGTCCAGCGGCTCCGGCTCAATCTTGTCCACACGCACACTCGGCGTGCCTTCGGCCAAGCGGATCAGCGACGCTTCGCTACCCGACGCCGGGAAGCGGAACACACGGCGGGCCGGCACAGGTGTCTGCGCAGGCACCATCGTGACAAACAGCTGGCCATCCACGACCTGCTTTGCGACGCTCTCGTCTGCCGGCGCATCGAGGACCACACCGATGGGGCGCTGCGTCGCCGGCGCCTGCAGCGCCTTGGTACGCTCTGCCTTGTTGTTCGGCAGCGACTCGACAAACTTGCGTTCCTCGCTGTCCGTCGGCAGGTGGACAATCGTCTGGGCGTACACCGCACAGCCACGCGCAATCACCTGGTCCGAGTCGATGGAGTACGTGATGTGCGTCTGGCTGTCCTCTGGGAAGAGGTACGAGAGCTGCTCCGCCAAGCCGGCAAGACGCGAGGCACCACCGGAGAGAATCACCTCGTCGACCTGGCATGGCTCGAGCGATGCCTGCTCGATCGCCTTTTGCACGTTGGCCACCGCCTTTTGGTACACACCCGCGGCCAGCAGGTTGAGGCGCATACGGTTCACGCTACCGCTAAAGTCGATACCCTCCGCAAGACTCTCAACACTGCACTGCGCCGAGTTGCTTGCACTGAGCGCACGCTTCGTGACTTCCGCTTCGTTGCGCAGCTTAGCCCACGCACGCGCGTCGTTCTCGCCAATGGCGACCTTGCTCTTCTTCGAGAACTCCTTCGCAAAGTGCTGCACCAGCACGTCGTCCAAGGCACGGCCACCCACCGTCTTGTCGTGCACGTACGACAGCTGCGAGTACACACCCGCCCGCGCCGCAAACACCGTCACGTCCAGCGACGTACCACCAAAGTCGACCACGGCCACATTGCGGTCGAGGGTCTTTTCCGGCGCATACGGCACACCCTGCTCGCCGTCTGGGTGCGCAGGCAGATCGCCCGTAGCCTTGGGCGACGTTAGGCCGTACGCAGCCAGCGCTGCCGACGGCGCCGAGACGAGCTCCAGCACATGCAGACCCGCTTCCTTCGCCGCCGCCTCAATCGCCTCGTTCTGCGCATCGGTGAACCACAGCGGGGTGCTCAACACGGCACCGATGATCGGCACACCCGACATAAAGTCCTTCGCAGCGCCGTACAGCACGCCAATGAAGCGCACCAACACATCGTGCGCTGAGAGAATCGACTTGGTACCCTCGATCTCCACCTCGAACGACGGCGTACCGTTGATGTCCAGCACCTGCGCCGACTTGCGCAGCTTTTCGCCCTCCTCCAGCTCAGAGAACGAGCGGCCGACCAGGTTCACGAAGTTGTCAATCACATTCGGCGCATTGCGCACCAACTGCGGCGTGGCTTCGTTGCCTGTGTACACCTGATCGCCATTGAACGCAATGCGCGTCGCAATCTGACGCTCACCGTTCTCGTTCGCAATCACATCGGCGCGGCCGTGCTGGTTGATGCACGCAATGCTGCCGTATGTGTTGCCCAAGTTGATACCGATCACAGCACCGTCTTGTTGGCTCATTGTCGGTTGTGGTCGTGGCTGGCCCTCTCGTAGGCGAAGCCTGGCTACTTTTTCTACCCACCGAAAATTCCTCCCACGTGGAGCTATCCACGTGGGTCACCTCGTAGGCGCCCACTTTCCTCTACGTATCGTACTCGGTGCGCCGGCGTACCGCACGGGGATCTTCGGCGCGCGACAAGTCCTTGCGTTTGCGCTCGTCACTCGCGTCGTCCAAATCGGTATAGTCGGTACGCGACCGGCCCGGCGCATGCCTCGCATCCGCCTGCTTTTCAGCCTGCCGACGGGCAAAGCGATCCCATGCACTACGTGCCACATCCATACCGTCCGAGGTCTCTGCCAGGCGCCGGAACTCAGGTAGGTCACGTAGACGCGGTACAATCTCCTCAAACGAGGCATGGATATCGAGCGGGGGGTCCACGTGCTTGCAGGCATAACGCAAGTCGTCTGCCGCATGGCGTAAGCGGCGCTCTGCACGCCGACGCGCTTCACGAGCATCGCGCTCCGCTTGGTACAAGCACTCGTCAAACAACGCTTGGAGAGCCCGCTCAGAGAGCGTACGTATCGCCTCCGGCGCCTTGGACGACTGGCACGCCTCACGCCAAATGCCCCAGTCGGAAGGCCGCGAAGCCAAGATATTATTCTCTTTCATGTACGCTTGGACATGTCGTCGTTGCGTGGCAAACGCCCGCTCTAGCTCATCCAGTCGATCGTAAAACAGCTCTTGTGCTGTCGAGCCCTGCGTCGCTAGCATCGCATCCAAACGTGCATCGTGCCGTATGACTGCATAGTACGTTGTCCAGGTACTGCGTGCATGCATCGTGCCATCATCAATGTGTGCTTGCATCATCGCGTGGAATGCATCACGAGCCTCTCGATCTTTGCGCCTTGACGTCGCATCCTGCTGCGTCTGCGCTGCCCGTGCCTCGCCCTCAACCGTCGCCATATGCGCCTCGAACACTTGCAACATGTCGGACAACGACATGGTCTGCAGGCGCGCATCGCTACGGTATTCGTCCGACTCGAGAATGGTACGATGCACATCACGCCATAGCGTCGTAGGCTGCATATCAATGGACTTCAGCAGTGCTTCTAGCGCTGTACGGTTGTGCGTATTCACGTGCTTTTGCCGCACCGCGTCTTTCTCACGGGCATCGTGGCGTATTGCCTCAAAGATGGTATGCGCCTGGGCCTCGTCATCCAACTCCGCCCAGAGGCTTGTATCCTGCAGTCGCTTCTTGAACGTCGCAAAGCTTGCATACGGTTTCAGCATACCTGCACGCTGTTGCTGCAGCGCCCGTGCCATAGCAGGACGCAACTTTTCTTCCTTGGCTTCACGTTGCGCAGCCTGTTCGTCTTTAAGCTCTTGCACGTACTTGGTGAAGGCCGCTTTGCGATCGGCCAGCGATCGTAGAGCTTTGTACAGCGGCTCTGTGACAATCACACGCAACGTTTGCTCCCATGTCGAATCAGGGCCGACCTGTTTTAAGCGAAGCAGCGAGATGAACGCAGCTTCGGCTTCCTCATAACTGTTGTACATCAAAGGCGCGCTGCGGATGTTTGATCCGCCGCCAATGCTCGAGCTCTGCCGAGGCGCCGCTGTGCCCGGCCCCATCGGCTCGGGCGTGCCAGATCCTGGTGCGCTCAGTGGCGTGCTGGCTCCCCCTGCTTCGCCGGGTGCAGGGCGTGGCGATGCAGAAGGTCGGGCCGCAATAGCTTTGGGCGGATCGTCAGGAATGCTGTCCAAGTACGCTTTCAAGTCCGACGGCATAGTCCATGTCGACTGCTTCGTCTCTTTGTTCACGTAGTAACTACGCTCCCCGGATTTGTACTCACGCCATGGCGTAGAATCCATGGCACGTTCTCGTGCACTTTTGAGTTCATCAGGCTTGTCCCATACACTCCGTCGCTCGCCTGGATGGTACCAATATACACGGCCCTGGGCGTTGCGGTGTTCCACCTACGAGTCAGTGTAAGTGAGCGTACGTACCCATGCACTAATGACGGTGCCATCTGTAGGCGTTCGTGGTGAACCTGCATCAGCCGCCTTGGGTAAGTGAGACGATGCGGTATGCGAACCTACCATCCCGATGCCACTCTACGTGACACGCTGAGCCTACGCAGGAGAACAACGACGAGCGTGCGAGCGAGCGTCTTATTCTGGCACGTGGGTCCACGTGGGAAAAACGTCTCTGGTCGTCGTTCGTAGACATGCTATGGTCGCTGGTCCACACGATGGAGTATCGAGGTGGCGACCGTGGTCCACGAGGTGGATACGGAGGTGGTACGTAGCCTATACATGCTGACAGTGACAAGGTGCAGATGATGATACGTCGTGGTACACTCGCAGAAGATACCCTGCTCATGATAGCGATTGGGACGATGAGCGACGTCCTCCGCCTCGCCGCGATGGCGACCGACGTGGACGTGGTGGACGCGGTCCACCTACAGGGCGGCGCAGCGCTGGCGTGCGTCTGAGTCCCCCCCCACCCGGCACGATTCGATTGCGTGACCGGGTCGTGCCTTCGTCGCAATGGGACGTCCCTGCACCTGGGTTCGAAGTCCTGGACGCCCTTGCGGCGAAGTCCACGGGTCTTTTTGGCGCCCCTGTCAATGCAGGTGCTGCCGGTATGATGATGATGGGCGTGCGCGATGCGATGCCCAGTACCTTGCCACCCAGTGCCTTACCAGATGCCAATCCCACCACAGCCGCGGCTGTGTCGAATGCGTTCGTGCAAGTGCATGCACGTCGCTTGCATGTCACAGGTGTGCGTTCGCCCATGACGTCGGAGTCCTTGCAGGCGTTCATCAATGCCAAGATGAACGAGCGTTTGCTCTGTTCCAGTGGCAGTATGGAGCCATGCTTCCATGTACGTGTACAGGACGACAAAGGCACGGCCACGCTTGAATTCCGCAATCCGGATGAGGCGACCAATGCACTGTCGCTCGATGGCGTCTACTTTGTGGGCTACCCGCTTTCGATTCAACGTCCACGCGACTATGTGGGCCCTGACATTGTGCCGCCGCCTGGCGCGGTGGAGACGACGGTGCCAGATGGACCTAATAAACTATTCATCGGCAATGTGCCGATCTTTCTTGATGAAGGTCAAGTAATGGAGCTCTTGAAAGCGTTTGGCGAAGTGCGGCACTTTGACTTGATTCGGGATGAAGAGACACAGCGCTCACGTGGGATGGCCTACTGTGAGTTTGTGGAGGAGGCCGTGACCGATATGGCCTGTGAAGGTCTGGATGGGCTCGAAGTGGGCGAACAGCGCCTCGTTGTGCGTCGTGTGATGGCGCCGAGTAATGCGCCGCCTGCTGATGATGTCCAGGAGACATCAGATAACCCTACCCGTGCGATGTTGATGCTCAATATGGTCACAGCAGAGGAGCTTATGGACGATTCCGAGTACGCCGATATCATGGAGGATGTGCGTAGCGAATGTGAGCGTCATGGCATTGTGACATCCGTGTACATCCCACGGCCGCTACGCGATGGTATGCCGGGTCAAGAGCCAAAGGGTGTCGGCCGCGTATACGTGCAATTCGATACGGTCCCGGCGTGTGAAGCCGCCTTTAAGGCGATTGCCGGACGACAGTTTGATGGGCGAACTGTGATTTGTGCCTATGTACGGGAAGACGCATGGCCTGAACAGCCCGTGCTCGAATCGTAGAAAGAAAAAAAAGGGGAGAGGGGAAGAGTGTGCTGCGGCGTCATATATCTCAATCATCACAGATCATATGACCCGCTGAGTGTATCTGTCATAGTCCCTAACATTCAGTCCCAAGTACATTACGCGCCATGAGATGGCTTCTCTCGTGTGCGGAACTCCAAGAGTTTCGGAAGTTCTGAAATGGGGCATGCCTTACGCATGAATTCATGCTGTAGCAGCTCATCCGCGGTAGCGCGGCTCTTCACGTCAGCACAGAGACACACTGCGAGGAAACTCTTTAGCTCACGACTGAGCTTCTCTGGCTTCTTCAGCGTCGGCGTGCCATTGGTAGCAATCATGTACAATGCCTTGAGCGGCTCTTCATCCAGGTAGGGCGGTTCATTCTCAATCATCTCAATCGCCATAATACCAAGAGACCAGATATCCACCTTCGCGCCGTATTCTTTCTGCTTCACAACCTCGGGCGCCATCCAGTACGGCGTGCCGACCATCGTAGCACGCTTCCGCCTCTGATCAGTAAGCTTCGCACAAAAGCCAAAGTCTGTGATCTTCACTTGACCGAGGTTGTTCAGCAAAATATTGTCACTCTTAATGTCACGATGGATGATCGACTGGTTGTGCAAGTGTTCCAACCCCTTGCACGTTTCCAAGCTAATCGATGCAATCTGCGGCTCCGTAAGCTGGTTGTTATCGATCACGTCCGTCAAAGCGCCGCCCTCCATAAATTCCATAATCACCCACAAGTCCGTATTATGGACCAGGAACGCGTTCAGGAAGTTGACAATGTTCGGGTGCTGCGACTCCCGCATCACCATGATTTCATTGATGATCAACTCCTTGCGTGGCTGATGCGCCAAGTCCATGGCTTTGATCGCTACGACTTGCTGTGTCGCAAGCGACTTGGCCACATACACAGAGCCTGACGCGCCCTGCCCAATCTTCTTCACTTTGCGATACAGCAAATTCGGATCATCGTGGCTTACCACGCTGCGCAATTTCTCCATAATCTGCGCCTCTGTCATGGTGCTTACACGCTTATTCGCCTCTGGACGACGCTGTGAAGTAGCAGCAGCCTTGTGCGCTGCTGGCTCACGCATAGGCACTGTCGTGGAAGCCGCTGCGGTGGGCGGAGGGCCAGGCGCTGCCGCGGCAACAGCTGCCGCGGCTGCAGCGGCGGCGGCGGAAGATGCCCGAGGCGCCCTGGGCGGTTCTGCGAAGGCCGGCTCTGCCTGCACAGGCGCGGAAGGACCTGGTGCATGCGACTGCATCGGCATCGATACCTGAGGCTGCGACTGTGTGGACGGTGGCGGCATAGGTGCCGCTGCCTGCGTCGGTGGCGGGCCTGACATCGTAGGGGTGGGCGTGGAGAACGTTGGGCTGGCGAGGCCTGGGATGGGCGACATGGAGGGTGACGCACCTGTGGAGGCAGCCGCCGCGGCCGCAGCTGCAGCGGCAGCCGCTGGCGAGATCGAGGATGGCGTTGGTACAGGACGCGATGTGGGCATCATCGAACCTGCTGGCGAAGATGTCACTGACATCGAAGGTGGCATCGCATTACCTGCATGATATGGCTGCGCATACGGACCTGATGGCGCTGTCGGCGCCGTCGGCGATACAGGTGACATTCTCAGCGGAGGCGAAGGCGGCCTGTGCATATTCGGTGATGCGTACGCGAAGGGCGCAGCTGTTTTCAGCGGCGCAAGTGTGCGCTGCTGCTGCAACATCTGTTGCTGCTGTTGCTGCTGTTGCCTCCTTCGCTCGCGCTGTTCTTCACGCTCCATAGCCTGACGAAGCTGCGCATCGTCCGACATGCGCATGCTTTGCGTCATGAGCGATAGAGAGCTTGCATCGCTTTCAGTTACAGAGGCACTCAAGTCTGCTGTGGATGAGGCTGTGCTCATATTTGCTTGCGCAGGGGCGAGTGGCGTGGATGAATCCGGCGGCGGCAAAGCTGGAAGGGGACTCTGTTTGCCCAGTCCGTAGCCGCGTGCCGCACCAGGCGGCGTAGGCGCGGCTCGACGTGGTTCCAATGATGTCATCTTGGTGGGCGTGGACGCTCCACTACTGGGAATCGACGGCGCACGGTTCTTATAATTGTCAATCTGAGCACGTCCAGGATGGCCAATGTGCATATTCATGGTAGGCGAGCCAAGCCCAAAATCGTCGCCAGCCCGCTTCTGAATGTCTGTGTAGAACTCCAAGACATCCAAGACAGCCTGGGGGTTCTTGGCATAGTCCTCCTTGGTAATAGCGGATTTGGTCAGTAGACGCATCCACTGGTCTGGCAAGCCAGTGAAGGAGCCACTCACAGGGTCGAAGCCAACATGCACTTGATGGACAAAGTTGGTTGGCATCGAGCCACCCAGCGGGCATCGATTGTATATATCATCCATCCAGCTGTAGAGTTCTTCATCGCTCTTTAACTGTAGATAAAAGGTTTTGTCTTTGGTCTCAATTTCAATACAATAAGGCTTCAAATCTGTACGATTGATGTTGGTCACATCTCGAAGCAGGACAATCGACGATGCTTGATACGTGGACTGTCACGTTAATAAACCATGTATACATACCTCGTTTTTATGGAAAAGAAGTGTTGTTTCGCGCAGGACAAGCCAACGCTTGCTCCAAATCCATGAACGAATACCATCTTCTTTTACGCTGACATAGCCTTTACGAACAACAGATGCAGAGCTTGTGCCTGTCTGCGTAGGGGGCTTCGCCATAACAGGCGAGGGATAAGCCCTAGTTACAGACGAGCCTGGCAGGCTCGTATCGTACAAGTCGGTACCGCCTCGGGCACCTGCCATCGAAGGAGGCAACGGGGCCGAACGTGCCGGCGTCAGCCCGTATGTATCAGAGGGGATGTCTTGTTGTCCGTACGACATACAAGCGCAATAGGGAGGAGGGAGGAATGGCGCGACACTAGCACTGCAGCTGGAGTCGTAAGCGTTTGTCCGTCGTCTTATCCGACCCTCATCACACCAGGTGGTTTTCGCACACGTACGCAAGACCTACCCCCACGTGAGAGGCACGTGGAGATCGCACTGCGGCGCACACGCGTGAGGGCGAGAGCGAGACGAATCCCTCTCGTACGCGCCTCCCGTCGTTGCACGTGATGCCAAGCGGAGGGCTGGCGGCCAGGTGCCTCTGCTCCGCAGGCGGAGGCCGTGCGCTTTCGTGAGCGGATACGAGCAACGATGAGTGATTTCCGGCACTTGAACGTTGATCAGTACGATGAGGAGGCTCTGTACCTAGCCGATATTGTGCCAGAGGATCCACGTTCACCGCAGGAACTCGCACAAATTGCACAAGCTAAGCAAGGGAGTGCGCGAACACGCATGGCCAGGTACGTCGCAGGGATGGCTCGTGCTGACAGACTAGTGGCGATATGGTAGGTGCGCTGCAAGAGGCCCTTCATGATCCACCTACGGGCTCTCAAGCACTGGAAGCACGTGTAAGTATACATATATATGGTGATCTGATTTTACAGCGTATGTCATGGTCTTTGATTTTCGATATCCTCTCGTCGACTCGCACTGCCGATATTTTGACGACAGTCAAAGCGTTGTCTGGTGATGAGCGCGATACACTGATGAAATATTTGTATCGTGGGATGGAACTTGTCCGGACGCCAGGCGAGGCTGGCTCTATCAATGGCGCTGTGCTATTGAGCTGGCACGAAAAGGTACGTGAGCAACGTGCCGTTTATGACTAACGCTTCAGCTTACACAGGTCTCTGGCACGGGTTGCATTGTGCGTGTGATGACAGACCGTCGTGTTGTGTAGAATAGAAAGCATAGCGTCATGAAACGTATGCAAAAGAACCCAGCACCCTACGTGAGCCATGAATGCGACCTGTGTCTCTTCGTTGGCCCGATGCCTTCACTTCACCGTTACCGAACACGACTACATGTCAGACAAAAAAAACTACGCCAATCACAAAACTAAAAAACATCGTCATATCATAGCTCTTCACCATGGGGGAAAGGGGAACCAACTCGTTTCGTTCACGATTCGTTAATACGTCAGCTGTACAACATCTCGACCCGGCATTATATATCCATTGTAGCAGGGCCACCCCATTTCAGGTCACGGAGATGGAAATCAATAATGTCTTCCAGTGCATCCATCACTTGCTCATACGGACGCAGCTGCGATGTCGCGATGGAGCTCACAATCGAGTCAGACTCGGCTGTTGTGCACGTGCGAGGTGCGAATGGCAAGTCCAAGTCGTTCAATAGTGCGATCAGCCGCTCATCACGACCAATATGCAGGATAAACTCAAACCGGCCCTTGTTCGTCGGTGCATGTCGCGTAGGCAATTGGCCCATATTGTCAAGTGCCAGCATGTACTGGACGGCCGTCGAGCGACCTACATTCTTGGGCATGATGACAAAGTACGTTTGGCCATTCACGATACGCAGGGAAAAACGTTCGCCCAAAGAGTCACTGATGAGGCCCTGCACTTCACTGGCCTGCCTGCGTGCCCATATAGCATCAGCCTCGCTCATCCCTTCACCAAAGTACCAGGCGATGGTGGTCGAGCGCTCTTCGATCCAGGAGCCAGGCGTACGTTCGGTAAAGTAGTCAAGAATTTCACGAACGGGCTTGCGCCACTGCATATCGAAGCCATCCACTAGCGACGTCCAATCGCATCTTGTACCGGCCATACAGTGGCGGACATAGCATCCATCTTCGGCGACCAGGCCCAGGTAGGGTACTTCCATGGCCAGTTTTTCAAGGTCGGTACGCGAATGACTGCTGAGCAAGTAGACATACATGCGATGGTCGGCAACCAGACGTTGGAGCAGGCGGTGAATCGCATGGGGCGGCTCGAAACCATTGCCATGCACGTAGCACAGGTCTTCCCGCATTAGCGTGCCTTCCAGATCAAGCAGGACCAAGCACGATTTGGACGCACGCCATTCTGATTGCATTTGTGCAATCTCCAGTTCCGGCTTGAACATTGTCTCCATGTAGGGCTGCTGCAAATGCACTCGCTCCAATTGTGATAAGATGGAGGCGACCCAGTGGTGCGACGACTGTGACATGACGGTGTGATGCAGGTCACGCCAACGCCGCACCATTTCCTCTTCAGGCATCATTAAAGCATGATGAATGGCCTTAGCCACCTGCTGTGCGTTGAATGGATTCACGCCAATACAGGCCCGCAACGCCGAATACGTGCCCGTAAACTCGGACAGAATCAAGGGACGCTGCCGACGCTGCTGTGCGACAATGTACTCATGCGAGGTGAGGTTCATACCTTCGCGCAACGACATGATCAAAAATGCATCGGCCATGGTCAACAGTGCCAAGTACTGACTGAACGTGATTTCCTGTACATGTAAGAACACGATCGGCTGGTACGTCAAGGAGCCGTGCTTGTGGTTGATGCGGGCCACCAAGTCGCTGACCGCTACCACCTCGCTGTTTTCCCGGACCGTCGCCAGAGCCACCTGGACCAACACCACACGACCGACCCATTCAGGGTGTCGTTCTAAGAACACTTCGTACGCAATGAGCTTCTCGCGTACACCCTTGATCCAGTCAAGCTTATCGCGACCGACAATCACCTTCATGCCGGCAAAGCGTTCACGCAGCTTTTCGACCCACTCTGTGACGTCCGGATGTTCCTGTCGTTTTTGCAGCATCTTTACGTCGATGCCGATCGGGTACGATGCGACGGTGACGAACGAATTTTTCATATGCACGCCACGCGCTGTGGTCTCGGCCTGTAAGATGCGGTTGGCCGTCTGCCGGAAATGACGGCAGAAGTTGTGCGTCTGGAAGCCGATCAAGTCCGAGCCTAGCATACCTAGCAGCAGCGGCTCTCGGCGACTAAGGCACCGGAAGATCTCGCTAGAGGGGAAGGCAATATGCAGGAAAAAGCCGATCGGAGCGCGTGGAATGAGCTTGCGCAGCATCTCTGGTACCAGAAGGAGGTGGTAGTCATGCACCCACACCACATCGCCATCGCGATACTCCGCTGCAATGCGCTCAGCAAATCTGCGGTTCGTTTCCACATACGCGTTCCATGCCTCGCTTTCGTTTTCCAGACCTTTCCCCGTAGGCAGCGTGTAGTGAAACGTGGGCCAAAGCACCTGCTTGCAATACGTGTGATACGACATCACATAATCAGCATCCTTCAGCCATACCGGCAGCATCTGTTCCTGCGATTTCGATACGGCATCGATTTCCTGGCGCGTTGGGGTAGGAATCCAGTCCATCTCGATACCGAGTGTACCAATATAGAGGACTGATTCATTGTCCAGCTCTTTTGTACTTGACACGGCATTGATCAAACCGTAATTTGCACCGGGGTTGGGATGGAAATCGAAGGGCATGCTCTCCTGCGCATGTTGCGGCTCTTCCACCATGTCAATGCACGATTCGTATTTGCTAGTACGGCGTGCGATGTTGGCATATCGCTGGCTGTTATCATCATGCGTCATACTGCGCGTCGATGCATTGCGCATGGGCCGAGGGCGTGATGGCTCATTGTGCTTCTGCGTCGCTTTGGCCACGGCTGCCTTCACCAACTCTGCCTTGGGACGTGCCATCTCGACTTGGCTACCAGTACCGAGCTTTGCACTAGCGGCCAAATGTTCATATTCCGTGGCACTACGGCTGTGGTCCGATTTGCCCGACCAGTCGGCCACCAATGGCGTATGAGAGACGAGTCGCGGCGTAGCTGTCCGAGCTGGGGCACGAGAAGGGGGTGCGATTGTGGCCGACACCGAACCAGTTCGCACGAGCGGATGCTCTTGCACGGTGGGAGAAGCCACGCGCGATTGCTGTTGCTTGGCGGCCAGATCGGAAATGATGCTTACAGGCGTATTTGAATCCGTATGTTGCGTGCCTGGCGGTTTGGGCGTCGCATTACCGGTCAGCGAGCTCGCTCCCTTTATGTGAATGGGCGTTTGTAGTGCCCGTGGGCTGATCATCCCCGATCGTACTCCCTCTTTCTCGTCGCCAGCCAGTGCATGGCGGCCATGGTCTGACCATGAATTCTTCACCGTCTTGGACATGATACGGGCAGGCGCACTGCTAGGATTCTCGCGCATCTCATTTTCTGGGTCTGCCACGGGGGAAGAGACGCCACTGTCCAGCGCTGACTCGGTAGCATGGGTAGCATACATTCCATCGCCGCGTGTCGCATCGGCCATGAGTTCTGCCATATTTATGCGATCTCGGCTGACGACCGTGGAGGAGCGTCGCGACATACTAGGGCTTGTACCTACATGGAGTCCACGATTAGGAAACACACGCGCCATCGCCTCCTCCTTGTCAACCTCGACCTTTAGGGACGAGGATAAGGCTTCCGCAAGCGCCTCGGTATTCGGCTCGGCGGCTGGCGTCGGTGAGCCCCTTCGCACGGGCGAGTTAAGCGACGCTTCAATCACATCCCACTTGAATTCGACAGTGCGGGGGAGAAGAAACGACGCTATGAGTACACGCCTCTTTGTACTCCGTCTCGACTTGCTCATGTCTTAGGCAATAAAAGGGCAGTAAGGCACGAATCGTGGCTACTGCACCCGCGTGGAGCATTGGCCACCCGGCACGGCCGTGCGCGGGGACGCACGTGATGTCATTTTGGTCCCTGCTCGGCGTGCGTCCAAACCCCAGATCGGAGATGGACCTGTCCGAAGATGGCTCGATGTTTCGTTGCGAGGAGATAGAACTAGCTAAAAAGACCTATGCACGACGTAGATTATCAAAAAGGACCTGTACTGTCAGAATGATCATACGGTCGTACTTACATCTGCACGATGAATAGCATTGGCCTCGGTCAGCTCGCCTTGCATGGCATGCTGTTGAAGACGTGACACCAACGCCCGAAGTGTCTGCCGCGAAATCGTGACTGTCTCCTGCAGTCTCGCTGTATCCGATGGATCCTGGAGCAGTTCGGGAATCGTTGCACGTTGGTCCGCCTCATATTGCAGCGTAGACTTCAGTGTCACGATAAGGTCATCGTCTACCCGTTCCGACGATGGGTCGTCCAGCACACGATGGAGTGGGAACGCAATGCGGTGTGTTGGGTCCATAATGGCCTCGAGCTTTTTCTCTCCACTAAGACGATCGAAAGGAGGGCGTCCGTACACCATCTGGTACAAAATACATCCCAACGACCATACATCACTAGCTTTCCCCGCTTTGTACACACGTCGGCCATGTTTTCTCGCAATCTTGATCGCTTCTGGCGCCATGTAATTCGGTGTGCCGACAATGGCCTCACGCGAGATATGGATCGTGCCCAAAGGAATTTTCTGAGCAATACCGAAATCGATCAACTTCAAGCGTCCTTTCGCCATAAGGAAGTTGGCTGGCTTCAAGTCCGTGTGCACCAAGTTGCCTTTCTCATGGATAAAGTGCACGGCCTCCAGCATCTGGCGCCAGTACGTGCGAATATCCGAGAAGGAAAGAGGCGCCTTCACCTTGAGAAGATGGCTAAAGTCCATATCTCCTAGTTCCAACAGCTGCGGTAAGTACGTTATATCGTACGTACAATTTTCAACGTGTCGCGGTTCAAGCGGTGACCAAAGTACCGCAAGATGTACTTTTCGTTCCCTGGTACTTGAGCAAGCTGCTCCAATAGCTGTGCTTCTTGAACCAGCTCATCACGCGATTCAGGCTCGAGGCGACGTAGGGAGACTTGCTTCATCGCAAAATAGCCCTGATGCTCGTCGTCGACAGGCTCCATACGCACGGCTTCCGAGTCGCCCTCTTGGATGGCGGCCGGGATCGCAGCTGGGCCTTTCACTTGCCATACGGTAGAGAACCCACCTTCGCCAGCGCGACAAACCTTGTAAAATCGGCAGCCACGGAACTGATGAGGTCAGTTGGCATGTATACATACGGTCGTCTCTTTCGCCATAGACTTTTGCTGATGTGGGTTCGAAGGCGTGAAGCCTGACGCATGTTGTCGGGCTGCTTCCTCCCACATCAGCTGAAGAAAGTCCAATGCGCGATCCATGGAGGGCGCAGGTGGATTGGGTATCTCGCCTTTCTCTGAGTGAGCTGCCTGCGATGCAGGGAGTTGGTTTTGTACATCGACCAAGGGTGGTCGTGCGGGTATCGTGGATGTATGAGAGGGTGTAGGTGTGGTTTTTTCACCGATAGGTGAGAGTGAAGGTGTCACTCTTTCCACGGGCTCAGCTGTTGAGGTAGATGCTGTCATGCCTTTGTCATCGGTATAAGGCTGATCCATAAGAACTTCTTCGTCATCCTGGTATTTTTGCACACGTCGAGCCGGTATATGCGTGCTATTCGATCGGACAGAGGAGCCTGTGTAAGAAGTGTGCGTATACGTACGAAGCTTTTGCAGGCCACGGCCCACACTGCGTTGGTTCGCAGCCAGGGTATTGGATCGCAAGGTCCGGGAGGCCAACGAGTGACCAGGTGTCTGCACATTCTCTTTTGAAATGAGCGCTGGTTTGAACGTCATCTCACTAGGTGTATCTGTGCGACGCCAGCGAGGCAATGCCAGTGGTGTTGTCGGTAGCGTATCTGATGCAGGAGCCGCATAGACGTGACTCACACGCGGAGGTGTCGGCAAAGGACTGCCTTCCGTATCACTAAGCCCATCTATTACGACCCGATGGGGTGTCCCGGGGAAGGGGGCGCTAGCGGCGCCCATCTTCAAGGTATGTACAAGCGATACGCGCACGCAGGGGTTGGCGTCGCAGTCGAAAAGTGTTGTTGTGTTGCACAGAGGGGAATTACTACAATGCCACGTGGCTATATATTTCCTACGAGGTCGCTCGCCGCGGCGTGGTGCGTGGCAGCGGTCAACGCTTGCACCAGACTAGTCGAAGGGGCCCAAGTAGTCCTCTTTCATCGTACCAATAGCAAACTGTGGTTAGAGGTAGTACACGTACAATTTCATTGGCATCCACACGCGTACCGACGATGCGTACACGAACGCGGCGTCCTTTTACCAGATTCTGGTACGGTCAGTCGTGGTTGCTTGACGTACATCTGTTGGTGACGTAAACTCAGGCGGGTTGGCGTCCGGCTGGAACTTATAATCAATAGGTAGGAGGTGCGACGACACAAAGATGCTCAATGGCCCGACCTCCGCAAAGAAACCCATCTGGCATGTGAGAGTCATGCTTCTTTCAAGCACCTACCTTGTTGACATTGGTAATCTTGGCATCCATCACTTCGCCATTGAACTGCTGTGAGAAGATAAGTAATACGTACAGGTTTGAGCACAATCGCTTGGTACTTGCTTCGGAACTCGGCCAAGCCCGAGCCAGGCAGGACCTTGCCTTGCCCGACATCAAGAATGGAAACAACTTTGATAATATAACCCTGGCATTAGAGGTGTGGATGACGTACGTATTTCCCTGAGCATGTACCTTCGACGTCGTCTCTGAGCTTGCGATTCACTATGGTCAGGCATGCGACAACGTACGAAACTCGATCATCGAAGGCCCAAAGAAGGACGGATGCAGCTCTGTGCGGTGGTCCAGATTTTTCTAGGGTTGGTCAGTGGTCGTATACATACAAGGAAGAACATGGTAAGAGAAGGAAGACGAGCGTGGCACCGCACACACGCCGTCGTCTAGCGATCGGTCGAGTGTCTGGGGGTGGAGAAGGGCGTTCGTTGGTCGTCGCTGCGAGCGGCGCGACATTGCTCCACGTGACTGTGCACGACACGAACGACTCGCCTTAGCGCACAACCTTGTGGCGGCTGTACGATGGTACGTAGACAAACTGACCTCACACGCTAGGGAAACGACGGTGGATCCATTGCGCGCCGTGACGACTTGGTGAAAACCAAGGCGACCGGCCCCATCTCGGTAGATCGGGACGAAATGCGGCACACGCAATGGACCTTGTGCCGCATCTCGCGACAAAAGCTACGTGCGCCGATTATGATCGATCGGCTTGGGCAACTGTACAACAAAGAGGCATTGATTGAGTATTTGTTGCGCAAGAGCACAAAGACAGTCAGTGAGGCTGAGACGAAAGTGGCAGGTCATATTCGGGGTCTCAAGGATGTACGTCAAGTGCAACTGCATGTGAATCCCACGCACGAAGCGGCAGGCGGAGATGCGTTGTACTACCCTTATGCATGCCCGTTAACGCAGCGTGTAATGAATGGGAAGCACAAGTTTGTATGCCTGTGGCCGTGTGGGTGCGTGATGAGCGAAACAGGTTTGCGAGAGACGGCGTTCCCTGGCCAGAAAAAGCGCCCAGAGGACAAAGCGACGACACCATGTCCACAGTGTGGCGTCCTGTTTGGCCATGATGCGTTGTGGAAGGACGAGCCGAGTGTCGACGCGGATCTCATCTGGCTATACCCGCCCACGGCGACGCAAGCGATGCTGCGGGAGCAGTTGGTCGCCCACGCTGCGGCCTCTCGCAAGAAGCGCAAGGCGAAGCAGGTCGACAACGACACCACCAAACGTGTACGAGCCGCTGTGGACGTGGATACCACGCCCTCGCTCAATCAAACAGCACCTGGTGCCTATGCGGTGCAACAAGTTCGCGCCGCGCAGGCCCAGGCAGCGCAGCATGAAGCTGCGTCGTAAGTGCATTGTATCTATAGCAACAACATTGTACAAACAAAAAGGTAGATCATCAAGCAGGGAGAAGCGAAGCCTCAACTTCCGCGTCGTCCCATGCCGTATCGCTTGTGGTATCAGTGGCGAAGGAGACATTGTCGTCGTCACTATCATCGTCGACATCACTGTCTTCCTCTGGCGCATCCAGCTCAATAAAGTCTTGCTCCTGCGCGAACGTCGGCGCATCGTGGGCGGCCAAGGCAGGTACAGAGGCCCCATCAAGCATGGCCGTGCTGCCCTCGGTAAAGTAGCGATCGTCGGCGCCGCTATCATCGCGCACGAATAAGACATCAGGCCCAGGCTCTGTACGAGGCGCCGTCGTCGTTGTATCTGCAACGATCGACGCAGTGTCCTTGGTATGTCGATGTTGACAAGCGCGGCCCTGGTTGCACCAGCCCGCCTGCTTGAACGATGCACAGACCGGTGCGTCAAGCGGGATAGGCGCATGGATATACACACATGCATCGCCATGCTTGCATGTGCCTGTACGTAGGAAATGTACACAGTGTGGCGTGTTTTCCGGCGTCGGTGCATGCGACAACAAACAGGTGCCGGGTGGCAAAATACAGCCGGTCGACTTCAGGGCCCCTGGGCACAATGCGCGTTTCGTATCGTCGTGCAAAAACGGGCACTGATCACCACGACGGCATGTGCCCGTGCGAGTATAGTATGTGCATAGAGCTCGTGACTTGGCCCGTTCGATAGCGCGTTGTTCTCGGTGGGCACGACCCAGCTGTTGGCCCAGTGTAGCAAGGCGCTGCAGTCGGGCCTGCCGTTCTCGGGCTGCGCGTCGCTCTTGGACCAGGGCCTTGCTGATCAAGTTGCCGCTTTTGGTACGAACAAATGCCTCGCCATCGATGGACGCTTGTTTGGGTGTCACAGGCGCCGCAGTATCCGAGGTTGGCGCTGGGACGTGACTTTTCTTCAAGAGCCTGGTCCCTGACTCGTCGAATACAAAAGGTACGCCATCAATCATGACCTGGCGCTCGATTGGCGCTTTGGCAGGTGGGGCCGCTGCGGAGGGCGCGGCGGTTGTCGTCGCTGCTGCCGATGTGGATGGTGGCGCAGCATCGTAGACGGCCGGATTGACCAGCGACATACTGCCTTTGGTCTGCTTGCGGACCCATCCTTGGTTCGCATCGCGCGCATACACCAACGAACGATGTCGACCGACGGGGGCACCACGACGTGCGTATCCACGTTGTCCACGTGGGGATGGATACGGAGGACGCGTACTTCTACGAGACCCGCGGCCTGCGAGGAGAGAGCGTTGCCGATCAATGGCCCCGCTCAGCTGTGCGATCTCCGACACCAGCGCAGCGTGATTGGGATCCATACGCGCACGTAGCTAGACAAGAATCGACGCACAACACAGCGTTTGGCCCTTTGTGGAGGACGACGAGGGCAGCCAGCCAGCCAGCCAGAACGAAGCCCAGGCGGTCGGTGGACGATAGCGGCTTCCTCCACTCTTTGTCATACAGCATTGGGATGGACAAGGCTTTGGAAGCGTACGTCGCGAACGCGACCTACGCAGACGTGCCGCCCTCCATTGTTGAGGATGTATCCACAGGGGCTGTGCCTCTGGTAGCCTTGGTTCGGGCGATGGGGGCGTACCTCACGAGTGAGGAGGATGCTTACCGTGCTCGCGCTGTCGGCCTGCTAAGCCATGTCGTTCAGCACTTATGTGCCTCCTCGCCCTCGCATACACATGCGCAGCTCACACGCAATGTGATGCGTACTCTGACAGAGTTCTTCAGCGAGAAGCTCACAGATGCCGTGGCTGTCGGCGATGCACTAGCGCGGCGTATGAACGATGCGACGCTTGTGCCTGCGTCAGCGTCGCACGACGTGCAAAAGTCGGAAGAGCTACGTGCGATGAAAGCGGAGCAGATGCTATACGACTGCTTGCAAGCGCTGCTCGCGCTCAGCAGTGTCGGCTACGAAGGCGATCATGCTACGACGCGTGATGCCTTTGGTGGCGAAGAAGCGCGAACAGTAAGCCGGGCGTTGTTTGGCCTCTCTCTCAAATTGTACCCCCAACCGCTGCGTATGGTGGTGTGCAAGATCCTTGACTCACTAGTAGCTCGGCAGCGACAGGCCCTACGCGCGATGCGTACGAGCGCCGAGGCGCCTGATGGCAGTGCATTCATCCAAGGGTACACCAAGCTTGTGGCAGGTGAGAAGGATCCACGCAATTTGCTCGTTCTCTTTGGTTTGGCCCGTGTTCTTTTGCTCGAGTGGCCCATGGCACCGGCTGAGGCTGAGGCCATGTACAATGTCTTGTATTGCTACTTCCCTATTTCGTTCCGGCCGCTGCCGGACGATCCGTACGGCATTGCCCCGGACGACTTGAAACGTGCACTTCGAGCGTGCTTGGCAGCGTCGCCAGCGTTGGCGACACACGGCATCCCGATCCTGCTGGAAAAGCTTGGGGCGAGTGGTGGCGCGGCCAAGCTCGATACGTTGCAGACGTGGCAAGCCTGTTTGCCCGTGTACGGTGCTGCGGCCGCCGCCGCGCATGCAGACGATGTCTGGTCGTACCTAAAATTGGACATTTTGCAGCCGACAGACGACGCCTCCAGTGACGAGGCACAGCGTACATTGACGGTGCTCTTGCGTGTCCTGTATACCGATGCACCCGTAGAGGGTCTGGCTGAGACGATGCTGCGCGAGGCATTGCAAGAGATGCGCGAGCCAAGCAAGTCGCTGGCCAAGCTCAGTGTCAAGATTGCCCAGAGCTTTGTGCAGGCCTGTGCACGTACTTCGACGTACGCCACAGAGCACATGCTGCGGCAGCTGCTTATGCAATGGTCGGCGGCAGAGGCCCCGGAAGAGGCTGTGGCCACGCTGAGTCTTCTTACATCGCTTCTGGACATTCTTGCAACGACGTACGCTGACGATGCTTCACGTACGTACGCTGGAGATCAGCAGCCTCTGCACGCGTTTCATGACGAGTTGTTGGCGGCCTACACGTCGTCTACCGCGTGTGCGTGCGAGGCAGGGCTGTGTGGCTTGGTTCGGCTGCTTGAGTGCCCTGCGCTGCTGCCGCGGGACGAGTGTACGTATGCCGTGCAGCGATTGCAGTCCATGCTTCTTGACGAGGACGAGATGGTGCGTGCCGTGGCTTTGCAAGGATTGGAGCGTGTCTTGGCCGTGCACAAACAAGTCGTGGAACAAACCACGCTGCCGTTCCTCCTGACGCAACTGCCTCATACGCTGCAAGGCCCGCCGCGGCACGTCCAAACGGCGCTTAGTGCGCTTGCACGACTGTGCACACCGCCGGATCTGTTTGATGCGCTGGTCGTACGTATTTTCTCATTGCTCTCGGCCATTGGACGTGGGCCGGCCGATGCGGCGCATACAGGCTACGCGTGTGCGCTGCTGGCGACGCTGCAAGTTGCGTTGGAACGCAAAATCGAGCAGGGCCATACGGATGTAGCACGCTATGCCGCCAGCATTCCGCCACGTCTGCTAACATGGCTCACGAGGGAGGATCATGTCGCAGCGGCCGTGCCTGTCGTGCAGCAGGCGAGTGATATGCTGCTGCTTCTGGTGCCGCATTTGCCTGCGGCGAAAGCCCAGACGTGGCTCGATACCATGTGGGCGGAGATGGCATGGCCGCAAGGCCCTACGTGTCCCCTCGGTGCAGCAGACACACGCACACGCAACCTGTTAGCACCGTATGCGGCCATTCTGGTCGCCGTTACACGTGAGATCACGCTGCCTGCCAGTGCCTGGATCGCCCCGCTCTTGACATGGCTGCAGGTGGTGGATAGCGATCCTGCGTCGGCAGCGCTGCAAACACGCAGTGCTAGTTTCCTCCTGTGTGCTTTGGCCAACAAATGGGCTACGCCTGACGAAGAAGCGCTGCAGGCGTACTGGCAAACCCTGCCTACGCTGCCGGTCCCTCAACGCAAAGTGGGCCTGGCTGCGTGGCTATGGCTCGCGCGTGGATGGGCTGCGTGTGGCACAACGTTTGGGACGGCCATGTTCACACGTGTGCTAAGCGATATGCTGGAGGACGCGCGGCTCGGAAGCCTCGCCGCCAGTGCCCTGCACGTGCTCGCTGAGAACGATGAGGTGATGACACGCGCACATGGGTTCCGACTGCGTATTCTGTACAAGCAGCGGCTCTTGGATACATTGGTCGACACGTTGGTCGACGCGTACCATACGAAGCGGGAGAACGAGGCGGCACGTACGACATGCCTCATTGCTATTGCGACCGTCTTGCCCGCCCTGCCCGATGCGTCTTTGCGGGGCCGATTGGAAGCATTGCTTCCGTTGTTGGTGCATACGCTCAGCATTGACGATGCACGTGCACGTACATCGGCTGCCAAGGCCCTGCATCTCGCTGTGACGCAGTGGCCGGCGGACCGCTCGGTCGCCGAGATGGATGCAGCGACGCAGGCGCTGCAGGCGCACGTCGAGGATCAAGCCTCGACGTTGGTGCGCCGCCTGCTGGCCAATAGTACGCCAGGGGCAGCGACGCCGCCCTCGACGCGCATCGCCTCGCTGCACGTCCTTAGCACGTTGGCGACGCAGTTGCCGCTAGACGTCCTGCTCCCGATGAAGCGCGATGTGATTCATGCGCTGGGCCAGCGCGATCAGGGGGTAGACGATCCACGTCGGGCGGTACGTTCGGCCGCTGTGGACTGCCGCGATGTATGGTACCGACTACAGCAGGCTGAGACTACATAGTACTTCTTAGGTACGACGGCGGACCGAGCCAGCGCCGGCCTCAAAGAACCGTTTCAGTGGGCCCAGTTCGTTGACCAAGTCGAGACCCGTTGAGCGCGCCCATACCAGACTTTGCAGCGCCGCTTCTCGCAGTGTCGATTGCAAGGCGCCTGGCTGCTGCGTATACGACGAAGCAGGGCGCGTCGCAAAGAGCCAGTGCAAGTGGTCCGTCACACTGAGCATCGCTTGGTTCGGAAGGTATCGCGCCGCTTCGTAGGCACGCAGGGCTTGGTGTGTGCCGATATCCATGCCGTGTTCACACGCATCGCGCAAGGCTGCGATCAAGGCACGAACGTCTTGCACGCCCATATTGAGGCCCTGGCCGGCTAGCGGGTGCGTCGAGTGCGCCGCATCGCCAACCAACACAGTCCGGCCCTGGCCCATGCCCTGCGCAGCTCCGCCCGGTGTGAGGCCCAACGTCGTAAGGACGCCATTGAGGATCGTCGAGGCGCGTGGGAGGGGTGAGGTATGCGAATGCAGGGAACTGCCGAGGTAGCAGCCGGCATGCTTCACCTGCAGTGGGAAGCTAGCGACGCTGCGTGTATCCAGCGCCTCGGCCCAGGGCGGCACGTCGCCGGCAAAGGACGAGAGCGCTGCGGCGCCTTGCGTTTGTTCGTAGGTGGCTACAGCGTCGTATATGCGCTGCTCAAAGGCTGCAGGATCCGTGGTGGGCGTCACGTCGTACAACAAAGCTTCCAGGACGGGCCATGGCAAGCGGAAACCCGCGGAAATCAGCGCGGCCAACGTACTGGACGTGCCGTCCTCGTGGCTCGGCGCACGCCGGTGGAATTGAATCAGCGCATCACACAGGTCCACAGGCAAGGACCATACCACAGTAGCAGATGTGGGCGAGAGCGGGAGGCAAGCCAATGTGCCTGTCGGCAGGAACCGCTGCCATGCCGAGGTATCGACAATCGGCTCAGCACTACGCGCATGAAGACCCGTACGCATCGTCGCCACAAGGCCCTTGCTTTGGTACGACCATCCGAAACTCTCGATCCCCGCAAACGTTCTTACAGGCGAGTTGTGGCCGTCCGCCCCGACCAGCAGGCGCGTCGAGAGTGTGCGTGCGTCGCTGGGCGTTTGCACAGTGACATGAGGCCATCCATCGCGGCCCTGCGCGGTAATTGACGTGACTTTGGTTTGGTCCAGAATCTCTATATCCAAGTGGCTCTGCGGCAGACGTTCTTGGACGTAGCGATAGAGCGCTTGCTGGACATTGGCAATTTCCACCATGACACTCAGCTGCGCCGCGCCAGATCCAAATTCGGCCGCGGCATTGGTAAGGCCGTCCCATACACGAATCCGGTCGACAGGCCGCAATCGCGAGGCGACAAAGTAGTCGTAAGCGCCTATCTCTTGCATCCATGCCAGATTGTCCATATTCATACTAATCACGCGGTTTTCCCAGGGAACGCCGTCATGGGTATCTGTAGCAGGCGAGGTACGTTCCTGCATCATCGAGGCCCATCCACCGAAGCGGTGCACATGCATCGCATCGACCATCGTAATACGCATAGGGGGTAGCGACGAGGACTGCGCCACCAAGCCAGCGAGCATCGAGAGGCCGACGACGCCAGCGCCGACGATCACTATATCGCGCTCGTGGGTGGGAAGTGACGTCCGTGTACTCACATGGAAGAAACGTGTGCGTGGTCCCGTATAGCAGGTGCTCGCGAGACCACGACGTAAGCTTCGCAGCCGAGGAACACGGCTGGCCATCGTTCGTGCGAGAGAGGGCGAGTGTCGCCGCACGCACGATGGCCAGCCGTCCTGACGCTTACCTAAGACCCATCGCGCGAGGTCGCTCTGTACGACGATGAGCCGCCCCAGCGCGAGCACGCCGCCGCTGACGGTGCATGTGCGCAGTGGCGAAGCGTCTGTGTCCGTGGACACGCGCGTGCTAGTGCATAGCGAAGCGCTCAAGCAAAGCGGTATACCCACAGGCGCGCACGTCCTACTTCGTGCCTCATCCCAGCCATGGTTGGCTGGCACTGTATGGCCCGACTTTGAGGCTGAGAAGCTCACAGTGTCTGTGCCGTCCATGCTCGTCGATCCAGCCACACCATGTCCCCGCCACGTCGAAGTGGAATGGCTTCGACAGGTGCCAATGGCTTCGGACGTGCATGTCACAGCGTCCGATGTGCCTGCATCGCACCATGAACTCTTACGCACAGTCCTCCTGCATACGTTGATCGATATCGGCGCGGTGTACGTCCCCAGCACCATGTCCATTACATTTATGGGACATACATACCCCATGCACATCGTATCGGCCACGACGTCGTCGTCAGACGCCCTCGCGGACGCACCGCTTCTGGTAGCTCGGCATACGTGTGTGCACTTGTCCGAAGCAGCGGCGCCGCCGCCTCCGTCGCTGGTCGATGAGACGGCGTACGGTGCATTGGGAGGCCTCGATGCGCAGATCGCAGCCATTCGCACGCTCGTCGAATTGCCGCTGACCCAGCCGGCGCTGTTTGAGCAGTACGGCCTGAAACCGCCGCGAGGCGTTTTGCTCTATGGCCCTCCAGGCACAGGCAAAACGTCGTTGGCACGCACAGTAGCAGCTTCATTGCATGCGCATGTTCTCACTATCAATGGCCCTGAGCTGTCGTCGGTCTACCATGGTGAAACGGAAGCCAAGCTGCGTTCCGTGTTTGAGACGGCCGCGACGTATGAGCGATGCATTGTCATTATGGACGAAGTTGATGCACTGGCCCCACGCCGCGATGCCAGTGCAGCGATGCCATCGGAGGGCGCAGGCGAAGTAGAGCGGCGTGTCGTCGCGACGTTGCTGACACTGCTGGACGGTATGGCATCGACACGCGTCGTGGTGATTGCCGCTACCAACCGACCCAATGCGCTGGACCCTGCTCTCCGACGCCCAGGGCGCTTGGATCGCGAAATTGAGATTGGTGTGCCGGATGTGCCTGCACGCTACGCCATTCTGCAAGTCCTCCTGCAAAAAGTACCGCATGCGCTGCAGGACGATGATGTGCAAGCCTTGGCAGCTCGGACGCATGGCTATGTGGGCGCCGACCTGGCCGCCTTGGTCCGCGAAGCGGGGATGGTAACGATTCAGCGGCGGGTGCAAGCGCCCTTGCATGAGTCGCTGGGCCACCTGTCACTCGACGCAGCGCCGGAACGTGTTACCATGGCCGATTTCACAGCGGCGCAAGCCGTTGTACGCCCTTCGGCCATGCGCGAAGTGTTTGTCGAGACGCCCAAAGTGACGTGGGCCGACATTGCGGACGAGGACCACGACGAAGACGACAACAACAACGCGCAGCCCAGCATCAAGCGCCAAATTCAGCAGTGTGTGGAGTGGCCGTTGAAGCATGCCGATACCTTTGCCCGCCTCGGCATTGATCCGCCACGAGGGGTCTTGCTCTATGGCCCTCCAGGCTGTAGCAAGACGCTCACAGCCAAAGCACTTGCGCGAGAAAGCGGGCTGAACTTCCTCGCGGTACGTGGCCCTGAGTTGGTCAGCAAGTATGTGGGCGAGTCGGAGCGTGCGATCCGCGAGGTGTTCCGTCGCGCGCGCGCTGCGGCGCCGTCGATTGTCTTCTTTGATGAGCTGGATGCCATTTCAGGCGTACGGAGTATGGATGCAAGCAGTGGCTCGACCGATCGCATAGTCGCCAGTCTTCTTACAGAGATGGATGGCATCGATGCAGAGAGTCATGTGGTCGTCGTCGCAGCGACCAATCGCCCGGAGTGTATCGACCCGGCGTTGCTACGCCCGGGCCGTATGGACCGTCTGCTGTACGTCGGCGCGCCTAGCCGATCTGTACGCAGCAAGATTCTCGCGTTACGCATGAAGCGGATGCGTGTGGCCGACGATGTGGACGTCGGAGCGATTGCAGAGTTGGCCGACGGGTGCTCCGGCGCGGAAGTCGTATCGATCTGCCAGGAAGCCGGTTTGCGGGCTTTGCATGAAGACATGCATTGTGATGCCGTAGCGCATCGTCACTTTGCTGACGCAGCGCGGGCCATGCCTCGGCGTATTACGCCAAGTATGCTGGCTCAGTACGATGCATGGCGAACCAAGATGGCCTTGTAATGACATAGAGGACCGCCGTTCACGTGGAGGCCCAAGACGTCGACACGCGTCCCATCGCCTCCACATACACATAGACACCACAACACCTGGTGTGGATGCTCGACCCCCATTTAGTGCCGCGGCAGCTGCATGCGCGCGCAGCGCACGGGTCCAAGCTGATGTTCCCGCCTTTGCACCATGCAGACGATCCACGATTTCATAACCCGATCTTGCAGCATCCCTTGCTGGCTTCGCAGGGAGGACCTCAAGCGACGTTGGACGACGAAGGTGTGTCTGCTTGCTATACGACGACTTACCCTGCAGTGATTCAAGTCCCAGAGCACCTTCTTCCACGCTGGGAAGAGTTGGAGCATGACACATTGCCGATGGAGCAGCATCCATCGTACCCACTAGGCAATCCCTACTGGATTCATCATACACCGCATACCCTACAACCGGCCGGCTCTTCGCAGCCCAAGCTGGATCCACGTATATACTCGCGCTATGCTATGCGTATGCATACGACCGAACAAAAGCATACCCTTACAGCGGTAGCGCATGGGTCGGCGCAGGCCAAGGCCGCGTTGGAAGCACAGGCGGACGAGGCAGAGCTCACGTTGCCCTATACGGTAGAGAGCGACGGACATGTGGCCCTAGCCCCTCATTTGCAATGGCGTGCGCAGGCCCTTACGACGACGGCCCCGCCGACATGGCCCTTTCGGCGATTTGGACCAGGGCCCAGTGCCAGGCCCTATGCGGCCCTCTTCCGCGACGCGGCCTCAGCGCCGGACGGGCAGCCTGAAGTCAGTGTGTGGGCCGATGTAGCGCTGGAAGAACTTGTGCCAGCCTCGCGACCAGATTCGTACACGTTACCGGCCTCGCTTTGGCACCCCTATACCCATACCGCCGCCAAGGGCCGCCGACGTGAACGTCCCTCAGGTCTTCCTGAGTCCCTGGGAGCTGTGACACGCCTCCATGACGACGCATGGCTCGATGAAATGGCACTCGAGGCGGACGATGTGGATACAGACGATAGCTTTGATCGCGAGTTGGCGTCATGGGCCGCCACAGAATCGTCGTCACCGTCGTCGTCGCCCAGCACACAAGGACCACCACGAAATTCGCGGCGTGTATCCTCCGCCTGGATGCGGGACCACCATGATTTCAAACGTGCGATTCTCTCTGTGCTCGCTGATCGTGTCGCATCGACGCGGCAGAAACGCGCACGTGGCCTCACCTCGACGCCGGAGCACGCTATGAGCCGCAAAAAGCGACGGTCTCTACCACATACATCGTTTGATTCGTCCTCCTTGCTACATGATACCGCGTCGCCTTCCACGTCCTGGGTGTGGGGCCGCAGCGCCCCCGCCCCGTAAATCGAGCGAGGTGTGGAGGGTGTCACCTGGCCTCCTACGCGCGTGGCCGCACGAAATGGCGTGGTTTCGTGTGGCCCTACAAAAAATCTGCTTAGTCACCGTGAGGGATTTCCCCCAGTTTTGTCGGGCCAAAGAAAGAAGACCGATGTCAGACAGAGCGCGTAGTGTTTGTTCTTTACGTTCGTAGTGAATCATGACGAGCCGACCGCAAAACGTTGGTATTAAGGCCATTGAGGTATACTTCCCGAAGCGCTGCATCTCGGAAGATGAGCTGGAAGACTTTGATGGCGTCTCGAAGGGCAAGTACACGATCGGTTTTGGCCAGCAGTACATGGCCTTCACCGATGACCGTGAGGATATCCAGTCCTTCGCCTTGTCGACGGTGTCGAGCCTGCTGAAGAAATACAACATCGACCCCAAGTCGATTGGTCGTTTGGATGTCGGTACAGAGACGATCATCGACAAGTCCAAGTCGGTGAAGACGGTGCTGATGGATCTCTTTGAGAAGCACGGCAACACGGACATTGAGGGCATTGACTCGAAGAACGCGTGCTACGGTGGTACTGCGGCGCTGTTCAACGCTGTGAACTGGATCGAGAGCAACAGCTGGGATGGCCGCGATGCGATTGTGTTTGCTGGTGATATTGCGATCTACGCTGAGGGCAGTGCACGCCCCGTCGGTGGTGCTGGCGCTGTGGCCATGCTGGTGGGTCCGAACGCGCCGATGGTGCTGGAGCCGATCCATGGCTCGCACATGGCGAACATGTGGGACTTTTACAAGCCGGACTTGTCGTCCGAGTACCCGCAGGTCGATGGCCCCGAGACGCTCTACACGTACCTGGGCTCGGTGGACGCTGCCTACGATGCGTTCCGTTTGAAGTACGGCAAATTGTCTGCCTCGAAGGGTTTGCCGACGCATGAGCCGACGTCGTCGGATGCGCGCTCGTGCTTCTCGCTGGAGGATGTTGACTTTGCGGTGCTGCACAGCCCCTATGCGAAGCTCGTACAGAAGGGCTTTGCGCGCCTGCTCTTCAACGATTTCTTGGCCGATCCGACCAACGAGAAATACGCCTCGATTCCCGCAGAGTACAAGGACGTGGACCGCCGCGAGAGCATTATGAACAAGGATCTCGAGAAGGCGTTCACCGCGCTCGCGAAGCCGATCATGGCCAAGAAGCTGGAGCCGGGTATGAACACGGTGCGTCGCTGCGGTAACATGTACTCGGGCTCGCTGTACGGTGGCCTCGCCTCGGTGGTGGCGAACACCCAAGACGAGGACTTTAAGGGCAAGCGTGTGCTCATGTACTCCTTCGGCTCGGGTTCGGCCGCTTCGGTGTTTGTGATCCGTGTGGACGGCTCGACGGAGGAGATCCGCACCAAGCTGGACCTCAACAACCGTCTTTCGCAGATGCAGGTCGTGCCGTGCACGGTGTACGTGGATGCGCTGCAGACGCGTGAGCACACCCACAATGCTGTGGACTTTGAGCCGAAGGGCAGCCTGGAAGACTTGTGGCCTGGCACATACTACCTGAAGAATGTGGACAGTAAATACCGCCGCTTCTATGGCCAGCGCGATGCCTAAGTCTGTGTCATGGCCTGCTCATTCATTCTTTCATAGGGATTGTAGCCTCTTGCATTCGACAACATTGATGCTGCCTCCACCTCACTACCACGTGACAAGAAAAAAATGGGCGCGGAGCGACAGTCTTTCCCTCTGCCTGCAGTCATGCCTACGCGAAAGGACGCAGCGACGACGCCTGCCTTGTTTGGCGCGGCGCCAGGCGCTGGCTTTGATCAGGAGCTGGATGCTATGTTTGCCTCTGCACCTGCGCCTGTGCCAGAGAAGAAAGACCCGATCCCACGTGAAGCGGAGCCGGCGGAGGCAGTGCCTACGATGGCTGCGGACGAGCACGAAGCGGACGAGGCGGAGGAGGAAGACGTCCCAGCGGATGCAGAGCTGGAGGAGCTATCTGGTGCTGAAGATTGGGACGAAGATACCGCGGCAGCGCACATTCTAGGCACCAGTGACACGAGCAAGAAGCCGAAACGGTCCAAGCCTCTGCTGGAGATGGCCGACGACGACGATTTGGCGCGTAGCAAGCGGACGCTATTCCTAGGCAATGTGCCTGTGGCGGCGCTGACCAGTCGCTCTGTGCGCAAACAGCTCCTGCGTCATGTGGAAAGTGTCTCGCCGTACCCAGGGTGCACCCAAGTGGTCTCGCTGCGCTTCCGCAGCGTGTCGTTCAATGTGCCTACGTCGGATTTTAGCGCGGCTGCCGACGAGCCACCGAAAGCCATGTCGAAGCGGCGTGAGCGGGCGCGAAAGTTCCGCGAGCTGCAAGGGGAGAGTGCGAAGACACACCCGCCGCCTCTGACAGCCGAGCAGAAGCGCAAGATTGCGTATATCAACCAGGAGCTCAATGAGCGCGCCGACACGGTCCATGCCTACGTGCGCCTGGGCGAGCCGAGTCTTGTGCAGGCCCGTCGGCCTACCGCCGAGCCGCTGGACGCACGTCTAAGTGGTGCGGTGCTGACCATGCTGGTCGCACGTGCGTTAGACAATACCCTCTTTCATGGCCGTCATGTGCGTGCCGACGTCGTGCAGCCGTTGGCGCCGCATGAGATGATTGCAGCTGGACTGGATCAGGTGCGTTTGCCGGACGGGACGCTGCTGAGCCACTACGGTGCCTCGGCGATCGATCCCAAGCGTACGGTGTTTGTGGGCAATTTGGACTTTGAGGCGCAGGAAGAAGAAGTGCGTGCGCTCTTTGAGAAACTCTTGCGCGACGAGCGTGGCGAGCCGCCAGTGCATGTGTCGCAGGCCATCCGTTTGGACGGCACACCTGTGTCGAGTGATGCGCAGCCAGGGCAATGGGTACAGAGTGTGCGTATTGTCCGTGACAAGGCGACGCAGCTAGGCAAAGGCTTTGCGTATGTCAAGTTTGTCGATCCGATGTGTGTCGACGAGATGGTAGCGCTGCATGAGGCGGAAGAAGCGTTTGTCGCCGCGGGGAAGCCGCAGGCGGCAGGGAGTGCGCGTGCAGGCAAGGCCACCAAGCCCATTCAGCTGGCCGAGGGCGAAGCGTTCCGCCGCCGGCTCAAGCTGCGCAAACGTGCGCTGCGTGTGTCGCGCTGCAAATCCTCGACGGGCGAAGAGAAGAAACGACGACGTACGGAGATCCACCCGCCTCAGACCCCGCCGAAGCGCGTGATGACCGACAGTATGGCTCGTGCGCGATCCAGTGGCGCCCCGACGCCGAATGGCTCGTCGCCTGGCGTGCGTCGTGTGGACCCCAGCAAGGCGACGTACTTGTCGTCGCTGAGCAAGGAGCAGCGTGCGCTGATCAAGAAGAACGATCCGGAGCGTCAGGCTCGTCGTCTGGAGAAGAAGCACGCGAAGAAGCAGGCGCAAAAGATCGCCGCGCAGGTCGGGCAGGGCCGCGAGCGTGTGAAGCTGCCGCAGCGTGGCGCTGCGAAGAAGATGGCACGCGTCAAGAGCAAAGGCAAGGCCTCGTCGTAATACGGGGGGCTATGGTGAGCCATCGTTTCATGTCATTTCTAGTAAGCGATCAATCGCTGATTCTACATTGTAGCCACACTCTTCCAACACAAGCTGTAACACAGACACGTCTGCATGCGGGAAAATGGATTGCAGCGTTTGTGTGGCGGCCGCGACGTCCACCGACGTCTCTGTCTCGTCGCCGTCCTGGGACGACCGCCTTGTGGCTGCAACGACATGGTGCGTCGGCGAGTCACGTACGTCCTCCTCGTCCTGGAACGTCTGTAGTAGGCCACGGGACGGAGTCGATCGAGCCGCGCCTCGCGGCGGTGTCTGTGTACGTTTCGGCGCGTGCGGCGCGACGCCCAGCGGCGGGGGGACAGGGCCAGGCGGCGCTGCGGGCGTCACAGGCACCAACGGCTGAGGCTGCAACGCCGCGCTGTGCGACGTCGACGACGTGATCATCGGCTGCATCTCCGAGGCGGGCGGCAAGGGCGAGGGCGACATCACCGCGTCGGGCCGCTCCGAAAACAGACGCGAGAAGCCTACACGCGCCGCCTCGCTGGTCCGCTGCAAAAAGGCACGTGTATCGTCGGCCAACGAAGAGGCGGCCATGGAGGCTGTGAGCGACAAGGTGGGGCTCTGGGCCTCTGCGGCCGCGCGTTCCGCTGCAGTGGCTTCCATCGTAGCGGCGGCACGCTGGACACGTGTATCCAGCTCTTCCTGGGTGACGTTGGAGAGCGTCGTATGATCCATATTTTCAATGAATGTCATGGCGCCTGAGAGCGACGATAAATAGTACTCGGACTCACTCGTACGACGTTGCGGCGTACGGAATCGATTGATATACTCCAAGTTGGAAACGAGATGCGGCGGATTCGCACGCAGAACCACTAGGATCAATAGCGGCATGAACGCATCGGCACCTTCTTCAGCGCCCAGGTGCCGAATGAGCCCAAAGATGACCTTGCAGCAGTTGAGCACACAGATCGTCTTGTCCCGTGGCGCTTTGTAGTGGTTGATCTTGGCGAGCTCCTGCGTAGCAAAGTTGTAGAACCGCTCCGAGTGCGGTCCACGCGGGACATCCAAATGCGTTTCGTCGACCCACGCAAACAGTTGGATACGTTCCGACAGCGCTTGGTCCCGCTGCAGATCGTCTGTCTGGACAGGCCAGCGGCCTTCCAGCGCAATGGCCGGCGAAAAGGTATACGTGTACAGTCGGTTCATCACGAGTTTCTCCATGGCTTCGGTGGCCTGGTCAAAGTCGCTGGGAGACAGCGAAGCCCATACTTCGGCCTCGGCCATGCGTGCAGCGATGAACTCAAGAAAATCAAAGATCAACTTCACTTGCTCATCGGGCTTGTAGGGCCGTCGCGAGAAGCCACGGAAGAAGCTGCGTACATATTCATTGACAGGCACAGCACTGCGATGTTTCATCTGCTCCAAGAACCGATTGAAATCAAAGGGTTTGTCCGCTGGCAAGTCAGGGCGCCGAGAGGAGGAGGACGCTGTGCGCTTCAACGCAGGATCCAGCTCCTCTGTTTGCTTCTGCTTGCCTTTGGAGGGCGGCATCGCGCCTCCGTCCAACGGCGAAGCGTGGGGGGCAGTGGATACCTTGTCAGAGGTCCTAGCGGCCTCTGCAGCTGCCGACGATGGCGAGGACGAGGATGGTGCAGCAGCCATAGACGAAGCTGCATCGTCTGTGGGAGACGTTGCGGCCACGACGTGGGCCTCGTTCGCCGTGCCACCTGCCATGCTCGCTCACGAAGGGGGTGGGTCCCAGGAAGACGGACGAAGCGCGCCTCGACGGTGTGGCGCGCGCATGAGAAAAGGGGCCGCTTTTCCACGTTCCTCCACATTTACCACCACGCCGTGCGTTCGTACAGCCGGCCATGGCCAGCGATGCCACACGGAGGCACAATCATGCCGTTCGGTCCAAGTACGAGAAAATCGAGAAGATCGGTGAAGGTACTTTCGCTGCCGTCTTCTTGGCTCGCCATGTCGATACAGGCGAAAAAGTCGCGATCAAAAAACTCAAGGTTGCGGCGGCTGGCACGCGGGATGGCATCGATATCACGGCCATGCGCGAATTCAAGTTTCTTAAAGAGCTGTGCCATCCCAATGTCATTGCGGTACGTGCATAGTGTACTCACACCGTAGCTGCGCGATGTCTTTTCCTCCGGCGCATCGTCCCCTGCCATCAACCTGGTGCTGGAGTACCTCAACACCGATCTTGAGGCTATCATCAAAGATCGGTCGCTGGTGTTCCGTGCGGGGGATATCAAAAGCTGGATGTTTATGCTGTGCCGTGGCCTCGAATACTGCCACCGGAACTGGTGCCTACATCGTGTATGTACAAGTGGACTTACCCCTCAGGACTTGAAACCCAACAACTTGCTCATTTCGCCCTCGGGAGAACTTAAGATTGCCGACTTTGGCTTGGCCCGCGAATGTGCGGATCCTGGGGCACGGATGACGTCGCAGGTAGTTACACGATGGTACCGTGCGCCGGAACTGCTCCTTGGCAGTCGATCTTACTCGACCGCCGTGGATATGTGGTCCGTGGGCTGCATCTTTGCCGAGCTTATGCTGCGCACGCCATACTTGCCCGGCGAGTCTGACGCAGCGCAGCTCACGACCATTTTCCGAGCGCTGGGCACGCCGACACAAGCGGATTGGCCGCACCATCCATCGCTACCTGACTACCGCCCCTTTGAGCAGTTTCCCAAACAAAACCTCTCCTTGCTCTTCACGGCGGCCTCCACGGAGGCGCTCGAGTTCCTTGCACAGTGCCTGCGGTACGATCCACTTCGGCGGCTTTTATCGACCGAGGCGCTTCATCATGCGTACTTTCGCACAGGTCCGCTCGCCACACCGCCGGCGCAGTTGCCGCGGCCCGCGTCGGCGATGGTCGACGAAGCTTTGCCCGACACAGCAGACCCACCTACTTCTGCGCGTGGGCCTGGCGCGACGACCACCGCGCACACCTCGACACGCACACTTACGGACGAGCAGATTGCACAGCGTCGCCGCCTAGCTCATCTCGTGGCATTTTCCTAAAGGCGTCGGGGGACAGGAATATGGTGAGTCAGCTACGCGCCTACAAAGAATATAAAGAGATCTCCTCCTTAGATCTTCTTGCTCTTGACGAGCTCTGTATTATAGTTAGCCTACATTCACATTCAGCACACGTACGCTCCAACTCCGACACGGCGTTGTCGAGAATCTGCTTTTGCGACTTCTCATCACGCAGAGTGTCAGCGACCTTCTTAATCACAGTCTCTGCCAGCAGGCGCTGCTCGGCATCACGCTGCTGCGCCTCGTAGCGCACCCACGAGTCGAGCACCGACTTGACCTCGGCAGCCAGCTGGGTCTTTTGCTTCAGCTCAAACGCCTCCTTCTCGGTCTGCACGGTCTCCTTCGCCATAGCGTAAAGAGCCTTTGTGACGTCCACAACGTCCTTCTTCTCGTTCACAGTGTCAATGCGAGTCTGGATCGCCTTGGTGTGGCCGGTACGGGCGTCGTTAAGAATGCCCGAGATCTTCTCAATCGTCGAGTTGGCCCAGTCGGCGTAGGGCTTGGCGACCGAGCGACCGATGAGCGTAGCGAAGATCAGGAAACCAGCCATGATCACAGTCTCGTCGTTCGCGACGTACAGCTCGTTCGAGACCGTGTAGGCGGTAAGACCAGCGCCGAGCGTCACCCAGGTGGTCTTCGACACGAGGCTGTTGCCCGGCAGCGCGTCAATAATCGACGCAGCCTTGGCCTCAGGCGACGGCTCTGTTTGGTTAGTCTTCCATGCATTTTGGGCGGTGAGTACATACTGTCCGAGTAGAAGCGAGCCCTAGAACGTTAGCGACAGAAAAATACGTACGAAGTCATGGCCGGGACCATAGCCTGGCGCGGCACGGCCGAGGCAAGAGCACGACGAGTCGCGGCTATAATAGTGTTAGATTGGGATGCTTACGACGGCCGACGTGCTACGTACCTTGCGCACTGCGGGAAGCGATCCGGTAGACCATAATGTATTTCGCAGCTGGTGGACAGATGAATCGTAGGGGCCCGAGATTCACCCACCTGGCACCGCCGTGCAACGGCGAACACCGGGGCTCGGCCCGCTGGCAACCAAATCACGTGACTCCACGTGGATGGTGGAGGTCGTGGCGTTGCTTCGGATGTGGGGAAATGCGGCACGCCGAGGGCTCTGACGGCCGGGTTTTGTCGTTAGGATCGATACGCTTGCTTGGCGTGCCATGTACGTAGGGCGATCCCAAGCTACTTACCTCCCAGGTCCTACCAAATATCACCCAAACTATGGTCGCAAATAAATAAGTTTGCTGCCTTTCCGCCGACCGGTGTGTCGTTGCGGCAAATGGTATTCTTTGGGCGCAATACGAACCCTGGCACCCTGCTCCTGGCTAGTTCGTTCTTGATGGGTATGTACAAGGCCATGCTGACATGCAGAGGAGCTGCCTGTGCGTCTGGCTCATCGTGTGAAGGATCTGCATGAACTGCCTTCGGAGCTTGCGAATACACCATCGATTATCAAAGTCCGGAACTGGTACGCCCAGTCGTTTGAGGAACTCGTTTCGTTCCCTACTCCACGACTCCCTGAATCGATCCAGCGGCGACTGAGCAAGGCACATGCGATGGAAAATGATGATGAAGTGTTGGCTACGCCGAATCCTAGCCTTGAGGCCATCTCCAAGTTGGAAGACGGTGTGTCGAAGACCCATTTGACGCGCCGGAGCTCCCCCTCGGCGGACGGTCCTCAACGACGACGGCTTGTGCTGAACTATGGCACACAGACGCGTCTGGATGATATTGACTGGCCGCAGGATGTAATTGAGTACAATGAGAACTTTACACGGTGCTTGGAGCGTATCAAGCATCGGCATGATGGTGTGGTGACAACGCTGGCGCAGGGTGTACTGGACTACAAACGTGCGATGCGGGGCCAGAAGGACAAGGTGGATATGCAAGAGTTCCTTGATCGGTTCTACATGTCGCGTATCGGTATCCGCATGCTGATCGGTCAGCACATTGCTTTGGGTCGCACGTGTATGACACCCAAGAAAGGCTCGCTGGGCTACCTGGCGAACCGCGCAGCTGCAGGAGCTTTGAGTGATGTGAGTGGAGCGGAGCCGGAGAACTATGTGGGCATTATTTGTACGAATACGAATATCGGTGCTGTAGCGCATGAGGCCATTGAGAATGCGCGCTTTATTTGTGAAGAGCACTATGGTCTGTTCCGTGCGCCGCCGGTTCAGCTCGTGTGCCCCAAGAAACTGACGTTTATGTATGTGCCAAGTCACTTGAACCATATGCTCTTTGAGCTACTCAAAAACTCGCTTCGTGCCGTCGTCGAGCGGTATGGGGTGGAGAACGAAGAGCATTTCCCGCCCATCCGCGTGATTGTCGTGGAGGGCAAAGAAGATATCACGATCAAGATCAGCGATGAAGGCGGCGGGATTCCACGAAGTGAGGTGCCTCTGGCCTGGACGTACATGTACACGACCGCGCGATCCGAGGAGCTGGATCCTGATGCACAGACCTCCGACTTCCAAGCGCCGATGGCCGGCTTTGGCTATGGCCTGCCCCTGGCTCGCTTGGTACGTAACCACGCTACTCACACAACAGTATGCTCGCTACTTTGGCGGAGATTTGAAACTCATTTCGATGGAAGGGTATGTGATTGCGTCTATGGATGGACTGACCATTCTCAGCTACGGCACAGATGTATACTTGCATCTGAATCGCCTGTCCAGCAGCAGCGAACCCCTTCCGTAGTGTATAATACATTGCGTTGCTGCGTTCCTTTAGGCATGAACAATCGGCGGCATGCGAGGCTCAGGCCGTGTCGTGGCCGTCGACGAGGCTGGCGCCGTGGCCGTCGGTGTTGTCGACGCATACGCCGCGCGGCCCGACATGGGCGGTGGTGGGGGTGGCGGCGCTGCTGCGCTGTACATCGACTTTTCATACGTGGCGTCGTACTCGTGCGAGCCACCCGGCGGCGGGGGCGGCGGCGGGGGCATGTCCATGGGGTCCATGTACAGGCCCTCGTAGGGCGCGCGGTGCGACGTGCGTGGTGGGGGTGGCCCTGGCGGGGGAGGACCGTCCACATACATGCCTGGCGGTCCATAGTAATTCAAAGGTGGGCCGTTGCCATACGGCGGTGCGTACATATCGGGCGGCGGGGGTGGTGGGTGCGCCATCTCGTCCGGTGGGCCGTACCCAGGCGGAGGCGGCGGAGGCGGGGGCATCGCGCGCAGGCCCATCTGCTCCATATCCATCCATACATCGTACTCTTCGAGACCGCGTACGTCAGGGTACGCAAGGAAGCCACGGGCATCTCGGACTGACATGTGCCGTGCGGCATACTCACCAGGGCGTCGGTTCGTCCGCCGTGAGAACGAGGGCGGCTTGCGAACGACTTCTGCATCAAAGGGCTGGTGACGTCGCGCTGGCGGCGGCGCGTCGATGAGGCGTTTCTCCCGATCCAACTTACGGCGCTTCCGATCCAGGTCCGTCATCATTGTACGACGAATCGTAGCCGTCTGATCACGCCAATTGTCCCACGCAATACGGTCTTCTACGCGCCCCAGCAAGTCCAGCTGTTTCTCAGACTTACCAAGCCATACGTCGAGCAAGTCTAAACGCCGCTCCTTGCGCGTATCAATCAGGGTATGCAGGAGACGCAGTTCAGGATGCGTGCCTTGCTGAATCATTTCCGTTTCATGCTCCAGCTCTTCGAGGCGTTCCGTATACAGCCGCTCACGAAGCATTGCGTACCCAATCTCGATGCGTGTGAGCAGCTCCATCGCATCCTGACGCTGTTGCATCGCCTCGGCATCATCTGCTTCTGCAGGCCCAGCCGGCGTATCAGCTGCACTTTCCTGTGCCTTCGCCTCGGTCTCTGCATCCTCCGCGTCAGGCACTTCGTCCTCCGCAGGGTCCTTGTCCTCGTCACCAGCTCCCTCCGCCTCCGCCTCCGCCTCCGCCTCTGCCTCTGCCTCTGCCTCCGCCTCTGCCTCTGCCTCTGCCTCCGTAGGCACATTCTCTTCCTCTTCATTGGCGGTCTCTTCCGGGGCCATGTCCTCCTTCACGTCTGGCGTATCGGCCTCGGTATCTGGCGAGCCTTGCCGACTGGTCGCCGCAGAGGGCGGATTGGATTCGTCCATATCAGGCTCCATCATGAGACTAGGCGCGCCACCTGTGGCAGCAGCGCGCCGCTTCCCCGCCTCAGCGGTCACGGCCCGTTGCAACAGGGACGTAGGCTTGTGGCTGACGACAGCTGCGGCTGCCGCATGCAACGTTTCATCGCCTGGCTCATGCGTACTGTCCTTCTCCGCATCGGTATCCATCTCGTCCTTGCTATCGTCATTCTCGCGCTCGTCATCGCCGTCGTCCTCGTCCTGCGAGGCGTACGACGTAAGTGTCGACGAGGTCGGCGGGACTGCGGTGGATGCCTCGTTCGCGCCTGTGGTGGACGAGGCCAACTCGGCGAGGCCATCCAGCGCACTGCGTTCCAAGTCGGCCTCCGGCATGTCTTCCTCCATGGCCTCGGACAATGACGAGCCATCGTCTGAAAATGCCGCGGTAGGCTGACGCGTCTCCTCGTCCGAGCCTGGGTCGTCCGTCAGATCGCTGTCGGCACTGAACGTGTCCGGTTGGGTAAGTGGTGCCACCGACGTAGTCTCTTCGGGCACGGCGTTGTTGGTCGCTGTCGTGTTCATAGTGTCTTCTTCTTTCACTGAGCCTGACTCGTCAAACGAAAGTGGCTCTGTTTCTGCATCCGAGCTTAGCGGCGATGTAAGTAGCTCTTTCTGCGCAGTCTCAGATGCAGGCATAGCACGGTATCACACGGTTCGTTCACGAAACTATCCCAAGGGGCACGTAAGAAGGAACGCGTGTAGTTGTCCCTCGTACGACGCTCGCGCAACGCTAACGTGGTCGATGCACAACCCGTTGCAGGAAAAGCCCACGCTCTCGCCCCCCTCTGGGGCCGCAGGCCCTGCATGGCTTGCAGGGCCTCTTCCCTTTGTGGTGCGTGCATGCTTATCTATGATGAATAAACATGACTTTTTTTTGGACAACCAACAGCGTCGCAGAACCACGCCGTGGACGCACGCATCGACACCATGAGTCTGAGTGACGAGCACATTGACGATGTGCTTTGGGCCGCTCGTGCAGGTGACCTTGACGCTTTGAAAGAGACGGTAGCGGCTATTGGCGGCACGGATACCAACGCTACGATCAAGGCGGTGCTGGCGTGTAAGAACGAGTCAGGCCATACGCCACTTCATTTCGCCGCTGCGAACAACCACCAAGGTATGGGAGCCTTGGTACACTAACATGATAAGAGATTGTATCGTACCTTCTTTCTGCGGCAGGTGTCGCCGATGTCCTTGCTCAGAACGAATCGGGGAACACGGCGCTGCACTGGGCCGCCTTCAATGGTCATGTGGACGTAGCGGCAGCGCTGGTGGACCGAACGGAGGCTTTGGAGAACGAGGAGGCAGACGTAGCGAAGAAGATGCGCGCTGAAGAGGACCAGCGTGAGCATGAACGCCACATGGCGGCGAACAAGGACGTGAAAGAGGCCGAGTCCGATCGTCAAGCAGAGCTCGCGCACCACGACGAGCTGCAGCGTGAGCGTGCACTATGGGATGTACGCAACAAGGCGGGGCGTGGTCCTATGAGTGAGGCGCAAATGGCCGATCGCGAGGCTGTGGTACAGATGCTTCTAGGCCGCCTTGCGCAGCACGACAAGTCGGAGCAGGCCTCCTCTGCTACACCTACGCCCGTACCCAATGACGCAAGTGTCGAAGCGAAGACTGCGTCGATGACCTTGAACGATGCCTAAGTAGCGGCTACATAGGAGGGTATCCTCGCCAAGAGCAGGAGGCCCTGGCCTTTTTACTCCACATATGAAAGCGCTCGGCGCCGATTGGACCCCGCGTCCCCACCCTGCCCCTCCCTTTTTGGATCGGGCGGCTCGCAGGAGACTGAGTTTATCTAGCTCAGACCATGTCGAAGCGCGGGGCGCTTGAAGACCCGTACCGCCCTACCGATGCTAAGGTCTTTGAGGACGATGTACATGCATGGCCCTCCAGCCGGCCGCCGCGCGCTAGGATGTCGCGTTGGACACCCCTGCTGGCGTTTGTCGGCGCCTTGATGTGTCTTCAACTGATCCTACTATCGGGCCGTGTGCATGACTTGCATCGGCGCCCCCATACGCATCACCAGGATGCCAAGCCGGATTTCTCTGCGTACTTGGCTACTGCCAAGGAGCAGTGCCGTTTCAAGGCCGCTCGTGCAGGCCCTCCGCCTGGTTTCGCGAAGCGGACAGAGAACGACCGTGTGCTGCCCAACACGCCACGGACGTGGATCCGCAATGCGACAGTGTTCACAGGCGAAGAGATCCAGCCGCATATGGACGTTCTGCTGGATCATGGCCTTATTCAAGCCATTGTACCTACGCGTGCGTCGCCCTCGTCGGAGGACGAGGCGCATAGCGTGGATGCTCAGGGCGCCTGGCTGACGCCGGGCATTGTCGATCTGCATACGCACCTTGGCGTGCTGAGCATGCCGACCTTACCAACACACACCGATGGCAACTCACGCATTAGTCCGACGCGCCCCATGGTACGCAGCATCGATGGCATCAATGAGCATGACCAAAACTTGCGATCGACATTGTCGGGCGGCATTACCACGGCGCTAGTGCTGCCAGGCTCGCTCAACAATATCGGTGGCCAGGCCTTCCCCATCAAGCTAGGCTCGTTGGCCGGTCGGCCGCCCTCGTCGCGTGTCTTGGATCCGCCTCGCAGTATGCGCATGGCCGGCGAGGCCGGGCATACGCGTGACGAGATGTACTCGGAAGCCTCCGGGATGCGCCGCCCAGATGGCAGTACGTCGTTCCGCCAGATCAAGATGGCGTGTGGCGAGAATGCACGCAAGTACAACCTGGTCCGTCTGGATGAAGCATGGAACTTCCGCAGCATGTTCGAGCGTGCTCAGCGACTACGGGAGGCTCAGGACGACTTTTGTACGAGTCTGGAGATGGGGTTGCTGAACGCGTCGTCGTCGCCGGCCTCCCTGCGTTTCCCGACAGATCTGGAAATCGAGTCGCTTGTCGATGTACTGCGTGGGCGGACCAAGGTACAAACGCACTGCTACACGATGAACGATCTCGACGCGTTTGTCCGGCATGCGAACGAGTTTGGGTTCCCGATCGCCGCGTTCCATCATGCGCATGAGACGCATCTCGTGCCGAGTGTACTGCATGCTGCACCGGATCATACACCGGCCGCGGCGATCTTTGCGACGAATGCCAACTACAAGTTTGAGTCCTACTTTGGCACGCCTTTCAACCCGGAGCTTATGCGCTCACACAACATCACGCCGATCCTCAAGAGTGATCATCCCGTTTTGGATTCACGACGCTTGGTCGGTCAGGCCGCACAGGCTCACCACTTTGGCCTGAATGAGATCGACGCGCTGCGGGCCGTCACATCGGCGCCGGCGCATGTCTTGGGCTTAGCGCATCGTATTGGTCATGTCCAGGTCGGCATGGATGCCGATGTCGTGCTATGGGATCGGCACCCCCTTACCCTAGGCGCTACGCCCACAGCAGTGTATGTCGATGGCACGTCCCAATTTGAGACGATGCATCCCTCTGGTGCCTCGGTTCATCCCACCCAGCCCTACTCAGCCAACTATACGTCGGAACTTCACCGCGTGCGATCGCAGGTCGACGAGATTGCGGAGGGACGTGCGTTGGCTTTCCCGACGTCGATGGCGTCGCTGGAGGAAGGTGTGCTCGTGCACCTCTCTGCTGCGTACCTTCGTGAGAAAGGACGTATCGTCGCTCACATGTTTGCGGGCCACACTGGTGTGGTGGCGTATGCCAACGGTACTGTGCACTGTGTCGGCTCAGCCGAGGAGTGTCTTGCTGATGAGGCTACGTGGGCGCATGTACGACACATTGATGTTCGTGGCGGCGTGGTAACGCCCGGTCTTGTGTCGTACGGTGGCACCTTGGGCCTGTCAGACATCCCCAGCGAGGCCTCCGCGTCCGACGGCACAGATCCTTCGGCCGTGACGAAGCACTTGCATCTGGATTCGCTGCGACCTACAGCGCGTGCCGTCGATGGCCTCGTGCTGGGTGGTCACGATATGCTGCGTGCGCGTGCGTCTGGCGTCACGACCATCATCAATGCGCCCGTGGTGAACGGCGTGTTTGGCGGTCTCTCTGCGCACTTTGACACAGGCGCACAGACCGTGTTGGACAAGGGCAGCGTACGCACAGACGAAGTGGCGTTGCATGTGACTATTACGCCGGACGGCGCTGATCAGGTCGCCGTATCAAGTCAGTTGGCCCTTGTGCGTGCACAGCTAGCGTCACCTCAAACACCAGCATGGCGTCGCGTCACGCACGGTACCTTGCCCCTCGTCGTTGCGACCAACAGTGCGCATGTGGTCGCCCAGCTTATCCTTCTGAAACGGGCCTTCCCTGGAGTACACATGGTCCTGGACTCGGCGGGCGCTTTGCATGACCTTGCAGCGCAGCTGGCCGACGTTGATCTGCCTGTGCTCATGCCGCCGAAGATCTGGGAGTACGAATGGGCGCAGCGTACGCGTCTACCAGGCCCTCCCCTCACGTCCGAGACAGAGCTGAGTGTATTGCGGAAGCATGGTGTCCGCGTCGGTCTGCGCATCCGTGAGGCGTGGGAGGCTGCGAATCTTCTCTGGGAGGCCACCTGGGCGGCCCAAGATGCACACATTCACAACGCCACAGACGTGCTCGAGCTACTCACGACAAAGTAAGTATTATCACTTCTAACCTCTTTCAGCATCGAGGACATGCTGCATCTCTCACCCGCGCCGCTGAGCGACTTGGCCATTTTCGATGTACGTATGCACCTGTGCTTACAGACCCTAGTCGGATCCATTCTCGTTTGGCGCGAAACTCGTAGCGCTCACGACGCCGCGGCACTTGGAGCTGTACCCGTAAAAGGTCGGCCCATCTCGCCAGCTATACAGACACACATCGCTACAGTAGAAAACACATTTAGTGCATACGTTGCATTTCCATCTTTTTTCACATCCAACGCTAGCTACACGCTGAATAGTACATGTGGGTCACACTAACCACATACAATCTCACGTCATGGTATCCACATACAAGAGACTGCAGTGTATATGGAGGAAGAGGGTAGACCCCTTCCGAAAACAGTCGCCAAGACGACGATTTTAGATGTACGTGTCGTACGGCAGCGGGGCCAGGGTCACCGGCTTGTTGCCGCCCACCGACAGAGTGTGAGCCTCACGCGGCTGAGCAGGCTGGCGCTTGAGGTCCACGTGCTCACCCTTCTCCTTCGCAGCGTGCTTAGCGGCAGCGTTGGCCTTCACACGGTTCAGGAAGTCGTCACGGCACTTCGAGTGACGGACGTGCTCAACACGGAGGTTGACACGCTTCTCAATCTTGCGGTTGCCGACGGTCTTGTACACAATCACACCGACTAGCACGTTAGCACATCACGCATTCACTGTATACATACCAGCACGCGGGAAGACACCGTACACAACACCAGTGCGGCCCTGGTAGTACTTGTGCGGCATACCCTTCTGCTCCGCCGAGTCAGCGACAATGTCGACAATGTCGCCAGCATGGAACGGGCGCAGGTAGCGGCTCACCTGCACCTGACCGTGCTTGCGGAACTGCTTGGCAAACATGTGCCGAGTACGCGCCCTGTAACCATAACTGTGAGGCATCTTGACTGGTTTTTGGTGTTAGTAGAACAATCCAGGCGAAAGGCAGTGGAGCCCTTCACCCCCCTCGGCGCCTTCGTCCCCTGTGGAACTATAATTTGTCACGTGATAAAATAGTCTCGGCCGGTGCGTGGAGACTGGAGCAGGCGAAGAAGAGAGACTAGCGCGCGCTGCTGCCTGCTTCTCCTACCGACTCACCAAGATGCCGACTGCGACCCACCACTGCAAGGGTGCTCCTCGTAACCACAGCAAGACGTACAAGGTTCCCCGTCGTCCCTTCGAGTCGCCTCGTCTGGACGCTGAGCTGAAGCTTGCCGGCGAGTACGGTCTGAAGAACAAGACCGAGATCTGGCGCATTGCTCTTACTCTGTCGAAGATCCGTCGTGCTGCCCGTGAGCTGCTCAAGCTTGAGGAGCACGACCCGAAGCGTCTCTTCGAGGGTAACGCCATCATTCGCCGTCTCATTCGCATTGGTGTGCTGGACGAGTCGCGCATGAAGCTCGATTACGTGCTGGCTCTGCAGATTGAGGACTTCTTGGAGCGCCGTCTCCAGACTCAGGTCTACAAGAGCGGTCTGGCCCGCAGCATTCACCACGCCCGTGTCCTGATTGCTCAGCGCCACATCCGCGTCGGCAAGCAGATCGTCACTTCGCCGTCGTTCATTGTCCGTCTCGAGTCGCAGAAGCACATTGACTTTGCCCTGAACTCGCCTTACGCTGGTGCCCGTCCTGGCCGTGTTAAGCGCAAGCGTGCTGCCGCTGCCGCTGCCGCTGAGGGCGGTGAGGAGGAGGCTGCCGACGACGAGGAGTAAACACTTTCTTGTTGTTTCGCCATCCCACGTATTTTACCCGAGATGTTGACTTGGGCTAGTCTCATCTCTATCGACTCAGTACTTGGTCGCGCTGTATTCTCCGGATCATAGGCCATATGGTCGTGTATGGAGTCGTATTTATCTTGTTGCTAGTGTAGCGACAATCAAAAGCAATATGAGATCAAACCTTTCTGTGTGTTTTGTGTGTCTGTTACATTTTTTTATATTTGCGCGGTATGTATACTATACGTTCATAGGTCTGAGTTTCTTAGCGACGCACGTTGGCGTCCTTGAGCCTCGACTTGAAGCGGTTCAGACTGGCGTCAGTGTTTCGATATACATACCGTTGATGGTTGGCTAGGCGCGATTGATGTTCGTGATCGTTCGTACTGCCAGCGACACGGTTGCGTGGTGCCACTTGGAAACCTGTCGTGATAGCCTGAGGAATTCCCACATGACGTCGTGTCTTATCCGTAGCAAAGGCTGCTTCCGTGAGCTGGCTTGACTGGTTGTGCGGAGAATGCTGGTTCCATTCAGCCTGTGCCACATGCCGGTCGCGGTACGATGCTGAGCGTTTCAGGATCGGTCGAGTCCATACTTCCACCAAGTGCTCTGCACTACGACGGATCGCTGGCTCCACGCGCTTGCACAAGCTGTAAAACACCACGACACGACCCAGTCCGCTCATCTTCAAACTGATGGTATCAATACTCATACTTTCCAAAACACCGAATAATTGCTTTTGGATATTCAGCGCCGGCAAGCTGCGGTCAGGTAGCGGTTCGAGCCATCGCTTTACGCCTTCTAACAGGTTGTTATCCAGAATCGCCTGCTGCAAATGAGATCTGGTGTGTTAGTCATATTATCATACTCCCACATACTTTTGCAATGTGCTCACTACACGCGGCAAGAGGCGAAGCTTCGAGGTGGCTGGCTGTTTGGCACGGTTGGCCTCTTCATCCTCATCGGCTGCTAATATCATCTCTGTTCGCAATGCCGATACTTCTTCGTCAGCCATCAGTTCCAAGTCATCTTCACCTGCGGCACGACGACGAGTTGTGCGGCGCTTTCCAGACTTGAGTGCCGCATCAATCCGCGCGTTCACCTGTGCACGAATGAGTGCTTTACCCGTGAGAGGCGCTTCTTCCTCGTCGTCTGCACCATCTACCGGCTCTGGCTGGGCTTTTCCATCATCAGCATCCTCATCATCCCGCCTGGCTTTTTTCTTTGGTGGAATGGGCTCTGAAGCAAGCATATCTTCCGTGACTTCTCGGCGGGGGATACTAGGGAGTGCGTCATCGTCGTCTGCGACTGTCTTGTCTGCCGCCTCTGACTCGGTTGTTTCTGTTACTTGTTCCGTCGTAGCCGTATTGGTGACATCCTGCTCGACCTCGTCATCCGAGTCACCTCCGAAAATATCCCTATGTTCCTTTGAGTGTAAGCTGTTCGTCCATACTCGTATACGCACCGTATCCTCGTCGCCTGCCATACCCAACACTACGTGATGAACTTCGACGCACGCGCGATGGGTGGATGGAGGGGCCCTCTTCACGTGGTGCCCTTCTCCCTGTGTTTGACAACAGCCTGACCCACCCAGTAGGCCTCCACGCGCGGCACATAGCCGTTCCTGTCCGCGCGTGTGCAAGCATTGTGTCCAACGTTACCGCCCCAGGTGTCAGACGATTTTTACCGGCTGGCGCACACTCTTTGACTCTTATGACAAACTCATTGACCCATGGGGCCGGCTTCGGGTCAGCAGCTAACCACGGCACCGACAATGGGTATCCAGGTGTAACGGAGTACACGCACTCAGGTGTTTTGCATTTCCTGCAAAGTGAATGGCGGCGGTACGAGCATGAACGCAATGCCTGGGCTATTGAGAGAGCTGAGCTTCGTGTATGTATTTATCATTTGATCTGATGCAGAAAGGCCCGCATTGCGTTGCTTGAAGGCGAGCGTCGTAGCGTCGAGAATCTCAAGACGGATCTACTCCGTCGCATCAAGATGCTCGAGTTTGCCCTTCGTCAAGAACGGTATGTATCTTTGTCTCAACTTATATTCTCAGTGCCAAGAGCCAGACGAATACACCTACCCCTACTGCTTCAATGAATCCTTCTATTAGCAAATTGATGATGGAGCGGACTCAAAGCGGGTCTAGTGGCTCCCAGCCTGATGAGGCCGCTGACATTGCCAAAAGCCTACCGTCTACGACATCCACTGCATCAACCTTCAAGCTTCCTCGTGGTGTGAAAGATGAGAAAGGACGGGCCAAGAGTCGCGCTTATTTGCAACAATGCCTCCAAGAAATCGCGTACCTTACGAGCGATTCTACGTTGAACCCTCTGGGTGTCCGAAATGGGGCTGGTGATGCTCCTACGGATACATCACTGCCTTCACGCCCCTCTCTTACTGTTCCAGACGTACCTTCTATCAATCCAACTTCGTCTGAGGGCTCCGAGGGTACTGCTATCTCAGGCTCTGTCGCTGAGGAGCTTGCTAGTGATTCCTTGAAGCATCAGACTGCTGCTGAACCGTCACGGGTTACACCTTCTTCTACGACTGTGGTCGAAGATAAACACTCACATGAGCCTATCTCACGGGTGCAGCCACCAACGAGTGTACCTGATGTTCAACTTTGGCATCCAAAGGGAACCATGTCGGCACACTTTAGTTCCGTACGAGCGTTGGCATACGATGCAAGTGGTCAAGGCCTCTTCACTGCCTCCGATGATTGTACTATCAAATACTGGCATCTACCAACTAATGATAAAGCAAGTGCCTCAGCGTCTGTGACCACTTCTATTACAAACGCAGAGAAATGGGAACATCTGATGACGCTCCGTGGCCATGAGAAAGGCGTGAAGAGTCTTGTGTTTTCCAAACGGCTCAATCGCTTGTACAGTGCTGGGGAAGACGGCCGAATTTTACAATGGGATATTCCCGCAGATACTCCAGAGAGCGACAAATCCATTTCATCTCCCCTTCTCCCTACATCCTTTGTCAAGACAGAGCAGGGTACCCAAAGCCTTGCCCTATTCCCATCCAATGGGCAAGACGATGCTCTTCTTGCCTCTGTATGCGCTCAAGGTCAAATCCAGTTATGGTTTACCGATGACCAAATGTCTCCGCGCTTGTTTATGCAATGGGATTACTTCGGTACGGATCCATCTGAAGAAGCGCAGAAAGAACGTCAGGCCATGGCTTCCATGCCTGTACCTACATCTATTACCAAGTGCCCAGCTGATGTGAAAGCTTGTGTCGTTGCTTTTAATAACGGTGTGATTCGCTTTTTCTCTTTGACCAACGGTCGCGCTATCAAAAGTCTGACTTCTCCGTCATCTACAGCACCGGCGAATGTAGTGGTCGGACACCCTACTCTACCCAGCATTGCAGCGGGGTACGAAGATAACTATATCCACCTATTTGACTTGGAGACAGGTTCCGCTGTCCTTTCTCTTCACGCTCACGATGATGGCATTACCTGCCTCGATATTGATCCTTCTGGTCTTACCCTCGTAAGCGGGAGCCATGACTGCAAAATCCGATTTTGGGATGTGAGGTACCGAGGAAATAATGATACAGATGCGGTGGAGTCACACCCATCTTACAGCGCCGTATGCTTCCAAGAGATTCTTGCACATCAATCGAAAGCGCAAGAAGGTGTTCTAGCGGTGCTGTACCATCCTGCTTTGCCTCTTGTTGCAACCGCAGGGGCAGATGGATTTGTTCACTTATACGGGTAGCTTGGATGGCTGCATGTCCGAATAATGATAAACAGAGTATGTAATGAACTTAAATAAATGCTATTCTGAACGAAAACAAGGTGGTCTTGTTTGTGGGACAAAAACATAATTGTCTCATAAGAGACACCCTTTTCTGATCATGATTGTCATCCTTACTGCAGGGACCATGCTAATCTTCTCTGTATCGTTCCAATTTTTTCGTATGCTACCCGAAGGTGCATAGGTATGTAATGTGTTGTGGAGTGGTCCGTACAGATATATAGCGCTTTTCAATGCGATAAATTTATGGCCGTTAAAGGAATGCTTAATAAATAATCTATTTGAGGGGCTGAGTCGCGAATTGGTACATGTTTAATGTGGTTTGGCAGCCACGCGGTTTATTCCTGCTGCCCCAGTTCCATCGCCTTTTTTTTTTCACGTCGAAATCTGTTATCGCTTAGCGTTTTCCTTTTCGCACACCTCACATCCCGAGGTTGTATTAGTTTAGATTCAACATTTATCAAACTATTTACGTCGAGTTCTGTCTGGTACTTTTGCGGGCGGAACTTGACGCGCTTAACTTAACGACTGCAACGAGTACTCTATGATGACGGACCAAACCTTGGCACAGTCTCTGGATGGTCTTTCCCTTGGGAAGAGCATTTCAACACCCTTGGATCCGGCAATAATGAAAAATAATGACCTTTTCTATCCCAGCGGATCGCCACTAGATCAAAAAATGCCACCTCATGACAGCTTTCCTTTCCCCAAGTCGGGCGACAGTGCTACATCATCGCGCTTCCAACATTTATTCGCTGGGAATGGATTTTCTGGTCCAAGTGAAGCTAACTTATCATCGAAAAATGAGGCAGCACTATTTCCCAAGTCTGGGCTTTCAAGCTCAGATTTGTCGCAGAACGGCAACATGTTTGGTACGGGTCCAAGTCTAACGGCCCCACTCCCTAATGGACCCATCTCTCAACGCACAAGTCCCACACCATTTTATGGGGGTACCTGGAGCTCCAATGGACCGTCGAATCTTACATTCAATGCATCTTCCTCTGACCACCCGTCCTCAGGCGCCCTTCCCCCTACTGCCCCCTCTTCTTTGCCAATGAACCCTATGCGGTTCGGCAACAATATGCCTGCTACTGTGGCCGGAGAAGCTGATATCATTCCGACTGCCATTGTGATTAAAAACATTCCTTTCAACATCAAGCGTGAACAACTGTTGCATATCATTCGTGATTTGGGTATCCCTGTTCCCTATGCATTTAACTACCATTTTGACCAAGGTATTTTCCGTGGCCTAGCCTTTGCAAATTTCCATTCACCTGCGGAGGCGAATGAAGTGGTTTCGGCACTAAATGGTCTTGATGTGAGTGGTCGTAAGCTTCGCGTGGAGTACAAGAAAGTGCTTCAAGCGGGCGAGAAGGAACGTATTGAAAAAGAAAAAGCGTTGAAGAGGATGCAATTCCCACACTCGAATGACAAGGAGCGGAAGAAGGACAAGGTGTCGACCGCAGAGTCTGGTGCCATTCCAGGACTAAATGTAGTTCCGACGCCCATTCGTGCTAACTCGCCTAATTTTGCGGCGCATGATAAGGATGGACCGCACCGGTTGTCGCCGGATGGTGTCTCGCCAATCTTCTTTATGCGTCACAGTCCGAGTGATGCACAGGAATCTTCCCTGGACTTGAATGATGCATCCACACTTGAAATCTATTCGCGTGTTCTCCTATTTAAAGATGACCGAATGCGTGATGACCTTTCGTTTTCAAAGTGCCTGACCCCAGCAGAACGGCGTGTGGTGCATCTGGTTGCTCAGAAGCTGGGCCTGTATCACTACACAGTGGGGTCAGGGGATGACCGACATGTGATTGTGACCAAGGCGGAGCTGCCATCACGTCATGGCGCGTCCACGCCCACGTCGGCCGATGTGCGCGAATCCACGAGTACGCGATCGGAGCTACTGGCGAAGAAGAGTGTGCCTGATATGAGGCGCGCAGCTTACAATGATATGAAGCGCTCAAGCAGTCCGAACACCATGAACAGCAAGCTGTTGATGCCGCATACCGGTGGCAATGCACTGTTCACCAGCAAGTCGAACAGCAGTCTCCATGAGGGCTACATTTATGGTCATGATCACCGCTTCGATGGATTTGGAAACTTTGGCAGTAATGGCACGTCTTCTCACAATCTCTTTGCGTATCCTGTTGACGCTCCTACGGTCCCCTATTTGTCACACGCCAGTAGCGTGGACTTGGATCGGTTTGACTACGCAAGTATGCAAGGGCCCAAGGGACCTTCGATCTATCGTTCGCGGTCCCCGTTGAGCAGCGGACACTCCCCGCTGGGGCAGACAACTGGCCCCCTGGACCATGCGATGCCCACGCCGTTCGGTCCCTTGCCGGGCAGCATCCACCTGCCGCATCGGCCTGATACGCTGCGTGATCAGGATGTGGATCTTTCCCAGTTTTCTTCCAGCGGGTCAATGGTGCCCTCCAATCTAGACACGAAGGGTACCATGGACGACGTGGCCGTTCCTATGACTGTGCATTCCAAGAGCAATGATACGAAATCGCCCCATTTGATCCACCCAAAATTACCACAGGCACCATGAATGACGAATACTAATGATCGTTAATACACTCTCCAAGATAAGGTCACCGGTTACATAGCCAACTACAGTCTTTATTTTTGTCGCATGCATACGCTGGCTGTCTGTTTGACATTTTTCTTTTGCAGCGTGGAGGTCTAAGTGGGGCGACCCGCCAACGCCACATGGATAAGCGGCGAAGTGACATTTCAACCTCTTCTCCACGTACGACCGTCGTTCATGCACGATACGGTCCATGGCCCTGGGCGGCCCTACACGCCCAGTACGCCATGCTTTGCCGAGATACCAATACAGCCCTATCATATCCATGCAGTGCCTACACGCTGCGCTCGACCACGTGCCAACCCACGCCCAGCTCCTGCTTGTGCTGCCGGCGTGATGTGGCACGGCGTGCCTGTGTTGGTACCACCTAGCACGGCGGGTGTGCCATGCAAAGTAGGATCGGTGGCGTTTGTGCATGCCAAGCGATATGGTCTCTTTGTTCATGGCACGCCGCATGCTCATCACATTGCGCGACCCTCTGTGTCGTTCGGATCCATGTCATGCGACACCCAAAGCCGTTCTCAGCCATCGTCACCCGCCTGGTCCAAACCTCGCGCGTGGTCCCAGCCTGTAGGTACACCTGTACGGGGCGGCGGAAGTGGCAGCAGTAGTGTCCGCACTGGGCCCAGTGCCATGCCGACAGACGATCCATCTGCGAGTCCTACGAAACCACGACGATGGGGCTCGACACGCAAACGGCCTACGCTAGAGGAACTATATACCACAGCGCACGAAGTACAGGAGGCTCCTCTTACTATACCTGTAGGCCTGATCAATCAAGGCAATTCGTGTTTTGCAAGTGTCATCCTCCAAATGCTAGTGTACTGCCGTCCTTTATACTGTTTCCTCACGCAGCTGCGTGATATCATACCACAGGACCTGAGCAATTCCACACCGCTATTGGAGGCTGTGTTCCGGTTTTACACCGAAGTGCCACTGTCTTCGAAACTTGGCCCGTCTCTCTTACAAAGCAGTGTTGATCCGATCCTCCCTGACTATATCTACGATGCGATGCGTCTGCACAAACGCTTTGATCTGTTTCAGCTGGGCCACCAAGAAGATGCAGAAGAGTTCTTCAGCTTGGTCTTGAGTACACTGCATGAGGAGACGCAGCTGGTCTACCGCCGCCTTGATCAGCGGCAAGCGCATTCACGTCGACGCACGACAACCCCTTCGGCTGCGGATCCTTTCGCCGCGGATCCTGCGCCTCTTGATGTCGACTCGAGTGATGATGACGACAACGACGACGTCGAGGCGACTGAGGTCATGCGACCTTCCAGTCCTGATCAGGACGAATGGCTCGAAGTCGGGCAGAAAGGCAAGACGAGTCTTACACGAACGAGCGGCACGGCCGAAGCGCCGTCGCCCATTACTCGCATGTTTGACGGGAAGTTGCGTAGTACGTTGACCACTCCCGGCTCGAAAACCAGTGTGATGCTTGAGCCGTATCGCTCACTACCGCTGGACATTGAAGCTCCGCATATCCGCTCCATTGCCGATGCATTACGGCACATCACGGAGCCGGAAACCATCTCCGGGGTATGGTCAGCAGGCCGTCACGCCTTTGTCGATGCTACCAAGCAAGTGTGCATTGAAGCATTACCGCCTGTGCTCGTCTTGCACCTCAAACGGTTTGTATTTGACGGGCTGTATGGCGTGCAAAAAAGCACCAAACCCATTTCGTTCGGCCTCACATTGGACGTAGCGCCCGAGGTGCTCAGCTCGGTGTGCCGTCGCGCCGCGACGTCGACTAGATACGCCCTCTTTGGCGTCGTGTTTCATCATGGCCGCCTCGCTTCAGGTGGTCACTACACTGTGGCTGTCCAGCGACAAAACCACGACGGCTGGATCCACTTTGACGATACCCAGGCTTGGCCCATATCTTCTGACGACGTCCTCGCGACCGGCCGCGGTACGACAAACGAGCAGGGCGACGCTTACCTGCTCTTCTACCAGCGTCTTCCATCCTCTTAGATAGGTATGTGTTCTACAAAAGGTCCTCGTCCTCGTCGGCCTCGCCGACCTTCTCTGTGTTGGTCGTGAGAGCCGCTGGCTTGGACACATGCGACGCCGCGACAAACGAAGGAGCTTGTGATGATGGCGCTGACGCAGCCTTTTGCGCCTCCAGCATTGCCATCGGATCGCTGGCTACCACAGGTTCTGCTGTGGAGGGCGCAAGAACCGAGGCTGCGACGTTGGCCATGTCGGTGTTGTACTGCGCCTGCACAGACCGCTTGATACGCAGCATATCACGGAATGTATCTTCCGTACCGTTCTCAATTTCAAAGGCATTCCATTCCTGCCAGAATGCCGGCTGTGTCTTGGGATTGCAGAACTGCGACGCATGGGCGTAAATGGCACGTGCACGCTCCATTTCGCCCAGTTTGCGTTCGAGCGTCGCGAACCGCAAGCACATCTGCGCCGCCTGGCGGTCAGGCAGCACTTCGATGGCCTGCTCGTAGATGGGTCGCGTTGCGGCGAGGCCATAGTTGGCAGCCGCTTTCGCCACATAGTACAGGTACATTTCGTAGCGATCGTCCTCTGTAACGGCTTTCGTCGCACGCTCGTAAATGCTCATGGCTTTGCGGACCAGTCCATGCTCTTCTTCCAGCTCGCCGTACTTGAGGTACAGCGGTTTGCACAGCGTAGGAGGGCACTTGGCCAGCGCCTGCTCGAACAAGTCGCGCGTCCGCTCAAGCTTGCTACCACCGTACCTTGCCACGAACTTGCTTAGGTATACATTCCACAACTCAAAGGCAACAGGGTACGTAAACAGTTCCACGCCACGCTCGTAGACCTTGAACGCCTCTTCAAAGTACTGCTGCTCTTCGAGGAACTGCGCAAAGTTGATGATCGTCTGTGCATTCGCAATCTTCAGCTCCATAATGCGATCAAATGCATGCTTGGCACTTTCCATCGTACCCAGCGCCTCTTCGAGGTCCGTGTAAAAGGCCCACAGCTTGAGGCTCTTGAACAAGCGGCTTTGTGGTGGCAGGGTGTCATCGTAGTACGAAATACTGCGGATCTTTTTGTAGCTGTTGGGCACACTGGTGGCTCGCGACATGATACGCAACGCCTCGTCGTAGTTGCTGTTCCGCACCTCCATTTCGGCCCAGCTGCACCAGACCTCGGCGAGATCATCCACACGCTTGTAGGGCACTTTGATTGCACGTTCGTAAATCGCGCGAGCGCTCGTGACATCGCGCTCAGCCTTGTCGGGCTGCGCACGGCCTGTCGAGCCGCCTTCTTCGTAGAACTGCGCAAAGTGGATATACAACTGGTGCAAATTCGCTGTGGCTTTGCGTGGGTCAATCGTGCTTATAGCTTGTTGGTACGTCTCCACGACTTTCTCGTCGTTCTCGCCCCACAACGCTACGCGCTTTTCCCATTCCTGTACATCGTTGGGGTTTCGACGCAATAGTACATCGTTCACTAGGAACGGCCGCCGTTCCATCAATGCCTCAAATGCTTGCATACGCTGATCAATTTCAGCTTCCTGCTCGGCCTTGGATGGTCCTTCCTCGTCTTCATCGTCCTCGTCCTCTTCCAGCTCTTCCATCATGAACGTAATGATATTTTCACTCGTCTCAGCGTACGCATCAAAGATCTGGGTAAAGTCACGCACAGTGAGCACGGTCGTCAAGCCTGTCTCAAAAATGTCCTGCGCTGTCGCCAAGTCCCCACGCTTGATATAATAGGTCGCAAGGCCCGTCCACAAACGCCCAGATTGATCAGGGAAGCGCGCGAGACCATCGCACGTCACAACCTGCCGAACAGGTAAGCGCGATGTATCGAGCAAATCCGTCTCAGCAGCCGGTGCCGTATCATCTGGCTGGCGTGCGGGGAGGGCTGCTTCTTCGTCGTTCGAGAGGCCGATAGCCGTCGGGTGCTTTTCCGTCAGCTCCAGCCATTCCATGAGCAAATGATAGGGACTCTTCCCATCTGGACTGGTGTACGATCCATGCAAAGCCTGCCGTGCAAGACGAAGTAGGAGTTTGGCCGCTTCCAAGATGCGTTCCTGCGCTGTGATACTCAGTTCCTCGTCATCCTCTTCGTCTTCGGCCTCGGCCGCTTTTGAAGTAGATGGTCTCGATAGACTGCTTTGATGGCCATCGGCATAACGCATCTCTGTCATCGGCTCCAGCAGCAAAGCCACGTATCGCTCCGAGAGGCTTGGATCCACTTGCAAGTAGCGACGCCATACGCGCCGGGCCGTCTCGCCACCACATAGCTCTGCCCATCGCAGGTACATCTTCCAAATACGCAAGTGAAGCGACCCTGGGAGGGTACGCAATGCACGGTCAAAGGTACGGCGTGCATGGGTACGTGAAAGAATGGGCGAGCAGTAGGGATGCACAAACAGGCCCAAATAATCGAGCCACAATCTCGGCATCGTAGGCAGCCACGCTAGCGCGCGCTCGTAGGCGGCCGCCAAGCTACGCCACTCTTTCCATCCCAGCACGCCGTCCAGCGCGTAATTCCAAGCATCTTGCCCTTCTTCGTCTTTGCGCATATCGAGCAACGTGGGTCCCATCTCCAGCGAGGTGTTCGTGGACTGCAGCACACGTCGGCGATGTGCCTCAGCACCTTCGCGTGGATCACCTAGCACAAAGCGTGCACGCGCATTTAAGTATCGATGCCACAGCTTGTACGATGTAGGGAAGACAGCCAGGGCACGTTCATACAGACTGACAATGCGCTGCAGAGCCAGGCGCTGAGATGCATCAGACAGGAATCCCAGCAATTTCACGCCCTCCGACGAAACCCAAGCGTCCGGTGTTGGCCGCTTCGCGAAGTTCACTTCTTCTACATGCGAAATGTAAGCAAGCCAAGTGCGCAAGTTGTCAGGGTTGCGTAGCAATTCCTGCTCCAAAATGAGATCATCATGGGGGATCAGTGATTCATGCGTGGTTGGCGAAGGGATAGGGAAGGCCAATGGGAACAGTTGCGAGATGTGCTCCATCTCGCTAGTCCCAGCATCCGCACTCGCTGCCATGGTCGTCGCAAGCGGCGTGCGTCGCCTGTCGTTCGTGCCAGCGCCGCAGACGATCGATCCATCTCGCGTCTCTCGCCCTTCGTCTGGATCGGCCGAGACCCCTCCACTTCTCCGCTTCGCGTGCACCATGGCAAGAGGCTTGTGCGTTGGGTGGTGGACCTTATGGATCGGCGACGAGCAGCGTCACGCATTCCCGATCACATTTCTGACGATGCTCTTGATGACTACATTACGGAGTTGATTTTGGAGGAGGCGCGTATGAAGGATCCGGCGTACCAACGTGAGCATCAACGATTGGCGACTGCCGCCAACTCTGTGCATCGTGCGGCTCGTCCGCCGCCTACACGTACGAACAAACGATTCTTAGCCTCGATGATACGTAACGTCGACGCCCATAACCAACGACAGGCAACTGAAGAAGCACGGAGAGAGGCACGAAGGCCGTCGCGTCGGCCACGAAGTCGATGGGATATGGAACCAGACGACGTACGACGCTCCTTACATGAGGCTGACACCCATCGCTCTGCACGTCGGGCCTCGCGCTCTGTCTCCCCACCTCTACGAGAAAGACCGCCTATGAACGTACGGCAATGGGATCTTGGCAAAGAGACTGGATCTTAAGTGAGTCTATGGGGCTGCATCCATAAAGCAAGGAGGAGCACTAGGAGAACTGTAGCCCACATGATACCCTTGAAACGAAAGGACCGCTCGAGCTCCGGCACAGATAGATAGACGGTGTGGATGGCACCCGGCTGCGTATGGGCATGAGTAATGACCAGTGTCTGGTCCGCAGGCTCATAGTGCCATGTGCCGTCACTCACGCGAATCGTGGGCGTGCGGTGACGGAAGACGTAGTCAGGCACGTAAATCTCTGTGGTTCGGCTTTGTACAGACCCTTCCGCCTCATACTTGTTCCTCCAGCTGAATTGAAAGCGGCACGAATGGCGGTCCCAGGATGTACGCATAGGCAACCCTGCCACTTTACATGCATACGGTCGCACAATAGCATCCAACGCACGACCACCCGCATAGGCGGCTTCCGTCTGGTGCCTGTTGGCACGATCCTGGGCCTCTGCTTCTAAATTGATGATCGAAAAGTCCTCCATGTTCCACAAGTCACCTTGGGCCACTGTATTGGATGGATTGTAGTTCCATAACGTGAACGAAACCCAGTTCTTTTCCATTGCCGCAATCAGGGCATCAAGGAGGTGCGTCTGAGTGCGGTAGTTGCCTGGCATCGTGTGAAGCGACCCATTCACATCGAACGGAATCCCCACCTCACTCATGAGCGTCGGCACCGCACCCAGCGCTTCTTGGCCACGCCGAACAAGCGTGGAAATCTGGCGCAAATAACTAGCATTAGCATGATTGTGACGTACTTTTTTGCTAGACCACGCTGGCCGAAATACAGGGCAAACGGCAAAAACATGCCGCGGCTCAGACCTTGCACATTGACACTCATGCCCTTGTACGACTTGAAAAACAGCACGTTCAAGTCGTAAAAATGCGGCGCATACACGAATCGCTTCGGTCGTGGGAGTGGCATGCTGGTCTTGGGCGTATGGGCCACAGGCTTGGCATGGCCATCCCACCGTGGCATAAACTCATTCGGAATGGGCTCTACAAGGACCAAGAGCGAAGGCATAGCATGACGAAGGCTACCGTTAGCATACATCCCACATACCTAGCCTCCATCTTTTGGATGAACGGCGCGTAAAAGTCTCGGTACCATTCCACACGCCGTTCCTCCTGTCCTGCACGTGGATCCCAATCAAAGTAGTGGGCTTGGAGCACGACAGGCTTGTTTTTGTCTTCGTCCCAGTCCCAGACGCCATGTTCGCGCCAGATACATCCATCCGTCGTACGAGTGCTAGGGAACGCCGTATTCTCAGCGCGTGCCAGCCATGCTGTATGGCCTTTCGGGTCCACATACGACAGATGCGACATTCGCGAAGGTACAGGCCACGATTTGACATAAAAAGGGACGCGCTGAGGGTATCCCTGTGCCAGTGCTAGGCCCTGAATGGCCGAGGGATAGTGCCCTATGTGCAAGTCCGTCATAAAGTTCCACTGATGAAACGAGTGCAAGTTAATGTACCCACGATGCGGCTCATTCATTACCTGGGATCAGTCACCCAGGAACCTACCTCAAATCCAATGAGCGCTGCGCAGTCGGCCAAGGCCTGGACAAGTTGGGTATAGGCAGCGATATAAGCGTCCTGAAGAAAGTCCTGAATGCTCACGGCATCCTCCTTGCTCCGTGGACGGCCATACCCATCTCGCAATAAACGAAAATGAGGCGCAAAGACGGAGCCAGCCCAAAATAACGTATTCATCGTACAGGGGGCCATCTTTTGGTAGCCAGAGGGCCAATTAAATGGACCTGTAGGCTCTTTCTTACCCTTAGGAGGTGTACAGGCCATGGGTATGCCGCCTGCATCAGGCACAAGCGCAGCACCGACAGCGACAAGGTTTCGAGTATCCATACCAGCCGCGCGAAAAGTCTTACGTCAGTGTCGCCTCATAAACGTACCCAAGCCGGCGCACCGCTTCCTCCGCACAAACGACTCCATACATCCTGGTGTGCATTGATAATGCACTTGAGTCCATGCTGATGAAAGATATCTAGCAACTGGACTAGGTAGGCGACATAGTCCTGGTCAATGGGGTACTCAGGACACGGTCCCTGATGCGAGAGAGCTTCCCACGTTACGAGCAATCGAATCAAAGTCAAACCCCATTGCTTTAGTCGTTGACAGTGCACATGAGCCTGGTATGAGCTATTCACAACGTACCTCACTCAAGGGGAAGGGGCGGTCCACGAAAGAGACGTCCTCTGGATGTGAATACGTCGTAGGCACATCATGCGGCACACTCGGTCTGCGATGTCAGAATATTCAACACGCACAATTTGCTGGCTCCCGCTACATTGACACCACGCAATAGAAGTACGCGGCCCTCCTTGTCAATAAAATGGCGACCTTCCATGCCGATCGGCCCACCTAGGGCTGCATCGGACAAGTCTTGCGCTACCATGGTAAGAGTTAAAGACTGTGCACGATGCTACTTGTCTATCACTGAACATGCCTCCACATTACAAAGAATCAATTCGGCCTAATTTTAGCGAAGAAGACTCGAAGGATCGCTACCAGAGCGCTTCGTATAGAAAGGATGCAAGCTCGGACTAGAAGCTGTTGCCAGTGATGCGTACGGATGGGGAGTAGATGTCAGAGGGCTTTTGCGATGCATTGGTACATGGGCTGTCGGTATAGTGAGAGTGTCTTTAACCCCGTCTGCTTCCCAAGTGCTAACAGGGCGGCCCGTTGACTCTTCATATTTGCGTAAAGGGTATGTGTCTTCATGCGCCATGTACCTTGAGCCGGAAGATATAGTTCGTGGGTATGTTGAGTCTGTCGTGGCTTCATATGGCAATGAATGGGACGGGATCATAGGTACTTCTGACATTTGTTTGGGATGTGCTTGCGTTCGCAATTCTTTCAAGACCAAAAGAATTGCATTGGTAATACTGCGCACTTGATCGTCACTTTGTCGTAGCAGGCCTGCTACATCGATGCTAGGAACTGAAGCCGTTGCAAAGCCACTCCTTCTCGCATAAGTTGCCGACTCACGGCCCAGCTGGAATCGAAGCTCTTGATTCATGGAATCTGCCGCTTCGGCAGCATATTCAAGCTGCTGCAAAAGCTCGGCCGTGGGTGTTGCAGCTGAGGCGGCCCATCCATACCTTAGCTTTCGACATTGCTCTATGGCCATGCGAAGATTCAAGGTATGTGAGGGATAGGATGGCCTTTCCTCCAGTGAATAGCGCTGAGGGGTAGTGATTTGGGCCGAAAGAATATTTTGTTCTCGGCGTTTCTCTTCCGCATGTCTGGGCTGTTGATGTAGGCGTATATGACTCAAGTCGGACGCCAATGCATCTACACTCACACTTCGTGTGAAATTGGATGGAAGTGTCGAATACCTGCTCGAAGTATTCAAGGATGGCGCCATAGATCTCTGGTCCTGCATCGATAACAGCGGCTCTGCTGGGTCCTCTGGCACTTTGGCAAACACATGTTCTCGCCATGCCTTGGCTTTGACAGATGGCGACTCCCATGCACTGGCATCTGCATCCTCTACCAATTTTAAAGTGACAGGGGGCTTAGGGTTAATTTTCTCCATGTCTCTGTTGCTGGCGTCGTATCTTTCCGGGAAAGATCGTTTCAAGGGTCCTGTTCGTAAATGACCTTCCTCTAGTAATTCAGCGACTTCTGCTTCTCTTATGGCACTCCGTCTGACTAATGATGTGGTTCTTCGGCTTGGACCATCATCGTAACGGTAGAGAGAGGACGACGCCCTGCGTCTTTCATTCGCTCTCGCCATCGTATTTATCGTACACCAAGTACAAACGCGAACGTGGTTGTCGAGGTGTAAGCGTGTACCCTCTCTCGCATGGACCTCCACCACCCGTAGGTTACGTCCGTGCTCTCTTTCCTCCTGCCAAGCAAAACATCATGTTTGCTAGTGCGGGGGATTTGTTTACTTCCTTTATATCATGGACTGTGCCTACCTCTGTACAGCAAAGTGTTGTGAGGTTCTTTTTTCGAAAGACGTTGGCTAATTTTTTGGAAAATCCGAATCTCCTCGATGCTGACAAGTTTGATTTTCAGAATGGGAGCATTTCCATGTCAGAGTTGGTATTCAAGTCCACGGCTGTTCAATCCCTCCTTCCCGGATGGACACCAGATCTCTCTTATATGAAAGTTGCAAGCTTGTGTATCCAGTTGCCATGGCCTAATATGTTTAGTGGGCCAGTACAGGTTTGTGTCCAAAGCCCTAAAGTCGTCTTGATGGTGGGCCAGAGCGAGGATGAGCATGCACAACCAGCATCACCACATCTTGCAAGTACGAGAGATCCAAGTGATGACACAAGTGAGAATACTACTACGACAGAGAGGTCCAGTATGACATCATCGACGTTTGAAAGTTTGGTCACTTCTTTCGGCATGGCCTTCATGCAGCGTCTGCATATTACTTTACAGGATGTATGTGTCGAACTTCATCATGATTATGGATCCATCTACCTTTGCATTCCCGAGATCCAATTTGATGGGAAAACAGAGCTTGCATCATGCAATGGCTTGCTCATTGATGTGGCCCGTCTTCACAATTCAAGTGTAGATTCTGCATCACCACCCCTCTGCAACGATAAAGATATACCACTCTCTACTCATGACACAAAAACTAAGGAGGAGGACGAACAAGCATCTGAAGCGACCTTTTCCGAAGAAAACACCTCTACAAACCACCTACGATCTCGCTTACTTCATATTCCTGATCAAATTACGATCCAAGTCGTTCCTGTCACAGAGGAGCAAAAGGTTCCAATGTTGCAAATCCATATACCAAACACGCTTATTCAAGTCAAAGGAAAGGATGTTGCCTTTTTGCAGCTTTTCATGATGGACTTTTTTAAGCCAGACCAAAGCTCTGATTGGAACAACATTTCCTTAGGCACCAATGTTGCATTCCTCACCGAGTCTTCCCTTACGAGCCTGAAACTACGCATTATTTCCGAAGATACGTCCATGCACTCTGATGCCGATTCCTCGACACGCGTGGAACTCAAGGTGGAGAATGTTCATGCTCGTGCACTATACACAGGACAAGGCTTCGAAGAGATGTGCATTCAATTGCCCACTTTAGAGCTGTATGAAGTATTAGATGCATTAAGATACCATCCCATCATTCGAATCAATATGGAGCCAGATCCAATGTCGTCGTTGCCAGATTCACCCACATGGGTCCTTGGCCACATCCTTGTGTGTGAAGGTGGATGGGATACCATCTTCCCCTTGGGGGCTCGGAACGACTTTGCCATCTGCGCCCGCCAGAATACGGAGGGCTTCGATATTGAAATTGCACCTGCCCAGCTACTCGTGGATTGTACCATGTTTGCACGACTTCTTCCGTTCTGGCAAGCATTTTCTAGCGGTGCTTCATCTGCTTCTATACCCAGTGCCAATACTTCACTCATTCCATGGGAATTTTGTCATTTCCTCTTGAGCCTATTGCCTATTATTTCCATTACATGTTCCAAGGCACAGATGGCCATCCGTGTCCCCTATGTCTATGCTTCTGAAGAGCGTTCATCCACATATTTAGCGCGAGGAGGTATGTGGTTCCTTGATTGTGAGGACATCGCAACGATAAACAGCCGTGAAAGTCAAGGCAACAGTACCATTGAAACTTTTCATGTGGATGTGGGGCGCGTAAGCATTTCCCAGCTTGACCAAGGCTACTTTGCGCGGAGATTTTTGGATATCCAAAGTGACGATGGCAGTCAGCTTCACGCGTCCCTGGCACTTTCTCCCACTTCAAACCAAAGTTGTGTGGCCACAATCCACATGGATATAAATGAACTCGATATGGGTATGGATGAAGCCATGGTACAATCCCTGTATTATTTCACTGATGATATTTTCTTATATGCTTCGAACCTTCTTCAACTCTTTTTCACCCAGGATGCTGTTTCTGTCGCCACTTGTCTAAATGATGGACTTCCTCAGGCAACGGAGCATGTCTCAGAGGCAAAACAAAGCTTAGATACCCTTGTTTCTGGCGCTTCTTTATGTATTTCTGTCAAGTGTGGTATGTCGCGTGAATGCTCACGACAGTCCGATGTCATGTTCTGGCTGAAGAAGAAGAGGCGCTCCTAGGTGTTCGGGGCATTTCCTTTGTATCCAAAGCGGTATGTATTGACTGCGTCTTACTTTAGGGAACGTCTCAGTTCCGTACTACGATTACTTCCGTTGAAGCCAAAGATGTTCTTCGAGATGTGTATTGGATCAAGCATAGGGAAGATCAAACCCAACCTATGCTTACATGGGACATTGCACCGCCCTTCGATACATCCTCAGATGGGCTTGCGACACACATTTCTTTGTCCAACCTCACATGGACATGGTATGAGCATCACCCTTGGCCTATCTACTACAAGGCACTCAGGGCACCACAAGGAGTACGTTTCTCCATACACTAACAAAAGACATTCCAAAACCAGGCCTTTTGGTCGTATTTTCTGTTGGAAATCTCTGTTCATGATATGGCGTGGCATGGATCTCTACCTACCACATCTACGAGTCAGGTTTATGAGTTCCAACATCTAGCTTTACGATGGACATTAGGATCCGCGCAATCTTCCTCCTATTCAGGTTGCATTTATCAAATGTGGCTTTCTACAAAATCCTCTGACAAATACCTTCCTGTTTGGGAGATGAAGGATGCCCATTTTTCTGGCTCAGGGCTCACGAATCTGTCTGACTGTATGATAACGCAAGCCGATATTACCATTCACACCTATGAAGGATCACCGCACCCTCTTTCTGGCTTGGTGTCAACTATGTTTACAGGCTTGCATCTTCCATCTCTATGGCAATTGCCACAAACTTCCTCTGCACATTTGCCGATTCCACATGGAACTTCTACCGCGGCACTTTCTCCTGATCCTGCGGGGGAGCTTGACGACGAAGAGATTTATTCACAAAATGCAAGTCGCATTCTCTTGTCACAGGTCCATCTGCATCTCCATGTCTATGAAGACCAAGTTGCGTATGAGCAAAGAGCAAAGCGCTTTATTTCAGCTACTTTGAGAGGCATCTCCATGGAATACAATGCATTGCTTGATAACCACGAGTACTCACGCATTGTATTCAGAGCTAAGGACTTGGATATTGGCTCTTGTGACGATAATGCTGTGTCTATCCTGCATGCCTTGGCCCCCACTTCGGACACTTCTGTACCTATTGTGCAAGTGAGTTTGACTGTGCGTCCCAGTGCAAGTCCCAATGTCTTGGATGTACAAGGCAAGGCTCATATTGCCCCGATATACATTGACTTTTCTAGCTCTTCCTGGCAAAGTGTGTCCACCTATCTTATGAATATGTGCGAGACTACGTCATTGCACTTTGTCAACATGGCCATCAGCCCACTGCACCTGAAAGGTCCCATGTCCGTGCCCATGTCCGCGACACCGCAACATCGAGATCCACTGTCTAAGTATGATCAGATGGACGAAGTCCTTACCTTTTCTCCCATGACAATACGCAACATCACAGGCTGGCCATCGCTAGTGCGTGAAGTTGTGACACACTGGCAGAACGATCTGCCATCGAAGTCCTCATAGCAATATGTACACCAACCTTGTAATGTCTGCTTCCTTCGACTATGTACATGAATATCATCCACCGGTTTCGTGTAGCGACACTACTTGCGCCACACATATGCAAAGAATTATGATGTAGGGTATAATTTGTTGGCAAAGCATTTGTTGTTGGTTGGTTATATAGCAAGGAAACGTCGTATCTATGGTGCGCGAGGCAGCAACAAGTGGTATATCGTACAGAGCTTGGTACTTTCTCAAAGCTTTTAAGCTGCTGGTACTAGCTAGACACAGCTTTGTTAATGTCCTTTTCCAGCTTGGAGAGAGCCTTTTCGAACTCTGATGAGTACGAGTCACCATTGTTGTTGGAGAACACTTTCTTGGCCGTGTATGCATCCACGGAGTCTGCAATGTACTGCTGCTTGAATCCCACACGCGAAAGGACCAGGGATTCAGCGAACGACTTGGCCGACGTAAAGCCGTCAGCATAACCAAGGTTGGAGGCCAATGTCGACTCCGAAGCACGCCTCTCGATAGCCTCCTTGGCCGCCTCAGGACCACCACCCAGGATCTTTGCAGCACGGCGTGATTTGTGCGAGCTCGATGTGGAGTGATGATGCTTCGAAGACGAGTGGTGGTGCTTGGAGGACGAGGACGAGTGGTGGTGCTTGGAGGATGAGGACGAGTGGTGGTGCTTGGAGGACGACGAAGAATTGTCCTTGATATGAGCTTGACGACCCGACGACGACGACGAGGCACTCGATGACGCATTCGACGAAGCACTTGACGAGGAGCACGACAGGCGACTGTTGGATGGCAAACTAGTCTTCGCAGAAACATACTTCGACGGCAGAGTGGTCGAGGCAACATCCTTTATCGTGCTCGAAATGGTCTTGTTCGTCCAGCTCGAGGTAAGCCACACGTTGTAGGTCTTGTCCAGGTACTGCGGCAGCGCGGCCTGGAAGCACCAACCAGCATTCTGCTTGCAGTTTTCCATCTTCCAGCTCCAGAACATCATACCGGCTGCCGAGTCCTGGTACGTCTCTTGCTGGGCTTGGCAGAACTGCGCTGTGGCTTTCTCACCATCGCTCACGCCCTTCAGCGAGCTCGGGTTCAAGGCGCAGGACCATTCACCGACGACATAGTTGCCACGAGCCGTGTTGGCAAGTTTGTTCATAGTGTCGCTGACCTGGCCCTTGATTTGCGAAGTGTGCTTGGAGGCCGACATATCCTGGTCCTGGGGAGTGAATACAAAGTATGAGTGCGTGTCTTGCACGACAAAGTCCGAGCGCTTGCTAGCAAACTCGGCACCCTGCTGAGGACTAAAGCCGTCATGGTAATACAGAGGGAAGTCCTCTGCGTATGGCGACACCTTACGCAGGTCATCCATGGCACGCGAGTAGAACTTCCACAGTTCATCTTTGTTCTGCGGCTCGTTGAGGAGCTCGAGACCAATGACGTTGGTTACCTTCGCCAGATCACGCACCAAGTACTCCAGCGCCTTGATGGTCTTGTCCTCGTTCTCCTTGTTGAAGAACTCGACCTTACCGGTAGAAATACCCGAGTGGTCCTGACCATTCTGTGAGCCGTACGCACCATGCATATCGACCAGCACACCCAAATCGTACTTGTCAGCGTACATAATCGCACGCTTCAGGTACTTGTACGAGTTTGCGTACACGCTAGCATAGTTTTCAAAGTCGGTACCCTTCGTGAAGTTCTTGCCGGGCAAGTTCCAGTAGCCAATAGGGATACGGACCGTGTTAATACCCACATCAGCCATCTGCTTAAAATCGTCCTCGGTAATCCAGGTGTCCCAGTGCTCCTCCAGGCGCGCCCGCGCGCTCTGGAGACCTTCATTGGACGTACCGTAACCTGCGACGATGTTGTGCTCCGCCTTCTTGCTGCCTGACGCACAGTCAAACAACGACGGCGCCATCCAAGCCTCGTTCACGAACCACGAGCCAGCATTGACACCCATCTGCTTACGGTAACGCATCATGTTAGCGCGGGTGCGGTTAAAGCTTGGGAATTCGACATGAAGGGAGTCCTTGGGCGTGTAGTCATCGAGAACAGTGCAGCCGTGTTTGCCTACTGTTTTGCCAGAGGAGCCCTGGTGGCTCGCTGCGTTGCGGCCACCGCTTGTGCTGCTATTCTTCGGGAGCGTCAGCACGGAGGGCAGACCCCATTGCTCCTCGGGATGGGAGCTCGACCACGAGCCAGGGTTTTGGACACTGGAAACACGGCCACCGCTCGAGGACACGTCCACCGAGTTGGTCGTTGGGACCGGCTCAGGCTTGTAGTTGGCTGCAGCCAGTCCCAGCGAACTCGCGACTTTAGCGAAATCAAACTTCATCGTTGCAATGAAAATGGGTAGTGCAAACGCGTGTTAGGAAAGTGAAACAAAGAAATGAAAAGAAACAAAGAGGAATAAAACCGTCCAGCGGTGATGTATCAGGAAAATGAAACAGGGCCGTAACGCGCAGCGTATACGGGGATCTTTCGAATAAAAAAACAACTAGACGCCAGGCCTAGTGCTTGTGCCAACAAAGAAACCGGGGAGGGGAGGGAGGTAAACGCGAGCGCGCAGCGCTATCGCACGAAGAAAGGGGGAGAGGATGGGATGAAGCAGAGCCGGGTTCAGTCTCGGTGCTACTATATACGCTGTTCTTCGTGTTCTACACCTGCAGGTCCCCCCGCCCTACGCATAATGAACATCTATAGTGGAGGCTTCTCAACGTCGCCGATGCATGTGTGCCAAAAAAGCGCAGCCACGCCAATCAAGTGCACATACCTCCACACGCGGACGTGAGTGAAACAGGCGGCCTAAGCGTGGGCGTAGAATCTCGATGAAGCAACAGGACATCGGCTCATTTACGTTCGATGCCAAGGGAGAAACAATTGGCGGTGCATCACGACCATAATTTTGACAATATGAGCGGCACGGCCGAGGTTGTCGAGACCATTGGCTACGCTGCCAGGGCCTGGCGGCGGATGTAGGAGTGTCGAGCCAAAGACTAGGCCGATATTGTGAGCGGCCATGAGATTGGCTTTGGACGCATTGGCGACCATCGCGAGATGATGCGCCATGCGCTGCAGTGCTAGGTAGTGGCACCGTGGGAACAAGTGAACCAGTTTGCGAATTGCTTTCACGCGCTGCTCCTGCAAGGCAATCCGCTCCGTCTCCATAAGCCTCTCGTAGAACGCATAGGGCACGATCGGTTCAGGCAGTTCACGTAGCCATAGTTTCACGACACTGGCCAGCACATGCACGTCGATACGGCTGAGCATGAGCTGCTGAGGTGGCTTCGTTTCCAACATATGCTGCAACTGCTCGACAGCATGCCGCGTACCACTAATGCGGTAAATGCCCTGCTCGAGCAAGCCACGCGCCTCAATTTCCTGCAGGACGCGCTCAATCGTCGGGGGCAGCACGGCGCCCTGTGTGCGCAGACTCAGTTCCCGCAGCGGCACACCAAACACACTCGCAGCACTTGCCCGGCCCAAGTAATCGGCCACGTCTGCTGCATACGTCCCTGCATCGAACGAGTCGGCCATACGCACATGGGGCAGGGTTTGCAGTTGCGTGAGCCAGTGGCCAAACTCGTCGTAGTTCGGGAACTTTAACGTGCATTTGTCGCCTTGAGGTGTTGCCATGTGAAGCACAAACGGGTGCTTTTGGTACGGCCATACGGTGATTAGAGCGCCTGCACAGCATACCACGGTGCTGGGGCGCGACGTAGGCACAGCTTGCAGCAACGAATCACTTTCGTGGGCGGACGCTGCAGACGCACACGTCATAGAGGTGGCGCTCGTGTGGATGGTACTCTGCGCCTCTGCATCGATCGTCACGTCCGCCTCGTTCTCAAGGGCGGTGGCGAGGGCCTGCGTATCCAATCGCGGGGCCTCCGCGGTAGGCGTCTCCGTGCCATGTCTGTGCGCTTCCTCCAGTTCGACCCGCTTGCGCTCCTGGGCAAGAATCACGCCGGCAAAAAACACAAGAGGCCCAGTCGCAGGAATGCCTTGGAACGTGGCTTCCAAGGCAGCATCTTCGAGCATCAGCGCATGCGGCCAAGAGGCATTGTTCGTCCATGAGCGCAGCCAATCCAACCGCACGCGGGCCACATTAATAGCATGTTCGGTAGGTGCCCCTGTATGGAACGCCAATGCATCTGCGACCAAGTCTGACGCTGACATGTACCGACTGAACTCCAGGAGCACAGGCGTCTGGGCTCGTGCCTTGGGGCGAATGCCCCAGTGTGCCAACACGGAGAGAATCCACCCTGGATCGGGTGTGCAGTGTGGCAGACCGTCCGGGAGCGTCGTGGGGGTGCTGCCCAGCAAATCCGCCCAGGCGGCCACGTTGCGTGTCGTGGTCACATGCTCCCATGCCGCACGGAAGGTCTGTGCGCGGGACGTCGTCAAGCCCTCTAGCACAGCGCATTCAAGGAATGTCGGTGGGAGAGGCGCTCGTGTGCCTGGATTATCGGGCGTCGCCAAGCGCATGGCTCGGGCCATCGAGGCGCGACTGAGGAGCACAGCATCGATCAAACGGTTGATCCGCTCCACACGACGCTCCATGCCTATGCGCGGCTCTGTGACCTGCGCCTCGGTCCAATCGCGTACAATCTCATGGACACGGCACAGTTCCCGTAGCGAGGGCGGCAGTGTGTCCCACAACGCACTGCCTTCAGGCACATGCCCGTACTGCTGGCTCGGCGGGAGGCACCGTAGTAAGCGGTACATACTCATGCACTGCGATGGATCCGCTGTGGCGGCGCTCAGCCACGCCGAGCGCGTGTCGTGCATCTGCTCCAAGGTCCAGGCGGCCTGTGCAAGGTCGTGCGCGTGCAGCATCGCATACGGCGGCGCCAACATCGACTCGAGGTACACTACCAGTTCCTGCGCTGGGCGTTCCCAATCGAACGCTCGTGGCACATCGATGGTCGGAACCAATGAGGGGAGCACAGCACAGTCCATGCCCATGCTTGTGATGGAGCGTGTAGGCAAAGTAGGCAGCATCGCCAACAAGCCTTGTACGGCCTCACTGAGCGGCATAGTATCGGATGCAATCGCATCGCACTGCTCTGCGGCGCTCTTGAGGAACGTATGGAGCGCCTCATAAAGCACCAAATCTGAGATCCACTCACGTGGGTACAGCTCGAGCCAGCGACGGATCGAGTCGAGCACACGCCAGCGTATCGCATGCAGCCGAGCCTCTTCAATGGGCTCCCGTTGAAAGGACGCTCCTTGCAATGGCGCCCACGATGGAAACTGGTTCGGGACATTCATTCGTGTATGCCATGCCATCTCACGGGCGGCACTTTCCGCCATTGTCCAACGATGAATGAGAGCATCGAGCAATGCCTTGGCCGTGATCCAGCCGCGATACGAAAGGAGAAGGGTATCGCGGTACGCAGTCCATTTCAAGTCGACATGCAGCAGGTCGTACGTCGGTGGATCGGTCCGTGGCTCCGCCTGGGCGCGAACGACTAGGTGCTCTGTGCTAAGCACCAAAATGTCCAGCAGTCGCGGAACCGTCGCGGCGCGGATTTCCACTGGGAACCGACGTTCCGGGGCGTACGTATGCACCTGCGGCGGACCGGTCCATGGCGAGGCTGTGGCGCTGGAAGATCCCCTCGACGAATCGTCCAGCCCAGCAATCCGCGCATGCATGGGGTAGAGGACCAAGTCGTCGCTCATACGTACTTCCTCTGCCTGCGACACGAAGCGCGCCGCACAACGTGCGAGTGACGCGTAGGCCCGTCCCGGCGTGTCATCCAAAAGGAACGCACGCCGCGATACAATGGCATCGGCCGATTGATGCCCAGGGGTCAGCGTAGGAAACGCAGCAGGGAACGAGAAGAGGACGGCCCCATCCGCCACAGCGCGAGTTGGCCACGCTGCAGGCTCGTCCACATGCACACGCTCTACAACGCGTCCATCCACAACCACTGCGTTGCCCATGTAATCCGTGACGCTAGTCTGCAGTATAAATTCATACGTCGAGAGTCGCTGAAAGAGCGCTTGGTATTCGGCAATCGGCGCAGGACTCATGGGCATCGGTGGATCGCGCTCGTACGACGAGAGAAGTTGCTGGGCCAGCGCTCGTACACGATGAAACTCGCTTTCTTGGGCGGCCAGAGGAATACGGATGCGGGCCGTCGGCGTGACGGCAGACACGAATTCGTTGGCGGTGACAATGGCCGCAGGCGACAGTAAACCTGCATTGCCAAGGTACGGAATGGCCCCGGGTACTTCGCTGAGAATCCCTGCGCGGTTGTTCGCCTCGTCCCAAGCCCAGATGGGATCAATGGAGGTATGTACGCCTTCCAGCCACCCGTGCGATGCGAGTCGGGGTGCCCATTGCTCTGTAACCAATGTTTGTAGCGGCATCGGCACATCACGCCACAATCCATCCAAGGCGGCGACAGCGCGTGAACATAGTGCCGCACACACAGCCACCCAGCCTGCCATATCGCTGTACCGCTGCAAGTACGACGCCACTTGGATCCACTGTGTAAGTACATGTGCCCGCGATACCGATGCTGCCTCCCCTTGTCGCTCCGGCGCCGCGTCGACGAGCAGTTGCCGAAGAATCACATGCGTTAGCCAGTGGGGCTTCGACGCATCAAAGCGGAAAGACCGAAGCCATGGTTCAGTGACACTACTTCCAAGGCGATACGCTGTAATGGGAACGCGCAGAAAAGCCCGCAAACGATCCGCATGAAAACTCTGAATTTGGCGCGCAATTTCACTGGCATCTTGCTTGACCAGCAGCGCTGCACTCCAGCATGTACGTAGCGGCGCCAAGTCAGTACGTACGCCGCGATTCCGTGGCGAGCCGTTGAGCCAGTTTGTTGCATGACTGGCGGTCTCATCCGTGCTGTGCTCTTTCCATGCTGTGACCTGGGCATGCAGCGGCGCATACGCGGCTGACTTGTTATCCGTGACGTCGGAAAACAGGGCCGTGAGTTCCGTAAAGAACAACGTTATATGCTCCGTTTGTAGCAACGGACGCTTCCACAAGAGCAAGTCGACAAACAGCATGACGCGCTGCACACTAGCTGGATCCGAATTGCTAATCCTCACATAGTCACGTAGTGCTCGCACAAACCAGTGCCATGGTACTTGAGTCGTGCTCAGAGCATAAAAGACCAAGTGCACAAAGCTCTTTGTATCCAAGTCATCCCCTTGCCATGTTGTAGAGCTGAGCCTCTGCGTTGCAAATACCAACTCATGTGCCAACGCTGCGACTGTGCCTGACTCAATGCGGGCCGCCCAATGCCGTGACATCAAATTGGGCTGCGATAACTGCAGGTCAGGATGCTTCGTAGTGTTGGTCCAGGACGAGGTAATGGCTTCGTAGCCCAGCTCTTCAGGTGCTAACGACGACGACGAGTCTGGGATCGGCACCGGCTCGATAACGACGGCTTCCTCACTCAGGCCTTCTGTGTCGGGCCCTGTCCATTCATCAGCGGTAAGCATGGCCATGGGCCACTGCATCGAGCGTACTTGGAAGGTATGGCGTACTTCCGTCACCATGGCCGAAGGGACCTTGTAGAAATACAACGTATCACCACGCAATACGGCCTTGAATGGACGCCATCCACGTCCTGGCTCTGTACGGGTCCGCGATGTGACTGTATCGGACCACCATGCGAGGCTCATAGGCCCTGTGCTCCGCTTCACAAATCCACAAATAAGAGTCTGCGTGTCAGAGGCATCCAGTGACTCTTTTTCATGGGTCGATGCAGCTCGCGTACCCAAGGTATGTCGCGCGCGATGATTACGCCAACGCGAAGCAAGGCTCGTACTCGACGTCTCAGTCGGCGTATGACTCCGTGCCATACCGCCACGAAAGGAATCGCTAATGCTCCTACTTGATACGCGGCTGAGCGCATCGGGCAGGACAGGATGAGGCGCAGGCCCTGAGGAAGTGGGCGAGGTAGGCATGCTCCGTAAACGAATACTAGATGTACGCGCACGTAGCGTACGAACAAAGAGCGTCGAGACGGATGGAACGAAGTGGTGCTCCAAGGGAGTCGGGGTGCTTACACGCTGGACAGGGAGTTCGCTGTGTGGTAGCGATCCAGGCATAGATCGTCCCTAGAGCAAGGGCGATAGCACACGTTGGGGCTTCCTTGCGGGCCCTGCAACCGGGCTAATTATACATATCAAGCAGATGAGAGGTCGATGTAAGTACATCCTAGTCTATCATAGCAGAATCATGCGATCGCCGAATGCGTAAAGCGTGTGTCGTAAGCTCATCGTGTGCGAAATGGTCCGTGACCTTGCTCCGCTTGGACTGGTCGTGCGAAATGAAGCCCACGTGGCTCCTGATAGGTGCAGGGCAGAACGAGCTAGCACGGTTGTGGCATGGCGCGCTGCAGGACCTGCGCACCGTCGGAACAAAGATACATAGCCTAATCCATCTTATTCTACTCGTTTACGCCCAGACAAGATGGGTCACATTTACCGGCATGCGCCAAAGAAAACGTAGTTCTACCGCCTATGACAGAAGACGCGTGCGCAAAAAAAAGTCCGGTCAGAAGAAGAGGCCACCGCAGGCTACTACGATAGATGGAAAGTGCCATACGCCTAGCCTTGTATCGGGGGGATATCGTATTTAGTGAGCATCGCCGTGGTGGTCCCAAGGGTGACGCCATCCCTGTAAAGACACAAAAAAAGCACAACAGCCACGTTATCGCAAGGTCGAAAGTGTAAGCATGATGTGATACCTTGACAAAAAGTACGTACCAGCAAAACTGGGCCATCTTCCTTGGCACGAACAAGAATCCAGAACCACATCGCACCACCGAGAAGCGTCGCAGCAGCGCGATGGCGGAAAGCGGGCCGATGAGGGTGGAACCCATGCATAGGACGGAACCAACCGTTGCCAGCCATATCTATCCATGTTAGCCATAGCTCATACGTGTTCACGTACTGTTTGTCGATTGGTCTTGAAACAAGTACAACAAGCGCTTCGAACGAGGTGGACGACGGGCCGACGAGGCTCCACGCCGACCACGTGGTACAATCTCGGCCGAAGACGCGTCTTCACGCTGACGGCCCCGTCGGCGGGTTGTCGACGTGAACGCGGTCGCTCGCTCTACGCGTAGTCGTGACCCTGACGGGATGAGCCTCAATTTGAACGGGTTTCCCAATAAGGAGCTCCTGTCCGACCATGCCGTATTTGAAAGACTGGAGAATCTTGTAGAGCCACTTGTTGCTTCGCTGGAGAGTCGCTCGCTTGTGCCACCTTCTACGTCATCACCACTGACGGCGCAGCAACTCGCCCACTTTGTGTACCAACTGGACACGTTTCAAGAACGCACGCTGGGTTTTGGCGCTAAACGGCCTGCGAATCCTGAAGCAGCGGACGTTCATGCACGCCACCCACCGCGGTTGCCTGCGCATACACTGCAAACGTACAAGTCGTATACCGACTTCTCGCCTCTCACGACAGACGCGCCATTGTATGCCGTGCTTGTATCATGTTTCACGTTCTTGGCAGAGCGCAAGCAAACGTCATGGGACTTCGAAGACGAGTCTAACCGCACGCTCTACATTGAAATGATTGCGCGTGTGCGTATGGATCTACGTACCAAAGGTGTCTTGCCCACCTTCCGTATTGCTGCCGCGGCGGATGTGACGCAGGCTGAAAAGGCGCACCTGCAGTCCCTGGCGACGCAGATGGAGTGTGAGTGGACAGACGATACAGAGAAGGCTACGCATGTGCTTTATCCATCACCTGCTGATGCTGCCGGCGAGCCTGTGGATGGTGCCAAACCACCGGAGTCTGAGTATTTCCGCACGTTGGCACACCACAACAAGAAGGTGCTGATCCATGTTTGGTACCGCCCTGATTCGTACGATACATGGCTGCCAGATCGCGACTTTTCTGAGCAGGAACTGGAGCCAGAGCCTGCGCCACGGACGACAGCCTGGCATATCGGCACACGCTGGCTGCGTGATACCAGCTTGTACAATGAGCTGATGAACGAAGAGGACTATGAGCTGGAAGACGAATCGGACGACGCGAATGCCGGTCCTGCGGCAGCCACGGAAGCCGAGGCACGTCGGACGAAGAAGCACAATTTGCCCGAGTCCATTAGCGACGATTCAGCCTCGAAGCGAATCAAGCTGCTGGTCGGCAGTAAGCCGGTGGGTGCCCAGAGCATTGATTTGTCTGGCACCCAGCCGATCCCCGGTAAGAAGTACGAAAGCGAGCCTATTGCTGGCGGGACCATGGGCAACTTGCCTAGCATCGATGCGGGTCAGGCAGCTACAGACGGCACCGATCTGCCTGTGCGTGCTGCCACCGCGGCTGACACATCGGTCTCGGAGGCGGCTGAACAAGAAGATGCTATGCAGACGGCGCGCAAATACCTCGCTGAGCAGACGCAAGAGGTGATCATTCCCTCGTACTCAACATGGTTCGATATGTCGACCATCAATGCGATTGAGAAGCGCTCCCTTCCTGAATTCTTCAACAACAAGAACCGCAGTAAGACCCCGACTGTGTACAAAGAATACCGCGACTTTATGATCAATACCTACCGTCTGAATCCCAGTGAATACTTGACCTTCACAGCCTGCCGCCGAAACTTGGCGGGTGATGTGTGTGCGATTATGCGTGTGCACGCCTTCTTGGAGCAATGGGGTCTGATCAACTACCAGATCGACCCGGAAACGCGGCCGGCCGCGTTGGGCCCGCCGTTCACGGGCCATTTCCGTGTGATGATCGATACGCCGCGGGGCATTGCGCCCCTGCACCCTGGCACGCGGCCGGATGGACCGACGCCCAAGGCAGAGACCTCTACTACCAGCACGGTCCCCAGCGATGGCGTCTCGTTGGAAATGCGGCGGTCTATCTTCCAGTCCACCCTTAAAGGCTCGCGACCTGTGGACCACGCACAAGCGGAATCCCTGGCAGCGGAAGCGGCCAAGGAGCTGGATGCCAAGCCCAAAGCCGAGTCTTCGTATGCCTGTGATACGTGTGGCGTAGACTGCTCATCGTCACGCTACCAGAGCATCCGTGTGAAAGACTTTGCACTGTGCCCGCCGTGTTACTTGGAAGGCCGCTTTCCTTCGTCGATGTACTCGGGCGACTTTGTGCGCCTCGACGAGTCGGCGTTTAAGCATGCAGGACAGGCGGGCGGTGCTGGCCAGAAAGACGACTGGACCGATGAGGAGACGCTAAAGCTCTTGGAGGGGCTGGAGATGTACGAAGAGGACTGGGGCCTCATTTCACTGCATGTCGGTACGCGCTCGCGTGAACAGTGCATTACCAAGTTTATTCAGCTCCCGATTCAAGATGCCTACCTGGACGGCACAGCACAGAAGGATCTTGGGGCGCTGCAGTACGCGCCGCGGGATCCTGTGAGTGGCAAGGCTGTGCCCCTTGTGCCCTTTGCACAGGCGGAAAATCCGGTCATGAGCATCGTGGCTCTGCTGGCCAGTGCGGTCAGCCCTGCTGTGGCGTCGGCTGCAGCGCAGAGCGCGCTGGGCACGCTGACGGACAGCATCAAGTCGAAGATCAAGGCCGCTGCGGCCTCCTCGGAGGCCGACGCCGAGCCATCGTCTACCGCTGACCAGCCGACCACGGCGATGGAGGTGGAGGCGCCTGTGAAGACGGATGCCACCGACGAGGCTGCATCGGCGCCGACCGCCCAGGCGGAGGACAGTGTGCCGCGCACGGAGGTGGAAAAGGCCGCATCCATCGCGCTAGGCTCCGCTGCGGCCAAGGCGTACGTGCTCGCGAGCCATGAAGAGCGTGAATGCCAGCGCCTGGTACAGCATGTTATTGAGCTGCAGCTGAAGAAGATGCAGCTGAAGATGTCGCAATTTGAGGAGCTTGAGTCGTTGCTGGAAGCCGAGCGCCGTTCCATCGAGGCGGGACGGAAGCAGCTGTACGCGGATCGTCTGGCTGTCCAACGGCAACTGGCGGCTGTGAACGAGCTTCTTCGGAAGGCAAGTACAGCGCCTCAGACAGTACGACAGGACGATCTTGTGCATGCCAGCAGCGCCGTGAATGGTGTCCCGCAGCAAGGTCCGGTCGTTCGTGAGGCACAGGCTGAGCCGCCCAAGGATAGCGCTGTAGCTCGTGTAGACTAACTGGTGTGTAGCGCCGTTAACCAGGCGAGATCATGGGCGATTTTGAGTGGAGGTGTGCCAGCGCGCCCGTGACGTGGCGCCCCACCTTGCCACGATGTACCTGAGCAAAGCTACCGACGCAGACTGGGCCTACCCATCTACGGAGCCTACAGCCAGTGGTTTCTTGGATGTGACGGATGGCCACTCGATCCATTGGCAGGAGTACGGTCATCTAGAGGGCGAGCCGGTGCTCTGCCTGCATGGTGGCCCAGGCGGTGGCCTAGACACCGAGGTGTGCCGCTTCTTCGATCCTCAGCGATTCCGTGTGCTGACATTTGATCAGCGTGGGTGTGGCAAGAGCACGCCTTCGGCGTCGGACGATGATGCGAAGGCAGCGCTGACGAACAACACGACGTCGTGCCTCATTGAGGATATTGAGAAGCTACGTGCGCACCGTGGCATTACCGGGAAGATGCATGTGTTCGGTGGCAGCTGGGGCAGCACGCTTTCGCTGGTCTACGCCATTGCGCACCCTGAAAATGTTCTCTCGCTTCTTTTGCGTGGTATTTTCCTGTGCCGGCGCAAAGACCTCGACTTTTTCTACCAGGGCAACGCAGCGACCTACGCCCAAGATCCTCTGGATACTTCCATTCCTGGCAGCTACATGTTTTTCCCGGACGAATGGGCGCAGTACGTGCAAGTGATTCCCGAAGATGAGCGACATGATATGATCGCTGCGTACGACCGCCTCTTTTCGCGTACGCCTGCGAACGAGGCCGAATTGCAACAGCAGATTGAGGCGGCGCGCGCGTGGTCGACTTGGGAGGGACTTACCAGCAACGTCTCGATCGATACGTCCAAAGCCAACCCGTACGCGGACACGCGCTTTGCGAAGGCGTTCGCACGTATTGAGAACCACTACTTTATCAACGGTGCTTTCCTGGGCGGCGCTGGCCAGGCTAACCGTTCTCAAAACTTCATCTTGGAGCAGGCACACCGCCTCGCCTCGATTCCTACGTACATTGTCCATGGCCGCTACGATATGGTATGCCCTCTCTTCCAGGCTGAAGAGCTGGTGGCTGCGCTGCACCAGGCCGGCAACCAGGATGTCCACCTTGTGCGTACGCCGGCCGGCCACAGTATGACGGAGCGCGAAAACTGCTTGGCATTGACGGATATCATTGCAAAGCTACCTGTCCCTTAGTAATACATATATCTCATAACTAGTGCAGTTTGTTCTTCGATGGCGATGCACGGCCACCATGCGCCGAACTGGGCGACGCATCCGCTTCGCGATCGTACGGCACCGCTGCAGGGATGGACGTCGAAGACTCGTTCCATACAGGATACTCACGCGATGCCATTCTTCGCGCTTGCATTTGCTCACGACGCTGTTCATGCTTGCGATTCGCCACTGTGTTGCTGAACATGGGGAGCAGGTACCGCTCATCAATGCGCTGGAACCATTGTCCATCACGGAAAATCACATTCGCTTGATCCAGCACATCACGAGCGACGCGAGGCATCTCAGGAGGCGCATCCATGTCCAGTGTATCATCCAAATCGTCAGTAGATACGCTGCGCAAGCCACCGGGCCCTGCCACAATCGCCTGCGGCAAAGCACTGCTGGAGCCATTCCACGCGGGCAGCACTTCATGCTCGTCGGGCAAAGCGGCCGAACGAGATGGATCAGACGACCACTGCTGATCGCGGTACCGTGCTGGTGGTCGCGTAGGCACACGGATCCAGGGCTGTGTTTCCACATCGCCCTCTTCGTCCGCCGACGAGTCCGCTTCATCGTCGTCCACACCCGTGTCAATCTGCAAGACCTGCAGCATTTGGGCTGTCGTACCACCAAACACAATCACACTTACGACCACGGCCACAAGCACAGCCGTTTGCAGCGCATAGGCATTCTCGCCTTGGATGCCTGCGCTGAGCGCAAAGCCGACAGCGCCACGCAAGCCGGCCCAGAAAAGCATCAGCTGGTAGTGCCGAGGGAGATTGTACGGCGTATCGGGCAGCCCTGGCGCGCGCAATTGCCGCCGACGAGAGCGCCACTCCCCCAATTGATTCAGTGCCCATGCAATGGGGAACACGGCACAGTAGCGTGACAGTACGACGGCCCCTAGTGTGAACAGAATCAGCATTGGCCGGAAAACGAGGTGGTCCCCTGTGAACAAACTGAGACCGAGGTAGATAAAGATAAAGTTTTCCGAGAGCTGCATGTAAGTAAAGTCTCACGTACACTTGACAACGTTTGGAAGCTGTACTTGGTCGTCCGCTGTGTACGAACCGACATGTTGTGGAATGCATAGTGCTTGAGCGTAATCCCGCAAAAGAGGAGTGAAACAATGCCGCTCATTTCCACGGTATTGCTAAAGAAGTAGCTGACATAGGCCACAATCATCACAATGCAACTTTCCAGTTCCGGGTACATGCCTAGCCGCGTATGTTTCAGCAGTAGCGAGCACAGAAGACCAAACAGCACACCCAGCACCATACTCACAGAGAACACCACCGCAAAGAAACCAGCTCCATAAAACAACGTCGTGAACGAAAGATGCGAGCCACGAAGCTCATTGAGCGTCTCGAACATGACGATCGACACGGCATCGTTTAGAATACTCTCTCCAAAAATAATACTGTACAGCTGCGGGTCGACCTTGTACGTCTTAAAGATGGCCAAGATGGTCACAGGGTCGGTAGCACTGAGTGTGCTGCCAAAAATAAGGCACTCCAAGAGCGATAAGTGGGGTCGTTCCAGGCGCAACACCGACGCAAGCCAAACGACCAAGCTAGAGTGAGCTGGTCATATGTACATACCCGATCACGACGGCACTTACAAACGTGCCGAAGAACGCGAATGTGAGAATGGTGCCAAAGTTCCGGAAAAATTTGGCCTGACTCATTTCGTAGCCACTAGCCAAAATAATCGGCGGCAGAAGCACGTTGAGCATAATAGTATCGCTAAATGTCAGCATTTCACGCACAGGCTTCAACGCGTCCAGACGCAAGATGAGGCCAATAAACATGCCGGCAAACATGCCGACGATAGTCTCATGCACAGCTGTGATCCGCTTGACTTTGAGATAGTAGCTCGTAAGAAAACTGCCCATCAGCAGGAACAGCACCAAAAAGAGAGCGAGCGATGAGAATCGCTCATTCTGCTCTGCATCTGGCTGCTGCGACGCCATGGTAGATGGCACCTAGGAGTGACGCACGATGTGCGCCCGAGCCACGTAAGCGTAGCACCTCCACTACCGCCATGGCCCCTGCTTCCGTAGGCGGCGACGCGGCGCGTCGGCAGGCGACCTTGGACGCGCTGGAGCGTGCATGCGCTGTGCGCCGGTCCATACTGTCTTGGTAGGTAAAGTGTGCCTAACTGAAGTATTGAGAGCTCATTAGGCGTTTTGCAAGAGCTGGGCCCCGCCCAAAACGATGACAGCGTACGTGCTCTGCTTCGTGAACGCGATGCCCTGGCCCTCCAGTTATTGCGCGTACAGCGTGCCCTTGATCAAGTTCGAGAGGAAAGTGCAGCGTACCTATCAGATATCTATGGTACGTATATGCCTTCTGACAAAAGTAGACACACGGCAACGGATTGTGACCTTGCTAGACACGAAACGTGCAGAGGCACCGATACGAGAGCCTATACCTGCCAAGCTCCAACTACTACGTGGTGTGGTTACCGTATGTACCTATGGATGTACTTACTTCAGAACATGGCACGCGAGTATCCTATACCCTGGTGGGACGACCCCACGCTAGCCGACTGTGTCTTGGCCATGGACGACGCGTTCGAGAGTGGAGGGACAGACACCACATAGCTGTACGTAATCAAACGCGTTTTCCCAACCCTCCTCAGTCTACGCACGATGCTGGATCAGTTTGTGGTGCTGTCCAAGAGTAGGTAGAGGTGTACACTGACGCTGGCAGCGGGAGCCGTGTTGTGGTCGAAGACATTCACGCCTTCTCTTTCCAACAATGACCTATTGAATCGCGTGATTCGCACGTCGTTCTTGGAAGAACGTACAGCGACGGAGCGCATGGACGTAGATGGGTATACCATCCGATGGCTGTTTTCCAATGAGCTGGATCTGGTTTTCATTGTATGTCTACATCCTACTTACCGAAGGCCATCCATCAGCGCATTCTCCAGCTCACGTATATTAGCACCTTGCTGGACACGGTCTGTGATATCTTCACCAAGAAATATGCATCGCTGGTTCGCACGCTACCTACGTTTTCCACGTCCCCAGATACACTGCAATCGTACGCCAATGATGTGCAGCTGTGGGAAAAGGAATTTGTACAGCTCCTACGCAAACTTGAGCAAAGTCCCAAGTCCAAGAAAGGCACATCGACGCCTACTGCGTCGCCGGCGGCGCCCAAGATTGAGGAAGCGACAATGACGTCGCCTGTAAGCACCCCAGAGCCACTGAAGAATGCCAAGGCCGCTGCTGTGGGCCCGCATGGGCGTCGTGTGGCCTCTGGCAAAGCGAAGAAGGGCAAGGCGGCGCCACGTACAGAGGCGACACCCGAGCCGGAGGGCAAGAAGCCTACGCCTGGCAAAGAGCGGCGCAAGTGGGGCGATAACAATGAGCCATTGAGCGATGCCGCACTTACCACGCTTGATTTCAGCGGTGCCAAGAACGACGAGCAGGATATCAATTTGAGCCAGTGGATTGACGAGCGCAAGATGGGTACGAAGCGCAGCGACGGTGTATATGAGCTGGCAGACGACGAGGCAGAGACGAACGACAATACCCCCAGTTTCTTTGGGTCATTGATGGGTACAGGCCCTACGTCCTTCTTTTCACGCCTGACAGGTGCCAAAGAGGCCTTGACCAAAGACGACCTTGCGCCTGTCCTCCATGCGATGCAAATGCACTTGCAGTCGAAGAATGTCGCGAACGATGTGGCGGCGTTGATTTGCGAGGGCGTGGAGAAGCGACTCCTAGGGAAGCGTCTGGGCAATTTCGGGAGTGTCAAGGCGGAAGTGCGCAAGTCGTTGGAAGAATCGATTACGCGTATTCTTACGCCCAGTACGAGTACAGATATTTTGCTGGAGATTGCTAGCAAGAAGCAGCGTCGCGCTGAGCTTCTAGCGACGCTGCCAGCGCACGCTGTCAAGGGCCATGTCTCGCCGGCACTGAATCCGTACGCAATTGGGTTTGTCGGCGTGAATGGTGTGGGCAAATCTACGAACTTGGCGAAAGTATGCTTTTGGCTCTTGCAAAATCGGTACCGCGTTTTGATTGCCGCGTGCGATACGTTCCGCAGTGGCGCTGTGGAGCAGCTACGAACGCACGTCCGCAATTTGGGCCAGCTGGAGCTGGACGGACATCGTGTGGCTGACGGCGTGCCAGGCACAGGGGAGCCGATGCTGGAGCTGTACGAGCGTGGCTACGGCAAAGATGCCGCAGGCATTGCGAAAGATGCATTGGCGTACGCCCGTACGAGTGGTTTTGACGTAGTGCTCATCGATACGGCAGGTCGTATGCAGGACAATGAGCCGCTCATGCGTGCCTTGGCGAAGCTCATTGCCGTGAACCAGCCTGACAAGGTGCTCTTTGTGGGCGAGGCCTTGGTCGGCAACGAGGCTGTGGACCAACTCACGAAGTTCCATCGCGCCCTCAAAGACTACAGTGGAGTGGCCGATCCACGTGGCCTGGACGGCTGTCTTTTGACCAAGTGGGATACGGTGGATGTACGTATACGAAATCGCCATAATATACTAACTGCCTAGGACAAAGTCGGCACCGCGCTCACATCCACGTGGGCTACGGGACTGCCCATCTATTTTGTGGGGACGGGCCAGACCTATACAGATCTGCGTCAGCTGCGCGTATCGCATGTTGTCAATGCGCTCCTGCGCGAGTAGATATACCCTTCGTCACATGCATATAGGGATATACAAAGGGGAGCTTTTGGGGCGGCTCGCTCAACCACGAGACTCGTGCAGCACCTCGCTACGACCCAGCGGCTGGGGCACAAACACTGGGGCCATCGTGCGATCCGCAGCAAGCCGGAGAGAGTGTGGCATCGGGCCTTGGCCAGCAAGGGTCGAATCAAGGGTCGTGGAAGGCAGCACAAAGCTTCCGTCAGGCATTTCCGCCAGGTACAAACGACGCAGAGCTTGCTCCGCAGCACGGAACTCGGCCATACGGATGCTGCTACCTGTACCTTCGCCCAGCTTCGCTGCACCGCTGTACACGCCCACGACAAACACAGGGTTGATGCTCAGACGACCTGTCTCTGCGAGCAAGCGACTTTGGGGCGCAGGCTTGCCGTATTTTTTGCAGGTCGTGGACAGAACGCGTTTCGGGTCACGGAACTTGAGCAGGCTCGCCAAGTCCAGACGACGGCTGAGGAACTGGCTATGCACAAAACCACGCGTCGCCGCCATACCTAGCTCCTGGAAGAGCACGGCGACCAACGCGCGCATCGATTGCGCAGCCACATCCTTGCTGAGCAGCGGCGCGGTGACAGTCTTAGCGCCCTTGTGCAAGGCGCGCGTCACCGTCGTCGAGCCTGTCCGATCCCAGCGCTGTACACCCTGGGCTAGAACACCAAGCTCTGCGCCCACATCGGCCAGCGTGCTCGGACCGACGTACGCACTAATAAACGCTTTCAGCACGCGAGTAGGAAGGTGCGGGTACTTCAGATGGAAATGTTCGGCAGCCAGGAGACCCAGCAAGTTGTTGCCAAGCGTCGCAAGCTGAGCATTGTGTTCCACCTGCTCGTGCAACTCCGGCACCTCCTGACGCTCACTGGCCGACAGGGGCAAGCCGGACGCTGTTTGCTGTACGCTAAGCAAGCTGGGGTGTGTGCATGCCATCTGGACGAGGCGCGTGCGACGCTCGCGGTCTTCTGGCGAAAGAGAGTGGGAGAATAGATGGAGACGTGCACCCAGCGCGGCGATCGCCGAAGGCACTTGGGCACGCAGCGAGGCCCAGACGGCCGGATGCATACGAGCCAAGCTAGGCAGACGACTCGTCGCGCCAGAGGCGTCTGGGGAGCGTGACTCTATCACAGGTGTAGCATTGCGCCACCATGCACTGGTAGAAAAGGCGCGATGCATGGCACGCGGGGCCATGGCAGGGTATACTCGCATGGCCACGACCAATCCAAGCGCGATAGAAAGGTAGGTTGGAAGAATTCGTCACGACGACGACGAAGGATAGTATCACGTGATGCTCATGAGCCACGTGGGGATGCGAGCACGGACACGCCGTGCCCCTCGCACGCACGCGCGCACGCACGTCCGCTCGGAGGTTCACGAGTGGAGCGACGCCATGGTACCACCGCCGTCGTCGTCATCGTCGCAGAAAGAAGCTGGAAATACATCGTTTGAGCAAGATGCACTTTCTGTCATTCTAGTGACAGCTGGCTACGATCATACCATTCGATTCTGGGAGGCATGGTCAGGCGTATGTTCACATACGATCCAGTACAATGAATCGCAAATCAACCGTCTCTCCATCTCGCCTGATAAAAAGCTATTGGCCGTGGCCGGCCATAATACGGTACGTCTTTACGACTGCCATGCAAGCGCCGCCGCTGCATTGAACAATACAGACAACGCGGGGCGAGGCAGCAATGTGCCGCCTGTGGCTACGTTTGAAGGGCACACGGGCAACGTCACCTCGATTGGGTGGCATTGCGATGGAAAGTGGCTCGTTAGTGGCAGCGAGGATGGGACGCTGCGTATTTGGGATACGCGTACGTCACGCTCGCAGCGAGTATACGACCATCAGGGCGCCGTGAACGATGTTGTGATTCATCCGAACCAGGGCGAGCTCGTCTCCTGCGATCAAAACGGCAGCGTCAAAGTATGGGACTTGGGCGAGAATGGATGCAGTCATGAACTTGTGCCTGAGGAAGAAGTGCCGATGCGCTCTGTCTCCATTGCGTCGGATGGCTCTTGCCTTGTTGCGGCCAACAATCGCGGGAATGTCTATGTGTGGAAAATCCAAGGCGGCGCATATGCAGACGACGGGACGCCACAGGTGGGCGAGAGCCCGAATGAGCTGACAGATCTACAACCTGTCACCAAGTTCCGAGCGCACAATACCTATATTACACGATGTGCCTTAAGCCCAGATGCGCGGTACCTCGCGACGTGTTCGGCGGATACCACTGTGAAGATTTGGTCTACGGCCCAGTACCAATTCAAGCTGGACAAAGTGCTGACAGGCCACCAGCGGTGGGTATGGGACGTGGCGTTCAGTGCAGACAGTGCCTACCTGGTATCTGCCTCGTCGGATCACGTTGCGCGCTTGTGGGAACTATCAAGCGGTGAAACGATGCGGCAGTACAATGGACATCACCGTGCGGCGGTGTGTGTGGACTTGAACGATTCTAGCTTGGAGACATGAGACACTTCCTGCCTACGTATATTAGTAAATATTCCAAGTCTTGCGCCACTTGAGGTAGTGCCACTCGCTAATGTCGCCGTACATACCGAACGACACGGCACGGAACCACCAAAAGACGGCGACAAGGAGGGCCACGGCAATAGCGAACGTCACGTTCTTCGTACGCGTGGTAAGCGGCCGGCCTTGCACAGGCGCCGACGTGTCGTGGATAAACGGATTCAGCTTGCCGGTCGTCAATCGGCCCGTTCGCAGAAACAGGCGCCAGTCGATCAGGTAGCGTGCCGTTGCCTGATTCCACAGGAAGTGGTCCAGCAGATGCGCATACACAATCACAGCAAAGTAGAGTGTCGGGAGGTAGTGGTGAATGTACGTGACACGGCCCATCAACAGAAAGGGGCCATAGTGCAGCAGCCATCCAATGCCACCAACCTTGAGACCAAAGAGGAAATCGTCCCAAGTTCGGCCCGTCATATCGTGAATGTGGCGCTGACGGCGCAGGATGTACCACACAAGCAGCACAACAGCGACATGGAGCGACGCCGTACTGCCCCACCACACAACAGGGTTGCCGATCAAGTAGTACTTGTCCTGATCAGCGCCCCAGCCGTTCATGCGCAGACCATTCCACATCCACGGCCACTCGAGCGGCTTGGACGCAAGCACATCGAATTTATCGTTATCCGGTACAAGTGCATTGTTCGACACCATCATCGCGACATTCAAATGCACAAAGTCGCGTAAGAAAGGCGAGCGGTAGCGGTGCGTCGACTGAGACATGTTCAGGCGGTCATTCCAGTGGTTCTCGATGTTCCAGTGTGTAAACACATCCGATGGATTGTTCGCTGGATCGCACGTCACTTCCGTCTGCTTCCAGCCCCAGTCTGGCAGAACCACATTGGCAGCGCGCAGGTAGCAGTTGTGGCGAGGATTGCGGAAGCGAAGTCGCGTGGTCAGTGTACGAACTGGCGAGCCTTCCTTGCCAGCGCCGAGCTGCAGATCGTCGACAACCTCTACGGCCCAGTACGCCGTATCGTCGCCCTCCGTCCAGTTGCCGTAGCCCGAGACCTCGTGGTAGTCCTTGCTCACAGGCGCAGGCACCAAGTGCGTCCGCAAGTTCTTGGACGTTTCCACATGGACCAAACGCACCACATCACCGCTCTTCAGCATACGTGGCGGCTCAGTGACAGTATCATTCGGACCAGGGAGGGCCGGCTCGTCAAACAACGGCGCAAAGATAAAGTGGTTGTTGGTGTCCTTGTAATGGTAGCACGTCACCTGTTGCTCCTGTGAGCCTTCTGGGTACGTCTGGATATGCGAGTGCAGCAAACCGCCACCAAAGCCCATGTTCTTCAACGTGACTTTGCTGCCATATGCAGCTTCCAGTGGGAAGTTGGACAGCTCACTGCCCTCCAAATTCGACTGGAACAGGCTGCTCATCTGTGCATCGCCTGAGCCACTCTTATACAAAATAGCAAAGTGCAGCTTGAAGCTCAGCATGTAGATACACAGTGGCACAAAGATCAGCGCCACAATGCGGGCGCACCAATGACGCAAGTACGTACGCTGTCGGTCAGTGTCCGGTCCACATGTACATACCACCGGCATCTTCAAGTCGCCTAGCTTGTTCCATAGATCTTCCACCGTATACAGGCCGACCAACGTCATGACAAAGAGGCCGACCATCTTCACACTGGTAACACAGCCCAGCGAAACACCTGTGAAGAACAGCCAGAACCACCAGCGGCGTGTAAATGGCTGGTCCTGCATGCGATGGAAGCGGACAAGGCCCAGAACGACACAGAGTGTAAAGACAAGTAGCATGGAGTCCAGTAGGATAAAGCGAGAGATCGTAAGCCAGCCATTGTCTGTTGTTAGTCATGTCTTTCTTACGTACCAAGGAGGACCATGAGCGTGAAGAAGTGCTTTGTACGCCAGTTCCAGCCAAACGATTGTGCCGTGAGGAAAGCCACAGGCACCATCATTACACCATACATTGCCATAATCACACGCATGCTAATGAACGGCACGTTGGCAGGGTAGTCACTGCCGGAATCGAATTCGTAGTTGCCATCAAAGCCACTAAGCCAGCCCGATACAGCCACAAGGATCTTACCGAGCGGAGGGTGGACATCGAAGTAGAAAAGGTGACGGATATAGAACGAGCCAAACTTGCCGAAATGCGCCTCATCCCACACCACTTTGTGGTTGCTGCCGATACGGTACAACCGCGTCAACACCGAAAGTACAGTGTAGAAAATAAGCATATAGGTATCGTTTTGGGACCACAGAGAGATACGATCCAGTAGTGGCATCTGGGGCTTATGCATAGGCATAGCATCAGCATACCTTGTAAGCTGCGAGGAGCGCATCTGTTTTTCCTCCATTTTATCGACGGAGGAAAGAAGGTGAGAGCGAGCAGAGTCCTCGCCGGACGGAATCGATACGTTGCTCATACTAGCACTTGATGTATGCGTAGGAAGAATACTGTTACCTTGGGTAAATGACGGAGTCGCGCTAGATACGTGCAGCGAGGAAGATGACGAGGGGTGCGAAGGACGAACAGTCTCCACGGGACTTTGAACAGATTCGCTGGATCTTTGCCGGTACTTCTGTTCGCCACTATACATCAGGCTCGAATCTGAGCAGCTTCAAGGTATACAGCCTGTGACTGGCAACACCTGTACCACGTTGTGAGAGAGATGGCCGTGCTCGTGTTGGTTGTGTCGGCCGCACCACAGCCGCGGCGTGTCTGGGCCACGTGTGGCAGGGCCTCCACATTCGTCTAGTCATTGCATATAGATGCCTGTGGCTGGCAAAGCCATTCCGTGAGAGAAGCATCGCGAAGCAAGGGAAAGAGATTGGGACGCCATTGCACGGCCATGGACCCCTTGTCGCATGTCGATGTTGAGGCCAATACACGAAATCCTCCAGCGGCCACAGAGGAATGGAATGTGCCTAGACCTTCGACTCTTCCGGAATGGGCTCAGTCGAACCAACACAATTTTGAGCCTGTTTCTGATGAGACTGTAACAGAAAAGAGCATCATGAATAGCATCATACCCCATATGCGTTTGCTATGCTTGCACTTTAGCCCGATCTGGTTCAGTATCACTATGGGTACAGGTGTCGTCGCATTGCTTCTACAAAACATACCCTATCGTTTTAATGGCTTGGACATTCTTGCCAAAATTGTATTCGCATTGAACCTACTCTTCTTTGTGCTGTTTATTATTATCAGTATGATCCGATACATTGCTTGGCCTCAAGTATTCTGGCTAATGATATACGACCCCAGCCACTCGATGTTTCTAGGCTGCGTTTCTATGGGCTTCGCTACTTTGATTAACATGTGCGTCCTTGGGTTTGACGCAGAAGGCCGTGGTGGCGCCTTTCATTTATTCGTCTGGGTATTATGGTGGATCAACACAGCCTTTTCCATCTGGATCTGCGCAGGGATCACTTTTGTAATGGCCACACGACACAACCATGAGCTGAAAGGTGTCACGAGCGTTTTGATCCTGCCTATTGTGTCGGTGGTAGTCGATGCTGCCTCAGGTGCTATTGTGTCGGATGTCTTACCTGTTTCAGCGGCCAAAATTACGATTGTTGTATCATACCTAATATTGGGAGCTGGGATGGGTACGACAGTTTTAATCATGACATTATATTATGCACGCCTTATTTTCCACAAAGTTCCTAATGCTAAATTAATTGTTTCCGTGTTTTTACCTTTGGGCCCCTGTGCTCAGGGTGCCTATGCCTTTATGCACTTGGCTACGTCCATTCAGAAACTGGGCAAGGATGCAGGTCAAAGCTTGGTGGGCGGAGACGTGCTTTCCCAGGAGGATGCACATATCATGAATTTAGGCATTGTGGGCGTATCCCTCTTATCAGGATTGTTTTTGTGGGGTTTTGCCTTTTTCTGGCTAATTTTGGCGATTGCGATGTGGATCGATGTCTGGTGGGTTGCGAAGATCAAATTTAACTTGAGCTGGTGGGGCTGCACTTTCCCCATTGGTGTCTATGGTTTGGCCACCATGGAAGTCGGACAAGTAATGGACTCAGGTTCTTTCCGTATCTTGGGCATTGTTATCACATTGTGTGTTATTGTATTGTGGCTCTTTGTTTCATTACGCACATTGTGGTTCCTATGCAGGGGCAAAATGTATGTATCAAAGCTGAATCTAACGCTAGCTTCCCTGATCCTTGCATTGGTGAAGAGGGTATTCCATCTAAACCTTTACAACCCCGTAAATACAGCTTCATACCCCGTCGCGAAAACGTGGCTAGGCCCTAGTTAGGAAGCGAAACATTGGGGCTGAATGATCGTGGACAAGGATGGCGTTGTTTCTGGTAATATGCGCAGAAACCCCTCGTTCTTTTGGGAGTCTGGCTGCGATTCCATGTTTACCCATGGAAGACCTATCTCCGAGAGGACGGAAGCATGAGGCAGAAAAGTAAGTGGGTCTAAGTCGCGTGATCCGCGGTGCTCGTCATTGTCCTGAGAATTTCCCAACGTCTTTGATGTAGGATACTCCATGTCTGGTAATGGTTTATTAGCATATGACTTGTTGATATTGACGGGATGAAATGCTGTGGATGACACGGATTTGTCGGGATGGTACAAAAAGGAGTCCTGCCATGGCCAAGTTGGGATCTTTGTGGCTTCCTTGCTGATAGGCGGAAGCAACATTGGTGTAGTGTATGGTTGGTCTACAGTAGTATGCATGTCTGGATAGGACGGAGTGAGAGTAGTCCATGTGGGAGGAATGGAAGGACCGGATTGATCTGAAGGGTCAGAGAACCAGATGTCGGGAGGAGCATTTGAGGTGCAGGATCTAGGTGGCTTGTCCATGTATGACTTTTCTGAAGGCACAACCATAGCCTGATCAGTGTCTCTATCTGGCCTTTGCTCCAGGATTGAGTCTAGGCGACGCTGCAGGCCCGTGCACCGTTTTTCTAGCGATTCAATGTAGTTTCTCGTCGCGTCAGGGGTAAGCAAGACTTTGACACATTCAGTATTGGCTTTGCGGCAATTGGAACACTGTGGCCAACTTTCATCACACCTTGCCTTTAACGTACGGCATCGTTGACATGCTGTATGCGCTCGCCGCCGTGGGCTGACAGGTGGAGTGCGCCGATCCGACTGGCCTGGGGATGGTGTGGGGGAGGTGGAGGGAATTGCTGGGATGAGAGGGCCGTTTGATTGTACAGCGCGCGGTGATGCATGAGTCGGCCATGGTGATTGTGCAGATGAATCTAGAATAGTGACACTGAGCGCATGCGGTCTCGATAGTTGCATTCTTTGTCCGAATGTAGATGCATGATGCCGTTTCGATTTACGTGACAACGGCATGGAAGCTACCGGCATAGGGTCACAGAGAACCCACACTGACCTCTGTATCTTTTATAGGAACCGCTTTGCTCGATCACATATGCAGGGTGTCTGAACACGTTGATTACGCAAGAGATCCATTTAAGTGGACAATGCTTGCAGTCCGTGCAAGTGATGGACAGATGATGAGACTACGACACGACCTGTACGTCGGCGCGATGTCACATGCAGGCAAGATGGCCAAACGACGGCACAGCTTGGCATACGATCCGATTACACGATTCTATAATTCGAACGTCATGAATCAAATTTTCGACCTAGGCTGGTATACGAGTCCGTACAACTATAAGTGATCGTACCAGCCACCATGATCTCGGGACATGCTAAGAGACGCCGCATCCATCAATCGCAAAGAACACAATCGACAAAGTGTGACTCTTAATGCACAACCAAAATCTAGGCAGAGTACATCAGATGAGGTCAGCCACGTTCAGCGGCATCTCCTCCACGTGGGTGTTGTAGAACTGCTCAATGTCACGCATCATGCGGACGTCATCCTCAGTCACAAAGTTGATAGCCACACCCTTACGACCGAAACGACCACCACGACCAATACGGTGAATGTAGTTCTCGCGGTTCGTCGGCAAGTCGTAGTTAATAACCAGCGAGACTTGCTGCACATCAATACCACGGGCAAGCAGGTCGGTGGTGATCAGTACACGCGACGAACCCGAGCGGAACTCACGCATAATCACCTCACGCTCCTTCTGGTCCATGTCACCGTGCATGGCCGACACGGTGAACTCCTTGGCGTGGAGCTGCTCAGTAAGCCAGTCGACCTTGCGGCGGGTGTTGCAGAAGATAACGGCCTGTGTAATGGTGACGGTCTCGTAGAGGTCAGTAAGCGTCTCGAACTTCCACTCCTCTTTCTCAACAGCAATGTAGAACTGCTTGATACCTTCAAGCGTAAGCTCGTCACGCTTCACGAGAATGCGGACAGGGTCACGCATGAACTTCTTGGTGACGGCCAGCACGTCCTCCGGCATGGTAGCCGAGAGCAGCACGACCTGAGTGTCCTGCGGCAGAAGCTGGAACACCTCGTACATCTGGTCCTTAAAACCACGCGAAAGCATCTCATCGGCCTCATCGAGACAGAACATCTTCAGGTGGTCGGTGCGGAAGGCACGACGGTTGATCATGTCATACACACGACCGGGGGTACCCACAACGACCTGGGCACCGTCGCTAAGGCGGGCCATGTCCTCACGGACGTTGGTACCACCAATGCACGCGTGGCACTGGATGTTCATGTAGTCACCGAGAGCCACAACGACGTTCTGAATCTGCTGGGCCAGCTCACGGGTAGGGGCAAGCACCAGAGCCTGAACGGCCTTCAGGTTCGGGTCAATGCGCTCCAGGATAGCCACCGAGAAGGTAGCCGTCTTACCAGTACCAGACTGGGCCTGGGCAATCACATCGTGACCCTTGATGATCGGGACAATGGCGCGCGACTGAATAGCCGAAGGGCGTTCGAAACTGAGTCGTTAGAGCAAGATCAAATAAATGGCACATACCCATAAGCGAACACACCACGGAGAAGCTCGGGCTTCAGACCCATGTTGTCGAAGTTGTCGTACACCTCATCCCAGTTCGACTGGATCTCACCGTCAGTGATCTGAAGGTCGGTGGCGGGGGCAGGAGCGTCCTCAGGCCTGTATGGTTAGCACTCGCTCTCCCAATGAATGGTGGCACATACTTCGACATGTTGAGTAGTAAGTTGTTTTCGCGGGTTCGGAAGAGTTCCGAGATACGTAGGTCTCCTACGCAAGAAAAAGTTTAAGTACGATGTAAGATGGTGCCTCTAGAAGTGCACCACGTCTTAGTTGTAAAAGAGAGCTTCTGGACGGCGACAATTCCAGTGAAAATTTCTCATTCTCGGACGATAAAAAAAATTCTTTTTTCACCCGACGCATGCACTCTTTCTTAGACCAGCACGATCGCGCCCCACGCACAGTGGTGCATGTGCGCACGTGATGGATGGGACTCGCAGCCCCGATCGAGGGCCCTCTGGTGGAGAAGCTATGCATGCAAGGAAATGTCGGACTATATGGATCGGCATATCGCGGTCCATAGCAAAGATCTATACACTCATGAGTCCCAGCCCCGTGATCGAGGCGCATAGGCAGAACCACGACCACGGATACGGACATCAGATCCACGGTCTGGCGAGGCAGAACGATCACGTACAAGACGGCCTGCGTCGTCGTCATCCCAGTCACGATCGCGTCGTACACCGCCTATCCGGTCGCGAAGAGAAAGTGGCGTGTAGTCTTCCTCGTAGTCCTGTGGTCTATCTCTCCGCTTCCGATCGCCGCCACGGTTTCGTCGGCGACGACGTGACCAAGCCACGTCACCTACATCTAGCAAGCGTGTGACCACTTCTTTTCCAGCTCCGCGTCCATGCTGACGGTACCAGTTGCTCTTCGATGCCGACCTGGGCGACTTTGTATCGTGATGCTGTAATGCAAAGCGGACCCACAAAGGCTGTCGGAGCTGCTTCATACGGCGATGATCGCGCGAAAAGATTTTGCGTTCCATTTCCTCCATCTCCATGTCACGGTAAATTTCAGGCATGGGCTCTGCGGCACTTTCCAATTTCGCGCGTGCTTCATCGAGTTGGCTCTGCAATGCAGGAAGCTCGGAGGCTGTTTCTTGTTCCATGGCATTGTAGAGCTTGGTAGGGAAGGCCATCGCCAGACATGGACGCAATAAAACGTCCTTGTTTTCATTCGCTACGTCTTCTGGAAACCTTGTCTCTTCCCATGGATCGTAACATAGACGCTCCAAACCTTGCAACGCATGCTCGTACGAGTCGAATACAATTACACAGCGGGTATCATTGATCCATTCGATGCCTTTCGCATGCGTACCGGAGTAAGCCACGTAAGCCATGAGACGTGATGTAGAGAGTTGATTAATAGGTTCACCCTCCAGATGGAGTGCATCAACACGAAGAGCATCGTGAGCATCAACGCTGGGGGCAGGCGGCGGTACGCCAGTGTCTGGTTTTTCTTTTATAGGCGCTGGTGGCAGCTCTTCTTCTTCAATGTCTTCTTCGGCGCCAACCATTTCATCGGGCATATTATAAAAAATGCGCTTGGGTGCCTCTTCGCCCTCCATGGGCACATCGGTCAGTGCGCTGTCCATCTGTTTTCGCCTGGATCGGTCGGCGAAGGAAGCTATTTGTCGCGATGGGACTGGCACGACGGTGGTTGGATCGCTGACTAAACATACTATCAACGTCCGTGCTGCTCTGATAACAGAGCTAGCCACCTTTTTGGCGCGTCTTTCGCTCTGCGTTCGACAGGCATACCTGTCGTAGATGTCTCAACGAAGGTCAATGAGTCACCGTGCTTTATCGCGGCATGAGAGCAGTGATGTCGAGTCTGGGTTTGGACGAAGTCTGCAAAGTCCCTCTTCTCAGGCGCAGCAGGCGACGGCGTCATCGTTCAGCTTTTTTGAGGGTCGCAGCTAGTACGTATGGATCATCCAACCCTACTAACAAGCCAGCCGGTTCCAGAATGTACTGGCTGAAGCTCGCCAGAAAAGCGACGATTTTTTCCCGTCCTCATATACGGCCACGTCAGATAATATCCGCGGAGAGACGGCTGAACTGGCTGATTTGGTGGTGAGTGATGATGCCGACACCACCGGAGCGTCGATCTGTAGTCCCTTAGGGGATCGGCGTACATCGTACCCATCGGTCATGTTGTCCGCGGATGACGAGGATGAGGATCATTTACCGACGACAGAGTCATCGCCGCTTCTCAATGGTCGTCCATCGATGTACGATGCATTGCCAAGCTCGCAGAAGAATATCACGAGTGGTACGGAGGTGTTTCAGTCGGTGGATGAGCAATGGAGTGTTTTGAAGACCAAGATTGAGCTGAAGAAAGCCTCGACAAAGAAGCAGAGTGCACGTTTGCTGGGCAAAGTGAAGAACATTACCTGGGAAGACGCGGGTCGCTACGCTATGGAGCCAGTTCGGAACATTCCCGCTGTGGTGCTAGGTTTGCTTTTGAATATACTGGATGGTGTTTCGTATGGTATGATTACCTTCCCCACCTCGATGCCGATTTTTGCCAATTTTGGCGGCGATGGTGTATCTATGTTCTTCGCTACGTGTGTCATTTCCCAGCTGGTATACTCGTTGGGCGGCTCCATCTTTAAGGCTGGAAACGGTAGTATGATGATTGAAGTGGTGCCTTTCTATCACATTCTTGTAAAGGTTATTGTAAAAAAGGTGGGCGATGATAACGCAGTGAGTATCGTGGCTACCACCATGGTGGCCTTTGCCCTCTCTTCCATTCTTACAGGTCTCTTGTTCTTGCTATTGGGCACACTGCGTCTCGGTATTCTTATCAGTTACTTCCCGCGGCATATCCTCATCGGTTGTATTGGCGGTGTGGGTGTCTTCCTCATGGAGACAGGCTTTGCTGTCGCAGCGCGCATTGAGGAAGAAGGCGGCTTTAAGTACGATATGAAGACCCTGCATACACTCACCGCCAATTGGGAAGTGTTTTTCCAGTGGGCTATTCCATTGGGACTGGCCATCTTGCTGAATGTGATCTCCTCGCGTGTGCATCATCCGCTTTTGATGCCGGGCTACTTTTTAACCATCCCTGTGCTCTTCTACGTTGTGACATTGCTGGGCTGTGGCCTAAGCATGGATACACTGTGGAAACGAGGCTGGGTATTTGATATCCAGGAATCTACCAATGCGCCATTTTATCGCTTTTACACGTACTTTGACTTCCGACAGACCAACTGGGCTGCCCTCTGGGCGACGATGCCGACGCAGATGGCGCTGGTCTTTTTCGGGATTCTGCATGTCCCCCTCAATGTGCCAGCGCTTGGCGTGAGTGTGAATGAAGACAATGTCGACACTGACAGGGAATTGATTGCCCATGGCATTTCCAACATTTCCGCCGGCTTTTTGGGCTCGGTCCCCAACTATCTGTGCTATGTCAACTCGGTACTCTTTTACCGTGTCGGCGGGGGCTCGCGGCTGAGTGGTCTGATGCTCGCAGGTGCGACTTCGATCGTGTGGATTATGGGCCCCAGCATGATTGGATACCTCCCCATCATGGTCGTGGGGGCGTTGATCTTTGTGTTGGGTCTCGATTTGGTGCGTGAGGCTATCTGGGATACACTAGGCCGTGTGAATCATATTGAGTACATTACCATCCTCATTATTGTGGTTGTGATGACATTGTCGGACTTTGTGATTGGCAGCTTGGTCGGCATTATCCTGGCCTGTCTATTTTTCGTGATGCAAACGTCGCGACGCAATCCGGTGCGAACCGTGCTCACAGGGCAGTCAGCGCGCAGCACAGTGCGCCGCCAAATGCACCAGCGCAAGTTCCTGGAAGAGGCCGGTAGCCAAACGCAGGTCCTCAAACTGCAAGGCTCGTTGTTCTTTGGCACGATCAATTCCATTGAGCAGCTTGTACGGCGCATGCTGGACTTGGCCACATGGAAGAAGAACCCGATTCGGTTCCTCGTCATGGACTTCTCTCTGGTGAGCAGCATGGACTTTTCTGCAGCCGAGGCTATGACGCGCATTCACCGTATGCTTTCCAACAAGGGCGTGCACCTCGTGCTTTGTGGACTTAGCCTCGATGGCGACGTGGCCATGGCGCTGCAGAATGTGGATTTGTGGGGCGAAGTAGCGCCTTGCGTCGAAGTGTTTGCACATCTCAATGAGGCGCTGGAATGGACAGAGAGTATGTATGGACGCGACTAACAGGCAGATGAGTACTTGCGCAGCCTCTATTCGTCAGGACTTGTCGCGGGAAAGAAACTGAGCCGCGCTACGCTGTCTGACGCTGGGTCGTTGCGGGTGCCTGGGACACGACGCAGCAAGCCGGCGATTGAATTGGACGATTCGCTGGTCAACTCACCCCGCTACGAACATCTTCACCAAGCCGCCAAGCGCGTGTCCTTGCAAGTGGATTCAACGCACAATGCGCCCGCCAAAGACAAGGACTCGGCGCGTACCAAGCACCTGCTGTCTCTGCTGTCGTCTACGCTGGGCCCATACATGGACCCGGAAGACCAGGACAACGATAAGATTATGCGTGTTCTCGTGCCGGAGCTGGAGGAGCGTATGCTGGACAAGGGCACGGTCCTATGGGAGTGTGGTGATTCGCCAGATGCGCTCTTTTTCATTGAGTCCGGTATTTTAAAGGCACAATATATTTTCTCGCAAGATGACTATGTGGTTCACGAAGCTATGCTGGCGGGCACCATTGCCGGTGAGCTTACATGCTTGTCGCAACAAACACGGGATGCAACGGTGGTAGCCGACCTGGAGTCCAGAGTGTGGCAACTCAAAGTGGAATCGCTGACGAAAATTGCGAGAAACGATACCCAAGTGTACAGGAAACTCGTCCAAGTGTTGCTCCGTGTCACGACCGACGAGCAAAACTGCTTGATGTCATACCTTGTATCTCGACTTAGCTAGACGTTTCTATAGAATTACCAGTCGTCTCCTTCCTCATCGTTTTCGCCCAGTGCATTGAACGCAAGCGTCTCCACGCCACCATCACCCTTGACTTCAGTTTCCACCACGGAATTAATTTGACGAAGCGAGCCAGGGTCAATGGTACCCACAATCTCCCATAGATCCGACCAGTCTTCCTCCTCTACCTTGGTAAAGAGAGGCACAATCTTGTCCTTCAAACGCTTGCCCTCCTTTGCCGGCATCGTGACACTCACACGCATCTGGGCACGTTCCAAGGGGATGATAGACTTGGTTTGCAACAGTTTGATCACGTCCAACGCCTGACTCTTCGCCGACTTGGTAGGCTTCACGCTGAAATGCGCATCCTTCATGGCTTTCTCAATCATACCCACCGTATAGGGTTTCTGGCTGCTGGGCTCCACACACTTTTGCGCGACGATCGTAGCGATTTCCAACCAGAGGTTCGACAGCTCGTGACTACGTTCTTTCTCACCGACTTGAAGCTCGCCCTTCTTGAGAATCTAGGGTAAGTGCAATATAGGCATACCTCTAGTAAGCATTCCTGTACGTCTGCTGTGCCAAACGCCTTCTTCAAATCTTCATTTGAGGCTACTTGGCCTTTCGAGACATTCAGGAACACATTCTCGATTTGGACCACTTCGTCCAAGTCCTTTTCACTAGAATGTCAGAGAGCACGGTACGCACACGCCTGAGCGCCATTCGCGCACTTTGTTTTTGTAGCAGGCAATCTGGAATAAGAAACAGAGTAGCACGTACCTCAAAACGCTTGCCACCGCGACGCAACCGAATCACGGAGACATTCGTCATTCTACGGTGAGCATGGCCATGTATACATACTTGAAATTATTCGAAGCTGAAAACCAAGTCAGCAAGCGAGATACGTACGTAAATTGATCCTGTGGGTCAGTCGGCGTACACATGGCTCCTACATACGGCATGGTGGATGTGCGATGCGAACAGCTGCTTCGTCGGCCGTTGCGCCATCTATGTGGACAATTTGGCCCCTATTTGCGCACATACCACCCTTGCGGTTTTTCGTTGCCAACCATGCGCTACGTCCCCGAAGTAGCTCGGTACAATGTTGCCATGAAAAATACGTACGTTTGTCCTCACTAATGCAAGGTTTGCACACGAAACGGCTGTCAAACGCTGGCCGACCATCCTCACACAAGTGGTCGATGGCCTTTTTCGACAGTGTCATGATCTATCGAACGAAGCGTCGATGACCGGCAAAGTCGAAGAGGGCAAGAGTATTATCGAAAAGATATCTGGTCTCAAGTACGAGCTCACACGCGACCGGCCACTCAATACGCTGAATGTAACTGCGGACAACGCATCCACGTTAGGAAACAGCAAGGCGCCTACGACGGAATCGTATGATGCTGTGATTTCTTCTACGCAGCCCAGCTGGCACAACGCAGACTGGCTCTTTACAGAGTGCTATTTGTATCGTCGTCTTCGGCTCTTGTTTGAAACGTCGAAAAACTGGCAGGATTACGATCCTTTTATGCAGTCTAAGGTCGATACATTCCGTGCCTCTGGTCGGGGAATTCATGCTTGTGCTACATGGATCGAAGAATTGTTGTCAAAGTCTAGCAACTACAAGGCCTCTGAGCCTGGCACTGATGTTCTGTTTCAAGAACTTATGTCCTCCTCGCTCTGGGGGAATGCCACTGATTTGAGCTTGCTGACGAATGTTGATTACACGCATCTGCAAAAACTACAAGCGACGTCTCACGAAGAACGTTCTGCGAAAGCAGCTCATCTTCTTGTGAACGACCTCCCCAAGGTATGGAACAAAGTACGAACGATCCAAGAAGGCCGTGTTGATATTGTGCTGGACAATGCGGGCTTTGAGCTCATCACTGATTTGCTCCTGGCCGACTTTTTGCTGACGTTGCGTGCGCCTATTGCTACTGCGTCTAAGGGGCGAAGTGACGAGCTTGAAAAGCGTGTATCTAGAGTGAAGGAGCGTATTTCAAACGTGTGCAAGCAAGCGCAAGTGAAGAAGGAGCCACGCTTCCTGGCCGTGTCAAAACTCCATCCCCCTTCTGATATTATGAGCGTGTACGAGCGCACAGGACAGCGTCATTTTGGTGAGAACTATGTACAAGAGCTCGTGGAAAAGTCCCAAGTTTTGCCGGAGGATATTCAGTGGCACTTTATCGGTGGCCTGCAGAGCAACAAGGCCAAGCTCTTAGGAGCTGTGCCGAACTTGTACCTGGTTGAGTCTGTGGACTCGGAAAAGCTGGCGATGGGCCTACAAAAAGCCGTGGCTAAGTCAGAAAATGCGGCACGGCGTACACAGCCGCTCAACATCTTCATTCAGGTGAATACGAGCGGGGAGGAAGGTAAGAGTGGTCTCCCAGCCATGACGGAGCCATGGTCTGGCGAGGGCGAGAAACCTGTGCTGCTCGCTGTGGCGCAGAAAGTTATGCTGTCATGCCCTCATCTGCGCTTTCAGGGCCTCATGACCATTGGTTCGCTGTCCAATAGCCAGGCATCGCAAGGGGCAAGCCACCGCAACCCCGATTTTGATGTATTGGTGGCCTCCCGGAAGCACTTGTCCGAGGCCTTGCGGCGTGATACTGCGTTTACCCAGCAATTGGCTTCGACCAAGTGGTGGACACCGTCTGGCGAGGTATCGGGCGTGTATGAAGACTTGTCAGATACGAGTTTGGAGTTGAGTATGGGCATGTCGTCCGATTTGGAAGCGGCGATTCGTATAGGCAGTACCAATGTGCGCATTGGCAGCGACTGTTTCGGATCTCGTTCTTCCAATGCGGTGGCTGCCGATGTGCGTGCCGCTGAGATGAAGCGCTATGAAGATATGACTGTGGTGAAAGAAGTGGTATTCCATCCTAAGACCATGCCTTGGTTTGTCAGTGTACGTATGCGTTGGAATAACATTCAGGATACGTGTGTGAAGGATGTGTGGTTCACCTTGGACCAGCTTTTGGCCGAGGATTTCTTTACAGGTAACCACGCTGTGCCTTCTATGACGCCTATTCACTCCATGGCACGTCGTTGGCGCGAGCACTTTGATGCTGGGCGATTCCGTTTGTCGATGCCCAGCGATGCACCGCTCGGCGCGAGCGTTGGACCACTTGGCGACTTTTGGACGCAGCCGGAGAGCTATGGGCACCTTCCTGAAGCGGCTCCTGCCTTGTTGGCTGAGCTGCAATCTTCCGATCTTGTGATTTTCAAAGGTACGTTGGCTCCGTGCGTTTACTTACATATAGGGGACTTGGTACGTCATTTGCTTTTCTGACTGTAGAACTATCGGAAATTGACGCAGGACGCCATGTGGCCGCCAGAGACACCTTTCGAGAAAGCGCTCGGGTCGCTAGCTGGTCTTATTGACTTGGTGGCGCTCCGGACATGCAAAGCGGATGTCATTGTGGGCCTGAAAGAGGGCCAAGCGGAGGCAATGGACCAGCGTGATGCGTCTTGGCGTGCAAATGGCGCTTGGGCCGGTACGTATTTCTGAGGCACTCTTACGCTAGTCGTCCAATATCTAGGGCGTGCGCAGTCGCGCTAAGCATATAGTCACGTGGCTCGTTAGTATGACTCTTCGCATGAACAACAAACCGGGGTAGGCGTGGAGAGATTGTCCTTTACCCTTTGACGTTATCCTTCTAGCGCTCTAGAAGGATTTTTCAATAGGAAACCATTTTCTCGAACCAGTTGTGCTCTTCGCATAATCAGCACCGGGGCACCAAGCGTACTTGTGCTCCTCCGTTAATTTCCAAGTAAACGTTATCTCTTTAAGTGATTGAAAACAGTATGGCCCCGGTTGCTAATTCGTCTGCCACGGACGCTTCGGCGCGTGGCACGGCCCCTAACCCTACGGCTGCCCGCCATGAGCAGCAGCAGACGATTCGTGTGGCCTCGGACCGCTTGACGTACTCGCCTGAGTACATAACAGCGCAGTACGAGTACCAGAACACACACATTGAGCGCCAAGCTGGCGCCGATGGTGTGGAGGAACTTGTGGCTAGGCCGTACAAGCAAGAGTTTGAGTTCCGTACGAAGCGTGCGCTGCCCAAGACGGGTTTGATGCTTGTTGGTTTGGGTGGTAACAATGGTACTACCATTACGGCTACGATTCTGGCGAACCGTCACAATGTGCAGTGGCACAACAAGGACGGTCTGCAAACGCCCAACTACTATGGCTCACTTGTTCGTGCATCGACCATCCGTCTGGGTAGCGATGCTTCTACTGGCAAGGATGTGTGGGTGCCGTTCAGCAATGTGCTGCCAATGGTCCACCCTAATGACTTTGTCGTGGGCGGTTGGGACATTAGCGGTCTGCCGCTGGACAAGGCCATGGAGCGTGCCAAGGTGCTGGACTATGACCTGCAGCGCCAGGTGGCGCCTATGATGGCAGAAATTAAGCCGTTGCCGTCGGTGTACTACCCGGACTTTATTGCTGCGAACCAGGAGGAGCGCGCAGACAATGTCATTCCGGGCACGAGCAAGAAAGCGCACGTGGAGCAGCTGCGTCAGGACATTCGTGCGTTCAAGCGCGAGCATGGCCTGGACCAGGTGGTGGTTGTGTGGACTGCGAACACGGAGCGCTACGCGGAGATCCTTCCTGGTGTCAACGACACGGCGGACAACCTGCTGGCGGCTGTGGAGAAGGACCACGACGAAGTTTCGCCGTCGACCATCTTCGCCATTGCGTGTATCCTTGAAAATGTGCCGTACATCAACGGTGCGCCGCAGAACACGTTTGTGCCGGGTGCGATTGAGCTGGCTGAGCGTCACAAGGCGTTTATCGGTGGCGACGATCTCAAGACCGGCCAGACGAAGGTGAAGAGTGTGCTGGCCGAGTACCTCGTGAACGCCGGCATCAAGCCGCTGTCGATTGCGAGCTACAACCATCTGGGCAACAATGACGGCTACAACCTCAGCTCGCAGCGCCAGTTCCGCAGCAAGGAAATTAGCAAGAGCAGTGTCGTGGACGACTGCTGCGAGGCGAACCATTTGCTCTACCGCCCTGGCCAGCCGGCCAAGGCGGATGGTTCCGCCGCTGTGAAGGGCGAGCGTCCGGACCACTGCATTGTAATCAAGTACGTTCCTGCGGTGGGCGACCAGAAGGTGGCGATGGACGACTACACCAGCGAGCTGTGCATGGGTGGCCGCAACCGTTTGTACGTGACGAACCTGTGTGAAGACTCGCTTCTCGCGAGCCCGCTGCTCATTGACCTGGCCATTCTTGCCGAGCTGATGACGCGTATCACGTACCGCGTGCCTGGCGACGCCGAGCCGGAATGGGAGTCGATGTACTCGGTGCTGAGCTTGCTGAGCTACAGTCTCAAGGCGCCGCTGGTCAAGCCCGGCACAGATGTGGTGAACAGCTTGAACCGCCAACGTGCTGCTGTGACCAACTTCCTGCGCGCCTGCTTGTCACTCGCGCCTGAGAGCGATCTGCTGCTGGAGACGCGTCTTTGGTAAATGTGTTCCGTCCTTGTTCCGCTTCTGTAGGTACTCCCATAGTGCCCCTTTGTCGATTTCTTCTTGTTTCTTGGTCTAAAAGTGGGCTTCTCTATATACTACGCACGCCATGCTGCGGACAGCGCATGCTCCTGGAACCACCCAGCGCCTTTCTCTTCGTAGTCAGCGCGAGACACAGACGTGGCACGGAACGTCTCCGCTTGGTCCTGCACCCACTGCCGCATACCGAGCCATGGATCGAAGCGTGCATGCCGTGCGCGGCGCACTTGCAGTGGCGCTTGCGGTGGTAGATACGACCGCAGGACACTCTGCAAGCGTGTATCAAAGCCGGGCAGCTGGGCGTAGCGGCCCGTGACAAGCACATGTCGAATCATGCGATCACGGTCCACGGCTTCCATCGACTGCAGCACATGCCGGCTCAACTCGCCTACGCCCGCCTGATCAATCCCGGCGATGATCGGCTGCCAGCTGATTTCGGGCACACGGATACGCTCGACATTCAAATGCAGCTGGTGGAACTGGATGGCATCGTCCGGATCCCATTTGGGTTCATACCCACGCAGGAATGTGTTGGTCAGCTTCGTCTTGCGTACTAGCATTGCGGCATACGTATGCTCCTCGGAAAATGCTTCGTCAAACTCAAGGAGCTTCTGCTCCAGCTCGGCCAGGGTCTCATGATCCTGCGCATCCTCTTCCTCGTTCGCCGCGTCGTTGATGGTACGGTACACAGCCCAGTCATTATCGTCTGCACCAAACGTATCTTCGTCGTTGCCACGCTTACGGCGGCGCTGCGATCCGGACGAAGTCGAGTCCTGCTCACTCGCCAGTGCCGTAATACTCTTCATACGCTGCTGGGCAGCCGCGCTCTTGCGATTCGGCAGCATTTCACGCATGCGCTTGCGGTCGCGAATCCGCTGCAAAACCTGGTCATACTGCGCACGCACTTTTTGCAGCCACGCAGTGGGGTTTTCGCGCTGCTCTTGCCGCTCTTTCTCTTCCTTTTCGGCTTGCAATCGCTTCTCTTCTTCTTTTTCTGCACGAGCTCGCTGACGAGCTTCGTACCCCGCCTTGAGAAGACGTTGTCGGCGCTTTTCTTTCACGCCTTCCTCGTCCAGCTCCGCGTCAGGCACATCGACGAGCGGGAACTCGGGCTCTTTCTTCTCCTCCTCAAACTGCTCGCCCAATTCCTCAGCCCTGTTCTTCCGCACAGCTGTATCGAGACGTTTCCATGTCTTTTCAAACTCCTGTTCCGAGTCAAAGCCTTCGCTCTCTAGCCGGGCCAAGTAAGCGTCAGGAGCCTCTTTGTCTTTCCATTCACGCAGTAGGGTATAGTACTTCAAGTCGTTCTCGTTCCGCAGCGCTTTCTCCTGCCGCATAAGTCGCGTCTGCTCTTGCAATCGCTGACCCGCTGCCCGCTTGCGCTCGGCAATCTTCTCCAGCTCTTCTTGCGTCTTTTCTTTGGGTTCCGGCGCGGAGTACGGCAACTGCACTACACGATCCACGTTCGCCAGGTTGTCTGGGTTTTGGAACGAACGAATCTCCGCATCGTAGTCTGACGAAACGTAACACAACTCTTCCAGCATCGACTGCGTTTCAAACGCCGTGATTTTTTGGGGGCATGTCGGATACTTGAGCTGAAGCAACTTCAGCAAGAAATCTGTGGCTGGTACGCCGCCCCATGATAGGCTATCGTAAGCAGATGACGTACATACCGTTTAGCGTTGTCCAACTTCCCCACACCTTTGACGAGCGGCACAATGGTTGTCGTGGTGCGGCCAGCAGAAACAATCAAGCCGTCTTCTCGCACATCGTTCGCGTACGCGGAAAACAGTGAGTCCAGACCGTAATTCACTGAAGGCACGTTGTACGCCTCAAAAAGCAGCTCGTTCATTTCTTTGGTTAGCGTTTCTCCATACGTACGACTGCGACTGTACTCGGGGTTGCACAGTGTTTCCGTCATTAACATCGGATGGTCAATACGATCCGTATCAATGCCGAGCTTCATAAATGTATAGTCCAGCATGTATTCCTAGATATAAGGTTCAGGTCCACGTACCATGGTATCGAAACCGCACACGACATCGCCATCGAAGGGGCTCTTGATGTTACCACGTGCTTGAGCGTCGACGTAGCAGTCTGTTCCACACAGAACCACATTGCTACCGCGTTTCCGATCCCGGAACCGCGATACAATATTGTCATATACATACATTGGCTCGTCGAGCGTGCTTGTGGCGAATCCTGCACGAAGTTCCGAAGAGCCTGTGTGCTCGCATCATTGAATCGCTTGACACGTACCATTATCAATCAGCAAAGGCGCATGCTCTGTCCAATGCACAGAGTCCCTATAATGGCTCTGCGACTCCGTTGGACGCACAGACGGCCATTCTGTGACAGTGAGGGCAGGACGGAATGTCATAGCCACGACCCTTTCAATGCCAACGTATGTCCCAAGCGCAGGTAGTGCTGATGCAGTGGCCCAGTGCGAGGCGCGACGACATCACGTCGTACCACGTGGCTTCGGCCGGCCTCGTAACGTCATCTACGAAGGCTAGGGCACATGCACGCTTTCGTGCGCAGACGCTTTTCGGAATGCGGGGGGGCGATGTGGGGCTGCAATAAAAATGCGAGCCTCAAGGAATATTAGCCGGAGCTGCAGCTTGGGTTTCTAATTGGCGCGATGCTTGCCCCACACGTCGTGAAAATCAAGCAGCGTCCTGTGACCCCAAAAGGCCCACAGGCAATCCTTTTTTTGACCTCACCGACTGCCGCTACAGACGGTTGTACCCTGGTCTAATCGCGATGGAGAAGGACTCTTGGGAAGGCGGCGTTCGTCGCCGTCTCCCTGCCTATGATTCAGGTGCAGAATCAGGGCACTCTCCCGCTGGCTATATGCACCAGCCCGGTAAGCCTATCGGTTTTTTGGCGGCCCAAAGAACACCATATGCCAAGAAAATTTTCTCATCCAAGTTGATGATCCTAACGTTTGTATTGCTGCCGATTTTCGCTATCGTTAACTTGGCGTTAATCTGTGTTCCCATTCTATGGGGTGTGGCTAACCATACGATCGCTGTCTCGGTCATGCATATTTATGAATCGAATATTACACGTCCTACCGACGATCACTTTTACCTGACCATGCTAGGTCAAGTGAAGAAGGCGGGTGTGTTCCCTGCTCACTTATACTTTCGTGAACCGGTCGAAGTGATGTGGATGACACCCCCTGATGAGAACGGGAATGGTATGGAGGAGAAGATCCTTGGCCATTTCCCACTAGACCGTATCGGTATTGCGGCTGGTCACGGTCGTATCAACCAGTACACCCGCTTCAACATTTCTGATCTTCCTGCATTCACCAAGTTTACTGAGTTCATGATTACACAGCCAGAGTTCACTTGGCGACTGCGATGCCACAGTGTGCACATTGAGGCGTTTGGCTTCTTGCCTACCTTTAAAAATCTAAAGATGGTCAAGGATGTCGTCTTCAAGGGTATGAACAATATGCAGGATGTCAAGATCTTAGATTTCAAGTTGCCTGGTGCCGATCCTGCGGGCGGTATCACGTACCAGGCGTTTACGGGTATGAACAATCCCTCGCCTTTTGGTATCCAGCTGGGTGATTTGAGTCTTGACCTGTACTATGAAGATGTATACCTGGGTCCTGGTACATCGTATGGTGTCAACATGACATCTGGCGAGAACTATGTTACTCTGAGCGGTCATCTGGTGCCGCATACCAACAACACAGACGAGCTGAACAAGCTCGGTGTGCTGATGACTCGGTACATTAACGGTGAAGCGACGCCGACTATCGCTAAAGGTCGTGAGGTCAAGATGATCGGTCAAGACACGCCGTCTTGGCTGTCGGCTGGTATCAAGGCACTTACGATCCAGGTGCCGTTCCAGTCGCCCATTCCCATCAACCCTATTAAGAGTATCATTATCAAGCAGTTCAACCTAACATACCCACCAGGTGGCGATCCCTACTCGCCGACTGCCTCGTCGGACAGTCTCAGTGCCGAGATGGGTCTGCCATTTGGTTTCCCACTGACAGTGATTTCTACCAAGAACGAAATTACCATTGTCAACGAGGCAGACATGAAGCCGGTGGCAACAGTGAATGGTGTTATGTCGAATGCTGAGACAGAGCTGAATATTGTGTCGGCTGGTCAAATGGAGGCGACGCTCTACTTGACGCTGCGTCCCAGTCCTATGACACTACCGTACCAATCGGATGACGCGCGTCGTGAGTTTGAGATGTTCCAGAAGGAGTTTACGTTCTCAAAGCAAGTGCCGAAGCTCTTTAATGGTACGTCGAGTGCGCTTACAGATACGCCTGTGGGTCGTATTCTGCTGGACGGTATTCGCTTCACTGTGGAGAGTGGTCTACTGGGTCTGCAAGGGCTAACGCAGTACCCGACCTTGATTCTCGGCGTGGATGTGATGGGTGGTACGCAGGAAGCGCTAACTTTGAATGTCAACACTTCGATTTACAACCCGTCGAACGTAAACCTGGATGTCGGCAATGTGACGCTGCTCATGGTTAACCATGACGTGGTAGGTGATGCACTCATTCCGAATATGAAGCTGGCCATCGGTAACAACACGCTTTCGACAATTTCCCACTTCAACCCCAAGGCGAGTCCATACGGTTACGAAACAATCAACCGATATGTGTCTGGTTTGGATACGCCTTTGAACATTAGTGGCTTCGAAGGGTCGACACCTATTGACTCGCTGGTACCTGCGTTCTCGGCTGTGCGTGTGAATACTACACTGCCTGGTCTGCAGACGCAGCTTGTGCAGTCTGCATCGCTCGAAGTCCTGCCTACTACTGGTATTAAGGACGATGTGGCCCATGCCGTTGTTGGGCTGAGCAACCCCTTCACAGCTGACATCCGCATCTCGCACATTGTCACAAATGTTACAGCCTTTGGTCTCTATGTGGCGTCCGTCGATACTGATCTGGACTTTTTATCCAAGGGCAAGGCTGTATCTCAGTCGCCTGCCGTGGATCTGCACATGAACCTCTATCCACCGGACATGTTTGCGCTGGTGCGTGCGTATGCCGCGCAAGCTGGTCTGAATCTCGCGCCACTGGATGGCATTGTGCAAGAAGTCGGTGGATACACGTACTCGCCGACCATTGGCCAAACTGCTAAGATTACTCGCCGATCGTTTCTGGAGGAGCCGATGGTGGAGACGCACATGCTGGAGCGTCGCAAGACAAACAAGTATACTGGCTTCAATATTGCTGACTTTGTCGATAAGGCATTTGCAAATGCCACGTCAGATTTGAGCATTATGTCTACGACGCACATTGGCGACTACACATCAGACATGACGTTTGTGCAAACGAATGTGCCACTTAAAGTTGACCAAACATTGCATCTTCTCTTGCCAGTGCTAGCCAAGCCTATTGTGCAGAAGATTGTCGATGGCTCCATTCTAGAGGTGTCACGCGTTACGATTATCAACCCGCAACCTATGTCGTTCACGACGCAGCTACAGGGTGCGATCCGTAACTCAGGTCCGTTTGACGCTGTAATCAAGTTCCCGAACGGTTTGCAGCTTACGTGGAACAACAAGGTGCTCGGTCAAATCAGCATGCCTGATATTCCTGTGGTGGCCGAGGAGGGTGCCACACTTAATGTCCAGGCTGACTTTGCCGTGAAGGATGTAGATGCCTTGACCGAGTTTACCAAGTTCATGGTGCTACAACCCAGCTTTGTGTGGAATATTGCTGGCGAGAACTTGACTGTGTCTGCGCTTGGTATTGATACTGGCGGCATTTCCATCTCGAAGACGGTCATCCTCACAGGTATGAACCAGCTGAAGAACGATGTGACTGTCTTGGACTATGATCTGCCATATAATGACCCGGCCGGAGGTATTCACCTTACAGCACAATCTAAGATTGTGAACCCTGCGCAGGTGGGTGTGCAACTGTCTCGTTTCGGTGTATCGGTATGGCGCAACGGCACCAACCTGGGTCCCAGTGCGGCTGCACAGCCTTTCACGATGAATGCGTTGGCAGAGACGAACCTGCCTCTGGCTGGTCGTCTGCAGTACCAAGCCGGTGGCCATGGCCTTGATGTGCTCTCGCAAACATTCACGGATGTCACACATGGCCTCGAGATTCCTGTGGAGATTCATGGCGAGTACGCTGGTCCACCTGATGTCAAGTGGCTCAACGAGGGTATCAAGGTGCTGAATATCAAGACCAAGCTGCCGGCAAAGCACTTTAATGTCATCAAGTCGATTGACATTAGTCAGATGACACTCATGTTTGACAAGCAACATGAATGGGCACCATTGTCTAGCTCCAACAACACTCAAGCACCCTTCTACCTTCCGTTCGCTTTCCCTCTGGATATTCGCGAGGCTGGTGGTCTGTTTAAGGAGCGATTCCAGAACAAGGATGTGGCTTCGCTCAACGTGCCCTATTCGCACGCTGTGACGGACGTACAAGCACGTATTATGACGCTGGAGTTCTCTAACGTGCGTATGCAAGCTTATGGAGGAGCCCATAATGGCTTCTCCAACTTCTTGGCGACAACGACACGTGACGCTTGTGTCAAGTTTGGCTTGCATGGCTCGGCCAATGCGAAGGCCAACACGGCCGCGGGCTATGTGACGATTTCTGACATTCCCTTCGACGTGCAGACATCGCTGCTAGGTCTACAGAACCTGAATGCGCGACCTGCCACTGTGTCGGACTTGGATGTGTTCCATGGCTACAAGAACTACTTGCTCATCAAGGTCAATGCACACATGTGGAATCCGTCGCACTTGACGGTCGGCACTGGCGATGTATCGTTTGGCCTCAACTTCCGTGATCACTCTATTGGCTCGGCGAACATCAAGGGCCTGGTGATTCACCCTGGTGAGAACGTAGTACCGACGGATGTGCACTATTCGCCGCAGGGCAGCGAGAACAAGGCGACAGGCCAAGTCATGCTGGAGAACTATGTGCAGGGCATTCCCTCGACGACGATTATCCAGGGCTCGCGCAGCACGACCGACATTGCGTCGCTGAAGGAGGCTCTTGCTGGTATTAGTCTCTCGACCGTCATTCCGCCGCTGCACCAGTTGCTGATTATTGAGGCGCGCTTGGTCATTCCCAAGAACATTGCGCAGACCTCTACGGCGGAAGCTTCGTTCCAGCTGCGCAATCCGTTCACAGCATCGATCAACCTGGTCAAGCTGAATGCCGATGCATCGTACGAAGGCATTTTCCTCGGTAACATTAATCAGGACCTCGGCAAGAACCCTATTTCGGCGCCTGGCCACACGACTATTACCTCGCGTACACTGCCGATCAAGATGGATCTGCGTCCCAAACATCTCATCAACTTTATTGAGGCAGCGGCGGCGGCGACTGGCACGGACTTGGGCCCTCTTAAGCCGCAATTCGATAAAGTCATGGCCATGTCGAACACCGACACAACGGTAAAGCCATACCCTGACGACAATCCGCCGTCCTGTCACTCGGGTCACCAATTCGATGTGTTTGGCGCTGTGTTTAGCTTGCTCCGTGGCCTCAAGGTCAAGCTGCAGGCAAAGACTACGACGAAGCTGGATGACTACGAGACAGGTCTGAACATTGTGCAGGAGCCTGTACCGGCAGACACAGATCGAACGGCACTGTACCTGATTGGTCCTGTGGGTGCGCCTATTGTGCAGAACATTGTGGATGACGCGACACTGGCCTTCCAAACGGTCAATGTGACCAATGTACGTGACGATGGCTTCGATTTGCACATGCAGGGTCATCTACTGAACGCTGGTCCATTTGATGCACAGATTGAGTTCCCTGAAGGTGTTATTGTCACCTGGGAAGGCAAACAGATTGCGAAGATCGACCTGCCGCCAGTGTGCTCATTCGCTGATGTTGGTGTGCCGAACTACATTACACCTGGTAAGCTGAAGATCACCGATCAGAAGGGCTTTACGGAGTATACCAAGGCAATCTTGCACGAAAAGAGCTTCAAATGGACTATTCACACAGATAAGCTACGTGTGCGCTCCTTGAACATTATCTTTGACAATGTGAAGATTTCTAAAGATCTGTACTTTGATGCATTCAATGGTTTGCCGGGTGTAAGCATTACGTCGTTCGACATTCCTGGCGAGACTTCAAACTCCCTCAAGATTGTATCAGGCTCGGATATCCCGAGTCCGGCCAGTCTGGGTATGAATCTGGAAACGGCCAATTTCAAGATTTACTACAAGAACTTGTACATTGGTCCGGCCGGTGCGACTAACCTGTTCATGGCTGCGCATAGCGTGACGCATACGATGCTTCACGGCTTTATTACGGAAAAGAAAGGCGATCATGCGACCAACATTACTGGTGACATGTTCTCGCGATACTTGCAAGGCCTGAACACGACCCTTCAGATTCGGGGTGACAATGTTATCACGAAAGAAAACGGCAATAAGCCAGTGAAGTGGTTGTCTGATGCGTTCAAGACCCTGACGCTGAATGTCATCTTGCCAGGTCGCATTTTCCAGATCGTGTACTCGATCACGATTGTGGATCTGTTTGTGACAATGATGAAGCCGGAAGATACGTGGGCACCTCCGATCAGTTCGAACCAGACTGTGGCTACATTTGCGAATCCGTTCCGTTTCAGTTTGAAACCACTTAAGACAGCCATGGACGTATACATGAACTACAAAGGCGCAGACGCAGCGCGTCTTCAGGTGCCCATGATCAAGGATAGTGCCGGCACATCACATGGCCCTACGGACAAGCAGCCACTCACTGTGTCGTTTTACAACTACCGTCTCACCGCAGTAAACCGCGATTCCTTTACCTCGCTGTTTGGTGACCTGGTAAACATGAAGCGTGTCAGTTTTGGCTTGCATGGTGCCGCAAGCCTGGTGGGTCAAATGGTGATCGGTAATATTCCCATTCAAGGTATTCCTTTCAATGTGACGACGAGTCAGGCCGGCTTCAACAACTTCGGCGGCTCGGCCAAGGTGGAGCGTGTTGATGCCAAATCGGCTACGAAGGATTATGCGGACAACTCGATCATCTTGAACATGAATAACCCAAGCAACATTACAATCCACACCTATGGTATGGCGCTCCCTTCCTTTTACAAGGATGTGTACACTGGACGTGCTCTGCTGGGGGAGCAAACTCTGATCCCTGGTCAGAACCATCTTCAAGCTGTTTTCCGGTACCAGCCGAATAATCCGAACGATACTGTGGCACAACAGCTGATTCAGCAATATGTGCAGCCCGTGCCATACCAAGGCACCAAAACAGAGCCGATAAATACGCCCGTGGTGATCAAGGGTATTCCGAATGCCAAACCACCAATGTCGCCATTTGCTCCTTTGATTCCTGGCTTGGAAAAGCTCGTGGTCAACAGTGTGCTACCAGGTCTTGGTGTACGTGAGCTTGTCCGAATCGACAACTTTATCGATCTCCTCACGTCGTTCTCCGGTCCTGGTGGCCGTCCTTTCATCACGATTCAGCTGACCTTTAAAAACGATATGCCCATTGACTTGGAGGTTCTTGATGTCCTCGATGAAGCGCGACAAACCCCTAGCACCGAGAGTTCCCCAGTTATGGCCGCTTTCCACGAGCAAAATATAAAAGGATGTCTTGTCCCTGCCGCGCGTGCCACGAAAGTGGATCCTGGTATAAAACTGTGTAACAAGATCCACAATGTGTTGCTTGTACAAGGCCTAATTGGCTCACTTGGCCTTATTGGCCATAATGTGGACGTGTACAACCAGTTAATTGCTCGTCTAGGTGGTTCTAATGGTTATGTCCTACCAGGTCTCAAACTGAATGAATTTGATGTCGATACAACATACGCACTATCACTGGGTGATATCGTTTTGGTCAATGTGACTCAAGTCTCAGACCTAATTGACGGTATTACTAAGGGTATGGGCAAGATGTCGAACCAAGACAAAGCCCGCTTTGCACAAGGTATGAAGTCTATTGGTGCTGGCGGTGTAGGCCAACTGGTCGACAATGGCTTCAAGGACATGATTTGTGGTGTCGAACAATTCATACCCATTGATTTCCTGAACATTGCTGGCTGTAAGAGCAATGCTACGTCGAGTGCTGCTGCCTCGTCCGGCGCCGCTTCCAGCTCGGGTTCGACACAGTTGAAGCAAACTAGCTCTGCTGCGTCGAGTAAGCCGCAAGCTGCGCCCACCGGAGGTCAGGCGTCGCAAAAGCCATCATCTGCAGCAGTGCCCCAACAGTCTAAACCACAGGCTCAAAACCAAGGTGGCAATGCTAAGTCGGACGGTGGTAACAATGGGAAGCAGAGTGCTGCGCAAGCATCTAAGCCTAGTAGCAGCCAAGGCGGCGGTTTCTTGGGCGGCATCTTCAGCACATAAACCATCATCAACCATATCAAACATTCCTCATGTAGCATTTCTATGCTATTCATCATCTGTTCCTGTCATAGTCCTCTTTGAGTTTGTATAATGCAAAGACTTGTTTTGTTGGTTCACATTTAATGGGGTCTGAGTGGAGGCCGTGCGATGGGGCGACTAAGCCTGGTGCCCCCCCTGGGGTTCTTCACCACAGCCTCCCCCATGAGTTGTGCTAGCGTCGTACAAAAGGCACTTCGACCTGTGAAAGTGTGTCATATACCTTACCGAGTCCCGTATGGTATCGGTTTGCAACTCCAGGAGCATTTGGTTAACCGACGTGCTAAAGCACGTGCTGTTCTTCGTGAAGCCGCTATCCCAGTGCATGAGCAAAACCGACATGGCTTGTCACCAGAGATGCAGCGGCATCTTGATGTGGCACAGACTGATGTCCTTTTACTGTTAGAACATACACCTGTCTACACACTAGGACGGCGAAGTGATCAGGCTGCGATGGGTGCTATACTCGCAGCCCCGCATGTTGATATTTTCCAAACAAAGCGTGGCGGCCTACTGACGTATCATGGGCCTGGACAGCTTGTGGGATACCCCATTCTTGATCTCTGTCTTATGAATGTACGTATTTTGAGCTCAACTTACGTTTAGCTTTCCACTAGGTGCTACGTGGCCAAGATGCAGACTTTTTTACGCAATGTCCTATCGCGAAAGGAGATCAATGTTCCCACCATTGAATCTCCCTCAGAAGACTCAAAGTATACTGGTGTCTGGACTGATCCGACACGCAAAATCGCCTCCATTGGTGTTCAGGTACGCCATCGTGTGACGTCCCATGGGTTTGGGTTGAACGTTCACAACGAGGCGCTGGAGGGTTTCAGAAAAGTAGTAGCATGTGGGCTTCCCGATGTGCAGCTCACAAGCATTGATGAACAACTGCTTAAGTTGGGCCGTTCATCTACATTATCTCTGCACGATGTGGCCTGTATCGCCGCTGACGAATTTGGCTTGACAATGGGCCGCTCCATGGAAGATGCGGACGATGCATTCATTCAGTATGAGTCTACTAACAGGTCTTCGGATATGCTAGTGTTGTCTAACGTCATGGTAGAAGGACAGAGAGTCGTCCTAACGTAGATTTCATAGCGTGTAAACTTCCTGATGCAAGTGGAGGGATTGTGCGTCTGGACCGACCGCTGCGCGGCTACGTCGCCGAACTTTGGCTGCGAATTGTCATAATGGTGTGGCGATCGCTATCTACGCCATCATCAGCTGTGCGCCTTCTTCATACTGCCGCTTTCAAGCCTACATGTATCTGCCTAGATGAAAACTATCGCATCATCAATAAGGCACAACACACGTATCATCCCCGCGGTTATGAAAACTCGCAGGGCTACTTGCGCGCCCGTAAGCCATACGCTGTGCGGAATGCACTGACATTCCTTGCCTTGGCCTCATTTGTCGGCGGAGTATATGCATACTCTATCATGATGGTATGTGGGCTTGTTACTAACAATACAGGTGGAACAAGATGACTTCTCAGACCTGGAGAGCTTCCGTGTCATTCCTGATGCAAAGAGTGACATCGACAGCATTGTTGCAACGGAGGAGCCAGTGCAGACGCCAGACAAGACCATCCCGCCTTCATGGACACACTCGCTGAAAAACCGCGTATCGAGCCTCTGGTCCTCGGCCGGCGTGGCCAAGCCGTCGTCCCCTGTCGTAGTGGCACCGTCGGACCCTACCGCCGGCCCTACGATGAACAAGAAGGCCATTTAATACTTGTTCATAAATTCGGCAATCAATTTAAATACCATCTTCTATACTACTTACGCTTTCCCAAACCGGGAAGGGCAAAGACTAGAGCGTGTGAGATCGTTTTCGTACGTACATTCAAAAATCTTTTCGGCTGGTACAGCGTCGCCACGAACATCGCCCAACTCGCTAGACCGCTGGCCGCGTACTACACCAACAACACAGCCAGAGTGGATGTCCACTACAGGCCCTCCCGAAGAGCCGGGAATAGGGAATACCGCCGTTGACCGCATTGCAGCTTCGCGAAGTGATTCCGGCGTTTCCTCGGAATCCCAGTCCAGTTGAAAGTCGAGTTGAGCCAGCTCATCATAAGTTCCAGTTTCCGCTTGACGCCCAATTGGATCACGGTAGCCAGTAAGCTTGGCATGAGCCCATCGGTTTCGGACAACATCATGTTGGGTCAGGCCCTCTTTAATCGAAAAAGAGCCAGCGGTAGCATCAGGAACCCAACCACCAAAAGAGCTGACAGAGAGCTCGGTGTTGATGACTGCTGGGTACGGAGATACGGGTAGTGTTCTCATACTCGTATCATGCAAAGGTGTTACTTGAAAAGAGTCCAGATCAAAGCTGTAAGCGTTAGGGCTCAGTTGAAAAAGCGATAAATCTTGGCCAGGTAGATAACTCAGTAGAGTATGGACAGGGTAAATATGACCCAAACGCGTCATGGCAAGTACAATACTCTCATTATCTGCAGAAGAGCCTTTTGGCTTAACATAGTTCTGCATAACAGATTCCAGCTGTGATTAGTTAGATCGTAACATACCGTATGAGCACAAGATACAATGATAGGCCCACTCGCCTCCGTATCCGTACTTGCCAACTTATCGCCACCTTGAACAGCAAAACCAGAGCATATACTGATTTTTTCCTTTCCGAGTTCTGAGAATTCAATGTAGCATAAGAGCAGAACACCGTCGTCTAAGGCTGTATTGATATCGTCAGGTGCACTTTTAGCGTTCGTTAAGGCCACACGACGCTCAGGTTTGGGAACAGATTCGTAAGGTAACTCAATATCCAGTTGTTCATTCACAGAAGCATCCATGCATGACTGTATATGCTGGAAATCTGCGGGTGATGAGCTCCTTTTTCCCATGTTAAGAATTTGACGTGATGCGGAGATCAAATACCGCTCCATAGCACTAAAAGCGGATGACGGGTGGTCAACTGTGTGGTGTTGCTCGATATTCTTGTTTTCAGAGGCCATATGGTACACGTCAGGATTTTCGTCCCAGTAGTTCATAGCATCATTGAGACGCTTAACGAGCATAGACGCTGTATCGGGCAATGGCACAGAGCGGCGGGCATCCCCGGTAGCAAGATTTTTCACTCGCTCAATATCCGCTTTTTGAGGCATGTGTGTATTCTGTGTTGATTTTCCCTTTACAATATGGGCCAATACGTTGGCATCTTCTTCTTTCTCAGGGCTGCGTGGTGGCTCGTCCGAATGGATCGACGAAGCCGTCGGTGGCGCAGGCACTGAAGTTCCTAACGAAGCATCAACCGATGTGCTTGGGTTAACCGGGACCGCAAGTAAGCGGGAGAATATGCCTTTGTCTTTCCGTAAAGGCCTGATGTGTTGTTGCCTGAGTAACAACCGAGACCATAGGTTACTGCTAGCCATAGTTGCGGGGACGCATCAACCGTGCGGCGTCAAGGGTCCCATCCCCTGGCTATGTGGAGGCATTGATTTCGCTTTGATAGGAAGCTCAAGTGCTGCTCTATCAAAAACAGCACAGGTTTCGCTCAATACATCATCATCTCACAGGCTGAATAGGACGATGGAATTAACGACACTCGTTAGTAAGACTACTATTTTTAATCGGACGAAGTGGGTTTCCTATACTCAATTTTTTCGACTTTCACATCGCCTTCAATGAGCTGGTAGATATATATTACAACAACGGGGCCCTGAATATCGAGAACTGGTGTAAGTTGGCGATTCGCATACGTACGAGTAAATGATGGTATACTTCCCATTTGAATATCGCGCGCGTGTGATGACCTTGCAGAGATAGAAGACTTATTGTTGTTCGACTTTGCTGCGATCTTATCTTCTTTGGCGTGTGGCTGACCAGATTCTGACCCCTTAACATCTTTCTCATGTATATCTCCTGACAAAGGAATTTCAGTGGTCCAAGCACCAGTTGCGCTGCCCGGGTTTAAGAAAAACCTTCCGTCTTTCTTGTACGCCTCAAATTTATGAGTATGGCCATGTAGAAGAATATCCACATCCATAGACTGAGCAGTTAAGGAAAGAGCTGTAACATCAGCGGCTGGTATGATCTGATGGCCATGAATGACGCCGATGCGGACCGGCGGATACTGCAAAACCATAGAAGATGGGAGATGCCGGTTCTGTTACACTGGTCAACATTTTCTTATCAACGAACCTCGTCGTAATCTCCTTTCACAATATGAATTTCGTTACCTAACGAGCGAAGGTACTCATAGGTTTGCCGATCGCATACATTCCCTGTGCAGATGATCTGCTGGATCTTTCCAGGAACCTATTCAAGTATTAGAACTGAACACTTCGTATTGTACGTGCCAAAAGCTTCCTGAATTTCAACGGCAAATCCGCAGCACGGAACGGGATGTGTAAATCACCTATACGTTAGAACATTCCTGCATACAAGCGAACATACCAATCACTAATACTAGCATAGTATGCTAAGCTACCTTGATGCGATGCTGCGGGGTAGGAAACTGAGAACCTTTAGCCCACGTGCGGCGCCGCATTGAGTGTCACGCCAACTTGGGAGTATTTGGCTTGCTACGTAATCAGCGCGTGAAAATGGAAATAGCTGATGACACACGCAAAACCGTCTGCGTTCTAACCCAATGAAACGGCCTGATTCGTCATTTAGGGAACCACATGCCTCTTAAACTGAATTCATGCATAAGATGAATACAATTCGGGCCTAAGAGACAGGGAGCAAAATTGGGACAACGGCGGTCATCTGATACGAGTACGAAATTCGTCGTAGCAGTTCTACTACGGCCCTCATCATCTCGAAATTTAGTATAGCTCTGCAACATAAGTCGGATGGTGTGGCATAACTTGCCACAAGAAACAGACGCCCACACCAATCCTTTGGACCCCAGCGCAATAATGACTACGAGCCTATTTCCTAACTCGGTCAGCAGTGCAGCACAGGACCAAAGTTCTATTCCAGCATTTGCTAACAGTGCCAATACGATTCAAAATGCCCCTTTGCATTCCACACACTTTGCCAACAATGACACCAGCCTGCTAAGTTGGCTCACTCCGGACACGTTCCCTTCCACTGGCACTTTCGTAATGCCTCTGTCCTTTGATTCTAATGACATACATCGCTCGGTTTCTCAGCCTGCTGTAAAGCGGAAACCCGACGCTGCCAACTTGGAAATAGGGAGTTCAAGCCGTGATACCTTGTATGCTCACGAATTTTTGAAGGCCTTCCGTGCTCGAATGCCTAATTCTACCGAAGGCCAAGCTGCTTGTGACTACTGTCGCCGGCGTAAAATCAAGGCATGTAAAGCAACAACTGACGATTTAGTGTGATCGCAAGAAACCAACCTGTGGCCATTGTGCTCAATCAGGCCGCGTATGTACTAATGACGATATATTAAGGAAGCGTGGTCCTCCAAGCAAGTACGTACGAATTGCGTCGCATTAACGACAGACGAGAGCGTGCCTTGATGGACAACGCTGGTATTGTCTTTCGTGGTCGCAATTCTCGGTCCTCTAAATATGTGAGTCGCCGACCTGCTAGCGATAAGTCGGCGATCGATACACCTTCCAGCTCCCTTGCTCTGGCCAATGAACATTTTGCGACATCTATGGCTAAGCTGGAAAAAGGAGACCTTTCATTATCCAACGTCCCTGCGATGAAAAACCCTAGTTGGCCCGGCAGCCAAACTCTATGGCCCGGTATGGCGCCACCAGATCAAGCTATGCAAAATGTTCCTCACTCGAATGCTAATATAGCCACAAGTAACGTGCCATTGTCTGACCACGCATCCAGCCACCATTCCCTGCACTCCCAAACGGCTATGAGTATGCCTTTTACGCATGGTTTACAGCAGGATGGTAGTCTTTGGAATGGGTCTCAAGGAATTGACCCAGCAAATCCGTCACAATTTCATATGAATATGGTGGCTACATCCTCTCCATTGAGTCGTGACACGAGTAACTCATTTACGCCCACATCATCACTACCAGGCCTATCTCCTAGTACTATGCCTGGCAATTCCATATCCCCTTTGTCTTCAATTCTCAGCACAACTGGTCCTCCTGTGTCTGCGCCCAGTATGAATAACAATACAATGAACGCTGGCAATACGATAGCGGACTCCATGGTTAGTGATTTGTCGCTCCTTACGCAGCCGATGGGTACTTCGGAGACAACGCCAAAAAGTGACGTATCAGTAACCACTCGCTCACCGAATGTATCTGGTGCTACTACGTTTTCCATCGCTAAAAACGCTATACAGGGTGTCTCTCCACGCTCCGGCTTAAATTCACTTTCAACTAAGCATCTGCTTGACTTTTGTATTACTAATGGTCTAGCAGGGACCTCAGTGCCATCCATGAATTCCGCGGGTTCTCTTTTAGTGGCATCAGAACAAGAAGAAGGGTCGCGCTCCGATGCTGAATGCATTCGTGTTCTTGATGCGAACGGTGACTTATCGCTTCGACCTAATCAAGGGTACTTCGCTTCGCCAGCCCAGCTAAGCCGCAGCTGTGATCTTGACTTGGAGCTACCTGGTGGTACATCTATTCTAGCGTCGCGCCTGACAAATTCATCAGAAGATGTTTCTGATTTGTTCCTGGTTCAGAATCAGTGGGACGAATCAGACTACGCGAAGCTGCGCGCTGATTCTGTAACGCGATTGCAAAGGGCTCCCTCTTTAACGTTGATTCGAATTGCCATCAAAGACTTGTCTCAGTCACTTCCATTTTTGCAATTGAATGAGCTTGATAATATTGTGCAGATGATCGTTTTCTCGTCCAACTCATCGTGGACCCCACTTCAGATTCGTCAGCGTCAGGCATTGCTTCTCATGCTGTGCGCCGTCGGCTCGACACTTACCCCTGCGATCCAAATTACTCTCGAGTCGCCCGCTCGAAGTGCGACGGCTGTTCCTTGGGAATTTGGTAACAAGTGCTATCGTTTAGCACGAGGTCTCCTCGCGCCTCGACAGGGGCAGATTCAACCTGAAGAACAATCACTGGTCTTTGTGCAATGCATGATTCTCATGCATACATATCTGCATAAATGTGAAGACCACGCTAGTGCCTGGTCCGCTCTGGCCTACGGCGTTATGGCATGCACACAGCTGCTGCATGTACAGTCCATGCAACAGCCACTACATTCGCCACCAGTGTACTGTATTGTGGAACGAGAAATGATTAAGCGTTGCGTATGGGTTATGTTTATGCAGGAGGTTCAAAACCGTATTGACAATGGTCGCATTTCTCCTCGCAGTTTGATTACGAATAGACCCTCAAGCCTTGAACTTCCCGTGCTTCTTAAAGGGTTGCGTATGGGGGATGACGATGTTGATCTCAATGTGGACTCCTCTGCGTTTAGTCGTTTTGTCAGTCACATTGAGTTGTGCCAGATCTTCGCTTCGATACAGAGTATGTTGCTGGACGATATCAACAAGGCCATGAAACCAGAAATGAAGAGCGTCTATGACTCTCTCAAAGTACAGCTTCAATGCTGGGAGTCACAATCCCCTTGTTTCAGTAAAATGGTTTCACCATCACCCACTTGCGCAGAGACCAAGACTTGGAATGGGTCCCAGAACCTGAACGGTCTTCCTGTGTACGATATATGTGCGTTATACCTAACTCAATTTCCTATGGGAAATAGTCCTCTCCACTCATCCGTTGCTTAAGTGTTTCAAGTGTTTTCGCATGTAAACATTTAGTTTCTACGCTTCATTTCATAAGTCAATTCATCAAATAGAATAAAATGAACATCTATTTGTATGTATGTAGTACATTATGCCCATTCAGGCTTCTCAGTGAGGCTGCGGCCACCACCACGCCCACCGCGCCCACGGCCGCGCCCACGGCCACGGCCACGGCCACGGTGCGAGGCGCCGCGATAGTTGGCTGCCTGGTCACCAAACGTCAATATGTTGCGTTCCTTCTCCTCTGCGAATGAGTTTTGTGTACGCTGGCCTTCGTGACGCTCTTTCACCTCACTGCTGATGTTATCAAAGAAGCCGGCCTTTTTATTGTAGAAAGATTCCTTCGCAGCCAGTGGAATGGACTCGAGCTTCGTGTACTGCTCCGTGCCCGAGGCAATAGTAGAAGCTTCCTTTCGGAATCGAGCATTGGCACTTTCGAAATCAAAGTCGTTGGTTGGTAAAAGCGCATCATGTGGGGCTGCCACTGCAGACGCAGAGGTGCCTGGGACAGTGGCTCCTTCACGCTCTTGCTTAACAGGCATCGATTTAGATTGCGTGAGAGAACTATTGCCAGAAGATGTAGCTGCCTGTTTAGATCCCGAGGCTGGGTTCCGCATCGATGAGGATGTAGTTGATTTGAGCGCCGCTTCCGCAGGAGCCTTGGGCGCAGCAGGGCCCTTCGTCTCAGGAACTTTTTTCGTTGGAGATGACACCTTTGATGTAATAGATGTGCCAGCAGATTTAGCGAGTGCCGTTTCCTTTTCTTGTACAGACGTAGATGCTAGTTGAGACTGTACATTTTGGACATTGTATGCAGAGGTAGCAGGCACAGGAGCCTTGGCGGGTTCCGGCTGAGAGGGTGTCTCTGGGATGCCTGGTGGCGCCACAAACGAGGGTGGAGCTATACCTTGCATGTGGGGTGGTGGGGCACCAAACGACCCATCACGAGAGGGTCCCATAGAACCACCAAGATAACCTTGTGGCATCATGTAGCCGCCATATGGGTATCCCTCTGAGGGCATACCATACATAGGCGGCATTTGTGAGTAGATCTGCTCATAAGGTGCCATGAGCGAAGGGTAGGGCATAATGGGATACTGAGCATCCATGCCTGGCGCCATAGGCGCTGCAGGTGTTGACTAGATAGTTAGTACCCTTTTTAACGAAACATATCAATGGATGATCAGTAGGAAGGCAGCGGAACTATCCACATGAGAAAAAGCGCTCTCGGAAGTCAGGATCATAGATCCAGTTTACATCCGTATGGTTTCGTCCTGATGCATACATGATAACAACACGTACCTGTTCTGAACCTAATGTGTCCTGCGTAGCCGGCGAGAGATCATCAATCCGAAGATCGACCACATCTGCAGCACGGAATACGATAAAATCGTAGACGTGGTCATTCGGGGGCACTTCGTCTTGCGGGTTGCCTGCAGCCTTGCAACGACCTTCCGTACCCCATGAGCGAACCTTCTCAAGCGACAATGTAGCATTTGTGGCATCAATATTCGAGAGAATACCCTGGTAACGGATATTGGAGTGGGATGTCAGCGAGATGAGAGCACCGATAAAGGAAGCGGCGGAATTATCTTGTCCCCCCGCAGACATGGCTAATGTTGCCGTAGCGGAATGATGGACGGCAAAGCGTACGAAGCAACCCCAGCGACACCCCTGGTGAAGGTGTATATCACGTGACTGTATTTCGAACTGTGGATCGAACAAAGCCTATGTCTGCTTACGTTGAGTTTGTTTCGTCGCGAACCTGTGGGGTAAGTGGACCAGGTCATAGCCGTACGTACTTCAGTGCTGCTAAAGTTAAGAATACCAGCGCGATCAAGATCTTGGACGACGACTTCAGCTTTGGACACAGGCATGCGTCCAAGAACTTCGTTCACTTTTTCAAGACTCTTTGATTCCAACGCACGTCGGAATTCGTCATCGAAGCTTGAATAGATATCCCAGCGCTGCTGAAGCCATTCACGAACCTGCTCAACATCTAAATTTTCCGTACCTTCTCCCTCTAGCTTGATATGTTCCGGGGGAGGACCGTCAGGAATCGAAAAGGAAATGACAGTGTTTGGGTCTTCGGACATGAGTTGAATTTGTTCCACTCCCTCTCCACTCTCTTCCTGGAACTTGTCACGCATTGAATCAGCACGCGAGGCAATACGGGTGTAAGTGGCAAGCACATCGTTAAGGAAGACAAGGGCAGCGCGTCCATCCGTGTTCATCATGCTGCTGTTAGAGACGACAGTCACATACCGTTGGAAAAAGAGAGATACGCCGTCCCGACCAAGTTGGTTGCAGTATTGAATGAGCAATGCCTTCTCTGTGCACATGCGTGCCAGTGACTTTTGTCCAGCCATTTGTGACTCAAACGCCTGCATGAGAAGTGCATCAGAGGCACCATAGTCAGGACGAAGAAGCTCCTTGTGCGAGCTCAGGTAATCGAAGGCCTTTTCGAACGCTTCAAGATCCAATTGCTTCGCGGGGTTAAAGCCAGGCATAAATTTGTCTGTCGAAAGAGGAATTGACCTGAGTGCGGTGGGGAGGCTAGCAAAAGCCTTCATAACTGGTGTTAATACCGGCGCTTCTTCGTCATCCGAGTCAGCAGAAGAGGTAGAGGCTACAGGCGTAGGGGCACTTGCTGAGGGGTTCAGCGTCTCGATCTCCTGCACCGTCTTCGTACTTGACTTCGACGCAGGCTTTTGCTTCGGCACAGGCGCATCATCTGCCTTGTTCACATGCTATTTGGTTAGTTCACGTAAACGTACACTGCTGTTCCATCCATCATGTAAGTCGTCACTTGTAATTTTTTTCTTATCCTCGTCGTCCATTTCACGAAGTTGTGTCTCGATATCTTTTTGACGCTGCACAATTTTGCTTTGATGCGATTTCATAGAGGAAACAAGAGAATCTCCAAGCTTAGATGATCCATGACTCTCCTTGACATCAGGCTCGAGGTTGATTTGAAGCAAAAGAGAGAGCAGGATATCATCCAACGTGGGGCCATCAGGGCCATCTTTGTTACCTCGAGACTCGCGTCCTGCCGTCAATCGGGATACTTCCCTCTCGTAAAAGGATGCGCCTTCCTTGTCAGTGTTCTCCGCCAGAGCATGGAGCAGTGGAAGTATAGCTTCATTCGTACGATGCTCCGCCTCCAACTGCGAACGCTGAATCTTGCGCATTTCGCGCTTTTCATGAATATCACGCTGCTTCCAGCGGATAAAGGAGCGCTTGTCCACATTCGGGTGAACCTCAATATCAGAATCATCAGAGACCTCAAGATTGTCCCACTTGGAATAGTTCAACTTTCCCACCATGGTTGTCGTTGTTGGCCAGCATGGTACAGCCTCGTGGCACATGTGCCTAGGCCCTCCACAATCGGACGCATGGCCACGGTGTGGTTTGGTTACGATCGTACACCATGGAGGCGACGCAGGCGCTATACGCGTCGGTTTCGTACCGAAAAGCCCCAGGGACATTGATATTGAAGCCAAATGGGGTACTTCACTGGAAGCCATCGAATGCTGCGTCGAACATACGCGAGTTTTCGATCCAGGATGTACATTTGAATGGCTTGCAAGTGTCCAAGCCAGGAGCTGCGCAAGTCGCTCTTCGTCTTGTAGCCAAAGAGGGGCACAACATTGATGGAGAAGGTGTAGCCCTTCTTACATTTAATGCTGAAAAAAACACCGCATTGGAACATCGTGAGAAGTTTAAGGAGCGGCTGGCCGCAGCGATTGCAAAAGCTCGGGCCGAACAACCCAGCGCCACGAGCACCGCGTCTACGTCCACATCCTTGAGTTCTGCACAATCCGATACTTCTGAGGTAAAAATACGTGGACAAGTCCTACTATCAAACCCTAGTTTGCTTGCACTTCATAAAGAAGTGGTGGGTTCGGGGACGATCTCTGATGCAGACTTTTGGTCTCACCCAGCGCGAGCTGCACTGCTTCGTGCTGAACGTGCAAAGACTGAGCAAAAGCAAGGTCGACAGGGACAGTTGGCTGACCCACATCCAACGCAGAATGAATCAGGCGAGTTGAAAATCAATATCACGCCGCAACTAATTCGCGAGCTGTTTGAGCAGTACCCTGTCTTGACACGCGCGTATGATGAAAATGTGCCTACTAAGCTTGACGAGACCACGTTTTGGATGAGATATTTCCAGTCCAAACTCTATCACCGACTTCGAACGTCCCTTCGTTCCGCTGCCTCAGAGCAGCATATACCCGATGACGACATCTTTGACAAATATTTGGAAGCTGAAGACAATGGTACGTTCATAATGACTAACGGAAGAATTGGAGCCGCGACAAAAGTATAATCCTCATGATGCTTTGTTGAACTTGGCCGCTACGGAAGAAGATCATGGCCCTACTGGAAATGCGCAAGACTGGACCATGCAGCCAGGGTTTGATCGAAGAACGCTCCCTTTGATGCGACGGTTTAATAAGCATGCCGAGTCCCTTCTTACGTCCTCCCTTGGAGAAATGACAGAAGAGGATGCACGACGGGTGCGCCGAAAAACAGGTGGTGTAGGAGAGGAATATGGATCAACCTCGAAGAAGCCACGTATTTCACGCTATGATGAGGAAATTGTCATTGATGACTTGAACGATCAGCGTGGTGTTCAAGGTCGTCGATTGAGAATCCAAGATCCAAAAAACTATTATGCATCTGATTCGAATAGCCAGGAAGTCACAACCTCGACACCTTTAAACCAGGTGGATCTGGATCGCTTCAGTCAAAGTTTGAATGGATGGAAATTGGAACTGGCTAAATTTGCACCAAAAGGTGATATTATGCGCAAAACGCTTTCGTTGATGTTAGAGAACATGAAGCAGCAAAAGGCGGGGCCCTCGCAAGAAAGCATGAAAGGCATGCCGCCTGATATTTTCAAGCAATTGCTTACTTGCCATGCAGCCACCAGTGAGTTCTTGCAGCAGTTCTGGCAGGCCATACTTCCGTCCGCCGACCAAGATCCATCTCAGTCGCCTTCGGTCGTTGAGCGCGCTAGGAAGGCCCAAACTATGTTGACTATCTTGCGCAAGACCGATGCGCGTATTGAAAAAGTCGCCCAAATTGCGGAGGCGGCACTACCTGGGCAGGGCCATGCAAACGTGATGGAAGCTTTTAGTTCGACCCGAAAAGCCGTGCAACGGGCACTATCCTATGTAGATGCAGTATAAGTAGGCCTAGGCAGACGCGCGTGCAGCCTCCTCGAGCTTGCGCCGGTTGGATTCGACAATGACACGTTTGTACTCCGAGACATTGCCCTGGAACTTGTACACTGTTCCATTGTCGCATACCCACATTTCTTTCAGGCAGCTGTTGATGAAGCGCTCATCGTGACTCACGACAATAACGCCTCCATTCCAGCGGTTGATAGCATCAATCAGTGCATCAAGGGCTTCAATATCCAGATGGTTGGTGGGCTCGTCTAGAAGTAAAACATGGGGTTTCATCAAGCTTAGCTGAGCAAAAGCAACACGACTCTTTTGACCACCACTCAGTGTAGCAATCTTTTGCAGGCCCGTAGTACCTGTAATACCAAACGAGCCGAGGTGCTGGCGGTACTCCTGCTCTGTACGGCCAGGGAAGCGCGACGCGAGGAACGCGACGGCGCTCATCGTAAGATCAAGCTGGTCAATATGATGTTGCGAGAAATACCCTACACGAAGCCGAGGGTTTCGCTTAGCATCGCCAGACAATGGCGAGATTTGGTTGATCAAAAGCTTGATCAGAGTGGACTTACCAGCACCATTGCTACCAATCAAAGCAATGCGGCTGTCCATCGTAACGTCAAAGTTGACATGGTTCAGGATGATCTTGTCTTTCGAGTAGCCGAAAGTGACATTGTCCAGCTGAAGCAAGGGAGGGCTGATTTTCTCGGTTTCAGGAAGCGTGAAGTGCTCGCCCGACTCTTTTTCTGGTGGTTCAAGAATAGGAAGACGCTCCAATTCCTTGATGCGGCTTTGTGCCTGAGCAGCACGATTCGCATTGTAGCGCCAGCGATCGATAAAGGCTTGTAGATGTGCTCGCTTTTGCATATTGGCTTCATACTCGCGAATCTGGTTCTTGCGACGCTCGTCACGCGTTTCGTAGAACTGATCAAAGTTACCTTTATAGTAGTCAAGGCGCTCAGAGTGCATATGCACGATGTCCGTGGCCACCTGGTTCAAGAACGCACGGTCATGCGATACGACAAGCAGGGTGCCCGACCATTCGTTCACTAGGTAATCTTCAAGCCATGCAATAGCGTTCAAGTCAAGCATGTTTGACGGCTCGTCAAGCATAAGCAGATCTGGCTTACAGAAAAGTGCACGAGCCAACGCCAAACGCATACGCCAGCCACCACTGAAGGCCTTGGTTGGTTTTTGCTGGTCAGGACCAACGATACCAAGACCATTGAGCAAAGTGGCTGCACGGCTGGGACCAGTTTCAGCCTCCATGTCCACCAATTTGGCTTGAACATCGCCCAACCGCGACAAGAGCTCATCTCGTTGGTTCTCACGCTGCCGGGTAGGCAGATCCACAGCAGAGCCGCGAGAAAGACCATCCCGTTCTTGGTTTTCATCAGCCGCTGCAACAGCAGCCTGTGCAGCCTCTTCAAGTGCTTGCAGCTGCGCATTGAGACTCTTTTCCTCGGCCATGAGTTTTTCACGCCATACATCAGCCTTAAGTACCGCATCGAGAGCAGGTGTGTCATCACCGACAATTTCCTGCTCAACATAGAGCAGGGATACGTTGGTAGGAATAGGCACGTCACGCATAGCCATGTGACGAAGCAGGGTACTTTTACCTACACCATTACGGCCAACAAGACCGTATCGGCGTCCGTATGCCATAGTAAGCTCAGCATTGGTAAGAATACGATGACTGCCGAAGCTGACATCTATGTTCGGCAGATGGATATCTTTGTTCTTGCCCTTGGCAGCTCCAGCACTAATGGACTCGAGTGGGTTGACTTGCATGTACATTTCCTCGTACGAGGCCATCTTTTTCACATTCTCCACGAGCTTACTCGATTCATACAGATCGCGCTGAGCACGCTTGGCGAGCTTAGCGCGTGTCTTAGCTTCCTGACGCTCGAGTTTCTTTACGTCGACAGTAGTACGGTTTCGACTCGACTTGCCGAGGGCCAAGTCCATAGAGTCGTTGCCAGCATCGTATGTCATTGTGCTGCTGGTTGTAGCGCTGCTCATATCCACGACTTTATCAAGACGCGTAAGGCCACGCTGCTTCGCTGACGTCTCTGGCTGACGCTCAGCAACCATAACTGCCAACTTCTCGATCAAGGCAGGCAAGGCTTGGCGCACCTTCGAGTTGGCGGGCTCGCTAATCACAGCCGACTTTAGCATCGGCTCCACGACATCCGACATGACATTTACAGTAGGATCTTCGCCAGCATCTTCAATGTACCTATCCAGATACACGACAATAGGTTCGTCAAGGGACGGCAATGCCTCCCGCAGAAGAGCCGCTGCTGCCATCGTGAGTCGTCGCGTGTCGAAAGAAACCGTCTGTCTGAGAGAGACCACGTTGAGAATTAGTCAGCCATCTCGGCCTGAGAAAATGGATTAGGCCAACAGATCTATGAAAGGCTGCAAACCACGCACAGACGCAGGGGATGGGACACGAAGACCTGCAGGCGCTTGGGCAAGAGCATGAGCTACATGCATCATAGCCTCCGAGGAAGAAGCAGTATTGCCAGAGGGTGTAACACGTCGAGCAGGTTCATCCGCTCCGCAAAGCAGGGGGCCGACGCTCAGCTCTGTATACGCCTGCCAAATGGCACATACTTCGGCAGGGGCTCGGCTTGGCGCTGGGCTGGACGTATGAAAAACGGTGGGATCGAGGAACAAGAGGAACAGAGCATCGTATCCACCAGCGCCTGGAACACCGCCACCAATAAGCCCGTGAGCCTGCTGGATGGTGGTATCGAGCAAACGCGTCATCTCTGGCGGCTCAACAGGCGCACCCGACCGGGTGCCCAGCTCACGCATGCCAGCACGCACAGACCGCATAGAGTTGCGCACTTGAATAAAGGCTTGAAGGGTGTCATTTGGATTCGCTTGGCAGTGTGCATCCCATTCGGACGATGGCATAGTGGCCAAAGTGGTCACTGCGTCAATGTAGGCAGACTGGTTCATTGCATACATGAGATGCAGATGCAGCAAGCCGTCTGCGACACTTTGGTTGGAAGCAGCGATAATTTTATACAGTTGGTCGGCCCATACGCGATCTTTTGCACGCCAATCGCTTACCTTGCCAACCAAGGTTCGAGTGTTCGAGCCTGTATCGACATCGGCCAAGCACATGCGAACCCCCGGTGGTAGAAGCAGAGGCGAGGGACGGGAGGACGACGTCTGTGGGGATTTGAGCAGGCTCTGCAAGCCCTCCACGGCTGTGGGGGTGGAATCCGCTGGTGCCACGGGTATCCATAACGGATTGGAGGAGCCCAAGACCGGTAGAAGTGAAAGAGAAGAGCGCTTATGTGAGATGCAAGGATACGTACCAAAGCAGGGCGAGACTGATCTGGTGTGCAAATACGATGACCTGTTTCTGTGCGCATAACGTCTTTGATCAGAGCAGGATCAAAGCGACGGTACAACTGACTGCCCCATACGGACGCCGAAACGTCGAAGCCAGAGCCTACCTTACCTTGCGCTGCACAGTGCGCTAATTGTGCAACGTTATGAATCAATACCAGAGACTCAGTCGTGATTGTGCTCTCGCTGGAAGACGTGTCGAGCTTGGCTACCTCCAGATGCAAAAGCAACGCGGCCACAAGCGATGTGGTCATAGCCGCACTCGACCCCAGTCCTGTTTTGTGCACATCACCCAAGGTACTTGAATGAGGCGAGAAGGGCGGAAGTGCACTCAATTGTTCGAACGTAGGCGCCTTTCCATCTATGCGGTGAGAATAGTAGTCGTTATCACCGGCAATTACAACATCCATGCCACCCTGTAGCTTTTGCAGGGCCAGCTCAACCCCATGAAATTCCAATGCCACGTGAAGTGAGTAAAGCAAAGCCAGGGCCACGAAGGGGTTGGCATCGGTCTTTTGAACAAGAGTCATAGCCTCAGCTGTATTTTCAGGTCGATCCATCGCAGTCACATGTACGTCATAAATCCATTCTGCCTGCTGGAATTGTGGGGAACGAACGCGGACCTGCGGCGACACACCAGACAAGGAGAACGACGAGATGCTGGTGTAGAAGCGGGCATTTGTAGCTAGGACCAGGCCCGTATAAGCAGGGTCCAATACAAGATAACCACCAGCAATTAGCACTTTGCCAGGGGCCGATACAGTCGTGACCATGCTGAGCGGGACGTGCGGGCGTGACAAAAAAGGCGCTGTTCGTGGAGAGGGGACGCCCTGGATGGATGCTGACAAAGCCATGCTGGAACGCATGACGATTTTTGTCTCTCACCCATGTCGATGTCGGCTACGCCATCAATGTCGTCCGCCGCTCACCCGGCTAGTGGCTCGGATCATGCCCAGATGACTATTTTCAAGAAACTATACCCAGAAGAGTACCTTCGCCGCCATTTGGACGAGGGTATCCGTGAAGATGGACGTGCTTTGGATGTGCCACGAGATGTATCTGTGGCCGCGGGCATCATTTCCCATGCACAAGGCAGTGCTTTGGTCCGGCTAGGTCAAGGTACAATGGTCACAGCGGCTGTACAAGTCCAAACGGCCAAGCCACATTACGAGCGCCCCCATGAGGGATTTCTTGGTATGTACAAGCCATTCTCACCGCAGTGCCCAGCATTGATCTTTCACCGCTGTGCTCGCCACAGTACAAAGTAGGACCACCAGGCGACGAGGCGCAGGTGATGGCCCACTACCTACAGATGTTTCTGAACATGTCCGGCATTTTACCGCGTACATCTTTGTGTATTGCTCCTGGTGAACTCTGCTGGAGTGTCCATGTTGATATGGTCTGTTTAAGCGACGATGGTGGTGTCTTGGACGCTGCCGCGTTGGCAGCTGTGGCTGCCTTGCATGACTGCCGCCTTCCCAGTGTGGTGAGCGGCACAGAGGATGGGAGGCCGATTTTTGACGCTACTACCACGCAAAAGCTCGCACTGGTGGGTATGCCTATCCTCTCCAGCTTTGGTCTTTATGATTCGACCTACTTGTTAGCGGATACCACAGCTTTTGAGCAGGCCTTGTCTGCTGGCTGTCTCCACATTGGGCTCGGTGCCGAGGATAAAGATGCCTTTTGGATCAAGGCACTGGGCCGTAGTGCCGTGACGCAGCCACGTCCATGGCAAGGCAAAGACCTTGTGGAAGCATGCGTCCAACTTGCGCAGAAGCGCGTTCCTCAAATGCAAAAACTTATTCGGGATGCGCTTCTGCACCGTGATACCCAAGCCGTCCAGGCTTAGTACCCAGCATACACCCGTGCACGTTCTCGGTGTGAGTCAGCGGACCACGTACCACATAGCTGCACAACACGACCTCCAGAGCGGTTGCTCTTCAACACCATCGCATGTCGTCGTACTAAGGTAATGAGAATGGTACGCCGTGATGGCGTTGCATGCGTCAATAGCTTCGAGTCAATGCGGGAGAAGCGTACCTGGGTAATGATGGGCAAGCCATGTTGTGCCGCCGCCACATCAATCAAAAGGGATCGGGAGGCCCCAGGCACTCGAGGTGCATGGCGCCCAGATGTCATGGTACGGCACAAGGCATCGGCAAGCTGGTCTTGGAATGGAATACCACAGTGGCGCTGCGCACACTGCAACGCTTTGGATCCATATGTGGATAAAGACACAGTACTTATATTTTGCAAGAGCCTGGCGGAAATGCATTCCTTCATGGTGCTACTGCCACGTTCGATGAGGTACTGGATGCTCCATACACCCCATTGATGACAGACGCATTCTAGGAACGAGGCAAAAATTTCCTGGATTCCATTGTCGGATTCGTGCAGAAGATGGCTCTCCATCATGCACGGAAAAAGAATACGGCCTGCTTCACAATTGACGAAACGGACCCACTGTTTTGTTAGCGCATTCAACACCCTGGTGCGTAGCAGAGAAGAAGATGCTGAGTCTGGCCATGCTTGTTGGAAGATTTTCTGCCAGAGTGGTGTGGACGAAAGGGTGGTGAGCGAGAGCGCCAGCCGGGAGGATGTGATTTCGCGTACTATAATAGGTGCCATGGATGGCACCGTATCCAGGATGCACGTAAGAACGTGGGTACCGTAGGGTGAGAGTGATATTTCACTGACGGATCCCATGAGTTTCTCGGCCAAGTTTACGGAAACCTTGATCGCACGTTGAACAAGGAAGTGGCCATATGGGTGCACAGAGAGAGGAACAAGCAATGCTTCTATGGCTTGTAAGAGGGATTGTTTTTGCTCTTCATTACCCCGTTTCAGTACCATTTGAATCTCAATACACTTGGATGCGGAGTTTTCCGTTAACAGTTTGTGTAATTCTGTTGGAGCATGCCATGGCACGGAGGAGCCAGGCGGCGCTTCCGAGGCCCATGCCAACGCTCGATGATCGGCTTCCTCAGCCGCTGGATCGTTGGAAGGCTTACCAGGCGAACTTCCACTGCTCTGACGTGGAACTGTATGAATTACAGCGGTGGGAAACGCGTCGATACCTTAGCATTGTTAATTCAGTCCCAATACCTACCAGGCAGTGGAATGGACTCCTCTTCTTCAAGGATGGGCCAGAACGGATTGAATGGATCAGGGGTGGACGGGCATCGCGCTACAGTATGATCAAGGGGGGTGTACGATTTGAAGCGACCAGACGATGGCGTGGCAAGGGTGTCTGTACAAGACGACGATGTGCTTGATAGAGACGCCTCACTGGTAGGTGTGAAGGGCAAAGCCATGGATGAAGACGCATACGGCCTTCGCCAGACTTGGCGCTCCAGCTGCATGATGCGGAGCTCCAGTACACGAATCCGCTCCTGCAGTCGCTTGTCTAAATCGTTGAATTGATTCTCTAAGCCTTGGATTCTGTCTAAGAAAAGAACTTCTGCGTGAGGAAAGGCGCACGTACCATCGTTCCACGTTGTCGGCAAGGGGGTAGACATGTGAGGTGTGTGGCCAGACTCAACACCACCTGTGCCAGAGGAAAAGCTGGAGTACATTGAGTTAAAATCAGACATGAAAGCTTGGAGACCCGACATATCTGTGTACTCTGCGTATTTATATATGCGATTGCAAGGATCGTGGGGAAAGAACGTCATGATTGTGCCGGGAGCGTCATTGATCAAACCAATGAGCTTTTCATAGTTATGGTATACCACAGAGCTGCATATATAAAGTTAACCTATAGCTGGCAGCAAATGGCAGAGCGTACATCGATCGTATTGTACTGGACTGAAACGGTAGCGGCACCGTTCCGTCGCGCACGAGCCAATTTGTGCACCATTGGACCGATATGGAGATTTCTCCACCTTGTATCCTCGCTGCGCCACGTACTGCCATCGTACTCTGATCTTAGTAGAGACATGGAATTGAATCGGGTTACTCATGATCAGGAAGAGATACCAAGAGGAACGCCCTCTGATATTGAGCTAGTCCCATCGTCGAGCGAGGACAGTGTTCGGCTTACCGTGTACAATGACGATGACGAAGACGACAATGAAATTCGATTTGATACCCCCTTCCTTGCGTCATCGTTAGCTTGGCAGAGTGTACCATCTCATAATGCAGCTGATGCACCACTGCCACTATCGCGTGCAGAGATGAAGCGTCTCATTCTTCGCACCATGACAACTACATCCCTGATTCTTATGGCCAGCATGGCCCTGTTAGCGCTCATACTGTACCTGGCCCTTCCAACTTTTAGCGAAGAAGAACAGGCAGCTTTACGCATCCCACGATCTCTGGAACAGCTCAAATCCCTGCTCCAAATTTTTGGCAAGTACAGTCAAGACCATTATTACCGCGTTATGCTGGCATGGATATCCGTTTTCCTATTTATTCAAACGTTTTCTATCCCAGGGGCTATGTATCTAGCCATGCTAGCAGGCGCATTGTGGGGAACGCCTGTGGCTCTGCCTCTTGTATGTATAGGTATTGCTACGGGGGCCTCGTCGTGCTATCTGTTAAGCAAGCATGTGGGTGGGATTGTACGCGTGCTTCCGCGATGGCAGCATCGTATCGACTCATGGAAAAGCACCATTCAACAGTACCAAAATGATTTGTTTTCGTACTTAACAATCCTTCGGATGATGCCAGTGCCACCCCATTTCATTCTTAACCTATTGGCACCCCACTTGGGTGTCCCTCTAGGCCTCTTTTGGCTTTCCACTTTATCAGGTGTTTTTTGTTCATCTTTAATATACACTGCGATTGGAGAAGAATTGGAGCAGATTTCCAGTACAGATGACTTCCACTTGTTTACATGGCGAAATGCCCTTATGATGACAGTGGTCGGTCTGGCTGCGTTATTGCCTGTCATCCTGAAAGGACGTGTTCAGGCCCCAGAAGATGACACACAAGCTGCTTCAGGCCCCATCTATCTCACTGACAATACCACTCAGCACCGTTGGAGGATGTATTTTCAGCATATCTATCGAAAGCTGTTATCTATGATCTCCCCTGGTCTATTAACTAGACTTGACCGGCCCTCTCACGTGCATAGAAACGAGGACCATGATGATGAAGAACAGCCAGGTGACAACTCAGTGATAGAATGGCAGCATGCCCTGGAAGACCGCGAGATGCAGCCTGCATCAGCACTGCGGTTCACAGACGATGATATTGAGGCTCTTGAGGACTATGAAGAAGATGGTTTGTATAGGCCTACACCATCTGCTCGCCGTGAAGATATCCTTGCCTATGCAAACAAGACATCCCATTTTGCTGAAGAAACATAAAAGATCCCCCCAGCTTGGTGGCAACCACGCCAGGAAGAGTAGTTCACAGATGTGTTTGTAAATGGATATATAAATCTATACCATACGCTTACGACTGGCCACCCAACATCGAAGCCTCAGCACTAGCCGTAGCAGCCAGACGTGTGCGGCGACGTTCTGCCTCAGCCTCTTGTTCAACTTCGATAGTTTTCACAACATCTTCAATCTCCGCTAGATCAAGAATCCTCATTTGACCGTGCCCAGTCATCAAAGCAATTTCGATATCTTTCGTTAGTTGCATTCCTTAATGGCTTACATACTCTTTGCACCAGTTTGCACGACTTCCAAAAGACTCTTCACGGCCAGTTTGATAGCTTCTTCTTCAGACATATCCTCCTTGTAGTTCTTCTCCAAAAATTCACGGACTGTCTTGGAAGAGCGGCCAATAGCATTAGCCTTCCATGCCGAAAACATGCCCGAGGGTTCCGTCTGGAACAAGCGAGGCACATTTTCATTGTGATCGAAGCCGATGATCAAAGTAGAAATGCCAAAAGGACGCATACCTCCCGACTGTGTGTATTTCTGCTGAATTCCAGCGATATGGCGTGTAATATAGTCAACGGTGACCGGATCTTCAACCGTAAGGCGATGCGATTGGCACTCGATTCGAGCACGGTCAATAAGGATACGCGCATCAGCATTCAAACCAGCAAAGGCAAGGCAGATATGATCGTCTAACATGGCAGTCTTGCGTACAGTACGAGGGTCTTGGAGCTGCTGAAGACTCTTCTTTTCCACGCCGAGCACTACAACATCCTTACCACGGATACCAACCTTGGACGTAAGTAATTCCTTTAGCCATAGTACATACGGCACAAGTACCCTTCCGAACAGCTTCAAGAGCATAATCTACCTGGAACCTGTGAGATGTCAGCAAAGAAGGGAATGAAGAATACGAACAAATGGCCTGAACAAGTTAGTTTGCATACAGAATAATAACTTACCATCAGGAGAGAAGACAGTAAGAGCTGTACAGATTTGTTAGCACTGGCTCTGTAAATAAATACAAACCTCTGTCGTATGACCTCGACATTTTCGATGAAATGTGAGATGCAATGAAGGCAAAGCGTCGCGACAGGCAGTGATGGACAATGTGGCCCACGCGTCCAGTCTCCGATCACATGTGAATGGAAATAAGCACAACATAATTCCTGTTGCCAACACAAACCTTCTCAGCTTCTGTCTCCCGCTGCAAGAGAAGGCAAAGTAAAAGCAACACCGTGGAGCTAAGGATCTGTCCTTCAAGTAGCTGCTAAGACTGGTCTATATGTTGTCTGAATCATAAGAAGACATCACAGCACATGTGAGAGAACAGATAAATTGGGCTGTTTAAGCCGCTACCTTTTGTATTGAGACCGCTTGTAAGCAGCGTGCCATTTAGCTAATGCTCATGATAGCGTTGATCAGGTCACCGTTGTTCTCCTTCAACGCCTTCACAGCCTTGCGGCGCGAGCAGGACACCTGCTCCATAACGAGGTCAATGTCCTTGGCGTCCACACCAGTCTCGTCGATAGGACTGTCATCATCCTCTTCTTCTTCCTCGATCTTCTTGTTGGCTGTCAGGTCACTGACATTGAAGTTCGGCTCCGTGGAGCCCATACCCTCAGCCATCATCTTCTCCTGAGCAGCAGCAAGCTGAGCAGCCTGAGCCTGCGCAAAGGCGCTCATATCCTCGCTCTTGACCTCACCAAAGATCATGTAAACGTCAGACACGGGGGACTTGTACACATCCGGGTTCGAAACAACGTAGAGGTGCTGTTCAAAGGTTAGCACGATTTGCAATAACTAGATACATACACCACGGGGGCGGCGCAGAGTAACACGCTGGATGCCCGAAACCTTCTTGAGGCCAATGTTCTGCAAGGCCTTGCGGCTCTTGCGCTCGGCACGCGACTGGACACGGTCCGGAACAGAGACCTCGCCATTCTCAGCCTCGACTTCTGTGTTGTCGACCTTAAGCTAAAATGTCAAAATACAAAGTGTCAAACCGATCGCACATTACGGATAAGCATGAGTGTAAGTATGACATTTTCGCTGTGAAGGGGACTAAATCCGATACGCACGTCCTTAACGTCCTCAGAAATTTCCTGAATCGACATGGTGATTGTGAGTCGAAGAGATCCAGCAACCACGGCCTCGCGCCGGTGTAGGTGCGCCTGTTGGCCTTCGTTCGTCCACTAAAACTGCACGCCGCAGCCGCCCGTTTAAGTCACGTGCCCCGCACGTGGGGAACCATGGTGTCGACTTTACAACACGCTAGCGTAGTGGTCTGTTCGCACAGATCATTGACAACCACCTTGTTGGCCACCACGATGCGTCATACATTGTTTTGTCGAGCTCTGTCGCGCCATAATCCATACTTTCAGGCGCAAAAGCATGTTTTTTTGAAGCCTCTATGTGCACGGCCGTACAGTAGTACGTCGTGGCTACGCCACACTACGTATGCCACCAGCATGGATGCTAGGAAGTTGGATTGGGTCAAGTTTCAGGGTCGAAACTTTGTTTCCATTGCTCGAAAGCCAGAAAATCCAGAGGATCCGTCAGCATTAGAGGGTGGTCCAATTGGTGTTACGCTAACAAAGGAGGCAATTGACGTATGTGAAGTTTTGCTGTTGTAAGCTAATGTCAGAAACTACGTTCTGTGGCAGAAAAGGAAAATGATCCAAAACTTGGATTACGAGTTGCTGTTGAACCGGGTGGCTGCCATGGCTATGTATACAAGCTTGAGCTGTCCAGTGAATACGAAGAAGACGATTTGTAAGTACTTATGGATCTGACATGTAGCGTATTTGTGGATGGTGGCGCCCGCATTATTATTGACAGCGTGTCCTTGGGTCTTGTCAAGGGGAGCACGATAGACTACGTCACTGAACTAATTGGGAGTCAATTCGCCATTCGCGAAAACCCACAAGCCAAAGGAAGCGGCTGTGGGTGCGGCGTAAGCTGGGAGCCTATTTTGTAATGACTTGTTCGATTGTGTCTTCAATAAAGAGAATGCAATAAAGCGTAGATAGACTTTACGCGAAATCATAGACACCTCGCTACATATGCTAGCGTCTATGCTGTCCTAGCTGTGCTGACATTGCTTGCAGAGTAGCGGCAATCATGTGACTCTGTGGAGGTCGAGCGCATTTATTTTAACGACTTGCATCTCCATATCGAACGGAGGAGATCGTGTCTTCGCCCTTCCGAGATTATGGCGGACTCAAATTGTATAAAGGTATGTTTTTTTTGCCCATGTGTACTGACTTTTCTTTTAGAACGAGTGGCTAAGATGTGTAAGTTGATTTTACAGTAATCACTGACTTCAGTTCTTTGAAGATGGAGATGAATACCTGCCTGACCCATTAAAGAAAAAATACGTTGTCACTAGCGAGGTTCTTGGACACGGAACTTTTGCCGTCGTTAAAGTCTGTATCGAAAGAGAAACATGTGAACGCTATGCAGTCAAGATTGTGGCGAGGAAACCCCTCGGGAATGCCCATTCAGATCGAGACACTGAAGTGAAACCTGCTAATGTTGCGCGTGACGAAATTGATATTTTGTTGTCCATGCGGCATCCAAATGTCATCCGTCTATGGGATTTTTATGAGACAGACGATGGACTCTTTATTGTGATGGACCTTTGCCCTGGAGGTGAGCTTTTTGACAATATTGTTCGTCGCGTCTCATTCAAGGAGATGGATGCACAGATCATTATGCGGCATTTGCTAACCGGTGTGGCCTACCTTCACGAAAGAGGTGTGGTCCATCGCGACCTAAAGCCAGAAAACATTCTACTGTACGATAAGGATGATATTAGTAAAGGCATGGTTATTTCAGACTTTGGCCTTGCAAAGATTATGCCAAATGAAGGGCTACTTCTCACAGCATGTGGATCGCCTGAGTATGTTGCACCAGAAGTTCTTTTGGGTGAAGGATACGATATGCGTGTGGACATGTGGTCATGTGGTGTGATTGCCTTTGCGTTACTTTGTGGGTACACACCTTTCCATTCGCCCGACGTCCATGAGACACTTCAGAAGGCCGTTAATATGGAGTTTGAGTTCCATCCGACGTACTGGTCTACGCAGAGTGAAGAGTGCAAAGATTTTATCTGCAAATGCCTTTGTGAGAAGAATTCGCGCATTACCTGCGTGGAAGCTCTTGACCATCCTTGGCTAACACATCTCTCAGAGAAGCAGGAGAAAAATGGTCTGGGCCCTGATTTGAAACGAGTCCATCCGAGCGAACTGGAAAACAAGGACACAAGGAAAGGTACCCTGTTGGTTCAGTTGGAGGGGCTGGAAGAACTTCAGAGGGTGCGCAAACGAATGCGTGTCCTGTCGGACGATCAGCTCGACGAAATGGATGCCTTTATTAGGGAATTCAAAATTCAAATCAAGTCGCCGCTCGGAAGTCCTACGGATGTGGAAAAGTCCATCCAGGAAGAATGGACTAGTGGGTCCCACAATGCTAGCTGCAACGTGGAAGTGCATGCGAAGGACTCGGATAAAAAGCCGCGTAGCAAAGAGTCATCTGAGGAAGGTGGCATGTCATACACACGCCATTATATACGTGAATCGTCCAGCCAACAGCATCAGATCAAGCATACGTCAAGCACAGTGGAAGCTCTGAATAAGATGCTTGAACAGTATGGCACAGATACATTGCCCACCCTTTCGCGGGTGGATCCAACAGCAGATGTGAAGCCGCAAGAGACTATGACATTTTCCAAAGCACTGAAAGCAGTGCCAGCTTTGGTCTCTCAAGGCTTCTCAATTGGCAGTGCGATTGCCTCCCATGTGATTTATGGCCCGCCGAAAAAGTCATGGGGCGTAGAGATGTCGATTTTGACCAGGATGATCAGGGAGATTGCAGAACGTCATACGAGCTTGGCTACGATTTCGGGCTTGCAACGGAGCGTGGAGCTGCTTCGTTTTCTTCCAATTCCAGAAGATGGCTTGGTCACGCCTGTGACATTCCGCGCCAAGCGCCGGAACTTGCGTGGCTTCTTGGCGGAGGAGGATGCGAAAGAAACTGGCAAGCGTGAGCTGACAGGCGAGTGGATTGTCGGTAAGCAGACGTGGCGTCGACTTCAGACGGAGTGGCAAAGTGGCAACCGTACACGTACGGAACGTGTGATTTTGTACATTCACGGTGGTGCCTATTTCGTCATGTCCGCCTCGACACATCGACCACTCACGATTGCTCTGAGCAAGTTTTGTGAGTGCCGAGTGTTCTCTGTCAACTATCGTTTGGCGCCTGATACGATATTCCCCGGTGCGCTGCTAGACGCTGTGTACGCTTATTTCCGTCTGACGGAGGACTTGCATATCCCGCCGAACAACATTGTGCTGGCCGCAGATAGTGCCGGCGGTGGACTTGCGATTGCGCTGATGATGTATCTTCGCGACAACAAATACCCTCTTCCAGCTGGTGCGATTTTGATGAGTCCTTGGGTGGATCTGACGTTGTCGTGCGATTCGTGGGAGACCAACAAGGAGTTTGACTACCTACCTCGACCAGGCGCTGGGAATCATATGAACCCCATTAATGCGTACCTGGGCCCGAATATGGATAAGTATTTGATGCATCCATACGTCAGTCCCTTGTTTGGCGATATGCATGGACTGCCGCCGATGCTGATTCAGTCGGGTGATGCGGAGGTGCTGCGTGATGAAGCTGTGTTGTTTGCGCACAAGTGCTCGCTGGCGGGGGTGCCTGTACGACATGAGATCTACGAGGACTGTGTCCATGTGTTCCAATTTTTCCTGTTCCTGGAAGCGAGTCGCAAGGCCTTCCAGAGTATGCGACACTTTATGCGTACCGTCCTTGACAAGAAGCAAAAGAGACGCGCTTCTTTGGTGTCGGAAGACACGCGTGAGCAACTCGATAGCGAGATGAGTGGTGGCCAGGGCGAAACGGCCGCGAACGAGCCAGGCTCCCCGAATGCCTTCCAGCATCGTGCAGAAGACTTGGATCAAGGCGACACACCTCACCACACTTTGAAAGGTCTGGGTCCGAATGAAGACGAAGAGGATGACGAGACATGGGATTTGGATGGTGATGATGAAAACCCCACTCAAGTTTTGATGGAAGTCGATGACCAGAAGGAGAACCCTACACAGAGTTCCTAACACCACTTTGAGTATTCATAATAGAAGAATGATAGCATGCTAATAGTAAATAGAAGAGAGAGAAAAAAACAGAATATACATAGAAGATAGGGGTATGACAAGATGCAATTCCACGCTATATGTGTATAAGTATTACTTGGCCTGTGGCATTTCGACATTGGGGATTGGAAGCTCTGGCGTCTCGTTGTTCATGTACGCCTTGCCGTAGAAGGAAAGCACACCCGTAGCACTACCGAGACCAGCACCACCGAGGAGACCGTTGATCAGGCCGACGCGACGCAAGAACAGAGCGGGGAGAGCCAGCGCACCGACAACCGAGCCGATAAGCTGGAAGTCGTCACGGCGCATACGCTCGCTGTCCATGCGAATACCAGCCACGCGGTACGTCAGCACAGGCGCTGTAATCTGGATCGACTCGACCCAGCCCGCCGCAGCGCCCAGAGCGCCACCCAGCACAGGCACGACCCAGTTGTAGCGAGCCAGACCACGCAGCTGGAATGAACCCTTGCGAATGGCGTTGAGGAAGTACAGCGGCGTAGCAGCCACCGAGGCTACTTGCGAGCCTAACTGTGAGATAAAGAATAGAGGTACATACCTTGCAGAGCGCGGTGCGAGATAAAGTAGGTCTGGTTGTCCGAGATGTCAGCCATGCTTTAAAATAAGGGTGGAGGAACGGGAGGGATGTCGGCAGGGATCGCACGTCCCAAACCCTGCCTGCGATCGATCACGTGCAAACACCGTGTCGCCGAGAAAAAGGCTCCTACGCTTGCTGGAGGATGCCGCGGTGGATGCGAGAGAGGCATGACGCAGAGGATATAGGGGTAGAGGACGCTATATAAGGATATATGGACACCATATAGGCACATGAAATACCTGGTATTCTTACACAACCAGCAGCTATGATGTGAGAAAAGCATGTACATACCTTACGGAACGCGAGAAAGAGCGTCACGAGGGTTGCGAAGCTGAGCGTGTAAGTCAGGATCATCAGATCGATACGTACAACAAGCTGGCATACGCGTTGGACGCGACGTCCGTGTTTTCCTTCTTCGGCGCATGCGGCTTGATGTTGATAATCAGCGCCGTAGCAAACAGCAGGCCTAGCGACGTAAGATCTGGGAGAGGCGAGATGACAGAGGTTGAAGCCAACAGACTAGACGAGGTAAGTGTGTAAAGGAAGTCACGTACGTTAGACTGCTCATTACGGCCTCGTACGTCGAGAGGTTCCAGTCCTCTATCCATGCGGTAGGCACAGTCACGGGCCGAACGGCGCCGGCATTGCGTGGGTCCGTCTTGTCCACACGACGTGCGCTCATCGTAGCCGTGGGGGAGCGAGCGGCAGAGCGAGCGCGTAGCAGTGCAGGGGCGATGGATGACAAATGCCAACGTAAGGCATAGCCAAGCGAGCCCACCTCGTAACGAAGCACACCGTGCGCGCATCCGCACGGCAGTCAGGCACCATGAGCATACTAGGATACCCGTCCAAAATACTCTTTGGGCCTGATGGGAAGGCGGACTTCCCTACATCAGCCGTGATGGGAATCCCTCGACTGTATACAGAGCGCCACATCTCGGCAGCAGATCACCGCTATTGGGCGCAATTTACGACCAAGTTCGACACGGTGGACGACGTATATGCCTCGCTCCAAGTAGCTGAACTGCGGAAAGCAGCTGAGGAAGCGCCTGAAAACCTGGTAACGCTGGTTGATGTGCTCACGCTTCATCTAGAGAGTCTCGTCAACGACCCTCACTTTGCGCCTGTCCCTAAAGCAAGCCCAGGTGGCTGGAGCGCGTTGCTTGCCAGCACGGCGCCGACGCCACCGGTGGATGGACGAGACCGACATCGCGAAGCACTGAACTGCTGCCGCGTTTTATCGCGTGTCATTCCGATCCTGTACGAATCCAAGCCACGCACGAAGGAAGACATTGACATTACCGACTTGGAGCACAGCGCATTGTGGCATACAAAGCCGCGGCCGTCTGGGTCGTCACGTACGCCTACCCAAGGCCCAGGGTCACGAGTCACACCGCATAACCAGAGTGCGTCCACGAAGACCCCGGAGCAAGGACGTACGGACGACGATGATCAGTTTATTCTCGCTGATGGCGACGAATCGATCATGGATCCGCTCACGGAGGCAGCTGGCGATGTCTCGACGGTGCCTGTGGAGACGGTATCCTGCACAGGTCATGTCTTGCTGATGACGCTCATGGAACTGTTGTTCTACGCTGGGTTTACGATGCCATGGGCGGAAGAGCAGTTTGCATCAGACAGAGCTGATGTGAGTCGTGTGCACTTTACGATTTGGGAGGCGGGGATCGGCAGCCCTGTGGACTTGAGCCATACGACGATGGAGCATTTGCAGCGCCGTACTGAAGTGCTTCGTCTGCTGCTAGTCCTACTTGCCAAGCCCATGTACGTGGAAGCGACGGCACTTCCGACGTCTGAGATGCAGGCGCTGCGCTTCATTACGACGGAGCTGGATCGCCCTGTTGTTCTGTCGTTCCTGTGCAGCTTGCTCAATACGGTCTCGAACTATCGTCAGTCCGACGCATGGTTCACGTTCGGGACAGACCTAGCGCGCGAGCGATACTTGTCCATGTGCCTGCAGACGCTTGGCGCAGTGCTCACGTACGAGGACACGTCCAACCTTTTTTCGTTCTATGCGAAGAAACTGTATCGTGAAAGTGATTTTGTGTTTCTTCTGCATGGTGCGCTGAAAGCGTTCCAGGCTGCGATGAGTGTATCGCATGGTGCCTTTGAGATGGGACACACCCAAGCGACGTTCCCCAAGCCTGCCGAAGAGCATGTGTCAGAGTGGCTGGCCGTGCTTTGGCACTTGCTGCGTACCAACGACAAACTCATGTCCTACGTTGCTGCAAGTCCAATATGGAGTATGCATGTCATGTCGTGGGCGCTGTACGTTGCGCTAGCCAATCGAAACCACGCAGCGACGCTGGGCCAGGCGCAGTGTGCCATTTTTTTGCTCCAGGACTTGTCAGCGCAGCCGGCCTTTGCAGAGCACCTGACGCAGCCAGCAAGTATGAACCAGGTCACAGTGTCGGTACGCCTACTCCGCCGTCACAGTACACTGGCATTGGATGCCTTGATTGAGAGTGCGTACTTCCTGATCACGACCAGTGCAGGTCCGCTACGTACGCTGTACCCAAATATGCTGTACATTCTCTACAATACGGCGCCGCAATGGAAGCATGTGTGCGTCGTCTCAGCATCGCGCATTGAGCAGCTCGTACGTCAATTTGCCGCGCCCAAGTACTTGCTGTGCATGCCAGAGCATCCGTCCTTGCTCAACCTGCTTCTCCAGACGCTTTCTCGTGTCATGCTATACCATTATGCCGACAATGTGCATGTAGCCTATGTCATTGTCCGCCTGTCGAGCGTGCTGGAGCAGGTACGTACGCTCCGTCTCGACGAGGCATTGGAGGCCATTCATCGGAGGTGGGAGCATGCCAAAGTATGGCACAAGGACGATCTGTCTACTACCAAGTCGCTTCCTTCGCCACCGGCAGGCACAGAGACGACAGCGAATGAAGATGTCCTTACACCGTCCACGGATATGGATGTGGCGTTCCGTGGCGCGGAGATCCAGAACGAGCAGTCATTGGCTCACGGCGCGGATCCTCTCGCGGTAGACGAGGTGCTGGGCACTGCGTCGTCCGAGGTCAAGGTGGACGCCAAGACAGCCGACACAGACGCCCAAGATGATGGAAAGGAGGAGGCTGAAGCAGAGCCCAAGGAAGATACCAAGGCGAACGCCGACGATGTCATCAAGGAAGATACGGACGCTGATGTCAAAGAAGATACCGAAAGAGACGCTAAGGCTACGGAGGTGGATCACGATGCCATGCGAGAGCCTGCGCAAGAGGGCGGGTCGACGACTCGCACAGGGCTGAGTGCACCCGAGTTGCGTCGTGTCGCTGTAAGTATCGGCAAGCATGGATTTGTTCCGACGCAGGCATGGGTCGATGCATGGCAGCCTACCTTGTCGTTGGACGTGCTTACGCCGATGCTGGCGTACCTCACCCCGCGACTCCAGTCTTTTACGCAGAGCGACGCTGTGGTGGGAAGTGCGAATGCGCATGAACAGATCTTGCAGTTCCTGCAGACGCAGTCGCTTGATGAAGTACTGCCGGGCGCCTCGGCGCCGACGATGCAGCCCTTTGTGTGGAGTGCACAGAGTACGATATGGTTCCAAAGCTATTTCTGGGGCCTGGTCTATGCGGTCGGCGCCACGCCTTGGGCTCTATGGCTGGATACACACACACATCTATTTGAAGTGCACACAGAAACGCCACGGGACTCCACGGCGGCGATGGCCATGGGGCTGGTATCTTCGTGGACGGCGGGCCTTTTGCCGACGTGGCCCTTTACTCCACTGACGTCCAATGACCATGGCCAAGCCACAGCGTAGATAGGGCCAGTAGGATCCCAAGGCTCCATAGCAGGAGGGCATGTTGCCGTTGGTACTGCCGCCATGCCGTGGCGTAACTGTACGGAGAGAAAAGGACCATCGCCTGCCAGGACAGCCAGGTATCCTTTGGTAGGCATCGCATGGCTGCCGCATCTACACTGTCTTCCCACCACCGCCTTGCCCATGCTAAGCGAGACGTGGGCGCCGTGGACGTCAGAGCGAAAGGCGACGTGTGGTACAGCGAGAAGTACGGGTCCTGCGAGAGGTGCAGCATCGCACGAACATCGTCACGACGGCGACGCGAGACTCGCGCAAAGACGCTGTGCATGTGCAACGCAGCAAGAGGCGTATGCTCCAGCGCGGCATCGAGTTCGTCCATGAATATACGCACATCGTCCCAACCGCCATTGAGGCCTTGGGCATTGAACGGTGTGAGTGTGTGTGCTGCATCGCCCAGAAGCAAAAGAGAGGCGCCTGCATGCATAGGCTCACACGATGCACGGCCGAGCGGGGTAGGCGTGGTCGTCGTCAGATGTGTAAATGTGTCGGTAGGAAGGTAAGGCAACAAATGCGGGGCATGCGTTTGGACGAGCTGCTGCATCGATGTAGCGCTCTTTCGTGCCTCTGAAAGAAGGGTCGCTGGCGCATATAAGGTAGCTGTGAACGAGGCATCGCGGTTGGGACACGCTGTCACACACAGCGTGTCGTGCGTCCAGACATGCACACTGCCTGGGTCCATGGCGAAAGTCACGGTCGATAAGGAGGGCACAGGCGGCACAACAAACGTGACCCATGCGCCTTCCAAAGTCTCTGTTGCCGTATGCACGTCTGCAACGCGTACCATATGCTGCCGCACGATCGAGTGCCATCCATCGCAGCCGACCACCCAGTCGCAGCGGGTGGACAGAGGCGGCAGAGAGGGACCTGAGGATGTGTGAATGTACACGGCGTCCGATAATACGTCCATGGCATCGACATGGCATCCCATATGCATATCAATCGCATGATGCGATTGCATGGCGTCGTACAATACACGCAGAAGCGCACCGTGCCGAAGTGAGTACACAGCCTCGCCATGTGGGCCCAGCCGTTGACGAGAGGACGATGTGGCATAATGGGTCTCACGCGTATCCACAGGGATGCACAGGGCCTGGATGGACGATGCGAGCGAAGCTGTCACCGATGTTGGCCCAGGCCGGGAGGCGGCGCGCAGAGCTTGTAGTCCTCGGCGAGTCACCATTTCATTCGGGCTATACGGTGATGTGAGCGATGCTAGGTAGGCGTCTCGCGACTGTCGCTCGTACACATGCACATGAAATCCACGCTGTGCCAGCTCCAGCGCCGCAAGGCAGCCTACTGGCCCCGCGCCGACCACTCCAACGGTGGGCGGCATCCAACGACGATCGACGAATGTGGGGAACCCAAAATGGGGCCGAATTGCAGAAAGTGGAGAACATACATTTTTTTTATAGTCTATACAGCAAGTAACGTTACAAATCAATCAGCAAGGCCTCCGAAGCAGGGTCGGCAGGCGGGGTATGTGAAGAAACGTGCGTAGTGTGTGTGGCAGGCACCCGTCCATCGGCATCCATCGGCGCCGAAGGCAGCATCGTCGGCGCTGCGAGACTCGGTGGCGCCGACGGGACGGTATGCCACTCGTCCTGCGCGTTAGGATGTGTCGGCCGCTGCGACACAGGCGGTGTCTCCCATTGAGCGTCGAGCAATCGGTCGTAGAGGCGCACAACATCGGTCAGTGTCTCGTGCAGCTGCGTCAGCTCACGAAGCCGTCGATGTCCTACATCGAGGTGTCGCGCCAACTTGGCCCGCGAAGCAGCGGCCTTCGTATGCATGTTTTGGACAGGCACAGGCACGCCATCGGTAGGCACACGCTCTTTCCAAGGCGCTGATGATGTTTTGACAGTTTGGTAAAACGTAAGAATGTGGTCGTAATCGGAGGCATCCATCTGCAAAGGTCGCTGAGTGCGTGTTTGCAGCGCCATGGGGGTAGGTGATGACGTCGGTACGGCTGGCGGCGGCGTTGTGAACGTAGCAGTGGGGGCGGGTATAGGTACCGAAGGCGTGTTCGACGTTGGTGGCGGTGGCGGTTGCGATGACGCTTCCCACTCCCGCAAACTCGCAGCAATCGCTGCAGCGAGCTCGGGATCGTCGTCAGCATCGGTGCCTTCTGCCTTGCGTCGCTCTATGCTTGGCTCTGTTGGCCGCGAAGATTCTTGCAGCGAGAGAGCAATAGCACGCGCCAAATCATCGTCTTCTTTCGACGTGGTGTTAGACGCAGAGGCTTCTGTGCGAGGCACGGCCGTCTTCGACGCAGGTATAGGTCCTTTCCGCTTGAAGCAACCATCACATACGCGCACAGGCTCTTTAATGCTGTACCATGGCAGGGCCATGGTCTTGCTCGAGCATTTGTAGCAAAATACACGGCCACAGTTCCGACAATGATGCTTGCGCAAGAACGTGCCAAAGTCGGCACGACACCGAGTGCATACGCTGCTGTCTGTCCAATCCGGCGCAATCAACGTATCTGTCAACGCCTGGGCCGCTGCCACGACATGTGCCTCCGCAGATGGAAGTGTGATACCATGCTCTGTTTCCAGGGCACGGACAGCACTAGCCATGTACCCCAAATCCTGCGGATGTGCCTCGGCAAGGTACCGCCAATTCTGCAAGTACTGCAGCGTCTGCGTACGAACGGGCACCGGGAGCGAAATTCGCTCACGGACCATGGACGTGACAGCGTCCATGAACTCAGGGCCAGCGACTTCTTTGAGGAATGGCATGCCGCTGTTTTTTATACACAGATCTGTGAGCTAGAATGTCAGTAGACAAAACACGCACATGGAGCGCAAGCAGCTGGACATTGGGATTCGTATGCAGGAGGCGCTGCTTCAAGATCTGCATGGCATGCTGTGGCGTCACGCTCTTAGATCGAATGAGATCACAAACGTCCAAGTTGGTCGCCATATCTTCATGGCCAGAAGGGAGGAGAGGCGAGGTGGCCTTCTCCACGAGCTCGAGAAACGCACCTCGAGACGATATCATCGTCCTGCTGCGATCACCGTGCGTCGTCACCCCAGGCAGGACCTGCCGCAGGTCTGTCGTGTCGAGCCTAGTGTCACGTGCCATTCCCACTCGCCGTTCCGTTTTGCACATATCTGATTCGCCCAACAGGACCCCAAACACGTGTTGGTAAAAACCGCGCTGGGCGGCGTGAGTCGGTCGCCCGGGTAAGCGGCGGTCGTGGCGAAAAGAGTGTCGTCTTTCTGACGACGACGACGAGGCGAGAGGCATCACGGATCGTGTTATCTCTGCTGCTACGACACACAGTTTAGTTTCTGGTGTCAGCACGAAAGTCGTCGGCCACACCCGCTCTAGGTGAGGCTCTCCTTGATTTGGTCCGAGTCGCGTCTAGGTGTTCTTTGCTTCCTATCTTGGATTTCCGACTCGTCCAGCGGACATCGTGAGCAAGGCTCGCATAATTTCATACGTGTAGGATGATTGGACATCAATTTGCGCCTTCCGTCGCGCCGGTCCGTTCGGTGCGCGAGGTTCAATTCGGAATTCTGAGTCCGGAGGAAATTGTGGGTGTTTTTGCGTGAATGGCATACTAAGACCTAACAGCGAGCCTTTTCTGTGTGCAAAGTCGAGTACCCTGAGGTGAAGGACGATGCCACTGGAAAATACAAGGTGGGCGGTCTCTCGGACCCGCGCCTGGGTACCATCGACCGGAACTACAAGTGTCAGACGTGTGGTGAAGGTATGGCGGAGTGCCCCGGCCACTTTGGTCACATTGACTTGGCCCGCCCTGTATTCCATGTCGGTTTCCTAGGTAAGGTAAAGAAGCTTCTCGAGTGTGTTTGCGTCCACTGTGGCAAGCTGAAGGCGGATCCTGTGCGTATTATGCTCTGCTAATGTTAGATCTCTGATCCTGTGTTTAAAAGTCTGCTGCAGTCGACACGTACACTGCGAAAGCGCCGTTTCCAACGTGTGTGGGAGTACTGCTCGAAAATCACGATTTGTGAAGCGGATGAAGCGAAGGAAGAGGATGAGTTTGGTGATGTAACCCAGCAGAAAATTGGCCACGGTGGTTGTGGCCGTCTTCAGCCTGCGATCCGCAAAGAGGCTCTGAAGCTGTTCACCGTGTGGCGCCAGAGTAAGAACGAGGATGACGAAGATGGTGGGCGTATGGCGCAGTCGGAGAAGCGTCCTCTGACCGCGGCGGAAGTGCACACGATCTTGAAGAAGGTGTCGCCTGAAGATGTGGTGACGCTCGGTCTCTCGGAAGAGTTTGCGCAGCCTGACTGGATGGTGCTCACCGTGCTGCCCGTGCCACCGCCTCAGGTGCGTCCAGGTGTGACAGAGTTTGGCAGTGGTATGGGCCAGGATGACTTGACGTACAAGTTGGCCGATATCATTAAAGCAAGTGCAAACTTGCGCCGTATGGAGCAGGAAGGTGCGCCTGCCCATATTCTCAACGACTTTGCGGATCTGCTGCAATATCATGTGGCTACGTACATGGACAATGACATTGCCGGTTTGCCGCAATCGTTGCAGTCGTCAGGCCGTCCAGTGAAGGCCATTCGTGCGCGTTTGAAGGGCAAGGAAGGTCGTTTGCGTGGCAACTTGATGGGTAAGCGTGTTGACTTTTCTGCACGTACCGTAATTACTGGTGATCCCAATCTAGAGTTGGATCAAGTTGGTGTGCCAAAGAGCATCGCCCGTAACCTGACGTACCCGGAGCGCGTGACGCCGTACAACCGTGCTTATCTCTCTGAATTGGTCCGCAATGGGCCAAATGAATACCCCGGTGCTCGTTATGTCATTCGTGATACAGGCGAGCGCATTGATTTGAAATACAACCGACGTGGCGACATTGCGCTGCAAGCGGGTTGGATTGTGGAACGTCATCTGAAGGATGGCGACTATGTGCTGTTCAACCGTCAGCCTAGTCTGCACAAGATGAGTATGATGGCGCACCGAGTCAAGCTGATGGACTACTCGACGTTCCGTTTGAACTTGAGTGTGACGCCGCCCTACAATGCCGACTTTGATGGTGACGAAATGAACTTGCATGTGCCACAGAGTGAAGAAGCCCGTGCTGAACTGGCGCAGATCGCATGGGTTCCGCGGCAGATTGTCTCGCCACAGGCCAACAAGCCGGTCATGGGCATTGTGCAAGACACGTTGTGTGGTATTCGCAAGTTTACCCTGCGTGACTGTCTGATGGACTTTGACCAGGTGCAAAACATTCTCATGTGGCTGCCCAACTGGGACGGTGTGGTGCCGCAGCCGTGTATTCTGAAGCCGAAGCCGTACTGGTCGGGCAAGCAGTTGCTGTCGATGGTCATTCCCAAGGGTATCAATGTGTTTTTGGGTGATGCCAAAGCGGCGGCGAACAACTTTGTGAAGGACGACGGTGTGCACATTGAGAATGGTGAGATCATGTACGGTGTTATCAACAAAAAAGTGGTCGGTTCCACCGCTGGTGGTCTGATTCATATTATTTTCCGCGAGCGTGGCCCTGTGGTGTGTCGCGACTTTTTCAGCGGTGTCCAGCGGGTGGTGAACTTTTGGTTGCTGCACAATGGTTTCTCGATTGGTATCGGCGATACGGTGGCCGATAAAGCCACGACTGACAATATCAACAGGGTGATCGCGAAGGCCAAGTCGGATGTCATGGACCTGATTCAGGCAGCGCGTCACGACTGGCTCAAGGCCGATCCGGGTATGACACTCCGTGAGTCGTTTGAAGCGAATGTGAATCGTATCCTGAACAAGGCACGTGACGATGTCGGCTCGCACGCCGAGCAAAACCTGCCGGACTGGAACAATGTGAAGCAGATGGTGATTGCTGGTTCCAAGGGTTCGTTCATCAACATCTCGCAGATGTCTGCCTGTGTCGGTCAGCAGTCTGTCGAAGGTAAGCGTATTCCGTTCGGTTTCCGCCACCGCAGTCTGCCGCACTTTACGAAGGACGACTTTACGCCCGAGAGCCGTGGATTTGTGGAGAACTCGTATTTGCGTGGTCTCACAGCCCACGAGTTTTTCTTCCATGCCATGGCCGGTCGTGAAGGTCTGATCGATACAGCTGTGAAGACGGCCGAGACTGGTTACATTCAACGTCGTCTCGTCAAGGCGCTGGAGGATGTGACGATTTGCTATGACGGCACAGTGCGTAACTCGACGAACAATGTGATTGAGTTTGCGTATGGTGAAGATGGTATCGATGGTGCGATGGTGGAGCGTCAGAAGCTGATCACGCATGGTCTGAGCGACAAAGAGTTCCGTCGTCGCTTCAAGGTCGACTTGAGCCATGGCGGTTTCAAGAAAGGCACGTTGCGGGCTGGTCTGGGCGACTGGTCGCCTGAGCTTGAGCAGTTGTTGGACGATGAGTTCGCACAGCTCGAGCAGGACCGTCAGCTTCTGCGGACAGAGATTTACCAAACGGACCGCGTCGACACGTACCTACCGTTGAACATTGCACGTCTTGTACTGAATGCTCAACAAATCTTCCACATCGATCCGCGCCGCCCCAGCGACCTATCACCGTTTGACATTGTGGAAGGATTGCAGCGTATCTTGAACAACCTGGTGGTCGTACGTGGTAGTGATCCGATCAGTCGCAGCATGCAGGAGAACGCTACATTGCTGTTCAAGATCCATTTGCGTTCGTTCCTGTGTTCCAAGCAGGTGATTGAAGTGCATCATCTTACGCGAGAGGCCTGGGAATGGATTCTGGGTGAGATTGAAGGGCAGTTTGCACGCAGTGTTGCCCAGCCTGGTGAGATGTGTGGTACGCTGGCTGCGCAGAGTATCGGTGAGCCAGCGACGCAGATGACGCTTAACACGTTCCATTATGCTGGTGTCTCGAGTAAGAACGTGACATTGGGTGTGCCGCGTTTGAAGGAGATTATCAACTGTGCCGAGAACATCAAGACGCCCTCGGTGACGGTGTACCTGCACCCGAAGTACAGTGCGTCGTCCGAATCGGCCAAGATCATTCAAACGGCGTTGGCGTACACCACATTGCAGACGGTGACGTCGGCGGTGGAAGTGTTCTACGATCCTGACCCAAGCTCGACAGTGATTCCAGAGGACCGCGACTTTGTTGATGCGTTCTTTGCGATTCCCGACGAGGAAGTCGAAGCGAGTTTGGAGCGTCAATCGCCGTGGCTCTTGCGTCTTGTGCTGGACCGTGCGCAGATGCTCGATAAGAACCTGACCATGGCAGAGGTGGCGTCGAAGATTGGAGCCATGTTCGGCCGTGATATCTTTGTGATGCACTCGGAAGACAATGCGGAGGAGCTGGTGTTGCGCATTCGCATTGTCGACAATGACCCTGACAAGGAAGTGCAAGGCGAGGAGGATGTGTTCCTGAAGAGTCTGGCGCAACAGATGCTCACAGACATTGCTCTGAAGGGTGTGCCTGGCATTTCGAAGGTGTTTATTGTGAAGCAGGACAAGTCGACGCGTCGTTTTGACCCTGAGACGGGTGAGTGGGATACGTTGAAGGAGTATGTGCTGGAGACGGATGGCACGAACCTCAAGGATGTGCTGGCTGTCGAAGGTGTGGATGTTTCGCGTACGTTGTCGAACAACTGCGTGGAGGTATTCCGCGTGTTTGGTATTGAGGCTGCGCGTGGCTCGCTGCTGAAGGAGATGCGTAATGTCATTGAGTTCGATGGCTCGTACGTGAACTACCGTCATCTTGCTCTGCTGGTTGATATTATGACGAGTCAAGGCACGTTGATGGCCATTACGCGTCACGGTATCAACCGTACGAACCAGGGTGCATTGATGCGTTGCACGTTCGAAGAGACTGTGGAAATTCTCATGGACGCTGCATCGATGGGCGACAAGGACGATTGCCGTGGTGTCGGCCAGAATGTGCTGTTGGGTCAGATGGCGCCGATGGGTACAGGTGCCTTTGAGCTGAACATGGACATTGAGATGCTCAAAGATGTGATTGTCAACCGTGACCAATCGTTCACGAACCTGTGGGCATCCAAGCTGGGCATGGACAGCGACGAGATGGGCGGACGCACGCCGGGTGGCATGACACCCTACGACTCTGGTGCGCCCGAGATGGACGATTTCCGTGTGCAGCAGCAGGCGATGTTCTCGCCACTGGTGCAGGTCGGTGGCGACGAGGGCGGCTATGGCGACTACCTGAGCGCCGGGCAAAGTCCCATGCGGACGCCGCTGGGTGCACAGAGTCCTGGATATGGATATGCACCTACGTCGCCAGGCTACGTGCCGACCAGTCCGGCGTATGCGCCAACGAGTCCTGCGTTGGGTGCGATGAGCCCGTGGGTCGGTGCTGGTGGTGGAGCCACAAGTCCTGCGTACAGTCCGACTTCGCCTCGTATCTTGGCCGGTGGTGCGACGAGTCCAGCATACAGTCCTACAAGCCCCAGTTACTCGCCTACCAGTCCGATGATTGGCGCGACAAATGCGCGCAGTACGTACACGTCGCGGATGTCGCCGGCGAGCCCCAGCTATTCGCCGACATCGCCGGCCTACTCGCCCACTTCGCCTGCGTACTCGCCGACATCGCCGGCAGCTGGGCCCAAGAGTCGACGACCTACTGCAGGACCCAAGTACTCGCCGACCTCACCACAATACTCGCCGACCTCGCCGCAGTACTCCCCAACGTCGCCGCAGTACTCGCCCACGTCGCCACAGTACTCGCCTACATCGCCACAGTACTCACCGACCTCACCGCAATATTCGCCGACGTCGCCACAGTACTCGCCCACGTCCCCCCAATATTCGCCTACCTCTCCTCAATACTCACCTGGTGGTGCAGGTGCTGGCGGCGCTGCGTCGCCGCGTCGCAGTCGTATGTCGAGCAAACCCACATGGCAACGTTAGTGGAAAAACGATGTCTTTGGCCACGTCGCTTTATCTAGATAACCCAAAATGTATCAACGTAACACTGTAGTTGTGTCGAGGTGTCATCCGCTCCACATGTGGAGGAATAGCGTGGCGTGACGCGTGGCTAGATGGCTGTCACGTCGTCGTTGTCTTCTCCAGGCTGGGCGGTATGCAAGGCGTGCTGCTTTCGGACATTGCCGCTCTTGGATCGCGAGAGCGGGCATTGTGCCGCCGAGGTACGTTGCCGCGATGAGCTTATCTATTCAGCTGGCTACGTGGATGCGGAGCAACTGTTGCTGGACCATGCAGGGACACTCGCGCAGCAGTTGTCTATTTCAGAATGGCATGCGACACATATACAGCAAATTGTCGAGCGTGCCGTCGCACCGCCCTTGCAGTGCGCATGGGATGCTCTTTCCGAAGTCGAAAATGGAGGAGGAGAGACTACGTACGTCCCCGGCACACCATGCGAGGACGAGGAGCCCCTGGAGAAGGGCAGGCCCGTCTCCAAAACGTCCTCCGATCGCGTATCGACAGGTGTGGTGGAGCTGGATGCGTGTCTGGATGGCGGATTTATGCGGGGCATGATCTCGGAGCTGGGGGGCGAGAGCGCGTCGGGCAAGACACAGCTTGCCTTGTACACAGCGACATGCACGGCGCTGGGCCTTCCAGCGGAAAAGGGGGCGACAACGTCCTCCTCTTCGTGTGTGCTTCAGGGCGGGCGTGGTGAAGGTGTGATTCTGCTCACAACAAAAGGCCAGACAGCCGCTCGGCACATGGTCGACCGTATGGTGGAAATGACGCAAGCGTGTGTACGTGCATGGCATGAAGAGCAGCCATGGGCCACAGTGACGCAGACGGAAGCTGTGAATGTCATGCTTCAGAATGTGCATGTGGCGTGTACCTCGACGTTTGACGCAGCTGAACATGTGTTGCGGTACACATTACCAGGCCTCGTCGCTCGGCGGGCGTCGATGCAAGCACCGCCCTTTGCGTTGGTTGTATTGGATAGCGTGCCGCCCCTATTGCAAGACGATTCTCTGGATACGACCCAGGGCTCTTCTGCGATGGCGCGAAGTGTACGAGCGGGGCGGCTGCATGCACTTGGCTTGTGGCTCAAGCAAGTAGCTGTAGGTCGCGCCCCTCATACACCAGCGATGGCCGTCATCACGATCAACCACGTCCACGATGCGTTCGCCTACGAAGCAGCGCTTGTGCGACAGGCGTTGGCGCAAGGGACCTTGCCAATGTCAGAAGCAGGGATGGCGCGCTCCATGCCTATGTCTACGCTGATAGACGATGAGACGCCGCTTATGCTGCCGATGCAAGCGGCCCATTTTTCGGGTCTGCTTGCGAGTGTCCCTTGCGCCGAGCACAGTGCGACGATGGCATCGTTTCATGCTGACACAGATATCAAGATGGCTCAACTGGGCCTTGTATGGGCGAATTGTATCAATGCCCGGTACTGGGTCGCGATGCTGCCGCCCCCACCACCGTCGATGTTGGCGCCTGCGGTGCTGGTACGCCGTCTGCGCGTGGTTTTTGCGCCGACATGCACGTCGAGCACCAAGGAAGCGTTGTTTCTCGTAACACCTCGTGGCGTGCAAGGCTATGTAACATAGACGGGATCCCACATGACTTGATCTATGGTTTATTGTCGACGACTGTATACCCAGCGACCCCACTGTAAATACTAGATGAATCATATACGAAAAAGAAACGACATGCTACCCAGGCGCCTCGGTGAGGGTAGATGCAAGGGCATATGGAATACGTAGGTACAAAGATTCAGGCACGTTAGCGCGTCTTCAGCTTGGTCGGATCCGCGGGCGTGGCCGACGTGGACGTCGCCGAGGCGGGCGTAGCACCGGCCGACGCGGCGGCCTGCTGGCTCTTGTTGATGCTAAGCACGGTGCTGGCGTACCGCGTAACAAGGTCTGTAAGCATCAGGTAGCCCTTGCGCACAGCTGGTGGACACGACGAGTGCTGCGTGAGCTGATCAATCTCGCCGCGTACATGCTGCAGCGCCGAACGAGTGAAGCTGCTCATGTAGAAGCGCAGGCGCAGGAAATGAGCATACAGCAATGGAGCAAGGAGCGAGTTGCGGAAGAGGATCGCGCCGATCAAGACCCGCATGAAGATCACAAGCTCCGCGTACGACACAAAGCGCATGGCACGGTCGTAGTTCTCCTTCACCCACGCCTGGATGGTCTTGGCCAAGTTGCCACCTGCTGGTGTGGACTTGCCATCCGCCGACTGCGAGGCCGGGGTAATCGAGGGGAGGATTGTAGTGCGCGTGAAAGTAAGGAGATGGAAGAGGGAGAAAGTGATATACGGGACAAGGGTCACTGTCATGTAAGTGCTGCAAAGTACGCACGAGAAATGGGCTTGATCCAGCACCAGTACATGGCAATCACAAGGTACTGCACGTTTTCGTCCATCAACGCACGCTGGACATATGCTTTGTCGGTGCGAGGCACGCCGAAGCTCTTGTAGATAACAACACCATAGCTGACAATCGCGCCCAAGTACGCAAGACGGTACCAAAAGTCATAGCCAGACCATGAGAAGGTAGCGATCGTGATCAGGTACCGCACACCGGCAAAAAATGTGAAAAAGTGACCGGCTGCCCAAACAAGATGCGGCGCACTAGCTTTGAGCTGGCATGTCAGTGGGGCGTTCTACGCACCATATCGAATGTAGAGTGAAGGAGACACGCTACTACCACCACCGAACGACGGCCGGGCCCCCCTGCGCTAGGTCACACTGCTGACTAAAGACACCTCGGCCGAGGGAAATAACCCGCGGCGAGGCCCTGGCTGGCTGGCCGGCCGCTTAGCGTGGCAGAGTGAGGCTGGAAAGCCTAGCAGGCTGGCGCGCGTGCGGAAGAATGGAAAAAGGCCAGCCCCGCCAGCGACAGGCCAGTAAGGGCCCACATCAACACGTCTGCGCGCGAACGGCCGTGAGCATTCCTCGCTACTTTCCTGTCTTTTCTTTGAAGTTGGTGTGTCTTTTCTGTACAGTAGCCTTCTGAGTTGGTATGGCTTTGCCCTTCTCGATTGCCGACTTGCAGAAGCGGGCCTTGGACCGCGGCATGTGGTCCTCTGTGCATGCGCGTATGTCAGCGCGATCTCGCGTCACCAACTTGGGTGTGACGATGCTGGCATGTGCCCTGATAATCTCACTTCTCTTTAATCTGCGACCACGCACGGTATCTGTGCGCTCTGTGCTCCCATCCTCGCGCACTGGTGAGGCGTGTCCCTCGAACAATTACAACCTACGCAACGTGCTGGGGACGTACCCTGGCTCGGAGAAAAAGCCGCTGACGCACCTTGTTGTTGTAGCTGGGCACGCTATCTGGAGTATGTACAAATGATACTAACTAGTATTAGAGGGTGACGACCCAGCGAAGATGTTGAACGATTCCAGTTGGTTCCTGGAATCGTACCAGCGTGGCGGCAGCGTCAAGACGTTTGTGAAGCACATTGAGAAAGGTGTGAGTATTGCGCGCGACGACCCGAGCAGTCTCTTGGTCTTCAGTGGTGGGCAGACGCGTGATCAGACATGGACGACCGAGGCAGAATCGTACTACCGCCTCGCGCTGTCCCTGACACATGAGCTGCCGACGTTTGCCATGGAAGATGAAGACCTGACGAGCTCGCGTGAAGCGTTCCAGCCGCTGCAAACAGCAACAAATGTAGAGGCTCAGACCTCTGCGAACAAGCTGGCCTCCGGCTCCATTGGCGTGGATCGCTCGATGGATCTGAGCCGTTTGCGAATGACGACCGAGAACTTTGCCTTGGACAGCTTTGAGAACTTGCTCTTCTCGATTGGACGCTTTTACGAGTACACGGGTACATATCCGCGCAAGATCACTGTCGTGAGCTACGAATTCAAGAAGAAGCGCTTTGTCGACCTGCATGCCGTAGCGCTTCGGTGGTCCACCAACAAGTACTTGCCCAGTGGTACGCGGCAGTTCAACTACGTGGGCATCGATGACGAAGATATGGGTCCTTCTGTGCACGACAATGCGTACGACCTGTTTGAGCGTGATATGTATGGCTGTTTCAATGTGCTCCTGACCAAGCGGCGCAAGCGCAACAGCAGTCGCCGCCTCCCGCCGTACCGAAGCACTGCACCTGAACTGGCGGGTCTTATGGACTGGTGTCCGTCGTATGGCTCACGTCTGCAAGGGCTATACCCTGGCTGGCTGCCATGGGACCCGCGTGTAAGCAACGGGATGGGCCGCGGTGCGCAGGCGTTCCTCGAGCAGAATGGTGGCCACTTTGTCCAGGCGGAGTACCTCCCTGACGGCAAAAAGATCGTATGATGTTTATTCTACATGCATCGGCGCATGCTGGCGCCTTGTCCATATTCCCATAAGCAGAAGTAGATGTGCCAACAGCAGTCCTAATGACGATGCAGGCGTCGATGGGAATGTGTTCCATGCAGCTTCGATGAGAACAAGGAGCACGACACTACGTCAGTGTGGACCTCGACGTACCTCAGGGCTGCCGGCAGGCGTGAGGACCATACCAGCAAGGGCAGCTGGTGTGCGTACCAGCTGTAGAATTGGTAGTGCAGACTACGAGCACAGATCATGCCGATCAAGTTGCTTGTCCACAATGTAAGCAGTATATCTAAAGTCAGTACAATCGTACATACACTGAGCCGACATCGGTGTGCGATCCCCATGCCATCGCACTTTGATCCATGACACACCCTGTGTACCAAGTTGTGTCCAACGGAACAGACCGAAGGCAAGAAGGCACAGGGCATGTGCTCCTAACAAAGTGCGGGAGAACTTGGGGCTTACAAACACCTTCTCATCAAGGAAGCGCCAATTGACTGTCCATTCGTAAAGAAAGACACGCGAAAAGTCGAACGCCTGGGATAGGTACGAAGCTGGGTACGAGGCCAGGAACGGCCCACCGAGAAGGAGCTGGGGTAGGACAATGAGTCCCGCCAGGGATCCTATCGTACGTACAGCCCCCCATGCGCGGAAAAGGATGACCAAGAGCCCAGGGAGGAACAGAAGGACGTTCATTTTGATAGAGAGAGCCAGGCTGGAGTGAGTGAAGAGGTACGTACGAGTATACCACGCAGGCCATGGACCATCGCCGTCGACATAGAAACCACGTAGCGATGTACATGAAGAGCATCGCAATAGGATCGTTGAACAGCCGTAAGACAAAGATAGAGTGAAGGCGTTTGGACAGGGCCAGCATGGGGATCAAGATTGGTGGTGCGCCGGCCATGCGGTACAAGTGCGAGATGACGACCAGGGTAACAAGGTACACGGCGCCAAAGACGACTTGCGCAGGAAGCAGATGGGCAGCGTGTGCACTGACCTTATCAAGCAGCGCATAGATGTACAGGTGACCAGCTGGATACACGCATGGCCCCGAGCCGCCGATAGGATCGATCGCGCGGTAATCGCGCTCGCCAGCGAGGAACAGGCGTGCCTGATTCACATACGTTGAGAAATCAATTTCGGTGTCTGTGTGAGTCAAAAAGGGACATACATGGCACAAAGCGGATAATCAGGCCTGTAAGGATACATTCTCCTAGGCATGTGAGGGCCAAAAGAGGGGCGTACCCCTGCGGGGTAAACAGGCAAGCATGCAGCGTCGAAGAGAGTGACATGCACGCAGACAACCTGTGGCAGCACGGCACGGAGTCTATCCACCTGAGCCAGCCTACATGTCGACCATATCACTTGGGCGTTTCTATGACATGTTAAACGTACAAACGAGCTAGATACATGCCCACTACACGACAAGGCGAAGCGGTGGTGGGAATGGCGACGCGAAGTGAGGGAGGCCCCGATCCCGATTTTCATGCACAAAGCGGGGGGGTTTTTTGGTCGGTCTTTGTCCTCCGTGCCAACGCATTGATTCACGATGTCATCATCCATGAATTACACGTATCCTGGCAAGTTTGGGCCTCATAGGTATGTGCCGCAACAGAGGAATCTCATGACGCAGATCGACGAAGGGTACAGTTAAGCATAAGATCCTGCCGGATGAGCCATCGTCGGAATCGGAAGCGAGTCCTGACACTGGTGATGCGAATCCTGACCTGTACTGGGATGACGACGTGGATGTCGACCCACAGGATCTGCAAGGCTTGCATCACATCCCTGAAGGGAGTATGCGCCGCGATGCATCGCGGCTGACTCGCAAAGCGCGTGCACGACTTCCGCGAGTCACGGCGTATAGCACAGCGACGTACGTTGGAGAAGACTGACACGCAGTTCGTACAAAATGACGGAGCTAATCCGGTGGTTGCAAGCACGCAAATCCTCGCACGAGACCAATGTGCTCCGTTTCGATGAGTGTGTATATACCACATACACGTACAAGCATGTGGACGAAGCGCGTGGGCTACCAAGCACGCGGCATTGGATCTTCCAGCGTGGCCGGGCGCCCTATCGGCCCGACAGCCATGGCATCCCTACCGGTGATCTCTTGGGAATGCCAGAACTACATAAGGAGGGCAATTCCTCGTCGGCGGACCATGTGCTACAAACCATCAGTGAAGAAGCAGAGGAAGAAGGTGCGAAACCTACTGCGACATCGACCTCAACATCGTCGGCCTCGCCTCGCAAGGCATCTGGTGTGATGAAATATGTGCCAGAAGTCTTTTTCATGGAGTACGGTACTGTCGTTATATGGGGTATGTCGTTGTCGGAAGAGAAGCGGCTCTTGCGTGAAATTCGGCGCTTTGAAGTGGAAAGGCTGGCGACAGAAGACATTGAGAGTGAAGATCTCAATTGGTACTTGGCCGACTACAGTCGCATCTACAATGATGTGATTACATTACGACGTGGCTCGAGCTATATGACCAAGCTTTCCCTGTCTCATGCATTGGCACAGTCGACCAAGATCAGCTTCTTTGAGAGTGTCATTGAAGATACGATTGATACCACAAAAGATGTGCCACGCAGTATTGCGGAAAGCGGCAAAGTGGGTATGCCGCCGACCGACATTATGAAGAATATCGGCCACGTACGTACTGTTGGCAAACATCTAACAGCAGCTATTTATTCTTCGCATGAACATTCACTTAGTGGGATCGGTGGTCGATTCGCCGGAAATCTTTTGGGCGCAGCCTGATTTAGGTATGGAAGACGGCTACTTACCGCAGAACCTCTATATGCCGCCGCACGGAGTTATTTGGAAATTCAGCAACGGATCGATTTACTCAACATTCGCGTTGAAGTATTGCAGGACATGCTTCAGCTGCTCAAGGACCAAGTCACATCCAGTCATTCAGAATGGTTAGAAATCATTGTAATTATTCTCATCGTTATGGAGTACGTTGGGTTGCATGTGAAAGCTGACTGGCAGAATTATTCTAGGTGTGGCCACAAGTAAGTGTCAGCCCGATCGACGCGCTAACAGATCCAGTGCTGGTAGACTTGTATTTCGGCTAGCGACAAATTTTCGTAACTCGACATTTTATTGGTGAATTTCCGACATAAGCCCGACGGCCTATATCGGGCCGTCCTGATGCAGACCCTGCTTTTTCTTTTTACCTTGTCACCGCGAGCTTCTCGCTTTTCACCATGGCGTACAATACACCGCTGGTGGGTGGTCTGTACCCCATTTGCACAGAAGATGTGTACAAGGCGTACCATGACCCGAGTGTTCACATTTTCCTCACGATTGTTTTTGGTATTTTCACCCTAGTCTTCCTGTACTATTTGTGCGTGCGCCGCCCCAAGTTTGAGTATGCGATGATGCTCATCTTTTGCGCCCTCCAAGTCGGTGCTTTTGCAATGCGTATTTACTCCGACATCCAAGATGCATTTATTGGTATTATGGTGTACTCAGCTGCCATTTCAATTTCGTTGGGTGTGATGTACAGCCTGTACGTTCGCTGGACCAAGATCGCCGACAAGTACTTTGGTACAAAGATGTTTGATCGCGGCTTTGGCAGCTACATTGCCATTGCTATCATCACCATTATCGTCCTTGCATTGATTGTGGCCAGTGTATGGGTTGCTTCGACTATCTGGGTGGTGTTCTTGGTACTCTTCGCGATTCTTTGGGTGGGCAGTATTGTGACGTTGATCATTCACCAGCGCCATCGTCCACCCACGCGCGAGGTACCCATCGTGATGAGCTTGATGGACCGTGTATACAACCTGCCGCCGATTGCTACGAGCCACCAACAACTGTACAACATGCAAGTGTTCATTATTGTGCTGAATACGATTTTGCTCGTTAAGCAGATTTTCTTGACCATCTGCTTTGTGCTGGTGCCTCTGTTTTTCATCACGCCGCTGTACTATATCTTCTGCATTATCCCTGATCTGGCCTTTGCGGTAATGATCAGCAACTCGGAAGCTTTGCCTCTGTTTGAGCCTGCTCGCCATATGCCTTCGGTGCGCACGGAAATCTTGGAACGCGAGCGTACGGAGCGTATGATGCAAACTGAACCCATGCGTCCTACGTTTGATGGCCAGCCTGTGCTGATGGAGGGTGCCCCGGTGCTTCGTCCTGAACAGCCTCATGGTCAAGTGGTGCCTGTGCAGTATGTGCAGCGTGCACCTTACGCCGAACCGGAAGAGACCATCGTTCAAGTGGACGCCCGCTGAATAAGCATGCTCCCAAGTTGTATCATATGTGGCGCGCAACCTATAATCCTTTCCCTATCTAGACAATTCGATCTTTTTAGGACTATAGAAGAATCCATGTAATTCATTGCCATTTTGAGGAGGGGCGGATATACATTTTGTATATCAATTTATCGTTGCTGCCTGCTTCGTACACGTGCACATCAAAAGGGCGGAAGTGGTCTTGTATCGTAAAGCGCTCCGATGTTCGCGCACCTTGGTACGATGACAGAGGTGTGGTGCGCTTCGTGGAGGAGCGCTTGACATACTGCCAGAGGCGAGGGAGAAGCGACTTGCGGCACATTGTCAAGAGCGAGTAGAGTATGTAGGAGATGGTGTTGAAGAGAGCTACGCGCATAGCATAGTCCCATAGATGGTTTGGATCGTATTTCAACACGTAGAACAGCACAGAGAGCCAGGGAATGTACATGGTAAGTTGAGGTAGCTGCTATTGCTCTCAGGTTACATAGGCATAGATTGAAACGATATCGGCCAAATTCCACTTGAGAGGAGGCACACCTTGCGTTGAAGCTCGCATTCACGTGAATACACTTGCCATGACAGCCAACGGCTGCGCAGCGATACAGATCCAACCGACACACTGTTGGACAACGTCACGCGATATTTCCCAGCCAGCCTCCTGATTCTGGAGTAGAGCGAATCAAAAAAAAATTGCATGTCATGTCTCTGCATGGCTATGAACTATAGAATCCCATGCAAGTACTTTTCTACACAGAGGATCGTGGTCCGTGATCTTGTTTCCGGGGAGTTAGCGCCAATAGTGTGACTTCGGACGATCATCTCATGTTTTACTAAAGCGATGCGAAACGAATGCACGCTCACGTACTCGGCTCTCTTTAAGTAGAGGTGGCAGCATATATGGGCCTGGGCGCCTAGATTCGAAGTGATTGGCTGTAGGGACGTGATGCTAGAAAAGGAAATGCAGTTAGCGTAATGCGCGTAACAACATTAAGAAACAGATGGCCGTGTTATCTTTCCCCTCACCCCGATACCATGAAGTTTTTCGTGGTACCGCTTTTGCTATGGCAAGCGATTGCCCAAGCATGGGCGTACTATGTAACTGAGCCGGAACTGGAGCCGCTCAGCATCGCGGTGACCTACCGTCACCCGACCATTCAACCTGCGCCAGGCTATTTCTTCATTGGCTCTTGGTCCAAGGGTATCCAAGGTGCCTATATTGTGGACAATGATGGCATTCCTGTCTATATCAACAACTCAGTCATTCCCGTGATCAACTTTGGAAAGCAGATGCTGAACGGCCAGCCAGTTCTGACGTACTGGACGGGCACGGAAAATGCCGGTGGTTTCGGTATGGAAGACGGCAAAGTGAACATTCTCAATGCTGACTACACTTTCAACCGATCTGTAGTGGCGAAGAACAGCCCTGATCTGCATGAATCGCGCATCACAAACCAGAACACTATGCTTTCGACTTTCTACCGCAACGAGAGCAATGTGGACATTTCGGCGGCGCCTGGCAACTACTCGACGGGCTATATTGCCGAGAGCTGCTTCCAGGAGCTTGACTTGAACAACAATAACACTGTGCTGTTTGAGTATTGTGCTCGGGAAGGTGTTACGTTTGACAAGGCGTACGATCCGCCGCCCAAAGAGCCGACGGAGCAAACGCCTTGGGACTGGTTCCACATTAACTCGGTGGACAAGGATGCTCTGGGCAATTATATCTTCAGTGGACGTTATACAAGCTCGATTTACTACCTGGATGCCAAGTCGCGTAACATTTCGTGGATCTTGGGTGGTAAAATGAACCAGTTCAACGGCAGTGGTAGCGATTTCTTCGGTCAGCACCATGTGCACCTGATCGACGAGCAGGATTTGTCGGCAGAGGAAGTGCAACAGAAGAACACCAACGGAACGCGCCACTTGGCGCTATGGGACAATGCTGTGCTTAATGGGAAGTCGTCGCGAAGTGACAGCCGTGGTATGGAATTCGAGATTGACTTTGCGAAGAATACTACGACGTTGATTCGCAACTTTGAGAAGCCAGGCAATGTGACGAACCTCAAGGCGCGTAGCCAGGGCAGTGCTCAAGTCTTGGGTGGCAACTCGACTATGGGCCATGTTGTGACGGACTATGGCTCGACGCCGGCCTATGCGGAGTACGACGCAAATGGTGAGAGTGTGCTTCTGGCGTACTTTGCCAACCCCAATTCGAGCTATGCATACCGTGTGTACAAGGATGAGTGGGTTGGTCAGCCGAAGACTGCGCCTTCAGTGGCTAAGATCGGCGACAAGGTGTATGTCAGCTGGAACGGTGCTACCGAGGTGACGAACTGGCGCGTGACACAGAGCTCGGATTCCAAGGATGTAAACGCCAATGCGAATAGCACGGATGTGCGCAAGACAGGCTTTGAGACTGCCATTCCCATTAACCTGAATGCCACGCTGACGCAGATTTCCGCGCTCGGTAAGGATGGTAATGTGCTATCGAAGAGTGTCGTTCTTGACAAGGATGGCAAGTCACAAGGCGGCGAAATGAAGGGATACTCGTCGTAAATTGAATAAACAAGGTTTGTTGTTTCTTTTTTTTTTTTTTTTTCTTCTTCTTCTTTATTTGATGAGGTATTTCTGGTAGGCTTGGAACGTAAAGACAATGTATATAAGCTCTTCAGGCCGTTTGTGACAATATGGTCAAAAGCGAGGCTGAAGGTGGCCAACCCATTTTATAAAAATTAACGCAATTGTGGATTTTTTTAGTGCTCCACTTTTAGGGGCTAATTTACACGCACACGTACCTCACGTCTTTTATAGCGCAAATGTACACAAGACATGAATATGGATCAGCATAGCCCTCAGAAAGAGCTTCTCGCACAATATGGTCCCCGACAAATCCTGTAATGCCAGTGACGGCTACAAAGACCGACTTGGACCGCATAGAAGAGAAAGCGTAGACGGTCCCGTTGAGACTAATTATTTTCGAAGCCAAAAAACAACAACGAGAAACACTATGTACAGTATAGGAGAGTGGTTGCGACTTTGAAGATTAGGCTCGCAGGGGCGACATGACCCGGCGTGGAGTCTCAGTGAGGTGTTTATGCCTAGCACGGATAGGCGAAGAGGCACGTACATTGTGCGTGGCGGGCCGACTTTCGTGCGATGTAGCCTGCGTGGAAGGGATAGAATTGTAGAGCTTGACATCTACGCCAGCAATACGTTCATGATCATGCCCGTCCGATCCCTTCTTCTGTCCGCCTTGGCCATATGCACGCACCCGCAAACGCTCCCATTCGCCAGCTGTCACGGCAGGGAGCCCTTGTGCACGTCGTTCGGCCCAGAAGTCACGTCCGTGGTAGGCTTTCTTCACAACTTCAGACTGAAGCAGAGGCTCCAGAGGCACGTCCTCATTGAAGAGGGCGAAATAAAACACGCCTAGTCGTTGCAGCGCTTGTTGATCTTCGGGAGGCCCCACGACCCTGTGTATAGTCTGCTTTAGGAGCCCACCTGAGATGAAATGCATGGCATCGCCGAGGTTCAAAACGACGGCATTAGGGCGGTGACGTACCTTTCGCCATACATTGTCAGGCATCAGCACCTCGAGCGAAGTGATAGGCTGCGACCAGAGGATCGAGACACTGTTAAAGTCGGTGTGACCCTGAAGCCGAACACCGCCTAGTGCCTCATCGTCTTCAGGAGGTGGCGGTCGGTACAGAGCGAACCGAAGCAGGTCCAAGCCTTTGGTCTCATGATCCTTCGACAAATCCCACAGGGTGTGTACAGGCAACTTGAGGACGAGGGAGAGGACAGCAAGCACTTTACGCAAAATCACGTCATGATTGAAACGAGAAAAAGCATGAATTTCTTCGAGAAACGGCTGAACCTGTGATGGGTACCTTGCATGCTGCCCCTCAGTAAAGTGCTGAGATCCAAAGTTGAGCTGCTCGATTCGATCTTTGACGCCATCAATATGCCAATGTCCCATAGGCTTGTACCCAACAAAGCTTCCAGCTTCTCGCATATCGGCTACGCAGCGGTCTTTTTCATCGTCAGTAATGTGATCAAAGCCATACTGCGCGATGGAAAATTGCCGCAGGACTTGGTCGTAGGTCAATCCATGGTTGATGGCATACATAAAGCCGGTGGAAGAGAAGGCTGTGCCGACCTGTTCTACGACGGAGACAGGTACCTGGTCCATATTCTCGCCTGTGATCAAGGAGAGATCAAGTGTTTCGAGGGGTGCCCAATCAAAGTCAGTGACCTTGGAAGGCGGAGGCGGTATCCATGGTGGGATAGAGCGAGTCGACATGGCTAGAATGGGGAGGCGACTGATCCCTGGCATACGTACTCTTATAGACCAGCATCTTGTACTTGATTCGTGATTAGCACTTCATCGTCATGATTCGCAAGCGGATAACATGCTCGCTGACGTTCGTGTCGTGATCCAAGAGACCTGGGGATGACGAGAGATATCCAAAACGTGATAAGGAACGAGCCAATGAGGTAATTATCCGCTTGTGTCATCTGACGTCAGTTTTGTGGAGAATCAGCACATGCGACATGCATGAAGGGCGTGCGACATGTGATCTCCCCCACCACTATCGTTTCAGGGCCGTGATGGTAGGCGGGCAATAAAAGCCAGCATGCCCAGATGGGCGGTATATGCCTATGAATGACTTGAAGAAAAGCAAGCTGGACGAGAAAGGGCCTGTGAAAGCGCGAACGACATATCTCTCACTAGATGAGGAGAGCATTGCTGAGCCAGACACGCTCTCCCATTTGGGGGCGGAGATGCGCAACCCGCTAGTAGGGCTCTCTTATCAGGAGATCGAACGGGATGTGCGCACATTTGTCACCACTAAAGGGCTGGAAGAGTATTACGAAGTATTTCTCAAAGGGGCTCTGTGTGCGCAACTGCAAGGGACCGACGAGTTTCACTCCATTTCGTCGCTGACAAACGATGATCGAGCGATGTTGACACAGGAACGCCAACATAAATGGCGGCAACCATTTATGCTATACTGGCTAGCTATTTGCTGTAGTGTGGCCGCTGCTGTGCAAGGTGCTGATGAGTCTGTGATTAACGGAGCCCTCTTGTACTTCCCTGCGCAATTTGGGCTGTACACGGACTACTGTGACTACTACAAAAAGAATCCAGATACTGGCATTTGCAATGGATCACTTCTTCCGCATGTGAATGCATCATGGACGTATGAAGAAGTCACGAACGATATAAGTAAGAACAACTGGCTCCTGGGTCTCGTATCTTCTGCGCCGTATTTGTGCTGCGCCGTTGTGGGATGCTGGGTAACCAGTCCCATGAATCGGTTTCTAGCCAGGCGCGGTACGATCTTCTGGTCTGCGCTTATGAGCTTTGTAACATGCATTTGGCAGGCAGTCACCAACAATTGGTGGCACATGTTTATTGCACGCTTCTTTATGGGATTTGGTATCGGGCCCAAATCCGCGACAGTGCCCGTCTATGCGGCCGAATGTGCTCCACCCATGATTCGAGGTGCGCTTGTTATGCAATGGCAGACATGGACAGCGTTTGGTGTGATGCTGGGCAACGCCTTTGGCCTGATGTTCTACCAAGTCAAGGATGCCTCATCCATTCACGGACTGAATTGGAGGCTCATGGTAGGCAGTGCTTGTATTCCAGCAATCTTTGTCATGGCACAAGTGTACCTATGCCCTGAATCTCCGCGATGGCTCATGAAACGAGGCAGATACGTTGACGCATTCCGATCTATGCAACGTGTTCGCAATGCACCATTGCTGGCAGCGCGGGACCTGTATCTAGCACATTGCCTGATTGAGATTGAGCATGAGATGGAGGAAAAGAGAGGAGGCTCCTCTCTCTGGCAGCTATTCACAATCCCTCGGATTGCGAGGGCCACATGGGCAAGCACAATTGTCATGTTTGGACAGCAATTCTGTGGCGTAAATGTGATTACGTTTTACTCAAGCACAATTATCAAGGAAGCAAACAATAAGTCGCCCAGGGATGCATTGCTTGGCAGTTGGGGCTTTGGCTTTGTCGCCTTTTTGTTTGCGATCCCAGCATGGTACACAATTGATACATGGGGCCGAAGGACACTATTGTTATTCACACTCCCGTTTTTGGCGGTATTCTTGTTGATCACCGGTTTTTCCTTCTGGATCGACGCTGCCAAAACGGACACACGACTTGGCGTGGTCCTCATGGGAATTTACGTCTTCGCTGCCTTTTACGGACCGGGTATGGGACCAGTCCCATTTACCTACAGTGCAGAGGCCTTTCCCATTCATGTGCGCGATATGGGGATGTCGTATGCCACAGCAGTGCTTTGGTTTTTCAACTTTGTATTAACAATTACTTGGTTCCGCATGAAGGAGGCCTTCACAACACAGGGGGCATTTGGCTGGTACGCTGGATGGTGTGTAATTCTATGGCTTCTTGTCCTTTTCTTCGTACCAGAAACAAAGGGTTTGACACTTGAGGAGCTGGACTCTGTCTTTAGTGTAACATTTTTGCAGCGGATGCGTAAGCTGCGTTTGAGACGCAAGATTTGGCATTAGCCTTCTCATCATGGTTTCCATCTCGTTGCAGAGAATGAGATTATGTAGTTAGAAAAAGAGAGAGAGCGAGCGGGGCGTGAGTCCCCGCGCTCAATTGCTGTGTTATCGCGCTGCATTGGTAGTCGTAGCGATTGATTTACTGTGCGCGTTGGCGGCCGGGGTACACTTTGCCGTGGAAGGGCGTGATGGTGGGCGTCGTGCACCATGTGCAGACCCCTGTGCGCGGCGGGCAGAGCGTGCGAAGCTAGAGGCCCACTTTCGGCACAGTGGATGCGGTGGGCACAGACCATTGAGTGCGCGCTTGGCTGTGCGAATCAGATGAGATAGCCTGCACTAGCGAGATAATGACAAGCTATAGAGCTAGTCATTGTCATTGTGGGAGCGGTGAGGGTAGAGAGAGCGGGGCGTGAGTC